GCGGTTGAGCTCGGAGAGGTGAGTCTGACCTTTATCAGATGCCATAGTGAAGTCCACATCGCCTTTTTTTAGTAGTCTTTTTTAGTAGTCTTCTCAGATACTCTTTTTAGATATCTTTTTAGATGTCTTTTTAGTGGTCCTTTTTAGTGGTCTTCTCAGATTCTTCTCAGTTTTTCTTTTTGGATGTCTGTTTTCATGGATATTTTCTCCCCCTTCTTAGTTTGTTAGCTAGATGGGGGAAAAAGCGGGGAAATGGCTTAATTTGTGAAATGGACTTTTCTATAGCAGTCGAGGTTCTAGGGATATTGGAATCACGAGCAATTCAATTATACCAACCAATGCAATGAAAGAAAGTATCTATCCCATCAGATAACCAGGAAGCCATTGTTATTCTGAGAATTACCTGGTATTGCATTATATTGCTACTGTTGAGCAGTGGTTGTGGCACCCCAGCGGGCATATTTTAATATGCGAGCACTTCTTGTCATATGTAATAGGGCATATACGTTTGGATAGTGCTGAGACTCTATTTGAAGAGGGAAAGAGAGCATATGATTTACATATGTATATCGCTATCGAGATAAGAGGTTGTTTTCAAGGTAGAGCCATCTGTGCTATCACACACTACGTATGAAACCAGAGAAATGGGCATGTGACGTGACTTGGTACGTTAGTACTTCTTAGGTTCGAAGAGCTAGTGCACCTATTTTCGAACTATGGAGATTTACCCCTGACTAGAGCAACATTGCGTTTAGGTACGGAATACAAACATGGATGTAGGTACATCGTAGATTCAACACCGTCGATCAGTGGATCGGTGGATTCGAGAATAATCGAGGATCATTGAGGGTTTTCTGCGGCTCTAGTATTATCTGCACAGACCAATAATCCGAGAAGCATTGAAGACGCTACATGTACCCTTTTTACCAACATAGATCGTACCAGAGACAAGTCACTCGATGTGCGGAATAAAGCATGCAGGATGCACAGCCTGACCTATAACGCTCGGACTTACTCCGTAGATACATAGGAAGATGAAGCTTCGAATGTTGCTATTGAAGAAAAGCAAGCATGAAGACCAATAGCGCAAGAGCTCTGCATATATTCACCGATCTACGACGCTCTGATGTTAAGTAGAGTTCTTGAGTTATTGGGCCGAGAGTTTGCCAAGGTCCAAGTCGGGATGCCGAATCAGCCTCTAATATTCCGACGAATGAAAGAGTGGGTGCTTATCTTGACTTGACGTACTTTGTGGACCCCCTACTTTGTACATAGTCCCCGTGGCAAAGGGTTTAGTTTTCCCGCCCCATGCGTTCCGCATAGTCGTGTGGAACCGGGTGTGACATACCCGGAGAATGGGGGAAGCCACTAAGAGATGATGCGGAGATAATAATATGCCAGGGGCAGAAGTATGAATCTTGAACAGTTATGTATACTCCGTAGGCAGATTTCTAGGCAAAGATACGAAAATAAATTTCCACTATTGCATTATAGCAATCATTTCTATCGGTGATCTCTGATCTCTCCCACATTGTGTTCGCCAGAGGCCATCGTTGGGTAATAGAAAAGAGTTCGACGAAGGAAATAACCCCTCGCATAGTCAAATGTATACGAAGTTCCAAGGTTGGATGTATGAGATAAGGGAAATTAAATTGTGATTGGTTGGCGCAACACCCGTGGACGCCAGATGATAAGAGATCAAACGTCCAACCTTGGAAGTTTTGTTCACAACTTCATGTCGCACATAGCAATATACCATTATTATGGAAACTACTATATCCAAGGCACCGGGTCAGCTTCCATGGGTCAATAAGACATGAACTGGACGTATTAAGCAACGGATTAAGCGACAGAAAAACGACTTGCCTGAAAATGATAAGCAAATGGCTGTGATTGGCTGCTTTCAACTTCATATCTACAGCCAGTCGTTGACCACCCGTCCAATTTCAATATTCCTATTATTTCCTATTATTCTCTTCTGTCACTGAAATGACCCAATCTGTTTATCACTTTACTACAATGTAAGTTGGACTTGCATTCCCCCTGCTTATCGGGGGTCAATGCATGTAGCTTGAGATGCAAACAAGGTCCTATTAGATCATTCTGAAGGGAAAATGTACAGATGCAGAGAAAACAACAGGTAGGTACACTGCAGTGGAAACATGGCTCTAAGAGCAGATACCCATATGCAGTGCAATATCCAAATATAGTTGAAGTATGCAAACGCAAGGACCCGTAATTCCCCGGTCTGGTTCCATGGAGTATATACCATATCCACCATACACCCGGAATGGCTGAAATGGAGGCGGGCTTGGCTACCTGCTATCGGTCAGATCAGATGAATCATATCAGAAATCAGAATGACCAGCTCCCACTATCGGAACTAAGATCGATGGTCTGGTAGCTTTCTCGCGTCTGATGGTGGAGCATCGCTAGTTGTTTGGGACTGTGTCAGTTATTTAATTAGCAGGGTTTGTCCTTGCAGGGTAGACATATCACTTTTCTCTCCTTTCACAGCCCGGTGCTTGAAAGTATTTTCTACTTCTTTCTCTCGATCTCCTATCACAAGGCTTTGGGAGATCTCCTGTAATATTCCATTGCGACTGCCTTTCAACCGCTTATCACACTTGCAATACCATTGGCCTACCCTAGGTCTCACCATGGCCGAATACCCGGTTGAGTACAATGGCACCATCGCAACTGGTGGTGACTCGCTCCATGATGACTTGAACATCTTCTACAGTGTATGTTGTGTACTTTATAGGAGTCAATTGAAGAGCTTGCTAGCTAACAGGGTTAATAGTCTGGTGATATATCATGGGTCATTATGTCGACAGCCCTAGTGCTGCTTATGATTCCTGGAGTTGGGTATGACTTGACCAAACCCGTCCTCAAACATCCAAGGAGTCTCGCTCATTACTTGATTACAGATTCTTCTACTCCGGTCTAGCTCGTCGAAAGTCAGCACTCTCATTGATATGGCTCTCGATCATGTCGGTCGGCGTGGTTTCATTCCAGTGGTTCTTCTGGGGTTATTCGCTGGCCTTCTCCCACACAGCCGGCAGCTACATCGGCAACCTCGATAACTTCGGCTTCAAGGGTGTGCTAGGTGCACCATCTGTGGGAAGTAACAAGGTTCCCGATCTCCTGTTCGCTATCTTCCAGGGCATGTTCGCCGCTATTACGTGAGTCATTATCATCATGCATCCATCATGTGGATGGAAATCCTCTTGAAACATCAATTAACATTTTCTCCGCAATTAGGGTTGCTCTCGCCGTCGGTGCAGTTGCTGAGCGTGGTCGCATGCTCCCCTGCATTGTCTTCATGTTCATCTGGACTACTATTATCTACGACCCCATCGCCTGTTGGACATGGAACTCGTCGGGCTGGGTATTCAAGCTCGGAGGTCTTGACTTTGCAGGTGGTACCCCCGTCCACATTGCCTCTGGATCTGCTGCCCTGGCCTACTCCTTGATGCTGGGCAAGCGTCGTGGCCATGGCACCCACGAACTTAACTACCGCCCTCACAATGTAACCCACGTTGTCATCGGCACCGTGTTCCTCTGGGTCGGCTGGTTCGGATTCAACGCTGGCTCTGCTCTAGCTGCCAATCTTCGTGCAGTTATGGCTGCCGTTGTGACTAATCTTGCTGCCTCCGTCGGAGGTGTGACCTGGTGTTTGATGGACTACAGACTGGAGCGCAAGTGGTCGACCGTTGGCTTCTGCTCTGGTGTCATTGCTGGCCTTGTTGCCATTACCCCCGGCTCTGGATTCGTCACTCCCTGGGCTGCTTTCATCTTTGGTGTGGTTGGTGCTGTTGCATGCAACTATGCTACTAAGCTCAAGTACGTCCTTGGTGTTGATGACGCTCTCGATATCTTTGCCGTCCACGGTATCGGAGGTGTGGTTGGAAACCTCCTGACTGGTATTTTCGCTGCGTGAGTCAACCTACTTTCCGACAGTATTGTCCGATCATAAATAAACTAACTTGAATTCTAGTGATTACATTGCGCACCTGGATGGTTTCACTGAAATCCCTGGCGGCTGGATCAACAAGAACTATATCCAGCTGGGATACCAGCTTGCCGACTCAGTCACTGGAATGGCATACGCCTTCTTTGGAACCTGTATCATTCTCTTCCTCATGAACCTCGTTCCGGGCCTCAGCTTGCGCGCACCAGAGGAAGATGAGATCATGGGTATTGACGACGCTGAAATTGGCGAGTTCGCTGTAAGCATTATTGTTCCCCAGTCGGCCCAACAGACCCTTTCTGACATTTTATTCTCTAGTATGACTACGTTGAAGTCACCCGCGATATTGTCAATGGCATCGAAAGCTCGGAGACTGGGTCTAAGCGCACTGTTACACCCGTGGGCGAGGTTATTGACACCAAGGCTTAGATTTGACTTGATCTGACAGCCGTTCTTTCTTTAATATTTAATATTAGGCGAATGCCTTTCTTTTTTTTTCATGTTCATTCTTCTTTTGTGGCGATGGCAGAGTTTCTTGAATATCTACATACATTATAGAACTGTAGTAGGTATCTGCGATGCTCTCCGGATTCCAATTTTCAGTTCGATAGCATTCATTAGATACCCAAATAACAAATTCTATGAGACCATTCCAAAACCAAGCTGATAGAGCACAGGCAAACAGCGACATTATACATACATATGTGGTAATGAAACATGAGGAGTCTTTTCAGGCCACAGAGCCAAATTGAGAAGTAGCCGTGAGTAACGATGCCATTATGGTATAGTTATACCTAGGTAGGATTCTATAGTTAGTTATTCCATTCCGTACAAAGTAGAGACGGGAATGCGGGTTCCACCCGCGTGCACCTTCCGGAACGCCGCGCCGAGAGATTGCCCATCGCGACCGTGTGTACTTTGCTTCCCGATCATCGCAAACCCTTCACGATCTCCACAACCCTCTGAGCCATCTCTCTTTCCCTTCATTCATCTGAACCATCTTTGTAATAGCTTGCCCGACGTCAAAATGGACTTTCCGACCGACGTGGCGGAGTTTGATAGCGATCCGCGCATTTCGTTCTCGCGGCTGGACGATACCTTCCTGCTCGAGACAAGTGATGGCCGCGAGTTTCTTTTCAATAAGATCCTGAAGAGATGGGTCGAATCGGTACGTGGAATACACATTGGCACGCTGGCGCTTTGCGATGGGCTGTCCACAATGTAGGCTGACAACCCCCGATGCTAACCTGGCTTGCAACTCTAGATCGACGAGGCGCTCATCCGCAAGCAGCAAGGGTACGGATCTGACGACGATGAGACCGAGGTTGCTCATCCGCGCGATCTTAAGAAGCGAAAGAGCTCGCACGACGAGGTAAGTGTTCTGGTCATTTGTGGCAGCTTGATGGCGTTGGTAATTGACTGTCTTCTCTTTTTTAGAGCGATGAGCCGAAAGTTAAGAAGCCTCGTGTAAACACCGCTGTGTGGGTTACCAAGATCCCCGGTGACGCTGATCTGTCGGAGATCCATGAGCTGTTTTCGAAATATGGAATCCTCGCAGAGGAACTGGACACCGGCAAACCCCGAATTAAAATGTACACCGACGAAAATGGCAACTTCAATGGCGAGGCTTTGGTCGTGTACTTCCGACCGGAGTCAGTCAACCTCGCGATTCAGCTGCTCGATGAGACGGACTTCCGATTGGGTCGACCCAACCCATCTGGACCGATGCGTGTTCAAGCGGCCGACTTTTCGTACAAGCGCGAAAAGGATGTGCAGCCGAAGGTTACCATGACTATGAAGGAAAAAAAGAAGCTTAAGGAGCGAGCAGAGCGTCTGAACAAGTATGTTTGTTGATCATGACGGTAGAGTGTTGCATGCTGACTCGACTGTGATAGGAAACTTTCCGACTGGGGTGATGATGAAGCTGAGCAGACCTTGGAGGCGATGAAGGCTGCCGAGGAGGCGCGACGACATGTGATTTTGAAACATATGTTTACACTGAAGGAACTGGAGGTTTGACACACCCTGCCTCTTCCAAGGTTGCCTTGGACGAATATGGACACGCGGCTGACATGTACTCACAGGAGGATCCGCTCGCCAGTATTGAAATTCAAGACGACATCAAAAAGGAGTGCTCTTCGATTGGCGATGTGACCAAAGTGGTGGTCTGGGACGGCGAGGCTGATGGTGTTGTTACTGTCCGATTTGTGGCATCCGCCGATGCACGTCGCTGCGTTCAGGTAGGACACTCGGTTAGAATCAATGTGATGGCAACTGCTGACAACCTTTTAGAAGATGAGCGGGCGATTCTTTGCAGGCAATACTGTTCTTGCTTACATCTGGGATGGCGAGGAGAAATTCAACAAGTACCACCCCCGACGAGACGCAGAGGGCAAAATGGCAAACCCTCTGGATGCAGACAATGATGAGAACGAGCGCCTTGAGCGGTACGGAGATTGGCTAGAAAGTGCCGGAAACCAGAAGACCGACAAGATCCAGGAAACCGACACTGACAAGACCGACACCGACAAGACCGGCAAGGACGAGGTTGATGAGGGCCAGGAAACTGGCAAGAACTAGTCCAACTGAACAGGAAACGCCGAGACCCCAAGTGACCGGATCGAAAACGGCGAGAGCAACCCACCCAAACAACTCAAGGGTGGGAACTATGTACCAACTGAGTGAATTCTAAACGGCGAGAGCTACTGATGGGAAAGGAAGTACTTCTATCCATCAATTGATGGATGTGAATGGAAAGCGATACCCAACTGAACGAGTACGAATTCCAAACGGCGAGAGCCACCAAAGGGCAAGCGAGTACTTCTATCCATGGATGTGAATGGAAAGCGATACCCAACTGAAGGAACCCCAAACGGGCAAACGGGCGAAAGCTACTCAAGGGCCAGCAGCCAGTACTTCTATCCTTGGATACGAATGGAAAGCTACACCCAAACGACGAGAGCTACTCAAGGGCCAGCAGCAAGTACTTCTATCCATGGATGTGAAAGGAACGCGGCACCCAATTGAACCAATACCCAACATGTACGATTAGTCCAAATTTTTCCAATTGAAACGATTGAAACATTATTTATGTAGTTGTAGTTATGTAGTTAGTTGTTAGTTGTAGTTATAGTATGTAGTACATACAATAACACGCGCCCCAAACAAACGCAAAATGTGGTTCGCACCTCCCCGAGTCCCGTGATGCGGCTATACCCAATTGGGCCTCTCCCCCTGAAGTTCAGTTGTTGACTTGTTGATCCCACACACACCGCTCAACTGGCCCTCTTGCTTTCTCTTCTTCCCCATCCTCCCTGACTTGTCACCGGTTCTCCTTTTTTTCCTCCATCTCTTTTCTAATACCTTCAAAATGCGTGAGATTGTACGTTATCCCATCCAGACGCGTCTTTTGTTTTCATACGGCCCCTGAGCCACGACCCCACTCTCAACAGATCTTTTGCTAACATGCTCTCTAGGTTCACCTCCAAACCGGCCAGTGTGTAAGTTCGACATGGAACATTCTTGGAAACATTCTTCGATTCGTGGGACTAAATTGGAATTGGGTTATAGGGTAACCAAATTGGTGCCGCTTTCTGGTAAGTACCGAGCTTTTTTTTCCGCGTTGGGTATCAATTGACAAGTTACTTACTGGATTACAGGCAGACTATCTCTGGCGAGCACGGTCTCGATGGCGATGGACAGTAAGTTTAACGGTGATGGGGTTTTCGGTGGATCACACGCCTGATATCTTGCTAGGTACAATGGAACCTCCGACCTCCAGCTCGAGCGTATGAACGTCTACTTCAACCATGTGAGTACAACAACTGGGAATCGATTAATCGTGCATCATCTGATCTGATGTTTTTCTTTGATAATCTAGGCCAGCGGTGACAAGTACGTTCCCCGTGCCGTTCTCGTCGATTTGGAGCCCGGTACCATGGACGCTGTCCGCTCCGGTCCCTTCGGCAAGCTTTTCCGCCCTGACAACTTCGTCTTCGGTCAGTCCGGTGCTGGTAACAACTGGGCTAAGGGTCACTACACCGAGGGTGCCGAGCTTGTTGACCAGGTTCTCGATGTCGTCCGCCGTGAGGCCGAGGGTTGCGACTGCCTTCAGGGTTTCCAGATCACCCACTCCCTGGGTGGTGGTACCGGTGCCGGTATGGGTACACTCTTGATCTCCAAGATCCGTGAGGAGTTCCCCGACCGTATGATGGCCACTTTCTCCGTCGTCCCCTCCCCCAAGGTCTCCGACACCGTTGTTGAGCCTTACAACGCCACCCTCTCCGTTCACCAGCTTGTTGAGCACTCCGATGAGACTTTCTGTATCGATAACGAGGTATGAAACGCGTGGGGAAAAGACTGACATGATGAATACTGACAATCCTAGGCTCTCTACGATATCTGCATGCGTACCCTCAAGCTCTCCCAGCCCTCCTACGGTGACCTGAACCACCTCGTCTCCGCCGTCATGTCCGGCGTGACCACCTCCCTCCGTTTCCCCGGTCAGCTCAACTCCGATCTCCGCAAGCTCGCCGTCAACATGGTTCCCTTCCCTCGTCTGCACTTCTTCATGGTCGGCTTCGCTCCCCTGACCAGCCGTGGCGGCCAATCTTACCGCCAGGTCAGCGTCCCCGAGTTGACCCAGCAGATGTTCGACCCTAAGAACATGATGGCTGCTTCCGACTTCCGTAACGGCCGCTACCTCACTTGCTCCGCTTTGTTCCGCGGTAAGATCTCCATGAAGGAGGTCGAGGACCAGATGCGCAACATCCAGAGCAAGAACCAGAGCTACTTCGTTGAGTGGATCCCCAACAACGTCCAGACCGCTCTGTGCTCCGTTCCCCCCCGTGGCCTCAAGATGTCTTCCACCTTCGTCGGTAACTCCACCTCCATCCAGGAGCTCTTCAAGCGTGTCGGCGACCAGTTCACTGCCATGTTCCGTCGCAAGGCTTTCTTGCACTGGTACACTGGTGAGGGTATGGACGAGATGGAGTTCACTGAGGCTGAGAGCAACATGAACGATCTTGTCTCCGAGTACCAGCAGTACCAGGAGGCCTCCGTCTCCGAGGGCGAGGAGGAGTAGTAAGGATTCCCCACACCACCCGGTTCTCGAATACGTCAACTAACGAATTTTCTCCCTATTTATAGCCTCGCTGAGGACATTGTTGACGAGGAGGTTTAAATAAATCTTCTTTGAGATTTGTTCAAAGTAATACCCTTGTCAAGCCTACATTCTCTACCATTCGGACCGGCTTTGTGGGCGCAAGTCCCGAACCCAATTTGTTTGAGCGCTCCTAATTTACACACTTTTTTGTCTATTTTCCTGCTCGGCTTGGGTGATTTGTTCGACCCCTCCAGAATAGCACATAGTGGAAAAGAAAGTGACGAAATGACTTTTTATGGCCTTTTAAGTCGCGTTAACCGTAGTATTGAATTACTGTTATATCAAGATTGGTGCCGCAACAACTTTATATCAGCCAGTACCCTTGACTTTATGGCTTCAAATGTCAGGACAATCTCCCCGTTGGATCATATAACGTTACGTCTATATCCCCATCTCATGACAACTAATTCATTGCCTTTCTACAGCTCAATGAAAAGGACATTTCCCAGTCCGATACCCCTTCAACTCCAACAGAGTCTCATCCAACTGCTTCCTCCCCTTCCCCTCGAAATACTTCGGTCCAACATCCGGAACATTATATCCAGTAGGATAATACTTATCTCCCTCATCACCAGGCACAGGCCGCCCCAGAGCCCAAGTCAGCCATGCCATGGGGCCCCAGCGGTTCCAAAGCGTGGGCTTGACATAATACGGCGCGGCCTCCCATTGCTTGAGGAAAAAGCGACCGTTTTGATCCGGTTCCTCGACAATCGAGGTGGAGATCAGGAAGTACGGTCGTGGCAGAGACAGGTAGCGGAGGAATAGCCTGCGGGCTGTGAGGATGGTTGATAAGAGTGCTGTGCAGAATGCGGAAGGGGGTTCGTAGCTGTTTAGTAAGGGTTAGTTAGTGCGTTGGGGATTGTGTTTAGTGCATGTAGCGTTGTAAAACTGGTGATGCACAACACAGCCAGATGCAGCGAAACCGAAACCAAAAAAAGAAGAAACTTACAGCATCGCCTTCCTAAGCCTGTCATCCATCATAAACGAAACCACCTGCAACCCAACCGGATGCAGCATCTCAGGCAGCATATAAACCAGCACAGCAGTAGTCTGATCCGCCATCTCACGATTCTTAACATCAGGCACCATGAACTTCGCCTCATACTCCTCACCCCAAGCATCAATCTCCTCAAGCCACTGAATCCCATCCCGGAACCCAGTCTTACCAGACGGCAGCTTCTCATAGCTAATATCAAGCGCATCACCCACACTCTTCCAGAAAGTCCCGATAGCACAGCGCTCGAGGTCACTCAGCTTGCGCCACTCATAGCGATCGATGAACCGAATCGGCTGGAGCGCGAACAGCGCCAGCGTAAAGAGCATATCGTCATCGAGGATCTTACCAGAGGCCCTATACCCGCTGTGCAGGTAGCGCGTCCGGGCAAGACCGAGATACGCGCGTTCCGAAGTCGGGTTGTTGCCGACCCATTCTTGCACGAGAACGCTGGTGTCTGTGTACCGCTTTAGGGAAGTTTCCGTGCTGGAGAATTGGGTAGTTTTTGCGAGGAGGTGGGATATTGAGGGGATGCCGTAGGTCTTGTTTTTTTAGTTAGAAAATTTATGTATAGACGGACAGGGTATGACCCGATTGTGTGTGGGTTGGTGTTTTGATTTCCATACCCGGAATAAGGCGAATTGCAAGCTCTTGATGAATATAAACGGAAATTCAAGCTGCGCCACTTGTTTTTGGATTTGGAAGGCTTCTTCGTCGGTCATTTTGGACATCGACTCCCGTGTTGGGTAGGCATATTGCTTGTGGAGCTTGCGCAGACGCTGGAATCGTAGGGTTGTTGTTACCACTGGCCACGCGACGAGGAGGCCTACGGCGTAGGGGAGTAGTTGGCCTGTCATGCCCCCTGTAGGTAAGGGTGAAGCCCAGGTGTCGGTGTAATTCATATTGACCAGGTAAATTTGGGGATGGGGACCTTAACGGGGGGGCCCCACGAGGTTTAAATAAGAATGTGGTGGTGGTGGTGATGATCCACGGGACCTGTCCATTTACGATCCCCACAAGGTTTATGACCTGGAGTTATGCTCTTTTGTTCACTTTCTTGTGTAACGTACATAATACCCCGCATATCCCAATTTACTCATAGGGAAGCAAGTAGTAATTAGCTCTATTTATTTTTGTCTAATGTAGAGAATATAATTGGACAATTCCAAACGCGAGGTACCCGAAATACCGAGCCTCGGGGAGCTCGAAATGAGAATGGACATTCGCATTCCCGGTGTATCTGACTCATGTGTGTGAACCAGGGTCTTAAGCCACAGTATCTCACATGCACGCGATCACGCCGCGTAAGCACTATAGCGTTTATTCTTAAGCCGACGAATCATAGGCCTGGGATTAATATAACTTTGCAAGGTTGAATTATTTAAACAAACTCTATTGAAGTTCACATTGGGTCTTTACAGTTCCCAAGCTATCGCTATATACTCTCTGGTTTATGTTGAAGGGATATAAAATGTTCTGCCTCCGCAATTCCTAGCAGATCATTATGCCAACGCGTAAAAGAATGGCACTCCACTAGCGACCAATAAATTTGAGCTCCAATGCCCGTAACGGTGGGAAGAACATCGCAGTGAAGCCCGCACCTAGCCAGAGACCCAGATCAGCACCGCTAGCCATCTGCGCAATAGGGCCGATATAATACGCTTGAGACTATATCTATGTATTAGCAAGGCCCGATCAATTAGATTCTGAGCATAGAAGACTTACCATGCCGACAATTGCACCAGCCCAGCCAATAAGGAAAGCAACTCCCGCTGCGATCCCCAAAGGCAGTTTATCGCGACAATTCCACTGAGACCAGTCATAGCCCCTTCTCTGGCGGAAGATCGTGTGTTCTTCGATGAAAATCACGACGAACATCATGACCCAGTATCCGATCAGAGGCAGGAAAGACTTGAAGACCTCGTACAGCCGGTCCCGGCCTCCCATCGCGCATGCGGCATAGATAACCGTAGCGAGAGTCGTGAAGACCGGTCGGGGAACCTTTCCAAATATCCCACCAATCATCTGGAAGTTCATTCCCATCGAGTAGGCCCCGGGAGTATTGTTGGCAACCAAGGCAAGAACATTGATAACAGCACAGAATTTCCCGAACCCTCCCAGACCGTCGTATGCTGTCATCAGCACGCCTCCGGGACTGCTGCCGTACTTGGCGGCGTAATGTGCCGAGCTGGCAATGACGGTTCCAAGACCGATGCCCATAAGGAGAACAATTGACATACCATTAGTGGCGGCGAAGACTGTGACCAGGAATGTCCGAGAGCTCTTCATCTGCGGCGGGAGATAGACATAGTAATCGGCGGCGAGTGGGGCCCAGGCGAGGGCAATGGACAATGCCAAGGAGAAGAAGGTGATTCTTTTGGCCATTAATTGCTCTGTCGACATTGGTGTCTCGATGTTGAAGTCGAAATTAGGCCCTGCTGAACCCACCATCACGCATATCACCATCAGCTGTGGCAACCAGGCAACTCTAATATTAATTAGAATAAGCATTTCAGATAATCTGGGCTGCCGATACTTACCGTTCATATAATTGGAAGATTTTCATGCCAAACAGGGCCATGGCCCAGCTAGAAACGGCGACAATGATAATCCCCACTATCACGGAAAGATGACCACCAGAGACCACAGACAAAATCTGGCCACCGACGACACTGTTTACCATGCTATATCCGATATTGGTGAAGAGGTTCAGGATAATGCAAGCTTTGCTGGGATAATAGCCCATAAAATATCGGGCCACGATCTATCAAATTCATGAGCGTAAGTTCGTTCTTGGCTGTACCTTCTTCTCCTTGTGCAACAAGAAATCACCGATATTTCGATACCAACATACCAAAGTTCGGTTTCCGCTTTTCGGTCCCCATATACTTATAAAGCCAACAGTGCAATTGCCGGCTAAACATCCAAATACAGCACAGAGGGCCGCATCCTTGAAGCTGAGACCTAGCACAAGTGTACCCATTGACCCAACAATGATGTTATTTGTAGCCAACGTCATGCTAAACCACATGAGCAGCATATGAAGTATTGTTGAAGGTGTTATTGGCTCTCGCTTTTCGATAGGAACGGGCTCGATGCCACGACTCTCTACATTCTTTAGGCTTGCAATCCATCGTTGACATCTTGATTGTGGCACGGGGTCAGGCTTTGCGAGGTCTGAGTCGTTGGAGGAGCTGTTGGAGGAGCTTTTGTCGAGGTGAAACTGACTTGGACTCCCAAGAGTAGGTGAGCTGTGGCCTTTTTCGACATCTTCGAGCTTCATTCTCGGATAACTTGAAGGATGTTTGAGTGGGTTATGCAGGATTAAGCTGCTCGTAAACGGAAGCTTTCAATTCGAATCCACCAATAGACAAATAAATGCCGAGAAGTCTGGCGTATAGATTGGATGTCGTAAATCCACAGCTATACAACAGTCAAAATGGGAAGGAAAATGAGCCGTTCGTATAAAACATGGCCCAGGGGGGGGGGAGCTATGGCATGATAGATATAAGGCAAAAAGCACCCAGGGCCAGTGCACCATTGCTAGGCAGTTGAACAACTGACATCACCCTTTCTACCCAGTGAGACGGTGTAACGACACGAGGGGAACCTGGATACATACGCATTCCTCAGCAATCAAGGCACCAACGGAGCAGCTCACAGACGGCATCCAATTATGAGCATTGGAATTGCACCACTGCAATAAAGCCGTGGAGGAACACGCCCCGCATATTGAGATCATCTATCGTCTTGTGGAGAGAAAAGAGAGCTATCCAGCTTAATCCCAACAACAAGTGGGGGGAGGAACTTCTTCGAGCAATATTGACCCATCCACCGGGACACTCACCCACACACATATTCCGTGGACCTGTAACCACCTCATGATACAACCAAGGGAATGGATAGGCCCATGACAGCCACAGCATGAAAAATAAAAGTCCCGCCAATCCCTGTGATCCGCGAGAAATTTCCGTATGGGGTAAGTGGCATGCTGGAAAGCTCCGAATATGCATGCTCTGGAATGCTGTCGACGCAAGGAGAATGTATTTAGCTCACGATTCTATACGATGATCAGATTTCGGGGAGGGAGGTGCGAAGTGGAGAAGGACGATGATCAGCCCGAAGCTCCGTTGAGCAACTTCCGCGAGAAATGTATCCTGTGATTATTGCGGGACGAATACTTCCCCGGATATTTTCTGTGATGATCGCTCTAGCTCTAGGGAAAATAAGGTCCGAGGGAAGGGGTTCTCTTAGCTCTGATTAATGTTTACCTTTGTTAAGCCACTCATAACTTGGCTTGATTACTATATATAGAGAGTTTCTCGCTGTTCGGTTGCCCTCGGCATTGCTGTATAGCCCATTTGAGCACGAGTTGGTTGGTACATTGTACAGGGGGTACTATGAAGGCTTGCATGGTGCTACATGCTCTTTGCCAGAGCCATCCCTTCATCCCGACTTCTCTCATGGTTTTCTGTGCTCACCTCGGAAGACTGTGTGAATGTAATTCCGAATTATGTGATATTACGTAGCTAGAGTCTCTAGCTCAGATCATTTCCTACAAGTACAGAGCTTTCCTCTCGTTTCTTCTGACCCAAAAGCCGGATTCCGTGCTGCGGATCTGTGAAGGCGAACTCCCCTAGCTTGCCGGGCGTTGGCGGAACGTGTTAGAGAAATACTGATTCGTTAAAATGAGTATTTTCCATGAAATTAGGGTTTATTACTAACATGACGCGTCATACCTAGTATACATGCGATATATCCTGTAGCGGCTGTCTGCCAGGGGCTTTCCAACTTGAGCTACTATTATGGGGGTACTTCGACTCGGCATTTACAAGCAAATGACAGAGCTGGGCGTTACCGCAGTTATTTGTACCTTAGCTCTTTGGTTTGTGGCTGCTACTTTCTAAAATTCCGTCATTTAATGGAGAATAAGCGATAATCCTTCAATGTTGCATTTGGTTTTTGACTTGCTTCGGGGATTATGGACCTAAGAGATCCTGTAAACAAACATTGCGGCCTTAGAATACAGAAGCGATTCGCTCAATATAATGTTTTTGAATCCCTAGAATAATGACAGGCATCTTGAGGAATATAAATACCACAGATCCCCCAAACATCAAACATCGTTCATCGATCACTCAACTTCTTCAACAATACTTGGGAGATCTTACAGCTTCTTCTCTAACCAGGCCAAGACATCTCTCACCATGACTCCAAAGCAAGATTTGACCAAAAAAAGCCAACCTCCCCCTGCAAAACCCCCACCAACTTCACTAGGACTTCAATTAGCAGCCCAACCAGCACCTTCAGAAGGGCGCTAGTGGCACCACAACAGAATCAAAGAACAGATCTGTACAGCACCAGCCTTCACCTACGGGATGGACTCATCAAGGTCCACTACCATGGTATGGCCAGTGGATTATTCTGGCTTCGCTCATACATTAAGAATGGATGCACACCGCCTGTGTGATATGGCTTTGGAACTCGACTATGAGCTGTTTTTCGAAGATCTGCAGTCCCATTTCGGCTATAGTCATAACATCCGTGCGCTTCTGTGGGACCCGCGAAGTCAGATTATCGGATTAGACTGTGAATATATTGTTAGAAACCGAAATGGTTGGTTGGCTGCTTTGATAGCCATGGCTAAATCTGGAATCGATACCGGGACATGAACTGACCTGTCGCTGCTTTATTGTGGATAAAAGCGAGTTTGGTACGAGATGAACATATCTTGAAATAAATCAACAAATCTGACTCTGAGGACCTACAGAATTACACAGAAAGCTTCCTTCTTTACAGATCAGCGAAGCAAAAGAGGAACAACAGGATGAGGACGTGAAGTGTTCGGTTGAAGAGATTCAAAGGAAGCGCAAGAAGGGGAATGAAAAATAACAGGCCTGGAGATATATTGCAGTTGATCGAGTGTTTTGTCTCGCAAAATTGTTTGGAAAGAACAGTTGGGACACTAAGAGCTGTTTCTATTGTACCTCGACTTCTGTCGTATTTTCTGTCTCTCTCTTCTCCTTCTGCTCTTTTTCTTACCCATTCTGACTCATGTCAAACACACCCTCTCACCCTACTGTCGTCATCGCTTTTTCTTTTTTCAATCCTTGAACTTCCCTGTCGACCCACCGGTCAAAATGGGTAGCACAAACGACCCTGTTCCGCCGCATAACCGTGCGCGAGAGCTCAAAATGCACGACTGTCTCATTGAAGTGACCCGCCTCGAAGGCGGCCAGTCAGCTGTCTTCTGGCTCGGAGGCTACCTGGACAATGAAACCCGCATCAACCCAGATGGTACTTTCGATCCCACCAGGCTGGACTACGAGGAATTCGAAACGGATCTGATGGAACACCTCAACTACGATTCCCACGAAGACGAGATTCGATGGGATCACAACAGCGCTTTGCAGTCTCGGACAAACCCTGACGAGCCTCCAGCCTTTTCGGTTCGGACCTACAACACCTGGGTGGCCGCTCTTCTGGCCATGCAACACTCTTCCTCGGGCCGTGTTGGCTCGGGATCGCAGTCCTCCTCCACTGCTGGTTCTACCATCATGACCGCTCGTTTTACTATCGTGTGAAAGAAGTACGTGACTCGTCCCGACTTTGATTGGCAACGAAGGCGTCAGCTGGTTATTGACTCGGTATAATGATGCAGATCGAGACGGCAACGACGAGTAAGCCTGAATGGGCTGTGAAGATGTCGTTGCAGGACGGATATTTATTTTTAGACGGGAGAAGTTTAATCAATCAATCAATCGGAGAGATGAACAGTGGCATAACGGATCTTGCTCCGGTGCCAGGGAAAGAGAACACTGTGGCTCTGAATGGATGCTCAGGATGAAGGGAAACATCGAGGGAAGAGATATCTAGCTATTTCGAACCGATGGAATCCAGATCAAGGGTTGATTAGTGCTATTTCTCCTTCGTAACATTCAATATGCTCCATCAAACGTGTCAAACATGTCGCTCAAATGCATAATCTCACATAACCTGACACTCATCTTTCCCATCCTAGTTTGCTTGACTGCTGCTCAATTGATCACCTCGTTTGACTTTCCTCCAGTCGAACTTCCTTTGACCTACACAATATCCTCATCGATACTGAGCCCACAATGGCCTCCGCCGACCCACCGTCCACCTTTCAACCCAGAATCCGCGATGGCATGATCGTCGTGCGCCGCCGAGGTGCGATGAAAGACGACGCGGCCATTTCCTGGGCTGGCAACTACTTCTTTCCACATGGAACCAATGAAGCCATTGGCATGGACTACCCTGCGTTCCTTGCTGACCTGGAAGCCCGCTTTCAGTACGACCCGGATCTTGATGAGATCCAATTCCAGGTACCCTCCCCATACCGACGCATTGGTCTGGACCCTGCCCGGCCCGGCGCAAACAATATCCAAAACCTCCAGCCTCAGATGGGTATTGTTCGTACCTACAATCAGTGGGTCGCAGCGTTGGGGGCGATGCAAACCTCCCACCTGATCCGGGAATCGAGTATTGAATACGTACTCCGGAATGGGATGGTCACTAGCTCTGTTCGTCACAGAGTTCGACCTGTGCCTGCGGCACAGTTTTTCATTGTGCGAGCTCCAGGTATCTTGTCTCCAGTCCACCTACCCAATTGACACGAGAGCCTTTGTCTCTGATGGTTATATTTTAGACGCGGAAAACTCGAACCAGGAGGGAGGTGACAACAGTGGTCAAGTTTAAGGCCGGGATTACACCAGCTGGACTTGGGGATTGGAGATGTCAACGTTTGGAAATCAGATAGAGAATATCTAAGGGAGAACGGGGATATCAGAGGGTAGACGTTGGTGAACGGCGAAGTCGGACTTGACATCCTCCGCCCCACATTTGCTATTGAGGAGAGAGAATACGAATATCCAACTTCTATTTCACACTTCCCAGTAACCTACTATATATTACAAAATGGCCTCCATCACCCCCTCCCAGGAAGATCTGCAGAAGTTCTACATCGGCAAAGACATCAGCGATGTACCCAAACCCGCCGCCGTCCTCGATGTAGCAATCATCCGACGACACTGCGAGACAATGCTCCGCACAATCAAAACGCTCGATGTCGGATTCAGAGTTCATGTTAAGTCCCACAAGGTAAAAGGCCTCGAATTCCACATTCTCCCCGAAATTACATTCAACTTATGAACACTAGACACCCGAACTCGCCAAGCTCCAAATCGGCGACATCACCGAGGCCAATTTCATAGCCTCCACAGTCTCAGAGATCGAGATGATGATCCCTCTACTACAGGATCTGAAACAAAAAGGTCGCAAAATTAACATTCTCTACGGCATCCCCCTGGTCCCATCCCAGGTCCCACTACTAGCCAAGGCAGCCCGCGAGCTGGGCGAGAACAGCATCACTGTGATGATCGACCACCCAGACCAACTCCCGTACCTAGAGAAAATATCTTCTCTAGCAGGACATCCAACCTGTGTCTTTGTCAAGGTCGACACGGGCTACCACCGCGCCGGCTTACCGCCCGTATCTCTTAACAAGAACGGGTTGCTCGAGAACCTTGCCTCCGCGGAGGAAAAACGCGGGGCAAGACTACTCGGGTTGTATTCACACAGCAGTCTGAGTTATAGCGGGACAACCCCAGCCCAAGCGATGGGTCATTTGATCAGTGAGATCCGCGGATGCAAAGATGCCTTGGAGAGAAATTTGCATCTACTGCCAAAAAGGGAACTGGTCATTAGTGTTGGTGCTACGCCACAGGTAGTCTCGTCCCAGAACCTGCTGCGTGATGATTCTCCCTATGCCGAAGCGCGGGAGCTCAAGGCTTTACTTCGCGAGACAAATGTCGAGCTGCATGCTGGCGTCTATCCCATCCTGGATATGCAGCAATTCTCCACACATGCCAGTGCCGATTCTGGGTTTTTGGAGGATGAAATTGCCATCTCGGTGCTCGCCGAAGTGTGCAGCGTCTATAACGATAGTGAGCGTGAAAAGCCCGAGGTGCTTCTGGCTGCAGGGACGCTTGCACTGGGCCGAGAGCCGTGTCCAAGTTACTCGGGCTGGGGGGTTGTTTCTTCCTGGCGACTAGATGGGGTGGGTAAAGCTTCATCGGAGAGATTGGTTGTTGATAGGATCAGTCAGGAGCATGCAATTGTGACTTGGGAGAGTGAGTCCCAGACGAAGATTCCCCTGCACATTGGACAAGTGGTTAAAGTGCACCCCAATCATGCTTGTGTCACTGGTGCCTTTTATGGGTGGTATTTTGTTGTCGATTCGGATCAAGAGAGCGAGGCTGCTCGGATTGTGGATGTTTGGGTTCGGGCGAGGGGATGTGGTATGAGGGCCTGGTAGAATATGCCTGCAATTTCGGGCCTCGGGGATATCTTCCGTTTATGAACTAGTATCACAGTATAAACCCTGCATCATCCCGCCAAACTTTGGACAAATGAAAGAGCATAAGCACTCGAAATAGCTGATGGGTCAGATATCCCTTTCGTAGAGCTTTAAATTTGCCGTAGTGAGTGATATTATAACAGTCCAGCGAGTATGTGACAGGAGTACTACCTAGATACTAGTAAGTGTGTTGGTAGGTCCACTGGACTGACCTATACACCTCGAAGTCACCCGACCCGACACCCCTGGAGTGGATATTTGCGGAGTAGCAAGCTCATGATAAAACAAGTTAGAGCAGGCTCTCTGAAGAATGCAAGAGTCATTTGTATTCGTGGAAAGTTGATAGTAACCCAGCTTCCCCACAGGTCTGTGGAGAGAGGCGGCATAACATTTACCCCAATGCCAATCTCCGAAATTACCCCGGGTTTAGGACCGCTTGTCAGTTCTATAGATAAAAGGGTTCCATTCTCTCAGTCTGGGATTCTCTTGTATCTCCCTCGGCATAGTTGAGACAGTGGCGAAACATCATGCGGTATTCTCTATGGGCCTATACGCTTGTGCTGGCCTCGGCTGCCGCCACAACAACTTCACTGGGTGACATCTGTACCACAGCATATGTGAAAAAGGCGTTGCCAGTAGATGCCATTCAAGGTGTTACCGTTGATCCCTCTTCGGTTTCCACGAGTCTTGTCACCAACTTCACCGCCAGCAGCGTCTTCTACCCTACCTCGACCTTTGATTACTGCAATGTGACTTTCGCCTACTCTCATGACGGCATTGATGGGGATGTTGTTCATGTGCAATACTGGCTTCCAGCTCCAGGGCAGTTTAAGAACAGATATGTGTCCACAGGTGGAGGTGGCTGGGCTATCAACTCGGGATCCTCATCGATCCCTACCGGTGTCATCGTTGGCGGGTAAGTTATACCTCGTTTGCCTTTCGATGGCGTGAATAGTTTGGCTAACACATTATATAAAGTGTTGGTGGTCTGACCGATGGAGGATTTGGATCTTTCAATACCCAATTTAGTTCCGTTGCTCTGTTGGAAAATGGAACTATCAATTGGCAAGCGACCTATATGTTCGGTGAGACCTTTATACTTCCGAAACTCACAGCTCATAATCCAGCTAACATAAGAAACAGGCTACCAAGCCCAGCATGAGCTTGCTATATTGGGCAAAGCGCTGACAAGAAATATTTACAACGTACCGTCCAGCGAAAAGATATACTCCTACTACCAGGGTTGCTCCGAGGGAGGCCGCGAGGGGTGGAGCCAGGTCCAACGGTTCCCCGATCAGTTTGATGGCGTAGTCGCCGGTGCTCCAGCCTTCCGGTGGGCACAACAGCAGACAAACCATTTGACCGGCAACGTCATCCAGAAAAACCTTGACTACTACTCGCCCAGCTGTGAGCTCGAGAAGATCATGAACATGACCGTCGCAAGCTGCGATCCCCTGGATGGCAAGACTGACGGTATTGTATCTCGCTCCGACTTGTGTTTGAAGCATCTAAACTGGGATTCCATCCTGGGCGCTTCTTACTCGTGCCCCGCCGTCAGTGGCTCCCCATTCGCGAGCGCCACACCTGCACAGACAGGTAAGGTATCTGCCAAAGCCATCGAAGTCATTAAGACCTTTTGGGAGGGTCTTCACGACTCCGACGGCAAGCGCGTCTACTTCAGCTACCAGCCTGGTTCTACTTTCGACGATCTTCAGGCCGCATATGATTCATCTACCGACAGCTGGAAGCTTGACATAAGCGGTCTCGGTGGCATGTGGATTGGCTTGTTCGTCGATCGTTTGCAGGAGACCAACATTCCCAGCTTAGACGGCGTGACCTACGACACTCTCAAGGAATGGATGATATTTTCCCAAAAGAAGTACGGAGACATCTTCCAGACAACATACCCAGATTTGTCGGATTTCCAAGCTGCAGGTGGAAAAGTTATCCACGTCCACGGAGAGCAAGACTACTCAATTCCCACCGCTTCTTCAGTTCGTTATTGGAACTCGGTTAGGGATGTTATGTTCCCCAACAAGTCATATACTGCAGGTGCAGCCGCTGTCGATGACTTCTATCGGCTGTTCCTCATTCCTGGCGTCGGACACTGTGGCACGAACCGGTACCAACCCGGTGCACCATGGCCACAGACAACTCTGCAGACTCTCATTGAGTGGGTTGAAAATGGCAAGGCACCGGCGACACTCGCTGGGTCTGGTGATATTGAAACCATGTGTCGTTGGCCTCTTCGCCCACTTTGGACAGCGAATGGCAAGCAGTTCCAATGTGTTCACGACCAGGAATCGATTGATAGCTTTAGTTATGATTTGGATGCGTACAAGCTTCCTGTGTACTAAGTGAATAGGTTGTCAAGTGAGGGCTGCTGCTTATCCTTCTAGCTACAACATACAACATCGTACATAACAAGGCCGCAGAAGCAGTCGAGTATTCTTGTGGTTTTAGGTGGACATATCAATACTCTCTCCTTACACTCTATTCTATTTTATCTTAACAAGAATAGTCGGCCGCTTATTTGGCTTTGTTGTCAAGTCTTTTTTCAGTAGTCTTTTATAGTACGGAGTAGTCTTCGACGCGTTTTGGGTGGTGTGGACCACTCGGTAGTGAATTACGTTAGTTAGCGGCCTGAGCTGACCTCAGGATTACAGGTACAACATAGTCATAGTTACCTACAGTGACACCGCAAATGTTTTAACACCCTTATTCTGCTGGACAAATATCCACTAATAAAAGGCCATGTATTTCCCTCCCTTTTAACCCCACTCACGTCTCAATACATCTGAAATCAAACATCTCATTCTCGATCGCCGATATGAGTGACACTGTCGATTTTGTCTCTCCAAATTCCCCAGACCTGCCTAGCAAAGAGCAAGTCAAAATGCTTTGCACTGAACAAGGAGGTTTTCGGAGGCGCAATCATTTTATCCATGTCCACAATGGCGAAAAGCTTTTCATCAAATATAACGTCGCTAGTTGCGAATGGAAAAATCAACAATTCTTGTTTGATCGGATTAGGGCAAGCTCCGATCCGGCTATTCGTATTCCTGAAATTTATGCCGTGTTCGGTGTACCAGATAAACTATATCTGATCATGGAATTTATTCATGCCGACCATATTGCATCCGATATGCAGAGAGCAAGAGCCATTTCTGACCTTGTTTCTGTCGAGGTTCCCCTTGATACGGCACCGGGTCCCGTCGGTGGGGGGCGTATTAATATGAGAATCTTTTGGGACGATCAGGTATCGGACGTTGACTATCCTTCTATCCAGGATTTAGAGGGTCATCTTAATCGTGTTTGTACCCCGAAGCTTTAAAGACTGATTAGTCTTAGATCTAACGTGATTTATATTTTAGGTTCTTAAGGCCTTTAAAATGCCCAATCGAGAGCTAGACCATGTTGATTTCAGCCACGAGAGAATGATATGCTGTTACACAGATCTTAACAAAGCACATTTTCTAGTTGGTACGGATGGCCAGCTCTGGGTTGTCGCATTTCGTCAAGTCAACATTCTTCCCGAGACTTTTATGTACTTTGCTCTAGGCAAGCAGTTGGGGGGAGATCCACTCCCTCCTAAGTACTATGGTATAATTCCAATCACACCAACTCAAAATCTCAGAGGACTTTGCGTAGCAAGACAATGGTTTCTGCAGGGCAGCAGTCGGTATTGTGGGTAGAACAACTTTTTTTAGGGTTATTTTGCAACAGGCTTTGCCCAATAGGTATCAGAGATTCGGATACTTCAAATATTGGCCAGACATAATCACTTATGGAAATGAGCATCAACCAAAAAAGCGGCGTGTCGCTTAACAACATTGGTTATGACATCGAAGACTTTGACACTTTCTACGCAACAGACAAGCTTTGAACAATTGGGTGTATTTCGACTTGCAAAATTGTACAAGACTACCAAGAAGTCAGAATCATGACTTTATATGATTTCTATCTTGACCAATATATGAAAAGAGAAGTGCTATACACACCCCCCAAACCCACTAAATGCCAAATATTATATACGTAGTAATATACTTAAATATCGAATTTAAGTAGTATAGTAATATAGTCACATGGGCAAACTTTTAAGTCACGTTTTCATTGAACATTGGAAAGTATGTCAACACAAGTGAGAAGCAGTGGAAATTTCAAGCAAGCCCAACAAGAGGGAAGCTGAACTACATGTCTATAGAGAGCCTTTTAAGAGCAATTTAAGAAGAAAGCAAGAGAGAAAAAAAGTGGTATCTTCGGAATCTTTGAGAATTTTACAATCAGGAACAATAAGAGAAACAAAAAAGGAAAGCAAAATGCTAGATGGCGCCGAGGCCTTGTATGCGCCGAGAGATATCCAAAAAGAAAAAGGCCAGCCTGCCCAGGTGGCCACCAAAGCCAAATGCAAATGATTGTATGGACCCAAAAGTACAGAGGAGTCTATGCTTAATTTTCAACAGCGAATTTTCAACAGCGATGCGCCGAATCGCCCATTTCCAGACACCGAAAATAGAGCAGTAGAGTTGAGTCGACGGGGAATAGGGGCATAATGAATTAAAGATGTCCCCTGTGGTCGGGGAGAAAAAGAAAGGAGTATAAGAAAGACGAGGAGATGGGCTCAGACGAGGAGATGGGCTCAGACGTGGGATTGACTGAGACTCGACCTCGATCTCGATCGCTGCGACAAAGAGCGGCGACCACGGCTAGAGGGCGCGCGGTCCACTGGCGGAGCATGCTCGAAGAACGGAATCAGATCCGGGTTCTGGCTAGGGGGTGTCTTGGAAGTAGCGGAGTACTCGTTCAAGATACGGTCATCAGCAGCGGTATCCGGGTGCACTTCAATGCCTGGCTCGCGATCAAGACCGCTGTGAGGGCCGCCGTTTGTTGGGAAGGTGATGGAGTCGGGGTCGTTGTTGCCTCGCTCGATAGGAGACCATCCGGCAATACTACCGGCAACGATGCCTGCCATAGCAGCGGCTGGTCCAAACGTCGAGTTCGATCGCGACCGTGTGTTGCGTCTGGAACGAGACTCGGGGGTGGTCGGATGTGGGGTCGGGCTGCCGTTGTCGTTGTCGTTGTCGCCATTCGGTGTAGGTGGAGCGGAGGAATCACGCGAGCGGGAGCCACTGCGAGACCGAGGAAGGAATTCCTGAGGGTTTTGCAGCTTGTGGCGGATGTGTCGCAGACGGCCACCGCGGACACGCTTGATGAAGGCGAGGTGATCGCGAATTTCTTCCAAAGCGGGGTTCCATTCGTAATTGCGGTCCTCGTCTGAGATGACCAACTCGGGACCCTTGTTGCGATGCCAGAATTGGGGAACGAGCCTTGCGGCGAATTCATCCGGAATAAGACGAATGATCACGGCGATAGGTAAGGAGATTGCCCCGAGTACAAGACTAACGGCCCACTGCGAGCCTTCATTAAGACGCTTGACGGAGAAAGCAGCGCCACCAACAAAGATGATCAAAATTTGACCTCCAATAATGATGACCTGAATACCAATGAACCAACGGTTCTTCCAAATACCTTCCAGAATGTTGAGCCTGTTGTCAATACGACGGGAGTTGTACTGGTTGAAAATTTGCATAAAGACGAAAGTGTTGAAAACCACAGTCTGCAGATGGTCGTGATCCCAAGAGAAAATCTTAGATCCGGCGAAATTCAGAACGAAGGTTACAACCAGCTGATAGATGGACTGTCCAATGATCATCTTCCACATTGTCAGAGTGATGAGCGGGTCGGATTTCGATTCGGGTCTGCGGTCAAGCACTGTTGGCGTAGGAGGGTCTGTCGCCAAAGCGAGAGCGGCAAAGGTGTCCATGATCAAGTTGACCCACAGCAACTGTACTGCGCTGAGCACTGAGTCCTCACTATTACTAGCGACTGCAGAGACGAAGGTGAGAATGACGGCGGTGATGTTGACAGTGATTTGGAACTGAAGGAACTTCTTTACCGCGTCACAGACGGTGCGACCCCATGCCATAGCCTTGACGATGGATGAGAAGTTGTCATCCATGAGAATGATATCAGAGGCCTCTTTAGCAACTTCGGTACCAGTAATACCCATTGCAAAACCAACATCGGCATTCTTGAGGGCCTGGGCGTCGTTGGTACCATCTCCAGTGACAGCAACAGTCTCTCCAAGCTTTTTGAGTTGGTTGACCAGGATCTTCTTATCGTCGGGGCTAGAGCGGGCGATGACCTGGAGTCTTGGGATGATTTGGTTCATTTGGCGTGTGCTCAGCTTGCGGAATTTGGGTCCTTCAATGGCGATACCGCCAGGTGTGTAGATACCACACTCCTGGGCAATAGCCTTGGCGGTTACGATGTTATCACCAGTCACCATTCTGACAAACACTCCAGCCCGTTGACATGTGTACACTGCATCGGCAACACCTGCTCGGACAGGGTCCTGAATACCGAAGATTCCCAACATTGCCATATCCTTGAAGATAGGTTCGAAGACTGCCTGATTGCGATCGGTTTCCGCAGTAGGGGCCCCACGAGGCGGCCATTGATCGAAGTCACGGTAAACAAGGGCAATACACCTGAGAGAGCGGGTAGCGTAGTTGTTCATAATGTTGTCCAGTGAAGTCCTGTCCTCATCGGTAACAGGAGCCTCCGACAGAGAGTCAGTGGGGTCTCGGACAATGCGGGTCGACTTCGAGGCTAGAATCTCCGCAGCACCCTTAACTAGCATTCGGTATTTTCCATTCTCCATCTGGATCACGACTGCCATGCATTTGCGACCAGAGTCGAATGGGAACATCTGGGCGAGCTTTCCATTTGCTCTCGCTTCGCCAAGGACCCCCATTCCAAGGTAGTCCCTAGCGAAAGTCAAGAGAGCAGTCTCTGTCTTGGATCCAATGTACGTCTTGACTCCATCTGTCTCGCCTTCAAATGCGGTTGAATTGTAGACAATCGACTGGAGTAGGACATCCTTTACCGACGACGATAGGGTAGAGACAAAATCCGAAGGGGTGATTTCACTCTGATCATCGGACGAGACACCAGAATACTTTCCGAACCGAGACGTGGTGCCCAACGTCGCAGCCACTGCAGTCATTTTATTTTCCGTCAAAGTTCCAGTTTTGTCAGAGCAAATCGTGGTAGCGTTGCCCATAGTCTCGCAGGCTTTGAGATAGCGAACCAGGTTGTTGTCCTTGAGCATTCGTGTTGTGGCAAAGGCCAGAGCGAGCGTAACAGCCAGTGGTAAACCTTCAGGTACCGCGACGACGACAATTGTAACAGCAACAATGAAAATCTGCAGGAATGCTTGACCCTTGGCGTCCGCACCACCTTCGATGTCCTTAAGACGAACCAAAAATTTGATGAAAAGAACCACAAACAGCAACAAACCGGAAGCGAGACCGAGCTTGGCAATGTACTCAGCCAACTTGTTGAGCTTAGTTTGCAAAGGCGTCGTTTCGCCCTCCTCTTGAAGGGACATCATCGTCCGGCCGAATGTAGCATGCATACCGGTAGCAGTGACCAAAAAGGTGCCGACGCCCTCAGAGACCTTGGCACCGGAAATGATGAAAGGATCCATCTTTTTCAGGTCTTCTTGTTGCTCGATTGTCCGGTACACTTCATCGCCCGGGGTTTTGCGGAGAACGTCTGACTCGCCAGTAGCCGAAGATTCGTCGCACTTGAGGTCGTGTCCTTCGATCAAGATGCCATCAACTGGGACCATATCACCGGGTTCGAGAAGCATCAAATCGCCAACCAAGACGTCGTGGATGGAAATTTCCTCCGTTCGGCCGGATCGCGTTACCTTGACCTGTCGGTTCTCCTTCTTTTTGTTGAGTTTCGCAAACTGTCGTTCCTTTTGCCAGTCATTCGCTGCACCGACCGTAACCACGATAATAATGGCCACGAGAATGGCCAAACCTTCGACCCATTCAACGCCAGGTTCATCGGGATTTGCTGGATGGAGCGATTGCGGAATTCCCACCGCAAGTGAAACTGCGGCTGCAATCGTCAATAAGATCAACACTTTGTCGTTGTAGGCAATCCATGCAAGCTCCCAGATAGACTTCAATTTCCTCTCTGGGAGCCTATTATCTCCGTAGATACGTCTGCGGTCGGCGAAATCTTGTCCGCCCTGGGGTTCGATGGAGCTCTCGGTGGCGGGTGGTGGTGATGTATTCGGAGAGACAGACTTGGGTATATCTTTTGGTGAGGCAGGTGAGGCAGGTGAGACAATCTCGTCAAAGCTGACTGTTCCGTCAAGTGTCGTCTCATCAACACTCAAGCCACTTTTCACATCAGTTCGGAGTCCTTTTTCTAGTCCCCGCAGGCCTCCCAGCGCATGGAAGGCGCTAAAGCTCTTCGGGTTGAGAAGCTTGTTCAGCTGACCAGGGGAAAAAGCGAACTTGTTGTCCTCGACTTCGAACTCGGATTCGCGGCCCGGGTCTGGGGTCAGGGCATCCTCATCGTGTATGATGTCGTTTATGGCGGCGTTCTTGACCGAATCAGATCTTGATTCCTGAGATGTCGAGGGCACATATGTTTCGCCGCCGTAGGTGCTGGATGTTTGGCCGGTTTCATCCGACTCCAAGGAGTTGCCTCGGGACCGTGTTCCAGGGACAGAAAGGAAGTTCGAATGTGTCTCAGGCGCCTTCGTCTTGGGTGATGAGATGTTGTGGGGTGAGGTTGGCCGGCTCTCTCGGTCACGAGCTTCGGAGGAGGCATTGGAGCGGATCGAGGCTGTGGATCGCATATCCGTGGGAGAGCCACTGCCATTGTTTAGCAGTGCGGTTGTGTCGGGGGCATGTGCGTTATCGGTGTAGGTGTGTGATCCTCCAGAGAGGACTTGGATGGGAGGGGCTTCGATATCCGGGGAGTTCACGGCCGAGGTGTCGATGGTAATAGTCGGCGCGCGCTCTCTGCGCAGGGTTGACGATTGGCCTGGCTCATCTTTTGGGCGCGGGTCGGACATGGTGGAAGTGTCTATTCAATGCGCGATTCACGCGTGGCACCCAGGTTTGTAGATGGGCAGTTCATGTGGATCAAGAGAAAGTGTAGAGAGAACAATAAGAACCTCCCTAAACTCCTAAACTCCTAAACAAGGTTGAAAGTGAGGTAAGGGTGTAAAAGGTGTGTGAAAAACAAAGATAGGAGGCAAGCGGCAAGGTAATAATTGCCCCCAGCGGGAAACGTCGTCTCTGCTCTACCTATCCACTACGGTCGAGAACGCTATAATTCACTTTCATTATGGAGTATCGCATGTACTTCGTTTTTGCCCCCGTCACTTTCTCCACTATTAATGGTATCCGCTAGCACAGCCCCTGTGTTTTTGCAGTATACGTATATGATGTACTTCATATTTCCTATGATATTATAACATTCTTCTTGTCTACCATTCTACAAAAATTGGCAGGAAAATTCTTTACATTATTTACGTGGGTAAATTGAATAACGAATAAGGAGCAAATACCGCAAAGACCATCAATACCAAGCTATATAGCGCCTGCACTGCCTCATTTGCCAAGACATGAGCATGCCCGAGCTCCCGATTCGGCAAAATAGGGGGGAATATGGAAAAAAAAAAGAATTAAAAATTGAAAGGAATAGAACTTGAATAAAGTGAACAAGTTGGATATAATTTGATTAAAATGAAGACCAATGGATTACATTAAAGCCCAGACGTTATGTACTATCTCTAATCTAGCTTCTTAATATGCCCTTGACAGAGTGGTGACGTCCCCTATGTACGACTCGATGCGATCGACGTGTACGGAGTCCGACGTAGCATGTTCCAAGACTTGTTTTTTTTCTTTTGATCTGCTTGACAATATAAAATTAAACTCTGATTGCCGGAACTTGACGGACCAGAACATTCTAACTAACTGGTTTCTCATGCCAAGTAACTCGCCATTGGGGAGTTATAGCTCACACCACATAAACTCAGCCACACTCAGACCACACGATTGATCCTTGCTTAGGAGCACACGTCGTACGGCATGCTCTGTACATCAATGTAACTACATCAGAGTACGAGTACGATGGACTAAACTACCTCAAAATGCCATCTAAAGCTTAGAACTGTCACATGGGACACATAAGGCCTAGCTTGGTCCTTCTCTGCAAATCCAACTCGGCCGAATCGGGCAAATATAGCTTCGTTGTACGGAGTACAAGATATACCTCCACAAGACAAACTAGCCGTCAGCCCCTAAAGTAACACATGGAACACATAGCAAAAGATAAAGCCGAATCTGAAACCATATACGGAGATAATCCTCAAACTAAACCAAACAATCCTAATCCCAATGCCAACAACCATCCCGCCACCTCCCAAACACACAGAGCCCAATCAAAACCCAAAAGCCTCAAAAGCAGGAAATGTCCAACCCAACCAACAAATACGGCCTCACCGCCGTCCCAGCCTCAGCCCAAGACCTACTCACCAAGACACCTTACTACCCAGCACCAACCACCCCCCCCCCCAAACCGCAATCCCAGTCTCCGCAACCCCAATCCCAGACACCCCACTAGCACAGCGCATCAACGCCTATGCACGCACACACCTCCCCGAAGAGACATACAGCCACTCACGACGGGTATACCACTCCGGGCTCGCGATCAAACGCTAACAGCTCCCGATTGCAGACTGGGACTTCGACGATGAGACCTTCCTCCTCGCTTGTTTGTTGCATGATATTGGGACCACGGAGGCTAATATCACCCCCACCAGGCTGAGTTCTGAGTTCTTTGGCGGGCGTGTTGGCATTGCGCGTCTTGCAGAATGATACTCATGATTATGTCGGTGACGAAGACGGAGACGAAGACGAGGCTAATGTAGGTGCCCATGTTCGTGGGCGGGGAGTCCATCCGGCCACGGCCCCGCATGAACAGGCTGAGAGCGTCGCGGAGGCTATTATTCGGCATCAGGATTTGTCGCTCGTTGGTAATATCACGGCTGTGGGACAGTTACTGCAGCTCGCGACGATCTTTGGTATGTATATACTAAATGTTTATCGGTTGACGTTTCTACACGCGGTCTAGGTATTCTGTATCTAGATAGATATCTGTGTGGTCTATGTCACTGCACATCTTCCTGACACCAGATGACTGCCTCTCCCTTGTTGGCGATGTTTATGTCTATAGTTGTGTTTCAATGCGACCAATCCATATGCAGTGTTCTTTGATCAAGTAGGTCTCAGGGTTGATACTAAGGGCCTTCTAGCGGATGGGACAAGGCAACGTGATGAGAAACGAGGAACACGTAATGAAAACTGCAATCAAATTGATATTGCTGATGCATTCGTAGATGTCCTATTGACACGCAGTAGCTGTAGTAAAATGAAGTAACCTATCCTCCTTCCATGTTTGATCCAGTTTCGTTCATACCAGAGCCTCGCCGTTAAAAACTTAAAACCACTCAAATCCCATGCTAATGTACACAGAACAAATCGCCGCTAGATCTACTGCTCCCGGTCTGCGGACGAAACGATCCCAAGCCGCTTCTTTTCTTCTTCGGAGATCGTGACATCCCAGATCTTCAGTTCCTGGCCCTTTTCAAAGGTGGTGTGGTCCATTGGGGACTTGCGCTGGTTGGAGTCCCGGATGACCAAGGCCTTGCTCGACAAAGCGAGCACGTCGACAAGCTCGGCCATTCGTCGTGACTTTGTAAAGGCACGAGTGATGTGTTCGTAGTTTGCAGCCCAGATAGACACAATCATGCAGGATGTCAACAGGTCGTGTCGCTCAAGGGCGTGGCTGGCGTAGTACAAGGCGTTGTGCCAGTCGAGAAGCAGCTCTGGAATGTAGGTCGTCCGAATGTGTTCGAAGTCTTGTTCTTCCTCGGCTGTAGGAATCAATTAGTTTTGAGACTCGAATATCGCGACATCAAGTACATACCATCAGTAGATGTGGGTAGCCAGTCTTCAGCGACCACTGCTCCAACCCAATCTTCTAAAATAGTCACGCATTCGTTCATATCTTGACCCATGCCCTTCAAGGTGCCCGAGTCACGTCGACGTTTGGTCCTAGATTGATTAGTTTTGATGATGAGATGAAACAGGGAAAGTGAGGACTCACTTGGACATCTGCTCGTGCACCAATGCAAATTGCTCCACAGCATCAAACCCGAGAGCCAAACTCTCCAGATCTAGAACCCTATGAGCCTTGTAGTATGCCGAAACCAGTGCAATGTTGTGGGAGCCGGAAAGACTTCGCCGGTGGAGGCTGTTTCTCTTTGATTTGGTGGGGCTAGTTGGCGTAGTTGCCTCAGTATGTGCGCCCTCTTGCGGAGGCATCGAAATGATATCGGATCCGAATTTTTCAATTGAGATATCAGCCAACCGAATACGGAAACTCAACTCGCGAGCAGCGGCAAGCTTATCAGCAACTAGTAAAAGTTAGTTCGGCCGGATTCTCGATAACAGGAGGAACAAAAACATACGGAAGAACTTGCGGTACAGCCAGGATCCAAGATCACAGATCTTATCCCACTGTCCATCTATGTAGCGAAGCCACTCCAGACTGCGAATCATCCTGTCATCTTCCGGAGCGACAGAGGTCCCAATCAAGTCGGTCTTGGGTGACACCAATGCCCGGGAACCGTCAGGTCGTCGCAGCACTCTCGAATAGCCAGTGACTCCTCTAGAATGATCAATCGCAGAGACATGTTCCTTCACCCACGCCCATTGAACATCGAGAACAGTTTCCATGTCAATGTGATGTTTCCGCGCGAGGCGAACTTGCTGTACCTTCTCTTGTGGGTCAACAATTTCAATGAGAATCTTGGATAGAACTTCGTGTCCCATTGGCGCGGGGAGGAGGGACACGTAAAGTGGGACAAGATGGAATAGACCCCGGTCTTCCAGGTTGGCAATATGTCCAGCCACGATGACCGACGCCGTTTCAACGAAATGGGCATCCACGCGGGCGTAGCCCCTCGCACTGGCCACAACGTAGACATGAGCTGCAATTCTGAGAGCTTCTTCGTCATCGGCAGCTATGAGGAAAGATTCATCTACTGGCTTGCGCACGATCTCTGGGATAACAGAGGTATTCCCGTATTTATCGGCGCTCACTTGAGATACAGCGTGAGCCAGAGCAGTAAAGAATGTATCGTATCCTTTGCTGAGAATCGTGGCCTGGATGTTGCGGAAGGGATTACGGGCTTCGCCGCTGACCCGCTCATTGCCCTTGAGATAGACAAGGAACTTTTGAAGTTCTGCGTGCCCAGCGGGTTCCGGCTTGAATTCCACAGGGGTGTTGGAGGAGTGGCTGAGTTTCCGCTGGAATTGCTTGCAAAATCCCTGATAGCGTGAGAGCACGACACGGTTGAAGTACACGTAAAGGAAGTCGTCCCAGCTGCGGCAGACACTGGCTGCAGCATCGGTTTCGCCAGAAAGCAAGGCGTAGACCGCTCGCTGGAATTCATCAGTATTGGGGTCGCGTGTTAGCGCAGAGCAAGCGGTGCGCCATGAATCCTGGGATCGACTGTTCATCAAACGTGTGTGGCCATCGTCAGATGGGTATCGAGAACTTGCCGACTTAGGATCCACACTAGAGCCGCACAAGCTGACGGCCCTCCATCCTTCCAGACGAGCCTCTGCCCATTCACGAATCTTAGTCCAGTTCTCGCCCTGTCTAAGCATCTTCCAGCAAGTGATCCAAGTGGCGCGCTCGAAGAATTCGTCCTCCTTTTCTAAACCGTGCTTCTGACGAGTGATAGCATCGGGGTCGAGTTGAGTGACTAGCGGTTTCTGTTCGTCTTTGCTCAGAAGCGAGCGCGAGATTCCCGGGTCATTGGGCTCGAGAGGTTGTGGCCAAGCGCGCAAACGTTTGTGACCCTTGATCGATTCTTTGGTGCAAAGCCAACCGGTTGTCCACAATCCTTGACCCCTGTGCGATTGCTCCTCCATTTCCCTGATCAGGGTATCAAACTCTTGGCTTCCTGTCTTGGAGGTCTCCTCCAACCATCGCATGGCGACAACGCATTCAAGGCCATATTGGTCGGCATTGAGGAACTCTTCCCAGATCTCTCGATCGGTTGAGTAGCGGTGAAGGTTCTGGAAAGCTGTTTGTCGTCCTGCCTTGTAGCTAGCCCGGCTGGAGGGGTCGTCAATGCTGATTAGGTTGAGCAGGAGGCGCCAAGTATCGGCCTCAAGTTGCAATCGCCGTATCTCCTCGTAACTTTTGGTGTCTTGTGACCCGCTCGACCGCAAGCCTGTCTTCGTCCGGTCAACGGTCTGTTGGGTCTCGATTTCCTTGATCGCATTGTTCGCAATGTCGCGGTAGCTCTGTACGAGCTTGTAAGCTGCCTGGGCACTGTTGAAATCGTCGGTTGAATTGTCGCGCTTGAACTGATCCAGCTTATCGGCGAATGCTTCGATCTGGCGAGTGACGCGGTCAGCCGTCCGGCGAAGGGGGTGCAGTGCTTCCTGGGCGCCTGCGGCGGTGAACAGCGGGGTGTCTAGGGTAGTATTTAGTAAATGCGATTTAGACAAAGTAGATCTTGAGCCAACCTTGAGATTTGGCCGAGACACCAAAGGCAGGCTGCAGAGAGGGCTCGGGATCAGAAACATCGGACCCAGTCTCCGATACGGTGTCGCCATCCATATCTTCGTTCATGTCCTCATCTTGGTCTTCAGATTGGTCCTCCGATTGATCTTCCGAATTCATTTCCTCGTCCTCCAATTCTTCATCGTCATCGTAAGATTGTTGCGAATCATCGTCAATACTGATGACCTCGGGTTGTCTATGCGGCTGGGCAACCTATACAAAGGGTTAGGAGATAACAAAAAGCAAAGATCAAAGAACATAGACGCACCGGTGTGAATGCCCCAGCGGCCGAACGAGTTAAAGGCGCCATGATGGGAGACTTGGTTAGAAGGGAGGAGAGAGAGTCCTGAGGAGCTCTGTGGAATAAGTTGTGTTTGTCTCTTTTGGTTTTCGCGTTTACAGACTAACCCCGAAAGGGACTAGCGGCAACCTCCGAAGCTATTTCAACGAATTTTCGCCCGCGCCCTTCTCTCTTTCTTTTCTTTTCTTCTCTAATGTCTATAGGCTTTCATTAGAGTCTCGGTATGAAAACTCAATTTTCGTACAGGTCCATGAGGCCTCTCTGCGTGCTCACGATTGTCTTATAATAAATGCAGTTCTTCAATTAGCCTGGTTTCCTCCATATGGAAACTCAGACCGCAAAGGAATTGTGACATCCACCATTTTCGACATGGGTCACTTGAAGTCTAAAAAACAAATTGTAATAGTCTCACTGCTTCTCTGATGCTTGAGCTCGTTGCTTCATCTTCAACCGAAGCAAATTTGCTTTAGGGCAGCTGAGGGTAGATGCTTGGTCACCTTGCTCTTGGTAGAAGGCATTGCAGCATTCGTACAAAGCATCAATTTGTGCCTGGCATTTGTCCTCATTAAAGGAGTTTTTCTGCAAGCAATCTAGCTTCGGTTAGGCCTTTTTTGGTGGAAATGCTATAAATTGGACAATACCTTGAATGGCGCACTGTTGCACTGTCAGTAAGAGCTAGCAATACCACCTGGGCACTCTAAATGGACGCTTTTAGGACAGGGACACATACAGCACGCGGTTTGCAGGGTTGATCGTGCGACAGATCTTGCTTTAAATTACCCTACAAGGGTCTCAGCATCTAGCCAATATGCCCACAGTGATAAGTTTCATACCATAATGCAATTATCAAAGACTGTACTCAGTACAAAAGCGTTGTAGACACACTGTTCCTTGCAAGTGACGAAAGTGATAGAAGAGCCAAACGCAAAATAGATTCTCCGCCTTCAGACCGTGGGGCGAGTGCGCTATTCTGCCGCCGCCGCTGATCTCTCTTCTTCCTCTCTCTTCTAACCTCACCATTTCCACAACCTTCATTATCTCGCTTCTGCGCTTTCGTCTTCTAGGTGAGTACCTCATACTTCAGTTGTGCCCTGAAAACGGGTTGAAATCGTGATCTAACCATCTTTGAATCCTTCAGACATAATTCAAAGCCCCGCTCGAACAGGTTCCTAAACTCGCTTCTACCGTTGTAAGCACTGCCTCGTTGCCATTTCGTGCTCCATAAGAAGTTACCGTTTAACGAAATCTCAACCGCAATAGTCATTCATAATGTCCGACAAAGAAGGAGCCGCTCCTCCTACTGAGCACCTCAACATTAAGGTGACCGATAACAACAACGAAGTCTTCTTCAAAATCAAGCGCACAACGCAGCTGAAGAAGCTCATGGATGCTTTCTGCGAGCGCCAAGGAAAGCAAATGTCCACTGTTCGCTTCCTGTTCGACGGCACCCGGGTTCGCCCTGAAGATTCGCCCGAGACTGTACGGCCATTCCCCTCTTTTTCGCCATCCATTGGTGTCTGGGAATTTTGAAACTAACTTCAAATAGCTCGATATGGCGGACGGTGATACCTTGGAGGTTCACCAGGAGCAAATCGGAGGTTGCTAGACGACAAGCGTGGCATGCTAGAGTCGCACTTCCCGACGGAACCGAGGCTTGGGGCGACATACGTGGGGGGAATACGCTAGGGCTGATGGCCAGGAGTGGATAGAGATCCTCATTGACGGCCCGTGGGCGAGGGGCGGCGTTCATACTGCTTTTTTTCTTATGAATGATGAATATCAAAGGTCACCTAGTCTTCTCTGAGACTTTGAGGGTGCTTTTACTATATTAAATTTCCCTCGAGGTCAACATGACCGCATCGCGTAGACGTAGTCTAGTTTGGTCCTAGGCTTTGGACCTAGGACTGAGAAACCAGAGCTTGCGCCAAACTAATGGATACTTTCTTTATACGCGAGCGCAAATGCCGCAATAGCTTGTCTCGATCTTTACAATGGCTCATGAGGCCTCGATGCAAGTTTGCGCGTCGAGATATACTGACTAGGTCCTCCTATCACCAGTGGTCGCCTCAAGCAACGAGTTATCAAATAATCGATTCCAGGGTCAATTGATTGACCACACCTGTTCTTCATGGGGTAGTAGAGTCCAAGTCACCATATGAAACAACAAAGAGCCACCTGTTCATTCGCCCATGATAATTCACCACGCAGAGAGAAAACATATATATAAACAAATACAATCCAACAAATATATATCTACACATAAATAGAGGGCCAATCGCCTAATATAACCAAAAAGTTCCCCCCAAAGCCACCTAACTGTTCCAAACAGAAGCCTTCATCTTCTCCTCCTCCTCTTTAGCCTTAGCTTTCTCCTCGCGCTCGCGATTCCGCCTCTTAATCTCCTGCTCCTTAACCGAGCGATCGTAAGCGCGCTGCTGCTCCGTCCGCTTCGGGGCACGAATCCCTAACGCACCGGCAATCAACCGCTCCGCAACAGCAGTCTGCTTCTCCGGGCGACGGGCAGGAGCGCGCTGCGCCGAAGCAGGAGAAGCAGCTCTCGCCGTCCACGGGTTGGAGGTCTGCGGGGAGATAGGTGTCGGCGGGGGATCTAGCGGTCCCTCTGCACTGATGGTTGGCGAGAGCACCGATACAGCGTCTTCGTCGTGGGGCTGGGCTTCCTCGGCTTCCTCGGCTTCCGGGGCGGAGAGGTCTGCTTCGTCTTCCCAGGAGTCTGCGACGGGTTTGCGGGGTATTTTGGGGTTTGATTTGGGGGTTGAGGTCACGGCTTCTGTTGGGAGTTTTTTCACGTTTGGTCGGGAAATGTCTTGTATTGGGCCCTTTTCACCTAGGGACAGGTTGCGGAGTGTGGATTGGAGTTCGGCGCTTGGATCAGACATCACTGGAACGTGGGGGTTCGGGTGTAACGGGCAATAAATATACAAGAGGGGGTGGTTAATGGTTAACAAGAGTATTAAGTATACAGTTCAATTTAAGACAGGATTGTGTCTGCTCGAAATAGAATCAAATGGCGTCAGTGCTGGTGGCATCCCTGGTTTTGATGGAGAACAAAGAAGGGCTAGACCTTTCTGGTTCGGCTTTGTGCCTCAGGATTGTCAGGCATCAATAACTATGCTCTTCTATTTTTATTTCAGGGATAATGGTAATCCAACCTGTGTATAATCAAATTCATAAGATCTTCGATGTGTTTATACTGTTTATACCAAGTACCTAATGCCAATTCCGCATTTAACCCCTTACGTCCGAAATAGCAAAAGAAACCGGCTTATAGATCATTTCCCCAGTTCGGTAGTTATATGGAGCATCAAACTATTGGCAACCTGCATCAGAAGAAGTGATATGGCAATAGGAGTGTCACAATGCATTAAGAAAGCTTAAAAAAACTGATCAGTAACATTTTTGATACTTCGATCTCTCATCTATCTATAAATCCTCTCCAAACCCCTGATTTTCCCTCTACCTCCAGGTACCATCATCGTTCATTTCCAAAGATCGAATTGCAGAGCAACCATATTCAAAATACAACATGAAGTACGCCATTGCTACCATCGCCGCTCTGGCCAGCTTGTTCGGCCAAACCATCGCTTCAAACAATGTCTACGAAATCGAGTCCGCACGCTCTGGAGATGTTTGGGGAATTAAAAACTCCGTCGGCGTCGAACATCAGGTTGAGTTGGTACACCCGGAAGGCAATGAAGCCGAGCACTGGCGTCTAGTCTCCTCCGGTCCCGACTTCTTCATCCAAAATGTCTACACCCAGGGGATGCTCTCATGCCCGGAGGAACATCAGTGTGTAGTGGACACCCTTGGAAACAACGCGCAGCTTTTCACAGTGACCAAAAATCCCGACTATACAGTCAGCTTCCACCCCTCGGGAAGTCCGCTGGTGCTGTCAACTGGGGAGGGTAATGAGTTGGAGGCCAAGCATTCGGATCCACATGTTGATGCGGCCTTCCGTCTTCGTCCAATCTAGAGCGAATGTGAGTCGCTATATTTACTTTGTCATTTGAACCTTTGAGCATCAATCTAATGCTTATCATTGATATAGAAACCGGATGACGCGAGTCTTGTTCCTGATTCTATCTGGGGTTGGTGATGTTTCGTCTACAGAGTTGGGAAGATGGGGGATACATATTGACAGGAAAGCATATAACTACATAATACCATGTATCCTACATATTACATCAAGTCATGTATGTAGTTGTGAAGTCAGGTCTCACGAGTTCTTTTGTTAGCCTCAAATACGAGGTGTCGGCAGTTCAGCCCCGCTTCAGCTTGAATAACTTAACTCCTTTGGATCTGGAGATGATTGGTGCGCTTCATTGGAAGGCTGAAGCTGAGCCCCAAAAGCCTTTTTCCTCTGTTTTAAATAGACTTCAATGTTCTTCTAGCCTACATTTCACTACATCTACAAGTTACACACGATGGCCACGATTACACCTGGTATCGATGAGGAAACCGCCCCCAAACGTGAAAATACCCGGCGCCGCAACCGTGCTATCCAGTCATGCCTCGAATGTCGCCGACGCAAAATGAAATGCGATAGGACAGTCGGTGAATCCCGGGAACCCCAACCATGGCAATGTCTAACGGGTTGCATAGGACCCTTGTGGGAACTGTCGCACATCGGAATTACAATGCATCTATATCAAATCTACCGTCACCGACGCTGAGTCCCGTCGAAAATTAACTGAGGTAAAGGAGGCTAAGGATGCAATTGACGGTGCTCTTCGGGCGGAATTTAACAATCAACCTTCCAACACAAAGAATGAATCGCGACGGAAACGTACCAGACAGCCCGAAGAAGATTCCAAGTACCATTCGGATACGTCTGACGACGGTGGGTATTTGGAGCCCACGCCCCTTGCGGTTAAAGACGCTGCGTACACCGATGGCGCAGATGATGAAACAGAAGATTTGGGTATTAGGATTGGTCGAATGCGGCTGGGAGAAAGGATTGGTGGCTTGTATCGTCCTAAAATAGCGGACGAGGTAGGTTTGAGATCTTACAGCCGTCTCACACGATTTACTAAAATTTTGATAGATTTTGAGCTCCCTTCAACACAGTTCGAGAGGATCATCTCCACTGGTATCATCGCCAGTGGCACCCGCCACGGCCTACGAGTCAATGCAGAACAAGTCCTTTGAGACTCCTTCGGTCAATCTAATATTCAATCAAATTCATCGGCATGAGCCCCTAATACAGCATATTCCTCCTCGCCACATCGCGGACCAGATTCTCAATCACTACTGGAGTACTGTTCACCCAGTGGCACGCATCCTTCACCGACCTTCTTTTGCACAGCGATATGAGACGTGGTGGGAGTTAATCGAAAACGGGCATCTAGTACCTCCATCTTTAGGAGCAATTGTGTCTTCCGTTATGTTCTCTGCTGTGATCGCCATGTCTGAAGCACGGGTGCTTGAATTATGTCACACTCCCCGAGAGGAGATGAAGCGAACGCTGCAGATTGACACAGAAACTGCCCTCAGTAAGGCTAATATCCTTCAATCGACCAAGATTGAAACCTTGCAGGCTTTTGTGGCGTATCTGGTATGTGTGCCTAATGGGATATATCACCAGGCCCTATCGGCTAGTCGTTTAGAAGTCACATACTAAACATATCATTGGTGTTTCAGCTTCCAATATGTGTCGACGAGATCTCTCGGTCACACTCCGTGTTGACAGGCATGGCAATCAGGTTAGCAGAGTGCATGGGACTCCATCGTGACCCGGCAGAGTATGGATTTTCACCAGCAGAGTGCCAGACTAGACGCCTCGTGTGGTATCAAATCTGCTACCTGGATCTCAAGACGAGTGAGGCCCAGGGACCCCGAACATTTATCCACGAGGATGGATATACCACACGGCTTCCACTGGATGTACCATCTTCCCGATCGACATCACTTGCTTATAACGACTTGATATTCTCTACGATTCGGTTTGAATGCCAAGAGATGCATCGCCGGTGCTTGACGTTACGCAATAGAGTCGATCGGAAAAAAACTAGCCTCGCCAAGGCAATTTCCAAAATCGAAGCCTTTCGGATCACAATGGACGCCAAATACGGTCCTTATCTCAACACATCCTCCCCGAGCCCAATGCAAAAAATGTCCAGTTTAGTGCTGAAGCTCTTCGTCAATCTTCTCTACCTAGTACTTTTGTACCGCTACATGAACAGTGTCACATACAGAATCCCTGACAGGTTACGCCAGATTGTACTTGTCAAGGGCACCGAGGCTCTGGAAGCTGCGGTGGAACTAGAATCAGCAGAAGATCTCCAACAATGGGCCTGGTATAGTTCTTCATACCAACAATACCACACGGCATTTCTTCTGCTGTTTGAGGTCTTCCAGTATCCCATGCGCAAGGAAGCAACCCGGATATGGCAGTGTCTGGATTTCATCTTTGCAGACACTCTCACAAACATACCGCCTATGAGTCCCGTTGAATCTTCACCAACAATACAGGAGATTCTCGCCCATCGAGATATGAAGGCGAGATACTTGCTGACGGTTATATCCGAAAAGATGCGCGCATATCAAAAAGCCAAGGGCTTGAAATTACCCCTGGAGTTCAACGACTCAATGATTGTTATTACACCTCAGAAGGAAGGCGACCACTCGGACCCCAAGATGCCACTTAATTACGCTCACGGGGAACCAGAAGCAGAGAGTCTTGCCCGTAATCCCCCCGCCGTTGCTGAAAACTTGTCATTCCCCCATTATCGAACAGACCCAGAGATTGAGTTGCCTTCTACTCTGCCGACAAACACTGGCACCAGCTCCACCACTGACATACCACAAGTTTTGGACAACGCAGCCAGTATTTGGGCTTCTTCTGAGGAGTTATCTCCGTGGATTCGATACGGTGAATACGGCCTCAATGGCGATGGAGGCACAGTGTCACATCCGGGTCATCAATGCAGTGATGCCGCGACTACGGCTGCAAACGACAGCTTGCCAGCTACGCAGTATGTAGAAATACAGAACCCCGAGGAAATAGACTCACAGATGCTAGAGATTGACTGGGTAAGTTTTGTCTCCTATTTAGATCTTACTCATACTCTGCCTGAAGGTACCCGGTAATTATGACTTGACTTTGCTAACGAGAGATTACCAGAACCTCTGGGATTCAATCTTCCCCCCGCAGGTCAATGATGGAAACTTGGACATTTCTGATGATTACTTCATGACTTCGCATGGTGCCATTGATCCGACATTTTACCTACCAGGGGCCTCGTCCTAGACCAAAATAGCAGCCTAATAAAATGCATTGATTTAGCAGAGATGGATATCTTCCCTTTGAATCCTTTTAGATATTCTGATTTGGCCTTGAGCAGATATCAAAATGCTTCAGAAATGACCAGCAGCTCAATATAAAGCCCCATTCTTCAAATAATACCCATGACAACAGAATGTCTGTTCTCCAATGCATTTAACTAAACCAACGAAAGTTCAAGTTCAAAGTTCTACCAGCACGCAATATCAACACAGACTCCCAAAATATGAACAACTAGCCATGTCTATCCAATTTCCGCTCCAATCTCTCCCGACGGCGATCACGAACTAAGCCACCATGCCCATGACGGCTACCCTTGACCAAGCTCTCGGCCAGGTTCGCAACAACAGCTCCAGCCAGCGCACCGCCCACTGCTCCTAACTTCCCATGGTCGGACTTTTTTCCAACATGATGACCGACAAAGGCGCCCTATATAACCAGTCAGTATTTTACTCCAGTGACAAATGTGAATTTGACATACGCCTGCGCCACCTAAAACCGTTGCACCGAGGCCTTTCTCGCCCTCAGGGCCCTCGGTGAAAAAATTTGCTTGGTTGTTATCGATCCATTGGGTCTGTTGGTTGACTAGCCCTTGCTCAGTGTTCGCTGTATTCCCCATCCACGGATTCTAAGATTATTAGCCCAGGCTGTCTCAACGAATGTCAACCTCTGCCGTCTCACCTGGGAAGTATGGCTTTCTGATATGTTCGCGAAATCGGATTGTTGTGTGTCTTTCATTGTATCCAATTGCTGGGGAGCATTATCGCCATAGTAATCCCGGTTGGCCATTTTTAAAAGGGCGATTGGTAATTGTTCGAAATTGTAGGGTTGAATTTGATGCCTTGTAGGACTTGATTTATGGAGATCAGCAGCCCCCGAACTAGAGGGACGTGACTTTTATATAATATGTGAAATATTTATGATCTAGGGTATCTACAGCTCAGATTGTCGTTAGTACGGCCGTAAAATAGTCATTTTATTAACACTATTCAGCACAAAGGGGTTGGACCGATCTCCGACCCCGGACCCTGGGCGTACGGCCGTAAGAGTAAGCCGAGGATTTCAGCACAGCCAACGCCATTTACGCGCGACTATGAAAAAAAAAAAAAAAAAAACTATGCTGAGCACAGAGCTATGCTTAGGTCTTACCAGTGATCTCGGTTTAGGCTTTCTATGGTGTGGTGTTTAGCCATATCGGTATACCATCGGCACCTTTGGCGGGTTTGATGCACTTAACCCTCAAACCACGCATTCGAGGCTTTTAGTCTAACCTGGAGCGGCTCCAACAAAAAGAAAATTTGTACACACCGATAAGTTGGATGATCCGCAGATCTTTGCATATACTTGCAATTGCAAGGCTTTACCATTATACTAAATGGGGCCTAGGCCTAGGTCGCAAGGTAAAGGTTGCAGGGTAAATAGGAAATTTAACTAGGTAGTGAAGATAGAACAATGTACTATGGTTACGTTGAGTGTTTTGAGATTTGACTAGTACATATTAAATAAAGGTCACCCTGCGACCCTGCGACCATGGCTTTCATGCGAGACTGGTCTATCGTGACCGAGAAATCTGGGCACCATCGATCTCTCAAAGAAAGATACATGTAAAAAAAAATATATGAACATCTATATCTATATATATCTTTCTTTGACACACACGAATATGGAGAGAGGGAAAAGAAGCTAGCTTTTCTTCGTGACTTCTCTAGGGAGTACATCCATATTCACTGTCCTCTATGCTATGCTAGAGTCATGGTCGAAATCCGCGCTGCAGCCAAATGCACGGAGGTGACTCCTCAATGTCCAGTTGAGGGCACCATCTACGGCTACGCGCCCGACCTTGTGTTCAGCATTGAATTTTGTTTAATATTCGGTGTTTGTTCTCTGATACAGCTCGGCCAGATGATCCGATGGCGCCTTTGGTCTTTTAGCATTGCCGTCCTTCTCGGTTCTTCAACTGAGGTGATTGGTAAGTCAAACAGCAACTCCATGAGAATGACTAGTTGACTATCCTGGAGAGAGTTGACAAAAGAAATAGGCTATTTTGGCCGGATATTGCTCAACCAAAACCCATATTCATCCGCCGGCTTTAAGACGCAGATTTGCACTTTGACACTGGCACCGGCTTTCTGGTCGGCAGCCATATACCTGACGCTGAAACATGGAGTGAACGTTCTGGGACAACAATACTCGACGCTGAGGGAGAAGTGGTATCCTTACATCTTTGTCACCTGCGATATCATTTCGTTGATTCTCCAAGGCGCTGGCGGTGGTCTTGCGGCAGCAGCTAAGACATCCCACGCCAGTGATATGGGGAGCAATGTCATGCTGGCTGGAATTGTTTGGCAAGTTGTCACCTTGACGGTATTTGGGGTGATGTCAGGCCATTTTCTTCTTTGTATACAGAACGCCCTGAAAGATGGATTGACGGTTGAGGCCCGAAAAGTTTGGAACAGTCGCAATTTCTGGGTATTTTTCTGGGGTATATTTATGGCATTTGTAACAACTTATGTCCGTTGCGTCTATCGGTAGGTTACATATGTATTGACTAACGTATTTTGATATGAAGTACTGATCTTGGGGTTTCCAGTATCGCGGAGATGGCCGGTGGGTGGAAAAACCCAATAATGCAGGACGAACTCGATTTTACTATCCTTGAATCAATGTAAGTTAAACTTTGACAAGACAAATGGTTATGTATTTGAATGAGCTGACATATGATGGGATCTAGAATGTGTGCTATCGCTGTGATAGCCCTATGTATCACCCCTCCCGGGTACTTCTTCCCCCAAATGCGCGGAGATTATGCCGGACTGGTGAAGGAAGCGAAGGGCTCTATTTTACTAGAGCCAGAGCGACGGCGCAAATACCAGGAAATTGTTTGATTCTGGTGAGGTTACGTGGACTGCCTTTTGCCCAGATGGGGTAACTCTCAGCCTGGGCAGTGGCAAGGTAATGAGTGAGTTACTTTTAGGACAAACACCTTCTGTGCAGATTTCGGATCTGGATATAGATTTAGTGGACGTCGTTTCTATTATGTCACTTTCACGTTTGAGTATTGAGGGAATAGATATAGGCCTTATTGGCCCAATCTATGCCAATATGTTCTATCTAGTATGATCACATATACAGTTTGAAAATACCATAATGCAACTATTGACCCTTAGCCAACGCGATGGCTTTCTTTGCAGCCTCCTCGAATCCATCAAATGCATGTAAAGGAAGGCCACTCTCCGCAATCTATGAATATTCAAGTTAGCAACTAGACACTAGTATCAGATAATCAGATCAATACTTACCATTTTCTGCCCCAGCTCCTCATTTGTACCTCGCAGTCGCACAACCACTGGAACCTTCATATTCAAATCTCGGAAAGCCAAGATAATGCCCTCGGCAATCATATCGCAGCGAGTCAGTCCGCCAAAAATATTGACAAAGACGGCTTTAACGCGCGTGTCAGAGCAAATCACGCGAAATGACGCCTTGACAGTTTCCGAAGTAGCCTTGCCGCCGGTATCAAGGAAGTTTGCGCAGCGGCCGCCGTGGATAGTGAGGGCGTCGACCGTGTTCATGGCAAGGCCGGCTCCATTTACTGAGTGAATTGTGAGCAAAGACCTATTCTGTTGAACGAGACATAGACTAGAATACATACCAAGTGTCCCAACGCTACCTTCGCCTTCCAACCTACTGTATGTCAGCAGAGATACAGATAAACCTGGGGAGTAATGGATGTGCTTCTACATACTTGACGTAAACAATTCCATCCTTTTCGGCTTCAACCTCCTCTGGGACCTCTTCGGATATATTCCGAAGTTTGTGGATATCTTCCTGTCGGCCCGAGCTGCGGAATGCAGCGTCGTCGAAGCCAAAACGCGCACCGTGGACCTCCAAAGAACCATCAGCGGAGATGCGAATGCGCGTCTCCAGCGTAAAGGCCTCCTTTTCCTTGTAAATTTCCCAAAGGGCTTGTACCAAGCCTGAAAGCTGGTTGTGAGCAGAGGCTGGGAGATCCAAATGCGAGGCAACAGCAGCGATGATGGAGATTTCGAACTTGGTCTGAGTGTAAGAAAATGGAAATTTCTGCGACTGAGCTGGGTTAAAGTCGGAAGTGGGCGAGGCAATGATGCATGGCGATAAAGCTGTTCGGTCGACTGTAATAGAAACAGAAATAGAACTATCAGAGCTAGAAGCCGACTCATTGACAGGAACAGACTTCTGCTTGAGGATATCGAATGCCTGGAACTGCTTGATGTACAGATTACGCTTGTGTTCAGCCGTCGGTCTCGAGAGTGGTGTAACTCGTCTCATAGTATGGAAACCACGTTTTTGTGAGTTAGTCCCGGACATAGGCTATGGGTATGTCAGTTTATCTCGATTCGGAAAAAAAAAAAAAAGCACACTCACACTCATACCCGGACGGTTAGACTGGTTCGCGAACAAAGTCTTCATCCCTTCGCCAAACTTCTCGGGATGGTTAACCATGACCGCGCCAGCACGTTCAAGCGCTTGATACTTAGTCTCTGCATCTGGTTCCCCAGGCGCAGCCCAGGCACCGGCATGTCCCATAATCCGGCCAGAGGGTGCTTCCAACCCTCCAACAAGGGCCATAATAGGCCTATCCAAGATCAGCCCTACATTCGAAAAACCCAGAGACCAAAAAATAAAAGACACAATAACTTACTTAGGATCCAAAGCCCTCCGTCGATAATCCTTAATCCACTCAGCGGCATCCATCTCCGCCGTACCCCCAATCTCACCAACGAGGATAATACCCCGAGTATCAGGATCATTCTCAAAGAGATTAAGGGCATCGACAAAGTTCGTGCCAGCCAGCACGTCACCGCCCATACTAATACAAAGACTCTGACCAAGTCCAGCCCGAGTCGTCGACGCGACAGTCTCATAGCTCAGTGTCCCAGACTTAGCCACGATGCCGACATTTCCCGGCGCGAAGCAAGGCAATGGCTGGAAGCCGATGCGGCATTTGCCGATGGCGGATATAATGCCTGGGCAGTTTGCACCTACCAGACGGGTCTTGGATTGCGTTTGAAGCATGGAGTGGATCTGTAATACTGTTAGAAACCACATTTCAACCCTTTCTAGCACGATTAAGGATTAATCGTGAGTAAGTCATACCCGAAGGATGTCGTGGATCGGTACATGCTCCGCCACAGCTACGACGAGCGGAATTTCCGCTTCAATGGCCTCTTCGATGGCTTTGGCGGTCTGGTTTCCCGGAACATAAATCGCGGATGCATCAGGCTTTGCCCGTTCTTGGGCCTTGTGCTCGTTAGCCAACTAGTCACATTACATCCTCCCCAACGAGAGAACAATCGGTTCAATCCTCATACCGCTTTAACAGATGGAAAGACTGGTAGACCTAGATGTTCGCCTTCAACACCAGGCTTGACACCTCCCACGATCTTGGTGCCCCATTCAAGAGACTCCTTGACATTGGCAGTCGCCTGTCTTCCTGTGACGGAGATTAGTATTCCATGGAATTCCATTGCGGGACACATCTCAAATAAAACAAACAGGAATACTTACCTGTGAATCCCTGGAATAATACTCTGGTATGAGCGCCAATCTTGAGGTTTGGTAAAGTGTCCGCATAACTGGCGATGCGGGGGGTAGTTGTGAAGCGCCTTGTTAGGGGGGCCCGTAACTGGGGCGCCCGTAACTGGGGCGCCCGTTTTGGCAGGACGTGCATAGTCATGACTTTCAGGGTAGAATACACATGCAAATTGGCGCGGTGCTTCTATAGACTGATGAAAGAGTTATGTACAATGGCAATTTCAAAATCAGATATATCAAGAAGGCTAATAAGCCAAGTCGGCTAATCCGGTGTCGGAGCTTTCCCCACATTTGCCGAGGATGTCTTTTATAGAAATCAAGCATTTGGATCGGAATGAGTCCGATATAGTAAATATAAATTCATACTTCGTTTTCTAGTTCAACTAACTAGAACCGACTCCCCTCGACTCCAAACCCTGCAATCAATACTCATTAAGATGAAGCTTCTTCCCCACAAACCTCCGCCTAACAGGCTTCTCACCACGTTGTTCCCGCTCCGCATTGAGACCCTTAAGCGCATGAAGCAGCATACCAGCATCAAAGAATCCATCTAGTAAGATAAAAGTTAGCAAAAGAGCCGCAACGCAACCAAAGGCGCCGAGAGTAAAAAACTTACATCCTCCCATCCCATCATCCTCCATAAAGCTACTATCAGCAGCCGAAGTAGGCGAATCAGCACCCTGCGCACCCCCACCTCTTACAAGCCTTCCACGCCGATTCGACTCCGACTGCAAGCTCTCTGCAAGCGCCTCAGTCTCTCTCGCCCGACTCGTGCGCGGACTCGTCGCCTTGCCATTCGTCGCGCGCAACAACTTTCGAATTTCAAATAAATACGACTCAAGCGTGTCCATAAGACGTGATGTCTGTCTGTGCTTAGAGCTCGCGCAGATCGAGATCGAGTCGTCTTTGATAATGTACCCGATACCGAAGCCGTCGGCGGATGTGGGGCCGAAGCCGAAGTGTCGCAGACACGGGTTTCCGCAGTTCGAGGTTGACAGAACTGTGTTGTTGATCTTGTCCCAGCCGGCGTCGGCGAAGATCGCGGGTGTCGGCGTGGAGGTTGTACGGTAGGCGCGTGTGCTGCTTCCCGGTGAGGAGAGGCCGTCGTCTGAAGGGGAGGGGGAGGAGAGTTTCAGTGATTCGGGACCCTGGCTGAGGGTTTGGGATTGCGTTTCGCCGGGGCTGGAGTACCCGCCTGTTGAGCTGGTGTCTGGGAAGAGGCCTTCGTCGAAGGAGCGCTGCCAGAGGCAGTAGAGGGCGTAGAGGTGGCGGTCTGGGCCTTGGCCCTTTGAGCATTCTTTGGTGGCGGCGGTGTGTTTTTGGCATGCGACGCGGAGGGCATCGACCTTTTGTTCGGCGGCGTTCTCGCCCCAGAATGCTGTGACGAAGTCTATGCATTCGGGTGTTACGGTGCGCACGGCTTCTGTGCGTCCGTGTAGGAACATCTTTGTCATGGCTGGTTCGTAGGTGTTCTCGACTCGGCCGTAGAGGCCGTAGTAGGCGGCCTGGAAGGCCATCTGGATGAATGCATCCGGGGAGAAGCCCATTGAGGTTATGAAGTTCTTTCCAAAGCCTTCGAAGTCAAGGACTTGGAATTCGTGCTGGCAGAGCAGGTCGGAGAGGTGGGATTCGGCGAAGCGGAGCGCGATGCTAAGCTCGGCTGTCATGTCCCATTCTAGTTTGCGCGGTGTCGTGCTGACGTTTCCGAAACTTTGCGGGTCGCGCTTAGCTGGGTCGGGGCTGCTGGTTGCCCATAGGCTTGGGGATTGGCCGTTGATGGTCTTTGCGAAGCGGAGGATGGTGTCGGTGTACACATCGCTGGCAAAGCGTAGCACCGTGTGGCCATCCACACCAGTATGCTCGAAGTTGATACCGGCACTACCGTTCTCGCAGACGATGATTTGCAGCTTGTCGTACCACCGGTTGGTGCAGGTTCCAACCTGGACACCCTTGACGACTTCGCTTGTGCCACAAAGCATGTTAGCACAAAGCTCGGCCGTGGTGGATGGCTCTGTGCCGTCCAGACATAGGACAAAAAGCGCGGTATCGACAATGTTCAAACACTCCGCGTTGTTGGATCTGGAATCCTTGGTCATAATATCGCGTAGCCCCGACCAAACTTTCCGATTCTCGGTGCTGAGTACACCCAAAGCACCCTTGGCAGCCTCATGAAGCGGAGTTTGAGCCGCATCCTCAATGATTACCTTCAGGTTAAGCGAGATATCCTTCTCAGTCATGATCAAATCGCTATTGTCATCCAAGACGTCAAACCAGTAGAACTGCCCCCGACACATAACAACCATGTGTTTAGCCGAGGGATCCTGGCTAATTACGCAGCCATTATCGGTAGGCAGACGCGCCGTTCCAAAAAGCCGCGAGTACTGATACATGCAAAGAGGCGTTCCTCGCACGGTGTCAGGAGGCAACTCCTCCCGTCGCACAGCTCGAACAAATGCCAATGCTGAGACCGCCAGTGACGCAGCTCGAGTCACCTGGTGGTTTCTGGCGGGAGTTGGGTCGTCCTCCAAAAGAAAGAATGGATTGAGGTTCAAAACAACAGCTGTGAATGTTAGATGAGCGCAAAAAAAGGGGCCAAACAGGAAATCCAACTTACGATTATCGAAATTCAAGTAAGAATCATACCCTAGCAATTATCAGCTGACGTCTCATCCCGTTCATGATTCTGAATAGACTTACAAAATTGCTCAATATAGCTCGTCTTCGAACCAGCATAAGTTGTAAGTCGTTCTTGCAGAAGAGGACCATCATTCTTTAAAAAGTCCCGAACAGCAGCCTTGGTCTCTTCATGATCGCGCGGGCTCTGCAAGCCCTGCAGCGTATCTAAGTACCTGCGACAAGTATCCTCCAGATCGGGAATAGGAAGCTTAGGCAGCGAATCCTGGTTTGCAAAAGTCAAGCCCTGGCTCTTAGGGTTGAGGAGCTCAGCAACCTCAGATGAGGGGTGTTCAGTAGAGACATTTGGTCTCATGACTGTGTGGCCTTGGGGGTCAGACCCAGACCTTTTGCTTGCGTCGGCGTCCATAGAATCGCCGAGTGGTTTGGGGGCTGTGAAGAATCGGACTGCCATTGAGGAGTAAGACATGATGTTAGATGTGTACCTCTCGAGACAAGATAGGATCAGGCGTAGCGACTAGCGAGGACAGTGGGAATTGACAGGAGGCGTAGAGCAGTGCGATAAAAGTAGTGGCAGTCTTGGAGGCAGTATGATGGCATTGAGACTATGTCATGTGAAGATGCAGAAAAATGGGCAAGGGACAAGGGGATAAAAGAAAATGTATGGGAATGTATGAAAGTCACAAGATGAAGGTCACGTAGAGATAAGAGAGAAATTCGGGTGGCAGAAGACAGGAAGAGGGCGTGATAATTTTATATAGGCGTGGGGATAATAAAGTGATCTTGACGGCTGTGGATCCGGCTCGGGCCTAAGGGGAAAAGGGAAAGGACCATAGATTGACCGAGAAACTTACAGAGCACTGTACAATAGTGCAAATGGTATGCAACCCTGAAATGCGGGTTGGCGTGACCGGGTGATACTGTGGAATAACGGAATGATAGCGCCGGAGAAACGGATGAGTTTCGCTGTGCCGTTTGCGTCAGATGTCAAATGCTTGCCAAGAAAAGAAACCCTGTGGACAAGTAGTTCATGGTTTTTACAGAGTCTCTTTAAGTATCATGGAAGATTCTGAGAGTTTGCAATATATAGACATTCACACCTTTACCCGTTTTCATAGGCGATGGGGATGAAATGGCTTTGTCTCGGGAGGATGCCCCTCACCCCGTGGGGGGAATTAAAAGGGAAATGATAGGGTGAGCGGGATATGGGATAGACCAGGCTAAGAACTTACTTCCAAGGTTAATGCCAATCACCAAACCCTGCACGTTGCTGCAGATATCTTGGCTCGGGATAAAGATGTACAAAGAAAGCTTGAAACCCGTTGAGGTTGAGAGATTAAAGTCGACTAGTTCTTTAATAAAGATAGAATAAGAATTCTCGGGAGGGAGGAAGTAGTTTACTTTGTACCCGACACAGAAGTTTGTCTCGGAATCTGAAGTATATCGGCATGGGCTCTCACTTCATGTCCCAATGACGTTTCGGGCGAAGGGACCGGTCATGCGGGGGGAGCTTCGGGTCACGTGAACACAGCGTCATAAAGCCAAACAGACAACATATAACCGTACAACTACAACTACTACAATAAAAAAATTCTACGATTTCGTGGGGTGAGGATGTTGAGATACATGTGACTTCATGATACGCTGGGGTTGTACACAGTACATCGCTCGCAAAAGAAAAAAAATGACGCCAGAGATTTTGTTATCAACAGGATGAGCCGCAACACAGGAGTGGCGGAAGACAAGGAGTCAAAAGAATATTCACAATGGAACAATAATATCTGCATTGCCATGGGTCCTCCAAAATAGAAGGACGAAGCACGCTTGCATACATACAGTATGGGTCACCGATCGAGGCAGGACATGCAAATGACCAAGAAGGTAAAAGACAAGAAGATAAATCCATATGGCGCAAGGCGAATGGGGGAGACATGTTTAGAAGAACAGGATCAATGGGTTTAGATCACTCCACAGAAGATGAACATCAGATGTGGCATTCTCAAATCAACAGCTCCATATATCCCGAGACGTTTATGCGCTCTTGGGCTTCAAGACGTTGTCGGCATACTCGCCGGCGTAGTTACCGGGGGTGCCATAGTTGCAAACAGTGAAGGGGGCGGGGCCACCAGCATTCTGCAAGTTAGAGCAGCTAACAGTGGCGCAACCAACTTGAGTGGTGCCCTTCCAGACGATCTGGGTGAAGTGGCCCCAGTTTTCGAAGTTGGACATATCAGGGCTGGCCTGACCGTACAGGTTGGCGAAGTACGGGGCCTCCTGGGTGTACATCATCTCGCTGATGACCTTCTCACCGACCTGTGCCGCATCGTAACCGTATGCGATGTTCTGACCGTAGGATCCGCTGGCGGACACAATGGAGCTAGTAATGTTAGTATGATTGTGTCTCAAGCAAAACGAAGGAATACTTACGTGTCGTGTCCGTACACGCAACGCGAGGCGAGAGTTTGGGCAGCTCCCGCGAGGTCCTCGGACCAGGTCAAATCGCTGGAAGAGTGGTCGCTACGGTGAAGGTTGTGGTAGTGCAGGATGGACTCTTGGTAGGAGTTGGCAGCGCTAGGGGCGGCAGTGGCAGCGGCGGTGGTCGAGGTTGCCGAAGAGGTAGCGACGGCGGGAGCCTCAGAGGTAGCAGAGGAGGTCACGGCCTGGATTTCGGCTGCGGTGGCCGAAGAAGAAGTGGAAGACGAGGTCGCGCTGCTGGCTACAACAGGCTCAACCTCGGCGGCAGCAGTAGTAGGAGCCGCAGCAGGGGCGGTCTCGACCGCAGCGTTCTTCTTGGAAATGTCGACAGTAGGAAGCGCAGCGTTGACGGGCTTGGTGTGTTCCTGCTTGACCACAACAGCGGTGCTGGGGGCGTTGGTGGGCCACTGGGTGACAGTCTCGGTGACGGTGGTGGTAGTCCACTCAGTCACATAAACCTCCTTCTCAATAACCCTGGCACAAGTGCCGACCGCCAAGGCGGCAAAGATGACAGCAGAACGCATTTTGGGATTGAAGACAAAGAAACTTCTCCAGGAAGTTTGTGAAGAGAAGTCGGGATTGGGTCAAGCAGATCGACTGCGTTGACAAAGGAGTGTGGACGTTAGGGGGTAAATGAATGGCAGGCCTAGAAACACCTTCTTTCTTCAAGGAGTGAAAGAAAGATAAGATGTAGGCTGAAAGAGTGGATGGAGAGGAAGGGAGAGAAGGAGAGAAGAAGGGAGGTGGTAAATAATGTAGAAAGGGGAGATGAGGAGGTGGGGGCCGTGCGAACAAGGATATTAATTTTAAATGAAGTAATGAACTTGAGGAGATTGAAGATGTACTTATTTTATAAATTATTATATCGTTTGAACAACTTCAATGGCTATCTCCCGTACTTATTCTCTTTTCTTTTGGGGATTTTCCAACCTCTTGAGATTTGAACATACCTTCATGTGGCACATTCTGTAGTACATTCCAAGTCCTAGATACCAATTTCGCACAGATATGAGGCTGGTGATTTGGACGGGAATCAAATATTCTCCGAGATTTTATCAGTAATTTCATTTAAAGTATTAAGGATATGGACATATTAAAAAGTAAAATGAAGATATGATGTGTGATGTGTCCCCTGGATGTATTGCCTGGACCACCTCTATAAGCCCACATTATGGAGTACGCAGTACACCCTGCTAATCAGAAGAGACAAAGGAAAGAAGCTAATTAAAAGTACCGCGGGTTTCAACTCAGAAAATCTCAATGACAGTATGGAGTACTCAGCCGTGAAAAATAAGAGCAATCGAGATCTTTGTATGATCGAAGCCAGGGGACCGCCAACGTTGGAAGGCCAAGGGGCTAGGAATAGTTTCAAAGTGTCCACCCGTAGCTTTAACGACCAATCACAAGGGCTCAGAGACAAACAGACGTCCCCACTTGCCCACCCGTTTATCCCGCTAAGAAACTTGGCTTGGAGGCCGATTCGGTAGTCTGCACGGGGCGGATCTGACATAGATTAAAGCAATCAACCTCGTTTCAGCCACTCATTTAAGACGGGATTCAAAATATTCTCCGGGTTACCCCGAATTAAAATGAGAATCCCCTGTTTTTGGGGCTTCAATTGAGTTTTAAGTAGCCCGCGTTCAATATTCCAGGGTTGTCTATGGATCTGCGACAGTGGAAGATCAGAATCAATATCATGACTGGAACAACCAATCAGAGCGAGACGCTCGTTGGGCTTACCTCGCATCCACGGGTCATTGTGGCACAGGGCGCTTATACATTGTAGCAAGGGGAAAATCCAAAACATCATATTTTCTGTACGATCACCTCTGCAATTGTACGGAGTAGAGTACGGAATACTCCGTCGGTAGATTCTAGTGTTCAACATGCACATCCACATTTCCGGCATTTGAGCCCAGGGTCCACAGTCTAGAGGGGCGGGCGGCAGGAGATCCGCTCTGAAATAACGTACAACGTAAAGCGTGCAATACCCAACCAACGGTCCAAGAACGCCACACAAAACACTCCTGAGGTTAATATGAAAAAATGTACCAAAAGAAATTCGTGGCACTCCCCTAGAGATCAATATTTTGGCATCGCCCAGCCTCACAAACCATCAAATAGTTCTTGGCCGGCTCGGCAGCCTTTAAATCTTGAAAGAGCGTATTTCGGGATTTGAGCCAGAAGGACTGATTCCCCACAAAGTCTTTCAGATGTGAGGGGCGAATGTCGACAATCGAAGTGACCACGATAGACGAGGACACAGTCACGCCGGCCTTGGCCCGGACCCGTTGCTGGATTAGGTCGAGTGCCGACACAGGCTCATCATTCCGACTGAGAGTGTCGCCACGTGGATTAGGGATCGAGGAGATATCGGCGGTGGAGAACACACCCGTCACCGTGCGAGTGCCAATCTGGAGGCCCACGATCACGTCCAGCATTCCTACGAACAGGAAGGGGTGCTGAATGATCTCCACCGCGAAGGTGTTGCACGTCTGCCGGGCCAAAGTCCGATAACTCTCATCCTCGACTAGAGCGGATAGGCGCAGCAGATTACGCGCAATGACTCCGTTTACCGAAGGTGTTGCTGACTCGGTGCCAGTCTTCAGACGAAGGAGCGGTCCAGGCATGCCAGGGGTGGTGACGGAAGGTGTGCTGTAGTATCCGGTAGCTGTAGAGCCACTCTGAGCCAAGAAGTATTCATTGAGGTACTCTAGAATCACCAAGTTAGTCATTAGATCCCGTTCAAGGCAAAGGGTATATTCTCACTTTGCAATCGCTCGGCAAATTGAAGATAGCTGTCGTCGTAAGTAGCGTCATACATGTCGAGCAGCCCGCTAGCCAAGTATGCGTAGTCGTCAGCGAAACCTGGGGTGTCTCCACGGTTTCCATCGCGGTAAATGCGCCATAGCTGTCCGGTGGCTTTGTCGAAGAGATTGTCCTTAATGAAGCTGATTGCCCGAGCTGCCGCTTCGCGACAATGCAAAGCCTTGGAGCTCTCGATCTCCTCAAACAGAACACTACACTTGGCAAGCGCACCGATCGCCAATCCATTCCAGGCCACAATAATTTTGTCATCCAGGTCTGGCCGAACGCGTGTTCGTTCGCGGTAATCGTGCAACTTCTGCTTTGACGACCTGATGATCTTAACCACTTCTTCCTCGCTAAGACCGAAGTCTTTAGCGAGTGTGCTCGGCGTGGCACGGATGGACAACACGTTCTGGTTCATGAACTCATCATGCGGGTCGTACTCGGGTGGAACATTGCCATCAGGGAGAACACCCCAGTGTTTGGCGCAAACTGGAGCATCCCGAGGGCCGAGGACTGAAGTGAGTTCCTTCAACGACCAGACATAAAACGCACCCTCCCGCTTTTCGGTGTCATTGGGATGAGGGTAACTGTCGGCATCTTCCGAGGAAAAGAACCCTCCGGTGGGCGACTGTATCGGGAAGCTCGTCAAGTAAGCAGACAGATCATAGACAGCGCCTAAAAGTTCAGGGTCATGAGTGAGCCGGAAAGCGTCCACGTAGACATCCAACAGCTGTGCCTGGTCATAAAGCATCTTCTCGAAATGGGGGAGACCCCAGTCCGTCGTCACGCTATACCGTGCGAATCCGTGGCCGATGTGATCCCGAATGCCACCACGAGCCATATTCACTAGTGTCGTGACGGCCATCGCAGTTGCTTGTTCACACTCATCATGCCCTACAACATCCGTGACCTGGGTCGGGTAGGCACCGAGCCGGAGAAGGAAGCTGAGGTTAGACGGTGTAGGAAATTTGGGTGCGCGGCCAAACCCGCCATTGACCGAGTCGTATCGAGATGCGAAATGCTGATAGGCTTCTTCTAGAAGCTCAATATCCATTTCCTCCTCCTTATCATTATCTCGATCACCTTGCTGCGAGTGCGTCCCTTCCTCGGCAAACTCTCTCAATTGTTTGGTGATTTCTTTAGCGCTGTCGAGACAACGTTGCTGTTGTGTCTGCCAGACATCTCTCAGTTTTTCCAAGATCTCCACAAACCCGATTGCCTCGGGGCCCGTAAATGTGGTTGAATTGGGGCCTTGCCAGTAAGTGCCACCAAACACAGGCTCGAGGTCAGGAGTCAAAAACACATTCAAGGGCCAGCCACCAGAACCCGTTGTGGCCTGGACATAATTCATGTAGATGTCGTCGATGTCTGGTCGCTCTTCGCGATCAACCTTGATGGGGACGAAGGACTCATTCAGAATCGACGCCACCTCTGATGACATGAACGATTCTTTTTCCATGACATGGCACCCTAGACAAGATTAGAATACCAGTAACCCCAGTGAAGTAGTTGTAACCTACAATGACATGCGGAGTAACCGATACTGAGAAAGATCAAACGATTGTGCTTCTTGGCAAGCTCCATAGCTTCTGCATCCCAGACTTGCCATGCTACCGGGTTGTTCATATGTGCTCGGACCTGTTGTTCCGTGAGCGTGGTGCAATTTCTCCCAAGGGAACACATCTCTCACATAAGGGGATTTGCTTTGGTGCAAGCGATTGACCATTTTTGGCCCTGTGTCAGGTACGTCATGACGCGGATGTGACTGGTTGATCGAGGCCGCCATGGTGATTGATTTTCCAATACTTTTGCTGGTCGGAGGCTAGATGTCCGTCAGTCCGAGGCCCAAAGAGGGGTTACTAGCGGGTTCCGGCAGTACAGTACCTAGGTACCCAAGCTTAGAAGCTACCCCACGTGTGACCTAGGGATATAAATGGCTTGTGGCACAAATAATATATCTTAACTGGAGAGACAAATAGGCCGGTTTGGAGCGGGTTGGGAGCGTGTCTTGAAGGATAAAGTCGTGTGCGGGCCGCCATTTAGGCGGGGGAATCGAGGCGAAAGTCGAGGTCGCGGGAGATCGGCCCTGTGCGTCATGGCTGCATCAGGGAGGTCACGTGAGCCATACTATACGGTTGTAGTTGCACTCTATATTGTAACTACACAACTCTGTGTATGTATAGTCTACATTGTTTGGTATTCGGTGCACTGTACATGTCTGCTAAGTATAAACATGCTCAAAACATAATTGGGTATCACATCATCTAATCGTCTCCCATTAGCTCTGCCAACTCTGCCTCTTCCTCAGCCGTTAGCATTGATTCGGCTGGCTTTTCCTCCCCCTTCTCCTCTTCTGCGGGCTTCTTTGCAAGTTCCACTGCCTGCTGAAGCTCATCGGGTCGAAGGGACCATTGGCGAATGGTCGCATCAATTCCTACGCTGACAACGGTTGACCCTACAAGCACAAGACCAGTGACCTCTTCGAAGTGGCCAGAGAAAGTATGATGCAGTGCTCCGGTCTATTTTGATCAGCATATATGCCATAGAAAGACTGAAAAAGAAAGAGACCCTTACCGATCGGTTCCACACTCTGACTTCCTCGTCCCGACAGGCAGTCACAACCCAGCCTCCCGTTTCATAGACGACAACATCACGGACAAAGTCAGGATGCTCTAGGGTCAGGTTGGCCTTCCATCCATCCTGTCGAACCAAGCACTTGGCAGTCTTATCAGCCGAAGCAGTCCAGAGATCACCGTCATTGTCGAAAAAGAGCTTGTAGACACTGGTTTCATGTGGAAGGAGAGGGTCAGTAGTACTACCCCCGCCAAAGATACTGAATTGACGAATCTCCCGGTCACTTCCTGCACTAAATACGATGGGTTGGGTGCTCTCTGATTCCGGGTCAAGGGCAAGGTCCTGGATGCCGCGAGTGTGGCCCTTGAAGGTCTCCAACCGCTCACCACTTGTGATATTGAACACTAGGACTTGTGCATCGGCACCACCGGAGATGAGCAAGTCATCTCCAAGCAGTCTTGCGCTGGTGACTGATCGAACAAAGTCATTATGGCCTTCGTACTTCTGACGTTGCTGGCCCGTGGCTGTGTCCCAGCTCCAGATAGCTTTGTCCCAGCACCCGGCAAACAGGAGCTTGCCATCGGGACTCAGACAAAGACTAGTCACGGGGGCCATAGGACCTGTAAACGACCTAGCTGTTTCTCCTGTCTGTAGAAATGTAAGAATTTCGGGAATTTGAGATGGTTTGAGATTACGGGTGCACTTACGGCAAGGATGATCCTTCTCACAGTGCCATTGCTTTGCGCAACATAAATCGAGCCAGTATTCCAAGGGTCTGGATGAGCTGCTAGGATCTTGCCTTGCACTCGAATAGGGTTTCCATTGGTGTTCTGGGACTTGGCATCTTTCCGCTCCTGTTCATCCAAAGATGCACTGTGAGGGACATCAATTAACACTTTTTGATTCAAAGATCAAAGAATTGCTTTGACTCACGATGTCTGAAAGAAATGATCTCGGTTCGAAGATGTCGTCATCGTGTCTCAAGTCTCTAAAAAATCAAGTCAAACGTACAAGCAGCTCTCATTTTTCCCCATCAACTTCCCCCCCCGCCAACTCCAAAATTGCTATCCGAGCTTGCGTCGTCCACCGTAGCCCGTATCCTCCACAAAACCACAGAATTTGCGTTTCCTCTCCCTTCCCTTCTCTTCCCAACCTCCTATCTCGTCTCTTTAAACCTCTGCGTTTTCCTATTCTTTCCCTCCGTATCCCCTCATTTGTTTACCCCGCGCGATATCGCGCACAGCTGCCATGGAAATGAACCATCTCATAGGGTCAGTCTGAACCGTTTCGGAGCCAAGGTGGCCGGGAGTTAACATATGGCAGTCAGCGTTTCAACCTGATCTCGAAAAGTGACATTCGGTGAGTTTATCAAACTCTCAATTGCCATGTCCACAATTAATTGTCTTTTAGCTATGTCGGTACTCTTCACGAAATCAACCCCGAAGCTTCCACGATAGCTCTTGAGAATGTCATGTCATTCGGCTCAGAAGGGCGCCGTGGCAACCCCGCCGAGGAAGTCCCACCCTCAACCAGCGTCTACGAGTACATCGTCTTCCGAGGAAGTGATGTGAAGGACATCAGCATTGCTGGGGAGGACCAAAAGGATCCCGCACCGCAAGAAGCACCTCGGGTACCAGATGACCCTGCCATTCTCGGGGTAAGTCACCACAGCTCTTTCCTCGATCTACCACGTCATCCCGCACAACAAACCACCCCCCATTTTCTCAGCGAATTGATCAAGTGACGAAAAATTCTCGGATGTAAACTCACAGACCTGTTCTGAATGCGCAAAACCGTGTAGAGATTTCCGTTGCCTTCCTTCTGATGATCAATTCTCCATCTTGGACTTGTTTTCTGTGTCATTGTGTATACAGTGTGCTGACTAGCGCAAATAGGGCGCTCAACGACCAGTTCCTCCCCAGGGGCCTGACTCGGGACCTGCTCCACAGAATCTTCCTCCCCAGGGCCCTCCACAGGGACCTCCCCAGCTGCCCCAGGGAGCTGGCCCAACCCCTCCCGGCTACCCCCCGCAGCACCAATTCCAGCAAGGTTTCTACCCTCCCTACGGACAACGATTTGGACCTCCTCCTCCATTCCCTCCCGGTCCCGGTTTCCCGCCATATGGTGCTCCGCCCGGATGGTACCCCCCTCCAGGCCATGGATTCCCCCCCGGCCCTGGTCAATTCCAACCACCGATGCCCATTGGCCCTGGTCAACAGCCTGGACCTCAGCAGTCAGGACCTCAGCAGCCTGGCCCTCAGCGCCAGGGACCTCCCGGTGCCGCTCCCGCGCCTAAGCCCACCTCTGAACTCCCGGTCGGGGACAAGCTTCCCAGCAAGTCTAAGAGCGGTAACGCAACCCCGGCCGCTCAGCACGCTCCCACTCCTCCAATCGAGTCCAAGCCTACTGTGGCTGAAGCTTTGCAAGGTCCTGTCAGTTCTGCTCCTCTGAATGCTGTCTCTCAGAAGAATGGCCGAGTCATGCCAGCTATCCCGATCGCTGCCCCAAAGCCTGCTCCTCCCATTGGCCACATTGCTACTGCCCCTCGGGGAAATAACCAGTCTACCACCGATGCGACTGCGGCCGCCACTGCTGCCGTTGCTGCCGCCATGGCCAAGTTGCCGCAGCCTGTGGCTCAAAAGCAACCCGGACAGCCTGAAGGTGCCGTGGACGCGCTTACGCAGCAGATGAACCACATGCGCCCTTACGACAACACCCGTGCTCCCCGAGGCGGTCACCACCACCCTCGTGGTGGACGCGGCGGTGCTCGTCCTCAGCAGCAGCCCAAGAAAATCGAAGTCCCTCAATCGGATTACGATTTCCAGACCGCAAACGCCAAGTTCAACAAGCAGGATTTGGTGAAGGAGGCCATTGCCACTGGAGTTCCTGTGGCTGAAGCTGAGGCGCATGCAGCCGAGGAGGCCGAATCCATGGAATCCATGTCAAACAGCGGCGCCGCCTCTTCGAACCATGGCTACAACCGCGGTTCTTCCTTCTTCGACAATATCTCGAGTGAGTCTCGCGATCGTGAGGAAAACACCGCTCGTATGGGTGGTCGTGAATGGCGCGGCGAGGAGGAGAAACGCAATATGGAAACCTTCGGACAGGGTAGCGTTGATGGCTACCGGCCCAACTACCGCGGTCGTGGCCGTGGCCGCGGCTATGGTCGTGGTCGAGGTGGTTATAGTCGTGGCTACGGCCGTGGCCGCGGCGGCCGGGTCCCCTCGGAGTCCACTGGTGTCCCATCCCAGGGTTGATCGAGATCTTTTTTTTGATTACATGTCCTTCTAGCGATGATTGCTATCTTGTTTTCATATTTGGGGTGGCAAGACCTATGACCGAAACGAATAATCACACTTGAATCTTTTTCTAGTCTCTTCGGCGCAATGGCAAACTGGGGCCGGGGGCATACTGGGTTGGCCATACGATACTTCCTGCGACAGCAATTACGGGTGTTTTTTTTTCTCTTTCGTTTATTGTTATCTTTTTTTTTCATCTTCCACGCATACCCTTTCTGCAGCGTCTTTTGAAATTCCTGGATCCGGTGGATTCTTCCTTCTCGTGTTTTCAAGTTTTCACTGCGCAGAAAGTGGCCGATGCACCATGATCTCTCGTGCTCGCCGGCATAGAGCAGATATCGTTATTTGTGTGTAAACCATCTGGGGAGCAAATTTCCCTCAACGACCTAAATGAAAAAGGCAAAAAACGAGGCCGAATGGTCTTCGAATCTGTTTCTTCCATTGTAGATGTAAACACTATGTGCAGCATTGTAATTCGCAACATCCAAGCTTTTTAGCGCTCCTTATCGAGGCCTAATACCCCAAAAAGCAGCTCAATATATACTACTCCGCATGGAGTATAGTTCATCAATAGTTCCAGGCGTCATTGGGTCCCAACTGTTGCTTCTTTGTGAGCTCTACTCCCCGAATTTGATACATCATATATCATGCTTTTACCACCTGGGCATGAGCTGACCGCTTATTAGAAATTGTAATTGTAACAAAGAAAGAGGAAGCCACACTAGATAGTTCGATTAACTACTCCGTATGCGGAGATTTATACATCCCCGCTGAGATAGCTCCGATCTCGATACGCCATTCAAAGAACAGTTGGAAACCATCCGACATGCTCTGCCCAAGGTCCCTTGCTTCCCCTATAAATTCGCCCCGCCATGTGTGTAACACGTAGCTTTTAATCAAGTCACTGTCCAGTCACTGTGCTACTAAAACTGTTAAAAACTGGGGTTTAAACTCTTCTTCCCTCGTTGTATACCACTGCTCCATACTTCGCCATGGCGTCCCACAGTATCTCCAGACTCTCTGCCATATCAAGTCATATTGGAAATAACTCTATGTTATCTTCCACTCAAGTTGCCAACCAATTACCCTGGGATCCTAATAACACCAAGTTCCCTTCGCGGAAGGATCTTCCAAAGCTTCCTAGCGCACCCGACGGTGCCGCTTGGGTCTGGGGCAAAGATGATGAGGTATGATGCTGCCATTTACTCTCCGTATGTTCCGTTTTCACGTAGCTAATCCGTCTGATGTTTAGGTAGGCAGATTAAACCTCTTGACTCCACAGCGGGTCAAGGCATCTGCTGCTGAGATTCTTACTGGCGAGATGGTGCGACTGGAGTAAGTTGAGTGGACTATAAGATTAGTCTAAATCAAAATATCTGCTTACAAGTATCAACATCAAGCCTTCCTCTCACAGTGCCTGAGACACCGGCTTTTGACCGCGAAGTGTTCCAGCATAACATCAAAACGCTTATTGATGGCATTGCTTATGATGATACTTACACTATGAACACCCAGAGTGGAACGCAGTGGGATGGATTCAGGCATGTAAGTGATTATTCTCACTAAAAGAAACCCCGGTCTAATACGTCCTAGTTCGGCCACATTGACAGCAAGTGTTTCTACAACGGGGTATGCTCCAAACTTCCATTTTCCGTCTCCAAAAGCTAATATATCAACGCCTAGGCTAAAGGCAGCGACTTTGTAGGCGACACCGCAAACCACCGCTGCAGCATCCACCACTGGGCAATGCACGGAATCGCCGGCCGAGGAATCCTCCTAGACTACCACCACTACGCCAAAACTCATAACAAGCCCTACGACCCCTACACAACACACAGCATCACCCTATCAGAGTTACAAGCATGCGCAACCTCTCAAGGTCTAGATCTACGCCCACAGTCCGAAGGCGGCGACATCCGCATCGGAGACATTCTACTCGTGCGCTCGGGCTTCGTGGAGCGATACTACGAGCTCAGTCCTGAGCAGCGGTATGCAGCTGCGACACAGTCCCACGAGGACATGTGCTTCGCCGGACTCTCGCGCGAGCCGGCTATCCAGGACTGGCTGCATGATTGCTATTTTGCGGCTGTGGCGGGTGACTCACCGACGTTTGAGTCGTGGCCTGTTCCTGAACAGGACTATTTGCATCAGAGCTTGCTTGCGCTGTGGGGGTGTCCTATTGGTGAGATGTGGGATTTGGAAATCCTCGCTGAGAAGTGTCGGTCGAGGGGGAAGTGGTCTTTCTTTATGACTAGTGCTCCAGCCAATATGCCTGGTATGTATTTTTCTATTTGTGTGTTGGGTGTATGGACTATGCTAATGGGTTGGTAGGTGGAGTTGGTTCCCACGCGAATGCCACTGCTATACTTTAAACGGGATTTGCGTTATATCGAGCGTATTATTTTAAGTGCTTCAAGTGGCTGTCAATGCAACGCAGTCTTACTATCAAGCTGTTGAAGAAACTGGCTCTTCTATGCTTTGGGTCTAAATATATATCTGACGCTGCGCCCCCTTTTATTATCTATGGAAATCATGGACATTTTAGGGGCACCATCGTTAGAGATAGAAATTAGACGAGCTTACAGGCCTTTTTTCGTACTCTTTTAAGTTTCCTTTTAAGTTCACCAATATAATCCTTAGGTTCGGCTAAACTTCGGGCCAAGAACCAACTCCGCATTTCTCCACGTTTTGGCCGTTCCCGGTATTTTGCATGCTGATATTGAACTTTTTTTGCTTTGGACTACGCAAACCCGGGCCGGATTGCCGTTTATTGTTGGCTTTAAATTGCGCACTTCCATCTTCCGGTCTTACCCAAGATACCGGATTCTCTATCTCATCATGAGCACCCAAACGCAAACAGAGACAATCGTGCTACAGACAAGAGCTTCCACCGAAGTGACTCCAACCGAGAATGACGCATTCCCAGACTCAAGACCCCTAGAACCAAAATGGAAGTATGCCAAAATCCTCAGTGCAGGACTATCCTTTTTCGTCGCGGGTGTCAACGACGGAAGTCTAGGATCGATCATTCCGTACGTGCTACGCACCTACGGCATCGGCACAAACATGGTAGCCGTCCTGTAAGACCAGACACCGTACCAAGAATATTCAATCTTGATATGCACTATAACACTAACACCACCAGATACGGCACAACCTTCTTCGGCTGGCTAATCGCCGCCCTAACCAACGGCAAAATAACCCAATACCTAGACCTAGGCCCAATCCTCAGTCTAGGCGCCGCCATCCAAGTCCTAGCACAAGTACTGCGCGTCTGGGAACCCCCATTCGCATTGTACGCAGTGACATTCTTCCTCGCCAGCCTGGGCCAAGCCTACAACGACACACACGCGAACACCTTCGTCTCGGCGCTGAACGGCGCGCACCGCTGGCTCGGCTTTATCCATGCTATGTACATGGCCGGGTGTCTGGTTGGTCCGTTCGTAGCGACGGGCGTGGCCTCGGCGAATGTCGATTCGAAGTGGTATCTGTTTTATCTTTTCCCGCTTGGCGTGGGTGTGGTGAATCTTGCCTTTGTGGCTGTTTCTTTCCGGGATCGGATGGCAACGCCGACTATTTTGAGGGGGGAGAGGGCGGGTAGGTCTGTTTCGAATTCTGCGCTCAAGGAGATTAAGGATACGCTTTCTACTCCTGGGGTTTGGTTGCTGAGCTTGTTTTTCTTTTTCTTTCTTGGGGCTACTATCACCGCTGGAGGTTTGTTTTTCCTTATTTCTCTACATGTTCTATGAAACTAATTATAGCAGGCTGGATGGTCGAGTACCTCGTCAACGTCCGCAACGGCGACGTCAAAGAAATGGGTTATGTCCCAGCGGGCTTCTACGGCGGCGCCTTTCTAGGACGTCTTATTCTCGCCGAGCCTACGCATAGATTCGGCGAGCGCCGGATGATCTTCCTTTACGCTTTGCTGTGTGTGGGTTTGCAGTTGGTGTTCTGGCTGTGAGTTTGGCACTATCTCCATGATCCCATCTATATACCGACCCCGATATCTTGCGTTGTCTTTGCTAATACTTATGCTGTACTAGCGTCCCAAATATCATCACCGAGGCAGTAGCAGTCAGCCTATTGGGATTCTTCTCTGGTCCTTTCTTCGCAACAGTAAGTGTCACCACTCTATTTTCCTGATCCCAACTCTAACTCCTGGCGCAGGGTATATCGGTTGGCTCAAAGATCTTCTCGCCAGCGATCCGCTCTTCGGCAATCGGTAAGCCAATCCCACAGTCTTGGAATCCGCGGGGCAGTACATTTTAATATTCTAACCCTGATCCATATAGCATTTGTCTTCGTGCTGGGTCAAATTGGCGGATCCGTCTTTCCAGCTTTGACGGGCATCATCGCGGGAAAGGTTGGTGTGCAGGTCCTGCAGCCTATGCTTGTTGGTTTGCTCTGTGCCGCTGCTGCGAGCTGGTTAATCTTGCCTAAGGATACTGCCTTACATCAGGATTGAGGGGCTTTGTAAAATCGAGCTTCATAGTATACGACGGTGCTGCTATTAGTCTACAGAGTTAAGAAGCATGTGCGTGAAAAGCATGTATAAAGAATACATCTTTCTTTAGGGGCTTCGAGAAGATAGACGTACAAGGTTTTGTAACGCAGAAACGATTCCAGCTTCATGAGATTAAACAACCCAAGGCACCAGGGTATAAAAATTCATTACTTCGTTACATCACGACAACCAACAGCGCGAGAAATCAAAACGACCAACCAAAAAGAAACCCAATGAAATACACACCCTCGCACAGCTATGACAAAAACGAATACCCAACATAAAAAACCTCATAAGCATCTTTCCTCATAAGAAAATAAATGGAACCAAAAGCCCTCAGAAAATATCCTCAGGCCACTGGTAATCCTCAAGGCCAGAAATCATAGAATCCACAACAGAGCCTGACGACAGAGAAAGCACAGGGGCAGAAACAGGTCTCTTTTTAGGCGACCTATTGACATTGACCCTGACCTTAGCAGCACTCGAGCGAAGTTCTTCGGGGAGGGGCGGTACGGGCGGGATATCGTCGTCACAGAGATACCCAGACCGTCTCCGACTAGGACTCGTCTTCGACCGTGTCGGGGTGTGAGGGCTACGATCAGGATTGAGCTGGCGCTGTGGGTGGTGGTAGAAAGCTTCGCGGTGGGAGTCACCTGGCGGAGCAGGCAGAGGCGTAGACCAGATACTAGAACGAGAATCGTTGTCCGAGGCAGCAGCAGGCGAAGATGCCGGGCGCAGGTTGGTCTGCGTCTTTCTCATGCGGAGAGGGGTTGTGGGCTTGGAACTTGGTGAGCGGGTGGTTCCGGAGACTTTTCGGGGTTGAACATAGGGGGACCTTTTGATATTGCGCGTGGCACTTGCACTTCCTCCTGCATCCTTTTCTTCGTGCTCGGTCGGGGGAGCTGCGTGGTCGATGGCATGTTTGCGCTTGGCCGAGCCGGGGCTCTCACCGGCCTCGGATTTCGGCCATTTTGGTTTTCCGGATGGGCTAAGTAGACCGGAGTCAATCAGAACCTCGAGGTCGGGCTCGAGTTCATGATCGTCGATGCCTTTCGTCGGACTGGGCCGAGGAGGGTTCCCACTATCGAGAGATTCAGGAATGGAAGACTTCCGTTTACGGGAAGAGCGGTCCTTACCCATTGACGACGGCTGTGTCCCTTTTGAGCGCCATTTCGGACTTTGGGCCATAGCCGGGGTTTGAGGGAGTCGTGATTCTTCGAAGGAGAAAGTGTCGCGGTCGTCCACGGACGGCAGGGCCGTCAGATTGGCCGCTTCGGATCCAGACGCCTCGTTTTCTGCGGCCTGTTGATCCAGAAGCCTTTCCGACGGCAGAGTGGGAAGGGCACCGGGGACGAACTTCCTTGGGAACAATGCGGGATCCATCTCGGTATTGAGGGTCTTAGGTTGGGCTGTAGGTGCTGGGGTCCGTTCCTCGTTGCCTGTGAGGTCACGAAGCTCTCGACGGGCACGTTGCAGCTTGTCCTCGAGGTTACTAACTTTCTTGAGCAGCTTGGTTTGGCGCGAGAGTTCCCTGCGGGAGGGTTGCTTGCGCAGCCCAGTCGGCTCGTATTCATCTGAAGTTCTATCGCAATACACTGCCGGGGAAGCCGATGGCGATCCATGGGATTTGAAGAATGACTTCGGCAGGCGAAGATCCTGAAGAGAGGAGCGTTTGGAAGCTGAAGACTCAGAGCGTGAGGGTGCACGATGGTTTGCTTGATCAATTGGGTAGCGATGCGAGTCTTTGACTGGAGAACTGTATTCCATCTTGTGCTGGATAGACCGCCAGGTCTGGTCGGCGAGGGCGGTGTTGACACCAAGATCCTCAGTGTAATGACCCTTGTTCGTACCCTTGTAGCCAGCCTTCTTCAATTCCGCATATGCCTGCTCCGCCTGGTTGATGACATCCTTCTGCGGCGACTTAGTAGGCGACCCCTCAGAGTTCCTCCCCCATCCACCGAAGGGATTAAACGCCGAGGCAATAGCCTTCCCAAAACGAAAGATACCAGATGAGCGGTGCTGAAGGCCAGGACGCTTATTTTCCTGCTCCTGGAAGTAGATGCTAGGCGGTTTCTCGCTCACACTATCACTCATAGTTGCTTCGACGAATCTTGATGTTCGTCCTCTGGGACGGCGGGGGCTGGAAGCAGATGCCGCGGCATGGCGAGCGCGCAGCGAAGCAAGCGAGCCGCGAGGTGAAGCGCGGGGCGAGGCCTTGTAGGCAGAGCCATTTCCGCTCACGCTGAGACTCCCGTTTTCACCGCGGTGGGTGCGGCGATCATAGGCTCCGTAATCAGCGGCTTCTTCGGGCAACGGCCAGTCGTTCGAGCGACGTCGTTTGGTCAACTTCGCTGCTGGGGATCGGCAACCGTCTGCGTGTACCTCTTCGGCATCGTCGAATTGTCCAGAGACGTCTGAGCTCCAATCGCAGTTATCGTCGTCGCTAGAGCGTAGGTGCTTGCGCGAGGTGCGCTGGTGTGCGGGGCTCGGGTCGATGTCCATTTCCATTTCAATTTTGGAGTCGCGGGCGCTGAGACGACGCAGGGAAGTTAGATTCAATCCTTCTTATGCGGGCTTTGAAAGTCCCTTCCATGGGGATTGGATTATAACAAGGGACCTTACCTTGGCAGCTTGGGTTATCCTTTTTTCCCCACGCCCTTGGAAAGATATCGCAAAAGTCTGTCAGAATTTGGCATGGAAAGCTAGTGCTTCAAGTGGTGAGAGGGAAGAAATAAAGGTAAAAATGAAAATGGAAATGGAAATCTCGGGAGAGAGAAAGTGATGCGCAGGTTTGTTTACATACTCCGCACTTGCCAAGGGGGGAAGTTTGTTGTGGTACCTGGTACCCACCTCTACTGCCAATCTTCCGTGATTTACAAAGTACCCGTTACCTCACCAGAATGTCCCATATCCCCAAAACAAACATACTATTATCCCCATTAATGATGCAAGTATGTATATCTATATGGACTCGATGTAGAATTCCGCGTGTCTCAGACATGTGCCTGTATTCGATAAGGAATGTAGAATATGACATATCCAACCTAGAGATATGTATAGGATTGATAACACTTGGCTACTAAAATAAGGGTACATGCATTCTGATGGTAAATTGGTGCAAATCATAGATTGGGGTAAAAAAAAAAATGCTAGGTGTCAAGGAGATGCCACAACGCCAGTATAAAGAGTAGATTAAGCAGCAGGGATTGGCTGTGAAGCAAGGAACCCAGTATCGCAACGTTAATGAGACCTGCCCTTGGCTGTTCGGAAAGTGTATGCTCCAAGAGCAATGCTGAAGAACATCCTAGCTAGAGTCGAGATAGGGATAGCATCCCCTGTTCCGATCCCATGGGATGAAGGGAACAAGGCGCCTTGCTCTTGATGATGAAAGTAAGCAATTCGAGAATGATACAAGTCCGAGAAATGGATGTGACAAACATAAATGATCATTGGGGCAGGGAGTATGAATAGCAAACCGCCAAACCCCTATATAACTCCGAACTTTGACCAAAGAAATTTCTCGCAAAAGAGTGGAACATGAAAGAAGAAACCAGTTCTCGAAGAGATGAGTCCAAATGCATCGAGGAATATAGGGCTCAAGTAGCCTCAATGAGGAATCAGGAGAGAGATTATGTACAAAAAAGATGCAATCAGGTACCATCACAATAAGCCAGTTCATTAACCTGGTTGAGACTCGGTCATCGAGGCAAGCCCGAGGCAAATATATCGTGCTTTCCACCATTATGGCAGGATATTTGAGGCCATTTCAGATATTATTAACTCGACGGAGGGGCTTTCATGACCATTTTGCCGTTAGCACGCTTATAGGACAACTGAATGCCCATTTCCGCCATAAGTGCAGCGCGACTTTCTCCCGCGAAATCGCGATAAGCCGGATAAGGCTCGGTATCAGGCCGCATGCCGTTCTGCATTGACCGGTCATCAGGGCCGAAAGTATCTTCATGACTCCTTTTGCCGTATGCTGGCCCAGTTTGGTATACCATACGCTTCCCTCTAACGTTGTCGTAACCACCACCACTGCCGGGTGAAGTGCTTTCCACAGAAGGAACAATCTGGTTGGCATATTCATTTGGCAGGGGCTTGAGAGGCGGGATGGACTGCACCAAGTTCGGTGTTTGAGAACGCGACACCGGAACATTGGGCATGGATTGGTATAAACTTGGTTCAGCCACGCGGGGATCCACGTATGAGTTTGGTTTCGGTGGCTCCATGCCATAGGAATTCATACCAGACTTGGGGTATCCACCTCGTTCGGCAGGTATTTGAGGCGCCGGATACGCAATGGGTGTTCCTTCGTATTCGGAGGCGTTGGATGAGTGTCGTATCTGGGCATATGCGTGCTGTGGGGAGTAGATACCTTGCGGTGCAACCGGTGGAGGTGTAGGAGGCATGTGAGGAGCTGGATAATGCGAAGGCGTGGAGCCAAATGAGAGGTGTGATTGGTATGAGGGTGTTTGCGAGTGTGACATGGGTGCAGGTGGCAAGGGTCTTTGATAGGTTTGCGGGCCCTGGAAGCCATAGTCGGGCGCAGATGGTCGTCGATCTGGGGGAACAAACCCGTAGGGCGATTCCATATTGCTACCATTGCTGTTTGACCTAGGGCGATCCATCGAAGCTGCGTATCTGTCGGGTGTTGTGAAACGATCTGATGATCTTGCATACGCAGCTGCGCGATCCTCGCCGAATTCATAGTCCTCTTCTCGCTTGTCGCCCCGGCGTCTCATACGAACATCACGACGAATGCGAACACGGCAACCCTGCTCAGCAATGATACGGCTCAGAGAGGTGCTGGTTGCTAGGCCAGGGAACTTCTTCGCGCTATAAACGGTAAAAGGCACTGACTTGACCTCGAGACGGAAATGAAGGAATGCTTGCGGGGTTCCCGGCTTTGAGGTGGCGGAAAGAGGAATTTGGTTGGGAAGAGGCAAGGTCGAATCCTTGTCAGCATCCTTGGCTTCCTTGATCTCTTCGTACAAGTGGAAGTTCAAGCGGTACCGGCCCTCATGGCGCACCGACAGATCTGGGAAGATGAAATAGCCTGCTTGTGAGGGGCGGTCGAGATATGCGACACCGGCGACTGGCACACCAGTCAATACAGGACACGACTGTGGTCCACCCACCCGTCCGTGGGCGATAGGGCGTGCGGTATCAAGGGTCGCGTAGAGGAAGAAATTGGCATTGTAGGCGAAGGTGATGTCGGTCTTTTGCGCATCGTTAGCCGGGTCAGACTCGAAGATGCGTAGCTCAACCACAGGCGGTGGGTCAACAGGGCGACGGTCGGCAGATGCTATTAGGGATGGTCAGTCAACGCGCAGCCCTGATTAGGCTCAACAGCAAATACTGACACTTTGCTCCTGCGCCGCATGCTCTTGCCCGCTCTGGCTGTTGCATCACGCTCAGTTTGTACGTGAGCTGTTTGCCTTCACGGGTGATCCGGCTAACTGAGTGCTCAGTCTCATTATGAGGCGGCATGATGGGTGGTCTGCTGGCCATTTTCGCGTGTTGATGCTATTGTTCCCAGATATTCTGCCGGTCGCAATATCAGCAAAGGTTGATCGCGTGGTCGGAGGGTTCGTCCTATGTCGATTCTCCAACGGAGCGCAACGTACAAAATCCGGAATCAACAGGGCCTTGGATGAGTTGTGCTGATTTATTTTTGGTAGGATATTGCCTTCTTATCCCCCAGTTCCTGGCCTCACATAAGTTGGAAAGACTTCCTAGGTAGTCAAATTGATACACCCCCACACATGCAGGAAAAGAACAAAAATGAATCCCCGATGAATTCAGGGAAACTCGAAGTCCAAATCAAGTGATGGGAAAGTAGAGAAGAGGAGAGGGGGCAGAGTGGGAATTGATGACACTAACAGACCCCGAGCCCTGGTTACGCCTCCCGATTATGGGTAATTGCGGTATGAACAAAAGTACCTGTTCGGTCGGTCCTGGTCCCTGTCGAACCCCGTATGGTTTCCTTGTTTCTGACAATGTTCCTTCTAATATAATACCTATATGTACTGATATAACAGCGGAAATACTATGTATAATAAAATTTGATCTGAAATATGAAATATCACTAGTACTGACTTTGCGAGGTCAGACTTTAACAAGATGACATGAAGTTGCAGATCTATTTGCTTTTTTTGGCTGTAAGCTATGGTATTTATTTTCCATGGAACACCTCCACGTTACCCGGCGTCTATATTCCTGGGTTCCAAGGTTCCGGCCGCAACCCAGTCCAACGGACCGGAGTCCCCTTATTTTCCCTGGTCTCCATAATGCCTTATGCTTATATTGTATACCTCTGTAGATGAATATCATGTCGTTTAATAAGATCTTGCCGTTTGAAAAGTTCCAGGATCAATATGAATTTATTAGAATAAATTCCACTGATAAATTTCAAATACCGTGTATTCGCATTACGGGTCTAGTCCCCCTGAGAACATTGAACATAAAAAACAAACGGACTTGGAACTTCGAACCTTCCGACTTGGACCTCCCAATCTAATTAGACATTGATTGTACAAATCGTCAGTGATTCGCTTCGACGATCAAGCCGGACTCCATCGAACCACCGATCCCCCCTCACGGCTGACTCCACTAAGCCAATCAGCGATATCTGTAATGAGCATCTTGGAGTCTTGGACCGACTAGACGGTTTCCGGCAGGAGTGGCCCCCAACTGCCAGCTGTTCATCCAATGTGCGCGCAGTTCGATGATAAATTTTAATCTGCAAATCCTTTTTTTTCGCTGCATCCCCGGTCATCCATGTCTATCGCGGGAACTCGGATGATCTTCTAATCTGCTTATAGTTGTAGTGGATAAATTATGCATACTTTTATCTCTTTCCTTTTATTTGGTACGACCCATATGGAATATGGAGTACTCGGTACGAAATATGGAGAATAGTGTCAAGAACATTTGAATGTAACCTAAGCAAGTATTACTGGAAGTCGCGTCAACTCAATTGAGCAGTTATTCCTTGGTATTATTCCCATCAATAATATCTGACTCCCCTGTTGATATGAATCAAATACCGTATATATAACACCTCCCTGCTATCGCCCCATTAATTGTACACCCATTCAGTGATTTATTCTAAAATCTCAATGTTGAACAGACCGAAGAAAAGAAAAATCGAAAAAAGCTACTCCGTACTGCATTTTAGGGCCTGCAGTTTTAATTACATTACAAAGTACATGATCTAGCGAGGAATTTCAGACTGGGCCGGGTCTAACGGCTCTTTTGATGTGCTCTAAGAGACGTGAACACAATATTTTTTATGACTGTTGTAATGTATATGATACATGTTATATTCCGAAACAGATTCCTTTATATCCGCGGACTACTCCGTACGGAGTAATTATATTCAATTACGGATCTCCTTTGGCGTTTTAGTACCGGGGAAGTCGGGCCATGAGAAACTACTGCATCAGCTCGAAATAGTCGATCCGCCTGACTCAAAATCCCCTCAGCCCACTTGCCCATAACTACAACATAAACTGACGAACAAAACTCATATTTTACAAGATATTCCAAGTGATAATGCGAGTCTGTATAATCTAGACCTGGCATACTCCGTTCTTCAACTCGGTACGGCAGAATTCCTTGTGGCGCCGAAGATCGTCTGCATAAGTGATGCACTCCTGGATATATTTTTCATTTCCTATGATTCACTTAGTCCATACAACATACGTACTGTCGTACACACTCGGTCCAAGCTTTGTCAAAGCTTCAAACCCCCCACTCAGCCATGTGTTGCAGGGGTTGGGAATCTTCACGGCACAATGCGAACAGTCACTCACTGGAGTAATCTTGGAAGGAAGGATGACTTTGAAAGTATCCGTACTCCGTACCCCGTAAGCAATTGTTATACAGTTGCCTTATCCAACCCCCGAGCCTAGAATGAATTCAGCCGTTAGTGTGGCTCCCCCAGCCTCCCCGAAGATCCCACAACGTATTGCCAGGATTCAGCGCTTTGATATTCTAGAAGGATTCACTATATTTCAGAGATTTCGTTAGCACTCTGCAGGCTCTTTCTTGGCCTCTACTCCATACATATTATATTGTATTCTATGTTTGTGGAAAGGGCTGTTACAAACAACTCCGCGGGTATCATTCCTAATGCAACAATAGAAGATGTACGGAGTACACAAGTTCAATCATTCAAGGGACAAGTATATGGATTCGGTAGGAGTCTATCTCGCATCTACCCAGACATATGCAAGTGTTTCCCGTTGTTCTGACTGAATCATGCTACTCTGTCTTTCCGACTCTGTACATAAACTTGTAATATCCGTCTTGGCCCCGAGCAAACCCTGTCAAAGCGGTCGATAATGGTAGCGCTCCGGGCCTGTCTTTGCATTTTGACAATTGCCTTGATCGGGATGGACGACAGGAGGGGTTTATCATGTGAGTGGCTGCTAAATGGATCGAAGGTTGTCAAAGGGTAGAAAATATGGACTTACCCCTGTCTGCAGCTAGGGTCTTGTAGGCAACCCGCTGCCCTTTACCCTTTGTTTGTGTTAGTGTGATACGGTGGCGCCAGGATAGGTTCGGGGCTATTCTGTTATGTTTTATGATGTCAGTAGGAGAGGTGTACAGCTGATTCTTCGCTGTGAAGTATGACTGTATCATTGTTCCATGACATGGTCCAGGTTATCTCCCGTGTTGCTTTTGGAAAAAGAAATCAGGCACGTTTGATCTCGGTTACGATCTGCGGAGCAAACAACACTCAGATCGTCGCATACAACATACGGGCAAACACGAGGATCTACAACCAAATCCCGATTGTAGTTTGTGCAGACTCCTGGGACGACTCACATCTGAGCTGAAATAATATGATATATTACTTCGTTCTCCCTTGAAATTGAAGTTAGGAATAGACCGCCAGTTCAATTTTTCTACTGGCCAGTGGAAGAGAGATTAAATAGATCCTCAGCAAGCCACAAACTACTAGTAGACTAGGCCCCCCAAAACTCATGAAACAATTTGATTCTCTCACGCGACTACGGAGTAGCGGCGTTGGGACGGGTCATAGTGACATCAGATAGTGGTCCTACAATATATATTTATATTGTACACCTAAAACCGTAAGTCGACTCTAGTCCACAATACCGTATACAATAAGAGGAGTCAATCAAAATCTGCCCAAAAAATGCGAACAACTCATGAACAAGATAATTAATGAAGACTTGCAATAATAACTACTCATTTGGCACGGATGCATCGGCCCTGGCGGATTTCAAACTCCCAAAGCCACATTTTACCCACCTGCCTGATGCAGAACGCCAAAGGTACCGGCTTTGTACTCCGTAGGTACAAGCTAATTGTACAATCAGGTTTCCTGATATTACAGTTTATACTTGTAACAAGTGTATTCTGATTTCATCCACTCCACATATGATACACAGGATAACGTTCAGCTGGCATGGAGAGCATGTTGATGAATCGTACGGACTTTGTGTATAATCAACTAAACAACCCCAAGGACATATATCCATATAGCACAGCTTCATCTATAGGGTCTCTCTGTGCCTTTACCCTGCACTCCGTAGTTCTCAATACTTGAGCGCTGTGACCCTCCTAGCTGGGAAACGCAATATATGTACGGGGTAATTTGAGACTGACATTAAGAGATTAAGTCAGAAATAAACCAGGGTGGCTACTGTTGCTAAGTGATACACACCAAATATACCCCAGGTATGGGGATGTTGATCCGTTCGGCTGATATAATTCCACCTCTGCTAAGCGTCGCTTCAAATCAGCACACTCCACAGTTGCGCACTTGTCAGAAAAGTAGGTACACCGTTTGATAGACCATAGACCCCAAGCCTGAAGGACTTCGTACGATTAAGGCATCCCTTTGTATGTCTAAAAATAATCTCATCACTATCACTGTATGTACCCTTTCTTACTGTTTGGCCTTTATGCAGGCTCTGTTTGCCTTCCGCTGCAATTTTGCCTTATAAATCTGAACCTCTCTCCAGTACGGCGCTATTTATAGAGTCATGTCTGCCTGCTTCCTTACAAAGTAGAGAACTATCTGCTCCTGCTATTTCTCTCTGCCTCTTACTATGGTTTTAGCTTCCTTACGAAGCTGCTTTGCTCTTGTTCATATCCAAAGCTAGAAAGATCAGAAAAAAAAGAGATGTAATACTCTGTAGATTATCCCAATTGTCATCCTAAAGTACTCAAACAAAATCAAGCAATGTGTTAAAAATGCTCGCAAGACCCTTGATTCCTACAGTACATTGCTCCCCAAGCTAGAACCTTTTTTCTTTCCAAATATTAGTTATAAAAAACAGTCATTTATTTTAATGACTTAGTGGCTTTATGAACGCTAAGACTAGCTTTTTATACAATCGTGGGCTTTCGTGGGGGCCTAATAGGGGCCCACGATGGGCCGGGGTTGGGCTTTGGGCCTAAGGTCCGGGCCTAAAGTTGGGCTTTGCGGAAGCCTAATATATAATATTTATTATTACTAGCGAGATTCACTAAAGCTAACGATAATCTAGGATATTATAATATTTATATATATAATAAGGTTTGATCTATAGGAGAATTAGCGGCTAATTCTCTAGTATAGATGACATCATCAAAATACCTCTGTTTAGGAACAAGCCGGACAATATCTCTCTACCTAAGATATCCATTCATCTATCCGTTCTAGACTCAACAATCATCCCCCTAGCTAGCTCATACTAAGGTGAAAAGACACCCCACCCCACCTCTCACTGAAAATGGTATATGTCTATCAAAGCGAGGGCGTTGTATCGGAGGAAGGTGCAAATCCGTTTCTCGAGCACCTTCCCCCTGATACACCCGTCTATCGGTATGACCGACAGTGCTCTATTGAGAGCCTCCTTCCTCCGTATTCGGTCGAGGATCACTTTATCGTCTTAAAAGATTTCCCGCCCGAGATATTCGCCAAACACGAGGAGGAATTACCACAACGCTGTGATTATTCGCGACCACTTCAGATCCTTATCATCAAAATGCCTAGTCAACCGCACGAGGAGGCGGCTTTCAGTTTCGAGGCAATGATTACGATACTTGCGACGGAGATGCAAGTCATTCGACGAATTGTGGGCTGTGGAGCCACTCGAATCGATACCCCTGGCCGAAGCAAGCAGGCAGACCGGTCCTGGAAGCCAGCCCGCCAAGGGAGGGAATTTCCTACGGTAGCACTAGAAGTGGGCTTTTCAGAGACAGCTGCAAAACTAGAAAAGGATATCACTTGGTGGATCAACGAGTCGAAAGGAGACGTGAGAATGGGAATCACAATAGACATCAAACGAAGATCCGGCTGCATTGAAATCAAATCCTGGACCCCAGCCTTCGACCCAAAACTACACCGTGACTCTGTCACAGTAAGCGGCCGCCGCGTTGTCAAAAGCCACGCCAATAATCTCCCACCACCTCAGATCGCCCAGAGAGTGCTCTTCAAGAGAGGGAGAGATGGCTCCGCTCCTACGATTAAAGGAGAGGGTCTAACTATACCATTCCATACTCTCCTGTCAGATGAACCAGGCGTAGGCGAAAGGGATTTCGTGTTGACAGCTGAAATGTTATTGCATGATTTGGCAGAGCGTGTCTGGGATGCGATCGACGACGCTGAAACGATACAGGCCAAAAAGAGAGGCTAGACTAGAAAAAGAGTGTTGATGCCGAGGTGTTATTGACTGCGACCTTGTCAGACGTTGCATGACCTCCCTATTTGCTCCCACCACTTTAGTCTTAGCTAGTAGTAGATAGTTTCTCTCTCCTCCACGCATTCAGAGATTTTCCAGAGCTATCTACTGTTCTTCATCGTAGATCTCTAGACTCTCTCTCTCAAAAAGACTGATGGAACTATCGTTAACTAAATAATAATAAAGAAGCTAATAAGCTTATTAGTTATCTCTAGAATAAGATTTAGACTAGTAGGTTAGACTAGCACCTTATTATAATAATTAAGGAAGATAACGACCTAATAGGATACCCTTATAAAGATTCTATTTACACGTATAAAGGATAGTCTTCCGCACGACCCATTTTGGGTCTAATGTCTCGACCTAGAACCCAACCCAGTCTGGGTCTGGGTCGAAAGCTGATAACCCAGGCCCAACCCAGACCTAGTGACTAGGGCCCTAGAAAACCCAGTTTAGGCTCAGTTCGACCCAGTTTTTATATAAATTGTGGTACTAAAGAACCGCTGAAATGATCATGCAGCCACCAAAAGTAGCCCGGTTTGACAAGAGATGATCATGGCTTAGGGGTTTGAACCTTTGCCGATTATTATAATTCCCCGTTGTGATTGGCTCAGATGCCTTGAACAGTCTAGAGTCGCAACATCAACTCGCCCGCAATCTGTGCCATTTTCAATCTTTCAAATTGAACGTCGAGCTGCAGGCACTCAGGCAACTTTCCACCCCGACCATGATGATCCTCATCGAGGACCCAGGGAAATCCACCAGAGCCCTTCTGGTGTTCTGCAACCATGTCACGTAGACGATCCACCCAGGCCTGAGCCTGCCCACTCGAAGAGAAAATCAAATGATTGGGAAGTACCTGGGGCGACATGGAATGACGATCCGCGAACTCAATCGATTTCCAGTTATTCTCTTCACGCATCATAACAGAAACACGAAGAAGAGCACTCCCAAGACCGAGATATCGGTACCGATATGCAACAGTCAAAGCACGGATGAAGGCAGCATGGTTCTGTCCCACCGGTAGTTGCGCTGCCTTGCTCTTCATATCCGAGGCTGAATCTGGCTGATCACAACGCACGACTCTCATGACAAGAGTGGCAATAATAGCGTTCTGGTATCGAACAACAATAACAATATCATAAGCGCGCTCGAATTCAAGCTGGTGTTTCTCCAGCAGGACGTCGTTTCTCCACTTCTCTGCTCGCCGAATATTGGCACTCTCATCTGGACCGTAGAGCCATTTCCATGTCCCCGTGATTTCGGCTAGATCGAGATACCCGGCTACGGAGTTTCTTGTGAGGAGGAGTGCGATCATCAGGGCACCGGTGCAGCTTAGGATTATACGGCCGCAGTCTGAGGGATTGTTGTACATCATGAATACGATGACTGCGAAGATTGTCCCCATTGATATCCAGCTGAGCCAGTGATGGATAATCGACCGTGCGGCGACTTGGCGCTGCTGGGCGATGGATTCCGCGATCAGTTTTAGTGCTGCGATAAGGTCTTCTCGTTCCGTTGCGATCGAGGTTGTCACCCTTGAGTCTTGGGTGGTGTCCTTCAGTTTCGCGTTGATTGTTGGTGTGTGGGTGGGCATTGTGGTCAGGGAGGGTGGGAGCTCGTGTTTGTCTTCTTCACAATCCACCTGCTTGTTGAGAGCTTGGTCCGCCAATTGAGACACTTCAGTATCTGTGGCTTCGCTGGCCGCAGTGGGATTCTCCGGAACTGGGGGGCATGATGGTGGCGCTGGAGATTTCTTGTATGTGGAGAGAATTGTGGGCAGCAATGGTTTTCTCTGGTTGGATTTGTGAAACACACACACACACGTGCCATGCGTAATTTGGAATGAGATTACGTAGAAATTCTCGTGGTAGTTGAGTGAATAAGTAGAGATGTGGGAAATGAGATCAAGATCATCGTCGACAGGAAAGAGAGGAAGGGAAAATCACGCTCAAATGTAAAATGCACGTAACTTCAGAGGCTAAAGGTCCAAACTCTCTCATTTCCTGGGACCACCTTAGAATATTACAGCTTCATAATCTTCCAAAGGAGACAATACGTAGAGATGAGCCGGTGTGTTGCATCATACGTCAAAACTACAAAGAATATCTAAAATATTTGCGAGAATTCAGCAGCAGCAATACAAATTGTATTAGCGATAGTTTCAGCTGAGAAGCAGCAGGAAAAGGTTGTAAAGTTCATAAATTCCAGCACAAGGCAGATAATAAGAAGTAAGTCAATAAACTTGATGTGCTGGACTGCAGGTCACAAAGGAACAAATTCAAGAGTATTAATTAGGCACTACTTCACTTTCTAGCCTGTTCATCGCCTGGCACCTCTAATCGGCGTGGATAGAGGTGGTGACTGCCTGGGGAGTCTGGAGGCCATCCTTGCCCTTATCCTTGGCAAACATGTAAGGGCTGGCGGGCGTAGAAGTCTTGGGCTCCCCAGAGAGAACCTCCAGAGTCTGGCGCTTGGTCTCAGGGATCAACCAAGAAGTAGCAAAGCCACACAGCATGAACAAAGAGAAGATCTGCATGACATGGTTGAGCCAGGGTGAGTCGTCGGGTTTCTTTGCGCCGCGGTGGACGAGGGGACCGAAGACACACTGGGCAATGATTGCCCCAACCTTGCCCGCTGCAGCACTGATTCCGTGCGAGGTGGATCGGTATCTGGTCGGGAAGCATTCGCCGGGCACGATAAATGTAGTGGCATTGGGTCCGAAGTTGAAGAAGAACTGGGCAATGACATACAGAGCGAGAAGACCGTTGTGGGTGTGGATCAATTTATTGTAAGCAAATCCGATGATGACGAACAAGATTGTAAGCATTCCGAATCCCAGTAGCTGAATGGGCTTGCGGCCGATGGTGTCGACAGTCGCAACGGTGACCCAGTAGCCGGGGATGGCGCCGGCACAGATCAGAATCAGATTGCCTACCGCATTGCGATAGAAGACTTCGTAGACATTCTTGCCTCCAGTCCAACCAATAGCGGACAGGATAATGGAGTTGTTGAGACCCAGACCGTAGAAGGCTAAAAAGTGTTAGCCTATGCCGAACCAACAAGCGTTTTGTCAAACTTACCGACATCAAGGAAGAACCACGACCCAGCTGTACCAAGAAGAACCTTGCCATGCTTCCACTGACTGAAGTGATCGACGAAGTCTCGCCAGCCAGGCTGAGGAGGCGCAAACGTGGTATCGTGCAAGACTCGAGCACGATCAACCTCATCAGGATGGCCTTCACTTTGGCCCTTAAGATAGACATTGATGTCTTCATCGGCCTTGAGAAGATCATGTTGGACATCGTAAGTGAAACGGGGAGTCTCAGGAATGGTCAGGCGGTAGTAAAGGGCGAAACAGGCAGGAACGGCCCCGAAGCCGATGACCACCCGCCACATCTTGTCAACTGCCAACTGACAGACACCAGTACAGTGACCGACATCTTTGGCAGTCTCAAGAGATTCCTTGAAGCCGGCAGTGACAATCAAAGCCATAATAGCAGCAGCGAACTGTCCGAATCCTTGCATGGCGAAGACTGCACCCATCATGGCACCACGCCATTTTGTAGTCGCAAACCTATTCAGCCAGTCAGTCATTTATTTTCGTCTGGATCCCTAGACAACTTACTCTGAGGTGATAACGGAGGAAAGAGGATAATCTCCACCAATTCCAATACCCATAATAACACGCCAGAAGACAAGCAAGCCAGTAATAGAGACAGCAACAGAAGCGGACGACAAAGCCTGAGCAAGAGTAGCCATGATAATGATCATCAACTCAATACCATACATTCGCTTGCGACCAACCCGATCAGCAAGCCAACCGAAGAAAAGCTGGCCGATGACAGTTCCACCGGAAGTCGAGACCTTGATAGCAGTGTCGGAAGCAGAGGGAATCTTGCCCTTGTAATCGCCCTGCCAGTAGACAACACCCAGCATGCTGACAGCCAAATTGATGGCGAAGATGTCATAGCTGTCCGTGAAGAAACCAACACCGGCGACGATCACAGCGCGAATGTGCTGCAAGCCGAAGGGGGCATCATCGATTTTGGCCAAGGCACGGTGACGACGCTCGCGGGCTTCTTCGGCACGAGATTGCTCGTTAAAGGGATCATTTGCCATTGCCACGGTTTCAAGAGGAGTGGCCATCGTGACGAAGATTGAGATTAAGAAGATTGTGACTGAGACGAGGGATGAATCACAGCGAGGGAGGAAGAAGAAGAAGAAGAAGAAGAAGAAGAAAAAGAAAGAGAAAGTGAGAAAAGAGAGACATGGTCATCGTAACTCGCATGACGGCTACAGCTCAAACAGATCTGTGGTCTGTCCTGCAGGTACTTGACACCTGCTGCAAATCTATAGGGCTGAGAAGGTACATGTTGGGCGTGGTGCGTTTAAATCAAACTGACGAATGAGAGGGCCAGGATGGAGCACATGGGAAATAGCAAACAACCTTATAAATTGGTGGTTCCAAGGTTGATTTTCACTTTGGGTTGTCCCTGATTGTCAAGTACCCCGGGTCTCTACAGCTCTCGGATATTGATGCCGGAGCATGACCTCGCAGTGTGATCGATGTTCCTCGAGTAATATTGAGCTTTAACAGTCTTAAATACAGCTTTGTCACACCTTCTGAATCAACAGAGAATCTCGGAAGATAAACTTGAGAACACCCGGCAAGTCAGGAGTGAGCTATGTCATGGAGACATCAGACTGGCTGTACCATTTCAAAATCGCCAGTAGACTTTTGATTCCAGGGTAGAAGCTGTGATTTTAATGCTTGATCTATAACATTCACTGTACGTTTATTGGGAATGTAAATGCTTGCACAAACAGTGACTCACTACGTCATGCGTGGCATTTTGGATGTATACAATGCATTCTATAAAGACTTTTCACCTGAACACAGGTACATATCTATTCAATCAAAGAATTAGTAGTAACCTCAAAGCCCACGCCTCATCCATGATCCAAGAGTACAATTTCGATGCAGCACTCTAGTTTCATGCAGGTCTATGTATTATATACAATCCGGCAATGTGATTTTGCCCAAAAGTGAGGTTATATTGAGCTCCAGGAAGATATCTTTCGCCCTTCGGGGCATATGGTCAACTGAAAATATACAGAGAAGATTAGCATGGCCCCTGCACTAAGGATGACACGCATAATCAAAGAGAAGCACCTATTCTTTTTTTCCCTTCGAAGACCTTCATTGAGGATATACGGTGTGGGGCTTTTTATATGTTATGATTGGTTCTACTTTATCGGGAAGTCACGTGGAAGTATCCACGTCGAAGGTTCGAAATCGACCAATGACAGATTATGATTATTCCCCATTGTGATTGGCTCAGATGCCTTGAACATTCTAGGTAGAGTCGCAACATCAACTCGCATATCGACTGCGCTTCCTATGGATCTTCTATTAGTTTTACCTGGATTTGTAACGAAACCCTTCGCACACATTCTCCCTCCCCTTGAACGAGCTAAAGTCACCACTGTCGACGTGATCACACTTGACTCCCTCGAGATCGCGAAACGTGCCCGCGTACCTCCCGCAGATGTTCGCCGGCTCTCCTCCTGCATTGTCGAGGCATTGCACACTGATGTTGGCTTTGAAAAGCCACAGACAAACACGGAGACCAGCGATGGGCCCCGCTCTAGTATAAACCCTGATGTGGCGAGTAGGACAATCAGTTCGAAGCGCGCGTCACAATGGAACACTATAAGCACTCTTGACCCCGCGATGGATGCCCTCCTAGGAGGCGGAATTCCGACCGGGTATGTCACAGAAGTTACGGGCGAGAGGTATGTTGCAGGTGTCCATCCAAGTCTTATCAGCCGGACAAGCAAGTCAATCTGACATGTGGATCAATGTCCAGTGGAAGCGGCAAGACCCAGTTCCTTCTAAGCCTCTGTCTAGCCGTGCAGCTACCCAAACCACAGGGGATACGACGACGTGCTATATACATATCGACAGAACACCCACTATCTACGCCACGACTCACACAGCTCCTAGAATGCCATCCTGTCCTCTCAACACTCCCCGCTGAGCAGGCGCCCTCGCTGCAGGATATCCTGTCCATCAACGCGATGGACCTGGAAACACAAGATCACATCTTGAATTTTCATCTTCCGGTCGCGATCGAACGTTATAACATCGGCCTGGTCATCATCGATTCAATAACATCCAATTACCGCGCTGAACACACATCGAACAGCATGCAAGCCCTCGCCAAACGATCAACCCAGCTCTCAAAGCTCGGCCATCTACTGCGCAACCTCGCCGTAAAGGAAGACATCGCCATCGTGCTCGCGAACCAAGTCTCCGACCGTTTCGAGCCTGAAAAAGGCACCGAGCCAGCCGCACGGACAGGGTTTCCGTCCATGTCGAGTCAAACAGCAGATCATGGATCCGGCCCTGCCTCCCCCTTCCCAAAATCTCGAACTGAACAGTTAGCTACTAGAAATAGCCAGCAGCCACCATCCTCTTCCCCTGCTATCTCCTCATCGCCATACCACGCACCACACGATAAAAACTTCGACGGCTCGTACTTGATTGCCCCTCGAGTACGCAATAGCATGTTGAACGTGGCTCACCAGGAGCGCTTTTACTCTGGCTGGGGTGATGGCGCGTACCCACAGAGCGGATCTATGAAGAACCCGGCCCTGGGATTCATCTGGTCAACGCAGATCGCCTGTCGGATCGCACTGAAAAAAGAAGAATCCCACGCTGCAGGTGTTTCCATGGGGCTCGATGCATATCCGGCGTCCACACAGGAAATATCCCAGTTCCAAAATGGGGGAAATGCCAACACCTATCGAGACCCAGACTCAATAGCAATGCCTGCCCCATATCTCAAGAACAGAGTCCCTGACTCGCAGAACTACCAGCCAACTTCGGGCTCTGAATCCACTACGCGGAGGACCATGAAACTTGTGTTCTCGCCGTGGACGGCAGGCCCGAAGGATACACTAAAAAAGGGCCAATCAAGTACAAGAAGTGGCGAGGTAGAGTTTGAAATCTGGAAAGGGGGCTTGAGAAGTACGAGTCATGGTGCATGATCCGTCTGATGTCATGTATAACCGACTTCAATCTTGCCAACCAAGCTGCAGCCCATCTTGGAAAGTCTCGACTGTGATCTATTCCAGATAGTTTGGCATACTATGTTGGCATGTTGTTCGTCTCGGACTTGAACAGAAACAGAACTATGATATACCCAACAGCGATTTTGAGATTTTTCCTCTATAACCATTATGGTATTATATGAACAGCCGAAAAGATAAAAACAAATCATACAAGCAAAGCCAAACTATTATAAATAATAACCCTTATGTGAAGTGCTGATCTTGGGGAGATTGGAAGTTTACAGGCTGAGGTTTGTGGTCTACAACCCCTTGCAGGCAATTATCCTTTTGGGGGTTGAACAAAGCAAGAAAAATGAATCCGTGTGACTCAAAGCTGCTGTGGAACAACATATCAATCCATCTAGGGCTTTGAACTTGGATTTGGTGTGGGACGCAGGCCTTGACTGACGCTGCTATATGTATAAAACCAGTCATATCTTCTCTATCTTGTTTACATTTTTTCTTGATTGACTCAGATATGCCTAAGAGGTATCTAGAATATCTCGAACAAAGAACGGAGCTGGAATCCGAAAGTGGAACATCCATGGATCACTCGAATATGACTGCTGAATCACACTTACTTATCGATCGTTTGCTCCAGACTTTCTGTATGCGTGCAAGAGAGAGAGAGAGAGGAAAAGGAAGAACACGCTTCAAATTAACCACAATCATATATATGGACATTTCTCTAAATTAACATCGACCGTCTTTTTCTCCCCTTTTCATCAGGTTCCTTGCTTTCCCCCAACATCCTTCCGACATGCTCAAAGCCTCACCGAAGAAACAAGATAATGAATCCAAGGATCTAAGGCAAAGAGATGCAATATGAAGATCCGAAACCGCAACGACAATCATAAGAAAAAGAAAAGCATCAAATTTCATCTATGACTCCCGCACAATCTGAAAAAAAAAATCGTGTCGACCTTGTGTATATCTACGCAAAGTATACAAGATAAGACATCAAAGCTTAAATCGAATCCGAAAAATGCGAGAGGGAAAAAGAAAGAGAACATGATCAGAACCGAACCAAAACAAGCACTCACTCAGGTCTCAACATCTATTGAGCCTTGGCGACCATCTTGGAAGGAGGAATACCGATGCCGTTGGTGTTACGGAAGAACATAACACCCTGGCTCTCACCAGTGGCACCCTCAGTGGGCTCAACCCAATGGCAGACACGGGCAGAGGTCCACATGGCCTTGAAGAAACCAGTCCAGCCGGTATGAGCCTCAGTGCGGTAGTGGTTGCCCATGACGCCCTTGATGGCATCGCTGGCCTCGTCGGCGTTGTAGAAGGGGATATTGCTGACGTAGTGGTGCAGCACGTGGGTCTCGATGATACCGTGGAAGATGTGGCGGCCGACAAAGCCGAAGTCACGGTCGATGGTAGCGGCAGCGCCGCGGGCAAAGTTCCACACCTCGGGCTGGTAGTGGGGAAGAGTGGGGTCGGTGTGCTGGAGGAAGGTAATGGCGACTGGGAGGGATATGTTAGCAAAGGGGATTCGAGAGAGGTTCTTTTTTGTCTGAAAACTTACCGAGCCAGTGGTTCACCCACAGGTACGGGAGACCGTACCAGACCAGCAGGTTCAGCCAGCCGAAGTTGGTGCCGATGAAGTAAAGGGCGGTACCGGTGAGGAGGAGACCCAGGTCACTCAGGGCAATCAGCTTGGCATCCTTGGCCTCGTACAGAGGGCTGGAAGGGTTGAAGTGGTTGACACCGCCAAACCAGCCGTTTTGCTTGCCCACACCGCGGCCCTCAGGCTGCTTGGAGTGGTTGTTGTGGCCAGTGACGTTGTTGATCAGGTACAGGGGCCAGCCAAAGAGCTGCTGGGCCACAAGGTGGCCGGCAGTCAGGATGGGAGTCTCCTCGCACAGCTCGCCGAGTTCGTGCAGGGTCTTGCCGACGCGGGTGGCGTACTGTTCACGGGTCTTGGGAACGAAAACCATGTCGCGGGCCAGGTTGCCGGTGGCCTTGTGATGCTTGCCGTGGGAGATCTTCCAGGAGAAGTAGGGGACGAGCAGGAGGGAGTGGCAGATCCAGCCAACAGTGTCGTTCAGGACCTTGGAAGGGGAGAAAGCCTGGTGGCCACACTCGTGGGCCAGAACCCACAAACCGGTGCCGACGAGACCCTGCACAATGGTGTACACGGTCCAGAGGGCCACGCGGGCCGGCAGAAGGGGGACGGTCTCGGGGGTGTGACATAGTTGTGGAAGAGGTAGAAGACGGATGCCAGGATGACCAGGTCACGGAAGACATAGTACAAACTGGTGACGGCGGAGCGGTGGAAGCAGTGAGCGGGAATGGCATCGCGGATCTGCTTGATGGTGTAGTCTGGGATCTTGAACTCGTTGCCGTATGTATCAAGCATCTTGCTCTCCTCCTGCTCCGAAGCCATCGAGGAAAGGGAGGTAGAGGAGGGGGACTGGCGAGGGCTGTCAAATGGCGAGGGCGAGACAGAGCTGGCCGATGAGGACTCTGTAGCGGGGTTGCGATTGAGCGCAACGCGCTTGGGGATTGCGGTAGACGACATGTTGGGTGTTGTTGAGGTTGACGGTGTTTAACTCTGAAGTCACGGTGGGTATACTCCCAGGGTATCCCTTTCTATTGAAATGAAACAAATGACAAGCGTTTCAAACAAGAATCTATCTGTGATCAGATTAGTTGAAATTCCCCGAGCTATGAGCTGTTGGGGTCTACTCACAATTGACCTCGGGAGTTTTGGGAGGTGTTGCACAAGGATGAAGCAGATCGAAGCAAAAGGCCCCGTTCTGAATAAGAGCCAACGAGAAAGCAGGCAATTGACTAACACAAAAAAAGAAAGAAAAGGAAAGGAGACAAGAGAAGGAACAGCCCTCTTTCAAAAAGGAACAGAAAAATTGAAGGGGAAATTCCCCCAAAAAAAAAAAAAAAGAAAACAATCCCTTGGGACCGAATGTAATTTTCATACCGCCACTCCATCCCCATAGTGCAATCCAACCGTATGGTGTTTTGAAAATTACAAATATTCAAGATCCACCGATCCACCCCCTTCGCCTTCGACAATTGAATTTTCGCATGAACTGTCCAAAATAGTCAGAATAGGGCTGATCTTTTCGCATGTTTTGATCTAATATGCCTCTAAATCTCATTTGTACTATATGTGTTATGGCTATGCCCTTTCTCTCTGAGTCTACAGCCACGGCCTTTCCACCGGTTGATTCCGTTCGCCCCAACACTTTAATTTGCAAATTGCACTTTGTTGCGGAGTAGGTATAGTGGTCTGATGGTGTGCTCTAGACTCTAATCTGGTGGTTCGCCTACCTGTCACTTTCACATGCCGAGAATACGGTGAAGGCGTCCCCAGCTGCATGTGGATACAACATAGATCGAAGTGATCAGCTTACCTCGGCGGGTCATTTTCGTGCTGTTTACGGAGTAGACGGCCGTGGATTGGTCTGGAAATCTCCCACCGAATCCGATATGCAACATCGTGTGGCAAATTGATTTTGCTTTTTGGGTTGGCTTGCGCAATTGGATACGGAGTATCCAGACCCCCAAGCCCCTCAGGCTCATGCGAATATCTCTTCTGTAAGTCAGCATGTACTCCGCAGGCTGGCTGAAGATGACTCGGCAGTGGCATGCGTAAGGGACATGTGATCCACTTTTTGTTTTTCGGCTTTCTTCTGGGCTGTCCGGGTGTAATTCGGTGTTGGCATATCGCCTCAACATTATTTGTCTACTGTGTTCACATTAACTGACTTGACTTGATGTGAAGATTGAGAAAGCATAGCGTAATCTATAAATATAATAAATTATTTTACAAATAAACATCAACATTTAAAATAAAATATAAATTACTTACCTAGGTACATGTAGGTAGTATAAAAATGCCTCCATCCGCTTGTTGGGACCCTTGGGGTTTTGTTGGGGCCCCACTCCCCCTTTTTGAAAAAAACACAAAGGTTAATTTTTGCTTTCAGATGTTTAATTTTTTAGTTCCCCCTGGGACCTTATCACTTTGCCACCTTAGATAAGATCTGATCGGGGCCTCGGCGCCGATCTCGGACTTTGCGATATTCCAGGGCTGTACTGGATTTATTAGAAGTTTAACCGACTTCTGTATAGATTATATCAAAAATATTTTCATTCAACCTCACTCAAAGAAGGCACAAAAAGACATGCATGGGCGTGCTAGAAGCAAGTTGGAAGAAATATTGAGTTCCCGAGCTATGAGATGGAGCTAATCTAGATTAGTCCATACTAGTCTGTATCGAGCCAAGGGCCAGCGGGAGCCCCAGCCGAAGCCACTCGAATATATTCCAAGGTCCCGAGGTCTATACAGTACAATTGAAGGGTTTCACAAAAGAATAAAAGATTCGTGAATCGTAGATCTACGTACAAACAAGTACCCTCAGCGAGCCTATATACGACTCATTATACATACAACCACCCACATCTATCAAATCAACGAACCTCCTCCGTCCGCCGCTCCGAATCAACAAGCCAAGATTCCCCACCAGCAGCATGATTACTGCCAGCGGCACTAAGACTAACAGTTGTTTTCTTCAAATCTGGGAGAACGAGGACCGTCTCGCCATGGTTACGGTAGTCGACCTCACAAGGGATCGAGCGACGAGCCGGCGCCATAGAACCAGCAGCATCAGCCGCAGGCGGCGACGTCGGGAGCTGAGGTGCGGATGGGTAGAATGTACGGATCTCAAGACTCGGGAGAAGGAGATGGCCTGGTTTCTGGGGAAGTAGTAGGAGGGTGAAGCGGGTGGATTCGCCGTCGCGCGCGAGGAAGTTGCCCCGGCGGCGACCGCCTATTTGCCACTGGTCTGGATTGGCGTGGATCTCGTAGGAGCATTCGAGGGGTTGGTCGGCGTTTTCGCGGGTCGCTTGGGAACACCAGCGTCGTGTGTGGCGGAGACACAGCTCGGCGGTGATCATCTGGCCGACGGCGGCGTGGGTGGAGGGCCTTGTGTCGGTGGTGGGTTTGGGCTGGAGCTGGAGATCGGCTGTGTGCACGACTTGGATCTCGGGGACGTCAACGGGGATTATGATGCGGCGGGTTGGGATGGTAGGTTGTGCGGGGAGGTGGATGATGGAGTTGTTCTGTTTCATACGTGAGTAAAATAGCTGATTTGAAACGCTCGATTTGGTTCTTACCTTGTGCCACTCCTTGAGCCACTGTCGAACATCCTCGCCTGGTGCCTTCAAAGCTCCGAGCAGATCGTCCCATCGCACAGTCTGATAGGGCAGCATGTTTACCTCTCGAATGAGCCCAATGGCTTCCATGTCATTCGTGGACAGCTGTGCGCGGAAACTGCTGACAATGTGCGATGTGAGCAGCGCTGCGTACTGGCGGAATGGACTGGAGTCAATGGAAGCAGCGAATTGCTTTTCGACTGCATCGAGACACTCATCGTCGACGCATGTGAAGTCAACGCTCAGTTGTAGGCTACGCGGCGTTGATGCGACCGTGGTGCCTTCATTATGGCGAATTTTGTAAAGAAGAGACGCGGGCTGCTTCGGGAAGACATCAAGGGCGACGGGGCCGGTGATGCTGGATTGCACGTCGTAGATGTCTGAGCTGGGTAGACTGCAGTTCATGATACGAAGCGGGATCAGCATGGCCGGACTGATAGTGAAACGCGAGAATAGTAGTTCATCCTTAAAAATGTCCTGCACGTTGACCGATATAGGTAGCGTTGAAACAACACTGAATGATGCCGAAGAAGCGAATCGGCCTTGCTCGGTCTCATAAGCGATCTCTGCTCGCGCTGAGAGGGTCGAAAATGCCTCCTCTACAGTGTATGGGATACGCAGTCGGACGAATGACCGCGCCGGCAATTGCTCAAATTCGATAATGCCCGTATCGTGGTTGGCATCCACGTCGAGCTTGCCATCCACAACCTCTATTTCCGCAAGGCGAAGCCGTAGGCCTGCAGTACCTGGCCGGACACGGATCGTACCACTCTTGATATCATTTCGTCCGCTGTCAAGTTCCAGCTCCAGCGTCCGCATGGCCTGGAGGTTAATAAGGTGCGGTGACACGATCTTCGCCTGCAGGGCTTCGGCCGGAGGGTAGCAATAGATGTAAGGCTGGTTGTCGGTTTCCTCTGAGTCTTCCGTTTCCCGGAAGCCAACTGGAAGGGTGGAGTCTTGCCCGCCGTGGAAGTTAAAGACAAGGTTGCCAGCCCTCATTTCAAGCCGGTCAATGAAGTACTTGCCTTGAAGTGTGGTCTGCATAAAAGTTAGTCACCGGTAGCGGAAGCTATCCTGTAAGTACTCACCGAGCAGTCAATCAATATCTGTGTTGATGATGATTTCACAACGAAATTGGCTGGGCTCTCGATCCAGTGCTCAGAATTCTGAGAGCTATTAGCGCTGACCAGCCGAACCTTGAGATTGTCAATCTCGATCTGCTGGCCCAAAAGAAATCGCAAAGACAATTGGATCTGGAATCCATCCTTGTTGTCGTACAGTCGAATGGCTGGGTCGACACGGAAGTCGGCAAAGAAGTCTGTCAAGGAAGCAGGGATATCCTTTTGAAGAGCACCAGACGCTTCAAACAAATCGCGGACATGTCCTTCTAGCATTTCCTGCTCAGTAGAAGGAATGGAGCCAGCCAAGGACTTTTGCCTGACTGATAATTGCGCCTGCGCATATGTAGCAAATTTGGAAAGCAACCGTATCATCATCCGAACGTAGTCCTCGTTCCGTTTGAGCTCCTTCAAGCACCGCGCGTGGAGTTCCAACATGCTTCCTTCCAGAACAATCCAGTACTTGGAGCCGTAGAAGGGAGCCATCCGATGGAAATAGGAAGCAGCAGACTCGTAATCTTTCTGGCGGTATCGTAAAATAGCGATTTCAGCCAGGGACTGTTCAACAGAGTTGACGCGGTTGGCTGCCATATGATGGCGGATTAAACGGTCTGTGAGATCTTCATAGAGGAACAGGAAGGCGTCTTTTGACTTTAATGCGGCCTTGAGACCAGAAAGCTCGATGCCTACAAGCGACGATTCCTTCTTCTTAGAAGGTGTCTGTGACTCTTCAGTGTCATCGCCGTCCAACGAGATCTCCGCCAGGTCACTTGCCCCAGAACGATGGCGGTCGTCAAAGAGAAGACCGAGATTGCTCCAGTTCTCAGCCCAGCCCCGTCTGCTAGCAATCTCCTCGAGGGACCGCCGAGCCAAAAGAAGCAATTCCGCCCTCCCGGATGACAGTTGTTCAGAGCCAGTCTTCTGCGTCGGAATAGGCGCGGGCTTAGGGTGTTCCATAGTCGATCGCCGCTGCATCAAACCGACACTATCAGATATATCCTGGGTCACTGGCCGGGCAGGTCGGGCACCAGATGAGCCCATGAGGGAACTAGAGCGGCGAGGGACATCGGCACGGGAATCTGCCATCATAACAGCAGCGGCTTCACTCGATTGTGCAACAGCATGAAGAGAGGACTCGGGAAGCATGAGGGTCGGAGTAGAGGTTTGACTCAGGATTTGGAAAGCTGCCGAAAATGCCCACGAAGAGACTAGATTGTTGATAATATCTGTCTTGTCATCATGAACTACCTCTGCCAGACCGCATTCGAGATCATAGCGGAGGGTACGTGCAGCTAAACCGATAAATTCCGTTGCTCTTCCACAAATCTCAGCTAGCAGAATGAGATTTTCGGGCTTCTTGTTTGATTTCACCGCGTTGCCGTCTGCCGCAGGTTCACTGCCGGCAAGTGATGGAGCTCTCGCGGCTCGGAGCAGTAGAGTCAGTTGACGAGAGAAGATGTATGTGCGGAAATCGAAGATGGAGATATCGCTTGCCAGGATCATTTCCCGGTAGGACATCTTGTTGGCATTAAATGGGAAATCCCCCGGCTGAAGCTCCGAAAAGAGAGTCTCGTCATCGTCGTTGTCATCGGAAGACCCAGTCTGCAATGCCTTTTTGGCCATTTCAGCCCAGGTTTTACTGGTGATCGAGAGTGCACCACCGTGTTGGTCACTACTCCCATCGAGCTGGTCCCGGATGGCCGCATCCAAGCCAACAGCTAGCTCATCGTAACCAGCCAGCGCATCTTCGAAGAGGCCCACATTCTCGAACCCCCTAGCAAGACCTTCCTTAAGGATGAAGAACGTGCAGAAGTTCCAGCCAGGCAAACTGCGCTGAGAGTCTTTCTCCTTTATATCCTCCTCATATTGAGCCACACGCAGATCAAACGAAGCTAGAATCCCGTTCTTCATTTTATCAATCAAATCCTCCAATTGCTCGGCCAATTCAGGGGACTTGGTCCCCTGTTTCGGAAGACGCAGTTGGGCCACACGATCCACAGCAGACTTAGACGACCCATTGAAGTCGGCCTTCGCCTTTTCCAGCACTGTAGTTGAACCCCGGCCCCATTTGGAGGAAGGTGTGGCCGCCTTGTCCGCAGCATCACCGTCCGGTACCACATGCAGGATAAGCCACTCAAAGGCATCATGCTTTTCCTGACTAGTAGTTGCGGACTGCGAGCTCTGCGAGCTCTGCGAAGATGCGTTGGCCTTGATCCATTCGCGAACGTTCCGTCGGGCCGTCGTCTTGTAGGTTTCGTTGTCGTCGCATCGGAGGAGGTAAACTTTCAGGTATGGGGTCTGCCGTAGACCGGGGATCTGGTGTCTGCGATGGGCGACGGTGCCATGAACCGTATCGCTCGATGATTTGCGTTCATTTGATTCTTGCGCAGGTGTGAAGCCGATGCGGAGCGACTCGATTGACCGCACGGGGCGGGTTGGCGATTTCCAGTGGAGATTTTTTAGGGGGAGCTTTGCTTCAATCACGGGCTGAATGAGCGGAAATAAGCCCGAAGGATCTGTGTATTCGACTGTGTTGTATGGTCAGCGCAAGCTTCATTCGTCTCAAGCACCTTTGTCGTACCCGTTACATTGCTCGAAGCCTGCGAAGGGTCCATGATTTCCCGGGCGCAATACGGGAAGTGGCCAATTGACTTCAGGACATCTCAAGACTCAAGGTGCATAGGAGCTTTCATGCGCCTGGAGTTAAGGGGAAAAGTCGCGGGGTGAGGGAGACATGCTGTCAACAGCCGCGACGCACGGCCTCGTTCTTTTCCATTTTAGTGCGTATCCCTCGCTGCTTTTAGACTTTGGATCTACAACTGGGCATTTCTTTGTTTTAACTCTTAGATATATTCAGAGAAATATACATAAATATACAAATCTGTATCTATTGTATATCCAACATCTATCTCAACAGAAAACTCTAGGTATCCAAGTATTTACATAGGTAGCCCGGATCTATGCCTGATGACCTCACACCTCAACCTCAAACACCTTCGCTAACACAGCACCACCAACCAGAACAATGCCTACCTGTATAGGCAGTCCAATGCGGCTTGCCACAGAAAAAGGAACCAGGGCCTGATTTTGCGGCCTCACCACCTGTGGGTAGAAGAACCCAGTTGAGGTGACACCCAGCCATGCCATAGACCACGTTAGGCCAAGAGCCCTTTGCCACAGCGGTTTAGGAACTTCCATGCTTGGTCCACTAGACTTTGAAAAGGGTTTCCAAAGCGCTTTGATACCATCTTCGATCATGAGGCCTAGAGGTGCCGTGACGAAGAATAACATGGCACCGGATTCCTGTGCTGGGATTCCCTGCACAATATCGAGCACGAGATGCAGCCCGCCCGAACAAAAGAAAACAACAATGACATTCATGTACCGCTGCACCAAAGACCTTGGCCTTAGACCTAATAGGTCTCGAGTTATGAAGCCGCTGACAGAGGTCAGGGGGTTTTGCAGCAATTGGTGCCAGAATTTCCTACGAGATCGCTGTCAGCATAATATCCCGCATCTCCAAATAATTTGCTGTGAGTGAGCTTACCCCCAGAAGCCCCTTACTGTATCGGCATCCAGCGCTCTTCCATACAATGGAGGGCAATTCTCAGGCGATTCGAGTCCGAGTCCCACGACAATTATCGAAAAGGCACGATGATGGAAGTCGATGAGAATTCGGCTCACCACAAATCCAGCCATGATGTTTGAGATGATACGTTCAATCCATTGTTCGGTTGGTATATCCCACTGAGGTACTGGCGGCAACATCCCACTTTTCTGTTGCTCCAATGCCTGTTGCAATGCAAGAGTAGCAAAGACATCCAGAGCTAGATATTGCCATACAATAATGGCTATTTGGCGAATCAAAAAGCGACCTCGAGGAGGTGTGTTCATATCACGTCGTTTATAATATGCTGGCTGTGGCGGGGCATTTTTTATTTGCCAGGGAGTGTTGATCCCACGAGGGTCAGTAAAAAGCCGAGTCGCGGCATAAATTCGACCGACAAAGCTCTGGCTGCCCCCAGAAGACAAATCATTGCTATCCTTAGGGTTGATGAGTAGCAGATTTAGGCATTGGAAGACGATGGTTACGAATAGGCGACCGCATTCACACCATACGAATCCCGGACCTAGCGCTGTGGCCACCGGTATAGCTCGATATACAATGAAGATAGAGCATGGAATTGACAAATACCGAAAAATAGATCGCTTTGGTGTTGCGATTAGGAGAGTCGCGGGTATAAGGCAATGGGCAGCATAGAGAAACAGAATTTGCAGAATGTTGGAAGAGGCTGACATGGCCCGCATATCCCCAAAGAAAAGGGAAAAACGCCTTTGAACGGGTGTCGATGTTGAGAGTGTGATTTTCTTCAGAAAGGGGCGATCGATTCTTATTTTTCCTGGGATTTGCGTAGAATCTCAATATTGAACGGCGTGGGCCCCTTACGGCAAGCGATAAATACCAAGGCGACAAAATAGATCTATGCTTCTAAAATATTCACATTTTTTCGATATAAAATTGATGCTCTGTTAATCACTATCTGTGTTTTGTTTCATATTTGCCTAAGGTTTCTTGTCAATCAGCCAACCTTTTCGATGATACTAAAACCATTATCAACCCTGTTGAATAGTACAGTGAGAACTACACTGCATGTAACAACATTGAAATTGGAATATCTCTTGCAAAGGCGATACTTGAAGGTATCAAAAAAGTGAATTGTGATGTTGTCTTATCTCTCGATACTCAGAAAGAAGCCTATATTTATAGACTCCTCTTCCTCCTCTAGAAATACAAAAACTCCTCAATTGATGAATATGATCAAAGAGAAACAGAAAGAATAAGAAGAATAAGCAGTGACAACACTGAATGCTAGATTCTCCCAGAGTCTATTAACTAAAAGCAGCCTAAATTAAAATGACTTGCTGCGATACCACATTATGCAAATTGTATACAGAAACTGGTAGTGTAGATGTCAAACTATATTAACGACGCTAATGTCGATTATGTTGGGGTTCGAGATTCTTAGCATATAAGAATTGTATCTCCGTAGTGATTTATAGTATATACTATAAAGCATATTAAATTAGGTTAGCGTTAAAATCCGAACCAGTATAACCCCGTATAGATTAATACCATATACCCCGTTAATTGGATTTGGGAGGATTGGGAGCAGGAATATGCAAAGTACTCCGAGAGCCGAGGGCCGAGAGCCGGAGAGGGAGTATAGGGGAATGACGTAGAGGGAGCAAAGTAGTTTACCGAGCTTAAGCATTGTTTGATCATATTTAGGCTGAAAGAGACGCCAAAAGTAATTGTCTAAACCCCTGCAGGGTTGCAACTAGAACTTCCATCAATCAGCATCGACTCAGTAGCATCAGGATTCCTAGATCCACCCCCCTCGAGGGGCCATAAACAATTACCCTTTGCGTCGCTATTAGCCGAAATATGATGAAGTAATGCTAAAGCTCGATACATTGCTTTGTTCCTAACGCTCAGCAGGAATCTAGGAGGCTGCCAACTTGATACTGATTTATGGAGGTTTTCTCGTCACAACCCTAACTATAGCCTGAGTGCTTCTAACCGTAGCCAGATCAATAAAGGATATCGAATTGAGTACTTGTGATTCGACGGAGATCGAGACTTGAAAAGGAAGAACGAACGAGAGATCTGCCCGCGAGTTACGCGGGGAAGATCTGCCCACAATCCGCCAGCCAGCCCCCACGACATAGAGTGTCTCCCCGGGGGCCGTTGGGGGCTATAAAAGTCAATTGGTGTAATTTTTCTATGCCAACGATTTACGTTGCAATGAAGTCGTCACGATGAGCCCAAATTCTCCGTCTCAGACTACAACATATGAGCGATACATCGATTGAACACACATAAATAGCCAGACTTCCTACTGGGTTGTTCTGATTCTTTCTCATCGACGACATACTGCTGAGTATTCGACAATACTACAAGATCATTCATCTATACAACCTCAAACTCACCAACATGAAGACCACCATCTTTATTACCTCTATTTTTGCTGCCCTTGCGGTCGCCTCTGAAACTTTACATCCAGCTGAGCAGCGCGGGGTCGACATTGGTAATGACTTCGCTCAGCGCTGGCTGGAGCAGGGAGGCAAAACGATCGAGAAACGCTGCAACAACGATGATTTTGCTTTGTGCATTGCTGGCTGTCAGACTGGCTGCGCTGGTTGTCTGCCAGGTTGCGGAGGCAGTTGCATTGCGATCTGCCGTAAGTCTTTGCTAGTACACTCCTATTCAAAACTGCAAGCTAACTCACGATGTCTAGCTGCTTCATGCAGACAGGTTAGCGGACAAGGAGATTGTTGAAGGGTTTCCAATGACTGTGAACGGGTTCCGGAATTGACGACCACTACGTGTGAGGGCTGGGAATATCCTGGCATTTGGTATATGTCACTAGTTTTTCATCTGCTTGTTTAAGCTACTTACACTCCTTTTTTTCCCACTTCTATTGGATCTATATCAATAATTATGGGAAATATATGTTTATTCAAACGGTTCGGGCCATACTTTACGAGCTAAATACTGGAAGTATCGTACATCTGATGATTGTAGTGGGCCTGCTTGTTGCCCCGTCTTCCCTCTTGCTTGCGATGCTAGACCCTATTTATGTATCCTCGCTCTCAAATTGGCTGCGTCATCCTTCAGGATCTGATACTATATCGGTACAGTCAACTCTCCTTTGAACAAACCGCCAACCCTAGAAGCTATAGTATCCCGGGGGGATACATAACTCACGTGGGCCCAGGGTAAAACCAGGTCGCTCTCCGTTTTTCTTTTCTTGTTTCATATCCAGAAGCCGGACTCGGGTGTTCGAAGTTGTGGTTCTGGATACAAGTCTTGATCACGTCCAGGGTGCGGAGATGATCAGCGAGACACTAGCACCGCAGACCGAGGCGACGAAGTTCTGCGACTAGCTGGCCTTGTTGTAGTCATTCGCAAAGGCAGAGCCACCGAGGAGCTAAGACAGAAGATGAGGCATTAGTATGCGGGCATATGCAGGGGAGACATTCGGTGAGCGATGAGTTACAGCGAATGAACTGGGGGTGTTACGGGCAGCAGTCCAACCGGCACTACGGTACAGACCCACCTGATCTTGGATAGACTCTGACGCTTAATCTTCAGACTTCCAGAGGAAGCGCGACAATCTCTCCAATACCGATCAAACTAGCGCATACAGTCAGCCTGAACACCGTATCCATGGATATTCGCCGAGTCCGCCCAGTGTATATAGAAGAGGGCTCCGTCAGGTTAGATTCACACGATCTTAGGCCGATAACTACATAGCCATGACTGACATACGCAAAATATGACAGAAATCTGGCAGTACAATATACAAGAATAGCAGGCCGCTTGTGCGGCCGGGTCAATTATTTTTTTGGTGTTTTTTTATAGTGGTCTGTTGTGATAAATGCGGTAGTCAGGGAGAGGAGGCAATAGGACGGAAAAATAGATGGTAATCATTATTATTGATTATCATAATCAGGTTCTACTTCATTTTAACCGCAATATTGTATATGTGGATTACGTATCAATGTGATGCAATTCTGAAAAGATTGTACGTATGCGTGATTTGTTCAGCCCAGTGAGGCAGTTGGGATAAGGTACAGCCTCCACCCGCGGACACGGCCTTTCTTCGACGCCAATTTAATCACTCAAAACAACCAATCGATAAAGCCGAAAGCTCTGTTAAAATAGTGCCGTTAAGCTAGATCAGGCTCTTTCCCTCGCGATAGAACGCACAGACAGCTCCACGTGCCGAAGCTGCACCGGGTTAATTAGATCCATGGTAGTTTCCTGTTGTCATCTTGAACTAATGCATCTGATCGAAGATCTTTATGGTAATTCCATTGGGTCCATAAATGTCTCAAGGCGTCCGGATGTATCCAAATGAGAAGGTGGTCTTGTTCCTGACAGCTGAGAAGACTCCGAGTCAATAAAAATCGCTCATGGCTAGTTTCCATATAGCGTTCCCAGAAAGATATAAATTACTGCGGTTTGGCGCATATTTTCGAAACGAGCAGTGCATTCCTTTCTTGGTGATTCGCATATTGGAAGATGCCACCACTGGGAATGGCGTTACGTTGGAAGGCTGGCGACGAGGAAAAAGGAGATGCAATCGCCGTGTCTAGTGGAGTGCCGGTAGACACGAGGCAGATCAGCAAGAATATCTCGCATGCAAGTCGCAGATCCATTGACCCCGCATCTGCCATTCCAATAGAATATCGCAGTTTGTATGAACCTCTTTCATGCTTTCTGTGACCTGTCAACTCATGAGGAAATAGGTCTTTTGAAATCGAAGACAGCACAGAAAGAAAACGAAAAGTCAAACTTGACGGCAAGAGAGAAAAAGCGGCTGAAGGTATGACTCAAGTACCACATCTGTGATGAGATTCTAATGACCTTATGTAGATTGGGAAAATGCTGATTGGCATACAATCTCCGCCGAAGAGGTTCAAAAACGACTCGGTGTCGACGCATCAACTGGTTTATCATCGAGTAAAGCAGATGAACGACTTCGAAAATATGGAAGGAACAAAATCTCCCCATTGCCGAATCCGTGGTTCTGGAAGATTGTTGGTTACTTCTTCAAAGGATTCGGATCTATCCTGCTCATCGGCGGAATTCTAGTCTTCATATCTTGGAAGCCGTTGGGTGATCCTCCGGCTGTTGCCAACCTTGCCCTTGGGATAGTGCTTCTTGCAGTCTTTTTTATCCAAGCAGCTTTCAATGGCTGGCAAGATTGGTCTTCTTCGAGAGTTATGGCATCTATCACCGCCATGCTGCCCGAATCGTGCCAGCTTCTGCGTGATGCTTGTCGGGTTGAAGTCAGCGCCACCGATATTGTGCCTGGTGACGCCGTATTTGTCAAGGCTGGAAGTAAAATCCCCGCTGATTTGAGGTTTATTGAAGTTTCTCATGACTTCACTTTGGACCGATCTATTGTGACTGGTAAGTGGACTCAACTGAAATCCAGAGTTCCAGCACTGAAATCCCATAAGGCGAATCGAACCCCATCAAAGGGAGTCCCGACTCAACCTCCGACAACTATCTTGAAACAAGATGTATTGGTCTTCAAGGAACTCACTGTGTTTCTGGCAATGCGACTGGTCTGGTTGTAGCGACTGGTGACTCCACAGTTTTTGGCCGGATTGCCAAACTGGCAGGAGAGCCAGAGACTGGCTTGACCACTATCGAAAAGGAGGTCCTCCGATTTGTCGTCTTGATCTTCGTCATAATGGTGACCTGGATTGTCATTCTTGCGAGTGTTTGGTGGGTCTTGTCCATTGCATATGACGACTAAGTCTAACAACGTCCAGGGGCGGGTGGCTTCGCAAAGCGCATCCGGACTATATCAACGTCGCGGCACTCATCGTCGACTGCGTGAGTGTGGCGATTGCCTACATTCCAGAGGGTCTGCCGATCGCTGTGACAGCTAGTTTGACGATCACCGCAAATTTGATGAAGAAAAATAAAGTTCTCTGCAAGTCTCTCAAGACAGTCGAGACTCTAGGGTCAGTGTCAGTTATTTGCACCGATAAAACAGGAACTCTCACCAGGGTATGTTATGCAATACTTCCTTTTTTTCCCTTTTCCCCCTTATGGATTTTGTGATCATTCTGACTCGTATTTCGACAGAACCGGATGTCGGTCACAGATCACTCTGTGTATACAACAGCCTTCAACGTCTCCCAAGTAGAAGAAAAGATACCAGAAAAGACGGGTGAACCCGCCATTCAGCAGATTCGAGCACTTGCTGCTATTTGCAACGCTGGAGAGTTCGATACCGCCTCGGCAAGCTTACAACTCCACGACCGGCGGATCTTCGGAGATGCTACAGATCAGGCAATACTCAGGTTCTCCCAAGGTCTGGGGTCCGTCTCCGAAGTCCGGCAAGATTGGAAAACGTGCTTTGATCTGGCTTTTGATAGCAAGAACAAGTTCATGATCAAGGCCTTGACTGCCCTGAGTCTTGAAAGTCCCAAGAAATGGCTATCCACAGCGGAGACCACGAGCTTTAATATAGAAAATATGTACGTGGATATCAATCTCAAATGGCGCTCCAAGCTAACCCTTTTCAAAGCCTTTTAACTGTCAAAGGCGCCCCAGATATTTTGATCGATAGATGCACGCAGATTATTGGCCCTGATGGTGAGCCAAAGCCATTCACGGAAGAGACATGCGCAGCGGTCAAACAATTGAAAGATAACTGGTCTTCGGATGGCAAACGAGTCATTCTTCTTGCGCGCAAAGTGATTTCAAGGCCCACCGTTATGGCCGATCCACAGTCTACGGAATACGAAACCCAGATGCTGCGAGAAGCAAAGGCTGATCTGACGCTTGTTGGCCTCCTGGGTATGATTGATCCACCAAGACCCGAGATCCCTGAAGTGATGCGAACCCTGCGTGGCGCACATATTCGAGTCTTCATGGTTAGTCAATTTTGATAAGCATACACTTCTTCATTTTAATAAGGATTTTAGGTGACTGGTGACTTCGGTCTAACTGCCCTGGCAATCGCCCGCCAATGTGGCATCGTTACAACACAGTCCATCCACGATGCATCATCTCTTGAACGATTCCCAAGTACAAATGAGAAGCAGCAAAGTTCATCCAATTCCGCATTGCTTGTCAGTGGAACCGATCTCATGAGTCTAAACGCGCATCAATGGGAACAGCTCTGTCAATACCCCGAAATCGTCTTTTCCCGCACAACGCCAAACCAAAAGATGCGAATCGTCCGAGAGCTACAAGCAAGAGAACAAATTGTCGCCATGACTGGTGACGGTGTCAATGATGCTCCGGCTTTGAAAGCTGCAGATATTGGAATTAGTCTCGCAAGTGGTTCTGACATTGCCATTGAGGCGGCCGATATGGTTTTGCTGGATTCTTTCGCGGCGATCGTTGAAGCCGTCCGCTATGGTCGGGTTGTCTTTGATAACTTGAAGAAAACAATTGCGTATCTGCTCCCGGCAGGCTCATTCTCTGAGTTTTGGCCGGTGTTTACCAATCTCATCTTCGGTATTCCTCAAATTTTGTCTTCGTTCTTGATGATCATCATTTGGTGAGTTTGATATTCCATTTTCACCGCAGGATGGGCCCACTAACAAAACCTCAAGTTGCTTTACAGATTGTGCTGCTGCTATAGCCCTGGCATATGAAACCCCAGAGGCAGATGTCCTGCTTCGCCCACCCCGTCATCCTACCAAGACCCGATTGGTCGATTGGAAGTTAATGTTCCACTCATATGCCTTTATTGGACTGATTGAGACTGTCTGCTCTTTCACAATGGCATTTTGGTATCTCGAACGAAACGGAATTCCCTTCTCTGACCTGTGGTTCAAATTCGGTGAACTCCCACCAGGAGTTGACGAAGATTACTACACTGCCCGTGTGAATGAAGCCAGCTCCATTTACTTCATCAACCTTGTTATCATGTGGGTTATTTTAATCTCCCCCTCTGAGAAAACTACTAACAAAATTCAAGGCAATGGTTTAATTTGATGGCAGTGCGTACTCGTCATCACTCGATTTTCCAGCACCCGCCCGCGTTCAACAAACTCACTCAAAATCTCTCTCTCTTTCCCGCTATGGCCTTTGGTTTGGGAATCGCTGTGATCTGGCTCTACATCCCAAGTCTACAGACTGTTCTCAGCACATCGGGCATCCCGGCTGAACATTATTTCCTTCCGGCTGCTCTGGGGCTTGGGCTTCTGTGTCTAGATGAAGGGAGGAAGGCGGCTGTTCGACGCTGGCCTGGTGGAACTTTGGCTAAAATGGCTTGGTGAAAGACCGCGAGACATTCCATTCAAAACTACAGCAATGTAACTGTTGTGTTGATGATATATTGAGATTGCAATTTGTTCTTGCACTGAAAAACGGATTTTGTGAATGGTTGTTTGGCCTATCAATATTACAAGAGGAACTTCGCTTATATTATGTTGTTCTCGTTCTTCCTTGCCTTTGCTGGCAGCTCTTCTCGGCATATAAGTGGACCATATGCATCAGACTTTACGCCGCGTGACATGGCTTTCCCTTTCCGTTTTAGTGCTCACCCCTTGCCCCCGCTGGCTTCTCAAACTTCAACCACTTCTCCGGCACCTCATATGTCTGTCCTGCTACCGATACATCCGAGAGCCACTGACTAAATTCTCGATACTCCCCCTTCGTCGCGCCCGATTCCGGGCCCAAATCGAAAAACCTCCCATCTTCTGTTCCGAATCCAGATGGCACCATATCAGCAGTAAGCAGATCATTCAGAATAGAAACGCCCCGACGAATCATGGCGTTCATAGTATCGGAGTAACGCTTCGCATAGTCGTCAATAGACTCGCCTTCTCGTCGTATGATATGATTGTGTAGTTCGCTTTGGAGGATAACGGAATCAGGATCGGCGCCCTCGGCGATGAGGCGGTCGCGCTCCTGGCGTGACAAAGCTGCGTAGTCTATAGGAATCTCGTAGACCATGGGCTCGTCGTCCGAGTCGTGAGGAACCCCGTCGTCTCTATGGCCTTGAGCTGCTTCGGAGTGTATCACAGCCGAGCGTTGGTCGAGGATTTTTTGTTCGGACATCGTAGGTACTGCGGTAGTTTCCTTCGGTTTCAAGTCGTCCTGGTCTTTAGGGTTTTCCTGCGAGGAAACTAAGGATACTATAACAGCACGATAGTAGGAAACGGACAGTCCTAAGCACCTGGGCACCAAGGCATGGGTATGAGCTTAGTTATATATGGCTTAGAGAGCCGCTTAGAGGAGGACCGTGCCCGGCGCTCCAAAAGAGGGGGTGGGCAATAATACACAAATGGACAGCCTGATTATTTTATTTAATGGTAAAACTATTAATTGATGGAGTAAAGATTTTAATAATAATAGTTTTTTTAAAGAGAAAAAGCGGAAGTATCATATGAAAAGAGAACTTAGAGTCTTAACTATATAGCAATCGTGCCAAGCCACCAACACCATCTGGTAAAAGCTTCATTTGAACCACCCTAAAATAAGAGATGTATGAGTTTATACTTTTTGCTCACCGGGCATCACCTGATCATTACATAGGCCGGCTGAACTTCCAAGGTTCCAAGGTTGCTCCCGAGGTGCGCGTGTCTTGTAAATTCAAGTCTTCGTTTGTGCATATCACGTGTTCCGCGCTAACCAAAGCAGGCATGGATTTGGCTCCACTTGGGTGGCTCCTATGTGGGTCTCCAATACAACCAGCATGTGCCGTGTTTATTAAGTATTGGACGGTGGTGGGATCCTCCGGGATATGAAGAAATACAAAAGCCTCTCCAGTACAGATATACCCGTACTGAACACCACTATCGATCATGTATGAAAAAATCTGAGTGATCACGGCAGTGACGAGATGAACCCTGAGCGCTATACGTCTTCGTAGTGCCACCTTTGACTCTGCTATTATTGATCTTAAATATGACCGCCGAAATCGATATCAAAATTCACATCGGAGATATTGTTCAACATACGTATAATTATCTCGACTACAATCACTCGTTGGCCTCCATCTCTTACAGCCGATTGATATGAGTGACCTCCAAAATAACCCAGACGCACAATTGCTATACGAAATGGAGCGTTTACAATCACTCGGGGTAGAATCTCTAAATTCCTAGAAAGACATCAACTCCGCATAACTAACCGCTTCTCTACAATCATTTTCCGTGGAGAGACGAGACAGAATAGATCTAATTGGCATAGAAACCGATTCTTCAGAAGAAGTAGTTATAGTGTGTGTGGTATAGCATGTGTGCGATCCTTTTTAACCTCTCATGTGAGGCTCGTAAAAGAAATCCTTTACGAACGTCTTGACCAGCGCCCTAAGCAATACCTAGACTTATTGAACAGGCTGAACACATTTATAATTTCCACAACCTCCAGTATTCTATGCATTCCACCATTAGTCCAAATCAAGGCACATATATTCCCACCAAGGTATTACTCACACAGCAAATCAGAGCACCTGAACATTCCTACCATTCCATGTATCTATCAGCTTTGTTTCCAGAGGGTTATACTCTATTATTTGTGGGTTTCACTCACAAGCCCTTTATTCCGACAATCATTGGGGTCGATAGTGCAAATACCTATTCCACTAGAAGTAGGAGGACAGCGGGCATCGCTCCGTGCTTCAATAGCTTCAACGGAGGCAGCAGCCATTGAGAAACTGGCAGCAAGCCAGGCTATGGCACAAAAAGGCCGCATGTTAGGTGAAATGAAGGTTTTTAGTAGCACACCACTAGCAATAGAAAAGAAGATAAGGTCAAGAAAAGAAATCCACACGCTCTTATAATTTCTACTTTCTACGCTATTTAAGGTTTCTGCGTTATATTTTCTAAAAACAAAAGATCATCCAAAATAAGGTGAGATATGCCTGAAAAAGAAATTAAAGGCAAAGATTGGATTATGGCCTATTGTTGGGTAAAGGGACAAAAGGCGGCATGCAGGTATATGCAAGGGGTTGCGTAGCCCTCAGAATCAATTGGTTGTGTGGCGTGAAAGTCAAAAGTGTCGCCGTTTTGGTCAATAACATCGCGAGCCGGTTCGATCGCATGTAAACCGGCAACCAATTCAGGTACAGTCAGCTAATGAGGCGCTTTGAATTCCACCGCATACGCTGGGACCTGGCGCCCGTCTTCAACGACGTGAACACAGAACTGATCGGCGCGGCAATTCTGTCGTCTTCCAGGACGAGCTTTCTGCTGGCTTTTTGCCCCCCTTTTCCCCCGCCCAGCAACATGCTGTCGTTGGGAATGCAAAGCATCGTCAACATGCAAATTCTCTACGCTCTCTTCTAGAGAGGTGCCTACATGTATGGATTCCATTCGGCCGTGGAGGCAAAATTCTTGCCAAAGCTTCACCGCCCCTCAGAGTCTCGACGATTGTTTCAACAAAGCTGTCTACAGTGTTGTGTTCAAAGCTCCGTAAAGACGCTTCTGAGTAGAGTGGTTTATTTTGAATATTTCTAGCAACATAATTCAGCTGATTGGTCGAAGGAAAAAGACGTCGTGCGGTAAAAGTGGATGTGCTATCCAATTTCTTCCATATCTCCTCCTGGAGTTGAGGAAAATCGAGCCACGGGAGAGTGCGCGTGGGATATAATCGGTCGATTATTTCGTATATTGAATGACGGACAATCTATAAATTCCGGGCATCAGATTTCCCCGCTCTATCGATGTGATCACAGTTACTCCACTCCGTATATAAACCAACATTCATACATCCCAAGGACTTCTGAACAACTATCTCACTCTTCATTTCAAAGATGGACTCAGCTCTTCACGACGCCGCGACTCGATTTATCGAACGCCACCCTGAATCGCAACGCCTGCACAAGCTGTCACTCGAAAGCTTACCAGGAGGAAATACCCGCACTCTGCTGCACACAGCACCATTTCCAGTGTTCATGCGTAAGGGCGAGGGTTCAGAATTGTGGGATGAAGATGGGAACAAGTAAGTACAGTCACTCGCCTGGACCTCGAAAACGTGGGAAATAACACTATTTCCCAGATATCATGATTTAGTCGGCGAGTTATCCGCCGGGCTATATGGACACTCTCATCCGACGCTGCAAAAGGTATTGACAGATACCATTCAGAATGTCGGGTTGAGTCTGGGAGCAACGAATGTCTACGAGCAGCGATATGCGTCGTTGCTGTGTGAGCGGTTTGGACTTGAACGGGTTCGATTTACAAACTCCGGAACAGAAGCAAACATACACTGTCTTGCGGCAGCCAGGAAATTCACCGGCCGGCGTAAGATCATCGTCTTCCGCGGCGCCTACCATGGTAGTGTGCTTTCCTTTGGAGATGGTATCCCGGAAAACAACATCGACCAGGCGGATTGGGTGCTACTACAATACAACGATATCAAAGGTGTCCAGGAAGCCTTTTCCCAGAATGATGATATTGCCGCTGTTATTCTCGAGGGGATCCAGGGGTCTGGCGGGCTTATTTCTGCAGCACTCGAGTTCCTACGAACAATCCGCGAGGAGAGCGAGAAAGCGGGCGCATTGATGATTCTGGATGAGGTGATGACATCTCGGTTGGCACCGGGGGGATTGAAAGATATCCTCGGGATCAGACCAGACCTTATCACTTTGGGCAAGTATCTGGGCGGAGGCTTGCCATTCGGGGCTTTCGGCGGCCGAAGAGATATTATGAATGTTTTCAATCCTCTCACGCCTGGGGCTTTGGTACACTCTGGCACATTCCAGAATAACACTTTGATGTTGCACTCTGGGTATGTGGGACTGTCTGAAGTGTATACGGCTGAAGTTGTTCAGTCGCTCAATGCTCAAGGCGATGACTTGCGTCAACGCTTGCAACGGGTCTTTTCGGGATCTAAGTTCTGCATTACTGGCCAGGGCTCTCTTATGTGCGTTCACGTCACTAAGATAGGACTTCGCGCGGAGCAGATCACTTGTCGAGATGATGTTGCTGCGGTTGAGGCCACGGATCTCAAGCAGCTTTTCTGGTTGGAAATGGTGAATGCAGGGTTCTGGGTGCAGAGTCGAGGAACAATTACCTTGAACATCGCTATGTCTACCACAGCTCTCGATGCGTTTGTTGAAGCTGTTGAGGAGTTTTGCAAGAGATATAGATCCTTGATTGTAGTTTAGTACACGCGTGGTATCACTACAATGAGCCTAAAGAGGGATACATGAAGAAAACAGAAGTTTAAAGAATTCTATTTGGATCTAAATCTAACATGAAAGTGTGTACGGAGTAACATAATGCACATGCACATTAGGCATGTAGGTATAACACTGCATACCCGAGTGGTGGACCGATCTTCGACGCAACTGCAACAGCTCAGAGACAATCGCCATAATGCTCATAGTGGAAAATTACATAAAAGCAAGGAAAATAAGACTCAATCATGCGGATTCTACATAGATAGTCATGCCGCGTCATTATGAACAAAAATAAGAAAAAGACAGAAACCCGACAGTTAGTCCGTCGTATAATAGGGAAGCTTCACTCGCTCAGGAAGAACGCCATAGAAATATATGACCAGAAAAAAAAAAACAAAAGAAAGAAAGAAAAAAGGATGCCCTAAATGCCCATTTCCACAGCCGGCTGTGTATAGCGAGCTTTCACAAATTCAAAGCTGTCCGTGACGCCTTGCCAAATCCCGGGAACGTAGTTTCGAACCCAGGCGCAAATAACGAGAAGAAGAAGAGGAATCTGTAGAAATAGTGTTAGCTGAGTACTAGACTGAAGAAGAAAAGAAGCCGGTGGGCATATTGGTTCACTTACCCAGATGAAGTACAGGTTTCGGTCGCTGCCTAGACCCTTCATTCGTCGAGCCTGTTGCTCTCGGAGATGCTTTTGCTGCTCGCGCGAGATGACATTGCGCCCGATTGTGATGTCTTTGATCTCGTCCTTCTCGACTTGAGCGAGGGAAGCTGAAGCGGAAGCGGAAGCCGAAGCCGAAGCCGAAGCGGCAGCCGCAGCAGCACTGCTCTGGGCCTCGAAGTGTTGGTCGATAGCTGCCTCTGTTGCGGCGCGGAGCAGACTGGACTTCTTCATATCGGACTCATCGGTGGTATCGGGGTGCGGGAACAGCTCATCGTATGAAGGTGGTTGGTTGGGGTTGGGTGCGGATGTGCCCTTCAGGTAATCCCACCAGCCATCCCGAGCAGCAGGTCGGTGAGGGACAAGGTTTGTTATGCGGCGCATCATTCCTTGCCCTTGGTAGTCTTGGAGGGCGGGCATCGCGGGTATCGCGGGCATTGCGGGCATCGGAGGCATCGGAGGGAGGGCCGGGAGATTGGGGAATGCATTAGCCACGCTCTGCTGGAACTGATTGATTTGAAGAGCCAGCTGGTCACGCCACGCAACAAGAGGTGCTGGCGGGGCGAAGCCTTGAGCATCTCCAGGAGCGGCAGCTTGTTCGCTATTGTCCATAATTGGCGGACCGACATCTTGGTGCATACTAGACCGACGAGAAGAGCTGAATTGAAGAGGCTCCGAGTCGGAATCGTCAGTAGTTTCCTCCGAGTCATCCAGATCCTCCGAGTCATCAACAGTATGACCAAGAGATCCAGAGGCGGAAGACACCTCCCACATGGAGCTGAGCGAGGCCGAGCTGCTTTGCCGGCGGCGCGATGTGAGGGATCCAACGCTGCGGGACCGGTAGTGGCGAGATGGAAGCAATGCGGCTTGGTGCGCGGGTAGCGTTGTCGCTAGGTCCGCGGCAGTGAAACCTCGTACGCTGCGAGTGTTGGGATTGGCGCCCGTCAGACGCAACCGGTGGACAATATGAGCATGGCCATTGAGTGCGGCCAGATGCATTGGCGCATTGCCCGTGTTGTCTTGCACATCGGGGTTTGCACCTCGAGCCAAAAGACCCGCAACAAATCTTGTCAGTCCCAATGACGCCGCAAAGTGAAGAAGGCTCTGGCCGGTCGTGCTGCGGGAGTTGTACCGCGGTGGCCGGGGACTGTCATCCAAGTCGATGAATTCCAAGTAGGTCAGCATCTTGGAGTCGAGATCGCCGAGTTTGCCTTGGTTTTCAAGACCTGGTACTTGGCGTTGCTGACCCCCAGAGGAGTTGTTACCCTGCATGTCTGCCTGCATGTTGAAGAACGCGTTTGGATCGCTTCCCATGATCTGTTGCGCTGTGTGGAATGCATCCGCTTGGCTTCCCAATTTCTGACCAAGAATGTTCAGTGCCAAGCGATACATTTGAAGCTCACGATCATCCACGTAGCGGAAGAACAGCTGCTGTTTGGGCATGAGGGGTTGAGACTGTTGGACTTGGCCAAATGTCGGGTGCTCATGTTTGAATACCACAGACACCAATCCCGGTTGAAGAGCGGGAGGGGTCAGACAGTTGAGGCACTTGTCACCCCAGAATGTGGTTGTAGTAGCCAAGGTGTCACCGAAAACAACCTCCATACCGGGATAAAATCCGCTGCCCAACAACGTAACCTCAGTACCTCCTGTGATGGAGCCCTCGGCAGGCACCAACTTGTGGATCACTGATGGCAATCGATTGGGAGTATTGCTGAGAGGAGGCCAAACCTGGCTTGAGGAATTCGCACCAAGTCCCATGGGAACATTTGAATCATGGAAGCCGTTGCGATTCGAGCCACCTGGCGTCCCCGGACGACTGGGATGGGCGGAGTTGGGCGTTGACGCCACTCCTCCCCCGGCCAGGGTATCCAAACTCTGTCGCTGGGCAGGAGTCGGGTTAAAGAATGGATTGTTATCATTGTTCTGGTTGGGAGTGGGCGGGCCATTTCCATATTGACCTGACATGGCGGACGGGTTTACGAATGGCCGTTCAGTTGGTGAAGCGAATCCACGAGCAGCCGCAAGTTGTGCATTGTTCATGGCCGCTGCAGATGACTGAGGTGTCTCGAGTCGCGTCATCGTCAGTTCCGATGGAAGCCTTCCAGAGCTACTGTGTTTGCGTCGTTTGCTCTGTGGCCCTTGGAAATCAGATGGGGATGCTCCTCGAGACAGGCTCCTGGACGTCTGAGGCACATGCCCTCCATTCGTTGAGCCCGGAGCCGCAAATGAACTGGGCGTAAGCTGATATTGTGAATTGAACCTTTGTTGAAGACCCTGCAGATCAGTTGGCGACTGAGGTGCACCGAAAGAATTTTGCCCGTTCTCGGGGGTTTGGCCCGAGGGAAACACTCCAACTCCCGGTACTTGTGTCCCATCTGAGAGAGATGGTGAAGGGCCAGTCGGTGCAGGCGCGGATGGAGCCTGCGTCTTGTGGTCGTCGGTTATCATAATCGAATTGGTGATTGCCTGCGCGACCACGTTGTCCAAGTGATCCTTCACAGTAAATATAACCTGGAATCCGAGCTTCTCGTTTTGGTGTCGGCAATAGCAAGCAATCCGCATCGGCAGTTCCACTTGCATTGATCCTGGTGGGACAGATAATCTATCGCCGTAGCCACCGCTGGAGTTCTTTGCTGGTTCGGTCCATTCCTTGATCTCACTGGTGTTGAAGACAATGACACGCTTCTCTTCATCCTTTTGAAACAATTCATCTTCCTCAGGCTTCCTTTGCTTCTTCCGTGATGCACGTTTCCGTTCTCGCTGTATGCACCCGCTGCAGATCTTCACATCACCTCCGTCCAACGGACGTTCATCGTCCGAGGTTGCTTGGTAGTGATCACCCCTTGTCCGTGCAAATGCCCGCTTGATCTTTTCTCTGTCTTGCATAGCGCTTGTGCATACCAAACTTGTGTACAATTGAAGGGTATCGCGGGTAGGTTCGGTGGCAGGAGGAGCAAGGAATTTGAGTTTCGAGATGGTGTGTGAGGGAAGACGAAGTTTCTTGACGCCGGTAGGTAGCGGGGAGAGGGTCAATCGGATCGGAATTTGAGTCTCAACGCGGGATTTGAGGGAGGTTGGATGCACAGTGAGAACAGGTTGTAGAGAGTGCGCGTTCATTTGAGGTTGGGCCGGGGAGGAAGTGAAGTTGACAGGGAATTGGTATGATGCGGGCGAGCCGAAGTTCATGGCGGGTGATAGCGAGGCGTGGAGGGGTGATTGGCGATTCATGTTGATGCCACCGAAGCTTTCTTCCAGAAGTGACGAAGGAGACTGCCCGCCCCATTGCGGGGCGACTCGATCCATATCTTGAGGGATTGCGGTCGAGTATGGCGACTGGCCGTTGAGTCCAAAACCGAAGAACGGAGACCCGGGGGCATGAACCTGTGATTTGTTAGCAACTCGAAAATCAAGAATGTTGTTCCAAAAGACTTACTGAAGGCACAGCATCGATCGACGCCAGCCCAGCGTGGTTGCTCGAAGGGCTCCAGAGCTGGGATTTCGAGCGCTTTTGGGGTCTCGGGAGTGACCCATTGTCCGTCTTCAATGGACTAGGGCTACTGGCTGCACTTTCAAAATCAAAGGCTGCGTCCATCGCCTTGTTGCTGACCTCCAGATCAGGGTCCATAGAGAAACCACCATCCATAGGAAAAGAAGGATCAATATTGAACGGCGATTCCTCCTTGACTGACGATAATTCCGGGCGCATCCAGTCCTCCGACGGGTAACTATTAGAAACCAAGGGATTCTCACTATGCGCTGCTGAGTTTGTCGAAGCGATCGATGTTTGTCGCAGGTGATTCCGTGGCGATTCGGAGGAAGAACTGCGACCCGAATCATCCGGCGATTCGGCTGGGGAGTCCGCGGCAAGAGTCGACACTTGCCTCAGGGGGTTTTGATCTTGGTATGGCTTCGAAGGCCCCGAGGCGCCATTCGGACGGGAAGTGGTGGCTCGAGCGAATAGGTCGTCAAAATCTCCCCCAGCATTTTCAGTTGACATCTCGAGTTTTGTGGGGTCCAGAAAGTCCATGTCGTCGTCCATGATGATAGGGTCCAGGGCGGAAAACGAGGGCGAAAAGGGGACCTGCGCTGATACCATGCTTCGTTTTTTTTGGTCTCGATTCTTATAAATCGCAGTCGATTTCAGCCGTCAACAGCCACCTTCACAGCAATATGACGATTCGGTCGCGTGTGGAAAGGGAATCTCGCAGGCGGTAGGAATTCAGAGTGTATGACAATCAAGTCTTGTCACGGTTTATACCAGGACCAGTCTCCGATACCATGGCCCTGAGAAAGGTGAGATTTGAAGGTGTCGGGGAAAGTCACTGCCTGGAGGTTATCTGGAGGAAAGGGGAGCGGGAAAACTGTGAGCGCCGATCTAGGCCGGCAGAACCTCAACAAACGTAATCAACGACTTTACTTGAATTTATATAGTAGTGTTGAGATACTAAGTATTGAAGTTATTGAAGTTGTTTGATTTGATTATATGAGTTGAAAAATGATTATATACTTTTCATATACAATTATATGCTTACATCCCAAATCACAGCCCTGGAGGCATTTGTGCCTTAAAAACAGACACCTCAGGCCTCACAAAGCGGTGACCAATACAGTACACACCATACGCCCACCCTTCCCGTATCTTCCATCGCTTTGATTTGCTGTTGATCCTACTTATCCCGTCTGACAGCCGGGAGGGGTCTGACTATCGGTTTGAGGTCTGTTCTACGGAATACGCCTTGGTACTTTGGAAGACTCTGTATGGCCACACAACTTCCTCTCAATTTGTGACACCCGACTTTATTCCTACATGGTAAGGAGCACCCCTCGGACTGATATACTGCGAAAAAGTACTCCGTACATGGAGGACCGGGATAACGTACGGAGGCCTTTGCCAAGCGCACACAGACACTTTGGGTCATCATGTCTCGCAAAGGCAGAGATTGTGGCACCCCGGTTATCGGCTGTGTCCTACCCTCGCTATGTTGGAGTAGCACTGCTTTTGATGGCCTGCAGGACTGGCTATCAGTTGTGGGCGTGTTGCTTGCTGCGGTATCGTATCAACACAATGCAGGTGACACTATGGTGCACTTGAAGGTTGTGATCGTCGGACTCGTCATAGCAAGGGACCCTGAGCAATGTTGTGCTGCGAACACCTCAACACGGTATACGATATACAATCGCGCGAAGCCCACCAACATGTAACCAACGTTGGTAATTGCACCAAGTAGCAAATTGTAGAGGTTAGGTATCTTTTGTATAGTATCTACATACAAAAGGTACATAAACGAAACAACATAGCACTGATTTTTCTCAGCTCTCAAACCTGCTGAAGAAAGAATAAAACAAGCGAAGATCTAATACAAGTCTGGTGCAGTCGATCTACTACTAGGACTAATTCTAAATATATGATACAGAAGTGTCAAGAGTGCCTTAAAAGCACACCTAGATATTATATATAACAGTTCAACCATTCTCTCGCTTTAAGCAAACTTATACTTTTTAATAGGGTAGATAATAAGTAACCGAGACTTCATTTACACCATATATATCTTCCTATATCCATGGATATTCCCTAACTAGTTTGAGGGTTAAGAAAATTGAAGTTATGATCATGTTATGTTTATGTATCTTTTGTATGTAGTTGCAATACAAAAGATACCACTCTCTACAGTTTACTATCTGGTGCAGCTCACCAACACTGGGTACAACATACTCTGTAGATGTTGGTGGGCTTGGCACAATTATGACAGTGGATAGTTAATCTGTCTTCTTCACATGTATACTCCGTAATGTGGAATCGTTTGACTATCCATGAGGATTTCATTAGCCAAAGATATCTGCCCTAGAGGTGAAATGGGCCTGCATATATGGAGATCTAGTTCCTCGCGGGCAATCACACGGCTGAGACTGGCTACGAGTAGATTTAATGTAGACTCACATCGAAACTTCCGGCTAATTACCAGGCTCACGGTCGTTGAATTAATTCGATAAAAGTTCCAATGAGGTCGACTGGTAAAAATCCCCCCAATCTACTCCGCACGGAGTAATTGATCAATGGATGTACGAGGGGTGCGAAAAGCGTCAACTTTGGAATAATGTGATTTCCATGTGAATTGACCAATTTCACGATTTGCTTGCAGTTTTGGCGCCTTTGCAATTAAGACTGCAATTTAGATCTGACAGAAGCGCTGAATATGGGCCCTTCGAGATTTTCATCCTGGACTCCTGGGCCCTATCATGCAGGAACAGACATGAATGCAGGTGGAGTGTCTCAGAATAATTCTCTAAGCGCAGAGGCTAAATGGAATAACCACCTATGGCGTTTGAAGGGGGCAAACGGCCATATCTCTACTCCGCAAGCCTGTGCAATTGTTCAAATGAAGCCGGTTGGATTAAAAAGAAAAAGCTGTTGAAGTTGATAGTGTACAGAGAACATGGGAATATTTTCAACATACCTGTTTCAACATACAACATAGTAGACTACTCTAGACGACCTATCAGAAGGAATTGTGGGATACCAAATTCTCCGAACTTCTGACGTGGAATTTAACGAGGTTTCCCCGAACAAACCCTTCCAAGCTTGGAAAGTTGGAAGAGCGGAGATGTCATCACTTTAAGGGGTTCGATGAAACTCGGACTGTCACAGATAACCGCCTACGATCGACAACCACCAACTACACATAACAGTGTCAAACGTTGGCCCCCCCCCCTTGATTACCCTGATGGAGCATAGCTTAATTACGGTTGTGCGCTAGTGCAGCCTTGGGAACATCCGGCGGTTTAAAGACCACCATGCTTCATCTATCTGTCACCTCCTAGATGCAGATGTCTCGGTCGCTCATAATTCTCCACCTATGGCGTCGAACTTGATGATATCCTCTGTGATATGTATTCCTTGGCAACGGAGTGTTACCGCTTTTGTCGAGGAGCTACAATGCCGGTGAGGAACCTACATATATAAGGCCTTGACATCCGGGCCACTTGATCTTTCTCATCTATCCTTTGCATTCCATTCATTCAAGGTCTAGTACCATTCATTCTCTTTTTGGGTTGATTTCATTGATTGAAATCCCCTTTTCATTCTTTTTCGCCCCCTTTGATACTTCGATCCTTCGATCTAAACGCTGTGCGTTTTATCCCACAACTTCTTCAAGATGTCTATGTCAAAGATTGCGGGTCTCCTGCTTAGCTCGGCCGCCATGGTCGCTGGCCATGGTTACGTGTCCGGTGCTGTTGTTGACGGCACCTACCACGGAGGCTACATCGTCAACACCTACGCCTACATGGACAAGGTGCCCGACAACATTGGATGGTCTGACAAGGCCACCGATCTTGGCTTCGTCGACGGCTCCGGCTACTCTGGCCCCGACATTATCTGCCACAAGGATGCCACTCCTGGTGCGATCTCCGCCGAGGTCAAGGCCGGAGGCAATGTCGAGCTCCAGTGGACTGAGTGGCCCGAGAGCCACCACGGCCCCGTCATCACCTACATGGCTAACTGCAACGGCGACTGCTCCAAGGTCGACAAGACGACCCTCAAGTTCTTCAAGATCGCTGAGGCCGGTTTGATCGACGACAGCAACGTCCCCGGTAAATGGGCAAGTGACGACCTCATTGCCAACAACAACAGCGCCACTGTCACCATCCCCAGCGCCATCGCCGCTGGAAACTACGTTCTCCGTCACGAGATCATCGGCCTGCACTCTGCCGGCGAGGAGAACGGTGCCCAGAACTACCCCCAGTGTATCAACCTGAAGGTCACCGGCGGCGGCAGCGACGCTCCTGACGGCGTCCTCGGCACAGAGCTCTACAAGGCCACCGATCCCGGCATTAAGATCAGCATCTACACCGCGCTCGATTCCTACAAGATCCCCGGTCCCGCTCTGTACACCGGTGCCGCATCCGGCTCTTCATCCGGCGCCTCGACCACCACTGCCGCTGCCACTACCGCGCCTACTGCCAGTGCCTCAACCGTGAGTGCCTCTCCTATCCAAAGCTCCTCTTCGCACCACCTCACCCGCACCCGCACTCGCACTGCCCGTCCCACCTACAGCCCCTCCGGCACCCCTACTCCCTCCACCCCTAGTGGGCCTGGTTCCGAGTCCACCGACGTTTCTTCTACCGTCACTGAGACTGCCACTGCCACTGCTTCTTCTGCTGCTCAGGTTACTGACGAGCCTGCCACACAGACCGCCAGCGACCCCGCCGACAGCGTGACCATCACCACCAGCGCCGGTGGCCAGTCTGCCCAGAGCTCCGCCCCCGCCTCCGGTGGTGACGCCTCCGAGCCCAGTGCCAGCGCTACCGCTACTGCTGCCGCTACCGCTGCCCCCAGCTCTTCCGCCAGCTCCGGCTCCAGCTCCGGTTCCAGCTCTGGATCTTCTTCCTCCGACTCCGGCGACTACAACTCGTACCTCAGCTCCCTGAGCGCCGAGAAGCTCCTCGAAGTTATCCGCTCGACCCTGAAGTGGCTTGTCTCTGACAAGAAGGTGCACGCCCGTGCCCTGGCTTACTGAAAGGTTCGCCCTGCATGCTAGATTTATAGAAGATAACCTTCTATTTCTATATATCTTCTCGGTGTGAATCTTGTTGCTGAACATCTGTGAAACTTGGATCGGGTATCCTCTCTTTTTATCGATTGTTCGATTGGGACTGATTGTAACAACACCGTGTTACGGATTTCTTTTATATTCTCTTTCCTCCTTGCACTTTGCTCATAGGAGACGATAGACCAGCTTGGGTCTTTTTCTTTACTTTACCTTCATGAATGGAATCGATGGACTGCTCAATTTTATTATATCGTAGATGAAGGCGTAATATAAGGTTCTAAAATCACCCCATAGCCTTTTGACGACGCCGGAGGATTTAGACACCCACAAACGCACATGCAACGGTCTGAGGCACCACCTAGTAAAGCCGCACAGCTTCCCCAGCCCCCGAAGCCTGTTCGATCTTATAGAACTGGAAAATACAACTCGAGTGGTTTGTCTTGTTTCAAACCTTCATATTAGGGGTACTATCACGGGTTGCTTTGCTCCTCACCGCTTCTGAATATATCGTTATTAGGTACAGTAGCTCTCAAATGCTTGAATTTTGCCCTGTGGGCACTTGATATTTACATGAACAGGCAGGGCTGCTAAGTTCTAGCCGGGCATCTCACAGATGGGCTGAGGTGGCCCCCAAAGCCCAAGCGGCAAAGTATTCCATAACCAGACTTTCCCGTCAAGAGAGCTTGATGCAAGGAACCTCCCGTCAGGAGAGAAAGCAAGCAGTTTAGGGTCATTCACCAGGGCTTCGGATTCGTAAATGTCACCAGTATTGATATTGTGAACGGCGATATGTCCGTATTCATCAATACTTGCCAGCATATTGTTCGCTAGAGAGACATTCATATGACCATGTAAAGCATTTCGCGCTGGGGATAAAGCCAGGGCTTTAACCGTATTTGAACGAATGTTTAGTAATGGGACGCCTGTTTGATTAAAGCAGGTAATGAAGCATTGTGCGTCTTTCCAAGTGACAGTGACGAAAGTATCACCGGTGGACGCTAGTGTCATGGGTCCTGCACTCGGTGGGATTCCATAATCTTCTAACTTGGTTTTTGTTTTCGCATTCCAAAGGCAGAGTCTGGTGTGGGAGATAGAGATGATAGTTTGACTACCAGGAGAAAAAACGATGGCCTGGCATGGACTGTCATGCTCCAGCATTCCAAGCCATCTTCTGGTCTCAACATTCCAATATGTAATTCTTCCCTCAGAATCAATCGCGACCAGGTATATACCATCTGGCGAGAAGGACAGAGAAGTGAAAGGTTCTAAATCCGCGTCGGGATAAAGATCCATATGAGTCGCTTGCGTAGATTCTTTAAAGCGATATATACGGATGATTGGCTTGCTCAAGGGACATGATGCCAGCAAACCACCATCCCGCGAAGAGGTAGCCATGGCTGAAATAGGACCCCCAAAGCCACGAATAACTCGGGAACGAATGTCTCGGGGGTCCTTTGACCCAATTAAATCCCAGATACGGATATATGAGTTATCGAAGCCAGCTGCTAAGAGTGCAGAGTCATGGGAGAAGGCAAGCGCGTTGACAGGACAATCAGCGCCCTGAAAGGGCCCAAACAATTCAAGGCTGCCCAGCTTTCCCATTTTCAACTCTGGACCATCATTGAGGCCTGTTGTTGTGCTAGATGGTGGAGTATTTATGAACCTGTTGCTCAGAGGATTAGCGTTGGATTCCTTGCATAAAGACCATTGCAATTATGATTCCTAGAAGAAATCACGGGTGCGGTGGCTGCGGATAATCGAACCTTTGGGGTTGCATCCAACTTGGCATCCTCCAATAGTTCCCACCGAAGAATTTCCCCGTTGTAGAACTGGGGAGGTCTGAGGATCTGATCGCGGACAAAACAGTCATTAGCCCATCATCTGCTACTAATTGGGAGATTGTCTCGATCTCGTTTGCTGTCATATTTGTGCTTGAGTTGAAAGATTTCAATGACCGATTGCTTGTTGGACTGCTACTTCCCGGGTGCGCAAAAGCCACTCGGGTATTCAAGCTTGCAAACTCCTCCGTCGTGGACTCAGATAGGGAAGCAATTTGGGTGTCTTTGGCATCTTCTTGGGTAGCGGCAGAGTGAGAACGCAAGTGCCTTTCTGTGGATGAGTGTGTGGTTTTAGTCTCTCCTGATGACGGCTCATGTGGTAAATCTTCTTTCATCCATGGGAGCTCGATAGCTGTCTCTGCCGTTGGTCGGTCTTGTGGAATGGGACGCATAAGACATTGGACAAAATCAATGCCCAGTTGACTGAGTTTAGCCTCGAGGAGCCCGACTTCTCGAGGGGGAAAAACACCAGTTTCAGTATACTTGACAAGTGGAGGAATCTTGGGAAAGACAAGCTCCTTTGTGACTAATTGGAATACGATTGTGCCGAGAGACCAAATATCGGTAGCATACGGGCTGCCATTTTCGGTGAATCCGTACAGCTCGGGCGCTATGTAGCCACGGGTGCCTTTCAAGGTTGTAGAGATTCCAGAAACTTCTTCAACGCGTTTGGAGATACCGAAATCGGTAATCTTGATCCACCATTCATCCGGAGGATGAGATTTGACGAGAATGTTCTGCGATGTAGATATTAATTAGCATGAGCTTTCCCAGCATGAAAGAAACTGACATTCGGTTTGAGATCCCTGTGAGCAAATTCGTTCTCATGCATCATAACAAGACCCTCAAGGATCTGAAAAGCAATCTCCCTTGCCTCTGTTACGGGCAGCGGTGGTCGATCATACAAATAGTGCCATAGATCGCCTAGTTCGAGATGCTCCATCACAATGAACAGAGCATCGGGACTCTCGTACCATCCAAATGACTTGACGAAACATCGCTCGTACTAAAGGCGGTTTAGAAACAATTTCTATCATATCTTTTGAGGGGAACAGACTCTTGAATGCGAGAACTTTGCTATGGCTTCCAATTCCTGGATGTAATGGATGCTGGAAAATCGCCTAGTAGTCTCGATCTTCTTAACAGCTCGAAGATCGGTTTCCCGTTTACCTTTGATGCATTTTTCCAGCCACACAGACCCGCAGCTTCCTCTTCCAATCTTCTTTTGTCGCTTCCAATGCTCAGTTCTAGAAACAACTCGCCGTCTAGAGGTGGGGTTGGATTCTTCGTATGTGTGGATAGTCTCGTTCAAGTTGGGGACAAATGTAGTCCTCAGTTTGGAATCAAGGACCAGATCAGGAATACGGGCTATTTTCAGGCCCGGTCGTGTTTCTGGCCCGGGTGTCGCCATGATTGCAAGAAGCCATGCTTATTTGCGGCTGAGTGTTGTGTTTCCCTGCGGAGGCACTAATGAACCTAGATCCTTGCATATCACGTGTCGGCCATCTGGGTCATAATTTGGACAGAAAAGAAATAACTTGTAAACTACATGAATGCAACCGAGATATAACGATGAGAAACCACCAAAAGGAGTTGGAAAACAACTTTGAAAGCCAAAAAAGAATGATCCACAACATGGTATTGATAGATTGATAGAGTGAGATAAACGAGAAGAATCAGGGGGAAAAAGTTAGTCGTCACACCCGGAGTTGAACCAGGATCTGCGAGCTTCGAAAAGCACAGGTATGTGTGCCCAGACATAAGCCTGCCCGTCAGGGCGATATGCTGCCGTTTGCACCACCCAGGGGTGTATTCAAAGTAAGGAACCGGGAAAGTATAAGAACGGAACGGACGAGCCAGTCCCGAGACTCGGAACCAGCAAGATTTTCGAGCTTCAAAAAGTACAGGTATGTGTACCCGTTAGGGCCATGTGCTGCTTTTGCACCATCCTGGAGGTGTGTTGAAAGTAAGGAATGAAACAGTGTGAAGACAGAGAGAATAGAAGAGTCGGGGAATTAAAAAAAATAGTGAGACACCACCTGGTGAAGCCGTACAGCTTTCCCAGCCCCAGAGGCCTCCTTGATATATAGGGCACGGATCTAAGTCGTCTAATACTGTTGTAAGAGCATGTTAGTAATAGACTAGACCCTACCTATCAACCTTGGAAGTGGAGATGAGTAAGGGAAAACGGATGAGGTGTGACTATGATTTGGTATCTTCAAGATTTCATCGAGGTAGAATATTTGACAGAAGGTAACATCCCAGTGACATCGACATGAGTGCAGAGATAAAGAGACTCAAAGGGAGACGCTTGGTTGGCTTCTGTAAGTTCAGACCGGTCTGCTTTCTTTGCCAACGCAGAATTACGACGAAGAGATCGTAAATGCTAAAATCAGGCCACATAGTGTCCACAATTTCGATATCAGTGTCTTGATGACATTGCCAAAGTAAAAAATCACTCAACCGGTTGACCCCGGAAGTTCGAATGAGAATGTCTACAGGAGGATCACCGCCCGTATACATTTGGCTGCTCAGCAACTGGGCTGTGATGCTTGAAGGAGAAAGTACTTTCCGACAACAAGCCTCTGCAGTTGCTTTCACTGCATGGGCCATTTCTTCGCGCGAAGTGTATGCTATGCATATGTTCAGAGTCCTCTCTTTCCTGTGCCGAGTTGTTTCCTCAACGTGATCAATCGTTGCTTTCAGATCATTACTCAACAAATCGACTCGACCCAAGACTTTAATTGCGCACTGAGACACTTCTGCTGTTTCCCCTGGCTGGCAAATCTGGATCAGCTGCCGGTTGATCAATGTCATGAGCTCATCGACTTCTTCCTTTGGTCGATGGAAGTTCTCAAGGCTGAAGGCGTATACGGTGATGCACTGAACACCGGATGAGAAACCCCAACGGACGATCTTATAAAGTTGATAGTCAGCACTTCAAGTTGATTGCTGTCGTCAAGAATATGCCTCACTCTCATAAGTGCTCGCGACCCTAGGAAGTGCCCTTTTGCGACTGGTATCCCGTGGAGTCGTGAATATCGCCGGTTGCCGTCCATGATAAAAGCAATATGATCAGGTATCACACCTACCTGGAGAGTATTTATCAGGGCATCCGTAATGAAAGGCGAGTTCAAAGCCGATTGCTTATATTTAGAGAGTATCATAATCACTTAACGATCGAGGAAGGCGAATTAACCTCTGGTCAGATAAGGGAAAGGACTGGTATAAAAAGAATTACTGCATCGAATGTGATGAATTGAGGCTACTTAATAAAGAAAATCGGATCAAACTCATAGAAGGGGGTGTCGATGCGTGTCGGTGTGATGTATCCATAGATGGGGTGGGCTGACGGAGTTGTATTCTCCACTACAAATTGCTTTTCAAGGAATTACCCAAACACACCAGCCAGTCAGATTTGCTCCTGGCGTTGATCAAAGTTTCCAAGCTAATAGTCTCGTCAAGATGTAATAGTCTCGTCAAGATGCTCCCGTGGCTCTGAGAACGGTGTCGATCACTCCTACGAGGTAATACTTAGATGATTGAACAGTCCCCTGTGTGATTTCTTTTCGTAATCTTCATCAAAGTCTTCAACATGATCACATATCAATATTCCAAAGAACTTGATTTCGGGACTAGTGCGAATGTTCCATCATTTACCATTTTCCCTATCCGGGTACGCAAAGATGATTCACTGTCACAAAAGGCCAGTAAGAAATTTGTTACTCGACGCAAAAAGGCCGGTCTTCAATTCGCGAGTCCTACTTCTGCGTGTCAATGCCCCTTCGGGCATATTGTATCTTTGGTCATACCAGAATGTCCCCCAGATAAGGTAGCCCTTGCGACCAAACTTTTTGAGTATACCTTCATCGAAAACGGTTAGTTCTCTTTTTTATTTCTGTATCTTTCATTCTATTCTTTGTTGTATATGATATTCAAACAGACAGATTTACTGGAAACATTCGGTTCTGAAGAAGAGAAAGAGCTTGAACACGCAAAGTCACGGCTCAACCGGACCGACTCGGACATCCGCGACGAAATTATCGAAGAGATGCTTGACATTGATAATCCAATCATGTCCCTAATGATAGTGTCTTACCAGAAGTATTTGGAGGCAAAGCAGGCTCGCGGATCGGGACCTTCCACGTTTCAAGAGTACATCCAGTGGCGAGTTGAGCATGTTGGAGCTTGGTAAGCGAATAAGTATTGGTTTTTAAGAAACATTTCCGGCTGACGCTATAACTAGCATTCTTACCACCGCTGTTTGGATATTCATGGATATCCACGCTGATGCCAAGGAGATGGAAAGCATTCAACACCTCATTCGTCCGCTTGAAGAATCATTCGGACTCTGCAATGATTATTTCAGCTACGACAAGGAGAGAGATGATCTCATGGAAGGGAGAGGCGCGAATGCAGTGGCATTCCTCATGCAGACGGAAAGAATTACAGAAGAAAAGGCGCTCGAGCGGATAAAGCAAAATATCATTTCACTAGAGACAGCCCATCATGCAGCGTTCGAGGCATCTATGAAGGAGGGTGCGTTGTCTCCAGAATTACAACGGTTCATCTTATTTTTGCAATCGGCGATGGGGGGATTCCACATATATCAAGCTACTGCAGGAAGATATCAGACAAGCGCTGATGCCAAAGCCCATCCAGACTCTATCTCTATGCGTCTGGTGATGAACTCTGTTTTTGTAAGTGTGGTTGCTCTACTCTTGTTTCTGATGTTCAGATAGTATCTCAACTGGCTCTATTTACTCAAATGAGAATACATACTGCAAGTGATTTCGAAAATTTCATATAAAGGATGTAAAGGTTATGCGTTCCTCTATTAATGACACCGCTGAGGTTGTGAAAACTAGGAGTACATAATATACCAGGACTAACAAGCGAAACATATAAGGTGACATTATAGGTGAGCATTAATATAATATTAGAAGTCCTGAAGGATGGGAGGTGCTAGATTATCTAACCTATGGGCTTTTTTTACGGACACATCGATTCCATTGTAAGGCATCCTTATCCATGTTCTCGTAGCGTCTGTGTCTTCATATATACTGAAGAGAGGATATATTAAAGGAGAATCTCACGGATTAAATACCAGAAAGACTGCAAACGTCAAATTAGATCCCTTAACACCTCGTCGCAGTTTAAACACAATAAACAGATCTTCTAGACGGTAATGAGCCCTCATTATAGCCCCGCTAGAGATATCTTTGACGTAGAGTTTGCCAGTCTAACGGAGAATCGTACCCATAAAATCCACTCGGATATAGTAATCCCAGGTAGTACAGACTCTGTAAATGCAACACCTTTATACCAGTGAAGCCCCGGAGTACAAGACAGCGTGGGGGCACGTGGACATCAGCGAACTCCCGCGCTGTATAAACTGTCGGGTCATTCTTCGATCTCCATCCACTCTGCCATGCGATCAATTCCATCGGTATTAGCAAAATAAACCCACTATTTCCAAGCCATTCGATACTCCCGTCCAGGGAATACCCACCAAGAAAAATCCACAATGCCAACACCGGAGGATACCAACCGAGGAAGAAGCAATGATACCTCCAACCCAGGACCAAGCTCTGAACCCACTATCTCCGGCATACGCCAGTCCACACAGCACCGACCAGACAACACGCGTCCCCCAGATACTACACGGCGCACAGAAATCTACACCGATAACCCGGGCCATGCGAGTCGTCTTACAGACGCAGAACGCCAGAGACTAGAAGCATTGGCGGCAGACTCGAGGGGCGGTGCGATCTTCGTTACCTATGATCTGGTCCACAGAATAGATACGCTCATGGCGGATGGGACCCGTCGCACGGATGAGGCTTTGATGCAGTACTTGTTTCAAGATGATATCTGGGAGGCTGTTGATACTGGTGATATCAATGACGCAGGGAGAAGAGGGGACGGTAGTAGGAACGGGGACGGGAACGGTAATGGAAGGCAAGGCGGCGGCATCGGATTGAAACTGCCGAATGGAACGGAGGAGAGCCATGAAGAGGAATTGAAGCAACAGTGACGGTTAATTTAGTGTTGAGTCAAAGAATGCGATTTCTGCGATTCGGGTGGTTTTATGGCGATGAACTGAGGAATGTGTATCTGGGAAGGTAGCTTAATCCATCACATCATGAATATCTTGTTCATTTCTAGCGGTATGCGGCAGGTGATTGGTTTATCGTTTGTACAGGAAAAGTGTTCTCTATCTAGCGGTGATATGAACAAATTATTTGTTGCGTGGCGATCATTTCTTCTTCTTGGTCTTATCCACAACCTCAATCATCTGTGGCTTCAATCCACGGCGAACAAGGGCTGTCTCAATGGCCTTTCGCTGGTCGCCCTGAACCAAAACTTCCATGATACCCTTGGGGGCACCAGTAGCCTGTGTGACACTAGTGCTACCGGCACACTTCTTCTGCAGCTCCTGTGCCAGCAGACTAGGAATAATGCCGAAGACCTCCAGAGTCATGACTTTGGTAACAGTCTTGGAACCTGTTCGCTTCTCGAGGGTGACATGGACCTTCGGTGCGGCGCCTGCTTTCGGCTTGACGTCTGCAATAGCTTGGCCGGTCTTCAAAATGACATGGTACGGCGAGACCAGTGTTTTATCATCCATGAGTCGCTTGAAAAGTCCATCGCGAGTGACCTTGCCGCGTGCAAGTGTCCCTTTATCTTCAGTTGATGATGAATTGAAGATGGTGTTCGCGAGGAATGGGTTGAGGGTTATGATGCGTCGGTTCTCTTTTGAGATGATCGGCGGATTTTGGGATTCAAGATATTGATCCAAGTGACTGGATACTTCGGAGTATTTGTAGAAGTTATTTGTGTCGCTGGCAGCGAGGGCAGGGAAAATGGTTGGCACCAGCTTTCCTGATGGCCGATATAGACTTTGCACAGTGATCGTCTGGCCCACTGAAGGGTCGGAACCATCCGTCGCAGCCGACTTTTTGCCCTCAGGCGCGGCCGCCTTGCTGTTCTCCAAGGCACGCGGTGAAGGCAGTCTGTATGGTACAAATCGCTCGACCCGATGGTCCCCAAAGTCGACATCCAAAATGACGGTCTCTTGGCCGTTGCGTTCCTTGGTTTTGACAAGCTTCGATTTGTCCAGATGTTTCATGAACTTTTTGACGTTCTTCCAACTGGTCTTTTTGATGTTGTAATGCTGAGCCTGTTGGGGGGTGTACACAGGGAGATAAGGAGTAGTGAAGTTGGCTATCAATGCCGAAGCTGTGATTGGCAGTGGAAGGCCATGGTCGGTTGCTGATGGGTTATCCTGCTTGAGCTTGTAGAGGGCGTAGACAAAAGCATTAACGAACGCCTCATCAATTTCTATTATTTTGTTAGTACTTGGTTGATTTCATCTCAAAATCGAACTGCTGATGCATAAAGAGGAGGGCAGGGATGACTTGCCCTCTGTTGTGGGTGCCTCCTCTTCGGTCACGGGTTCTTCTGACGCGGTTGGGTCATTGCTTGTCGCTTCAATGTCCCTTGAGGTGGTTGTAGCCCCATCATCATCGATTTTTAACTCCTCCATTTGTTCCTCAACACTCTCGGTTTCATCCTCATCCCAGCCCTCTAAATATTCCGGGGCTGGACGACCCGGCAGTGACGCAGAGCTCCACGCCCAAAGTTCATCACCCTCCCAATGCAATCCACGGACCGCATGGCCCTTTGTGCCTTGCACCTCTCCCAATGCCGAAACATCGATCTCACAGATGCCTACGAAAAGAGGCACTGTATGTCTATCCACACTCGCGACCGCAACAACGGCGCCCTTGACCGCCCTTTCGGGGAATGGGGGTTCATTCGCAAGGCCCGGTGTCATCAAGTCAGCTCCACCATGGAGCTTTCCCATCACAAACTCCGGGGTGTAGAGTAATGGGACTAAATTGGGGTTGTGCCATAGTGTATAGACAGTTGGGTATAGTCGTTTGTCGGCCCCCGGACCGTGTTCTAGCTTGAACCATAGCACCCGCTCATCGCCGTCGGGATGTGTGCCAACGTACACGACCCCTTGAAGTTCGCGAAGGTCTGGACCAGCGGTGGTTGTGAAACGAGCAGTCTGAGTGTTATCAGGTAGGAGGGCATTCCGGATCGATGTAAGGCTCAAGGCGGGGGTAGATGCTGGGCTCGGCCCGGACGAGTCTGCTTTGGTGGGGTTTGAGGTGACAGGGATTTGATAATCTTTGATAATTTGGTCGGCAATCTTCCTACGATCCGAAGATCGTAGTGGAGAAAGGTTTTTGATCTATTCTATATTAGCATAGAGTCCTTTGCAGTGAGATTGTTGCAAACCCAGCAAAGCTTGGAGGGGTAGTGCGGGGGAGAGGTCATTTACCGTAGGCTTCTTTTTGAACATAATTGTAAGCTCAAAGATGGAAGCTAAAAGCGCAGAGTATAGTTCAATTCAAACAGGCCAGCTGAAGACCTGTGGAGAGAGACAAGATGTGAAAGTCAAGAGGTGACGTGCGAACAAAGAATCTCCCGGAGGTCTCCACATGGGCCCGAAGAGGAAAGGAACTCAACTTTTTAGCATTTAACTAGCGCATACAAGAGTACCTAGGTACAATAATCTCTTTTCTGGTTGTTCTTTTTATACATCTTTCTTTTCTAGATATCTGTTCTTTTTATTGTTATAGGTAGAAAAATAATGATTAGTTATAGAAGTAGAGCAACCTTGCCCAGGTGGAATGGGAATAATAGTACGGAGCAAAAAAGCCACTCTACTGGTACAGTGTGGAATATACGAAGGTAAAAACCACAGGGATTATATACCCTTTCTGTCCATGGAAACTAAAACTGCGTCATCTCCGACACCTCTCAAGGGCTTTAATCATTCTATGACTCAAGTTCCATAACATAGGACTTTTCCTCTTTTCCTCTTTTCCTCTTTTCCTCTTTTCCTCTTTTCCTCTTTTCATCGTTTTATCTCGTTTTATTGCCAATGCATGCAAGACCATATTGTTATAGTTCTCTAGACAAGACTATTCCGCGGCTTTTTCAACCTGGCCAGACTAGAAAACTATGGGCATCTGTAAGAATCGATGTTAATGTCTCTAATATAATTTCCGAACAAACTATATATTCAGATTATTCAAGTCTCACATCGTTATAGTGGCCATATAAGCACCCGACTCTATTGTTCTTTATTCAATAAGTACATGTACGATAGACGTATGCTGAAATCAATGCCGTGTGACCAAGGCTCGTTTGTATATCTTTCTATATTTCTATATAAGAAAGCTTCATATACCAATACCATATTATCTTTCATTCTGTTCATCATCATAAATCACACCGACTCATGCTCACGGTCTCCAATATGCTTCACCCGTGCCTTACGCTCAACGTCCGTAGTCTGCACGTCCTAAGGCATATTGGCTAAGTGGTTCTCTATCTTGACGGCCTCCCGAATGGACAAATCTTGCTGGAACAAGTCCTCCAAATTCTCTAATCTCGGGGTAGAGGAAATCAATCGATCCAACAAACGTAAGACCAGTGATAGCGTAGACGATATAATACTGGTAAGCTATGTTATCTAAAGCAACGGATATGACCATTTGTACCACAAAATTCCTGTTCGATTCGCGTCTCTGAAAGACCAGTGTGAATGTATAACGGAAGTGGGCCACTATCTTAGCTCACAGCCATCGGATCTAGCATACGCTTGGTAATTGATAATTCCTATTTCGGCAAAATTTGAATTGCTACTCCTGTTTCTGCTGCAATCAGATGAGAGACAAGCAGATACGGATACGGAGCCTCGGGAGATTCGGGAGTGATCAATCCCGGGTTCCAGCTCGGGTAGACTTGTAAAAAGTGTTCCGAGAGATTTGTAAAAATTGAAGCTAGCCAATCAGGAAGAAGAAGTCTGTTTTATATCGCCTCTACCGCGCTATATTGTTTATTAAGGTCATAGTACAGAACAATGGTCTCTGACGGGCCTTTATCTGGCTTGGAGTGCCTCGTACTCGGTCAAATATCACACCGTGCCCAGAGGCAAGTATGCACGTGTCGTTATGAGAAGCAAAGTATAAGAAGCAAATATAGAGTGAGGTGGGCATAAACCTTGGAAACCGTCATTCAACGTACTTCGCCACAACCTGCTATCCTCCTTGTTACCAATGTCACTCAAAGCAACGCTCGAAGAAACCGCAGCTGGTTGGATCTCAGATCTAGAAAGTCGCTCGCTAGATAATGTTGTATCGCGGTGGACTGATGACATCCACTATGCTCTTCACCCAGATACTGAGGGGGTCTTTCCAATGACCAAAGAAAAGTAAGTCATAAACGCCCCAAAAGAGATATTGTGCTAATGCAGCTTCAGATTTCGAACATACGAACGGGCGGCAGCCTTCTTTGCGCTTTTGAAATCGTTCAAAATTACCATTCACGAGATGTACACGGATACAGAGAAAAGGACGGTGACTATGCTTTGCAGCAGCGAAGGCCAACTGGAAGCTGGTCCATACGGCACTGATTATGTCTTCGTGCTCACCATGACGGAGGATGGAAAAGGGATTGAAAAGCTGTCGGAGTGGCCTGATTTCCACAAAGTCCAGGTCATGCTCAGCAAGACCCTCGAGTAGAACACCTTAGTCAAAGAGACACTCTTTGTATTCTATAGCCACATGGGAAACATGAATGAGATATTCCTTCGCCAAAAGCTCGTAGAAGGGAGTTATATGCCATTTGGTCACCATTCAAAGAGTAACTATCTGGTAACTGTCAAAGGAGATCAGTCCTCCGAGACACCGACTTGCTTGTAACCGAATAGAAAGAAACATGTGCAAGCCGTAGATACAGACCAAGTTTTCGGTGCCTAAGAGATCTGGAGAATCCCAAGACATCCATCTCCGGTTTGCCCTCAATCTTCAATTTGATCGCTGCTGCGCCGCGCAAGCACTTGCCCACTGCATCTCTGCATTGCTGCATCACCGTATCATGCAATGCTCTCCTCTCCACTACCGTCGGCTCCGTGTCCTCGAAGCCCTGCTCATCCCTCCGACTTTCTCGCATCACCGAAGTCCCGCACTACCAGAGTCGCCTTCCGCACGCACCTGCGGCAACATCGCTTCTAAATCCGGAAACTAAACATATCCGGGTTTCGCACCCATCATGACACATCGTCACCCTTCTCAATGTTGATATCGTCTGCCATTCTGGTCGCTTGGTTTCGTAATATTGATATTGAGGAGGATGGAATAGACCCGGTGGTCATCCCCTGTGCGGTGCTCCCTCGGTCTCCGGGCTTCTTTGTGATCTGTTTGGTGATTTGTTTTGTTTGCTTATCACCCTCGTCGGCAGTCGCATTTGCATCCCTATCCCCCATGCCCATTGCTGCGGAGTCCATTGACTGGAACTGCGCAGACGACCCGGACCGGGTTTGGCATGAAATCCGACACCTATCTCATCATCCCCTAAGCTCATTGACACTCCACGTTCATCCAGTTCGTCGACCATCTCCCTCCTCAATTTATCAAACGCCGGGCATTCGAGCAGCACATGCCGCACGGTCTGGTTCCCCATGTCGCAATTGTACTCTAAATTGTATCGGGGGTTTTGTCGCCGAGCTCCTGCACCTGCAGCTCCGAGGCCTTTGCCCGCATATTCTCAGCCTCCCTATAGCAGCCCATCTCATCGTAAGTGGCGGCAAGGTTTTCTAAACTCCAGATCGTATCGGGATGTTTATCACCGAGCACCTCCTGCTGTAGCTCTAAGGCTTTAACCTGTAACGGCTCAGCCTCCCTATACCGGCCCTGTGCGTGGTAGGTGGCCGCGAGGCTTGCTAAACTATACATCGTCTCGGGATGTTTATCGCCGAGCACCTCCTGCCGTAGCTCTAAGGCCTTAACCTGTAACGGCTCAGCCTCACTATACCGGCCCTGTTTGTGGTAGGTGACTGCAAGGTTTGCTAAACTATACATCGTCTCGGGATGTTTATCGCCGAGCACCTCCTGCCGTAGCTCTAAGGCCTTAACCTGTAACGGCTCAGCCTCACTATACCGGCCCTGTTCGTGGTAGGTGACTGCAAGGTGTGCTAAACTCCGGATCGTATGGGGGTGTTTATCGCCGAGCACCTCCTGCTGTAGCTCTAAGGCTTTAACCTGTAACGGCTCAGCCTCACTATACCGGCCCTGTGCGTGGTAGCTGACCGCAAGGTTTGCTAAATTCCAGATCGTATGGGGGTGTTTATCGCCAAGCACCTCCTGCCGTAGCTCTAAGGCCTTAACCTGTAACGGTTCAGCCTCACTATACCGGCCCTGTGCATGGTAGGTGACCGCAAGGTTTGCTAAATTCCAGATCGTATCGGGGTGTTTATCGCCAAGCACCTCCTGCCGTAGCTCTAAGGCCGTAACCTGTAACGGTTCAGCCTCACTATACCGGCCCTGTGCATGGTAGCTGACCGCAAGGTTTGCTAAATTCCAGATCGTATCGGGGTGTTTATCGCCAAGCACCTCCTGCCGTAGCTCTAAGGCTTTAACCTGTAACGGCTCAGCCTCCCTATACCGGCCCTGTGCGTGGTAGGTGGCCGCGAGGCTTGCTAAACTATACATCGTATCGGGGTGTTTATCGCCAAGCACCTCCTGCCGTAGCTCTAAGGCCTTAACCTGTAACGGTTCAGCCTCACTATACCGGCCCTGTGCATGGTAGCTGACCGCAAGGTTTGCTAAAGCCCTGATCGTATAGGGGTGTTTATCGCCGAGCACCTCCTGCCATAGCTCTAAGGCCTTAACCTGTAACAGCTCAGCCTCACTATACCAGCCCTGTGCGTGGTATGTGAGTGCAAGGTTTTCTAAACTCCCGATCGTATCAGGGTCTTTATCGCCGAACACCTGCTGCCGCAGTTCGTACGCCCTCTCATCGACTAGCTGCTTATCCATCCACCTGCCACAGTCGAAATAATAGTGCGAAACTTGGGTCAATAGGTCTGATACCTCTCTGCTCCTCTCGCAGACCTCCGCCCACTTGCCCACTTCCACCGCATGGGTAACGTACTTCTCGCATTCCCGCCACGTCTCTGGCTGCGGCGTAGGAAAGAGCCTTGTCACAATCTGTAGCGCCGTATTCGAGAAGTATGTCGCGTCTTCCACACTCCTCACACTGAGTCCGTATCGTGTAGCCTCTTGCACAAGCTTATGCATCTCGTACTGCTGCACACCCCCTTCTACCTCACGTATGCCGAGGAATGAAAATTCCCTTAGCCGTGTGATAGCTTCCATGACCCGATCTTGGCTCTCACATGATCGAGGCTCCTGTCTCTCGTTGCCCAGCGTATGAACTGCCGCCATGATCTCGATCGGGATGTTTTGGCTGTTGACATACGCAATGACATGGAGGATCCTATATGCCATTTCGTCGTCTTGACGGATGCGCTCGACGGATATGCTCCACGTCTCCAAAACACTGTTCGGAACATCAGGCCGTCGGTGCCGATCGAAGTGCTCCGCTTTGAGGACTCGCCATCGCTCCTGTCCTGCTAACAGTCGAGATAGATATTGCGGTATTGGCATTGATGTCCGCATCATATATGCACTGGCCTGTGAGATAGCTAGCGGTAGCCACTGGAGCTCTTCAAGCAATTTCCTTGCGTCGCTTTCCTCTCCACTGCTAACTTCGCCTTCGCCGTTCTTCAATTTCCCAAGGAGACATATTGACTCATCAGTAGTCATACGGCCGACCTGGATACCACGCTGCGCGCCGACGAGGGTGCCAACGATCCGTTTGTCGCGGCTCGTCCACAGTAGCGTCCCGCTCGCTCCTTGCGGTACGTAGGTGTATAGGCTTGGCGATTCCCCCGCCGATCCCCCTGCCGGGCGGACGCCGAAGACTGCCAGGTCGTCGGCATTATCAAGAACAAGCAGCCATCGCGGCTGGCTCTCGATGCAGTCGCGTACTGCCGTGAGTAGCTTTTCGCCGTCGAGATCATCTGGGAGGCCTAGCTTCCCTGCGATATCCTTATAGTCCTGTGCGAACGTTGCCTGGGTATCGGCGTGGACCCAAAAAACGGAGCACGCACCCTTTTTGTCCTCACTTTGGCGCCAGGCAAATTCGAGCGCTACCTGCGTTTTCCTTCGGCCGTTAGCTAGCTTATCTAGTTATAAAAGCATAATCTGCCTTACCCGGATCCGCCGAGGCCCCAGAGGGCAGCGCTATGGGATTTAGGGGACTGAAAGAGGGCGTCGAGCTTGGTGACAATATCAGTGCGGTCGACAATATCTTCGTTTCGGGGGAAGGGGATCCTGCGATAGGCTTAAGAACAATTTTAGATACTGCGAATTTCCGGACATAGACAGGACGAACAGTTCTCAATTTTCTCGGCTTGCAAAACATTTTGTACTACTCTCCATGTTAATCTTCGCTCAGCCCAAGTACCTATACCGCCTTTCTCTCCGTGGACTCTTTTCGGGGAGACTGTACCGAAATGCTGATCCCCCTTAGACTCATAATAATTACCGTCCGCAATTTTCTGCGTGCCCCCGAAGCTATTGTACTGACGATTGTTTTCACCGGACTGGTTGGCGGAGCCGGGCTGCCTATCAAGAGCAGAATGTGTCCGTGGTTGATTCGTGTGGTATTTGTTCCCTGTCGTTAGGTCTTTAATCCACCGTCTCATCTCTCCACAAACAGCCAGAAGCCCGGGGTCAGTGGAACCGGCGAATTTGGTCATATCCATATGGTTTCCGTGGATTCCGATGGGGATGTAGCCTGGCAGGATCGCCGAGTCCTGTGGCACGACCTATTGACTCGACGTCAGTATTCAGTGAGGATTCTGGCCTTGTCTGACCTACCAAACCAACACCCGGCAAAGGCATCTCCTCGTAGAAGCAAGTGATTTCAATTGGCGGCAGACTTTGTGTGCTTCGTGCCTTGACCATGGTGTGAAAGCCGTCTTGAATCCGAGCAAGCACCTCGGAATCGCGTTTGAGGACACCGACTATCTCAGAATTCGTCTTTTTGACGAGGCCGATGGATCTGGACAAGGCCTCGGCCCATCTGGCAAGTCCAGCTCCATGGTGTGGTGTGCCAAGAAAGATAATACCGCGGGTAGAATGAAGGATATCACGCAGGTGTCGCTCCGGTCGTTGGTTCGATGTGAACAAGGCCTGTCTGGGGTATTAGAATAGCCCCCACAACCAAAGTGGGGTATCTTACATCCTCACAGACCAATCCTCCTAAGCTATGGCAGACAAATATGATCGGTCGTTCATTCTGTGCGTATCAGTACCCCTGTCAGTATGCTGCGGTATCTGCGGAATGGGCTGTCCTACCGTGCCGTCGTTCTCTCGATACGTTGAGAGAGCTGTTAGCAGATTCCAGGCGTGGTTGGCGATACGACTTTGCGACACAACTCCTTTCCAATCGGCCACATTTGCATCGTATCCAAATGCAAGGACGCGGGCTGTCGGAATTATAGGTGGCAGGAGAGTTTTGGGCCAGGGGTCGGTCGCGTCACGGGCAGTCCACGTCGCATCGCGATCACCGGTAAGGCCGTGGATGAAGATGATGCTAAAAGAAAATGTTTAGGGGGTTTCGTTTTGGATCCAAAAGGGGACGTACTCAACATTCCCATCATCTGGGCCGTAGAGCAGTTTGATACCGGACGGGAAGGTTTTTGGATCATCTTGACTTTCAGCTGGAACCCGTGGTCGCGATAGAAACCCCATTCTGGCTATGCACGAAAGGAGACCTAGTTCTTCTGGTGTCGGGGTTCAATATAACGTCTTGCGTATCAGGTCAAAGCGAATATATGTAGATTGGAATAAAAGAGTATCGCCAGTGAGAAAACCCATTGCAATACGTTTAGGTAGAACCCTCCGTAATCATTGCGCCACGTCTGGAGGGCGCCTGTTCGTCGCATATGATTCGCCTTGCTGCGCCTGGTACTGCAGGGGTTGCAGTACTTTTGTCTATTTTTGACTGCTCGGCCACATCACAGTTCTGGTTCGCTTTTTTATCGGAGATTGCGGCTGAAACCTACATATTGAAGAGGGGAACGCTCAAGGCAGTATGCTCTCTGGCAGACGGGTCGATTCAGCACTCGTAATTCAGCTTCATACCAACCAGGGCATACAAAGAGAACTGGGACGTCAGTCCAGGAAGTGGATTCAGAGAGGTGTAGGAGTGTGTATTGTCAATCTGTAACTATCTGCTACTTTAAACCTCTGCCCAGGTAATTACCTAGGTACTATAGATAATATATTAAATAATAAGACCTTACTCGATAGTCTATATAATTTAATTAAAGAATTAGAGCTTCCTAATTAGTCTTCCGCACGACCTAGTAGCTTATTACAGGCCGCGAAGGTGCTCTTGATAAGATAATTGAAGTGGATATGTTCGATATATTAGCAAAGTTTTCTCTTGATGGGTTTTATCAGGAGACGAGAGAGTACTTATGGACTGCATGAAACAAATCAAAGAATTTTCACTTGTTAGCTGTGCAATCAAAGTCTTGAGACTGGTATATTTCTTCCAGCTTTTCTAGTGTTGACTTGCGCATCATGAGGTGATACAGGTGCCCGATCTGATGAATTGCTATTCTGACTAGCAACTGAGTATGAGTATGGTGTAGACTTGGCCACTGGATATCGGCTTCATTCGCGGCAGCGATTTTCTCTTCGTATTCATATTGTGTTCGGGTAATATATGGCATTACACTGTTCCCCGTCAAGAAACGACGAAAGCGAGTTGCAAATGCCGAACATACTACCTCCCCGATGTAAATGGACGGCGGGGAGGGATTATACCGAGGAAACAAGGCACGGTCTCCGATGACTGGGTTCTAAATACGCGTTCTATTAGGTGTATCTGCTGACCGAGATAGTCCCTTAAAGTTGTTTTAGTACTTGTACCGTAAATTACACAAGGAGGGACGTCTACCTCTTTTAGTTGCGTGGGATCGTTGATCTCGGCTACTTGAGCCGAGGTGGTCAATTGTTCTCTAAACCGCTAGTTCTCTACAAGGATCTAGTCTAGATAGCTGATTGATGAATATCAAATTAGTCTCCGAGCTGACCCGCCTAGGAAAGATTTGAGAAAACTTGTTTCGATGGTATATCATGGCAATATCACATACTTTTCGCTAACCTTCAGCTGGCGGTCCTGAGTGGCATAGGCGCATTCGTCGGCACAGCCTACCGCGCGGCATTTAGCACACGGTACGTCGCCAGTACATTTGATCTTATGCGTGTGGTATCTTTGGCAGCTGTGGGATGTCAGTAGTAGCTTCAGTCGGAGATATCCGAGACGCACGCGACAGATTTCCTTTTCCGTCTTTGGAAGTCACGACCTTCCTGCACTTGGTCGGATGGAAGTTCACGTCTTTTCTGGACTATATCAAGAAATCTTTCTTATCTTTAGGGCGTTTCAAATTTCTTAAAGATGAGGAATGAGTCATGACTTTATGGTCGGAGATTTAGGGTCTTAGCCGAGGCCTCGGTAGATTAAACGTAGATACCGAATTGTCTAAGCGAGTTGTAAACCCGGCCCGACCTAGGGAGGTCAATGTCACGGGCTTTCTAATGTCCTTTCTGACGGATATTTGTATATAGTTATTTAAGTATCAAATTGGTATTCTGGTAATCACTAATATCCCTAAAATTTTTGAGTCATGTCCATCGCGATGTATAAATCAAGTCTATCATGTAAGCATTCTATAATGCAAAGAAGTAAACGGAAGCAAAAAGGCCATGTTATATTAGTAAGATTGAGGTTCGGCATCGAGGCCAAATGTTCTCTCGGGCCATCGGGTATAATCGGGAGTTATTAGATAGAAATCCCAATATTCCAAATTGATTTGTGGCAAAACGAGTTGCAACCTTTTTCTTTCCAACAGAGGGATGTAAATTGTATGTCATTTAGCAGGACAGTACGAGCAGCATAATAGTCAAATAGGCATAATAGGATAGGTTTTCTATTTTGTGAGGTTACATGTCCTTGGAACGGTGGGGCTACTATGCCCTGCCTGAAGATGGTATCCTCACTCCCACGATCTAGTGCGGTTCTGAATCACTATAGTTAACGTATGATGCAGTGATTAACGCTTGGTTTTATGTATGTTATTAGCATGACTTTAGTAATTTATAGGGCGGCAAGGCAGGGTTTAATCTGGCTTATGGCACAAACCAGGCAGTCGGCGTTATTTTTATTTTGCCGACACAAAGCCGCAAAGGCAATCAACTCGATTTTATATAAAAGGGCTCATTTCTGAACTGTCAACTCACAAACGTCCAAATTTCTACCATGAAAGTTCCACGCCCACAGGGACCCCTCGTTTCCCTGGCTCCGGCTCTCCTGCCATCAAGCAAAACCCTCCCTGGCCGAACAATTCTCCTCGAGAAGCTCGACGCCAAGCATTCCGATGACCTCTTCACACTGATTGGCGGCACTGAGCCGGCTAGAGAGTCTCTGTGGGACTATATGTTTGACGGGCCTTATTCGGACGCAGACACGTTCAAAGCCAGCATCGCCTCCAAGTCCAAATCGATAGACCCCTTCTTCTTCGCGATCATTGATCAGCGCAAAAATACGCCCACTTTCGCGAAGGCGATTGGCATTCTATCCCTTATGCATATGACACCTGATTACTTTTGTATCATGATTGGAAATGTTATGTACTCGTCTGTTTTGCAGCGCACGACGGGCGCGACGGAGGCGATCTATCTCTTGGCCCGGTATGCGTTCTGTGAGCTTGGGTATCGGAGATTAGAGTGGAAGTGCCATTCACTTAATGAGCCGTCGCGGCGGGCTGCGGCGCGGTTGGGATTCACCTTTGAGGGGACGTTCCGACAGCATATGGTTGTCAAAGGGCGGGGCAGGGATACGTCTTGGTTTTCGATTTTGAAGGACGAGTGGGACGGGTCTCTTGGGGCTGCTATGGAGAAGTGGTTGTGTGAGGATAATTTCCGGGAGGATGGTAGTCAGATCAAGACTTTGCCGGATTTGAGGGCTGAGTGTGCATAGATGATACGCACCCGATTATCCGGGCTATTAGCCGTTGTATTTATTTTACAAACGTTGCATACCCTCGTCAGACGACCATCTGCCGCGAAATAATCTAATTTTAATCTAAAGAGCTCATGGGTTTACGATACACAACAGAAAATCTAGATTCGTCCGTCCACACTCCAGCGCACTAGTGAAGAGATTCTTGATAAATGGGATAGAAGAGAAGAGAAGAAAAAAACAAGTAATTAATGGGCTCGAAATGAATGTAAGCTGTTCAGGGAAGAGCAGATATAAGAAAAAAAACAGAAGTTTAGTCGGTGGGTATGTACTTCTTTTTGAATGCAACTTGCCGCATTTTCAATCACGTACTGCGCTTGAGAGAGTAGTCACTCTACGAAGAATCTTTGTATTCAGTGTCCTCGCATCGCATGATACCGTCGGTGGCTTTGTCTGCGGTGAGACGGGGTCGGGGTAGCAGACCGCGGTAACGGCGTCGAAGAGGAGGCGGTGGTGGGGTTTGACGAGGTGTTTTGTATAGTTGAAGGAGTGGGTATATATTTGGTGGAGGAACTAGAAGCCTTTCTGCTTGAAGTTGGCTTCTTTTTGCCAGCACCTAAGCTTATGGAACCGCCTGGACCAAAATTGAAACAAGACGGTGAAATTGGCGCTTTGACCTCCTGTACAGAAGTCAGTGGTGATTTCACGGATCCATTGACAGGTTTAGTTGACATACCGCAATTGTCTTCTCCACTATGGGGTCTTCTGGTGTATCAACCTGCGCAATATCCACGTTAAGGCTGACTCCAGCCTTCGGTGTGAGACAAGCTTTAGAGCCTAACTTCGTCAGGGAATGCTCAACCCCAGTATTGAGAATTAACTTACCGCCAGCCGAGACATGAGCTCCGGAATCGGCTCCCAGATTGACATCAACTCCCAAGCCCTTGTCTAGATGACATTAGTACATTGGCTTCATGTTGAGAAATTGACTTACCGGTGGAGACTGCTATATTGGCTCCGAGATAGGGTCTGAGATTGACACCGGCTTCAAAGCCCTGGTCTAGATGATGTTAGAACATTAAAAACATGCTGGCATGGCCATACATACCAAGAATCGAGGCAGAAAATTGAACCTCAGCTTTGGTGTAAATCTCAGCCCCAGCCTCGATCTTAGCATCGATCTTCATTGGCTGAGTCTCAACTTGAGGAGTCCAGCCGCCAGCGGACACGTCCGGAGACAGGAAATCAATCTCGAGCTCTGCAGAGTCCTGTAGACTGAGAGTCACTCCGGATGTAATGCCTGCGGAACCTTTGACAGGACCAATTTGGTATCCAAAGCTAAAGACAATTTCCGGGCCAAGGTCAAGAACACCCCCTGGAATTGAGATACCCTCGATAGGGATCTTTACGAGCTCATACTCGTCGGAGATCTCCTTGGTCATGTTCCCACTCAGTCCTAGGCGTGGCGTGAAGCTTGCAGAGACGCCATTGGGCGAGAGTGTTAACGAGGCAGACTCGGGGGCGCCATAGCTTGTCTTGATGTGAACACCAAAGTCGAACGATCCTTTTGTTTCACACCCCTCACATGAAATGTCCAGGGAGACATCCCCGCCGGGAATAGGTATCGACTTGCTGAGGGGTATTTTATGGTTGAAGCTTAGGGAAGCATCCGAGTCCCAGTCGTCCCAGTCTCGCCTGCTTGTGGATGCTTCTGGGGCCTTTCCCACAGTGACCTCGTAGTTACGGAAGATTTTTTTCCATTCCGATGCCACGCCGCTCAACTTCGCCTTGAGTGATGGCTTGTCGAACGCAATTGATGAAACGATAAATGGCATCCTGTGAGAGTTCCAGCCACAGTGCTTACTACCAGTCACAAGGATCAATTTACGATCATCGTCATCATTGACCCACTGCCATCCACGCTGAGTGTATCCGAACGCACGAGTGTCTTCAAACTCCACAATCATGCCATTATCGGTACAGTTAACGGATTTCAGCAGGTGTCGAAACTTCTCCATGGAGACTATGTTTGCTTCGTCGTCGCCGACGTCGACTGTGAGGTTCGCCAGCGTCTTGTGGCCATTCTGGGAAGCTGTTGTGCAATGTTAGTTATCCCTTCCATGACTCGAGGAACATGCTCTATCCAGGGGAACCCATACCGCTCCAATAATAAGAGTCTTTGCTCAGTCGATCAAAAACCGAAAAGGCAGCATCTTCGTTCGATTGGTCTCCTCTTTCGAGAAGGGGGTTGACAATATTAGGGGCGTCTGTATCTTCAAAAACAATAGACAATCCTTGCTGAGCAAGAAGGGACAGGACCAGGCTGGAAGACAGCCAGAATCGCCGCATATTCACCATCCTGAATGCGAATATGAAGTCTGCTGCCTGATACAACGGTTTCTAAGGCCCAGCCACGAGTGAGAGCCGCTAGTGATTTGTTTTTCCTCGAGAAACCATGTTGCGGCTCCCCAGGCTTCTACTTATATTGTGAAGGTCGCAGTCATATTCCTTCCCATGAGAGATCGTCGTCGACTTCACCCGACTCATGGTATGACAATCCATTCTTGGCGACATCTAATATATACTTTTGCAGCCAATAATAGGTACCAATGCCTCGAACCTTGGCAGGGGCAGACGGTAAGACACGGCAACGTTCGTGTTCTTATGCAGGCTGGCCTCCGGCTCCACTTTTTGGGGCTGTTCGTTTAGCGATCATGCCCTTTTGAAGACAACGAGCGATCGCAAAGTTTGTTATCGCTCATCATAATTTTACACTTCGTATTGAGCCATCTAACTGAAAGAAGCTGGTTCTCGCGGGTCTCAACTTAGTTGTGAATGTTCACTTTTAAGTCTTTTCCATATCAGTAGACCTCGCCAAACCCCAAACGACACGTTCAAGAATGAATCTAGCCGAAAATTGGAAGAGGATTATGTTGGGTGGACGAGAACGATTACTTGAATGCGCAGGTCATTTGCGAGAAGCGCTTGCAGGGAGATCTGGTCGTTTCTAGCATTGATGAAACTAAGATGGCGGGTTAGCACAAAAAGGAACATGATATACCGGATTTTAGGCCGCCATCGCGATTTTCCAGATTGGGGTGCCGCCGCTTTATGAGGGCGCTCAGGGTCCTGCTCACTGGATTAACGAATGAGTTGAATGAAGTGGTAAGTAAGTCACCGGGATCGGTGGGCGTTAGAACCATGTTGGACGTTAGTAGGCCTGCCATCGAAATACTGAGCCACACTAGCGGGAGCTGGAAAAGTACTTCTACAGTTGCTATAAGAAGAATAAGTACCATAAAGGCCAAGGGAAGCCAGGCCGGAAAAGGCGATAAAGGAGCGAATGAGCGTCGCGTGTGGCATTAGGTTTCCAATGGAGAGAAGCAGCTTAGTTTTACGGACGCCCTCGTACAAGCACGTTGATTAACTGGAAGTCGCGCGTGTCGCGCGTTGTAAGATGTCGGTAAGTCTTTCCGACGTAACGCTCGGGTTTTCTTTCCTATTTGATTTGCCAAATTTCTGTATATACTTCAAGTCTTCCTCTAGACCTCGAGCTATCTCATTATTTTAATCGACACTCTATAAACAATCCTACCGAAGCCGATATCTTTCAGAATTCACATGCCATTCCAAGACATTCTATTCTTTATTACGTGTTACACAAGCCATGGCGGACAACTCGTCTTACTGGGTTGAGTCTGAGGACTGGCATACAGCTGGAGAGCCTTTTCGCATCATCCGGCAGGTCCCATCAGGGTTTATGCCTGCAGTTCAAACAGTCTCTGGGCGTCGCCTCGAGATCATCCAGTCTAGAAACCATCCGCTAGATAGGCTCCGCGTATTTCTTAGCTATGAGCCTCGAGGGCACGCGGATATGTACGGTGGCTTTATTACCCCTCCAGACGACTCGGGAGCTCATTTCGGCGTGCTGGCATAAAGACGGCTTCTCGACGGCCTGTGGTCATGGTACTATCGCTCTGGGATATTGGGCGGTATCTAAGGGCCTTGTCGACGCTCCAGATGATGGGGTTGTGGATGTTGTGGTTGATGTCCCATCGGGCCGCGTAGTTGCGTCGGTCACTGTGAGGCATGGGAAGTCAGTACACGCCGACTTTGTCAACGTCTCTACTGATCAGATAGCGAAAGGGCTATCTGTCGCAATACCTTCTCGCGATTCCGGTATTTGTGTTGACCTAGCTTTTGCCGGCGCTGTGATAGCCTCGGTAAATGCCGCTCAGCTAGGTCTTGAGGTCAAGCCAAGCAATGCAAACGAATTCATCAGACTTCAGCGAGAGATCAAATCATCTCTTGGTGATAGAGCAAAGTACAGGACCAACGAGTTATACGCAATGCTCTTTTTCGAGGAGAAAGAAAACCGCCAAGAAGACCAGGGGTTGATCATCCAGAGAAGCGTTAACGTCTACGGCGACGGACAGATCGACCGATCTCCTTGTGGTTCTGGAACTTGCGGAAGGATGGCGATCCTACTTGCAGAAGGTCGGCTCCGAGAAGGCTCGAAACTCTTACACCAGTCTATCATCGGGTCGACCTTTGAGGCCGAGATAGTATCTAAGGGTCAGAGTCCGGTCCAGGGTTTTCCTGCCTGCGTTGTGCGTGTGAGGGGCCAGGCGCATCTTGTTGCGCAAACGCAGTTTTTTATCAACGCGGAAGATCCACTGTCTCCAGGCTTTGTCTTGCGTTAGGTTTCTCATTGATTCCAATTTCTCTCTCTACGTTCGTTTCGGGGCATGTTTGTTGCACAGTGTGACCAGGACATATGGTGAGGTGTATTTACTTACAACCTCGATACACCTGACACCTCGATACTCCACTTCAAAAACTACCGTCCGTTAGTACGCGTAGATCTTTAATTAACTACATATATATCTAGGTCGCTTAGTTCAGCATCATAGTGTTAGCACCTGCCTTTCCGTCTACTCTAGCAATCACAATTACTCGATGAAGATATCTCTCACCCCATTCCTACGATATCTATTCTAAGGAGCTACAAGGCTTCCAAGGGCCGTGGCTAGTATTCCTAGGGGTGAGTAAGATAGTACCTAGGAACAATAGCCTAGATCCTAGGGCCGGAGGCATCCGAGATTTCATAGAAGGATCAGGATAAGAGGGAGTAGGAAATCGAACTCTAGAATAAAGGACATAACCAAGATAAGCTTGAGTACGGAGACCTAACCATGGCCAATTCCTATCAACCCATGGATGGTACATGCGAGCTATCAAAGGTAGGACATCAAAAACCGAGATTTCTATAGACGAATAGACGTTTCAGACATAGAATAGATAAACCACCAGCAGACCCGAGATACTAGTTTGATATGAACTCGCTGAGGATGTAGAAAGCTTAGAGTGTGGTCACGATTCGTCTTTCTTCCACTATACCGCGATAAACCGTACCGCTGGGTTGATAAAGACCAAGTCAGCCGCCTGGTAACGGTAGTACGACAGGTGTCAATATATTGCATCATCTGTGCGTGCGAGTTTGTTCCATTCAGCTGTGATAACAGCTTGCTTTGTGCTCGGTCAAATCTGTCCACTGATAGGGCTAGTTTTTCCTGGAGGTTAAACATCACGTTTATGAGGGCTTTGATTTCATCGGTGTGGAATAAAGTGGGTATTGCATTCAGTGTGGATCCGGAAGCCTATATATATATGAAATTAGTTTTAGGTATCCCGGTCTTCTGCTAAGCTGAGTTTTCTTCGTACCATTTCCTTTGGGAAGAAATGAATATCGTTAATTCTAAGAGAATTTAGTCTTAGACAGCTCCCAGCCGGGATTTCTATAGCTTACAGCATGCAGGGATAGCAAGTCTCCTTCCAGATCGTTTTCATTTCATCAGACTCCACACGAGACTCGTCGATTTCCACTTGAGAGATGAACCTAGTGACCCGATCAGACAAGTATTCTAGACATTTGATACCAAAAAGCGGCCGACTATTCTTGTATGTATTATTCCAAAATGCTAGAAATTTCATCGAAGGTAGAGATATATGTAGGCAAAGATAATTACAAGCGGTGGATCCCAAAGCAAAAAGGATCAAAGTCCCAAGTGGTCGCTATGCACTGCGATAGTCCAAAAATCGCTTCTGACAGATGAACAAAGGCGTTAGTAAATCGATCAAGACATCGTAAAATTGCAGGTTGAGAAATGAAAGAAATCATCCGATTGTCTCGGTTTTAGCGGTTTGACAGTCTTGATGGACCCATTCTCTGGGAAATCGACGAGGCGAAACCGCCACTATGTGCATTATTCAACAAATGGTGCTGCATGCAGACCATGGCACGGTATTATGTATATATGTGCAAGTGCCGGAACGTGTCCGGCTGGATTCGCGTCACCGGGTTGGCAGGTGCCTCACCAGAGTCTAGCACCGGGATTTCTGCATTGTCTGCTTCTGGCTGAATCTATGACATCACCCGAGGGAAGTTCAAGGCCGCGGTTCATCGGGACTATACTTCCAGCGTCGGTGATTCTCTGCAATCCACCACTGGGAGACATGGGCGGCCTCGCTCAGCCACCTCGCGGCTTCGAGCCCGTGTCGTGTCTGCACAGCATCAAACAGAGTCACAATATCGAGGTCTTCTTCGGGATTGAATTCGAGAGGGTCGGCGACGATATTGGTGAATCGCCACGGGGCATTTGAGATGAGCGGCACGACCAGACGGTATGGTTTCGCGGCTGCTCGCATAGATACCCATGTTCCTCCGGGGTTCATCGTGGAGAAATGCCATTCTGACTTCTGATCCTGCTCGGGGATAAGTGGGCGTAGCAACGACTGGCCCTCGTATAAGGGGAGCAGGTCCTTCAATATATGTGCCGACTGTTCGTTGATATTGGAGGTTTCGATTAGAATATCGAGGATGCTAGGGAGCATCTGAGTTGAGAGAACGGCGCCGCCAATTTCGACTGGAGGTAGCTTGGGATGGGCGAATAGTAGGGGAACGTGGAAACTGCCCACGTGGGGGTCATGATTCGCCGTGATACCACCGTCATTTGGAAGAGATAAACCGCTATAATCAAGTTAATGGAAAGTTTGATGGGTTGTAAGAAATGGGCAGAACTTACTGGTCACCTGCCATGACAAGCAGGGTTTCATCGGCGACTCCAGCCTCGTCGAGAATCTCAAGGATCGTGGCCAGCCAGTCATCCTGATACTTGATGGTATTCAGGTACCGGTTCAACTTATCGTTCCATCCATGGCCATTTCCGAAGAAATCCTCGTAGTCGCCGGGCTTAAACCAAGGAGTATGGGTATTATGAGTTAGGTGGCCGATAAATAGTCGAGTGTTGTTCTTCTTGGCCTCGGCAAATGCATCCCGCATATAGTTCTTTAGCGTGTGGTCCGGATGACCATATTGCTGCTCATCTTCTGGCTCCTCCGGGATGTATATAGCACCGGCGTCATTGATGGATTCTTTTGTCGTGATATCCTTGAATCCCATAGTAGGAGTAAGGTCCTCCTGGTGGTCCCAGGTGCCATAGTGGGACTGCATCCACATAGAGTGCCATGGCCAAGAGGTCCAATCCTCAGTGTCACTGGTGATGTTTGATTGCTGGCTCAAGGCGTCAAATATGTGCGGCAGGCAAGGCTGGTAAATATCGTGGAAGTACTCAAGATTATCTTGAACAGCCATAGGGCTCACACCGCACATAGTACCTGTAATACTCTTCATGGTGTATGTGCCGGATGTGTAAGCGTTTTTCGCGCTAAGGCCGCCATAGGGCTGTGGACGATCCTTGTTCTCCTTGAACCCAGTCTCAAATCCGGTAAACCTTTCGGCGATAGGGGTGAGATTGGCGAGTTTATCCATAACCTCCTCGGGAATATTTCCGTTCCAAGAGTTTTTGATGTGCTCCATGATGTAAGAGTCGGAGCGGAAGGGAAACACGTCCTGCCGATTGCTCTCTAATTTGATGAGAATAATATGCTTGATCTTGACGTCTCCGCTGTGGAGCACGTCACGGATGGACTCCAGGATGTCGTTCTGGAGATTGGGAATGTGCAAGGGATCTTTCATCGGGTTGTAGTGTTCATACACATAGTCCTTGGGCACGGTGTTGTTCAAGTGATTTATGTGGAAGGGAGACCAATCGGGGAAGGCAGTTGCCGCATCACCCGCATGTAACCAATCGAATGTCGGGAAGGAGTCTAGAGCAGTTTTGCCATCTAGCCAACTGTAATCGCCCGGCAAAGATGCGACAGTTCGCTGAGAAGACCCAAACCTGATGCCGCCAAATGGCGCGAGAGGCAGAGATGCGGAGAGGAAACTGTAAGTCATATCGCGGGGACGAATGACACGGAGGAAAAGTAGAATTGTGCTGCACAATACGACGATAGCGGGTTTCAGCAATGCTCGACTTTTCTGTACAGGCGGCTCTCGAGGTGCATCCAGCAGCGAAACGGAGTCGCTGTTATCATCACCCACTTCATAGTCATCGATTGCAATTTGCTCATAGGTATCTGGGTGTGGCAAATTTTGCTTATTGCGGCGGAAGTAGCGGAACGTCGCGGACAACACTGCACCCCACACCCTCAGGAAAGCTGCGGTGACCCAGGATAGATATGGTGTGGCGTAGAATGCGCCGGCCAAAATCGAGGTCTCGAGAAGGATAGCGACGAACAGGGCTGACAAAACAGTCAGGGCGGAGGGCTTCTCCTCGCGGAAGTTGCTCGATATGCGCCAGTGGATCTCCGAGCCCCGGTGGATGTAAAAGGAGATGTTGGCGGAAATCATCGACGAGACAAATAGACTGAAAGATAATTAGCAAATCGCTATTTATCCGTAAATCCGATAAATGCCTACCTGAATAACGTGATAAACACGGCCGCTATATCCCTAGTCGTTCGCCATTGGTATGATCGGGCCAGGCTGCGCGCGCCCAAAATGAGCAGGATATCCAGGAAAAAGAAGGTGGGGCCCCAGGCGAGGAGGGATATGACCGTCAGGGCATTGAGATGGACGTAAATATGGAAGGCTTTGGAGAGCAAGAGGGAGATGAAAATGACCGAAAAGAAATATGCGCGGGAGGCTGCCCAGCTATAGTCAATATGGGCCTGAGGGGATCTGGCGACTTTGAGGGCGAAGATGGCTGCAGATTCAAGCTTCCCACGTAGCCGCTGGGAAAGACCCCCTTGCAGCGCCCAGGCAGGTTTCATGATATGTACAAAAAAAAACCTGGAATGTGTCAAATCATGCAAGAACGTTGCACCTTAACTGACTGAAGAGAATTTTCCCAGCCATAGATGTAATCGGAGAGGCGTAAGAGGGAGGATTGGGGAAGAATCCGATAAGGATTAGACAGAAATAAGGAGAGACCTCTGGAGCTTTCAAAAAAGAATAATCATGGAAGCAGAGGATGGTCCACAACAGTCCACAACTGGGGTCCAAAACACGCGGAAAATCCACTTTCCACACGTGCCCAGAGATGCGTTATGTGTGCAAATAATATCCCGAAGTCTTTGGGGTAAAGATCAACAATCCCTATCATCATAGGGCAGAATCATCTCGAATCTGATTATCCGCCCCCCCCGCCAAGATCCCTAAGATAGCAGGTGAGCACGCGATGGAAACATCTGGAGGGAGACTGGAACTATTCTGGGTACTAATAATAAACACACGGAAACATCCATGGAAACCTGTCAAGTAGCTCTTGATTTTGAACCGGTCTATATATGGGTATAGTACAATATACTAGCCCACGAAAAAGCCCACGAAATTGCGCAGGTAACAACTTTTCAAACTTCTCGAGGCTTTTGTGGAGATCACCTTGGCAAAGCCGCAAAAACGACGCCTAACCCGTTAGAATTCTCCCTGGGCTCCACATCTACCTCATTGCCAGGTCCACCCGTGGACGGGTGGCGGTCTCACCTAAGCAGGCACAACCTCCAGGGCTCTGGGGCGTCCAAGGGATTTGATGAGCTGTCACTTATTATTGCCCAAATGGCGGGATACTAACACAGCCAGGATTCACACGTGCGTAACCGGGCTCCCTAACATTGGATTTATTAGTAGGTCGTCGGGAAAGACTTAATAACGTCAACCTTTGACTTCCCAAGCCTTACAACTACGCCCAGTGCGTCACATGTAGATATCCTGATACTACCTACCAACTACATCGCTACTGTCCAGGTCTAATTCTATAATGGAATATTAACTACAGAGGTGTCTGCTTATCAGATGGAAGCAATAAAATCCAAAATCCAAAAAGAAATACAATATGTCAGCTTCAAAATCAACAATCAAAAATTCACCAATCGTCTCTTGTGCGGAAGCCAATCCAGAAATCCTCCATTGGCTCAGTATGACTTTGACCTAGATACGCCTCAGTTCGATGTCATATGACCAGCCGGGACAGATACAATTACACATCCTGGTTTAGAACCATGCCATTTGGCTTCGTCAGGGCCGTTACTGTCAACTTGTTTGTCTTGCCGTCCTTGATGTAAGAGCCCTTAATGTTGCCTCGAGGGCGCTCGATGCTGTGAGGGCGGGGTCCCTTAGGTCGTGGGCGGTCCTCGTCAGTGGATGCACTGCCGTTGCCGCCGCTATCCTTGGTGGAAGGGCCTGTGTTACTGCCTCGAGTGCGCCGGTTGCTTTGAGACCGAGAATTAATAGGATAAGCATTGTTGTTACCTCCCATAGGATAACCTTCCATTATCATTGACTGGGATCTTCCCGGCTGTGTAATCACGACGTGGTCCCATTCAGGTGAAGTATGCACGATGCGATTTCGTGCAGGACGAGGTGGTAAATCACAACAATTATGATAAATGGTGTTCCATGGAGCCATTTTGGCTAGATGAGAGCTGCGAAAGGTGAATGTGCTCAAATAAGTGCCCTGGCTATATAAACAGCCAATAGCAAACATCAACTGGTTGTAGTTAGGACTAATAAAGCAAATAGTATATCACTCGAGGAAGCCAGAGCCTATGGGCCATGTTGCGATACAAATAGAGAACTTTATAAGAGGCAAACATGGATAACACCAAAGTGACGTCGTATTGCAGGTAGGATCATTATACAAGGCTCAAGCAATATACAAAGCTCAAGCAGTATATTGTTGAACGTTGGAATATGAAGGGTTCTGACCATGACCGGGGCAGGAATTTGATTTATGAAAGCTTTATAGTGGCGGCGCGTGTAAATGTCGATGATAGCTAGAAGCAACTATAAACGCAGATGTAGAAATATAACACAGCTTATGAGGCAACAGGGAAATTGCCAAATTATAGGGAGCAGAACGCTCAGGCTGTTTTTATAACCAGCAGTAGGGCAAAGTCTTATAAATAGTAGAAACGTAGGGGTAGGATATAGAAGATTTCTGAAGAAATAGGAAGAGGCTCGGTGTACGTCAGCGATAGGTGATTATATTTGCATCTCTCAAAAGTGGGATTGGCCTGTCATTTATATACGAAGAAAGTCCTAAAAGGATCCGTACAAGAATACCAAAGGTGGGTGATCAAATTGGGTCGCATAAATTTATATCAAAATTGATTGAAGTCCGAACAGATTTATACCTAGGGTTATATACTACAATATGCAAGACTAATTACCAGCAAGGCGGTCCCTCGATGTAATCCAAGTCACTGTTGCCATCGATGTTGTATATCATCGACGCAGAAGATATCCGTACTGCATCGGACATCCGCCGAGAACCCCACCCCCGCCCCGCCGATCACGACGACACAACAGCCGGACTAAACTTGGGCAACGCACGTCTATCCTTATCCGTGAAGAATCAGTCAAAATGCCAGTTTATCACATAGGTGAGTTGGACGCAGCCGAGTGTCCAAAAGACATGAAACGAACCTCGATCACTAACGAAGTGCCAAGTCCTCTTCCGCCTCAAGCCCGGCGTCACTCCGGCCCAGATCGCCACCTGGAAGGAGACATGCCAGGGGATGGTGGGGAAGATTCCTGGTAAGTGAGATGCTGAAGTTCAGATCAGAACAATTTCTCATAGGAACCTCGCAATAGGACTGCTGTCGCTACAGAGCGGTCCCCCGCTGCCGATCTCGATTCCCCGTGCCCAGGGTTTTGATATGGGACTTGTTGCTGTTTTGGAGACGGCTGAGCATATCGCTACGTATGCGGTGCATCCTGCTCATTTAGAGTAAGTTTCCTTCGTCGGATCAGTGAGGACAGTGGGCTGATTTGCTGACACCTTGAAGGGTTCATAAAATGCGCGAGGAGCTCTGCGATGATACTTTGGCGTATGATCTAGAGTTCTAGGTGTCTGGTATATGAAGTGATTTAGGCAAGTCTAGTCCTAAGGTACTGCCATTATAGGAAGGGGTTTGAGAACAGTCCGTTCAAAAGTCTCATTTGTACATATCAAACCCTAGGCCCCGGGTTAATCGTAGCCACCGAGGCCTACCTAGCCAACCCGTAGATGCTCGTAATGAAATGACATAACGCCGAGAGAAGGTTCACCTCCATGAAATAATCGGAAAACAGAGGCAGGTCGGATCTCCAATCCGCAATACTTTTGGTTGAATCCCGCCGATTGACCGAATCAGAGAACAAGAATTAAAGAGAAGACATTTCAATCCGCCGAAACTGGATACCTTATTCCTTGGCGTCCACCTTCTTGGCAGGGTGATCACCACCGTTGGTGCCCTCATCCTCACGGGAGCGCTTCTGGGTGCTCTGCACGACCGGGACACCACTAGAATTAAAGTCAGCATTTATTCATTCACTGCGAACATCAGATCAGTTTGACTTACCGAGAGTCCTTCTGGGCCTCACGGGGAGCCTGGAAGCCATTCTGCTGGTCCTCGGTGCGGCGTTCGCGCCAGTCACGACCATCATTGTCGTTGCGGTCACGACCACCATCACGGCCGCCACGGCCACGGCCACCACCACGGCCACGACCGCCGCGACCACCACGACCGCCACGTCCACCACGGCTACCACCACGGCCGCCGCTGTTGCGAGCGTTGGAGGGGTAGACATTGCCGTTCTTGATCTCCTCGACCTTCTCGTCGCAGTACTCCTTCTTGCTCTTGAAGACCAGGTCATTCTCCTTCCACTGGGGCTTCTTCTCCAGAGCGAGGAATGCCTTCTGCTTCTCCTCAGACTCGAACTCAACAAAGATGCTGCCCTTGAAGGTCTTGTCGTTGTGAGTGCGGCGCAGGCGGATGGCGTTTGTAGGACCGTAGGGGGCGAAAAGAGCTTCGATGTCGAGCTGTGTAGTGGGCTCTTCCTCACCAAAGCCGAAGCCCTTGGCGTAGATGGAGCGAGCCATGGAGGCATCCTCGAAGACCTTGATGGCCTTGGCATCGTGCTCGTTCACGGACTCGGGCAGAGGGACCTTGCGCTTGACGGCGGTGTCGTTCTCAGTCAGCTCGACGTTCTCGGCGGTCTTGAGAGCCTCGACGATCGCGCTGAAGGGTTGGAAGCGGCGCATGCGCTTGAAAGAGTGAAGGAGCTCGAGGGGCACGGCGTTGTTGGCGCTGCCGCCAACCTTGGAGAGTAGGAACTTGTCCATGGGGAGGTTAGAATCGGAGAAGTAGAATTCGACCTAGGGTGTGCGCATTAGTTAAGGTCTAGTGAGGGAGCGTTTCCAATGGTCATACCTGCTTGCGGATCTGCACAGGGTCGTCGGTCACCTCCTGGGTGGAGGGATCGAACTTGGCGTTGTTCTGGCGAGGGCCACGGCCACCGCGGCCATCGCGCTGGAAGCTGCGGGTCTCGCGCTTCTCAGTCTGGGACTCTGTAGTCTTCTCCTCGGCCTTCTCAGACTTCTCTCCGAGCTTAGCAGCTTCGGCGACAATGCGGGCCTCATCGGCGTCCTGAGCGGGCTGCTCGGAGGCGCCTTCCTCCTTCAGTTCGGCGAGGACATTCTGAACATCCTTCTCAGCCTCGGTGTTGACAACGGGGGTCTTTTGTTCTTCGGCCATAGTTGCGAATTGTATGTGGAGACTATTTCAGATGTTGAAAAAAAAAATGATAAGCAGGGAGGTTCGACGCGATGGAAATGAGTCAGGGAAAGCAGAAAGTCAACACGGGATCGGAGGGGATTTATAGACAACCTGGGGACATGTGGTAACAATACCTTTATAGATTGATCAATGCGCTATTCAGAATATTATTGCGCTTGTGACAATATCGCAGCGGGGAGAATCTGGGAAATTTTTTTGAGCTCCATTGGCGCCTGAGGCATGAACTAGTCCGCGATTGGTTAGCGTGAATTCGAACTATTCCATTTTGGGCAATTCGACTTTCTGTATTCATTGTCTCCATTATCTGCATTATATTCGAAGAATTGGAATAACAATAGATGAATAGAAGTATGAATAGAAAGTTCTCAGGCGGAAGTATCAGTTTGGCCCCTAGTCCCTTCATTATGTACTCATATTTTTCGTCAACATCGTCAAAGTGCAAGGACCTCCGGCACATCGCACCTTCCCCAAGGCCGTGACCAAGTGGTTGATCAATATGCTGGCTCCATTTCCCTCCCTTCTCCCCGGGTGACCTAATTTCCTTCTCATCCTGTCACAGAGCATTCACTCTTATCAAATATCAACACATCCATGGATATCTTCAGTTGAATATTCTTTCCAAGACGATTAGTTGTAAGTATCGGTCTGTCACATCTGAGGTCCCCAATTCAATTCCGCTAACGAAACGTGATGTCAAGGCCGTTATTCTCCACTTACAATACCTTCGGACCCTTCAACCTTCACTTGAAGTGCTCTTTTCAACGTTAGAAAGCAGGTTCACATCAAAATGATACTATTACAAAGGGATTCGTCTGTTGAGGAGACCTGGCCCGCCAAAGATGTATGCTCTCCCCTATCTGGGCTTGGGATACTATCCTGACCATCCTCGACAGATAATCTACCTCTCGATCGTCGGCCCATTGATGCTTGCAGCCCTGTTCGAATGGATTCTGTGGCTCAGCGCCTTCATCTACTGCCTGATCAAGGTGTGGATGAAAGCAGACCATTGGAGTATAAGAGTTCTGGCCGTGGTGATGATCTTCTTGTTCACAGTGATACGGTAGGTTTATTGGACGCTGGGAGCTCACTGCCTAGCAGCTTCATCCAGGGACATCCACTGACGAAACATATGATAGACTGGCGTTCCTTCCAGTCATGCTCGTGACACTGCCGTTGCCGCCACAGATCACGGTTGACTTACCCCACGAGATGGTGCATGGGTTTCAAGTGTTTGCATTCTGGGCCTTTTCTGTTCTTCTGATCGGCCCATGGCTATTCTGTGTTTACGGTCTCACCACCAATTCACTGGGGAGGAAAAAGAGGATCAAACGAGTGCTTGATGATAGGACGGCCCCGAAGACTGTGGTTGTCATGCCAGTATACAAGGAGGACCCAAGTGTCTTGATCAAAGCCATCAACTCCGTGGTTGACTGCGACTACCCTGCAAATTGCATCCATGTATTTCTTTCATATGATGGTGGCAAGGTGGACGAGCCGTATCTCCGCGTCCTCGACCATCTCGGTATTCCGATCACGCTTGAGAGCTATCCTCAGAGCATTGACTGTGTTTATAAGGGTGCACGGATCACGGTATCTCGCTTCAAACATGGCGGTAAACGACACTGCCAAAAGCATACTTTCAAGCTTATCGACAAGGTTTATGCTGAGTACCTGAAGAGACATGACAATCTGTTCGTTCTTTTCATCGATTCCGACTGCATTCTTGACCGAGTCTGCTTGCAGAACTTCATGTACGACATGGAACTTAAGCCAGGCAGCAAGCGGAATATGCTTGCAATGACGGGCATCATTACGTCGACGACGGAGAAAAACAGCTTGCTGACGATTCTTCAAGACATGGAATATGTCCATGGTCAGCTTTTTGAACGATCTGTTGAGTCTGGCTGTGGTGCAGTGACTTGCCTCCCTGGAGCTTTGACTATTTTACGCTTCTCCGCTTTCCGCAAGATGGCCAAGTATTACTTTTCGGACAAGGCCGAGCAATGCGACGATCTCTTCGACTACGGAAAATGTCATCTTGGGGAAGACCGATGGCTCACTCACCTGTTCATGATTGGCGCCACGGAGCGGTATCAAATCCAACTATGTATGAGCGCCTTCTGCAAGACCGAAGCGGTCCAGACCTTTAGTACTCTCTTGAAGCAACGCCGACGATGGTTTTTAGGTTTCATCACCAACGAGGTTTGCATGATCACTGATGTCCGGCTCTGGGTGCGCTATCCCCTTCTGTGTCTGGTGCGATTCATGCAAAACACGATCCGAACAACCGCACTGCTCTTTTTCATCATGATCATCGCACTGATTACAACCTCAAAGAAGGTTAAGGATCTTCCTGTGGGATTCATGGGGGTCTCCTTGGGGTTAAATTATTTACTCATGCTATACTTTGGCCTGCGTCTCGGACGGTATAAAGCCTGGCTTTATCCCATCATGTTCATTGTGAATCCCTTCTTCAATTGGATTTATATGGTCTATGGTATTTTCACAGCCGGTCAGCGAACTTGGGGCGGACCACGGGCGGATGCTGCCACTGCTGATGATCATACCACACCAGGAGAAGCGGTTGAACGGGCAAAAGAGCAGGGCGATGAGTTTAATGTGAACGTCGATACATTCCGCAACAGCCTTGTGCGCCGGAGATCCGTCCCCATCCGCCCATCGGAGAATGTGGAAGGTCGATTTGCACCTGCCAAGCAGCTGCTTGATGGGTTTTATGTCAACACTGCCGGCCCTGGGCCCGCACTTGCACGGATGGTCAACGCGATGGAAAATCCCGAAAATTCCCAGTACCAGTTACCTCCTCACTTGCGCCAATCGACTGACTCTGTGTTCAGTACATCATCGGATTGCGGCTCTAGCTCGATTGCCACGCCACAGAACGTGGAAACCCTCCTGATGGGCGAGGAAGACCAAAAGAAGCTCTATTATGCCCGCCAAGGCCGGGCATCAACGGCGTCGGTGAGCGTCGCTGGTCACAATTCGGAGAACCGCTTTGATGATGGAGTCACTCTTCAGCCTATGGTTTCTGCATCCGAGCACGATGGCTTGGGACTCACCCACCCACCAGGGGCATACCACACTGGGCGCTCTGAAAATATGCCTCCGGACTACACAGAGCCAGAACGAATGGTGCCCAGCTACTTGGCGCCGAGATGCTTTCAAACCCCGTGACCCACCTCATGATATTATTGTCTAACAGGAACATATGTACCACGAGCATGACGTCAGTTTTCATCCTTTTCCTCTTTTTCCCCTTTTTTCGCACTTTTTTTCGTTTTTGTTTTTTTCAGTGCGACTCCTTCGCCGCAGCATGGCTATTTTGGTCATCCTATTCTTATGTTTTTCAGCCTGGCGGTTTTGTTTTGTCTCGCTTCTATAGGTTTTAGAATCCAAAACAACATTCAAGCCCAAGAACATATGATGTAGCCAATGATCCACCGTAGATTCCTCATAGGGCGGTGATCAAATTTTTTTTCTGCCAGGCAACAGTGGGCGGTGAAGGTGGGTAGTCCAGCAGCCACCAGAAGATTCGATGAGGTACCAGCATGGTCCGGATGCTAAGAAAGGTATATAGACCAGTCGGAGAGAGGGAAATGAATGAAAGAAAGCACACTCTGACACATTTTACGTTATCCATTTATACCCCAAATTTGAAATCCTTTAGTTCGGCGCCTAAAGATCAGCCAGACCGCTTGACACTTGGTTCATCGCCCCTCCAATAATAGTGGAGTGGCGTGCAAATTCTCCCCTCCGACTTCTCTCACTTTTCTTCCTTTGAATCTTCCATCTCCCTCTACCCCCCCTACCTCCCATATCCCCCTACTTTCTTCCATAATGAGTGTCGTCGGCATAGATTTGGGTGCGCAAAGCACCAAGATTGGTGTTGCCCGCAACAAGGGCATTGACATTGTGCGTGTTACCCCACGGTCTTGATCCAGACTTGCGGTCTTCTTTCGGGATCAATCATGACCTCACAAATTTGAGCAATTGCGCTAACTACTTGTTGTTGACATTATAGATTGCCAATGAGGTTTCTAATCGTCAGACCCCGTACGTCCCCCAAACCCCCGCTGTCCACCAGATAATCGAATACTGATTTATATTCTTCTAGCTCCGTCGTTGGATTCACACCTCGCAGCCGAAACCTCGGTGAGGCCGCCAAAGGTGCGGAGATCTCGAACTTGAAGAACACTGTCGGCTCCCTTAAGCGCCTGATCGGCCGTTCTTTCAACGACCCCGATGTCGCCATCGAGCAGGAATACAACACATGCACCCTGGTCGACGTCAATGGCCAGGCTGGTGTCGAGGTCAACTACCTCGGCAAGAAGGAAAAGTTCACAGCGACTCAGTTGGTCGCTTCCTACCTTTCCAAGATCAAGGACATCACCGCCAAGGAACTGCGCGCTCCCGTCTCCGACGTTACTGTCAGCGTTCCTGCTTGGTTCACTGATGTGCAGCGCCGTGCTATGATTGATGCTGGTGATATTGCCGGTCTCAACATCCTGCGTCTCATCAACGACACCACCGCTACCGCTCTCGGTTGGGGTATCACCAAGCTGGATCTCCCCGGCCCCGAGGAGAAGCCCCGCCGTGTGATGTTCATCGACATTGGTTACTCCGACTACACTGCCTCCATTGTTGAGTTCCGCAAGGGTGAACTCAACGTTAAGGCTACCGCCTACGACCGTCACTTCGGTGGCCGTAACTTCGACAAGGCTGTGACTGAGCACCTCGCCGTCGAGTTTAAGGAGAAGTTCAAGGTTGACATCCACACTAACGGCAAGGCCTGGACCCGTACCCTGGTCGCCGCCGAGAAGCTCAAGAAGGTCTTGTCCGCTAACGCCCAGGCACCTCTGAGCGTTGAGTCCCTTATGGATGACACTGACGTCCGCGCTATGATGAAGCGTGAGGAGCTTGAGCTCATGGTCAAGCCTCTCCTTGACCGCCTGACTGTTCCTCTGGAGCAGGCACTCTCCGAGGCCAAGCTTCAGATTGAGGACATTGACCAGATCGAGATGGTTGGTGGCTGCACCCGTGTCCCCTCTATCAAGGACACCATCAGCAAGTTCTTCGGCAAGGGTCTGTCTTTCACCCTGAACCAGGATGAGGCCATTGCCCGCGGTTGTGCTTTCAGCTGTGCTACTCTCTCCCCCGTTTTCCGTGTCCGTGACTTCGCCGTTCACGACATTGTCAACTACCCCATCGACTTCACCTGGGAGCAGTCCCCCGAGATCCCCGATGAGGACACCAGCCTCACCGTCTTCAGCCGTGGCAATGTCATGCCTTCCACCAAGATCCTCACTTTCTACCGCAAGCAGCCCTTCGATCTCGAGGCCCGCTACTCCGACGTCGCCGCTATGCCCGGCAAGGTCAACCCCTGGATTGGCCGCTTCTCCGTCAAGGGCGTCCACGCTGATGCCAACAACGACTTCATGATTTGCAAGCTCAAGGCCCGTCTCAACCTGCACGGTATTCTCAACGTCGAGTCTGGATACTACGTCGAGGATATGGAGGTCGAGGAGCCCGTCGAGGAGGAGAAGAAGGAGGGTGACATGGACACCGACTCCAAGGAGGAGCAGCCCAAGAAGACCCGCAAGGTTAAGAAGCAGGTTCGCAAGGGTGATCTCCCCATTACCTCCGCCACCGGCGGCTTCGACCAGGCCACCAAGGAGGCCTGGACCGAGCGCGAGAACGCCATGTACATGGAGGATAAGCTTGTCGCCGAGACCGACGAGAAGAAGAACGAGCTCGAGGCCTCCATCTACGAGCTCCGTGACAAGATCGACGGCGTCTACGCCGAGTTCGCCAGCGAGGAGGAGAAGGAGAAGTTGAAGGCCAAGCTCATGGACACCGAGGTGAGTTCGAACCAGCATCTGTCAATAATTATTCTGATCAACCATACTAATGCATCATCTCAGGACTGGCTCTACGAGGATGGTGAGGACGCCACCAAGTCCGTCTACGTCGCCAAGATGGATGACATCCGCTTCATCTCCGGCCCCATCATCCAGCGCTACAAGGAGAAGGTCGAGGCCGAGCGTGATGCCGTCCGCAAGGCCGAGGAGGAGGCCGCCGCTAAGCGCCGCGCCGAGATCGAGGCCAAGAAGGCTGAAGAGAACGCCAAGAAGAGCACCGAGGGTGACGCCGAGATGAAGGATGCCCCCGCCGAAGGCGAGGCCCAGGACGAGACTGAGGAGAAGCAGTAGATGCATTCCCACGATAATGGAATGATTTACTGATGTGTTTTCTATTTGTTTTCGGGTTGGGTATGAAAAACCCGATCCCAAAACTGCGCTTTACTCTGATTCATTACCAAAATTTGGATCAGGGTAAATCGCCGCGTTATGACGAAAAGGACCTTTTTAAGAGATGTTTCATGGAGCTAGAGATCTCGACCGGCTTTTAATCGTTGGCCACTTTTTTTTTCTTGTTCTAATGGCAAACGGTTATGATGTAGATCGTTCCTGTTCCCTTGGATGTTTATGAATAGATGAAAATATACTCAATGCCTTTGTCTTCAAATTTTGGGACCCTATAGAATAAGTATCGGCATGTAAGTATCGGCATGTCTCATTGTGGCACGTTATCCCTATCGCACCTTCGCATGTTGGATTCAACGTCGAAATGCAGTCTTGGCATCGCTGCCAATTATCAACCTCGCTTTCTCCCTAACCTCCTTTCTAGGCTATTGGGAGTGAACATATTGCCGCTACTTTTGGTGAGACTATGAAAGTTCACATGGACGAAGCCTTGAGAATATTGATCAATGGAAGAACTAGGCAAAGTAAAGATCTGAAACTTGAGTCCCAACCACCCATCGAAATGTATGTTGGCATTTCCTGGTGATCAATGTCTGTCTGCCATAACAAGGGTTGATATTTCAAAAACAGCGATTCCGAGATACGATGAAGCAGTGAACTCGTGAAGGCAACAACCTGACTTTGGTGAGCAGCAGTTTGGACGGCGGCCCAGGACAAGTAACCCCTACCTATTCAAGGGCTTTGACGGTCAAGCATGCTTTGAAATCGTCTGTGCGACTTCAAGTACCAACCCTCGTGTTCCGACTCCTTAAAAACATCCAAGCCAGTCTTAGACTCCAGATATTCCGGCCACTCCTTGGGGAACCAGCCACGAAGTTCCATCGTACTCAAGTCCTGGAATCTCCCAAGCGCTCGCACGAATTCAACATCCAACGCTGCTCCCCACTGGTTGGCACTGGGCTCAACGACAAGGAACACGTCAAGTGCCTGGAGACCGACAGCTTCTGTGGATAGTTTATTCAACAATGCAGGCCATTCTAGGTGATAGGCCGGCCGAACGTAGAGATCAATCTGGCCTAGGCTTTGCATTAGGGATGGGTTGAGGTTTCAAGCCATTGTAAACCAATCACAGGGTCCTCGATTTGGAATATATTCCTAGAATAAAACCCGGGCGAGGTTTGATGGTGGGTACGTTGAGGATCTGTAATGTGAATCGGTGAGGCTTGCAACATGTCAATGGGCATGATAGGCATGATGGAGTTTCTTTTAGGTGATGGAAGCACACAAGTGGGATGTAGGATTTGAGAAAGTGAGATGGAGAAAAAGGATAAACTTGGATTTTAAACAAAATATAAGATCAGATAACTTTTTTATACGAAGTGTATGTGACTATCAAACCCTTGGTCCCTATTTGAGGCTTTATCGTTACGGCAGTTCTACTGACACTATGGGGAAACTTAATTATCATAGCAGGTATAGCAATCATATAAAGCATGGCAATTATCATTTGGGAGGAGACAAGGCAAAGACCAAGACCCACCTGGTGCTTGTTGTGAAGTGGTAGAGGCTGCCCTATCACGGGTCCATGCTCCTAAAGGACGGCTTCCCGCAGATACTATGGAGATAATGACGATATTTCACAATTAAGAAACAAACCCCTTATTATGGTGCGCATCAAAGACCAGAAGCAAAGCTCACAATCCCAACTTTGAAAAGAATAGTGTGTTGGTGGGTTAAAGACCTCGCGTTTGAGTGTTACGTGTTGACCATTCTAGATGCCTCGCGTGACTATTATCTCACCAAACTTGCCTTACTCCTTCTCCTCCCTCTGTTTAACCCAATTCTCTCTCTCTCATCCTTCTCTCTCTAACATCCTTCTCTCTCTTTCTCCCTTTTTCTCCACGCTCTTTGACCAGCCATATCTTCTTACATGGTACCAGACTTCCAAGTTTCAATCTATCTCTCAACATGGCGCAAGGTCGAGACAAGCGAATGATCCTCCAACTCCTGCTCGAGGATCTAGATGATCTTGAGAACAGGCAGAAAGGAAAACAGGCCGCAGGAAAGGAAACAGATCTTGAAATTGCCATCGCGTGCTTGAGGGAGAATATTCGGATCACACAAATTTCCATCGACGACGAGATATTGGCGCTTAGCACGAGTACCGCAATTGCCACCGACCAAAAGATTCTGACATCTCTTCAACACGAGGAAAGAGTTGCTAATCAGGACCGCCAATTCGCTCTCGCTCTGAGCAATGGAACCTTGACCTCTAATAACATTTCAAATTCCTCGCTCGTAACCGGGACCACATCTGAAGATGACGATGACGACGCCGTTTCCATTGTTATGGGGGATCTCATGGGTCGAATGACTATGAGCGACAAAGCATCTAATAACGGGGAAGGCTCCTCGCGGATACACCCATCCCGGACAAGCAGCCTTATGAGAGAATGTGCGTCCTGCTTCACAAAGGTCAATTTCATTATGTTTAAGGGCTCGTGTGGCCACGAGTTTTGTCGCGACTGCACGAGACAGATGTTCCTCGGTGCCATCAAAGATGAAGAGTTGTACCCGCCGCGTTGTTGTGGGAATGTCATTCCGCCTGGAGTTGCGTTGAGAATCCTCAACTACGACGAACTCCGGAATTTCAGCGAAAGGGCCCTTGAATGGACGGCGAAGGATCGTCTCTACTGCGCCGATCCGACATGTTCGAAATTTATCCCTCCATTCGCTATCCAAAACGAGCACGGCACCTGCGTCGAATGTCATCAGCAAACACATGTACCATGCCGCTCCCTCGCCCACCCTCGTGTCGATTGCCCAATGGACGAACCTCTTCATGCTATTCTAGAAATGGCGGATACCGAGAAATGGAAGCGATGCTTCAACTGTCGAACTATGGTAGAGCTTCACCACGGCTGCAACCATATGACCTGTCGGTAAGCGATGTCTCTTACAACCAACATATTATAGCACATGAAAAGAAGCTAATGATTGGTAGTTGTGGACGCGAATTTTGCTATGTGTGTGGCCTGGTTTGGAAATCATGCGAGTGTCCACTTTGGCACGAGCACAGGCTTGAGGAAATGGCAATTCAAGCGGTGGATGAGGAGGTCCCGGCCAACGCCAATATTCATGTTCGACAGAACGCTTTTGACCGGATAGTCGAGGACCTGCGGCACCACGAGAACAACGGCTGCGAACACCACAGGAACTCGCAATGGGTTTGGCGTAACACTGGAAGTTTGCAGTGTGAGGTGAGAAATCATTACCTGCCTGAATACATCTTCATGTGCACAAGTTGCCGAATGCGAGCCTGCAATCGTTGCCGAAGACACAGATTGCGGTAGTTCTCTGCCATTGCTTCTTGCTTTGCAGGCCTGTTGGCCTGTAGGAAGAAGCTGAGAAGACAACCGAAGGGGGTTTGCTGTGGCTTTTGGTGAAAGAGTTTCCGGTTCATTCATTCATACGAAGTATGCGTGGTGATAGTGGAAGGAAGGGCGTCATTTTCAACTGTTGGTTTGTCGGATTTCTTCTTGGGCCTTAGGGCTCCTCGAGCTAACCCGCATCTGATTCTTGTTACTTTGAGCGAACATGTTCCGCTCGCAGTTTGGGTGCAATTATTTTCTGGACTCCAAAAATCCTTTTTTTGCCTCATTCGATCAGCGGAGGTAATATTCATGTAAAGGTTTTGCCTTTAGAGCTCCCTGGAATTTCAAATCAATTATTTTGTCGGTTTCTAGGTGTATATCTTCAATTTGTGCAGTACCCTGTCTAGAACGAACTGCGAACTGTAGAATAGTCCAGTTATAAGGGTATTTCATCGTACATAGTCTCATAGCCTTTTCATTGGATTGGGCATGGAGCGGTTGCCTTACTGCCTGAGACACAATTTCACATGAATTTTATACATATCACGTGCTGGCTCCTCTACGGCTGCTTATCTCCGTGCTGACAAACCCTAACCCCGTGGAACCGGGTCGAATTCGCCCGCGCCTGCCTATTCGGGCCATATAAACGGTTTTTCTTGTCGCGAGCTCTTTCCTTACGAGCTCTTCCTCTACGATCGTCAATATAATCATACGCTATAATGGACTCTCCTAAGGAGCTAACTGTCCACCACCATGGGACCGCGCACATCATCCAAGTCTCCGCCTCAGCAACACTACAAGACCTCTCCTCCGAGATAGAGCGCATCCTCAACATCCCCATGGACAACCAAAAGCTCCTCATAGCCCCAAAGCCAGGGATGCAGAAAGCACCATTCCCACCAACTCCTCTCGACGCAATTCTTCAAACCTCCTCCCCAAAGTTCAAGATCACCCTCCTCGGCACCCCCGCCAAAGCAATCGCCGATCTCCACCAACAATCCGCCAGCGAACAGCGACGACAAGAATCACGAGCTGCCGCCCTAAGCGCCGCAAGACGCAACAAACAAACACCATCTTCCAGCCGTAGCGGCGGCATCCACACCATCTCATCCTCAAGCAATAACTACACCTTCCACCGTCTCCTCCCACTATCCTACCTCCCAAACCCAGACCGCTCCCTCGACTTCCTCAAACGCCTCCGCGACGACCCAGGCATCCGCGCCGCCATGATAAAACACAAGTTCTCCGTCCCGCTCTTGACGGAAATGAACCCGGCAGAACACACGACGAGCGAGTCGCGGACGCTAGGTCTGAACCGGAATAAAGGCGAGGTGATCGAGTTGCGTCTGCGAACGGATGCATATGACGGATACCGTGATTACCGTACTATTCGGAAGACGCTGTGTCATGAGCTTGCGCATTGCGTGTTCGGACCTCATGACCGTGACTTCTGGGATTTGACGTCGCAGATTGAGAAGGAGGTTGACCGTGCTGACTGGAAGTCTGGTGGGAATCAGTTGTCTAGTCAAGAGTTTTATAATCCTGGTGATTGGGATAACGTTCAGGGTGGTGAGGAGTTTGATGAGTGTGGGTGGACTGGTGGAGAGTTTGTCCTTGGTGGATTGCAAGGCGACTCAACTGGAGGCCGGGGTGGAGATGGTGCTTCTGGCGGGACGCTTTCTCGTCGGGAAATCATGGCGCGGGCTGCGGAGGAGAGAATGAAGAGGGAGAGTCAGACCGGGAAGCAAGATGATGCTAAGTGATATCATTGTCGCTCATTTGGTGCACTATTCTTTTCATGATTTATGAGTTCTTGCTTTTAAACTACATAGCCTTTGATACCATACATATTCTTCGTTTGTAATTAACTCATTTCTGTACATTGGAGATCGTATATTTTGTCGCGTAATTAGACTAATCTCGGAATATTTACAGCTGCTCGTTGACAAAGAGACCAGCCATACCCTGTCCAGTTCCAATACACATGGAAGTGACCAGAATCTTACTCTTTGTCCGGCGAGCCTCACTCAGAATGGTCGCAATCTGGCGCGCACCTGTAGCGCCGAGCGGGTGACCGATGGCAATAGCACCGCCACGGGGGTTGACCTTGGCGTGGTCAAGACCAAGGGTGTTAACACAGTAGACGGCCATAGAGGCGAAAGCCTCGTTGATCTCGTAGATATCGATATCATTCTTATCAAGCTGGAACTTGCTCAGCAGCTTGGGGATAGCGGCAGTTGGGCCGATACCCATCACGCGAGGGGGCACACCGGCAACGGTGGCGCCACAGAACTTGGCGAGGATAGGCTGGTTCAGCTCGATAGCCTTGGAGCGACGCATGAGAAGAACAGACGCGGCACCATCGGTAACCTGGCTGGAGTTTCCACCAGTGGACTTGTCACCGAACTGCGGGAAGGCAGGGCGAATCTTGGAAAGGGACTCGAAAGTAGTACCGGGACGAATACCATCATCGCGGGTCAGAGTAACCTCCTTAACCTCGCCAGTCTTGGGGTCCTTAACCTTGACAGTGATCGGAGCAATCTCGTCATCGAGCCAGCCATTCTTCTGAGCAACCTCAGCACGACGGAACGATTCAGCGGCATATCGGTCCTGCTGCTCGCGGGGGATATTGAAGTCCTTTCCGATGTTCTCGGAAGTCTGACCCATGGGCTGCATGCAGTCGGCGGCCTCCTGGTTGCGCAGGACCTCCTCGTGGAAGGGCTGCTCCAGTCGGTCGCCAGCGGCGGACATCAGCTCCGCACCCATAGCGACACCGATGTCGATGGCGCCCAGTTGGATCTGGTTGGCGATATCCTGAACGGCCTTCAGTCCAGACGAGCAGAAGCGGTTCACTGTTGAGGCGCCAGCTGTGTGGGGGATGCCGGCGGCAAGAGCTGCGGCGCGGACCATGTAGGCGGCTTTGACTTCGTTGACCTGTCTTTAGGGTTAGAATATTCCATCTATAGATTTGTAGAGTAGAGAAAAGAGATTAAACATACGTTGCCGAGGCAAACATCCTCGATCAGAGCAGGGTCAATCTGTGACTTGGCCAGAGTCTGCTTCAACAGGGCGTAGAGGATGTAGTCCAACTCTGTGTCCTTGAACCCGCCCTTACGCGCCTTGGTCAGGGGTGTGCGGATTGCTAGGGTAATAACCACATCGTCGGGGTTCTTCTGTGTACTGCGTTTGCTTGTTAGACTCATAAAGCACAACTGAGTTCGTTTGAGGACTTACATAGCAGCGAGGCCGCTGGTGGCGCCGGGCTTGAGGTGGCTCAGGAGCGAGTTTAAACGATCTGCGGCCATGATGTATGGAGGTGGAGAGACTGGGTAAATTATATAGTTAGTCTTCTGCTCTTTTTCCCTTCTGCGACTTGTTTTGTTCAACATGCCGGTATTGGCATGGAAGTTTTCGGTGTTAATGCGGGGAAGCTTTGATGTGCGGAGATTTGGGCGAGGGAAGTGAAAACAAGTAAATCACGCGCTGGGCAAGAGAAGAACTTACAATTTTACAGAAGAGTAGGAGTGAAACGAGGAACAAGATAAGCAAAGAAGGAAGGGGAGTTAAGGAGGAGGAGTTAAAGAAGTATGAAGAGAAGAGAAGATCTCCGCTTCGCCCGAGGCTGCCGAGGTTCATTTCGCCTATCAGGTTATCCGGTAAATAAGTACCCGGTACCTCTAATTTGCCCCATAATCCCTAATTGTAAGAAGTACCTAGTACTTTAACGAGGTCTATGGACTTAGCCTGTGGAGATGCCTAGGCAACTCGGTTGATTAAAGTGTTAATCCCGTTGAATTATGGGGTAAATCATTTAATTCTTAGTGTATGGATAAAAGTAGTCCATGCCATTGTTTCTTTAGTTCTTTGCGCAGCTGGGTATACTCGGCTTTCTGCTCTTGGTCATGTCGGCTTTCTTGCTCCTTTCGCTCTTGCAGGAGGATCTCGAGCTCGTTTTTTGTGAGTACGGCTAGTTGTTCGTCCTTAAATGCGATGTATTCTGTTGCTTGTTCGATCGAGGTGTCCTCGCTCATGTCGATAGTAATCGGCTCTACTGATCTGCCAATGGGATCTGCATGTATACACTAGGAGCGATAGCTAAATGCTTATGCTCAGATGATAAATTCATGCGTTATTATACAGGGAAATATGATATACCTAACTTCTTAACTATCACTAATATGTACCCACCATTATCTCGTCGCGCAGCCAATCCTCAAATCTTCCCTCGTGGGCTTTGGGGTCATTATCTTCCCAGTTGTATGAACCAGTGTGATAATTCAAAATCTCGAAATACCTTCAAATGATAAGCCCAACTCAATATACCTCAGATTGGGAAGATACATACATTTTGCTCTTCCATTCGTCTGTGGTCATTTCTGAGTCTAACAAAGACCAATCAATTTGTTCCTCACATTCGGGTTCGTCGTTACAATCCGAATATGTCGAAACGTATGGATGGGTTAGGGCATCTGCCGCTGTGACTCTCTTTTGCGGATCTATATCAAGCATTTTCTCCAAGAGATGAATGGCTAGCAAAGTCAGTATCATTGGAGGTAGACAAATCAGGAGGCACTTGATATCAATCAAGATCTCAACCGACATACCTTCGGGGTCAACATCTCCTAGGGTAGCTCCGAGTGATCGGGGTTCTGTTTCAGGTAGAGAGTCCACAAACTTCATCGTCTATAACTTGTAGTCAGTATCTTATCTTCCATATCTGACCCGGCGGTTTAGAATTCGGTCATACAATGTCGCTGTAAACTGTCTCCATAATCTCTTTGGGTGGCTTCCCAAATATCTCAGTGATCAGTTTGAAATGATGCACGTTGTCTTTTCCCGGTAAGAGGACTTTGCCTAGGAGCATCTCTGCCAGGATGCAACCAGTGCTCCAAATATCCACCGCATAGTTGTATCTCTGCCAAGTCAACATGATCTCTGGAGCTCGGTAATATCGTGTTGAGACATAGCCAGTCATCTGATGATCTTGTTCTCGAGCTAGACCAAAGTCACAAATCTTCAAATCGCAGTTTTCTTTGATCAAAATGTTGCTAGGTTTGAGATCACGATGGATCACACCAGCAGAGTGCATGAATTTTAACCCTCGCTGAGATAGTCAGTTACACTGACATTTCCCAGATAACTCGGGCAGACATACCAGCAGCTGGTAGGTGAAGAACTGGATGAACTTGCCCTCCAATGGCTTCGACCTTGATTGGATCAAATGATGAAGGTCTGTCATGCAACAGTCCATCACAAGATAACTGTATTTCAAAATGTTTAGTATAATTGAATTTGGGGAATATAGAAGTCATTCACGTACAGATCTTCCGCTGGTGAGATGAAGATATCAGACATGTTGATCAACTGTTGGCGGTTAGTGTTCACGTTCATACTTCATCTCTTTTTCTGCACATGCATTGTCATGTTTCAGCTGCTTCATCAAGTGAATCTCACGATACGTGCGCTTGACCCGGGCAGAGCTATCAAAGGGATTCCCTATCTTCTTTATGGCAACCGTTCGGTTGGCCATTGAATCATGCGCCGAGCTGATACTGGATGTTAGTGGTCTTACGGTACGAATAGAATATACAAGGGGATATACCATATTACTCCAAAGGCACCCACACCTCGCGCTTGCAAGTCTGTATACCTGTCGGTAATTTGAAGGGCGGTGCCCATGATTTTATGTGTGACGAATGTGGCCATGATCCCAAAGTTACAGATGTGAAGAAGATTGAATGAATTGCCAGAATAGAGAACTCGAGGATAAGGAGTTCCCGATATACTATAAACCATATACAAAGTACTATAATTAGGTGCCTTCCCAAGGTTCCAAGGTTGTTCTTGCCAGGCCTAGGCCGCGTTGTGGCTACGTCATAGCATGGATATTCCCATGTGATTGGCCGTTTGGCCGTTTTGGATTCTTGATTCCCTGGTATTTCCAAGTTGAGTCCCCACGTATCCATGGATGTTGAATCCAGCCGGTTATTACAGCCGACCCAATAGAGCCTTATCAGCAGATCCCCGAGATCTACATCGTAGGCCGAGCCAGTCAAAGTATATATACCAACCTTGTGGAAGTAGTGGACGTCACCTAGCTTGATTCCTATCAATGTATGTTGTAGGCTTCTGTTTCGCGATTGCGTCAATTATGTCTCAGGTGATTGAATGTGAGAGGCAAAGTCCGATCTTTGCCTTTGAACTTCCCCTTATGCTGGTCAGTGCAAATTGACAGGCCATATCGCATGTGAAGCATCTTTTCTCGGTTTTTCTAGGAGTATTGCAAGTTCAATGAAACCACTGGTACTTCAATTAAAACAGGGCTTAAATCCCTCGTACCAAGGTTATATCGCATCAGCACAAATTGCAGCCAAGCTCAAACCTAAAGCCAAACACCTAACACCATACCATAAAGATCCCCGAGCTAATAAAGCCCATCCGTTCGTCCGTGTCCGTTATCCATGACGTTCCACATCAGAGCAACTGAGGATGTCCAGCATCCTCGTTGCTAATTACGCTACCCACATCAGACCATGTTGGAGTAGCCACACCACCAACAGATCGTCCATCAAGGTCAATAAGAGAACCGTCTGACGTTCCATCCTCGGATCTACCGACATGGCTGAAACTTCCGCTGGTAGAAGGAGCGGCCGAAATATCATTGTGAGACTGAACACTGTCGTGGCCGAAACCATCTAGCGCAGCAAGGTGATTGTGTTCATAGGTTCCGTTGCTTAGCGCATCAGGGTGCGCATAATATACCTGCTGGTGGTCTTCTGTGTGGCTGGAGCCAGATACAGACAAGGGAGAGTTGGGAGAGAATGGATCAAAGAGGCTATCCCCCTCGGGTGCTTCAGACCTAGGTGTGAACTGAATAATAGATTCCGAAGGATGGCTCGAGGGAGCGGACGAGGGGATATCGACATGCAGCTGATTCCGACCCAGCGTAGTTGAAGAGTCGGCCTCGATTTGCTTGCCCCCTCGGCGGAGAGGCTCCGAAGTGCCCAGGTCAACTCCCGTTGAGTTAGCAGTAATTTCTTCGTTGGGTTGAACATCGTATTCGTGGTCTTTTTGTTTACGCAGGTTGCCCTCGTCGTCGACGAGAGCGTCAAAGCTATTATGAGGCTGGCCGGGCTGGCTGGCCTTCCTTCGTGACCCAAGGAGCGTTCCTCGTCGCATGATATCCGCACGAGCAATCCGTCTGCGTTCTTCGGCAATTTCACCAGTCTCCTCAGTCATAGAAATGTCTTGTCTCAACGCTATGTCTTGAGGTTGGATCTCATCGCCGAGGTTGTGCAGGGCTAAGGCGATCTTGCGCCGCGAGGTAGTCACCCATTGTTGAAACTGTGGCGACTCGTACACAGCGATTCCGGCTGCTACAAGCACAGAAACAGTAATGATGAGTCCTGCATGAGAGGTCAGCCTCATCCTCTACATAGTGGGGAACTGATAAGGCCGAGTACACCGCCCGGATGATCCGGGAAGAGGTCGTAGAAGTTCAGGGAAGTAGAGGGCCATACCTTTCGCAAGTGGTGCAGGCATAATGAACCCGAATATTGTACTTGTATCTTTCCTTTCAAAAGTTTTCGAGACTCACCTCCGTCATCCATGGAGCAGAACAAGATGATTCGGTGATGCCTACGTCTTATCCTTACATTAAGGCATGTGACCCGCCAAGCCCTTATCACCGGCCCTAAATACACACCGCTTTGGGCAAAGTTCCCCGCGCGTCAGAGAGATGGACGTGATTGCAAGCTCCCACCTCTTGACTCGATTGTTGTACAGTTCAACTTGAGTGATACCATTATGTCTCGTCAACAGTCGCAGGCCCAACGGCCGTTGTCCCTCACCGAGGAGCTTGAGAAATTGGAGCAGTCCATCACCCTTACAATGCAAGGTAGGGCCAAAAAAGTAAACAAAACAGTCTAGCAGACCGCTCATCATCATGTTCATACAGAGATCGACCACAATTTCAGTCAAGCTCATCGGATAGTTACTACAAGTATATTGCCTCTGGTAGAGCAATATACCGAGCATTCCCGAGATGTCTGGGAAGGTTCCAAGGTCAGCACCACCCGCATATACAGCTATAGACAGCTTTGTTGACTCCCTATAGTTTTGGAAGCAATTCTTCGAAGCTAGTGCCAATGTATCTCTATCCGGCTATGAAGAAAGAAACACCGACGAAGAAACGATGCAGGATCCAACAGCCACGGAGGAAGAGTTGTCCACCGACATAACCCAAAGCACCAGTCTCGACGAGACCATGTCCCACGAGACGCCCTCTTCCCAGCGCCATGAAACACCCCGCCGCGACCAGGCAGACGACGTTGATCTAACAGATCTCGCAATCTCTTCCCATAGCACCCCGCGTGCTCCGGGCCAGCACCACCAGGCCGACGACGACATGACAACCTCCTCAATGGAGTACTCGTCCTCTTACGAGAACCTAAGAAGACAAGTCAACGAATCCGAACCCCCATTCGACCTCCCAGACTCCTCGACCCTCCCATCCACTCCAGGCCGCCAGCTCTTCTTCCCACGCGGCGTATCCGCCACAACCCCGATGTCCTCACCATTCCTCCCGCCCGCGTCGCAGCTCTCCACTCAAGACCGTCGATACCAGAAGACCTCGGACCCAGTACTGCACCAAATGCTCGACAAGACGTACCGGGTGCAAGCCACGCCGCTCGGGAAGGGATTCCGCAACGTGGGCGGCGGCACGAACACTCGACCAAAGTTCAACATCACCCCAAAGCCGGCCGAGACTACCTCCAAGTATGGATATGACGACTCGCCAATTTCGAGCCCGGAGCCAGAGGCGCCACAGCTCCACTCGGAGATTTTTTCATCGCCCATTAAAGGCGTTGACACTCCGGGCACGAACCGCAAGCGACGGACTAGCAGCAATCGCATGCGCGTTACTCCCAGGCCTGGCATGAGTGTTTTGACACCTGCTAAGAAGTCTGCGGGTAAGTCGGCTATGTGGGATAGCGAGGACGATCTGGATTATGACGATGATGAGGATCTTGGGCCGAGTCCTCCTAAGACAATGCAGTTCCACATTCCGCAGAGCCGGTTGATGAGGACACCTGGTAAGATTTGTTCCCTTGGTTTTCTTTTTAATACTCCATCCATGCTAACTTCCTTTGCCCTGGTAGCAAAAGAGGCTTCTAAGCGCATTGTAACCGATTTGCTGGCTACGGCTGGAGCTGGGGACATTACAGATGACTTTGGCGACGACCAAAGCCCAAGTGTGATCCGCCGCATGGAGCGTCTGGAAGATGAAACTTTCTAAATCGACAATCAAAGGAATAAGGCTGACTACAGGTTTTTATCATTGATTCCTGGCATTTCATTTCCATGTCCATTACGTTCTGCTACATTGCCCATATTACAACATAATTGTGACTAAGCACTCACCTACACCCTTTCCCGGTGTAGGTGAGCCCACACCTATTAACAAACCCATACCTGTTAACAAAAAAATCAACATTTCAATTTTAAACCTATTTTTCAGCCACCATACCATCTGGATCTACATATCTAAATAGCTCACTATTAACATCAAGATAATCTCTATCCCCTGATGCCTCTTCTTTTTCTTTGAGAGCCTGATTCGCGCGATGCCAGTAGTCTCGAATCCTTGCGTTCCCAGCCTCATGCCGAATATCCAATTTAGATTCCTTCGTACATCGCCGATACACCTTCGAATTGCCTGCAATTGATGATAATGGACTCTTAGCAGCACCTTTTACCATGCGCTTAGATTTTTTGATAGGAATTTTGTGGCTTTGCATCCTTTTTATCGTTTGTTTTGCAAGTGCTAGGTCTTGGATAGCCTGCTTACCACCACGAATTGCACGGTCTATATGCTTTTGAAGCTTTGGAAGGTCTGGTTCATCGTTCTCGAGTATCAATTGAACCTTATTCTCAACCTTTGAGAATCTTTGATCTGAATTAGGCGGCGAATTCGTTGCCGAACTGGGAAATTCACGGTCTGGTGACGGCGTATGACCATATATCTCAAGGACTGGTTCATCTTCCCAGCCAGGATCAATTTGATCACAAACAATATGTAAATCATAAGGCCAAAGACCTGTATCTCGAAATGATGATTTAATAGTCTGTGCCTTAAAGGTGTCTTTGCGAACTGTTTTGATCATTCGAAGAAAATGTCGTTTATCATCAACATCTCCACCCCATCGTACAATCTCATTGTTCTTTTTTCGGAATTTTTGTTTAAGAACTGAGAATGGCTTGCCATCAAGAGGCTGGCATCGATGTGTTAACTTTGGTATAAACCACCAAGGTATAATGTTGAAGCTTTGGCAAATATGTTCGAATTCCGGGGTTCCATGAGACCCATGATTATCCATAACCAAAATCCTAGGTCTGCCTTTAGCGACTCGCTTTTTAGTGGCATAATGGAAATCTAATAGCCATTGAATAGCAGTTTTATCATCCGTCCAGCCTTTAGCAGTTGGTTTAATAACCCTATAGTTGGTAGGATCATCATCGCCATCGAACCAATCTTCCATTTGTTCGGAACCACGCATTAAAAACCATGGATGCATAACCCAGCCATCGGCAGAGATGCATTCAATGCCGGTAATATTCTGGCCTATTCCACCGGTCGCAATAGTCTCATATTTACGGGTGGAAGCAACATTTTCCTTGGTTCCAATACCAAGCTGAAAGCCAGTCTCATCCCAGTTGTATAGTTCATGGGCCTGGATTTTATTCTTTTTAAGAAACTGGCCAAAAACCTGGTACCAATGAACTAAATCACTGTGTAATTCAGCTTCAATCCTTGCTTTTTCCATTGGTTTTTGTGTGCGTAGAGTAATATGGGGTGGTAGGCGTTGAATGAATTGATAGCCGTACATTTTGCCAACCTGCCGGTCGGAACCACAATGTTGTAAAAGACGATTCGCAGCACCCTCAATATCGATAGCAGTTGGCGGTGTATATACTGAATTAAGGTGCTCAATCCAGCGAATAAGAGAGGCCTCTTGTGAGGAATTTAGGGCCTTTTTGGTAGCTGCACGGCCTTTTCCATTTGTTCTACCGTCCTTTCGGTTTCGAAGCTTCCACTTTGAGACGCCAAAATGAGAGGCTGCGGCCTGAATACTAGTAAATTGGCCTGATTTATAGGATTCGAGGGCATTTGAGAGAAGAATCTCTTCTTTTTCGGAGGAATTCGGCATGGTTTTGATGGTAAAAAATAGGTTTAAAATTGAAATGTTGATTTTTTTGTTAACAGGTATGGGTTTGTTAATAGGTGTGGGCTCACCTACACCGGGAAAGGGTGTAGGTGAGTGCTTAGTCACAATTAGACCTCAAATACCCATGAATAACTATGACGTCATTCCCCAGCGACCACTTTTGCAGATTCATTTCCATTAAAGAGTAGAGAAAGAGAGATAGAGGGCACTGCCTATAGTATTATCATACACGTGGACACAGTAGAACAAATGTCACTTTTGTGGTCTGAGAGAACCCTCGAGACATGAACAAGAAGACAAACGCTTAAGAAATCGTAGGATATGTACTGGCGATGAAGGCCAAGCAAGCAATGTCATCGCCCCCTCCCACCTATCATTGTTGTCCAACAGAGATTTCGGGCTTGGAAGGGAATAGAAAGAAAGTTGGCAGCGATGTCTGCAATGGGTGTCGATCAATGGCGGTCGTGGGGGATGAACAAGAAGCAATAGAGTTATATCTAGGAGCTCTTCTTTTTGTTCTTGGACTCTGTGTCCTTCTTCTCTGTCTTGGAGTCCTTTTCATCACCACTCTCCTCAGACTTCTCCTCCTTCTTCTCTTCACCAGCAGCCTGCTGCTTCTCGTGATTATCATAGAGAGACTGATGCTTCGAGCTCAAGCGCTCCTCCTCCGCAGCAACCATATCCTTCCAGAGATCGCCCTCTGTAGGCTTACCACCCTGGTGAACAGGCTGGTCCTCCTCAACATCCTCAACCCTATTCTTCGCTGCATCGGCCTTCTTCTTCGAGTCCAGCAAGCCGCGACCACGACGCTGATCCGAGATCTCAAATGCAGCCGAAGCACACAACACACCCAGCGTCAGACCCTGTGCATACACACGAGCCTGCACGAGCTTCTGTTGTCCGCTGAGTCCGGGAATGCGACTGACCAGCGCAAACGAGCCAACCATCGACGCAACCCAGGTGGCGGTGATGATCTTGTATTTCTCGCGACGGGCGAAGGCAGCAGCGCGGTCAGTGAAGCTGAGACCGCGGATCTCTTCAGCGCGGAGACGCTCTTCGCGATTCTCGTACCATTGATATGCGGCGTTTTGCTCGTTCTCGTACTCGCGCGAGGCGTGGTCGGCGGCGATGATACCGGTGAAGGTACCCGAGGACGTCACCAGGAAGGCTTTCATGGGAAGGGTTAGGTTGCGGATTGTGTGGTAACGACGTGAGGCGAGTAGGACGCCTGCTACGCCGCCGGCGAGACCGAGGAGGCCGCCGACTGTGCCGCCTTTGACGACGGATCTATTGAGGTTTGTGTCGTCAGTATGGGCTAATCTTGGGAATTGTAGGGTGTAGGACTTGCGTACCTGTAGTGAGCTTCTTCTTGTTCTTTAGTAAGAATCTTCATTGTGTGAGATGTATTTCTTTAAAATGGAAATAAAAGAAAGCTTGGAAGAGGGTGAAATGTCCGATATAAAACCAAAAAGCAAAGGCCGGATCGCATGACGTGGGAGTGCGGGATCTGCTCTTTTTCCGGCGCTGGACCCCGGACATCTCTCGGTCTTGCGCGGAACTAACTTGCCGGACTTTTTACGCTTTTTCCCTATAGATCTCTGACATATTTGGAACTTAAAATTAGATTTACTTTGGTTGTTTCCATAAGAATTTCAATTGATAAAAATTCTGCTTATTTCCACTCGGAATGCGAAGGTGACACACTCCCAAATCCCTAATCAATCCCCGATTGATCCCGAAACGCCCGAACACCGTAAAAATTATCTCACATAACGGAACTGGCCGATGCCATTTTGGAAAGAAATTTACAGGTGCCGAATCTACCGACGAGACGCCTTGCGTGCCGCAGCCTGGCGGGCTTGCATCTTGCGGAAACGATCCTCGCCGCTGGCACCCAAGGGGCGCGCAAACTGAGTCTCGCGCACAGATGTCTGGCGCGGAACCACGGTATAGCTGACGTTGGTACGATCGACACGAGCACGGTTGAGAAGGCGGGGAGGAAGCATCGCGCGGGCACGCTCTTCGGCTTGGATCTCCTCGGCGGTGGGAGGAGCGCGCCTGACAACTTTCCTATAGGGGTGTTAGTGGGTGATAGGGAGACCGTGCAACAATAAACATACGTAGGATCATAATCGGCCTCCTGGTAGACCCGCTTCGAATAATCGTCGCTGCGCTGGAGAATTGGTCGTGTCCACTCGGCCAGCAACTTCTCTGCCATTTCCTTGATGCGACGCTCGGTGCGCTTGCTCTTGGTGTAGAAGACAACCACTTTTCCAATGCCACTGGCAATCAAAGCATCTTTGTTGATAGGAAGCTTGGTAATGGCGGTCAATAGGTCGCGCTGGATGTTGTAAGCGGGCATCGCGCCATCGTCGAGAGGCTCGAGGAAGAATCGAACGGCTTCCAATAAGTTAATCTCCGGGTCGACCAGGGCGCTGGTGTACTGGTTGCGATTAAGGAGCATGATAACTTCGGGAAGGAGCTTGAGCTTGTGCATAGCTGGTTTTCCTTCTTGGCGGCTTATCGCATCCATTTGCGCTGCGTGGGTCATGCGCTTGCGCATATCCTCAATTTCAGCATCCGCCATAGATTCCAAATCCTAACAGTACAGTCAGTAAATGTAGGTGAATACGTGTCACCAAGCGCAACACATACAATGCCATCCTGCTTGCGGAAACGTCTCTTCGCCGGCTTCTTCATCGCCTCATCCATAGCGCGGTCGAGCGCTCGGCGACGTCCTAATAATTGAAAGCTAGTTAGTACAAGCTGTGTGGGGCGGAGAACCAGCTTCCAGCAAAGAGCAAAACATACGGGTCTCCGGGTCAAGAGTCTCCTCATCCACATCGGGCTTATCCTCGCGCTGCTTGCGCTCACGTCGGCGAGATGAGCCTTCTTCGTCGCCTCCCTCATCAGCTCGACGGCTCTTCTTCTCGCGACGACCTTCCTTTCGGCGCGGACGACTCTCGCCATCCTCAGTGCGCTTGCGCTTGTGACGACCAATGAGTTTCAGGTTATCTTCGTCAATAGCAAGTTGTGGGCGGTCCTCGACATCAACATTCTCTGGGTCGAAGCTGTCGAATTGTGCCTCGTCAACCTCGGACAAAATAGACTCGTCGTCTGAAAGCTTGTCATCATCAACTTCGTCGTCGTCTCCGTCGTGTAGATCATCGTCAACGTTTTCCGTGGCTTCCTTGGCGTCGGCAGCAGGTTCAGTGAAGTTCTCGCCCTCGTTGTCGTCACCAGTAACCGGAGTTGCGACTTGCTCGGGGACTTCGGGATCGGGAGAGGCGGCGGGCGAGGCGGCGGGCGAGGCAGCAGGCGAGACAGCCTTGCGGTCCGGTGAAGCAGACATGGCGGTTCAGATGACGGTAATTGTAAGGGGATAGATTAAGAGCAAAGGTTCGAAGGTGTAGAGATCAGTTAGGGGAAGTATCGCAAACAAGTCACGGTACGTTATCTGCCTAAGTGATCCCGACGCCTCTCCGCAAAATCAACTGGTGCTCTGCAGATTCGAGCAGATCAGGTAAGATGTGGAGATAGGGATTAAAAAGAGGAGCTCAGCACAAGCTTCTCACTAAATTAAGTAGAATGCAAGTGGATAGAGAGAGGGGAGGTAGTGAAGGCAAAACCTCAAGAAGTGAAGGAGAGCGGTGGTCTGTGCTCCCGTGATTTAATTCTCCAGTCCGACTTAACAACATCCTCGCCACATTCAACTCTCACAACATCTATTATCTGAACTCCCTTTCATTCTTTAATTCTTCATCATATTCAAAATGTTTGCCCCAGGTATGCTCCCAGTTCCATGCCTCTTTGCTCTACCAAACTCCAGCTGACGATATAATTCTGTTAAGGCCAAGAACAGATCTCCAAGGAAGAGATTAAGGTCAGCCTCACGCCATGACCTCTGCCACAAGTGGCATCTGATGCTAATATATTTTACAGGCTGGCGAGATCGAGGCCAGCCAGACTGTCCAGATGGCTCTTGCCGGTGGTTTCCTCCTCTACCTGTGTAAGTCGAGTATCTGGTCCACAAAGCCTCGGAAGAACAGAGAACTCGAAACGAGTCAGAGAACGCTTCAGTGAATTGAAAAACTAACACTGTGATCCAATACATAGCCCCCTTCGCCGTCGACTTCGTCCGCAAGTTCCTTTAAGCCGGTTGACCCGTCTTCCGCTCCTTTTTCTTGCCCTTCCCGGACTGTGATCGACGAATCGCTGGTTATGATTTCGCGATGACATGCAGGAGAACTGGATAATTGATTTTTCCCCCTGGCATAACTTTTTCTTCCAGCGAAAATTGGACGAGATCGAGCATGGGCACCTAATCTAAGGAAAACCCTTGAAGCTCATCTACTATACCTTTTGGATCCTGGGTAGTGTCGGTTGGGTGATGTATTATTATTGTGTATATGCATACGCTTGTTGTCATTTGCGTTTTGTGAGATATGGAGCAAATCAGAAATAAGAAATTGCAATCTATCAGAATCAGGGTCTTGCCACCTTGTGGTAAAGTAATGAGTCAACATGGCAGAGCAGAGAATTAGTTCATGGCATATTTGGCATGAAACTACTTCACCCAATCAATCTGCCACAGTATCATTGTCAATGTATTGAGGCTGTCTCTATGCATGACAACCAGTACTTGGATATGCAACTATAAAACGTCCTTCTAAATAGCTGGTTTCAGTTCGCCCGGTGGGACTAGATATCTACGATGCCATCGGACTCCCAAAGAAGATGAACTCAATATGTGCCTTGTGTCAACGCAATGCATCCATGCTTTTCTCCATATTTATGCATAACAGCACTCTATGTTTGAATATACAACCACAAAACTCTAGCTAGTTTTATAGTAGGAGGCCCAGTGGTACCGAAGATCTAAGATGTTGTGTAACCCTTAAAAGATGTGATTAGATACGTTGTACAGAGTATCCTCGGGTTATCCAAGGATATTTGTCTCCTGCTTGTCCAGAGCTTCATTTTGAAAGGTGCTATCCCTATACGAATGGATACAGCATCCTTCGTATTCAGGTAGGAATCCACTAATATTATGTAACGGCGGGCTGGTTTTACAAGATTGTGCTCTACTAAAGGGGATGGAGGCGGAGGAAGAGGCAGGGAGATATAGGCAAAAAGAGCACGTAAAAAAAGTAAATGATACAGACCGAGAACGATCGACAGACCAAGCCTGACAGACCAAGCCTACGTCAAAAGAGCAAAAGGAGAGAATGCCCTTGGGCGTTAGCTAATTCCAGGTAGCTAACGCCGAAGGGCATGGAATATAGGGAGTTGATGTTAACTTTAAGGGAATAAGATAACCAGAAAAAAGCATACTACGTACAGCAGAGAGAGCAAATCGATCAATTTGAGGCAGCCTCAACAGAAAGGCCCTAAAAAGCAGGGTGAAAGCAAGAGGAATTGGATGCTTGGAATAGCGATATGGTGGTGACCTGAGGGCGAAGTTGGTTATATCCAATCTCTATATACCCTCACTATGATAGATACTCACTGGCTAGGGGCTACGCATGGATAGTACATGTCATTACCACGACCTGGAAAGTAAATCCACTCATAAAAAGACACCCAAAGCGGAATGAAGAGTGTTCAGCAAAGAAATTTGTATTTAGATATGCATTACAATGGCCTGATCCCCAAGAACGCCAGTACCCCGATGGCCGTAGACATTAAGTCCAAACATGTGAGGAAATGTGAGGAAATTGAGATTCGAAATAGCACATAGAAAGTTATAGAGCAATGTACTCAATTCCCAATCGCTTTCTCCACCTCGTTGAAGTCGTTCTTGATGGACTCCATCTCCTTCTGGAGATGCTGGATCTGAGAGTGGTAATCGTCCAGAATCTGGAAGACAAAAGGTTAGCGAGTCTTCGTGTACTGAAGCTTTACCAGTTTGGGGATGACGAACCTTCTTTGCTGTCTTCAATGTCTGTTCATCAATGTCATCCTCCGCTTGTGCCACATTTACCCCGGCGCGATCCATCTCCACTTGCAGTCGCTTAGAGTGTTCGTGGATGGCCAACATACGGGCCCAGATTTCTTCAGCGCGGCCATTGAGAGATGGGTCGAAAACGGCACGTTCCAACTCAACAAGCTTTTTCTTCAACTGTTCCTCCGCTTCATCCATGGCATATCCTCTGTTGCGAAGGATCTGCGTCTTGGCAGCAAGGGAGAGGCATCGTTTGCTCAGAATAATGTGTTTGCGCCGGCAGTCAGCGATCTTGACAGAAAGGTTGAGATCATGCTTCGAGAGAAGCCCGGTCAAGCAATTATTGATCTCGTGCAGCCGCGACTGCATCATAGTGAGGAAGTCCCTTTGTCGCTGCGCGCGCTTACCGAGGTCCCAGAAGCCCTTTACAAGCACAGGGACATATCCTGGACCCGGACGCTTGCGCAAAGCCTCCTCCCATTTTGACTCGTCGTCCTCAGGACCCGGTTGGTAGAAAGGTGCGGCCTCCTCGCCGACATTGTTGTACAGATAGGCTCGGAATGGCGAGCTTTGGCTGGGCGGATCCCATTTATCCTTGATGATGGCTACTTGCATAGGAACAGTTCGGTGCACTAGAAAGCAGTCTTGTCAGTAATGCTTCGTAGTGAAAGATTACAATAGGCTCACCCCCAGTAATAGCTCGGCCGGGGGACCAGAGGCTTGACGAAAGAGAAGGCTGTTGCTGCTGGGGCTGTGGCGTTGTCATCGTGTTCTGGCCGAATTGTGATTGCTGTGGTTGCTGCTGGCCGAAGGCATTTGGTTGTTGTTGAGTGGCGGACCCGAGACCAAGTCCTCCTAACGCACCCCCTGGCTGTTGTGTTTGCTGCTGGCCTCCGGAGAAGAGACTACCTTGCGGTTTCTGTAGCGAGGAGCCGAATGCGCTTCCTTGCTGTTGCTGTTGCTGCTGCTGCTGCGGCTGCCCAAAAGCACTTGAGCCGAAGGAATTCTGGGGGGGCTGTAGATTTCCGAACATCGATCCTGATTTCTGCTGGGGTGCGGCACTTGCGCCGAACGCACTTCCGCCAAATGCACCGGTTGCTCCTGTTGCCGTCGCTGCTGGCTGTTGGGTCTGCCCGCCGAACAGTGTGCTGGTGTTGGGCTGGGTTGCGGCCGGGGCGCCAAAGGGAGACGGCTTCGGTGCAGTGTTGCCGAACATGGACGTATTGGCCTGAGGCTGGCTTCCACCAAAGAGAGACATGATGGGCAATCAAAAAGGCACAAAAAAAAAGCACGATAAAGAGGGAGCGCGTCAATGGATCAATAAAGCACTGGCGCAGCCAGATTAAGAGCGCTGATGGGAAATAGAAACAAGTCCAAGGCGCATAGTCCAGGGACTGAGGGTTGGCAGTCGAAGGTGAGAAAGCTGAGGGGTTCCTCGATGGAGCTCGAAGGCCGAGAAAGATGAGAGCCGGAGCTCGATTTGTTTGTGTCACGTGATTGACTATTATTCGCAAACAGTTTTAATGCATATTGAAAGAAATATCTGAATAATTTAGTGAATTGGTATTGATCTATTGTTCTGTGTTATTGTCCTAATGGTTTTTTTCTCATTGATATATTCAATTAACAAAGGCAACACTCATACACGCTGTATGCCAACACTGCACCTGGGCAACATGTTACGCTGACCTAAGCACAATCTAACCAGCCAATCACCGACGAGCCAAATTTCATTCCACCGCAACCCGCAGCTCTCGACTATCGATCTCCAAGTCTCGTCTCAATTGCACCTCTTTCCCCTCACAGTCGTTCTGACAAGCCACCGTCGCCATGGCCCAAAGAGATGCTCGGTATGCACCTTAATCCCAATTGCTTCCTCTCTGTCAAGCTCAATGTGAAACGCTAACCTCTATCCCTCCGCGCACAGCTTCAACCAGACTGTCCTGGTGGACACCACGCCCATGCCCGATCACATTCCCAAGGTGGAGGAGATCGGTGCCACATCTGCACCCCTGATGAGTGCATCCTATTTCATTGGAGACCGCTGCAAGGCCTTCAATGACGACTTCATGAAGTGCAAGTCCGAGGCCAATGGCCGCGGGGAGATCGACTGCTTGAAGGAGGGTCGGAAGGTGACGCGCTGTGCCGCTAGCGTGTATGTTTCTTTTGTAATTCGCCTTTGAGTTGAGAAGGAGATATTGACCCCTCACAGCATCAAGGACATCAACACCCACTGCCTCGACCAGTTCAAGGCCCACTGGGAATGTCTCGAGAACAACAACCACCAGCTTTGGGAGTGCCGCAGGGCCGAGGTGCAGCTTAACAGCTGTGTCTTTGACAAATTGGTATGATATATGCCCTCTTTCTCTCGATCATCTTAATCACCTCGCATCCATCGCATCCGCCATCACCCCCGGACTAGAGCTAACATACACTTTCCTTGTTTCTTTTAGGGCTTGAAGAAGACCCTCCCTGGTGCTCCCGAGAACCAGGTTCCTGTTCACTTGCGCCCCAAGCAAAAATACGCACAGTACCCCGGTCCCCAGTGGTAAACACTGTCCCGGTTCACTTTGTCCTCTCTAGACTCGCCCTGATTGCACCCTCACCCTTCCCTCTCATAATCTGGGCACCGTCTTTTTTCTATATCACTGTTTTATTTGGATGCTCGACCGTAAATCCGGTCTATGTTTGTGTAAATATCTCTTGGCATCATGAATGGTTACATGATTTTCTGCTCAATCTCCAAAGCCTCGCTGCATGGGGCAATATGCTTTCCAACCCATTGCAGTTTGCAATGGCATGTTTTCGAGTTGGTAGTAGTACGGACACAAATGCTGCCCGCTTGTTCAAATACATCCTCGGCTTGGTGCATATGTAGGTAACCATTACAGCGAAGAAGCTAGGCACATTACACACTGACATTCCTCCGCGGGGAAGTCTGTACGCATTGGGTATCGCTCAAGCTTACCCATGCACCGCAGAGTCTCACCGTGTATATAACATGACCCAGCTACGTTTTCCTTCCGATCTTTGACTCTGTCCAACTCATAACCACCGAGCATGATAGGTTCTTGTTCTGAGGGCCTGTGTGAATCCAGCCATCCTCCACGGCTGGCAGTGGAGGATGGCACCCAATATTAACTTCCACTTTTAGGGGTTGTATACATGTAAGTAGCGCTGTGTGGAAAATCAAGACTAGGTGGGATAGACATACTGGCGATCCTACCAGCTGCCAGTGCTTCGGTCATCCTTAACATATCCATGATAATATTGCTGAGCGCATAAATCTCTATGATCCTAAATAACATATCTTTGAGCAGATCTCGTCTAATGATACTTTTTCTCTCAAAATACTGATCTGGACTGAGCACTTTTCCGGGCTGATACAAAGGCTTAGCATCAACCGTTCTGCAGAGTCTGAACTAAAATGACAGATTGTTACATTCTATAATCCGAAGGAATCCATAATTATCATCATCCTTCACATGACTGGATTGCAGGGGTTTGGCCTGCTGGTGAATGTGTGTAATTGAGCCCTAATTCCGGCCTTCCGATATACTACATACCTGGTGTAACTATGCCTTTGAGATAATCCGAAACATATCTACAGGTAACTTTTTATTGAGGTTCAAGAGTCCACTTGTCACAGCATGGATCAACAATATTGGTTGGTCATTGAAGTGTATTCTAGTGTATTTCAGAATATAGAAAGCAAGTATAAAACCCGAGTATTAGGACCCAAGGTACAGGGAAAGTACAAAGAGACAGAGGCCAAGAGTACGCTTAGATCCCGATGTACGAATAACTGACCTCCGGCATCTATCTATAGACATCTCGAGAGGGATAGATGTAGGTATCAAACTCTCCACCAGATTCCGTGCATGTGCAACAGGAAAACAAGTATATAGATAATTTATACAAAAGCGGCACTTATTCTCCGAGGATTGTCTATATTTATATGCTAATTACCTCTATAGTCTGAGCGACACACGCAGGTTGACATGAAACCGACAATATTCTTGATTCTATCATTATGGAGAGGCGTCCATCACATCCAAGCAGCGGCCGTGTTCGCCCACTTCATGGTAAAGCCCTTCAACAACGATCTATATCCCTGCTAACCTTTACCAACCCCAGGTATACAACTCGGAAAACTTCACGGTCTACGATTGGGAAATCAACATAGCAGAAGCACAAAGGGCCCACATCGACGCTTTTGCCCTAAACATCGCATACAACTTCCCCACAAACAACCGCTCCCTAGCGAACGCATTCACCGCCGCAAACGCCCTGAACTTCCAACTGCTGTTCTCATTTGACTACGTAGGCAACGGCGCCTGGCCAGAAGGCGAGGTGGTCGGCCTACTCCGCAAATACGGAGACAACCCAGCCTACTACCAACACAACGGCAAACCCTTCGTCTCAACCTTCGAAGGCTCCTCCAACGCCACAGACTGGGCCACAATCAAAAAGTACACAGACTGCTTCTTCGTACCGGGGTGGTCAGCCCTAGGCGCAAAGGAAGCACTCGCCGTCGCCCCAGGCGTTCCAGACGGACTATTCTCCTGGGCCGCATGGCCAGAAGGCCCAGACCCCATAAACATATACATAGACTCAACCTACATGCAATGGCTCAAAGACACAGGCAAACTGCCGTACATGATGCCGGTCTCGCCGTGGTTCTACACGAACCTGCCTGGCTACGGCAAGAACTGGATCTGGAACGGCGATAACCTGTGGTACGACCGGTGGCAGCAAGTGATATCCCTGAAGCCCGAGTTTGTGGAGATTATCTCGTGGAACGACTACGGCGAATCGCACTACATCGGCCCGCTGCATGAGGGTGCATACGCGACCTTCGAGATCGGCAATGCGAGCTACAACTACGCCGCTGGCCATCCCCATGACGGCTGGCGCGACTTCCTGCCTTTCATTATTGATGCCTATAAGGGTGCCAGGGGGAATGTCACTACCGAGGGCGTCACTGCTTGGTTCCGTCAGGCCCCTGGGAAGGCTTGTACCAACGGTGGCACTATGGGTAACACAAAGACGCACGGGCAGAAGGAGTTCCCGCCTACGGATGTCTTGCAGGATGAGGTGTTCTTCTCTGCGCTTCTGCGGTCTGCTGCGGATGTAGATGTATCAGTTGATATCGGCGGGGTCGTGCAGGATGGAAAGTGGAAGAATAAACCACACGGTCCAGTCGGTCTTTATCATGGCAGCGTGCCGTTCGATGGTAATACTGGACAAGTTGTCGTGACGGTGTCTCGTCGGGGAGAGACTGTCGCTGAGATGTGGGGTGCATCGATCTCGGAATCGTGTCTGGATGATATCCAGAACTGGAATGCCTGGGTTGGCACGAACTTTGCTAATAATACAATTTCACGTCATCCTCCGCCTTCTCCGGCTCCGACTGCGGTTTCTGCGGCTTCGGCTCTTTTGGCGCTGGGGAGAATTCCGTTTACGATTGTCTTTGTGGCTTTGGTTGCGACTATGGTGGCTGCGACGGCGACGCCTGTTCAACATGAGAGATTGGGTTTGACTATACCGATCTCGGAAGTTTCTTCATCGGTGTATAGTGCTGGCACCGGCGATGGCAACGCCAGAGGCCTATATAGCTATGGCACTAGCTATGGCTTATATCCAATCAACGGGTATACTCGCACAACGACAATGGATGCCCCAGTTACGCCTTTCATCTCAACTGGTGCCACGCCTTTCGCATACGACACATCTTGGAATTTGGACTGGTCTTGAAAGCAGCAGTAGTTGGGCTTATGATAGTAGACATGTGCTACGGGTTCTTAATTATCTCACTACACCACCACCCTAATTGACGGTAAATTGGCTGCCGAAAATGGTTACCTTAGACGCCGTTTCAAGCTCCCTTTTTATCAAAATCTTAGTCCTCCCAACGTTGATGATTCTAAAGGAAATCTCTTATTGTTCAACTCTGAATCATTTGATCAAGGTCTAGCTAGCTCCAAACTACTTTGCTTGCAGTTATTTACACCGACGGTAAGGTCGAAGAGGATCGCAAGTCACTATAGCGACGTGGGTATACCTAAACTCCTAGGAACACTAGTAGGAAGTGCGGTTACTATTGGAGTAGGCCAAGGCTAGAAAGAAAGTAAGAGAATAGAAGGGGCTGGTTAGGGGAGAGCGATATCATGAATAACCGGGCCAAACTCCGTTCTCTTCTAATAGGGCACATAGACATGCTAAATTATATCACAACAAAATAAGCAAAAGAAAGCAGCAGAAATGGGTATACGTAATCATCTAAGCTTGAAATCTAAGCCCCTCCACCAAATTATAGCAATACCTCATCTATACTGATGTCTGCATCTATCAATAACTCGATATAACTAACCTGCCACCTCAAGACACAACATGTATCAGACCCTCCAAGAAAAGAAAGCCGAAGACAACAGAAGTAGAAGAGGAATGACTCCCGAAACCTGAAATTGAAACCCATATATACTGGACAAAAGAAAAAGAGAAATAGACACAAGAAAGTAAACAAGATGATGTGGGAATAGACAAGAGCAAACAATGCCCGGGGAAATGCAGTAAGAGGTAAAAGGCCAAAAAAAAGAAGAGAAAAGAAATAGGCCACGACCACAGCCATAGAATAGAGCACATCTTATGGCAAGATGGGCATATCCACGATCTTCAAGAGCTTAAACTTCGCAAGTCTCGACTTGACAGCCGCCCAACCTGTCTTAAGCCGCTGCTCAACACGACGATCCCCCCTCAACCGCATCCAGATAAGCAGCATGCCCAGCATAGCAATATCAAACAGGATCTGCCGCACAGCAACCCAAATCATCCACTTCAGCCACGCGAACAGACCAGACCGACGACGCTGCGCAACAGATCGAGCCTCCATCTGCTCACGCACAGCAGCAATCTCAGCCGTCATTTTCGTCAAGGCCTGCTCGACACGGCGGCGCCAGCGACTGTCTTTCGGGGGTGGCTCTGAATGGGAATGGGAATCTCGGCGGAGTCCATTCCCACTGCTGTCTATACTAATACCCGAGGCAGGATTGCGACGATGTTTCGGACGGTGATGTGAGGAGACGTCGGTATGTGTATGTGTGTTAGAGTTGGAGTTGGAGCTAGCATGGTCCGGGTCATCGTGGTCGTGGTCGTCTTGATCTCGTTCTTCGTATAAGCTATCACGAGCCTCCTCAAACTCCTCATCATCCTCATCCTCATCCTCATTATGTCTTCCCCCATCTGCGCTGTTCTCTGCAGACCCCCTTCCCCGCCGGTAATACGCCTCTTCCTCCGGTTGACTCACAGGACTGAGAACCCGTAACCGCGAATCCCGATCCCGTCGACTGCCATCATCCCGTCTATCAGGACGGTCATATTCCTTCTGCGCCAATCGACTCCCAATACTCCCATATGCACTGCGCGATAACGGCGGGACGCCGACTGTATTCAGTGGACTGGAATCGGACGACGAGGAGGCGTTGAACTTAATCTGGTCCCAGACGAACTCGAGCTCCGCGACTAGCTCGCATGCTTCGGGTGTTTGGGAGGCGTATTCGTGCATCGTGTCGATTAGCGTCGAGATGTATCGTCGTTTGGCTTCGGTGCGCGACATGTCGCGCTGCGCGTACCATGCATCCCTAGTAGACAAGACAAGATATTGTTAGTATGTATGATTCGATGTAGAGAGAGGAGATAAGCGATGTTTCATATCCACATCAACTGCTTCTTTTCCCCCGCGCGCTTCGGACATACCATTTCTCGCACTCCGCGTGCACCTCCGACGTGTTCCCAATCGGTCGATCCATTACACCCTCCACGTCCCCCTCTGAGCGAACATTAGCTCCTCCGGTTCCGGTTCCCATTGTGTTTCCAAGTTGTAATGCGGACACTCACCCATACTCTGCTTATACAGGCCATATAGTGCCAACCGCTCTGCAGCGGGAGGTCGCGCGGTGCCGGTCCGGGGAATCCTCTTAACGGTATTGAGGGCATGAACAAAGACTCGATCTGCGATAGGAAAGTGTCAGTGGAATCCAAATGCATGACGCAGGGCGCAATCTGCAACGCACCTACAGAGTCCGACATGACGCGATAAGCGGTCCGGTTTGCCCTGTCTTCATGGGAGCGGGGTTGGGCATCGGCTTGCGCGGGTCTTCATGGGGAGCGTAGAAGACTGGGAATAGGAATTCGGGGATAAAGCGAGGGTATTTTTTGAGGGAGAGATGCTGGAAGGAGTGTTTTTGGAATTGAGAGGGATTGTTGTTCCGATAGGAGATTCGAGATTCCCGAGGTTTCCTGTGGTCTGGCTGTAATCTTCCTCGGAATGTTGTCTTCTCTATTTTTTCCCCAGATTGAAAAGATTCACTCCAATCAAAATGTGGGAAGAAACTCCCAGGAGATTATCTGGGGAGTGTGTTGGACCGCGGCTCTCGGCGATCTTCAGGGCAGCACCTGTGATCGTCGGCGAAATTACATTCGATAATTGTACTAGTATAACTTGAATTGTTTTTTTTTCTTTTGTTATTATTTCTTAAAAACACATGTAGATAGCAATAAATTATAAAACCTTTAATCGCTCGGCAACTTCTTCATCGTCTCCAACGGTTTCTCCGCGTCCACTGGCGTCCCCGTCATGAGCTCTGTGGCTGCGCGCGCCTCATCCCCACTGACAGGAGGTCCAGTGAAGTGCTTACGCGCGTAAATGAAGTACCAAAAGATGCTGACACCACCGAATCCAGCGAAAACAACACTGGCGTAGTTCATGGACTCCGGGGTAACAGGCAAAGTAACAGGCATGCAGAAGAGAGCGACAGCCAGAACGATCCACACAATTGTAACGCAGTTGATGGCAAATCCAAAGCGACCGAGGGAGAACGAGGAACCTTTCACAGCACGGCGGCCTCGGATCAAAGAAATCAAAATCGGGAGACCGTATGAGGTCGACAAACAAATAGTAGCCACGCCGGTGAAGGAGTTGAAGGCAGCCGTGGAACCGAAATAGATCAGTCCCAGCAAGCCATCCACGACCGCCGAGAGCACAATAGCCCATACAGGGACATCCAATTTGGTGTTCACCCGACGCCAGAGCTTGAAGCCTGGGATGGCGCCGTCACGTGCGAATGCATACGTGCAGCGACTGGCAGCTGTAAGAGATCCGATGCCGGCGAACAGCATGATCCCCAGAATCAGGAAGAGCAAGCCGAAGCCGCCGCCCGCTGAACCCGTCACCGTCTTAAAGAGCAGGCCGATCGGTTGGCCGCTGGCTACTTCGCGCAGCATCTGCACGTTGGGCATCACGAACAGAATCGGGATCAGGTAGAACAGGCCAGTGACGCCAGCAGCCACCACGGACAACACGATTGCCTTGGGAACCTCGCGGTGTGGGTTCTGCACCTCTTCGCACATGGAAGCGACCATTCCATAGCCCGTCAGGGTGTATGCTGCCTGCAGCAAACCCACGAAGAAGGCCCATCCATCTGGCCAGCCGCTGGTGGAGGCGTCATAGTGAGCGAAGACGAATTCCGCGTCTCGGCGGTCGTCGGCCATTGTCAAAAGCGTGACGAGGATGACGATGACGCTGGCTGCTGTCCAGAAGATGCAGACCTTGTTGATGAGATCGAGATAGCGCGAACAGAAGATGTTGACTAGGGCGCAGAAGAGCATGACTGCCCAGAACATCAATACGGTCTGCCACGCGTTGGCAACGAAGGACTCGTCGAAGATGGAGATGGCGCTGAGGATCAGCTGGCCGCCGGAGAAGATGATGCTCAGTGTGACGGTCCAATTGCCCACGAGGGTTAACCAGCCATCGATGAAGGACATCAATGGTGCCCAGCGGGGCGTTGAGAGCATCGCGCTCCAGTAGTACACGCCTCCTGCTGTGGGGTATACGGCGCAGATCTCGGCGAGAGAGGCGGCGATGGCGATTGAGATTAGGGATACGAAGACCCAGCCCCAGAGTATGGTGACGGATTGACCGTCGGCGAGGGTGATGTAGAAAGTTGTGCTCAGTCCGAAGGGGGCTGCCATGATGGCAAAGGATAAGCCGAGGATGCTCAGCATGCTCAGGTTTCGTGGTAATTCACTCTTGTAGCCCATACGGGCCAATGCCTCGTCGGCGGAGGCATCAATAGATGATCGCATGGTGAATGTGTTGGAGAGTGAACATTCCCGGATGTAACCCAGGTAGTGATAGTTATTATATCTAAGACAAGTTTAAGGAACCCCGCATGGAAGGCATGGCGCGGTCCGGGACCGCGCACTAACAAAGTTTGGGAGTTGAGGCGAAAAAGATAGAATTGAACGAATGACAGGGATTTTTCTAGGCTTATCATGGTTATATCTCTCGTACTGGGCTAACTGCCGCTAAAAAAAGGCCCATGTCTTATGACCTAATAGTATACTACGATAAGACACGGCATTTCGACCCACTTAATTCCCCTATTTTCTGATCTTCACTTGATAGGATCATTATGATATCAAGAAATATTAACATTTGAAGATAGCATTCAGTCTATATCACGTGGGAATGCCCCTAGTACTCCCTGCCATTGAGTTCAAGATCAGCCTGCAGGATCAGATCCAAGCATACGGAGCATACGGAGCATACGGAGTACACTACGGAGTACGGAGTAGCATATTTAACATACGGAAATCTTAACCGAAGATATGAGTACCTGCCTAATTACTCCGTACATGCATCTAGGTCAAACAATGTTTTGTTTCTTAATCTCAGAAATACTCTATCAGCCCTGGGCCATATAGCCAGGCGAGATACACCACACGACATGCGGAGTACAACGGGCGGAGATCCTTAGGGAACAGGTTTGACATCATAAAAGATCTGCAGCGGGGTTCCGTGCCAAACTATATTATGTACCTAGTGAACACTTTAGCCATGAGCGCGGCAAGATCAAAAACCCCAAAGGAAAGAGAACACATCTACAGGATAGCCAGTAATACTACCTACATGTAGGTACACGGCTCGATAGCCGAGGGATTGACTACTCCGTATACGGCCTACCAATGTACAATGTAGCAAGGTAAGGTGTTTATAATGCGGGGGCTGGGATGAGGATACGGGTTTGTGGGGTAGGTTGGGTTTCAAAGGATGGACGCTTGGAATTAAACATATTTAGCTGCCTGAAGAGGGAAGTGCCCAGGTGGTGGCTGGGGCTAAGCGAAGAAGAACACTAAGGAATACGGGAAACCTACTAGCCTACTCAAATACAGTCTACACTCGGAAATTGAATATTTGAATGATTCATTGCACACATACATCAAGGTCACGCGAGGTGACGGCTGCCACATCAGGAACATGCTGCGAAGACTCCATGGAAGGTTCAGGGAGACTGAGCAATCGATGAGCGCCAGGATGGATATATCAACAGGGAAGGGGGAATTGGATCAAAAGAGGTTAAATCCAGATCCACACCCTGCCTTCGGAATTTGTAGGGGTAAAGGGGGGTATCAAAGGGGGTAAAGCACAAATGTCATCCAGTGATCTCGCTGGGGAGGTAAGAAAAGAAATTTTTTTCTTGTTTGATGAGATATCTAATAGAACAAAGAGGGAGATCAGTGGTGGGGAAGAGAGTATGGGCGAAAGTAGGCCCTGAGTGTTGAAAGGGGCGAGAGAAAGATGGTGATGGGAAAAGGCTGTCAAGGATTTTTCGGCCGCAAAGGAACCGTGCAAGTTGAACTCCGTCTATGTGACCACTCTAGTAGTCAAGTAGGTCAGTCAGACCGCCTTTTCCGGGAAGTCGCGCCTTGAAAGGAAAATAATGATCGAAAGAAATGAAAATGCGCTGAGTCGTGACCAGCCAGCTAGTGCCAACTCCAAATCGTAAAAGAAACATGACCGTGGTAACGGAACGATCGTCAATCGAGGTCGGATGAAAAAACAAGAAAACGCCCATTCATGCAGTGTCGTCAGTCCGGTGAAGTCGTTACATGAGATGCAAATACAGTCGCAGAGGCAAACGCGAGTTTAAAAATGTCAGAAAGGTGACGAGGCGGGTGACGAGGCCGGCGACGAGGCCAACATCTATGGACTTAGTCCGAGGTCATCATTCATGTCGGGGCCAAAGCCTGCCATATCGACAGAGTGCAGGGATCCAGGTCCCTTGCCCAGGGAGATGTCGGATGATGCATAGTCATGTTTGAGTCGTTCGTGCGGTCCGAAGATATGTGGTCCAAAGAACGGTCGGGTCTCGTCATTTGGAGTGTTGCCATCCCCGCCAACCCACGGCCCGTTCTGCCAGAAGCGGGTATTCGCTTGCTGGTCTCCGAACAAATCGTGGTGGTCTGGATGAGGGTCTGGGCCATGGATGGGGAACTCATTTGGCGATTGGAATCGTAGATGCGACCGACCGAAACTGGAGCATGGAGAATCTGCGTGGAGCGGCATATCTAGACCCGAGAGAAGGGGGGATCCTCCACCGGGGTGATGTCAATTGTCGGATTTTCCGTTTGCTGTGCCAGAGCCGCCGACAGCCGGAGATTTGAGGATGAACTTTGTCGGCTGTGACTAGCCGACCGCTGGATTGCACGCTGTACGAAGCTACCGCAGGCCTTCAAGATTTTTTCCTGATGCTCCTGTGGCAGGTTATTGAAGTAATCGTTCGCCAGCGATGGCTTGGGCGGGTCGTCTGCCGCAGGAACCAATCCATAGGTAGTCTTGGCATATTCAGAGAGACCCGACGGCATGTTGTAGGGAGACTGATAGACATTGGGTGCCAGCGACCGTTGTTGATCAAGGTAGGCATATTTTCCAGGCATCTTAGCAGCGGCCACGCTACCTCGATCAACGGTCTCCTGCTTGATACCCTCCGACTCTTTCTTCTGAATTACATCAAGTCGCTCCCGATGGCTGACCAGCGAGAACCGGAGCATCTGAAGTAGCCGAGTGACTTCCTCCGACCGCATGTTTAGAGTCTGAGGCGGCAGCAGAGTGCCATCCGCAGCCCGTGGCTGAACCCGTTGCTGGGCCATGGCCAGCTCCAGCTTCTCGAGGCCATTGGCGGGTGGTATTGATCCCATAGGACCCAACAGAGTCTCTACCACCAATTCGGGGCTGACGATAGTGTATCCGGCAAAAACATTGGCGTGGTCGGTAATCTGGGCTAGGCGGCGGCGAGCAATAAGTTCTCGGACATTGGCAAAAGTATTGGTTGATGGGAGGTGATGCTGCTGCTGAGCGTGCGACTTGACGACCGAAGGATAGGGGGCATGACGGGCAGACTGATTGGGCAGAGTTCGAAAGGCCGACGGCATCGCAGGAGCACCAGCAGCAGCACCGGTAACAGGGATAAAAGGAGGGGGAGGGGCGAGGTGCTGCAAGGCAGAAGAGGGCGGTCGGGATTGAAGGTGAGGGGTGTTGACATTCGCTTGAGAATAAATATTTTGCTTTGGGTTCAGGTTTTGGTTCAAGTTTCGCTGGTAGGGAGGGGCAGGGGCGGTGGCAGCATAATGAAAGTGGTGGGGTGAGATCTTCGATGCACGAGCGCTGACACCCATGCCAAGCGACTTGACGCTGTCCAGGAAATTGGCCCGAGGGTTGTGGATGGGCACGCTAGGGTTGTGTGTATACTGTGCCCTACTTTCGGTGGACTGCATGCCCAAATAATACCACATCTGCTCACCCTGAAGGTTGACCGTACGGAGTGGGGCGAATTGGTTCCTAGTTCCATCCACCGTTTCGAATTCGGCCCACTGATAGGGAGATCGTGAATCACCAAATGCACTGCCTGCCGCCGGTACCGCTGATTCTAACTCTTTTCGCTGTTCGGGTTTTCGCGCTAGGTGGGCTGGGAGGGGTTGGATTCCTAGTGCGAGGGGTGTGAAATTGCTCTTGCGAACAACGAGCATCCAGCGATACGGCATTTCAATCACATCTCTGTAGATTTATTAGTGTGTGAAGAAAAAGAGAAAACCCAAAAAAAAAAAAAACTTACCCTCTTGGGAGTACCTTGAGCAAAAGACTTCGCTCCGAGGGACGATTTTCGAGAACAATGGCGCCATTAATCTCCTTGTCGGCTTGAAATTGGATCAAATTTCCTTGCACAAGACGACGAGCCGATTCAATTACCCGACGATCCACATCGGACGATTCGCCCAGGACTCCATTCGGCCGCTTTTGACGGTGGAATTTGCATTTCAAATCCACACTCGGAATTGAGTATTGAGTACCATCATCGGCAATCACAGCAATTGCACCGTGCTCAACCTGAACACCTGCCAAGAGGGCACAGGTTGCATGATAAGCGCGCGTGCATTTGCCAAAGTTACACTGGAAGCAGGCACCGCGGACTTCGCGGCAGAAGAGACACTTAAGGCCCAGGCGAGCCTTGGGGATCTTGTCAATGTCACACACAACTTCCGTACCAGATGCGTCACGGAGAATTGTGGTCTCTTCAATGAATGCCGCACACCGTCTATGCGCATGCCCTTTACCATCTTCGGTCGGAAGAAGATCCTCATAGTCCAGATTGTTAGGGCATAGTAAACACGGGAGCTTCCGTGGTCCTTCAGGGTGGAGTTTGGGTCGTTTGGTGTTCGGCCCGTCACCCGGATTTTTCCGCTTTCGGCCACGAGTGGATGTCTTCTCAGGCACACTACGTGGTGGTGTAAGAAGATCTGAAGCACCTTCGAATCCGTCGAATTCGCTTTCGAATTCACCATAGTACTCAGGTGTGCTCTCGCCACGTAGCTTGCGCTCAATCTCATCCACATCGATCCAGACACTGTCTGCTTCGCAGTGGCACTTCTTAGCGATGCGAGCATAGTCTAACCATTGCTCGGTCGCGAAGTTGACAGACTCGGCGCAATTGTATCCGATGTTATATCCAGAGTGGTACCCATAAGGAAATGTGATGACAAACTCCCCTTCGTAATGAACCAATCGGTTGACGGTGATCCCATATTGCGATTTGAGAAGGCTAGGCGAGACGAGATAGGTTTTGTGGCGAAGGAATTGATCGCAGTTCTTCGCATCACTGGACCATATACTGCGCATGGCCTGTTCAAAGCGAGGTGCATCTTCTTGGGAGATGCTGTACCACTGCTTGGGGGCACCAAAGTGGATGTAGTTGATGCTGTACAGATCTACATCCTCAAGATGCCAAGCAAAGGTAGCCTTCCACATACCCATGTAGAGATAAGCAGTGTTGACTCCAGGAACTTTCTGTCCGAGGACATCGAGCAGATTCGGTAATTTGGCGACATTCCAGGTTTCTGTCGAATCCTCGAAGAGCGAACCGGGCATGTCAGCACCGTACATCGGATTGTTGTACATGAGCGACTTCCAGTAATTAGTCTCAAGCTCCTCGCATCTTTCGGCGGTGTATTCTTCGTGATCGTGAATCCGGTAATCAAATCCTGTGTATGCCTCCTCGTCGACATGATCCATAGTATCGCCTCGGTTGTTCTTTCGGCGTGACGTCACGGACTTGGGCTGTCGTCCCTTCGGTTTTGTAGTAGGTAGGGACTCGCCTTCACTTAAATCCTCGGTTTTGGGCTGCACGGGGTTGGTCTCGGGTGATACAGGCGTCGGGGGACCCTCCAATCTGGACTTTTCGGCGTCATCTGCAGGGGGCTCCTCTTTGACTTTGACCTGATTTGCCCGCTTAGGGGGACGGCCAGGCCGGCGCTTCTGACCCTCAGGGCGGGCAGACGGGGGCCGCGGTGTCGGGGCTGCACGGTTCACGCGTTCTTGGTTTCGGCGTCTCTCTCCTCGGCGAGCGGGGGGTTGGTGACTGCTTTCTTCACATAGACCCTTCCACTGAGGAAGGTTGTACGAGCGTTGGCGTTCGATGTTGGCTTGGGTGTATGTACCGTGGGATCCGTGGAACTCTTGCATGATAGGGTTCTTCACCCGAATTTTCTTGACTGCCTCGTCCAGCGGTGGAAGAGACTCGGACCTTTACAAAGAACGACATCATGAGCACCGCCATTCACACTTGTCGGAATTCGATCGACTCACCATTCTTTCGGAGGCACAACTTTCACGATGCCTGCCTGCATTCCATATTTATTGATTTTGTTGACGAAGCCCTGGAAGTCTCGGAATTGGTCCATGGTCTAAAACAATACCACAGTCAGCCTGATTCTAAAGGGTATATGCTTTGGTGCCCAGTCTGAAGCAACAGGTGGAGTCTCCAACCCCAGGTCGTCGAGGAACCTGGGCATTTGCACTGTACTTACCGGTTTGAAAACAGGAATCTTGCCGCCGCCATAGTAATGATCGGGTTCAATTTCTTCAATTTCCTCGACCTTTTCCTCCACTTCCTCCTGCTTGATCTTGGTTGTATCTGGTGCCGGGGCAGATTGGCGGTCAAGCTCGAGGTCAGATAACTCGGATGGCACGCCTTCGGGCGCTTCCTTCTTGCCGTTGGCACTCTGCGGCGGAGTGATGGAAACGGATTCGACGACGGGTTCGCCCCCAAGCGAGTCGCGGTGCGACTGGTCGAGTGCTGTCGCCATCATCGAGGGCGACAGAGGAAGGTTGGGGAAACGGTTCAGCAGATTATAGTTGCCGTCGTCGGATAGTGCGACCGCTGATCGACGGCGAGAAGGGAGTATTTCCCAGCGGTCGGGGAAATTGGGAACAAGAGCTGCGGCTGAGCGAAAGTAAGTGCGATATTGTTGAGGTCAGAGGGCACCAGTATTGGTGTATGAGGGTCGTCGGTACAGTTAAGGAGTGTACGGAGTACAACGGAGGTAGGTAGTTGAAATGATTGCGATAAGCTCTTTTCGGATGGTTGTTTTTGCCTAAGCTGAACGGAAAAGCGAAATGTCTTAGTCAAGTCACCAGTAAAAAACAAGAATTTGTGAGGCAAAAGATGTCAGGGACAGGAAGTTCGTAGGTGTAGTCAGAGGAAACCCTTAAAGCAAAAGCAGCGCTAGGTTCTCCATGGAAAAGGTAGAGTGCAGCAATACCAGAAATAGACCAATCATGCAGGTGCCGGCGACGCTCGAAGGTGGAGTGCACGATGGGCTGATGCTGAAAGGAGAGGCAGGGGCAGGTGGGCACAGGGTGAGGAATGATGGGCTTGAAATTGGACAAATCAGAGCGCTAAGATGGGAAGGGTGGGAATCGTCCGATCAGAGAGAGCAAAGTGGACTTTCGGGCGACTTTGGCCTGGGCGCCTAAGGAGCCGCGAAATGATTTGTACCGTATTCCGGTCTCGGACGGGTAAAAGGATTGCCAGGTTTCAGGGGGGAAGTACAAGTTGATCGCGAACAATTTCAAACTTACCAAATCACTAGAATGGCAGTCAACGCCTGCGAATCCAAGGAAATGAACAGAAGCAAAGGTGGTATCACGATGGTCAAGATAGAGCTTGGTCAAAGCACCTTGAAGCTTTTGGTGTTGGGGTCACGTGCCACATTTGTAATTTAAGATTATGTGTTCTTCATGTCACTTACTTGTTATTTTACTGTAATTTACTTTGTTCCGCCCTCTTCCACAGAAAATGGGTTTGGTACTGTCACTGACCATACAATGCTTAGCCAATCGCGGATACCATCGGAGCCGATTGTTTTCTTTGATGAGATCAGTGATCGACATTCAGACTGTACCTAGTAGTAATTGCATGTGTTTTCAATTAGACCCAGGATTTGTACTCTGTATCCTACACCATATGTGCAGTCTAAGTTCTAGTTATTAATTTATCTTCTACTAGCTCCAACTTGTGAAGCCTGGATTCGTTTTTATACATCCATCGATCCTTGATCTTTACGTAGAACCCTCTCTCTATATACTAATCAAGCTAGATCTGCACAGCTGGTATAAACCCCACCATTCTCCCCGTGGTATCGTCTCGCATTATCATTAGTCTCACGTTCTTCTGCCCATCATCATCTTATATTACCCGGAAAAATAAAGATCCGGGTCTGGTGGGTGAGGCTCTGCGGGCAAGGTTGGGATATTTACCAGGTGGAAATCGTATGTATGGTATAGATATGAATGCATTATCTGTGCATGCAGCCAGGTGAGGTAAAAGTATACAATGTACAACTTTCACATAACTAACTACATAGTTTGTACACCGTATCTATTGTACATGTAAAGAAAAATACATAAGGGTGGGCCTGGTCGGTCTTTCTTTGGAAATTAAATTGCAGATCTGTGGATGTATGAAGGGCCCGTTGTTTTAGATCTCCAAAATCTAATATTAGTTAGAACGTTGAGGTCATCAAGGCGCTTGGATCACCCTCTGCATGATCACCGACTATCTATGTTGTAGCGCTTTAAAACTATTGCACCCATTCATCAAACAACTTAGCATCCAAATTAGTATATCCCTTCACAACCTCCAGTCCCCGCAGGCGTTCCTGTTCAATGCGCTCCCAGGTCCACTCTTCGACATTCCACGAGTCAGTATTCTCCTTCTGCTGCTTATCCAGTGTCTCCTGGCTAGGAATCTGGTCATCGTTCATCTTCAATACCTCCCGAACCAATGATCCATCCACACCTTCAAGGGCCGTGACACCTTCACCACTAGCAGGAGTCCCAACGTCGGAAGCCTCGGCTGAGGAATCCGCGTCGGCTAGTGCGGTCTTGGCTTCACTTTCTGGGGGCGGCGTTGGGAGAAACCCGCTAGCGCGTAAAAGCCGCTCCGGGGGAACAGTCAGCCGCCCCTTTTTGACCACGTACTTGCTAACGGCCACAGCAAGGACCACCTTTTCGCCGCCACTGCCGCGTGCAGGTCGCATGAAGCAGGTCAAGATGTACATCCACTTTGCATCCCAAGAGATCACCTTGGAGTGCATCTCATATAGTTCGAATGGCTTAATTTCGCGCTTGAAAGTGCAGTAAACAGATCCGAGCACAATCAAAACTGGCTTGCGCCTGGGTGCCGGCATTCCCTTTTTCTTGCTTGCGGCTAGGAACTCCTGGTCTAGCTCCTTGCTCACATTGCCGACGCCAGGACTGTAAATTCGGCTCACGAGCGCTGTACGCGAAACGTCCAGGTCCGTAAAGTAAGTGCTGTTTGATTTGTGCAGATTGTAGTCGGTCTCTAGCAGCGGCGTGCGAGATGTGACCATGCATGGCACGAAGATAGGATGTGTTGGTTTGCCTCGGGAGTCCACAATAAGTCTCCCCTTGGGGAGAAGTGGCGCACTGGGTTTCAAACGCAGGTTGCCTATGAAGTGATATAGTATGCGGAACTGTTGACTCAGTCAGTAGTGTAACATACCGTGGAGAGGAAGTCAATTCGGACGGTCGAACAAGGAGCCAAGGAGCACTTACATGCCAGACAAATGGGAGACTTTTCAAGTTAATCACTGCCAAAAGCAAGGCCAGGTTCCTCCAAGAGGCCAGCGAGGTTACGCCTGCTAGTATCTCGCGTGTATTCTCCATAATAAAGCCCCGAAATTGAGCCACGGACAAAACAAAGTAGAGAACGTCCGGTGGTTTAATACAGGTACACTGGACAAGGATTGACTAGGATATACTCCGGTTCATCTATAATTGTCTCGGGAGAAGACGAGATCGGTTGGAATCAGGCAGACTTGGCCAAAACACATTTAAAGAGAGACGGAATGTATCACGAGGAATGAAATGGCGGCCCCAATCTCACCTGAATTGGTGAGCCTTAAACCCGAGCCTGCCGATCAAGATGACGACCATCGTGAATTCCCCTTTTGTTGGGAGCCGAGGCCAACACATGGGCACGTGATATCGTGATTACTCATGCTTTCAGCCCGCCCTAGGTCGCCATCTAGGGCTGACCTATGGATTTCAATGCTAATCAGGAACCTGTTCTGGTCTCAACATATTTCTTCGGCGATACAGAGTAGTTGGTGTTTGAATAATTCTAATGCATAAAGGAGGAGCTTGAAGGCATCCCAATTGCTTATTGGTCGAATAATTATGCATTCATCCCGAGGTCCCTATATATATCTTGGCGTTTATCACAACCACACTCCTAGACCTATGATTCGAGATCCGTGAGAAATTTGTTGAGCTCATTGAATCTCCAATCTTTATACTTTCGCTCTTAAAAATAACCCCTCAATTAAGGGGAACACTCCAATCCTACTCTATTGCGCCTGACTAGTGGCAGTGGCCGGGAATTGTCATACTCATTTGCCGAAGTGTTGAGAGTGCACCGTCATCTTTTAAAAGAAGTCTACAGAAGCGGGAAAGGGGAGAAATACATATTGATTATTGTTACAGCAGAATCTGTATTATTTGGGAACAAATATTGTTGCAACTGTGAGAAAAGGTTGTACGTATGTCCCTTTCAAGTTATACCACAGTGAAGACGACTGAATCAACACAAAAAGGACTAACGGTCACATAAGAAGGACCAGTGCCTGACCACAAGCCATGCAAAGCTGATGTTATGGCTACTTTTTACAATAGAAATGGTATTCGGACATGGAGTGGTACCCTCTCATTTACCATTTGGGGCTCATTGTGATCCCATATTAAGAAGATGGTAAGAGTAGAAACGTGAAAAGTTTATAGAGATAAGGAGCTTTAAACGACAAACTGAAAGCAAAACGACCATATCGATGGGAAGGGAGTATCGAAAAGACAGTCTGTTGCTACACTCAACTTTGTTTTGGCTGATTGCCTAGGACACTTATTCCTCCGATCAAGTGAAGATAGAACATGATCGAGTTTTCTAATCACAATGCGGTCTTTGCACCAAATTATCCTTCTTGCCAATCTCAGGAACTCTTTCTCACACTTCCCCATTGCTTCTAGGCAAACTCAATCGTTTGTTATCGTTACTCCATTTCTCTGTTATTGATCGCTAGCGAATTTGACCAACACCTCGTGTATCAGCCAGTTTTTATCATGAAATTTCCTTCCTAGGTCCGGAAGAGCGCAACTCCTTCATTTGCCATCCTGTCTCCTGCTCATCTCTGGCAACCCACGTCTTTCAACCCCCGAAAAGCCTCAAGACTATTCATTATGTCCGACGTGTCCGAAGATATCACCCTCGCAGGCTATCTTTTCAAACGCCTTTATCAAGTTGGCCTACACGCAGTGCATGGCGTCCCCGGTAATCACAACATCGGAGTACTGAGAGAGGCCACTGATGCAGGGCTTGAGTGGGTCGCACACCGCAGCGATCTTACTGCTGGGCTTGTCGCAGATGGATATGCACGAGTCAAGGGCATCGGCGCTCTGATATCTTCATTCGAGAATATGCCATCGTCAGTCTCGACGGCAATCGCTGCCTCGTACCAGGATAGAATCCCAGTTGTGCTTGTTATTGGGACACCTCAACGCAAGGCGCAAGTCCAGGCTTCCAAATTCCACCATTCCTTTTTCGACGTGCAGCCTGATGTTCCTCAACAGCCTGATGATTTTCAAATACTCGCTGACTGCTTCGAGAAGACAACCATCACCCAGGAGTTTCTTGTTCATCCTAGCGAGGCGACTACCCAGATTGATACTGCCATTCGAGAATGTATCATGCAGTCTCTGCCTGTTTACATTGAATTGCCGGAAGATTTGGTCAACAGTAAGGTACCGGCCAAGAGACTCATTGAGAGCTTGGACTTCAACACTCCGCTTCACGATACTGAGATGGAGAAGACGGTAGTGGCCAGTATCATGAACAAGATTAAGCAGGCACAACGACCAGTGATTCTCGTGGGTGCGGCTGTTCCATCTTGTGGTCTTATTAAGGAAGCAAATCAGCTGGCCAAAAAGACTAGATTTCCAACTGCTGCGACCCAGTTCAGCAGAGGTGTTGTAGACGAAACACTCAAAAACTTCCATGGGGATATCTCGGATTTCGACATGTACGGTTCATATTTCAGATCCTGCGACCTGATTCTCATTATTGGATCTCTGAATACAAGTGAGTGGGCCAATTCCGCCATGTTCGAGGCGAAGACGGCAGAAACCGTCGCATTCAACAGGAATTATGTTGTCATCGGGGATCAAAAATATGAGCTCTTTTCTAGACCTGTGCTTCAGCAGATTCTAAACTGTTTGAGTGAGAGCAAACTTTGTGACCTTACGCCCTACCCAGATTTGCCCAGTGTCCGCGACAGCATTGAAATGCTTCCAACTCGGAAAAAGACTGCACTTCTTCAACATGACATTTATTGCAAATTTTGGCGACGGATGTCTCTTTTCTTCCGTCCGGGTGACATTATCTTGACTGAGACCCAAATAGCCCAGGATGGAGCACGCTCTTTTGTTTTGCCGCGGGATACAACCCTGATCAATCCTGGAGCCCGAAAGTTACCCGGACACATGCTTGCTACCACCTTTGGTGTTGTTCTGGCGCAACAAGGCCTTGCCAAGACAAACTACCTGCTTTCACACGGGCGAACAGTTCTTTTTGAAGGGGCCAAGGGGTTCCAAAAGGCCCAAGATGACTTGAGAGCCATTATCGATAAGAAGCTCAATCTCATCATCTTCGTGACTAACGAAGGAGCGCCCATGGTTGAAAGTCTAATGCATATGATGGAATATCAACAGCAAGATTCTTATCCCTGGCGATACTCAGAATCCGTTTCTTTCTTTGGAGCCCCCAAAAAGACATTTTACCCAGTCTCCACCACCATAGCCAGAACATGGGGCGACTTTGAGATCATTATCCACGATAAGAACATTCAATCCGGGATAGGACTGCACGTTGTGGAGTTCATGATCAAACCCGGAGATCCAACTCAAAGCCCATGTCTTCTTACTGAAATATATGGCCCGCCCCCGAGCCCTTTTTCTTTGAAGAAGTATCACCTCAAGCGAGATTGATTGCCGCAAAAAAATGAGATTGAAAGACCTTTGGATGCTGAAACATGTAAGATTAGACAAGATACTTTGCAATACAATGTTCAGTTATCACAACTGTGTCCACAAAGCGCAGAGAAGATTGAAACAACCCGGAGAGAAAGACGCATAAGTATACATAGAAATACATGATATCTTTCTAGATCTCCCCGCCATAATAACATCCAACCACTATCTATATTGTTGACAACTCCCGCATCATAGCCCACATAGTAAACTCCTCCAACGAATCCCAGAACCCCTTAGGACACTTCTGGCTACCAACAACTGTGAATCCCTGTTTCAACCAGTAGCTACCAGTATCTTCTTTAGTAACCCGAGTCATAATTCGTACCGGAGACGACACATCCTTTCTATTGACCCGCTCCTGACGCAAAATCTCCTCTTCACACGCCTTGACAAGATGCCCAGCAATACCCCTGCCGCGGTATTGTGGATCTGGCGGGAGAGCAACAACAGCTAGCTCATAGTCTCCAGGACAAGCCTGTCGGTGAAGCACTTGATCGACACATCCAGTATTGGCCGCGTTCTCTACCGGATTTGCATCGTGCCCGTCTTCGGTGGTAGGCGTCCAAAGGCCGTCGTCTTTCCATTTCTTCATACTTGCGGTCCCGATCACTTCGATGTTTTGAGATTTTTCATCTCCAACAAGCGCCACCGCGGTGAGTCCGTCTGCACCGAGCTCCTCGGATAGTGCGGAGTTGGTTGATAGTCGGGTCTTGGTTGTGGCGAACTTTATTTTGGTGGTGTGGCTGACGCGGTAGCTGGCGTTCACCATGTGTGTGAGACTTGAGATCCAGGGTTGATTGGGAAGATCTGATGATGCATAGACCTTGATGTGGAAGGCCATTTCTGGATCCATGTTTGGACTTAGTGTTGGGATTCGAGGCATCCGGGTAGTTTGGTGTAATTGGGGAGAAGTTAAATAAAATATAAAAAGGTATCTCGCTCATCTTAGGCAATTTCCAATGTGGGGTTGAACTCTGACACGGAGCTAGTGAGTCACAGAAACTGGACCATTCCCCATTCCCGACACCCGACCTCGGGAGGTTATACCTATGAGAAGGACTACGGGCACACGGTTTTACTTGCGGCACACTATTTCACTAAACTACTTTGGGTATGTCCAGAGAAGATAATTAAAAATTGCGGCCAGCGGTAGACATACCCAAAGTAGTTTAGTGAAATAGTGTGCCGCAAGTAAAACCGACTCTCATAACTACATGTACCTATTGCCATGATCATCTCTATTCTAGCCAACCTGACAGTGCGATCTACGAGTATTTGTTTGAATTGAATAATCCGAGATTAAAGATGGTTTCACTAAGCTATTTCTTCTGTAGGTATTGACACAGAATTCGCTCTGTTGCAGACGAGGCAGACAGAGGGCATCAATGGACGAGAAATGGCCCAACCACAATCATGGCGGCCAGCAAGTCAGAGCAGCCTAGATTAAATACTGTTAGGAGTGAGTATATAGCTTCAAAAAAGGTTGCAGTAAGAACTCACCGGAATGAAGAGGCTTGGAACCAGCTTCTGGTACTCATCCCACGTCTTCCCATACTTGTTTTTACATTTGTTGATATCCCTCATGGCACGGTGGCCAATCATGACCGCGAAAAAGACGGGGTAGAACCAGGGAAGGGGACTGTCGAACCCGGTGATCAGTGCCCACGACAAAGCGAAAAACATATCGCAGCTGTAATGGACCTTGCGAGCCAATTGATACCACCCATCAACGAAAAGAGTATCACCTTTCTCCGTCACAAGTGTCTTTGGGTTGTGAACATGTCGCCAAGGGAGCTGGGGGACTGTCTTCCGCTCCACCATTTTGCCTCGCTCCATCATGCGGAAGGCGTTCTTCTGGCTGTTTGCAGTGTCCCAGACCCAGTAGACGAAAACATACGACACAAACAATACCGTCAATGCAGTTTTGTTCCATGCATATGTCGACGGGTGGCGTCTATCTAGGTACAGAACGCAGTGGCAGTAAGACATAGGGACACCAGCCATGTTCCAGAAGATCAACAAGAATCCCAGTTTCTCCTGATACATGTCCCATGTTGTGGTGATGAAGTGTTCTGCCTTGGCGCAGGCGTTGGCGTAAAGGAAATGCGCCATGACAAGAAACAAAACCTCACCAGAAACGTATCCGTATTGTTCATATTGGCGAGTGGCAGCCGCGCAGCTCAAACCCAAGAGCATGAACCATGGGATGCGGACTTCGTAGAACATTTTAAAGTCCAGGATCCCGAACAAACGTGGGTTCAGTTCGGCTCCCATGAAGAAATCATAGATTGGGTAACCAGTAATGCGGTGCTGGGCACCCCGAGCAAAGGCAGAGAAATAAGCGAAAAAGCTGGCGAGAAACCCGGAAAGAATCGCCACAGACATCAGAGGACCGAACTCATCCAGGATAGTGTAAATTGGGAACACTCCAGTGTAGTGCAGAAGGGCCATAACGACGATTGTAAAGTACAAGCTACAGTAGGCTGAGCAATAATACTCCAGCCGCTTGCTTTTCAGATGGAGAAGTGGCTTCCCATAGCACGTGAATCCGGGCATGAAGATGTAGCATGCTGCCTCGAAGATGTAGAAGGTCCAGTAGATGCGCCACGCCTTGAAGTGCGGGAACGCACCGGTGTAAACAAGGTGACACAGATGCTTTCCAAAGTCCATCCAGGACTCTCCATTTTGGGGCAGAGGTAGCTTCCCATCATAGTAGGTAGCACCGATCCACATGTACCACATCAGCAACGGGAAGCCAGTCATAAGTGCCAAGGTTCCGAGGGAACCACCGAATTCGAACTCCCCTGAGTAGTCCACTTTGATATCCATGCCGGGTACCCATCCACCAGCGAGTTGCGCTTGCTTGAACTCAGCGAGCCCATTTGGTTTGTCGCGATTGTTGTCATGCTTTCGGCGAGACTTGACTTGGTCGTCCATTTTGACAACTTGAAATATGATATTAATTGGATTGATGGAAAACCAAGGAACGGACGCTAACAAAGTACACTCACAGTCAAAGAATAGTGGAAGCCGATACAGGAGAAAGGAGAAGGAGAAAAGGAAAGAAGAAGGGTGAAAGGAAAATACAAGGAAGAGGAAGTGGAAGAGGAAAGAGGAAAGATATAGGAAGGAGCAAAGGGACCCCTGAGTATACTAACCTTGGAAGGAGTCAGGCCGACGCAATGATATAGTTCCCGTTTGGGTTTAGACCCCGCCGCCTTTATTCCAATTAGGTTTAGATCCCACTACTAGCGCCTTCCAAGGTTGCCTGCAGATAAATTTCAAAGCGATTTGACTGTATCATTGCATTTGCTCTTTTTATTCCACACATGTAGGGCAACAGGAAACACCTAGAATTTACCTGCGGGTACATAGTACAGCTATCTTTAGAGCATGATGATTTCTAGCTTGGTTGTGGAGTATCATAGAGTTGATCGCCAGCTTTTTGCTTTGTAGATTAGCTCTGCATGCTAATGGAGTGAATCCTCCAAGTCGCCAACAAATTGTCCGTCCTCGAGGTCGTCAGGTTCCATTCCATTAACACCCATATAAACCTACTAGCAGTTCAGCAAAATGACAGAAACAGGGCCATTGACGGATAAACAAAGTGACGTCAGGTGATCTTATCGAGAAATCGCATTAATCAGCGACGCTTATCAACCTCCCCCGAGGTTAGACTCCTCCCCGGACATTCACCTTACTATGAGTGATCGGTCGGTCTCATGAATTACCAGACCATCAGTATGGATGGCAATGCCCCCGAACAGCGCCACCACATTGTGGGAAGGCCGTCCTTGGATCAGCCGCCTACAGATCACATTGATGATCCCACACCAAACCACCAAGCTCCCGCCACATCCCCTCAGAGCTTCACTCCGCGCTCACTTCTCGTCGGTCTTATTATCGGTGCCCTCATCACATTCTCGAATACCTATTTCGGCTTGCAGACAGGATGGATAAGCACAATGGCCATGCCCTCGGCCTTGATTGGCTTTTCAGTCTTCAAGGTTCTATCCAAGTACCTGTCTTTCCCCTTCACACCGGTTGAGAATGTCTTGATACAAACGGTTGCCGGTGCAGTGGGAACAATGCCACTTGGATGCGGATTTGTTGGCGTTATCCCTGCTCTGGAGTTCCTGCTGAAGCCTGGCGAAGATGGACCCGAAGGTGATGGAGGAGAAGGCGAAGGAGGTCCTCTGAAACTCGGCTTCTGGAAGTTGGTCATCTGGAGTCTGGGAGTCTGTCTCTTCGGGGTTGTATTTGCAGTCCCACTACGAAAAGAGGTCATCGTTCGAGAGAAGCTGCGGTTTCCGAGTGGTACCGCCTCGGCATTGATGCTCAAAGTCTTGCATGGTTCTGGGAGCAATGAAAAGGTTATAGCACCAGAGAGTTCCCGTGCGGGGATTCTGAGTACAGAGGCCGAAGCAGCTGCTCAATCGCAAGAAGACACAGGGCTTTTGAAGGATGGCGATGCCGAAGACCAAGCTTCCAAGGAGCAAGATTGGCGCTCGAAGATGCGCCTCTTAGTTGGATCGTTTACACTGTCAGGTGTATATGTGAATATCCCCAAATTGGACTCTGCAAAATCCATGCTAACAAACTTAGACTCTTTTCTCCTACTTCGTCCCTCTAGTCCATGCCATCCCTCTGTTTGGCGTGGGAATGGCGGACAAGTGGCTGTGGACCCTTAACCCGTCGCCCGCATATATCGGTCAAGGTATCATCATGGGTCCATCAACGTGCATGCACATGCTTTTTGGAGCAGTCTTGGGGTGGGGCGTCCTATCACCGCTGGCGAAGACCCGCGGATGGGCCCCCGGCCCGGTTAATAACTGGGAAGATGGCAGCAAAGCATGGATTGTCTGGATATCGCTAGCCATCATGCTTGCTGATTCACTTGTGAGCCTTGGGTGGCTGGTGCTCAAGCCCATCGTGAATCGCTCTCCAAGATGGATAGCCTGGTTCCGATCCACTCGCGCTGGTCAGTGGATTGCACTTCGACTGCAATCTTCTCAGCACTCATATATCAACTACTCCGCTTTGGAGTCAGAGTCTCATCTTTTGTCTCATGAAGACGATGATGCCCACCACACACTAATAACTACAAGCAAAGAGGAAGAGGAAGAGGAAGATGCGCCGCCATCCCAACTCATCTCGACTCGCACAGTAGTGATTCTCCTTCCCCTGACTCTCCTCCTGAATGTCGTCTGCATGCACTTTGTCTTCGGTGACATCATCTCCCCCATTTTATCGACATTAGCGACTCTGTTGGCAGTGCTCCTGTCCATTATGGGTGTCCGGGCTCTCGGCGAGACCGACCTTAACCCAGTTTCGGGTATCAGCAAGCTGACACAACTTCTCTTCTCACTCGCCACGCCAGCATCCCATTTCTCCAGACGCACCGCGCTAGTGACCAACCTGCTCGCGGGTGCGGTCTCCGAGTCTGGAGCTCTGCAAGCCGGTGATATGATGCAAGATTTAAAGACCGGTCATCTACTCGGCGCAAGTCCCAAGGCCCAGTTCTATGGCCAGATAATCGGCAGTCTTGTGGGTGCAGTTCTTTCAACTGCCGTATATAAATTGTACGTGAACGTCTACGAGATCCCGGGCGAAATGTTCCAGACACCTACCGCGTACGTCTGGATCTTCACTGCTCGCCTCGTGACTGGTCAAGGGCTGCCCAAAATGGCTGCACAAGTCTCTATCATTGCTGGTATCGTGTGGGCATTCCTTACCGCACTGAGGATCGCAGCTGCGTCCCCTGCCTTTGCACGCAACGGGAACCCCCCTCCTTGGAGAGCTTGGATCCCCGGCGGCATTGCTGTTGCCGTTGGTATCTTTAACGAGCCTTCATTTACCCTGGCGAGAGCTATCGGTGGTATTATTGCATGGTGGTGGTCGCGCAGGAACTCCGAATCGAGGACCAACGAACAAGTGGGAAATGCAAACGCCACTACCATGGGATCTTCTGTAGAGACTGAGCTGCAGGATGGGCAAAGATCATCGACATCAGCCGAGCAGGCATCTGAAAAAGCCGATGCCGCCTCCTCGACTATCGTCGTCCTTGCCTCCGGCCTCATTTTGGGTGAAGGTATCATGAGCATTGTGAATCTTCTTCTTGCAAGTGGACGCGTTCCACATCTCTGATCAGGACGGACATGAGAAAATGCTCTCATCGCCGTGTACATTCTGCATTTATTATGACTAAAAGAGCGCATTGGATTTAGAGATGATGTTTTTGGACGATCTTAACTAGACTTCAAGTCATTTTTTCGGGGCTTTTTATGATTTTCAATATACTACCACTTCCTCAGTATGGCCTGTGTCCTATTATTCCTGGCTTCAAATCGATCCCATGTATTCCACATATCCAGGGCTTTCCCAGGCTGTACCCTACAGGTGCAGTTGGTATAGGAAAGGCCCCTGCTAACATAACCCATGTCATACACTTGACTTAACAACAGCAACTTTGGTCTACGGGGTTCAATATGTATTCTTTACGCTTTACGCTTTACGCTATATGCTTTATGCTTAGGTTGATCACATCGTTTCTCAATCCCTGAAAAGTCCTCTGTACGGTTTATGTTTTCTTCCACAATTGTATAAATCTAAAAGACATCTGAAAAGAACATCCAAAAACACATCGGAGTGTTCTATATATAACGTCCCTAATCTCACCATGGGCCAAATATATTAGATAATTAAAGTCTTACGTCTTAAATGATAGAGGCCGCATAAGCGGCCGACTATTCTCCAATAATAAACCAAAAGAGCCTTGCTAAGTGCTCCAGCGCCCCCAACGTCCCCGCACCCCCGGGCCCCGCCGAAGCCCGACCCTGAAAAGCCGAGAAAAAGCTTGAAAGCTTCACTTCCCCTACTGGGCCAAAATTTGAGATTACCAAGCAGAATCCACTATCTCCGAGATGTTGAAGGACACTAAATTTTCAAATGGAGCCTTTTCACCACCGACAATTTTGTCAATCGCATTTCGAAGCGATCCGACCGAGGCTTGCTCCGACATCGGCATCGGCATCAGCATCGATTTGCCGAAGAGACATCCGACATATAAATCTTTGTCTATGAGAGTAGCAATCCGCACTCCACAGCATTGATCTCAATTATGACACGCATATGGCCGAAGGGCAGTCTTGTAAATGTACAAGCCGAGCCCGAGAAGGATCCTGCATCCCTGGATCCAGCATATCTCGTTAAGTGGGATCACGATGATATATTGAATCCTCAGAATTGGACTCCCAGGTATAAATGGTGGGTGACATTCCAACTGGGCATGCTTGCTTTGGCGGGTAGTCTGGGGTCAAGCATCACCACGCCAGCCGATGACACCATCGCGAAGTATACTGGCGTGAGCAGCGAGGTTGCCGTGTTAGATGTATCCCTGTATCTGTGAGTGAGATTGCAAGTAAAAAACACTAGAGATAATGCTAACAGCAATACCAGCCTTGGTTTCGTCTTCGGACCTATCATCTGGGCCCCTCTTTCAGAAATCTGGGGCCGAAGAATCAGCATACTTCCCGCCGTCTTTTGTCTAGCACTATTCTCCATCGGCACTGGCGTAAGCACAAATGCAGCCTCGGTGTTCGTCACGCGCTTTTTCGCAGGGTTTTTCGGCTCTGCGCCGATTAGCAATGTCACCGCTGCACTAGGTGATATATGGAGTAAAGAGACGCGCGGGACCGCAATCAGTCTCTATGCAGTGGCAGTGAACGGCGGCCCGGCGCTAGGTCCAGTGATAGGTGCAGCGCTTCTGTTGAATCCTAATATGGGCTGGCGCTGGACAGCATACATCCACGCAATCTGGGTCTTTGTCATTTTCACTTTGACCTTCTTCTGTTTGCCGGAGGTATATCCACTGGTACTACTCAAGCGCAAAGCACAGCAGCTTCGGAAGGACACTAATGATTCGAGGTTTTATCATCCCCATGAACATTTGAAACTCGATGTCAAATCCGTTCTTACGAAGCAGCTTGCCCGCCCATTGAGAATGCTCTTCACTGAGCCGATCGTCACCTGCATTGCATTCTATGCTTCCTTTGTCTACGGCGTCATGTACCTAACTCTTGAGGTATTTCCAATTGCATTCCAGCAATCTCGAGGTTGGAACCACCTTGTGGGTTCTTTGCCGTTCCTGGGATTGTTGATCGGTGTCATATCCTCGGTGGGTCTCAATATCTGGAACCAATACCGCTATAACCAGATATCCAGCGAGGCAAATGGGAAAGCAGTTCCCGAAGCACGACTCCCGCCTATGGCATTCGGGGCGGTGTTTTTTGTTATAGGGCTCTTCTGGTTTGCTTGGACTGCTGAACCACCCCACCACTGGATCCTGCCATGTCTGGCAGCGGTCTTTATAGGCATTGGATTCAACTGCATTTTCCAGCAGTGTTTGAACTTTTTGATTGATGTATATAAGGTCTATGCTGCTAGCTCAACGGCGGCTGTTACGTTTCTTCGAAGTTTGTTGGCTGCCGGGCTTCCCTTGGCGGCTAAACCGATGATTAGGGCTTTGGGGATTGGGCCTGCTGTTTCTATTGTTGGAGCTGTGGCTGCGGTTCTATTGCCAGTACCCTTCTTGTTTATGAAATATGGCCCAAAGCTGCGGGGATTATCAAAGCTTGCGCCTGAGGATTGTTAGCATTGTTAGGATGGTTGATAATTGTTTCGTTCCAAAATTATACCTATCAAGAACTTAGCTCCGCATGCATACTTTTATCCCTAGAAAGACTTTTGGTGTACCCTTGTGATTTGAACCGAAAATAGATGGTATTCTACTTTATCCCTATCCCGATAGACACTCTCGTAGTTATTAACTGCAAATGTACTTCTATTCTTTTGTATTGTCTTCAAGATCATGTCCAAAAATCAATTATTCCATACTCTATATATATCTAGCTGTCTATTTTCTCCAAGAACGCCAAAAGATAAAACATAACCAAAAGATCATCCATGAGACAAGTGCTTAAACAATCCTTCTAACTAATTTAATCAACCCTGTGCAGTTGATAGCTGTGTAGTTGATGGCTGTGGAGTTGGCGATTGATCATCTGGGTTAGCAGTGATAAGCTCAATCTCAAATCTTACCTGAAGTCTGTAGAGCTCATTCCAAATGACTGCTCGAGTGATCCGTCTCGTACCTCTGGGAAGAGAAGATAAAAGAAGGATGGCAGTTGCTTTCCCCAACTTTGTGCCGAGGAGCTCCTCAAACTCAGGCGTGCCACGTTCGATTTTGAGGCAATCCTCGTGTAGCGAAGCATCGAAATCGCGATTAAGTCTGGGGTAGAGTATACGCCTGATATATGGTGCAGTTTCTTCATTGACGACGTGGGTAAACATAACAAACCTCAAAGTGGATATGTCATGGTCAAAAACATACACAGCCCTCGCAAATTCATTCCACTGAACGTTATCGTACCTAAAAATGGAATGACCAACAAGCAGACCTGGTCCGACGAGGTGTGTATAGCCATTAGTCAGATGCTCACGGTCATATCTTGCTAGGGTCTCTTGGTTTGTGACCACGTTTGAAAAAGTTGTATAGCGGTACCTGTAGCCCTCGGTAGGGAGCCCCGTCGATTCAGGATCGCCTCCCTCCATGAGATCGCCCGGATCTTTGAAGAAACTTTCTCCGCATTGGAACCTATCTGCTGGGTTGGGGGCGTTCATTAAGGAGTGTACAGTTGCCGTTGCCTGGGCAATATAGCAGTTTGGTTCGTTTGGGTTTTCTAGCCAAGCTTGTAGTTGAGCTCCTATTAGTCGGTATCCCTCGACTGTCTCTGTCGAAGGCCTGTCATGCAACTCATCGTCGGTGTTGAAGGGGGAATCACTGGAACTGGTAATCTTTGGAGAATTGAATAGTCTTGGAGGAGATAGGGGTGGTCCGGCAGGTACTTGTGCTGCTACATCCTGCCCACTCTGCACACTCGTGGTACGCGGACGCTTAGCAGCGGGACTAACCTGAGATTCGCCAGCTGGGCTCCATTCCCCAACGTACTCGACGTGCGCACGCTTGCTGCCAGAGGAGCTAGAGGACTGCTGGTGCCATTGTTGTTCGCCTTGCTCCTCAGACTGGACCGCGGCAGGAGTGGGCCGCAGGCGTCGCGGACGTCGCGCAGGTTGCGCAGAACCGAAATACAAGTAATCATCAGATGAAGACTCACTTTCATTTTCCTGGGCTAGAGGGTAGGACATTAATTCATCGCCGGGCGTGGCTGCTGGCATGTCAACGAGCCCGGCATCTGGCATGTCAGTATCACTGTCAGATCTGGGGGGAGAGGGGTTGTCGCGTATTTCACTAGCATCGTTAATATCGACATCACTCATTTCAGGTGTGATGCCAGTGTGAGAACCGTCCCTTGATGGCGGGAGAGGGGGGTATTCACCGCTGCTGTTACCTTCACTGGGGCTGGCGGCCTCCTTCTGAGGTTTAACTGGCTTCTGAGGCTTAGCTGGCTTCTGGGGTTTAGCTGGCTTTGTGGCTTGACCTGGCTTTGCGGCTTGGCCTGGTTTCATGACTCGACCTGACTTCGAGACTCGACCTGGCTTCGGGGCTTGAACTGGCTTTGCTGCTTGACCTGGGACTTTGGCTGCCACCATAGGTGCCATTTCGGATAGGGGGATTCCTTGGTCGGAATCCTCATCATCGCTGCAGTGGCAGCGGCGCCCCCAACATTTGAGACTGCGGCAGAACTTCTTCATTGTCTTCATTGTTATGGTTGAGGTAAAGTATACGTCGAACAATTGGATTGATGGGAAAAGTTGGAATAAAATATACCGTTGGTAGGATTTGTTGTATTGTGATTGCTGGATGATGTTGTTGTTGAAATGGAGAGCAACAGACAGATACAGGCGAAGCTATATACCTTTTGCCAATGCCTTTGTTTCTGCAGGACCAAGGGTCTAAACCCTAGTCCTTAGAAGGATGAAACATCACAAAAATAGGCTCACCTAAAATAAGGCCATGTAGAACAAAAGAAGTGAGGATCCGAACAATGGAGACAAGTGCATAGAGAAGAGTTTCAAGGGCCAAGATAAAGAGACTCGAACTTGGAGTGACAATAAGGACGATTAATTTGAGAAATCCAAGGATAGAACAAGGAATGGACAAAGAGAAGTCTAACAATGTTTGTCCAATTACACCTGCGAACCTGAAGTAAATAAAGTATTATCAAAGAAAGGGCTGAAACGCCTACCGAGTCCACTAGTTCCCCCCAAAAACTGTCGAGCAACAATGTAGTCTACTAGTCTCGAATATCTAAGCGATGAACAGGGTGCATTGTTGAAGGACAAGCAAAAGCTAATATTAAGTTGCTCCTCAAAGAGCGAATAAACAATGTAAATGACGTGGATAATAGAGGTATTGTCAAAGAACACTCTATCTGTAGATCTTCAAGATATCCATGGATATTTTTGTTGATCATGTCCTCGAAATCACAAAGGTGACTTCTTGGATGTGTTGGGGGACAACAGTTCAACACCAGATCGAGTGCTTTCTTTGGAATATCCCAATGCTCAGCTGTGATTAAACCTCCATTATACCGAGACATACCCAGGGCATGTCCTCTCATGCGCATTTCGTCATATGTACTTTCGGATTTTGTCGTCTAATATCCCGTAAAGATATATGAAGAATGAAACCCCAATACATAGTTAAAACTGTGTGGAAAGAAGGCAAATAAAATGTCTTATACTCGTGAATCAGATTTTGATGTACATGTCATGGTGAAGGTATCATGATAGTAGATATTTTGAGGCTCGGCGCTAGCAAATGGATGTAGGCAGCATATGGCGCAAGAAACAGCCAGTGTCATGCAATGAATGTCTACTCAAAATAACGACGTTAAATGCTAAGCAAGAAGGGCTATGGTGTTATGGGAGTTAGATAATTCAAGCTGAGTTCTCGGAGACAAGGATCAACAGGTGCGAGTGTCGGGTCAGGTCAGAAGTTTAGCCCGGGTGAATAATAGTCGGATAGGGGAAGTTTTAGTAAATTATTTGAGCATCCCGGGATGTTCATCTATTTAGGCAAGCCGCATGTGCAGTATGTCGGGTGCTACTGACGTCCTGAATATATTAATGGCTCAGCCGATATCCGAGGGCTGAAATCTGGAGTTCCTGAGACCTACATATGTACTTTATACGGAGTAGATATTATTTCTTTATTTCTCCGAGGTATTTACCCATATTAGTCGGGCGGCTAAAACAGGGTTTTATGTGCCCGGAATATTTATTCTAAGCCTCAACAGGCGAAGATTGCCTTTGCGTCCATCGTACTTTCAGAGTAATTTTCCATTCACTCGGGTCCATGCGGCGTATTTGGCGTATTTGGCGCATGTCATCGACGAGTGTAACAAAGACCGGGGTGTTCCTAGTTAGTCTGTTCTCATTGGCCTAGAACATTCGCTTTGAGAATCTTCCCGTCCTATTTGCTGACGGGTGGTTGCATCAGTCTTGGCTGCCTTGGCCATGTCTTTGACTATCCAACCGAATCCGTTTTCTACACCCCATAATACTATATCGGCAGTGCCGAGGGATGCAATCAGTAGGTGCTCGGATAAAAACGGAATGAGAAAGGGACCAGGCAAATATACAAAAAATCGCATATCAGCACGTTCCTTTGGAGGCTTGCGCCATGTCAAGCCATGATGCCGCCAAGCGATGACTACCTATACCACCAGACATGTTATTTGAACCGAATTAAACAAAGCGGTAAATTACATCGAACTACTAAATGTATGTAGTTAGCGTTGAATTCCTTTGACCAGTCACAATCGAGAGAATCCGCCCCCAAACCCGCCCCCAATGGAACTTCCCATATCCCCGCGCCGCCCGACGCCTTCCCCGTATCTTGGCCAGCCCCAGACACTGGAGATGACCGGGGGCATCTCGGATTACCGCTTTTGTCAATCCGGGGGAATTGGAAGTGGGCTATATAACCCGCTGATCGGCAATTTTATCATGTCCCCCGTATTTTGCTTCGATCTTCTCATGTTTGGACATCATGTTCGGCATTCCGAAGTTCTTTGGCTGGAGAGGCCGGTCTCTCAACCTGGCTATCAGTTCTCTTGGTAGTCTTGACTTCTTGTATGATACTATTCAATTATTCACTATTATTCTGGAACTTGCAACTAACCAGCAACAAGACTTTTTGGTTATGATCAAGGTGTTACGGGTGGTCTACTCGACCTGCCCTCCTTTATCAAATACTTCCCCGATATCAATCCTCTAGATCCCGCCATCAAAGATGACAAGCCCCTCCGATCGCAGCGCAGTTTGAACCAAGGCATTGCAGTCGCATCGTACAATCTGGGATGTTTCTTCGGCGCTGTCTTGACTATCTTCATCGGTAATCCGCTTGGTCGACGAAGGACTATCTTCTGTGGCTGTACGATCATGGCTACTGGCGCCCTCTTGCAATGCACCGCATATTCCCTACCCCATTTCATTATCGGTCGAATTGTCACTGGTGTTGGCAATGGCATGAATACAAGTACCGTACCGACATGGCAGTCCGAATCAGCAAAGGCGCACGATCGTGGTAAGATGGTCATGATCGAGGGTATGCTCATCACCGGAGGTATCACTCTTAGCTACTGGATTAATTACGGTCAGTTTGAACTCCGATCTTTGCTATACGCTCAAGTTGCAATTACTGATATAATCCCGAATTAGGCATGTCGTTCATCGGAGAAAAAGAGGTGGCCTGGCGGTTCCCGCTAGCCTTCCAGATTATTTTCGCTATCATTATCTTCTGCTCTATTCTCAACCTACCCGAGTCCCCAAGATGGTTGGTCATGCAAGGCCGCACCGATGAGGCTTTGGATATTCTCGAGTGTCTAAATGAGAAATCTCGGGATGACCCTTACATCAAGAACGAGCTCATCGCCATTGAAGAAACTGTCAAGGAAATGAACAAGGGCTCTTATAGAAGTCTGTTCAAGATGAGCGAGTATCGAGAATTCCATCGCGTGGCACTTGCCTACGTCAACCAGATGTTCCAGCAGATTTCTGGAATCAATCTTATCACCTACTACGTGAGATCGCTTTCCCCATTGAGATGCTAGCCCTATACTAATCAAGTCCATTAGGCCCCTTCCCTATACGCCGAGATTGGTCTTGGAAAAGGCAATCTTCCAAAGTTACTAGCTGCCTGCAACGGCACGGAATATCTGATGGCTGCATTCATCCCTATTTTCATTATTGAGAAAGTTGGACGTCGCCCACTGATGCTGTTCGGCGTATGCCACTCTCTGCCCCCCGATTCGATATCCCATCAGCTAACCAAGAGTTATTAGGCCGCCGGCATGTCACTTTCAATGGCCGTCCTAGCCGGAACCAACTACCGCTTGACCGTTTTAAACGATAGCCGAGCCGGTATCGGCCAGGCAGTCTTCCTTTTCGTCTTCAACACCTTCTTCGCCATCGGCTGGCTCGGAATGACCTGGTTGTACCCAGCCGAGATCGTGCCTCTTCGAATCCGAGCCCCAACCAACGCACTAGCCACCAGCGCCAACTGGATCTTCAACTTCATGGTCGTCATGATCACCCCCGTTGCATTCGAAAATATCGGATACAAGACCTATGTCATCTTCGCTGTTATGTAAGATCCCAGCCCGCATTGCCCGCATTAATCCAGAGCTTGAACTAACAACGGACAGAAACGCATTCATGTTCCCATGTGTATACTTCTTCTTCCCTGAGACCCGCTACCGCTCCCTGGAAGAGATGGACGCCATCTTCAAGAAGTCGACCAACGTCTTCGACGTCGTTAACATCTCCGTCAAGGAACCGTACCGCTACGATAAGCATGGCGAGCTCAAGCCAGAGTACCTTGAGGAGGCTATGCGCCATGCCAGCGCTGATTTGCACATCGCCGGCGCAAAGTTTGATAGTGATGAGAGTGGTACTGAGGTCAAGGCTTGAGTGGTTGGAAGATGAGGTTGGTTGTGTATTTTGGTGGATTTCATTTATACCCGTGGTTCCAGTGTGATCTGATTCTTGTATCTTTTCACAGAGAGTGTTTTTATATTTATAGCTTTTAGATGTAAAGGGAGGTTAATGACAGACTTTGTTTGTCGAATTTTGATTAAATGGTTTCATATGTTGAGATGTATCTAGATTATTGTGGATCAAATTTCCCTTCACGAGCATATCCCGCAATTATATCTTTCTTCCCAAGTGGACAAGTTATGCTATCTCTGGTGCTCACTTCTATTGAATATATAGTACACACTAGCAATACATAGAAAGAAGGACATCGATGGATGGAAATGGTAAAATTCGTCAGTGAATTCTAAACTCTACGTAGCTATGAATGTAAACTATCTGTGTTGGAACAAGGTGAAGGATCCGGGTATTCCAGCTCATCTCAGCGTGACACGCATATTATTCGAGATCGATGTGAATCAAGGAACTCGAAGAAGATGCTTGCAACTTCGAATCGAAGAGAAACAAAAAGAAAAAAAAAGGGCAAAAGAAAAGAAAAGGTAGGTATGGAAAGACGACCGGCCTTTTGTTACAATTACAAGGATGCCAGTGGAAATACAGACAAGACGGCATCCAAGACACGGACAGAAGATTCAAAAGATGAAAACAAATAGACGGATGAAATGATTCAGATGCGAAAATATGCATCAAGCGCAAAGCATAGATTCAAGGGGGGTTCGTTCGTCACGGACGCGGGCTGTAGGGGGGATATCAAGATCGAGGCGAACAATGTGGTCATATAGGTAAGCTCATTTCCGTCCAGCGGGGCACTGACACGTCAGTGGGAATGCCTATGTTCTGCATAAGACCGAGGCTCTATGCGGAGGTGAGGGTCATTCAGATTAAGCGTTCTGCGTGGGGACGGGCTTTCGCGAGATCGACCCGGACGGAGAAGTCGGCGGGGAAGTGGGAAGGGCTGGAAGCTCGCTGGTGGGAGCAGGAGTAGGAGCAGCTAACGGAATTGAAGCTGAAGGCGCAGCGGGAGCGGCAGCAGCTAATGGACTTGAAACTGCAGGCGCGGCGGGTACTGCCATGGGCGGAGCAACGTTGCCGGCACTATTGCTGCGTTGGCGTTGGTTGACAGGCATCACAGGCCGCTGCATTCCGGGGGCTCCGTATGGACCAGGGCTCATCGAGCGCGGGCCGGGCCTGGGGCCAGGAGACATCGATCGTGGGACGGGTCGTCCGCCAGGTCCTGGAGACATAGAGCGAGGCATTCCTCCGGGCCCGGGGGACATTGAGCGAGGGCCGGGCATTCCGCCAGGTCCAGGAGACATTGAGCGTGGGACAGGTCGTGCTCCTGGTCCGGGGGACATTGAGCGAGGGCCGGGCATTCCACCAGGTCCGGGAGACATTGAGCGAGGGCCAGGCATTCCTCCAGGCCCGGGCGACATGGAGCGGGGAACTGGCGGGAACTGGACAGCAGAGCCGGGGCCAGGGTAAGGACGAGGAGGTGGAGGTCCAGAGAAGCCAGCGCCACCGGGGGATCTCGGGCGGGCATCCTGAGGGTAGAATCTTGGACCGGGCGGACCTCCGGGCATCATTGGCCGACCGTCAGGGCCCATGATGGGTGGGCCGCGAGAGCCTGGAGGGCCAGGGGGAGGGCGGGCGCGAGGCATCACAGGACGAGCCGAGAGACAAGACCGTGGGGCAACTCCTTGCTGGGGGCTGTTAAGGCGCATACAGAGAGCCCATCCATCGTCGTACTCATGAACCAGGCGCACAAGCGCTCCTGACCGAAGCCCAAGCTCATCCTCCATAGAGGGATTGAAATCCAGTTGCACACGGTAAACATTGTTAGGGGTCGGTGGACCAGCAGCCATGACTCCTGCTGCGCCTGCAGCTCCAGCGCCGGCAGCAACAGCCGAGGCAGCGGCAGCATCGGTTGGGATGCTCGCAGATTGGGTCGAGCCAGTGGGGGAGTGGCCGCGTGATTCGGCGGAATGGTAGCGCTCAGAATCATTGGACGCTCGAGATGAAGCAGCAGCACCTGCTGCAACACCCACGGCTGCGGCACTGACCGCGGCAGCTGCGACGGTCGATCCGGAAGGTCCAGTGGCTGACTCGGCAACCGAAGGCGCGGGCTGGGTAACAGGGGAGGTGGCTGGGTTGAAAGGATTGACAGGGTCACTGAACGGATCAGAGTGGCTCCCAGCAGACTTTGGCGGAGTAGGAGGCGGCGATTCGCCAGTGAGGTTACGAGAGACGACGGCGGCCGAGCCAGCTGCAGCACCTGCAACAGCAGCGGTGGCTGGGCTCAAACCCCCGGAGGCACCAGCGGTGGCCGGGTTCAGGGCACCGCTGCCGCTCAGATCAGGCGCGAATTGAGTGACTGGACGAACATTAAGCTGCGGGGGAGTCGAAGGAGTCTGTGGCTTGGAAGGAGGAGGAGGTGGGAAAGAAGCAGCGATTCCCTCTGGCAGGCCTTCGCCACCGTAGGTCTTCTCATTCTCCAGCTGATATCCCTCCTGACTTCTCTTCTTCTTGCGGATAAAGAAGAAAATGAGGGCAGCGATCACACCAACACCAAAGATGACACCGATGGCCACACCAGCCTTCGCACCGCCTGTCATACCCTCAGAAGTAGTAGTTCCAAGAGCAGTGGTCGACGCCGATGCGGCAGAGTCTTTGGCCGATCCGGTGGAGGTTGCCGCGAGAAGATCGTTGACATTCTGGGAAGAAGATTCCGAGGTGGACGATGCCGAAGTCACAAAGGAGGTTGTCGTGATAGAAGCCTCCGACTCACTGGTAGTGGTAGTTGCTTTCTTAGTCTCGGTAGTCTCCGCTTTAGTTTCTTGAGTGGTGCGGACCACGGTCTCCTTGGTGGTCGGTTCCTCCTTGGTGGTAGTCGGTTCGTCCTTGGTGGTAGTCGGTTCCTCCTTCGTCTTGGTTGTGGTCGCCTCATCCGTAGTTTTGGTCTCGGTTGTTTGTTCCTTGGTCCTTGTAGGCGCGCTGACAGGAGCACCGACACCAGCATGTGCTTCCGTCGCAGTGGTGTGTTGAGCACCGGTTACATAACCTCCAACCTCGCCTACAAAGTCCGGATCCATGGTCTTGTAAACAATCACGACATCGCCTCGTTCCTCGACGACTCCTCGTTCCTCTAGTTCCTCCACATTGCGTCCATGGTTGTGGTGCGCATGGCCGTGCATGTTGTCGACTCCAGTATCCCAGGATATCGTGGAGGGGTGATGAGGGTTAGGGAAGGAGGTTCAGAGCGGGTATTGCTCCTAAAGAGAGGGATAAGCCCAGATTCCAACGCGAGTGATTTCCGAGAATCGCGTCTCTTGGTCGATTCCTGCTGTGTGGAATGTGGATAGAAAGAATGGACGACTGAGATCGAGCACCGCCGATTGTCAAGTCGAGAATAAAAGAAAGGACGTCGACTTCCAGGTCGTACTAATTGAAAGAAAGGATGGAAAAGGATAAGAGGCAAAGGGCAAAGAGCAAAGAGCAAACGAAAGAGAAAAGCCTCAATACGAGAGAGCCCTGGGGTACCACGAGGAGCCGAAATGAGATCTTGGGACCCTGTGTGTATACAATAACATGCTAACCCAAATAGGCAGCGATGCTCACACTTTGCCTCGGTTTGATTGGCTGTCACACGGTGCCTGGCCCGAAGGAGTTACCAGACCCACGGCCGAGAACCCTTGCAGACCCACTCTACTTTAATTGGCCTTTTATGGGCTTTGATGGTCTTTTATGGCTTGGATGAACGGTAGATGGACTTTTCTTCCTCCACAGAGTACAGTACTATGTATAGTGTAGTTCAGCTTAAAATATCCCAGATACATCATCTAATTTACAAACACTTGGCAAAATACACGGGAAGTCAACAAATCCCATCACTCGGCACCTGCTAGACCCATTTGCCCGCCCCCCAAGCGGCACATTCGCTAAAGTGTAGCCCTGCACGCGGGCCTCGGGGGCACAGACTACTCCATGGTTGTTTCACCCTAGCACAACAGCCACATTTAATTGATCGCTCACTGAGCCCGTAATTTCCGGTGTTGCCGGAAATTCAAATTTAATCAATCCCAATTTAAATCAATAATAATGCATGGCACCCTTTGTACTCGATTGTTGCTGTCTCTCATGCAGGTCCCTCAGGGGTTACGCTGCACCTCGGAAACACATCCGTATTAATGTTTTGTTACTTACATGTAAGATACAAATGCTGTAGGCAGTGCTGGTAGATATCCATATTTGGTACTGCGTATGGTGCATAACTTACTTGATGATGCATGTGTATTTTAATAATTCAGTTCCACCCGACGCTTGTGATTCCCCGATTCACTCGTGCGGTATAACCCGAGGAGGCGCAGGGAAGTGTGGCGTAGCTCCCTTCATGCACCCATATCATACCATTATACTTCAAGTCCGAGCGAAATATGGATGGGCAAGGGCCTAAGCCTGTTGTCAGCGGGATGTTATTGTAAAATATCAGGTCAGGTCACATACCTCTCTTGCCGAGAGTCTTTTGCTGCTCTCGTAGCATAATAGGTGGCTGACTAAATCACGGCCATTCGAAGATGCACCCGGGAGGATGTCCTCCCAGGCCTGCGTGGGGAACGAGTGGAATTCCACTTTCCCCCAATCTGGTAAGACGTGGACTTCCTGTTCAATGGTTATTATCGACGCTTTCATTTGTCACAGTTGTGATGCTTACCGGCCAGCGCTGTTCATCTGGAGTACCCAGTAGTTTGAAGATGGAGAAAACCAGCGACAGATCGCTGCCCACGGGCCCAGAGTCGAAGAGCTGGTGGTGGCCGACAGCAATGGCTTCTGCCACTACACAGCCGGCAGCCCAAATGTCGAGGGATGTTCCATACTCTTTATACCCAAAGAGAATCTCTGGGGGTCGATAGCAAGTCGTACCCACGTCTGTGATTTTCTGCGTGGTTGGCTCAGATCCCGCATCGCCTTCTTTCCAGGAAACGCCAAAGTCTGCCAAGTAGGCTGGTCCGTTGGGAGAGTCCATCAGAATATTGGAAGGCTTGATGTCCCGATGAAGTATACCCATGCTGTGGAGATGGGCAATAGCACTGAACAAGTCTCGCAGAATCGATCGTGTTTGAGCAGCAGATACCATGTCTCGCCTGAGCAACTGCTCGAAATCATATCGCGTAAAAGGAAAGACCAAGACAAACCTGCCACCGTCAAGATTAAAGGTCTCAATCAATGGAATGACATGGGCGTGAGAAGCTTCGCGCAACAACCGTGCTTCACGGTGAGCATCATGCGGGGCTGTCATCATATGGGGAATAGTGACTTTCACTGCTCGAACAGTCCCATCTTCAGACTTTGATCTGTAGATGGAGGAGTGGAGACCAGCAAAGTGGTGGAAACAAGACCGATATTGACCGATCACTTCCCCGGTTAAGGTCTCTGGTTCTTCATAGTCATCCTCGACACGCTGTGGGCTGCTAGTGACCAGCTTTTTGGACCCTGCCAATTCAGCTTCATCAATTGCCTGTTGGCAGATGGAGTCATATATGTCCTATATGAAATGTTTCAGTTGAAATGCTCTTTTTTCCATTTTGTAGAAGGCGCACAAGTCACCTTTGAGGTAGCCTTGTCATACGCCTCAGTTTCAATCTGCTTAGCTTGGGCCATGGCTTCTGCAAATGCGGAGGCAGGCGAGGAAGAAGCTTGCTGGTAGGCCGTTGTGCTACACGCAAATCAGTCGAGCGCTCATGATGGCACATACGGGAAAGTCTCTTACAGAGACTGTATGGCTCGCAGCCGGTCTGTGAACCCGAAATTGTCCTTCCAGGACATTATGGACAAGAACCACTCCTAACCGAGGGAGTATGACTTGTAGCCTATTACTGCCTTGCAGTTACTATACCAGTGTATAGCCAATAATCAAAGCAAAGTAAACATAGGAAGAGGCCATTCTATCATGGAGAGAGTTGCTATCAGATGTCAACCTCAGGCAGCAAGGCGCCAACGTCAACCGCGTGGATGATGTCATGTGACCAATCAAGGGAGGGTTACGGTACTGTGACGTAAATAACAACCATTTGGCCGGTTTGATACCGCCAAGTACTGTATTAGAATAACACCCTCCGTCATTCATCCCCATTGCCGCCCTCGGCCAACATCGAATGACACGCTACCTACTGACACTGGCATTTGGTCCCTATCCCGCATTCATTTCCCTTACTTGATTGGGCTATTCTCGACGCGAGCACCGCAGGAATCTCTTGGTCTTCTCTTCCATGTTATGCGCTTCGTGCGCTACTTTGCTCAATACCTCAGTACCCCGGAATCTGAATCATGGACCTCTCACGGCAAGAGTACCCAACGCTTCTGGTAAGATTGAGCAAGACGAGCTTTATGGTTAGCAAGCAAAGCATCTAGATACTGATCATTGATGGTATTTCTTCTATTTAGGCCACCCTGCATCCTGGCCAAGCTTCAACCGTCCTGAGCGATCGCATTCGAGTCATAAACAAGGTCAATGCGGATATCGCGGATTACCTACAGGTATGACGAACTGTGATTCGATCCGATCAGATTACTGGAATGGGATCTGCAAGGAGGAGCGACATTGGTGTTGACAAATGGCGATAGGAACGACGTCGGGTTGAAGAAGCATACGCCCAAGGGTTACGGAAGCTGGCGCATCGGCCACAGTTGGACAATGGAGCTGCTCTTGGGTAAATTGGCCTTTCCCTAGAAGATTGAAGTTCTTATGCGCCCGATGATGATTCTGACCTGCGAAACTAGCATTTTCCAAATCCCCTGGCAACGCATCATCAGTGCCACCGAAACGCTCGCCGTATCGCACGAGACCCTTGCGAACAAGATCGAAGAGGATGTCGAACGACCTCTAAGAGAGTTCAACAGCAAGAATCCGGAGATGAAGTCGATGCCCGGTATCCAAAGTAATATGGCGGGGTTGGCGAAGAATGTGGAGACTGCGCAAAAGAAGGTGGACAAGGCCAGGGCGAAGGGTGCCAAAGGTGCAGACAAACTTGCTAGCGAGATCGCCAATGCCGAGGAAGTCCATCAGCAATGGGATTCACGGGCTCCCTTTGTTTACGAGCAACTTCAGGCCGCCGATGAGACCCGGCTCAACCACCTTCGGGATGTGCTAACACAATTGGAGACCCACGAGGTGGATCAAGTCGAGCGGGCTCGCCAGGCGGCTGAAAGCTGTTTAAACGTTCTTCTCAATGTGGAAACAGCAGATGAAATCAACACCTTTGCTGCTAGAATGGCGGGCCCACGGGTCCCTGTGACGCAAGCCATCCCCAGAAGACAAACTGAACCGGCAGAGACACCTTCCACAATTGAACCGGTATCTGAGCGGACACCGACTGCGCCAATCGAGCGTCAATTCTCCACGCCACCCACAACAGAGGCACCGCTTCCGCCCCCTCCACGCATCCAGGATGATGCGGCAAGCCAACGATCAGAGCCATCTGAGAGACCCGCCGTCGCTCAGACATCGCCAGGTGAGTTTTACAGCCTAGTTATAACCCCACCCTAGAGGAAACATTGAAGTTCTCACAATTTATATAGCACCAGAAGCACAGCCACGGCATACTCCCCTGGGGGGATTGAGACGTCTTGGCACTGTCATGAACAGGAGAAAGAGCGTTGTCGTACCCTCGACTGGAACTTTTGACCGAAAGGCAGAGAAGAAGCGTAGTCCCTTTGCTGCATTCAAGAGAGCTGACTCCTCTCGCGATTTGCAAATACCTGAATCTCCCCCCGCGACCGCCTCTGACCGTCCGGGGACATCCTTTACCGATCAATCATCCTTGCGGAATCCTAGTGTGTCACAAGATAGCGCCGGATTAGATACTGCCGCAGCCATGTCCGAAGTACATCCGGAGACCCCCAGGAATGGAGCTGCCCCGGAAGCTCCTGGGTTCACCAATAACCATGTCCATCAGGTAAATTACCAACCAGCAATTTAAAAATTGAAAGTGCAACAATCACTGACTAGTCTCATGTTCAGCCGCAGGTTGATTCAGAAGGCTTCACCCAGCGCCCTTCAACAATTGACGAAATCACGCGTGCCCAGAATGAAGCAGCGGGGTAGGTGACCTTGTGCCAGTGGTGATGAACGAATGCTGACAAGTATCACTACAGCCTAGATGAGTCTGGTCTTAATTTAACGATTCGAGATCAGCCCATCTTTGAGGATGAGAGCCAAGCGAAGCGGGCCATGGATGATATGGCAAATACCCTCCGAATGGTTAGTGACAGGCCTCACCACTCCTCCGACATTGTGCATAATACTTACTTTGTTATACAGCGGGCTCCGCAGACAGGAATCAGACGCAATGCAGGCACAATTCGCGGACGCCGTGATGTTCGCAATACAATGTTTATTGCTTCGCCTGGCAATGAGCTCCCGCCATCTTCGGCAGGATCGGAGTCACAGCCACCAACCTCGCCAATCAGGCATATGACCTCCCCCAGCATTGCCCCCAGCACTGCTACGGATGACCACACTATGTCAGATACTACGTCCGTTCGCTCTGGACACACTATGCATGGTCCGGGAGCTTCAGTCCATCCTGATCTCTATGAATCTGGCCTGAATGCTTCAATCATTGAGACCATCAATGCATGGTTCTCAGAGGGCAATGTCACTAAGTCCTTTGTCGTTGGTGAGCTTGCTCTAGCAAACAACCCCACACCTGGTACTGTGGTAGACCATACGCACATCCGACTCGATAACTTCCAAGTGCTGGAAAAGGTAGCGGCCAATCCCCACTTTGTCCAGGAGGTTGCCAAAGACGCTGGCGATGACAAGAGAGGCGAATACGTTATCCAACTGGGCGGCATATCCCGCCCCATGCCAACAGTCGCATTCAAGTATCAACTGCATATCGACCCAACCAACCCCTCCGCCTACTGCCCCGTGATCTTCAAGCCAGTCTGGAACCTAGAAGAATCACAGGCCAGCGCCATCATCTACTATACGCTCAACCCGGCCTTCGTCTCCCACACAGCGGAGTCAATTACCCTCAAGAACCTGGTTTTGACTATCAATTTGGACACCGCCACCGAGGATAAAATTACCAAGCAGCCCCGCGAGTCAGTCGCCCACGCCATCAGCGCCGCCATGTACCCTAATACCGGCGCCACCTTCCGTCGCAAAACCTCCACCGTCACATGGAGAATCCCCGAGCTGGAAGTCAAGGCCCCCACTACCCCAGGCGCAGACAGCAAGTTCCTCGTCCGCTTCGTGACGTCCACCCCCGGGCCTCGCAAGGGTACAGTCGAAGCAAAGTTCGAGCTCCGCGGCGCCGAATCCGCTTCTCAGCTGGGTATCAGCCGTGCTGCCTCGGACGCAGAGCAGAAGGAAGCCGACCCTTTCGCCGACGAGGGTCGTGAGTCCCCGCTGTCCGCGACTTCATGGCTGGGCGTCCCGGCTACACGCAAGCTGATTGGTGGAAAGTATGTCTCTTCCTAGATATGTCTTCAATGTTGAGCAAGGCGGGATGGAGCTTCCCGCTCCTGGTCGTATATATTCCCTTCTTCCGTGCAATCGTTTCCTGTTATTTGTCCACTGTTTGGATTATGTGTGTCAGCATAGACATCCCTACAGATAGGGCCCCAAATCGGAGCATCAGAACTTTAGGATGATGCCATTCCTTTTTTTCCCTTTGTTTTCTCCCTGCCTTCCCCTCCCCGTCGTCTCTTGTGTCCCGAGTATCTCTTTTGCAAATAGCGATTTTGTTATTTATGGATTTTGTTTCTGTCTCTTCGTTTTGGGTAATGTTTTGTGCAGTTGGGCATTTACTTCGCGTACATATGTAACTCTATGTACCATTTAAAAGCACATGGTCATTACTGGGCACTTAATTATGCTTTATAGGCATTCACATGGTCTATCCATGGATACAGACTTACTCGGTACAATATGCACTCTCCGTGATTTCCCCTTTTCGTCCCTGCTCCTCTATTCTTGGGCATTCTATAGTGAGATCGAAGGGAGGAGAGACATCCAGAATCCACACAAGGCTGTATCTCAGAAAGTTTTAGAGTGATGATCGTCAAATATTTAGAGTTAATGCCTGTCCTCATTCTAATGTTTGGGAGAACCCTTGGTCTAGGACGATAATAACGGAGCTACCAGAGAAGGGATATACGATCACAACCACTGCTCCTTATTCTCCTCGATCCAGGCTTTGAAGTCCTTCATCCCAGGGTAGAGCTGACGGCATTCGGCCACATCACCTCCATACCCTTCATGTTCAAACCAACGGAACATATCGCCCACGGTGCCCTTCAACAAAAACTTGACCGTAGAAGCCACAGGGCAAGGGGCCATGGGCATAGATGATCCCACGACAGCCTTGAACGTAACCTCGGCCTCCCTTTGTGTTAGCTCATCGCCCACCAGTGTCAGGCCAACATTGCGGTAGTCATCGGGATGCATGAAGCTGTAAGCCGCAACCCGACCAATATCCCGGGTCGACACGAACTGCAGCTTCTTGTCCCCCATTTGTTCCCACATGCGGGCGAAGCCCTTCCCATGGATATCGGTAGTGAGATTCTCGAAAAATGTAACCGGCCGCAGGATCGTGTATGTCATCTGTTGTGGGCTGGCCGCGGCCCTCTCTATCAAGTGATTTTCAATGTGGTACTTGGCAGCAAAATTCTTGACTTTGGTGGGATTGACGGGCGACTTCTCAGGGCCACCGCGGTCACCTGACGAGTAGACGAAGTGGCGCACACCATGCGCGACCGCCGCGTCGACGATTGCCTTGCCTTGCTGCTCCTCGGTGTCCGAGTTAACCTGCACGCTGTACACGCCCCATACAGGGCCGACTTTTTGGAATATGGCCTCCGGCTGGGCCGTGTCGCCATCCACGACGGACACGTTGAAATTCGAGCCAAGTTTCAGCGCGCGGGGGCTGGCGACGTCGCGCGTTACGGCGATGATGTTGAAGCCGGCCGTGTCGGGGGCGGAAAGGAGACTCTGGATGAGAGCGCCGCCTTGTTTGCCAGTGGCACCGGTGACTAGGAGGGTCTTTCGTGGGGCAGACATTCTCAAATTTGAAATGATTAAGGATGAAGAGTGTTATGAATGTTGAGGCTGGAGGCTTCGCCGCACTGAAAGGCTTATCCACTGGCTTTGGGGTCTGTGGTTGCGCTAGGCCAATAGTGGAGGAGCGCTAGAGCTAGTAGGGGTATGACTGCATTTGCTATACGAGCTGATTTTAAATATACATCTTAGACACAATCTGAGGTGGGGGCTGGAGACTGCCATCCATAGATACCACGGATGTTCATTGGATGTTAGCTATATGGCCAATGTCGAAGATCGAAGGCCTCACAGCTAAGTAACAAGAAATGTCATTTTCAGAGTGCACATGGCCAGAGAGCATGTGTCTCCCCAGACAACAAGCCTTCCATGCTGTTGACTATTTTCTGGACTGCAGTAGCACAATCCTCCACTGGCGTCCTAGTCATCTTTTGTACCAAGCTGGAAATCCGCATTTCAATAGAAAGGTAAGATATTTCTGAATGCAGGAGGTTGAAATAAGAGTTTACATCTAGAATATGATGACCTGCCTTCCGCAGTGTTGGCCCTCGGGCCCGCGTGGGTGATGGATGTTGCTCGTGTATGTCAGGCGATACTTCAGAGTAGGTAATACTCCTGGTTATGGGGCCTATATCGTCCTGTTTTTGGATTTTATATGGAGGAAGCAATGGGTGGGAAAGGAGTTGTCGACGGGGAGATCCAAATACTCAATCACATCATCGAGACTGGCCCAATCTCTCATATATTCGTCCCGCTCGGGATCGTAAATTCCTTGCTCGAGATGATGCCTTTTACGTTCCAGTCGAAGGGCTTTTTCGATGATTCCCCTGCGGGCGAATTCCCCTCGATCAAGGTCTGTTCCCTCGTCATCTGCCTCTTCTTCTTTTGTTTGCCCAAGGTAAAGACGCACATATCGATAATTGAGGATCGGCTGCCGATACAGCCCATACGGGTCTGCACCATGCTGGAGCAAGGTAGTCATAAAATGCGTAGCCTTGGCTTTATCAAGATAGCCCCAAGGGCATTTGGACTCCCCGTGTCCCAGCGAAGGGCAGGCTGTTCAGTCTTGTTGGGATTGAACATGGGAGGCTTAGCACTTTTCTCTTCACTAGCCCAGTCCTCGGAGACTCTCGAGAAAACAGAGTCTAGGTCATCAAATCGTACATTTGGGTCGACACCGGCAGCTAAAATAGACTCAATACGGTCGATTCAACCTTCCCCAACGGCCTCACATAGCTCAAGAGCAGCCACATCTCGCACTTAAGTCGCATTGTGATAAGTGCAAATAGTAGAATCGCTTGGTGTCGGCTCGTGGAAGGTGTGTCGGCGGCATTGAAGGGAGGTTACGCGACGGCGTATTGGGGCGCTAAACCCTGGAAGGCAAAACACCTAAATAGGCAATTCACAGGGCCGCCGTTTACAAGTTAGATGTCTCCTGTGCTATCTCGATCTTTGCCAAGTAATGTTCTATCGGGTTAGTATAAATCATAGTTGTGAAGTCGGCCACGTACTTGCGGCCACCCATCTCATGCCCAGATAGCCCAGTAGGGCTTTCAAGGGTCGGATCAATGGCTCCGAATCGGCACTACCAGACACCCTCGCATCGCCAAGACACACCATAGCGGCCTTGTATAGACAATGGGGGAGAAACACGGACAAAGTCGTCATCTCAATCGAGGCTTCCCCTCCGCGAGAAATCTCATGGACGAAGGACTTGAGTATATTGAGTGATGTATGGATACAATACTCATTGTCGGGGATATTCATGTGAGATCCAACCTCGAGGGTTTCGAGCATGGCACTAGTTAGAAGCGTTGAGATTAGTCAGTTAGTTCTGAACTTCCGATGGGCAGCGTTACCTTCGACATAGTGCCAATGCACTATCCGATAGAGGGTGCGGGTTGGAATCACCGCTTTGGAAGGTCACCAGAAACGACGTTAGGGATTTGAGGATCTGAACTCCCTCGACGCCACTAAAAAGGGAACGCGATTGGGTCGCATGGACATGAACCAGCACCTGGTCTAAGAGCTGGGATGCGTGGGCTAACTTGGTGAATGAATCCATTTCCAACTTCGCCCAATCTTCAGAGTCCTATGATCAGAGTTATAATCAGATGAAGTTAGGGCTTCGCAATCAGTTGGTCAGTCACATACCTTGTTGCCCCCCACCGCATCTATGGATCGTCCTCTGTAAGTACTGGGTGGTTGGCCATTTTCCAGCGAGACATATCTACCACAGGCTCTTGATTCAGTATGAATACGATCTGATGTGCATGCTCAGGGGCTAGATCTGACCTGTCAGTGACGGCGATGCCGCGCCAGGTTTGTCGTGCTTCCTCGGCTTTCTGTGGGTCCCGGAAAACCTTGCACAGGTCCTCGTAAGTAGCACTAATCCCCAGGGAGACTGCGGCGCATATGTTGGCTGCACTAGATATGTATGCGGAGGGATACATGGCATGGCCGATTTCGAAGATCGTCAGGAGAAGTCGACATTGTAGCATTTCCAACGAATTCATCCCCATCGCCTCGAGAAGGGCTACAAAGCTCTTGAGCGAAGCATGCATCGATCGGGTCGAGAGAGGAAGCTCTCCTCCCACGGGCTCCTTACAGACGAGGGCCATACAGAGGATCAAGAGGCTTAAGTCGGATGGGGCAGTGGCCGTCTGGACGCGTAAGTGTGATAGCCGGCTACTATAACAGGTCTCCGACACTACAGGGAACCAGGTATGTATAGTTCGGAAATAAAAGGCTGCGGCGGCTTGCAGCTGCAGTCCATCGCCCACAATTAATGAGACCTGAGCATCGAGTGTATGACGCAGGTTGGAGGGGGTCAAGTCAGCCCAATCTAGCACGGGCAGCAGACGAGGTGCTTGAGTTGGAAGGATATAATCACAAAGCTTATTCAATCTAGATTAATTAGCATTCATCTCCTACCTATAGCCCGAGGCCACGACGTACCTTTTACAAAGGGTACAGCAGGGAAGAATCTTGTCACATTTCCGTTTCTGTCTCCGACAGCGAAGGCACGCCTGATCCGCCGACATGGTTGCGGGTGCGGGTGCGGAGGCTAACCCCTTAAATACTCTGCGGTGGTGATCTCCGGGGCTGTCCGTGGCTTCCAAGGTTTCCGAAGGTTCCAAGGTTTCTGTATCAAGCCCAATCTGGTTTAGATCCCGCGCCCGCATCCGCACCCGCATATCAGAATCATCCATGGATGATCTATGGAGGCACGTTGATGTTGGTATTTATATATTATCTAGGTCTCCCTCACATGCTGTAAAGGTAGTTTTTCGACTGTCTCCAATTCATCGTCTTTTCACAGCAATGGAGGTGATTCGAAACGTTGCCATTGCAGGGGTATGTCGAGTAATCACTACCCTGTTGTAATCAGGACTTACAAATCATGTTTAGGCTTCCGGGTCCTTGGGCTCCCCTATTTTTCATGCACTTCTCCAGAGTGAACTCTTTAACGTGACTGTTCTAGCACGCCTGTCGTCCCAAGCACACTTCCCCGCCTCTGTCACGGTACTCCGCGTGGATTACGCCTCGGTCTCAGACTTGACAGCAGCTCTGACCGGTCAGGATGCCGTGGTCTCGGTCCTGACAACTAGTGCCATGGAGACACAGATCCCGCTGATTGAAGCCGCAGTGAAAGCTGGAGTGAGGAGGTTCCTTCCTTCCGAGTTCTGTGCGAATATCGGCAATCCCAAGGCGGCCAGTTTGCCTGTCTACCACCGGAAGCTCGCGATACATGAGGTCATCCAGCAACAGGCTCGGGACCATCCCCATTTTACATACACTTTAATTCGCAACGGGCCTTTCCTCGACTGGAGCCTAGCCTATGGTTTCTTTTTCAATCTCAAGGGAGGATCGACACCCTTTTATGACGGCGGGGACCGTCCGTTTAGTACAACCACCTTGGCGACGATTGGGTGGGCTGTGGTGGAGGTCCTGCGTCACTTGGAGGAGACGCGGAACAGAGCGGTATTTGTTCAAGACGTTGTCATGACCCAGCGAAAGTTGCTGGCCATTGCCCAGAAGGTTGCACCGGAACGCAAATGGACCCCGACAGATGTGACCACCGCCGACATGGAGACCATGGCGCGGGATAAATACGCGAACGGGACGATGGATCTGGCAGCCTCAATAGGATTCTTTTGCCGCTCGGTCTTTGGGGAAGGATACGGGGGAGAGTTCCAGGAGGTGGACAATAAACTACTCGGCATATCATTGAAGACGGATGCTGATATGGAGGAATTAATGCGGGGAGTTCTTTCCGATGACCACTAGTGCTAGGCATCCGTGTAAGTCGTGCATACTAAGGGATTCCAAGGTTGTACTACCTAGGTACATAGGCATTCATTATTACGATTATTATTTCTACAACAGCCGCTCCTTCCCAAAACGCCCTCCAGTGGGAAACGAGTGACACCCCCACCATCGACCTCGAGAGTCAGCTCCAAACACGTCTTTCATAACATTTCAAAGATGAAGGCGCGCTGCGAGCCCGGCGGTTGGCCAAATAGTATTATGGCAAACTACATGCGATGCCCTCATTCATACAAAGAACGAGGGGAAAGATATATGCAGCGTTGGATTAAGTACTGCATAAACAAATGGCGGATCATCAATGACAAGAACATACAACATAGCACAAATCAAAAGGTGCCGGGGAATCACAGAAATACAGATATGGAGATGGTAAGGAAAAGCTTTGGCGAATATGATACTGATCCGACATATCACATCCTAGCAGCGCGGGTGGTCTTATCATAGAAGTCCAAGGTCATGGCTGCCAGGAAACATGGAATATCCTTTCTTTCTTCAACCCAAAATTTGATTAGGGGTTTAAGCTCCATGGCGAATAGACTGTTCGGACCGCCCGATATCTTCATGGTGCCGTTCTCGCCGTCGAAAACGATGGAGTTTTCTTCACCATTTCCCATGCTGCCGGGACCAGAGTCAGAAGGTGCATCGCAGTCGCCGTGCCGGTATGCGGAGGAGAGGTGGAACATTGAAGTGACACGCACTCGACCATTCGGCAAGAAGTCAAGCTTAAATCCGAGCAGAGAGGCGACGGCTTCCCGGAACTCCGAGGACTTAGCTGTCCAGATCTCCTTCAGTCGGCGCATACGCTTTTCTTTATCAGCGACGGTGCGCTCCATGTCCTGCATTTCAAGCTTGATGCTCTCCACGGTGCTGACCGGGACAACTTTGACATCGGTACGGCCTCCGCGGAGCTGCGCCATGAGGTCTCTGTTTGCAGACTGGAGAGTTGCAAGAGTAGTCATCTTAATTTGCTCGGTTTGGGCTGTCGGATTATCGCGCAGTTCAAGAACGCGTGTTCGTGACTTGGCCTTCAAAGACTTGATCTGTGACTTGGCCGCATCCAGTTCTCGGAGAGCGAGAGTCGTGGCCTGGTCTGATTTGGTGAGATGTTCCTGGAGCTTGCGGTTCTTGCGGCTAAGCACAGCGAGGCGTTCGCTTTCGGCTTCGTTATTGGTCGGAGAAAGAGGTCGTTTGACGCCTCTTGCCTCTTCTTTGGGTGCTTCCTGCTTGGAGAGCTCTTCATGAACTTTGTGGAGCTCACCGCGGTATTCATCGACGAGTTGTTGCAGCTGGGTTATTTGCTCGGATTTTTGTCCATCAAACTGTGACTGATCTTCGTTCATTGTGGCCTCTTCCGCATCAAATGTCTTGAGTTGGGCGCGCAAGTATTCAACTTCTTTCACTGCAAGCGCACGCTGGCGCTCCAGTCGAGCTCGAAGTCGGCCCTCCGCGGCACCCGGTCCTCCTGCAGAAGCGGCGGTCGCAACGCGGAGTTTCTCCAACTCCTGCTGCAGATTATTTTTATCACTTTCGAGGCTCTTGATAGCCTCATCCTTCTCAAGGAATTGGGCATCAACCGTTCCGAGACGATCAAGAAGCGTGGCGATCTCAATTCGTCCTTGAACTACGGCCCTCACGATGGCATCTGGTGAGTCAAACTCTGCAGGCTGATCGTTTTCCTGCAAGAGACTGACCCAAGATTGTCGCTCATCTTCCAAGATCTGCTTTTGAATCTGAACTGTGTTGAGTTCGGCTTCAAAGCCCTTCATCAACTGGAGCTGGTTCTCCACTGATCTCTTTTGTTCTTCGACGACTTCAACATTCTTCGAGACTTTTCGAAGGTGACGCAGTTCCGTTGTTTGATCACGGTTTGTTGCCTCCAATTCCCGAATATGATTGACCTGCTCGGAAAGTTCTCTCTTTAATACAGCCAAAGCCTCGGCATCGTTTCCTTCGGCCTTCAGTCGAATGTTCTCCGCTTCGAGCTCAGCGACCTCAGCTTCACGCTGGGATAATTTCTCCTGCGTTGATTCCTGCGATGTCCTGGCGTTTTGGATATCGTTCTGGAATTCTTCGATGGTCTTTTGTAGAGAAGCGCGGACAGTCTCTAACTCGTTGATCTGGTATTTAAATTGCCGTTCCTGGTCCGAAAGTCGAGCTTGTGTGTCGTCAAACTCTTCCTGCAAGTTCTGATTTTCGTCCTGAAGGCCTCTGATTTTGCGCTCAAACCCAAGTTTGTCATTCAAAGCCTGATCTTGAATTTCTTTCAATTCTTTTGCGAGTTCATCGCTCTTATGGGTGGCCCGATTACTCGAAGACTCGGCAGCCTGCAGTAACTTTTGTCAGTTTGACCTTGTGAAAACGAGAATTTTGTAGCGCCTCACCTGGGCCTTTCGAAAATCTGCATCCGCTTTCAGCTGTAACTCGCGGGTCTCTTTTTCATGGCGAAGAGCCTCCAACTCTCGTTCCTGCTTGATATTCTCGAGCTCGTATTTGAGAGTACTCAATTGCACGCGTAGCTCGTCTTTTTCCGCATCTAGACGAACCAGTCAGTTCTCCGTCGCAGGCCTCTCGAGTCAGTCCGAGCAGGGTATCGTCTTACCATGAATAGGTTGATGGGACTGGGCTTGAGATTGTGTGAAACGGCCAGATTGTCGCATAGCAGTCGATCGGCGCATGGTACTCCGTGAACCGGAGGGTGTTGAAGGTGAGCCGAATCCAGCAACGAGCTGGGAAGCTGGTCGGTTGTTCTCGCTGTGGTCCATCTATTAAAAGCCAGGGGAGGTCAGTTGTTGCGCAAAAATAACATGGAGACCCATTAAAGCTCACAGTGAGGTTCAGGCTATCGTAAGCCCCACGGAATTCCTGTCTAATGGGGCATGAGGCAAGAAGCACTGCGCAACTTGTCCTTCAGCTGTATCAAAGGGAAGATGGTTAAAGGCGGGCGCCGCCTTGTTTAGGATTATGTCAGCAGTGAAATGCGCCCTAAAAGGGGTTAGCGCCAATTTAAAAATTATTTCGATTTCGGCATTGAATTCTCAGTTCACCACCCTCACCCGTGACTCGTCTCCATTCACCTCGGTCTCTCGCTCGATTTTACTCAATTTCTTCCGCTTAATACCCCACAACCGTCACTATGGGCAAGGATAAGGTCGAGAAGAAGGACCGCGCTGAGAAGAAGGAGAAGCGTGCGGAGAAGGACGGTGTGCACAAGGTCAAGAAGGAGAAGAAAGAGAAGAAGGATAAGACTGCTCTTGTCGATGCAGTAGAGCAGGAGATTGTCTCTGAGGCCATGGAGGGTCTCGAGCAGACCGGCGCTGTCGCTGTCAAGGGCGAGGGTGAGGTCGACGCCGTTGTCGACCGCCCCGTCGGCGCCCTCGTGCCGTTCGCCAACCCATTGGTTGAGGACAAGCAGGCCAAGAAGGTCCTGAAGAGCGTCAAGAAAGGTACGTGCATTGTCTTTTTCAAATTTTTACTTGCCTCTTTTACTATCAGTGCGCATGGTCGATTTTCATCGGATGTTCGGATCGCCCATGTCTACTGATCGCATGGTTGCGCAACTTTTTTTTCTTATCTCCAGATCGTCCATACTAACATTTATTTTTTCTAGCTGCCGTCAACAAGTCCCTGAAGCGTGGTGTCAAGGAGGTCGTCAAGGCTCTCCGCAAGTCTCCCATCCCCGCCGCCAACGCTGCCATCGGTGTCCCCAGCGGTGTTGTCGTTCTCGCTGCCGATATCTCCCCCATGGACGTTATCTCCCACATTCCCGTCCTGTGCGAGGACCACGGCATTCCCTACGTCTTTGTCACCTCCCGTGCTGAGCTCGGTGCTTCCGCTGCCACCAAGCGCCCTACCAGTGTGGTCATGGTTACCCCCAAGGCTGCCAAGGGCAAGAAGGAGGATGATGAGGAGTTCACCAAGGTGTTCGAGGAGCTTGCTGGCTTGACCCAGAAGGAGCTCAAGAAGCTGACAGTCTAAAAATGTTCTCGACTTGTCTCTTTTACCTTTTGTTATTTGCTCTTCCCACGCTGTTCACTGCGAGTGGGTTCTCTGGTTGTACAGGTTTCTGATACCGTCTGTTCAGACGGTGCATGTCTTATGGGGTCCGGCCTATGGGTATCTTTCTATATTTGCTCTTTTGTTCCAACTCGGCGTTATTTCAATGGTGTACGAAAAAGGCAACAATTCCAATGAGATATCAGCAACCTCATAGACTGTCGGTTCTAAGTAAGGTCTCGGTTAATTTTAATGGACATCCCATGCAAATCCCAGCCATTGCACTACCCCACAGGTAGTGTGACACCTGCGTAGACCACGTTGCGCCTGATTGCTGTAGGAGGTGATATTCTCGAAAAGTTTGACGGTATAATCCCTGTGTGATAGAACAACGGGTCGCACATGAAATTGGTCTCGAGCTCCTTCAATATTCGATCGTGCCCTCAGGCCAAGGAAGTCAATTCTAAATTCGGATGTAATCAGTCACACAACGTAGCGGACTCAAGTATTGTAGATCCCAGATGGGGTAAACACGGCGATGAATGTCATACACATAGTGTGAAGAGCCAAGCCCTGGGCAATTAACCTTGCATCATAAACCTATGCCCCTCGACCTTGATGTTAAACAAGGGATGAAGTGCATACCCCAAGCGCAGCAGATATCAATCTCAGCCAATCACCATGCATAGTGCCCTGGATAAATCCAATCCTAAGCTCACAGATCTTCTAGCGCTAGCCTAGATTCAGGAACATATTTGATATTGGGCACCAGATCTGAGAATTGGGGGGTTCCCTTTGTCCTACGCAGCTTCTTCCTTGTGTTCAAGGCACGGCCTTTGCGGTTGATCTCTCCTTGTCCTTGAAAAGTGATATGAGGAACTGAATGCCCTCATTCTGCGTCGGGCAATTCATTCATTCTGCATATACTGGGCCAACATATTAGCCAATTCCCTCTTCATATCCCTCAAAATGCACATCAACCGCCCCTCCATTTTAACACTCGCACTCATTTTGGCGGTTACTCAATCAACTACATCCCAACCTATCCGAACTAGCAAATGGGTCAAGACAGAACAATTCCAAGACCCCAATGACCGCGGAATATGGAAGGTCTTTGAGAAAGAAGGATATGATCTATTACCTGACCCACCGCACGTCAAATACAACGTAAGTACTAAATCCTAAATATATTGTCGACTCGGCGACTTACCTATATCCACCTATGTTGTATGTACTTGATTTCCTCTGCCACTTCTTGGCGTGCCCTTTCCGTATTAGTGCTCACCTAATGCCCTTCAAATACCGGGTAAGCAAAGCAGCGTTAGCGGAGAGGATGAGCCGGTCTATTTTTATCAGGCTCGGGTGCACCCGTGGATATCTTATGATACCAAGTGTTATTCGGGTAGTATTGATATTTTGTTGCTTGCATATAGATATTTTGCATATAGATATAGTGTCGGTGTCTATTTTCATGTCTTATTCTTTAGTTAATCAAAGCTTTGTGAACATGTGCGTAGGAATGCCCATCGATATTTAGAAGCCTTAGCATTCCAAATTCGGGAGAGCAATAATAATAATAGAGAAAACAAAAAAAGATAACATACCACCACAGTGAGGAACTGTGCGAAAGACTGAGAAAACAAAAAAACAAAAAAAAAAAAACAAAAACATATAACAGTGTAAGTATGACCGTGGTCGGCTCGCCGCTCTATTCAGGGCACTGAGGGCGGATATTCACCCACCTGAATATTCAGCCCGTATAGCAAGAGGTACATTTCCCACTTCTGACCGAAAATGCTATAAGTAACCTTCTTTTCCCTTCTGCTTTCGCCTCTCAAGCCTCGCTTTATCACGAGCAAGATGCGTACCAAGCGTGACCCAATGTTGAAGTATATGGCTAATATTGTGGATTTCGGGGAATATAGTAACAATGAAATCCAACTGATAGTGCTACCGCGAACAGAATCCCTAACTCCCACCCTAGTTTCATTAAGTCTTCCTAAAATATTTCATCCTACCTGTTACCAGCCAGTTCTTTCAGCAAGAGTGCATTCCAACTAGAATACTAAGTACAGGGAGTAGAAGAGAAAGAAAGAAAGGATTGGTTGGAGCAAGGTCCTTTGTGGGGCCTTGATGCAAACCATGCAAACACAAGTTGAAGGTTTTCCTCCAACTTCCTTCAACTTGCTCAACTCGGCAGACGGTCAGTAACGGCAGAACTAAAGTTGTCATGTCTAGATCGTGACACTACCCTCCCTATAAGTCGTATAACGTATTTCACATGCGAGCCGCCACCACAAGCGAGCCGCCATCTCCAAAACACATAGTAAATGCGATAGATTACAACTTGATATCTCAACAACGGTGGTCTATACTAGCTTTTCCTATTAATTCCACGGTTTTTATATGATATCTAGCTACTTTAGGGAGTTTCAAAGAATTTGATCTTCTAGTAACTGACATATATATATTCCTGGAGCCCAGCGACGTAATTTTCAATACGACAACAATGTAAGCTTTCGATTTCGTTAAAATTACTATATGTTACTGAAAATGCTTATCAATACCTATCTACCTATAGCGGGAATTAAATTAAGTTGTTGTGGTTGAAACATGAAGCTATAATTTGTCGCATTTACTATGTGTTTTGGAGATGGCGGCTCGCTTGTGGTGGCGGCTCGCATGTGAAATACTGTTATGCGGTCAATAGTTCGGTGAGTGTCGCCTGGGTGAGAAATGGGTGAGCGCCGCTCTACGGTCGCGCGACCAGGGTGATAAGGGTGAGTGTGCTGTAGACAAGGTGAGAAGCTGGCTGAGAAGCGGGTGAGAATCACTCTAGGGAGCGTGACGCCCGCACTAACTTCCTCAAGTGACACAGAGCGCGATATGATTGGATTACAAGTTGAACCTGAAATGCTTCGACTCTTAGCATCTGCACACAACCCTAAAATGAAATATATCTTCAGTTAAATTCGTTGTTGTGGCTTTATTGCCCTTACAGACTCCCTACAGCCCTTCTGATATGTCCATGCCATCCTAGTCCAAATAGCACATATTAATCAAACTAATCAAATAAGCGAAACACACACTTGTAGTCCGAGCTTATCTTTATTGTCTTAAGGTGTATGTTGATTGGTTCCAAGTTGTAACGGGCCAAGGCCATATTGATGCCCGGCGGGCTCTGCCCGTGCAGGCATCGCACCCAATACTGCCGCCAAGACCGTGTAGCCTTACCGCCCTAGAGGATACTATATACTATAGTTGACCGCCCCTTTGTTTACAGTTCCTTAAGATTTAGATAAACAGCATGAGACACCACCCAATTGAATCAATTCAGTCGTAGCCCTTCACAATCCTCACAGCAAGTGGCATAAGGGGGGAATTATAAACGAACTGTGTCCATAACGTGTGGGGTTGGATATTTAGGGTCGACGAGGCACTCAACGAAACCGCCGCGAAACTCAAGATCTCGTGATGATCGCAACGAGGCCCAACGAGGCCCCAGGAGGCGCTTATCGGAGGGTTTACAACCACGTACACAGAGCCAGCGAGCATGTGGAATATACAGGCTTCTAGGATATAGAAGAGAGACATGCCCAAAGAGAGATATTAGCTCGTTAAATTAATTTAATGGCGTTTTGGTTGAGATATATGCATTTAATTTCAATAGGCTGGCTTGCATGGCCAGTTCGCTTACCGGATACGTTAGTTATCAAGTTTTGGTTGCAAGTATGCAAACCCTACAAAGCGCTCTGGGCATCCAAGCAACTCGTTGTATCCGCCATAAATGCTAGCCCTCGTCGGCTACCGAACCAGTCTGTCCCCTGGCTAAGCTTCCCGTATAATTTCAGCTGGCCTTCAATATATTCTGACAACAAAAATTCCAGCCCATCTCCTTTATCCACCTGGACCGACTACTCAGCACAACTCTCGGGGCTCTACAGGTCCCTCTACAGTTATATTGAAAGATTCGGAGATCTGACAGTATCGACAGAATCCGCCCTCTTTCATGCACCGTCCCCCTTATCCATGACCACTTAAACAACGGAACGCCTTGCTATCGCAAACCAGAACCGTCCTACAACGACACAAAGTCTGCGTGCGCTTGGTTTATGAAGTGGCCATATGGGCCCAGATCCATGGAATCGTTGTCAATGTGGCGAAGAAGCAACCGACATTCCATGCTGTGCCCCAATCATAGAATGTAAACTTAGCAGCAACCACTATGATAACAATATAGTCACTGTCAAAGACAAGATCATGGGCTGTGTACTAATCCTCCAGCCTTCGCTGATAATTATTCCACGGAATCGGAGCTCTCTTAGTTCCGAGCAGTGCCATTCATTCAATTTCCCCAGGACATCCCTATCATTTATTAATTAGTGTTCCATTCGCTATAAGTGCTTGACTATAACCATTACATATCACTTACGCGTGGCTGTGCACTATCCCTTCTCCTTTGAGGAAGTCATTCAACGCAGCGAGGTTGGGATTGGAGAAAATAAGTTTCATCAGAGGGCGGGTATTGAGAAGAGAAAGACCCCGCTCCGCATTGAAGAATCTTTCATCTGGACATTGCACATGATCTAGGATCATTGACACACAGCTTTCCAGGCAGTGGACCCTTCCTGTGTATAGATTGTATGAGCATTGAAACTCTTGTGGCTCATAATTATCTATGATGTGTTCCAGTCGTTTCCTTTCAGCGTGGGTGTCAATTATCGTATACATCCCAATGTATTCAGCCTTACTTCTCGATGTTTTTGGGTTTTCTCCAACAATCGAAAGCTTGGGAAATATGTCAGTGCTAGTAAAAAGAAATCGTTCATGTGCGATGCGAATACAGACCTCGACTATGCTAACTTGCGTGATATCATAGAAAGGCAAATGTTTCCTCCATTGGCCTCTGTGTGCATACCATGCCTGGTGTATTTCTCTCCACGTGGTGACTTCATCTACATGATCAGAGACCGCAACCGGCAAAATCGAACAATTGTATCTTTCACCCCAGCAAAGTAAGACGGAAGCATTTGTACCATCTTCAAGCAATGGCCAAAGCCTTTCCGTTAATATCTTTTTGCGGTTTATATGTGTGACTTCACGGGCATCTGAAAAGGCAAACTCCGATTTAGAGGCAGAACTTGACTTCATATCCTTGCTTTCGTTTCACTTGCAGCATTTAGTTCGTGGTCACTATTATTCGAGAGCTGTGGCCGCCCAAACCGACTTTTTGGTGAACTTGCGGTCAGACGCCTAGGCGGGATATTCTCTGCGGAGGGTGGACTACCGAATTGAGCATAGTTGAAGGCTAATTTTGGATATTCCAGAATGAGGAATGACAAGAGTCGGGTCAACCTCAATTCGGATGGGGTATGCTGCTCCTGTCCAGTATAAGTTGAATCGGAGTCCGGTGCTGGCCTTTGGGATTCGTGGTCCTCAATCCGCCTCGGCCTCAGTCGAGCTCGTTGTGGTTGGCTAAGATAACTCATTTTTGTGAGTTGGAAGATGTCAGATGGGGTGGAGAGCTTGAGGGCGTTGGAGATCCTTATACCTTTCCAATGAGGGACAGCTGTGAGGCAAATTGGAGGCGTATCGCAATGACCCAATTCATGCATGAGCTCACCAGGCCCATACACCTAATTGGCTAGACTTTCGCCTCATCAGTGGGTAGAGGCCTTTTATTTATTGTGACTGGCCGGAGATGCGGGGTAGTTGTCCTACCTCGCTTCATTTTTGGGTTGGAGGGGCTTTGAGTCATATTTTAGTGCGATGTAAAATGCAGCGTTGTTCCAGATGTCTTGAGGTGATAAAGGCTGTGCCGGCTAGTCCTATATGTCTTCATCGCCTATATCTAGAGCTGATTGGCCTCCTCCCACCACCCCTAGTTCCGGTACGTCGCCGCTACGTCGTCGTTAGCGTGTTGGGCGACTGTACCGAGCTCCTTTATCTCCTACAATGGAAATGTGGGGCGACAAAAGACGACAGCGGCCAGAATAAGCGAACGCCTCTCTCCTGGAATGCGGAATACGGCGCATGGCATGTTGTAAACATGTTGCTGGAGAACGGAGCTAAAATTAGGTCTGTGGATGATATATACACAACACCATTATCACGGCAGGTACAAGCCTGGAGCTAGAACGCCTGAGAAGGGCTTCCTTACGCTAGCCGATGATGACAATGCCGACGTCCCATGCGTAACGTAAGTTGGTGGATCTAACAAAATGAAATGTAAGCAAGACGTACCTCAGTCATCTGCATGCTTCGACTGACCAGCCAATTTGTCCTTCTTCCTAGGTGTTCCTTCGGTAGAATATTAGTAGCCCGATTCAAGCTCAAGGTTTTAAACGGGTTTCTTATTACACCACTTTTAAAGTTCAATACTCTTGATAAGTGAGTGGTTATAGCAGATTGATGACTCCCTGCGTGATATTTAATCCTCCAACGCCCCGCCCTGGTGCCCTGGGCACACTCAGATTTATTTTGTAAAATGGAATAGAAGAAATAAGTAAATCAAAACAATTATATACTCCTGGAAGCATTTCAGTAAGCAACAGAACTCAAACTCTGTCCAAATCGCATATGGGCTATTGCAGGAGAGAACTTACCCAACTTGCTGCCCAATCGCAACTTAATCCCAGGTACCGGAGACAAGGTTGACGGGTATTGGAACTACAACCAGCATGATGGGTGCACACCCGATTTTTGCGAACACTGTCAACGTGATTCCACAGCGGCTCAACAATGTCACAAGTGTAAAAAAAGACCCGATGCATGCGACTTCGATTTATATTTCCGAGAGGTAAACTGGAGGAAGCTGCACGCAATGGAAAGCCAACTGTGTGGAATCTGGCCGGGTCCACTAAGTTGAAATTCATGTCGTCTCCGACCACTTCACGAAGCCACTCAGGAGATCCATCAGCAAGTCCGGCAGGGAAAAGATTGTACCAAAAGCTTTCTATTGAAGTAGGGTAACAATTTCACTAGCCTTGCTGCATCCAAATCCTCTCCCTCTAGACGAGCGTATGATAAATCCCAGGTTGTGTAGAGTGTGCGCTCCTGATACTCCTGAAGACTGGTGGGGCGGCGGGAGCCAGCATTCCAACGTTTGTCATATTCCTGAAGGTAGCGCTTGAAAGTCAAGATACTTCGCTGAAGATATGTCCCTACGGTGGCTAAAGCTAGAGGAAGACCCTCAAGTCATGTTGCGAGGCGGTTTGCGCAAGGATCTAATGGTAGACTGAAAGATGCTACCCACACTCTATACCACAGCCTCAATGTACCATAACAAGAAATCGAATACTTTCTCAATACTGATATTGCCCTGGTAAAACTTTCGATTCGCATCGTTCTTTAGCAGCACTGCTGAAATTGTAACAGGCCGCTTCTAACAAAGTACGAAGTCCAGTCCAGCAATTGCACAACACTGAATACAGCAATCAAGACAGGCATCCCCGCGTATAACTCCATTTTTACCAGCTCCCAGTGTGAAAAAGCGAATAGCGCTATTCTGCGCACATGGGACCACACCAATGAGCTTTTCTGACTCAGAGTAGGGAACCGGTTGCTTAGGGGTAGTTATGCGCAGATCAGAAGTGGTCCTTATCACTTTCGAGCTGTGATCATGTATGCAGTTGACGAACAAGGACCCTAAAGCACCAATAATTGAGGCAGAGGGGCATCTTTGGGACACTTCGGGTATACTAGGACACCATATACCGACTGTTAGATACTTGTCTCCCTTGGAGACTTGCCAAGATATCTTATAATCAGAATAAATATCGACAGGGGCATTGATCTCGCAGTTGGTGGTCTCTGACCCTCGTCTATCCGACCTTGCGGTAAAAAGTGGAGCTTCCTCCATCCTGTGTTTCGGGCCTCGCGCATAATCATATAGCTCACCCTCCCACATTAATGCTCCAGGAACACACGTCATAGACAGAATGCCTTTTCCTTCAATGCTCATAGTTCCGAACAGCCGAGGGTAAACTGCTTGCCCACGAAAAGAAGACATGAGCCAGATATCTTCTAGATCATAAAGCTCGTGACCAAGTAGCTGGAATAACGCTTGAAGCAGTGTCGGTCGGCTATAGCCCACCTTCGTATCCCCTCGTAGGATTTTCCTAATCGGGTCGATGAATTCTTGTGCGTCAAAGCCTCCCCAAGGAATGCCCGATAATAAACTCCCAAACCAGCGATACCCGCCAAAATACAGCCAGGGTCCTTCGGGGTCTGAGCTCTCTAAAAGAGACAGCAACAAAACCACAAGGGTACATATGGCAATTTTGTCAATGAATTCATCAAATTTGCACAGAGTTTGAGCTGAAGGAATATGGCTGCATTTGACACATTCACAGTCCTGACATTGGACATCTTTGAATGCTGCCACAAGCCGAAGATTCTCGATAAGGAATCCATCCAATTGTTTCGGTAATTGGATAGGAGATTCTGTTCCAAGGAAAGCCACAATAGTAGATGCAACCGTCCTATCAGAAGGAAAAGCACTGCCCCATGTGGCCGTGCAATTGCTGAAGCCAGGGTCCGATTTTTGCTTTCCATCCACATGGTCCCAGCGCTCACAAACCTGGAGAAAATTGAGTACCAAGGCACATCCATAAGGCAGGGCCTCACTAAATGCGCGGAAGGAAAGAGTTTTCCTATGGCCGAAAAGATCAAGCGTGAGTCTTTCTGCGAAGACGCGCATGGGTACCATGCCCCTGACGGTTTCATGTGATCCGGGGAGATCTTTCGTAAGAACACGAATGCTCTTAATATCTTCCAATGTGGTGATCTCAAATCCAGCTTGTTGTACAAGGCTGGAACTCAAAAGCAAACGTATAGTGATAACTGACATCGGTTCAATATGAATGCAGGTATCATTTTCAATGATTACCGAAGGCGCTAATCCAATAGACCATTCTATGAAAGCGATGATCCACGCAGCTTGATCAACAGGCGCCTTGATTTGTAAGCCTTTTGCTTGGCCCACACGAGAAATGTCTGAAAGTGCCTTCACAAGCTCCACAAGAAGCTCTTGAGATGGAGATGCTGAAGTAAAAGAAGGTGCCACATCAATTACTAGGCTTATATTTGAGCTCCATCCCAAAATCTTTTCAACAAAACCAGATTGGCTCAGTTTGTATTCCAAACTTTTCAAGAGAACCTTGAGCTGATAAGACGTAGGAACAAGTCTCAGATCTTCAGCTGTCTCTCGGAGGAGACGGTTCAGGGCTTCAGAGGCAACCCAGTAGTCGACACTTAGCAATGCAGCAGCCAAGCCAAGAAAGCGAGTTCCAGCATCTGTCTGAGTGAGTTGCCAACCGCAATCACCTTTCTTGAAACCAATCTGTGCTTTTAGAAAATTTAACACAGCTGACTCGTGGCTTCGAATACAGAGCTTGTTGACTTTTACACATGTCTCTGGCGCCATTGCAATTATTGTGCCAAATGCCTCACAAGCAAGAATTGCTATGGGTTGTACATTGTCGGTAGTTGCGGCAGCCAATACTCCTATCCCAACAGGTACAGAGTCAGCAACTGTCTGACTCAGGGTCCATGTTGTTGAAATGGAAGTCATGTCGCGATGTGGGCAACGGCTTGACGCTCCTCGTGGGGTGGACAGATGTTAGTTGGTCCGAGGAGTAAACAAATTTGGCTTCACTTGACTTGGGTGACAAGCTGCAGAAGAATTTTTGAGGGCACAATAACTTCAAGCCCTAATAATGAGATGGCATCAAAATACAAAAGTAACGGCCAAAAAAAGGGAAGCTGTGATGATGTTGGAAAATTTGAGGTGACGTTTGGCAATACTCGGCCCAGCGCACCCAACACCCACTTGCGGGGTAACGTTCTGCATAAGCAATTGGGCCTCTTAATCCTACCTAATGAACTGAGGGCGCCAATAAATAGCTACTATGGGCCCTAGAGACAGGGATATTCAGCGTCCGGCCGTTCGTTCCTCTCGTAATCCACAAGAGAATGATGCACACCGCCAGAAAACGTGCGTACTCTCCTTCAACCACCCACCATGCCAGTGGGCCACCAGAACGCAATCCCTCCATAATCTGTTGAACAAGAGGGTAGGATCTCACTGTAAAGGATGACTTGGTCCTTGGTGCCTGATGGCCTTAGTGCCTCGCTGCCTAGTTAACTAATGAATTGAATGTTGCGTGATGTTTGTCTATGCATGATCAATCACATATGCATGATCAATCACATATGCATAGGGTATCAGGTTTCCATACTGGATCGGCACCAATACGTCACTCTAGCAGTGACCTCTCGGGGCATTAAATATCATCCTGATTCTTACATTAGGAGGTTCCTTAAGAATAAGTCTCTGTACACTACAAGACCAATTCTATCTCGTTCAGACTTCGCCAAAACCCGCTATTGGAGGCAAACCTTGCCCCACCCCCAAACTGCAACCAACCTATAAACCATCGTGGGGCATTATTGGGGCCCAAAAAAACCAAGAAAACCCCATTTTTGCATCAAATCAAGGTCTTGGCATACATAAATCTACTGATTCATCCTAATAAATTACTGTTATTTAACCTTGTATTGGTCACACTCATATTTATCACTCTAATTCCGCCATGAAATATATAAATTCAAAGAAGTTCACCTACATACATCAAAATCAATAGAGGTAATACCATACTTCTTAACTTTGTTTAGCTTTTGACCAAAGGTAACTAGTTGATGCAAAGTTTTGTTTCTAAAATATATATTTGACGTAGTATTTAACATACTTCTCCCATTAACCATAAGACCTTCTGCGTAAGTATATAAGCTCGAGGGCTACAAAGTTCTAATTAGTACCAATCGATAGCGGATTTTTTCATTTATAATCATAACTTATTTATAATCAGAAGTGTTATTTAATTAGTGCTCAGTATAGCTTTAAAGCTAGCAGGATGATAATTTTTGAGGTTTGCCCAGTGTTTTGATAGTTTGCCAGTGGTTTTCGATAGTTTATTCGTTGTTTCTAATCGTTTCTAGTGGGAGGAGGAGGAGGGGGGTTGATGGTTTTGACCCACTTAGAGTATCTTGAGTGGATCAAACCAAAAGCGGGCATGGTGGGAATCTTTCACATGATCAAGGAGCCCGTGGGTGGACCAGCTGCGTTCTACAAAAGATCGATGGAGCAGCATGGGGTCTATGTTGCCCCAGGACATTGGTTCGATCTAGAAGACGTTTACTTTCGTGTTGGATTTGGCTGGCCCACCATCGATGAACTGAAGTATGGGTTGGGAACGATTTCTGTGCTTTGCGTGGATAAGGCAAGATAGAAATATTTTAGAAATTCTTATCACGGTATGAACTTTCTCTCTGTCTGGTTCATAATTGTTTGCTGGGTATATATCATTTGTGGTTGGTAGGACTAGCCAGGACCAAAGTCGCCTTCCCCAAATAGAGATCCAATGATATTGATATATCGGAGGACAAGAGATATGGTGATGTCAAACTGCAATGATTGGACATTGATCTTCATTAACAATATCAAACCAGCTGAAAGTATATCTCTCGTTATCTTTTCGCATTTTCCAAACTTTTTGAACAAGGATAGCAGCAGCGGAAAAGGTCGGGATACAAGTGCGACGCCCAGTGGTGAGTAGCCATTCAAGTAGGCTACTTTGCAGTTTAGGGTCAAGTGCTTCGCACGCTGCAATAAAGCAGGGCCAGAGCGAAGATAAGCCATGAGGTCCATGTTCTATAGTGGACTCATCGCTCTTGTTTATGAAACCGAGGACCTTTCGAACTGTGTCTTGGAGAATCAATGCGTTGGTATTGTGAACACGTCGGTAGTAAAAAAGGATGAGAGCTTGGTGTATAGCCAGGGTGGTGTAGTAAGTGGCTCCGAAATTGTCGTGTTCGTAATTCTCGTTTGGCGGATCAGCTTCACTTGAGTATGAATGACACTGAGATGGTTTCCAGGAGAGGATATGGTGCTCCAAAATCTTCGATCGTCGGTTCAGATTCAGAAATATATCAACATCGACAACCGTGTCAAGATGCAGCAGCTCCTGTTCGTTTGCCAGTCGAATGGTCTGCGAGAGGAGTCCCATCAAGGACTCAGGCACTCCGTACAGTTCTGGGAAGAGTGATTCCTTCCAAGTTCCCATCACTTCCAAGTGAATATCATTGTGCCCAATATCATGGCTCTTTTCCATATTCATATCTAAATCATCCTCCGTGGTATGGTCCGCCACGCGGAAGCTTCGCAGAGAGTGGAAAGAAGAGGTCGCAGAGACCAAACTGGAACTAGGCCGTGATGGACAGATGTTCAGAAGAGCGCAACCACATGTGCTCTCTGCCATGATGCGCAGATATGTGTAGATTTGGTGAAGAGCACGGACTTTGGATGATTTGTGTGGCTTTTGTAAACCTCTCTTTCGAATCAGACACTCGACCTCAACCAAGAGGTTTTGGGCGTCATTGTATTTACCGTAACGTATCTGGATGAGTACATTATTATCATCTCCTTAAATATAAGTTGTTTGGCGAATGGGTACCTCTAGAATGATCATCGACAACAAAGCCATGAGAATTTCCTTATATTTTATCCGCTCCGAGCCAATTATCTCTTGTTTAATTGCACACTCGAGTTCATACCTCGCGATCTGCTTGTATGTCTTTCCATCTTTATTCGAATCAACGAACAATTCGCCTCCGGAGGAGAGATGAAGGCAGCTGGCCGCAAGGAGGGAGTAGAAAAGAGACAAGCTTGCATGGCTGGCAGTCTGATAGAGAAGAAGTTCCGCATATGTCTTTTCAGCACTGGGGAGGTAAACAGTCTGCCAGGGGCATTTTGGACTGCCCGTGAGGGGAAACGATAGCAACGATATGTTCCCTTTGAAATATCGCAAAAGCTCTGGGGCTCGGTCTGGAACGGAGGGAGAGTTGGTGGACGAAAGAGGAGAAACGGGAATCGTGCAGAGACCCAATTCAACGGAAGGCGATATTGTGGCAGGAGTGTTGAGTGGAATCTCTAGGGGAGATTCAGAAACTCCATCATTAGTAACAACACCTTCATTTAGTGAGAAAGTCGGGCTGAGTGGATGGCCGCTGGGATCTGTGTTGATGGAGCCCGGTTTTTGAGTATCATGATTAGCTGGAGCAGTAGTAGATACATTTGAAATTGGCCATAGAGCAACTGGCTCGTGCTCTGGAGGCATGGCTTGCTGTATACCCGTTTTCCGCTGGTCGTGTGGGAGTGCGCTATCGAACTTGAAATCCAAGACACCAAAAGGTCCGCGAAACAAAGTCGAGTTCGGCAGAGAGTTCCCTTCCAAAGCACCATCATGATCGCGGTCCAGAATATTCAAAACCTTGGTAGTGGTCTGGCGTCGAAGACTGTCAATTGTCATCCGCGTCATTCATTCTTGTTCATCCACTGCCAACTGGGTTAACGTGATTTCCGATTTTGAGCGCGTCAAACCCTACCTCCAAACAACGGACGACGAAATACGTGATCCGAATTTTCATCATGCTTTGAACCTGACTGGAAGAAGTCTTGGGTCCATTTTAATTGCGATGTGTACCCAGGGCATGGCCGCCCAAGCACCTTACACATCTGACACCCGGGACGAGCTTCATCGCATTTCAGATGCCTAGTACGACAGACACTGCAGCCTGTGAGCGATCGACCGCGCGATGCAATTCTGCATATTTACAGAGAGATCATATTTGAGATTGAAGTCGGGAAGTTGGAATAACTCGAAACCACCCCCGGGCGAGGCGATGTGATTTGTCATGGGGCCATCACTTCCAACTCAAGAAAACATTCAACATCACTAACCGGTGGTAGTATCTCAGAAATCGCTTATCTACTGTTTACTACTTCCTTTGCAATATATAAATGGATTGTACTGTGGCGAAACGAAAAATCACAAATAAATATACATAAAAAAAGGCCACTGGTACTGTTGCTAATTTCTCTATATTTCCATGAGACCAAGCTCGTTACATAATCGGCATACCCTGCCTGTTCAAAACGAGGGCTTCATAAGCTGAAGTGGATCCCGAGGACCCTAGAGCTCGCCATATTGCTTCTTCGGGTCGCTGTGGGTTTACTCACGACCCGTCTAGAAGCCGTGGGCCTCTCCTTCCAGCGTGACGAAACAACACTCAATTGCCTGCAATGCAAACGAAAGAGATAGAAATAACCGAGGATTGATAAAACTCAATGGTGAGACATAACTGAGTGATGAAAAGTGGTTTTTTTGCGATTTACAGGTAAACGCTGCTAGCGAAGGGGTAGCCGAAACCTTCGGCCCGGTAAGCGATTATCGCTTCAAGACGTCGCTCCGGATTGTCAAATGCCCAATCGTCCCCATAGTTCACGGTACTATTCACAGTCTGATGGATATTATCTATACCAGCCAAGTGTTCCATTCCAACAAATCATTCTCAAACAGACTCGGCTCAATGCCACCCAGAAACTCAGGGAGATCGGACACCCAAGCAGGGGGTGATTTAGAGCTAGGCTGCGAGGAGGGTGCGGACAGATTACTCCGCAGCTTTCCTGCCATCCTCATTCCAGTTGTAATGATGCTCATGGGCGGTGTTTCTTGTGATGTTTGCTGCAACTCCGATGACAAATAATGTGTCTGAACATGACGTGAAAGCAGGTCGATCACCCTAGCTACTCGTGCGGCCTCATCTCTGGGATCCCGTGACCAATGCGTGAGTGTTTCATATATCTTTTTAATATGATTTTGGGCGAGGAGTTTGTCGTTAGTGGAGATATTGCGATCAATAGCCAAATTGTTGATGAAATACATGCCGGCCATGACTAAAATGTGGAAGTAATACTTCGGAAAATAGATCATCACTAGATTTCTGGCAGCATCTGCATAGATTTTGTCTTCCGATGACGGTGAGTCGGCGAAAATATTCGTAATTTGGATGGCAGTGTGGAAGCCCATATACCAAATTGCTTTTGAGAGTGTGTCAACTCCCATCTCTGCTTTTGATGACATCTGAGAGAGCATTGGAAAGGCACATAAGCGCAGTCTGGCTGCAAGAATAGAAAGCTGGACTTTCGGGTGAGATGGGTTTGGGATACGAGCTTCTATTGCAGCCAAGTCTCGTTCCAAAAGCTCAACTAGCGACTTTTGAAATGGGCCCGCGAGCTGATTTCTGAGCAGAGCAGCTGCTCGGGTCGCATAGCCCTGAATATCTAAATGAATCAGAAACTCGTCAGGTAAAATGGATTGAACTCTGGCACGAATCCTCGGCATCATTTCCGCCATACTGCCCATTGGAGGCGGTAATGCAAGGGCCGCAGCAAGGCTGCTAGATATGTCAATCTGCCGCTCAAGTTTGATATGTGTTATGGGGATATACATACTCCGTGCTAACTGCAAAGCATCCGAGCCATGTTTTAAGGCGAAGGGCTTCTTCAACATGAAGCTCATTTGATCCCGGCCAGTTTGTTTGAGAATCATTCGAAGTCAGCTTCAATGTGGCGGCAACAGCCATTCCGATGTAATCCCAGCTCGGGTCGTCCTGCTGCTTGTCTACTGGGAAAGGCCAGAGGCATAAAAGCAATAGGGCTTGCACCGTGTAAATGCAACGGATGGATTTCACTAGGAATGCAGACAAAAGCCGTTGAAATGGCATTTGTAGAAGTGAAAAATAGTCCGAGTATAGAGGGTGTTTGCTGGCTGAAATCACGATAATTGTCCAAAATAAAAGGGAGCTATCATTCCAGATGGAATCGATAGGCTTTCCCAAATCCAATATAGGAAAATGGAGCAGATAGTGATTGGCAAAACTTCCAACAACATTTAGCGTTTGATGATGTAGGTTTCAGTGGTTTAATCCAAAGAGTCAAAACGTACTGCTCAAAAAGCCCTAGGATTGTGGATCCATTTATGTGAACTCCTTCGAGTTCCCGAGGTGTCGGGGCTTGCGTGGATATATTCCCAAAGACAGGAAGTTCTTGTCGTAGAATTACATCAGCAGTGTCGTCGGAGTCCGCTGGCAACGATGGGCTTAACCGAAATTCCGAAAGAGCTGTTCCCGAGGTATGAACAAGGTGTCGTAGTCGCTCATTTTCCTTGGCTACCTTTTCCAGCGACCTGATATGATCAGAAAGATTCATATTAGACAGAATCAATACACTCTACCCGCGAACTGGTTGCCTTTTGAACTTGGGGTCAAATTTGCAGCTGATTTTCTGTTTTGAGCATCGAGTGCACGGTGCTGGAAAACAACTCATAGCATCACATCGCAGCTATAGTAAATGTAAGCCTAAGATGATTGCTCACATAGTGACCATTGACAGCAGACCTTGACTTGTCGGCACGTTGTACATGCCATTGAGGAACGCTTGGAGGGCGTTTTACCTCGACTACGGCTTGGCGCACCTTCTTCCATGTTTCAGGATCCAATATGAAGCAGTGTCGAACAATATAGAAACAAAATTAGGAGGAGAAGTTGGTTGAGGAAAGAAAGGGAACGTTGATGAGTGATCACGATGCGGTGTTCGGCTAGGCAGGTCTTGGCAACCTTTCCACTTTGGTACGTCGAATAGTTAATTTCCACCTTTCTACTCCGGACTCAGTGTACTAAACACATATGTTCATTGGGTTGATCTCAAAAAGTTATCAAGTAGCTACTCGCGTGTTGCCGTCGGCTTTTTCTTGAAATCCAGCCCGGATCAGCGGCTCTAGGAAACGAAGCATATGCTTCTGCGCCCGTCCAGCTTCATGCGAGATGCCCTGGACTATTTCAAGTTGACTATCGATCCCGTATTCTTTCCATGTGTTATGCAAATAATCCAAAGTTTCAGTTCGCCCTCGGTTCATTGTATCTAGTGCTCCAGGTTCTCGTTGGTTCTCTGCGTCGTTTTTATAACGCTGTAACCAAGTCCAGAACTCCTTGCCTCCGTGTATCTGATTATCCTCCGAGCCAACCACCAGCTGAATAGCAACTTGTTGAATGTGATTTAGGGTGACAGGTCGGCCAAACACAGTCGCGGTATCTGCTACTCCGACCGGCCATTTCTCTGAGAAATCCAATAGGGTCACTCTTCCCGGTGCGCCCACACTGACAGCTGCTAGTCTCTCAGGGTAGAGGTAGAGAAATCGGTGAGCGAATTGACCGCCACCTGAAAATCCCATCATGAAGACTTTGTCTGTCCGAATCTCCGGCCATCGCGGTGCAAGCTCGTCTAAGATAGACAAAAGTGCCTGATCTGATCGAAGGGAGTGCGATCGGAGCTTTTTGTATGAATCCAAATCATTCGGACCATCAAGCCCAGCTGGGAACAATGGGGCAAGGATTGCGCATGGTGTTCGGTCGGCAAATGAGGTTAATTCTGCCTCATAGATCGCGGTCCATCTCCTCTCTGTGCCATGCACCCAGATAAGCAGTGGGAGTTGTGTGGGGTTTGGATTGGTATCGTAGTGGGTAGAAGGTATGTAAAGAGCATAGGAGACGCGCGGATCCGATGCCAAAGATTTGAGCGGCACATGGCCAACCAAAAAGATGTCCTTGAGAAACTGCCTCGGAACATCAGCTGTTGACAAAGCTCGCTCCATCTTGGCGGCTAGGCTGAAGCTAAATATTTCATCAGCACTGCCTCAATAATCACCTGGATCCATGGAATATGTAGTAGAAGATATCGACAGGGGAAGCGACATTCGCTTCAGGTAGCGAAATACGCTTTGCTGTTTGAACCCGGATGTATATACTTTTTATATCAAGAGGATATCGATCTGCCAAGGCCAAAGGCGCAGCCATATTCACTTCATCGCTTCCTTTTCGCTTTCAAGACCGAAATTCGCTTCCCCTTGGGGTTCGACCCCATAGCCGTAGTACCTATAAGGGCTCCGCCCAAAGTGCACATCCAAAGATCCACAGTTCTCTCTCTTATTGAAGGGAACATAAGCAGCAGCAATATATCCTAATTTCTGCATAAAAGTATTGATCAAAGAAAACGCTCGCCATGTCGCCAAATCACACCAACCCCAAAGAGACCGACGAGATCCAAGTTGCGTACTCTCACGACGAACAACATATGGAGGATGATATCTCTCCGAGGCTCAACTCCAGACTCAAATGGAAACTGGATCTCTTCATATTGCCAGTTATCTCGATTGTCTACTTTTTCGCCCAAATGGTGAGTTGTCTACATCAATCCTGATTTAATTTAAATTTGATGCTTACCCAACTATCACCACAGGGCAGATCCGACCTCGCCAACGCCAAAGTTGCCGGACTTTCGGATGAGTTGTCCTTATCTCCTCAAGACTACTCTAATGCTGCAACCGTGCTTTTGGTGGCTTATGTCGTGTTTCAATTGCCTGGCACACTCTTGATTAAGCAGATAGGTCCAGCTAGGCAGTTTGCAGGTGCGATGATCATTGTGAGAACCCCGAAATGTCCTTCCAGTCGTCGAACTCGAATATTTATCAGGATTAATTGTTAATCTTTTGACCAGTGGGGAGCAATTACAATCGCGACAGTAGCCATTCACAACAAAGGTGAGCTGCTCGCCTTACGATTTCTCATCGGGGCCGCAGAGGCATTTGTACAAGGGGGCGTATTCTGTTAGTTACCTATTTCTCTCCAACTCCCATCATTTTATTATACTGATAGTCGCCTCTCATTCAGACCTATCTTTTTGGTATCGTTATCGTGAACTCGCCACACGTGGTGCCATTTTCTACTCCATGTCCACGTTGGCAGGGGCCTTCAATGGACTGATTGCCTACGGCATTGAAAAGGACATGGATGGGTTGCGCGGTTGGAGAGCGTGGCGCTGGATATTTTTGATTGAGGGGATAATGCCTTGTGTGGCCGCATTCTTTGTGCTATTTCTTCTCCCAGCCAGTCCGGAAACTCTTCGGTTTGGCTTCACCGAAGAGGAGAAGGCGCTGGCAATACGTCGCAGCCGCGAGGCACACAACACATGTGAAGCAAAGTTGGAGATCAAAAAGGTGCCCCTGGTACTCCTAAGTCTCCATTTCTGGCTTCTTCTTGGCATTGCTTGCTGTGGACACTTCTGTGTTGGATCACTGTCGAACTTTCTTCCTGCCATTATCGAGGTACTTGACTTCCGATCTTCTTTTAACTCTACGATTGAATCTTCACTCAATCATAGCTAATATCACACACAGGGCTTTGGCTATACTGCGGTTGACACCCAACTCTTCACGGTCATCGTATACGCTTGTGCATGCGTTGGCGTATTATTCTGGGCTCAAGTGGCCGATCGGACTAATGCCCGAGGACTAACTATGGCAGCATCGACAGGCGGAGCTATCGTCGGTTATGCTCTACTCCTTGGCATTGAGAACAATGAAGCTCGATTTGGTGCCACATGTCTTGTTGCGTTTTCGGTTTATCCAAGCGCTGTGCTCCAGCTGTCCTGGGCAGCCATGAACTTCATTGGTTATACACGAAGGTAAGCCTTTCACCAATACATGCTCTCAAATAACCGATATGGTCTCTTACCATTATATAGGGGTTCCTCATTGGCTTTTATGAATATATTTTCCCAACTCTTTGCAATTTGTGGAACGCAGGCCTATAGTGATCCACCATTTTGTCAGCTTAACCCCCCTCATTTTGTGCACCTAGTATAATTTATTCTAATATCGCCTTTATCTGCAGATCGCAAAGGCAATGCGTCAGCTCTCGGATTATCTTGTGTTTCCTTGATACTATCTTTGGCTTTACGGTGGTATTTTGCTATATTGAACAAGCGAAAGACACAACTGCAGCATACACCAGATGCGTGTGCAGAGCGGCAGAAAGGCCTAGAGGAGCTAGGAGAAGAGCATCCAGGTGAGCGAAATACTGTTACTTTGGGTTTGCCTTTTCACCATTTGCTAAATTGTTTTTTTGTCTAGACTTCTTTTACACAACTTAGGTGGAAACACTTCTTTTATAAGAAGTGGTGACGGTTCTCGTTGTCAGCACATTAATTTCACAACAACTCCCAGATCATCCAATCATCACTCAAAGGTCAAGTGTCTATTTAGGCGTGTTTGCAGTTATATTCAATTTTTTAAAAAGAATCATACAACAGTTTGATTCACTTGGTCAACCTAGCACCTTCGTAGAAAAGAGCCAAGAAGTGATGTCCAAAAGGTACACCCCTACTAGCAGTAAAGTCGCTTTCGTGTTGTGAATATGCTGAACATGCGTGCGCATGCGGCCTTTTCCGTCCTTCTGACCCTGAAACTCAGACTAAATAGATTGTAATAGACTTCTCACATTCGTGATTACTGATTATGATTACTGCTCCATTGATAAAAGCAGGCTCATTATTAGGCAGCGACCGTCAATACTTAGGTATTGACATTGATCCATCCGTGATTGAAATCAATTCTTGAGAGGTTAAATCAACACCCAAATGATACTTCAAAAACGCAGTCCAAACCTCGTTTAGTCCCTGGTTTGCTAATATAGGCGGAAACTGTGAAATAAAACTTTACATAATCGAAGGATAATCGCACTACTATAATAGTAGGTCATGGATGTCCGCACTGGCTTTGGTCCCTGTCTCCCCACCTTTAATGGCCTCGATCTTTGCTAGCTTGGAGACAATAACTGGTCCTCACAACACTTCCTTGTATAGTATTCAACAGTCCTTTTTCTTGACGTGGCCAGGCCTATGGATATGGAGAAAGATAGAAAAACCAGCCTATTGATTGATTCTTGGATGAAAAAGGAAGCTGGGGAAAGGGCCAACTAAAAGACGGCAGGGAATGGCGGCCTCAAACCTCAGGCAAGAGATATCACAACACGTTTTAATATAAGCTCATTGATCTTACTCGCCCATGTATCTACGGCGAAATTGCGTGTCCCGAACACATAATAGTAGTGAGTCCCGGTGGGCAGTTTTTCAGCCTACCATTCACGGAAGTGTATTGACAGTGCTATATTGCTATATTTCGTCTTATTTCACAGACCTCTTTTCGATGGCTAATGTTGCCGGTATCTCCTCGACGATACTGTGCATCTTGGGGTTCCAACCGAGAACTTGTCGCGCGCGGCTGGCCTCGCACCGAGAGTCTGTACCGTAGAACAAAGCACAGTATTCCAAATGCTGATCTGCCTCTTCAGCTGTCCACGATACCACATCCGGAGATACCACTAGGCCTTGCTTTTGAGCTTCATGCGCCATGCTTTTAGCAATCTCTCCCCACACATGTTCTCCATTCTCTGCGAAGTAGTAACCCTCTAAGCCCCAAGTCGCCTTTCCTCCTCCATCGATGGCATCGCCGGCCAGGCGAACAAACAAATCGCTCAGATCGTGTATGTGAACATTGGCCCATCGGTTGCGGCCGGGACCAACCATGAAAGCTTTTCCGGTTTCAATAATAGAACGAGCTAAATTTGGTAGTTGAATGCTGCGTTGATTGCCGTGTCCTCGGCCCTGTCCGTAGATGCAAGGTGCACAGACAATAGCCACCTTAACTCGATCACTCCCCGCAGCTTGCTGTACCGCCTCAACTTCCCGATGGGGGGCATTGTCCGGCAGTGCGAGAATCTCACCAACACCTTCCATGTCATTGTAGACTCTGTCACGTGTTTTTCCGTAACTACCGTGAAAGATTGTTTCCCATGCAAGGATATCCGTGCCGGATGCACAGATCCAAAATGCTGGGCCTGGACGATCCCGCTTCGCAAGCCCTCGAGCCAGTGCTTGGGTGGGCGAAACATCCTCAATATTGGCACAATGAATAACAATATCGACCTCAGAAGCGAGGGCTTCCAGCAGCAACGTGTCACTGAAACATCCATACACCAGCTTCAGAGATGGATAGATGGATTGGAGACGCTCGCCGTACTCTGGCTTGCGCACTAGACAGCATATCAAAGGCTCTAGTTGAGGAAACTTGAGCAGAATAGCTTGAAGGACGTCCCCTCCAATATAACCTGTTGTATAATATCAGTAGTCAGCATCTCTTAATTTCAGGACAGGTTATGGAGTGAAGACAGATGCCTTTCATTGCACGAGAATGGTACTTACCGGTGGCTCCGGTGATGAGCACTTGAGGAGGATTGGGCATCATTTTAAACGAGGGTCGGATATGTCAGCCTGGGGCGTTGAATGGTGTAAACTCGGCGTAGCTGCTAAATTGCTAGTCAAGCACAGTGGTGAAGTCGGAAAGACAAGGCCAGAGAGTGATCTATTAACATATATATACTAAAGAAGAAAATCATGCCATGTGCGATGTTTACATATCTAGATACCTTGGTGTTCCTCAATTGGCAAGTGTAAGCGCCCCAGTGTTCTTGGTTTCTTCGGTGTGAGTAAACGGCGAACTAACGAAGTAACGTATCCCGGCCTATCAACCTTTCGGAACTCAGATGGGAAGAGGAATACAAGACAAGGAGAAGGCGAAAGTTTACTAATTCTAACTGTTATTACAGACCCTTTTTAGCTCTATAAATCATAGAAACGGATTTTTTTGATAGAGATACCTCAATAGCAGCGTTTGCTTGTTTGCTTATTCATTGTTTTTCACGCCTCCCTAGCATAGATAGAGAGCTTTTTTTTCTCAGAGATCTCAGGATATCATACTCAAGTACTATTCTTCATCCACTATTTCGCCTACATAGTGAGTTCATACCATTTTTAATTCTTTTTACTATAGAAATCCTTGGAGAAAATAAGCTCAAACCGGCACTTTTTGCTGGCGATTTCCTAGGCAGGCAAAGACATATTGGTAGATTCCCTGAAATCAAGAGAGTACGTAATCGGGATATCCTGCCTGTTTAGACTGACTGATTGATCAGCTAAAGTAAATAGTTACTTTGTGTACGTTGTACATTTGCGTTTGTCAGGTTGCACTACCCATCCAAACCTTGGAACTAGGTTTCCTGAACGTCCCTTCACAGGATTGTACTTGCACCATCCATATATGCCATACTCTCCTTTTAGACGCGGGGCGCGCCCTTCGGCACGTCAGCCGTGACCCGAATTTTGCCCCACAGCGCGAATACCGCTTATGGTGCCGAAAACCGCTAATGACCTAGTAAGGTAACGAGCTATCAACAATCATATGCTGTTACTCGTTAATGATCTATTTTGATTGGATCATGCCTAGCTGAGACGCAAATGTCACAATTTCTTAATAGGGCCGAGGTATGATTGCGGAATATTGTAGCTTATAGTCGGACGATGCCGGCATCGCTGGCGAAGTTCGCTTTGACCGAATGGCCAATATAAACGTCTTTCTGATTTCAAACATATCCTGCTCGGTTGCCAGTCATTTCAGTGAAAATATTTTATCGTGCCGTGCATGTGTGAACTGAGAGTCCGAAGTTCCGAATATTACAATGGCACCTATCTGTGAAAAAGAATTGAAGATCTTTACTCCAATTGGAATGATTGGGTATGGATTTCCACGGGATATTTTCTTCAGAACTCTAGCAGATGGCGTGGATGGCATCATTGCGGATTGTGGTTCGACTGATAGCGGACCCCAAAAGCTCGCCTTGGGACACACAACAGTGACGCCGGCAGCATATGAGCGAGATCTCGACCTCCTTCTTGCTGGTTGCCATACCTATCGGGTTCCTGTGATTCTGAGCTCTGCCGGTGGAGATGGGGCAAACGACCACGTCGACCTTTTCGTCGAAATCATTGAGAAGCTCATCAAGCAAAATAAATACCGGTCCATGAATATCATCAAGATCTATTCCGAAGTGGACAAAGCTTTGGTGAAATCCAGCTTGGAAACAGGTCGAATCCAACCTTGCAGCAAGGCTGTCCCACCACTGAATCCTGCACACATTGACAATGCTCCTCGGATAGTTGCCCAGATGGGTCACGAACCGTTTTTGAAAGCGATGCAAGGGCATCCCAATTTCGATATTATTGTCGGCGGTCGAGCTTACGACCCATCTCCATATGCGGCCTTTTGCCTCTACAACGAGTTTCCAGACCTGGGTATTGCATACCATATGGGCAAAATCATGGAATGTGGTGCTCTGTGCTCAACTCCCAAAAGCAAGTCAGCACTGGCCACTATACGCAGCGAGAGCTTCGATATTACTCCTATGGACCCTGGTTCTCGCTGTACCACTGTCTCCGTGGCTGCCCACACCCTTTACGAAAAGACTCGACCGGACATCTTAGTGGGGCCAGGGGGTTCTCTTCACTTGGAGAAGGCCACCTATGAGGAGCTACCTGATTGCCGCAGTGTCCGTGTCAGACACGGGACGTTTGTCAAAGCCGATACCTACAATGTGAAACTGGAAGGCGCTCGCACTGTTGGGTACCGCAGCATGTTCTTCGGTGGCTTCCGAGATCCAATTCTGATCGGCCAGTTAGATATGTTCCTGAAAGGCGTCAAAGACTTTGTTAAAGACAAGGTGCTAGCGGAGTACACACTTCGCTTCCATCAGTACGGGAACAACGCTATCATGGGCTCTCTTGAACCCCAGGCAGGCAACCCCAATGAAATCGGACTTTGTGGTGAGGTTCTGGCTCCGACTCAAGCCATTGCTACCCAAGTCTGCAACTTAGCTCGCATTGCTTGTGTTCATGCCCCTTACCCACACCAAGTTGCAACTGCAGGGAATTTTGCAATGCCATTTCCTCCATTCGATATACCCATGGGCGAAGCATGCGAGTTTTGTATCTACCACCTTTTGGAAAATGTTGATCCCGTCGAGCTTTTCCAGATCGCCATTCAGACGATCGACGGCGATGGGACTTTCCAATCGAAATTTCTCGATCTCGATCCTGTTGAGGAGCCTTCTAGTTCGGACACTGCCAGAAAAGCACTGCACCGGACGTCAGCTAGCGGGATTACACGAAAAGATTTTCTGAAGCCAGAACCACCAGCAGGACACTGCTATCTCGGGGATGTTGCCTCAGTTATTCGAACAAAGAACGCTGGTCCATATGAGTTGACAATGGATGTGATGTTTGACAATGAAAATGTTTTTCAAAAGGTCAAAGCAAGCGGCGTTCTGTCTCCCCAGGCTATCATGGAGATGTATAATATTTCCGAAGAGCACTTGATTGCTTGTCTTTTTTGGGATCAGGCACTGTCGTTTAAGGCGACCATTAAGCGCCCAGTTATTTCCGGATCTTTCGGCGACTTGGATGTTCATGGATCTCAGCAGCATGCTCCATTGCTGTTCCTGCAACTGCCGTTCCCTAGAAAGTCAATCGATTCGGAGGTTTGTCAAAGCTAGCCCAGGGAACTATCGCTCCAGGAGCGCCCGCCTTGTGCCAAGCCATCTACATTGAAGATATTCCAAGGTTATAGCCCTGTTACCCTGCCAAGAGATGATCCGCTACTTTTCAATCTAGCATCTGGCATCCTGAGGAAGAAGGATTGGTGTGGTATATATTGTAGATCACGGAAGATCAATTAGATCATATTTTCATAGTCATTCCACTATATTACTGTAAACGACATTTGTCAAGCTGTTAAGACGCTCGGCGATGTATCTGGTCAAGGAGTACTTAAATCATAGTTCATCATAGCCCGAGCCCAGGCCGTGCCAAATCAAAGCACGCTCGCTTGCACTCTCCCAATAAATATATGAAACGCATTGGATCAAATCTCTAATGATGGAGACTTAAGCGCGCTCGTCACTCTGCAAATGCTCATATACAGTATGAGTATCGATACCCTTCTGATGGGGACGGGCAGAGTCATTGGCAGAGTGGGCATTGCTGTGCTGGAACTGGCTGATAGCATCACGGCCAGGGTCCTGGTTGGAGCCAATTTCCGAGTTGAAGCTAACATTCTTAACATCGTCGGAGGGGAGACCACCCGCTTGAATATCGGTCACATCGTTGAACTGACTGCCGCCACCACTGCCGCTGGCGGCAGAGTATTCGCCAGCCTTGATACCCATCTCCTTCTTGGCCGCAGTTGAGCCACCGGCGTACCCAGAGTTATCCATGTGTGTGCCAGGGAAGTTGCCCTGGCCAACTACGCATTCTGGGTACTTCTGTTCCTCATGACGGTCCTGGCGCTGAGCGCCAAATGGGGTAGAGGGAAGCTTGATGGAGGCGGACGTGTTGGTGTTGGTTACTGTGGATTGGATTCCTGACATTCCCATGGCCTCGGCGCCACGGTTGCCAGAGAAGCCGCCACCCCGGCGGATAGACTCGGCGGCAAGTGAGTCATTGGTAATAGGGCCAGACGGTTCTTCGATGCGCTGTTGTGTACGAGGTTCGGTGGTCACCTTGGTGCCACGGTTGCCGGCAGGAAGAGGGGTGCCTTGAATATCCATGATGATGTGATGAAAAAAAGCAAGAGGTATGTAGATTAGGGTTACTGAAGAGATGTTTGGTAGAAGAGATGAGAGGTAATTAATTGATGAATGCTACAGGGCCATGATGGTAGATCTATATAAGAAAGTAGTGAGAACCGCATGTTGAAAGTATCTGGTGCTCTCATAGAAACCGGTCGTATAGCAAAGAGCCTTGATGTCATACTTACGTTGACCAGGAGCATTTACAAGATATATGCAAGCTCAATCTTCTTGGCCGGTCGCAGTCGTGACGACTAGTTATGCTTAAGACATTCTGTTTGGTGGTTGGAGAAACCGATAGAACGGAGGGTGTGGAGCACAGTCTCCCCTCTGATGTATTCATGCTTCTAGAAGGCACCAAAAGGGGAAACTAGTGCGCCACATGCTTATCCTGGACTCGTCCGAAATCCATCTCCAGACCAAAAGTTGGCGTTGTTACACGGAAGAGGCAATTGACGTCAGGTCTAGACCCCTGGGATGCAAACAATGCAAATATATTTATACCTGTCCGGTCTATTGTATACGGACTCTACTAGTTAGCTCGGATTACATACATATATACCGGATTTAGGCCGGGCGACATGGCTTTCCCTTACCGCTTTTTGCTCACTGAGTAAAACTAAGCACGCATTATATAATCAGTAAAGTCGCTCACTACCTAGGTAACTAACTAAGTGGACTAGTTAAGCATCACCTAATTATTATATAAGCTCAAGGACTTACCTAGGTACTCACTAAGCGTTCCGGCTCGACAAGTCCTTCACCTGGCCTCAACGCCAGCGCTACACCAATGCCGATGCCGAGGAATTGGCCGCAAGCGTAGCGAACCACTCGCTCTGTGAGACGCTCGCGTTCGGTGAGATCTGGAAGAAACGGCTCCGGGGCTCGCTGATCTCGCTTGAAGAAGGGATCTTGAAGCATTAGTCGCATGGCCGGATCGTGCTCGCCGGAGACTCGGTGCACAAGGTGACGCCGAACATCGCGTTGGGGGGCAACTCCACGATGGAAAATGGAAACGGTGGTGGTGCTGTGAAATCATCTACGGCGAACAGTGGTCGCTCATGGCGGCGGCAAGGTCAGTCGGGCGACGCTGGGCAAGATCTTCGCGCAGTACCAGACTTAACGGGAGCAGAAGATGCGGGAAATCATGCAGATTTCCTCGCTGATTACGAGGATTCAGGCGTGGGATAGTATCAGGCTGAAGTTGCTGGCAACTTGGGTTCTGCCGTATCATCCAGACCACAAACTGACCGATCAGATGGCGGAGCTAATCAAGGTGGCTCCGAAGCTAGACTATGTGGATGTGGACGGGACGGTGGGTTTGCACGAGGTCGAGTTTCATGGGATGACGAAGATGAGGGGATTAGAGCTCAGGTACTTCCACTCAAAGGGTGGAAGGAAATAGATCTTCTAAGTCGATCCATGGTGTATCTGGCCGGTGCCGTGACGGCAGTTTTGATGTTGGGTTATACTCTCTACGTTGGGTAGCTCGAATTGAATAGCACTTGTTTTCTTTTTTTTTCAGGTTCAAATTCCTTTTTTAACTTAAGTTGGTCGTCATTTCATCCATATATAAACCTCATCTGACATATGGATGTCCTGCGTCGTGTTGGGGTGCCAGATGAGATGAGCCCCCATATATACACTGCGACTCTAGTATGAAAATTCCTCGCCCACCAGCTTCTCGCTCAACCTCCACAGTCTCTCCGCTTCAAAGCTACTGGTCACCCACGGCTTGACTGTATCAGACAGTGGGTCTGCCACATGAGAGTCGATAAGATAAGCGCCGTTGTTAGCTACCGAGTCAGCCTGTCAGCATACTCTCCGTCTCCCGTCTATCCGTATGTAACATACCTTTAAGAGCCGGATCAAATGCAGCATAGATATGAGTCGCAACACCCCGCTCCAACGGCTTGGCCTCGAACTCTTTCCAGCCCTCCCGGTTGCCCAACACCTTGTCGGCGCTCCCTGTGGTAATGTTAGCGGCCGTGCATTTGATGGTCATGGCTGGTACTTACGAAGTCCATCCAGATCCACACTCCAGTCCAAGTGGTTACCCAGATTTGTGAAGATGACACCCGGGTGCAGGCTAAATGCGAGAAGGCCGTGTTTCAGGCTGAGCTTCTCCGCCAGGGAGATTGCGAACAATATGTTGGCTGTTTTGCTCTGGCCATATGCGAACCACTTGTTGTAACTCTTCCCTGCCTGGTCGATATTTAAGTACGGGTGCCTTACAAAAGCAAAGCAAAATCTCATGCATCACTTACATCAAAGTTGTAGTCATCGAAGCGGAAAGGATTCAGACGATGACCGTCGCTGCTAACCACGACGATCCGAGGACTTTTGGATGCCAAAATCTTCTTGATAATCAGATTTGTGAACAGAAACGGACCTAGATGGTTGGTTGCCAGGTGGGACTCAAATCCCTCCGGCGAGAGCTGATAATCAACCGCCATGATACCGGCATTGTTAACCATCAAGTCGATGACTGGAATATCATCCCAGGAATTCACCTGGGCAGCCGCATCACGCACACTCTTCAGCGAACCCAGATCAACTTTGACCTTGCGGACCTTGACATCTGGGTATGCGGTCATGATGTCGTTGGCGATTTGTTGGAGTTTGTCGACGTTGCGGGCGGCCAGGATGAGCCAGGCGGGTTTGGCTTTGGCGATGGATTGGACGAAGAAGCCGCCCAGGGAACCGGAAGAGACGCCGGTCGTCAGAACGACCTTGTCCTTAATGAGATCGTTGTAATCGTTGACCAGCTCGTCGGCAGTGGTGTTTGTGTCGTACGGGCCTGGCATGATTGCGATTGCGATTGCGATTGCGATGGCGATGGCGATGGCGATGGCGATGGCGGGGAGTTTCAAGCGCAGCGGGTAGGGGGTTAGGGAAAGAGAGAAACTAAACAAAAAGAGGTTTCAAGCGGACAGTTTATATAACTCCACCCCCCTCCTGTCCCGTATCCCTCTACAACTTGACCTGATTCATAGTAGAATAATGGCATCACGAGCAATGACGTTGTTCCCATTGATGGAGTTAGCGGAAATATCTCTTATGACCGATCGATCCTTAATATAAACTCCATTTCAGGCCGGACTCTCCGAGATGAAGCAAGCGATCATCTTCTAATTATGTTGGCTTGGGAAACGCCCTGATGCCCACCTTAATATGGGAATTTGTAATTGTCTTGGATGTGATCAATGCCCCTAACGTAATCGGGAGCGAATGGATCTCGCAAGCCAGTGGATCACCCCAATCTAGCTCCTAAGCTAGCTACGTAGTAAGATTTCTAAACTAGCTACTAACTAGACTGCGCCAAAACCCGCAAATGGGTAAGAAATATCAACCCGCAACCCGAACCCGCAAACCCGATGGGTAGACTCGACCACCGCAACCCAACCCGAAACCCACGGCTATATAATTTTCCCAATCGAGCCATGGTAAGCTGTATAAAACTGCTTACTTATTCTAATAAATTATAGTATTTTATAGTTGTTTTGGTTTCTAATATTAAGGTATGGTATCATCCATAATCCTTTTAAAATATTTCGAAACGACGTTGTATATTGTTTTTATAGTGTAAGTAATACTATTATAATAGATTTAATATTATATATACTACGGTGAATAATAGTTGTAGTGGTTGTTACTAGGCTGCTAGTTCTTTAAATGAAAGAGTGTATTTCAACTAGACTGTCGGTCCAAGGTCTCGACCCGGCACTGGACCCAACTGTTGTTTGGCTCGACATATCTAGATTATGCTGGTTCTATATGAAATCATAGCCTCTTCCGGATCTGCACTATTGGATGGCTCTCGATGAAACAAACGATACAACGGTTCATTTTTGCGATTACATGTTGAGATAGTACATATAAATCAGCATGCAACTTTTGAAATTCACTTAGTCGATCGTAATGACTTAATACAATAGACTATCGTACACATAATAAGTTCTCATGATCATATACTCATTACAGGGTCGTAGTATCAGACGGAAAGTGGTCTAGTCCCTAGATGGTCTCGAGTCCAAGTTCTTCAGAGCTACTGCCAGCAGGCGCAGTCCCACGCAGGCCACTATTATCGGGAGGGAACTCTAAACCCCCAGAGCCAAAGCTAGTAATACGCTGGTCAAAGGAGTTCCAGTCACTGGCAACTGGAGGTTGATCAGGTAGAGGCAGGTTGGCCTTGACCTCGTCGATTTGTGCGGACTTGTTGGGGTTTTGGCCGATGATAGACTATAGAAAACATGTTGAGTGATATGTTTTCTACTTGGTGTTGCATTGTAGGTAACCCACCTTCATTCTAGAGACATTTGAGTTCGATGGGGTGTTGCCACCATGCAACTTGGAAAGCTTGGACTCGGCCTTGCGAAGGTCCTGGATGGTGGTGTGGAAGAAAGCGTAAGTCATTTTGCGTATGGTTGTAAATGTGGTGATGTAGACGAAGAGCAAGTGTCAGAAGTAGCTGAGTATGAGAAAGCATAGTATCTCAAACAAGGCAACTGAGGGTTTTATATCTACCATCTTCTTTCTTGATGGCAAGACGCTGTGACGTTTGCTACAATGACGACATGGCATCTAGAGCCATGGATATTCTCCCCACAGAACCAGCTGGGGCCTGCTTCATGTGGCATTTTGGTCTATATTGGGGATCCAGGCTTTCGGGTCAACAACAGAATGGTTAACTGGGTAAAACTCAGGGATTGGCGTCATAGCCGATGGACCACCGGAGGTGGCAAGCCTGTTCATTTGCTTCATAACAAGATGGTGTGCATATCCCTGATCATTACCACTCGAGGCCTGTCAAGGAGCCAATAGGTATCTTGAAGCTGGACCACCGAGATGTCATAAACCGATTGGAAAATGTCCTTCAGTCCATCGAGTTGTTCACGCATCTAGTACATTTCGACCGTGATGGGGAACGTTTGATGAAGTAATCCTGGAGGGAATTCTCCTAAGCTCATCGCACATTACCTCACAGCAGGAGCCCATCTCAATAAAGCTTTGCAACGACTTGGAATTTAAGCACCAGTACCGCCCCAGCGGAGTAGATATACAACGGTAGGCCATAGTGTTTCGCCATGAATTTGGCCAACAGACCAGACCACCAGTTGCAATTCATCAAGACATTCTAGAGTAACGTCCAGGCGGGACAACAGACGCATTGGATATTAACACAAGGCTTCGACGAGCTCACGCGTAGTCGGCGTCCTAAAGCGGCATAAAAGCATGGGGCCATCAACACCGCCTCCCTTTCGGCACGGCAGAAAATGTTTCTTATCGAGAGACAGTCAACTCCGAGGCCTGTGGAGACTTGGTGAATCTGGTCATTGTGTTATTCTGAGGATCTTTAGCTCTTCAGCACATTCATCCAGCAGTATGCCTCGAGATCCGCTGATCGGACTGGTTGGGAAGGTATGTCGTTCCCCTTCGTTGTTCCATCACCCCTCTAACCGGAGGTGCGAGGGGCATACAGCCGTCTAGTGGAAAATCCACAACATTGAACAGTTTGACCGATGCGACTTCGAAAGTCGGTAAGTGAATTGGAATGCAGTTATAATAAATCTCGGAAAACTAATCAATTATGCTCTGAACAGGAAATTTCCCGTATGTGCGCCCCGATTGTTCTACACGAGCATCTTCATCTTATCGCAATCGATCGCGCAGGCCGTGTTGACACCCGACAGCTTCACAACCATTGACCCCCAGCGAGCCATCGGATACCTTCAGATCGACTGCCCATGCCAGCGACACAATGTTTCAGATCGGTGCCAGCCCAATTACGGAGGCTGCCACGAAGGGCGACGTTCCGTGCCGATCGAGTTACTAGATGTCGCAGGTCTTGTGCCAGGCGCGCATCAGGGTCGCGGACTAGGTAACAAGTTCTTGGACGATCTGCGTCATGCCGATGCTCTGATTCACGTCGTGGATGTGAGCGGGACCACGGATGCTGAAGGTTAGTTGGGTGTGCCGGATTGAATACAATGGCGCGAATCGGGTGTTGATAAATGTTTACAGGAAAGGCTACTCGAGGATATGATCCATCAGTAGACATTGAGTGGTTGCGATCAGAGATCGTCCGATGGGTGCTAGGAAACTTGATGGAGAGGTGGTACGTTTGCAAGTGCCAACAACGAAACGAGGGACAAATGCTGATCTATCCTTAGGGGTTCAATCAAGAGGAGACATCAGGCATTGAGTCAGTGAACCTTTGCAACGCTATTTACAATGACACAGAACTGACTCTCAGCACAGAGGCAAACCCCATCGACACATTGCAGAAACAGTTTGCCGGTTATGGAAGTACCTATGCCACTGTTGCGCGATTTATGGATAAACTTGCCTTAAAAGAGCCGTTGGAAGATTGGTCAAATGAGACGGTAGAGCTTGTTGTTAACGCTTTCATCGACGAGAAATTCCCCACAGTATTCGCGTTGAACAAGATCGACCACCCAGATGCAGACAAGGTACGAGGATCTGGCTGGTGACCCACATATTGATCTAACAGAAATTGCAGAACATCAGCAAAATTGCAAAAATGCAAGATCCCCAAAGCATTGTACTTTGCTCCGCTATATCTGAGGTTTTCCTCCGAAGGTTGGCAAAGCAGGAGTACATCAAATACGTCGAAGGCAGTGAGTTTGTCGATACGCGAGAAGATTTGATCGAGATGGGCGACCCAGATGGAGGAGGCCTCAAAGAGATGGATGAAAAATTGAAAACGTATGTTCAGTGCTCATAAGGAGGTTGTAACCTTGCTAACGACTTCGCTCCAGTCGGGTTGAGAACATGAAAGACATGGTTCTGTATCGATTTGGATCTACAGGAGTCGTCCAATGTCTTTCCCGAGCCGCAGAGCTTCTGGGCCTCGTACCAGTGTTCCCCGTCCGGAACGTGGCGACATTCAACTCTGGCACTGGAACTGCCGTATTCCGCGATTGTGTCTTGGTCAATAAGTGAGTAATCCCTATTCCGAGGCTCACATAGCCTGTCTAACATCCCGCAGAAACAGTACTGTCGGTGATGTTGCCCGGAAGGTGATGGGTGACGTACCTATCAACTACGTCGAAGGAGTGGGTGGAACTCGAGTCTCCGAGGATGACATTGTGGCAGTTGGGAAACACGATGTGAGTGCCCCCCGCTAAACTACAGAATACGGTTGATTGACTGATTACCATTGCAGATCTTATCTTTCAAGGTTGGTCGATAGACTAGGCCATTTATGTACAGCCTCTCCTATGATATGACATTAGTAATGGAAATGTCTTATGACCTCGTTCTCAACTCCGATTCACTATTATCACAAAATTCTGGGGCGTTGATAGTGAATGTCGAGCTCGAAGAACGCCATAGAATACCACAAGATACTTGACTTCACCTCCCCTTCTGCAGGATTGAGACATGGTCAGCAACATGAACTCCCCCGGGGCCCTATCATTCATATGAACTGACCTTTGACCGCTCGTCATTCATGCCAATGACCGGCTCTGGCGCTTTGGGATGCTCCTCTTTAGCCTTCCTTCCATACTTGCTCCCGCCCCTCTCCGTCATTCCCTGTGACTTGGTTTCATCTGCAAGACCCTGGTTTGTTTTCCTTTCCCTCAATCCAGAGGCGGCTGCCTCTGAATGTACATCCTCTGTATCGCCTTTCTTAGACCGCTTGCGTGTGTGATCTTCCGCTGAACTCCCTTTCCAATCCTCGAAGATGGAGTAATCTCGGACTCCAAGTGGTGCACGGAGAACAGGCGGGTGTATGGCGGACTGTAACGGTAGGATGGTCCGCCAAGGTTGTCGTGAAACAGACATGCTGTGCAGCATTGGCGTAGCAGAAGAGATACAGTGATTGCGCATAGTGAATTGCAAGTAATTGCAAATAATTCAATACCTAGAGCGTTGGCTTATATGATTATTTCTACTCGGTGCTATGACGTCCCCATGCTGTAATGCGATTTTGTCCAAAAAGGTTAAGAGCCGGTTGGCGCTCGGGGCAGGGCTTATCGATAAGACAACGATCGTCATCGGCGCGACATTTTACGCGGACAAACACCAACCTCCAACTCAATTCACAATGAAACGCGAGTACATCCCGATCGAATCCCTGCCAGCTTGGCAGCGGCTTAACGGGATCGTCGTCCAAGGCATCGCAGCTCACAAGGTTGGATCTGATCAACATGGCGCAGATAAAGGCAGTGCCCTCATCGCAACAGAAGCCCAGACGAGCAGCGAGAACGATCCAGAACCCAAGATCCTTCTACAAATTCCCCCAGAATTAGTTTTATCCCTAGATACCGTCCATAATCATGCCAAAACCGACAGGTATTTGCGCGACGTGTTGGAGGCAATCGGCGACTTTGGAAGGGTATGGCTGCTCCTTCCCCCACATCTATTTACATTACTATGGGAGAACCAACTAAGATACACAGACAGCTAGAGGAGCAATCCTCATATTCCTGCTCATTCAACTATCCCATAGCAGCCCCGATCTGCGCTCAGCACATGAGACCATCGGTATCTCCAATCCCTGGACCGAATACGTGAAATTCCTGCCTCCATCGTTCCCTCTGCCTACCTTCTACACCATCGAGGAACAAGAGCTCTTTCGGGGTACGTCGCTTGAAGAAGCTCTGGATGCGAAGCTTGCATCCCTTGAGCGGGAGTTTGGACATCTCCACCAGGCTACGGAGGGCATTGCGTGGTGCCAGCGGAACTGGTGGGATGAGAAGACAGGCGCGCTGACAATTGATGACTGGAAATACGTTGACGCCGCTTATCGGTCGCGCATGCTGGATCTACCCGGCAGTGGTCTGGCGATGGTGCCTTGTGTTGATATGGCCAATCATGCCTCCGGTGATGGGGTCAAGGCGCTGTACGATGCAGACTCGGAGGGGAACGCCGTTCTTCAGTTACGATGGGGCAAGAGTCTCCAGCCCGGAGAAGAGGTTACAATTTCGTGAGATTTCTCTACGGTGGATATCGTTATTGAGAACTTGGCTGACACATGGCATGACAGGTACGGAGCTGAAAAGCCCGCATCTGAGATGATCTTTTCCTATGGATTTCTGGAAAGCGGCACGACGGAAGCACGGGAAATATTCCTCAATTTAGATATCCCAGAAGATGACCCTCTTGCTCTCGCAAAGAAGATGTTCTGCCAGAACAATTTGGGAATTCGAATGTCGGCTGTTCGGGGCTCTGAAGAAGTAACCTGGGAAAGCGGGCTTGCGTGGATAGCATGCGTGAACGAAGAAGACGGGCTTCACTTTGGGATCGCACAGACAACCGACGGCGGTCGGGAGTTGGAAACGACCTGGAAAGGCGAAAAGATCCAATCAGCCAGTCATCTCCGCGAGCTTCTCGCTGTTGATCCCTTATGGGAGATTTTCCAGCTTCGTGCCGCGGTGCTGATTCTCGAACGTCTCGAGACTCAACTCACTCTTCTCCAGGGGACTGAGGAGATTATCTCGAATCTGCAAGAGGACAAAGCGACTTTGGATTCCATGTTCCGACCTGGGATCTTCACGTCGATTGCCCAATTTCGGATTTTGGAAGGGGAGCTGCTGGAGAAGGCCGTTGAGGAATTAATAAAACAGGTAAGTCTGTTTCAAAGGGCCACCTTTCTAATTTTCCGCAACTGACAATGGCACACAGAGAACAGAGTTACTGGCTTCTAAAACAGTGGCCGAGTATTTCAAGGCACAGACAGGGGAGCCGGACGAACCCGAAGACTTTTCGTGATGTAAAACTAAGGGCCTTGATCTTGTTGATGGGTCTAATGAAGACCAGACTACAGACTAGTGAACAAAATAATATCTCCACGGACATGTTGAAGCATCCGGAGCATTCCTAAATATCCACCCAATGCCCAATTGTGGCTAACGGGCTGCAGCAAGCCCAGTCCCCGCCAGATCATCTCAAAAAAAAGAAACTTGAGAGCCCCACACCGTAGCGCATCGAGCTATTCCATGTGTATGTAGGCGCTACTAGCGCTCAATTATGGCAAAAAGACAGGGAAAACACAGTCATGACGTTCCTCGTCGATAAAAATGGAGTTGTAAAAGGGGTCGATGATCTACACACAGGGTCGGGAGTTACATGCGGGGAAGCTAGTTGTAGGAACACCGATTCCGATTATCCACTTGGCCATGGACGTAGTGTATGGGGTTTTCGTAAATGACCTTTGCGCGAGAACAAAGGTGACGTTAATATGCCAGAAGAGAGCATACTTTTGTCTTGGAAATGACCAATATTGAGGGGTGTATATACATAGCGGAGCGCAGTTACGTAGATCGCGAATCCAACAGACCGGAGCCTAGTGGGGCTATTAAGTTACAAACCATGGTTCGCTCATCTCTCGGGCAAAACTCGCTGAGCGGAACAAAACGGGATTTCCTTATAAATACGAGATATTGTATTTCGATATTAAAAATTGGACTACGGAGGATGTCCCGCGTCTTTGGTTAGGCTCTGATGAACAACTGCTAATAACTCAAGTTGATAGGTGCCCAGGTGCCCAGGTGGAACTAGTAATGAATTTACACAAATCTTTTGAAACTCTAGTTGCGTTTGAGGTCTCCCCCGCGGTTGATCCTCCGTGAACCCGTGGACAGTTCGCCACTATAGCCCAATATTACTTCACGATAAATTTTCAAGGTTAAACCTCGAGAATATCCTGGGGTTTTCTCGGCTTCTATGATTAGAGTTAAATTTGGATTTTCTTTTGGTCATGATGACTTCAGCAAGGGGCGAGTGGTGCCCAGGTGGCCAACGGCGAAGGTGGGATTCCATGTACAAAGTACTCTCCGGGCTGTCCATTATTGGAAGGATCGCGGAGTTATCTCGATTTTTATTAGTGGAAAGTGAGATAAACATGTCCAAAGTACAGTGGCCGATCATCGGACTCGAATAGTAAGCCTATTAGGCTAGGTAGACACGCGCTGCAGAACGGGTGCCGGTGGGAGGAAGTCGGAAGCGGTTTAGAATGCCCAGTTACCGCAACCTCTTTGCATCCGAGCCCTGCGCTTTAATATGTAGCACTCAAAAGTCTATCTCAGTACTCAATACATAGTATATGTACCCCCTCAAGGGGCGTTATTTTGCCATTGAAGCCAATATACATTCCCATCTTACTTCGTAGACCCTTCCATTCCACCCAAAGAGTTGTGGAATGTGGAGTGCGGGGACCGGGAAGATCGGATCCAACCGTCAAACATAAGGAAAGTCGAGGGCTGTAGGAAGAATCCGGGGCGAGTTTGAGCGGGTTACGGGGTAGGATGTATCGCCTCTCAAAATAGTCAAAATATCGGGTCCAATAACGAATCGAGGCTAAAGTGAACGAACGGGGTAGGTACGCAATCAATACCCAATTACCACCGATAGATACAACGACAAATTTATTGGCGCCAGAGGAAGGTCAGCAGTCTCCACTTGCAACTGACTCAGCATTGGCGTGACCCCATCTTCCCGAGGTCTTCCCCCATGTTTTAGCCTTCTTTCTGCATGCAACATACTTGTCTTATTCAAACTGGTTCTTTAGAATTGTCTTGGAATCAAAGATTTTTATACGGTTGTACTTGCATTTCTGGCGCCTTCCAAATACAACGAACTCAACCCCGGCGGCCCGTGTGCCCCTTCTGCACAACATGCCTGGTATATTGCCTATGAAAGTGATCAAGGTCGGTGGGACTGGCACAACGAGCCGTATTGCCCAAGCCTGTGACCGATGCCGAAGTAAGAAAATTCGCTGCGACGGTGTTCGACCTTGCTGTTCGCAATGCGCCAACGTGGGCTTCGAGTGCCGCACCAGCGACAAACTGAGCCGCCGCGCCTTCCCACGTGGATATACCGAGTCGCTAGAAGAACGTGTTAGGAGTCTAGAAACCGAAGTTAAAGACTTGAAAGACCTGTTAGATGAGAAAGACGAGAAGATCGATGTCTTGTCCCGGATACATTCATTTACGCCGCCGCAACGAGCCGCCTCCACGCGGTCTCCCTCTGCTTCTGCGACAGTGAAGTCGAGCACTTCGGATTCATCGGATGGCATGTTCCATGTAGAGCGATCGATGACCCGACCATCCCAGAAGTCGCAGAACCCTTTTATCGGATTTTCTAGCACACAGGGCTTTGCTGGTATGTTATACGTTTCCCTTTGCAAATGAAACAATCAACTTACATGCGCAGATGTCTTTACCAATAAACTTGTAATTGAGGGTAAATCAGCAACAAAGGTACCCACAGGGGCGCTCACTGCCTTGTCAACCTCGGTATTGCAGGGTGTCCCCAACCAGGCCGTGAAAACGCCACCCCGCTTGGTGTCGGACCAGCTGATCAACATCTTCTTCCAAGAATGGGCGCCGCTATACCCCGTGGTACATCGTCCGACAATTTTAAAAGCTTATGAGCAGTATCTTAACAATGCAGAGTCTCTCCAGCGCAATCCCCATGTGATGGCGCAGCTGAACCTGATTTTCGGTATTGCTGCTCTTTCATCAATATCGCGAACCAACCAAGACCCGACTTTCTTCGAAGAGAATTGGTCGGCCACCCTCGATTCGTTCTCAAGTGAAACGTCAGTTTCCAGCCTGCAGTGCTTTGTTCTTGGTCAGATCTACTGCATGACCAAAGGCGACTACCGCACCTTGCTTCGCTACCGTGCCCTTGGTGTGGATATTTGCCATCAGCTAGGCATGCACGAAAACCAAGAAAGCTCGGGAAATCCGCTTGAGGACGAGACTCGTAAGAAGGTTTTCTGGTCGCAATATGTGCTTGACCGATTCTGCTCCGCGCTTACTGGACTGCCTGTCCTTTTGCGCGAAGAAGATATTGAGACTGAATATCCGGTTGATGTGGACGATGAGAATGTCACAGAAACAGGGTTTTTACCGACACTTCCTGGCGAATCCACGCGTATTTCCAGCGCCATCGCTCTCATTGGAGCTGCAAGGATCTTGAACAAGGCTTTGGATGATCTATTCCCTTCAAAATCTGGTTACGATGTGTGTGTTTCAAAGATGCGCTCGGTAACAGGGCAATTAGATCAGTGGCTTCACACACTGCCGCCACATCTTCGTCTCGAGTTCAGTCAGGACAAGCCTAGCACGAACGTCACGAGTAGTCGGTCGCCACTCCTGGTAAGTCCTAGCATGGATTCATGAATATTTTTTACAAAAGAAATACTGACCTAATATAGTCACTTGTGTACTATTTCATTCGATCTTTGATACATCGCCCAGCTGTTTGCTACGCTGACGAGAACATTCGCTCTGCATCTGCCCTGGCGCTGTCCGATTCAGCAAAGCATATCATTCAGATTCTTGAACTTCTTGATGAGAGGCGTTTGTGTCTGTCTGTTTGTATCAACAAGAAAGAACTTATATTCTTTTCCGGGCTTGGACTCCTTTGGCAAATGCTTGATGTGAAAAGCGACAGCAAACTGGCCAAGGATAGCCAGAAGCTGCTTGGAACCGCCATGCAATACCTTCAATCAGAGTCGAGCGCGGCGGCTGCTGAATTCGGCATGCTGTCCAACACTCTGATTTCTCTGGACGACGGGAAGCGCCCATCAGTGGGCAAGCAGCACCACCAGGAGATGGTGGCGCCAACGGAAAAGCCGAGCAAATCCCCCAAGAAGCGCTTGCAGGCCCTAAAGTCGCGCCTTATCGCCTGCTCCACCCGTGATAAGCAGCCTCCAACCCAACCCTCCCCACAGTCCTCTCGCCGGAACACCATCTCCGGAGCCACACCCCCACTTGTTCCCCAGTCACTCCGCTCCCCTAGCTGGAGCAGCTTGCCCCTCTCCCACCCTGACCAGCTCCCCGCCCCACTCTACCTCAACGACAAAGGCCACTCCCCCTTGGACCTAGCCTCAGACCCCCGCCTAGCCGCACCCTTGGGCTACGACCACCCACGCTCTCTGTCCTGCTCTACGCCCTCCGACCCCACAGCTGGCGGCATCACAATGGCCGATTGGGAATATGTGTTGAGCGACATGGACCGCGGGTACTCCAACATCTTCACAGGCATTTACGGCGGCAAAGAATGCGGCGAGGACCCCGGCCCGTTCGCCTCCATCACAGCAGAATACAATCGCAAACCCAACGACGGCTCCCTAGTCAATCACCCGCAGAGTGAGATGCACGGCCTCTCGCCCGAGGCATGGTCCGCTAGTAGTGGCGACTTCGTACCTAAGCAAGAACATACCGCGCAGAGCGTTCTGAGCTATTCGAGCGAGAGTATGGGAAGTACCGAGGAGTCTCTGGCGCCCTATGCTGATGTTAGAGTCTGTCCTGAGGATATCAACACCATCGATCCTTTCCATACTTTTGCTATGCATGGTGAAGATGAGGTCGATGAGTTTTCTCTGGTCAATGGCTGGGACCAACGGCTAGCCGTTTGATTGATTATGTAGCGCTGGGGCTCTTTTGGAACGGATTTGGGGTTTGAAATGGCTTTTTGCTTTTCTGTTCTATTTATGATACCTAAGGATTGGGGCGTTATTTTATCTTTGATTTTGTTCTGCTATTTTCCTCTTATCTGTCTTTAGTCTGCTCTTATGTTTGGAACCATTTTTTTGTCTGCTGTGGCTGGTATGCCTAGTATATAGTATATTTTCTCATGATAGGTAATGCCTAGGATATCGCGTATATATGAATTTGATGATGATCACAACACTCTTTTGGGCCCTAATTACACCCGAAATAGATCTCCATATGGGAATATTCCAATCGGTACCTTTGCGTGCTGTGCTCCCTCTCAATATACTTGACGGGAGAAAAGGCGCCTACAAGCATTAAACTGCATATGTACCACCTAGGTAGCGGCTTTCCTATGCAACCTCCCAGCGTTCCCTTTCCGGATTCGTGCCCACTACTCGCCGTTAGGCCAAAAAGACCACTATATCGAAGCTTCCATTTGCTCGGTAGAACTGCGGATTTGTAGTCATGATATGATAACCTAAACACAGCGCCTGTTGATTTTGTTAGTGTGATTCAGTTTTAAGATGACATCAAAAAAATTCTAACCTTAACCACTCGGCCACACTTGCTTATTATTATCATTTCCAAGGTTACTCAAATATCCTACACAGTAACTCGTAGGTATATACATGTGGTAAGTAACCTTAGAAGGCCCTATTTTACCCTAATAGGCACGATTGCCATCGCTATACTATAGAACATTTACGCTATATATAATTAGTAGCTCCCATCAGGTACGAACGTTTAGGAGAAGTACTAATTGTGGGCTGTCTGGCCAACGTGATTGGTCGACCCCTAAATAATCTGATGTATCCACGGACTTGTACCTTCGCACTGATATACTTCGAATGGTGCAACCAGCTGGGGTTACCAAGCTCGTATAGATACTCATGGATACACAGCCAGTAAGCACTACAGGGATCGGCTTCCGAGAATTCCTATAAATGTCACTCTTCAGGGAAGTCAGTCATGGTTTGCATCTCATCTTTTCGACCCTACATCTCCTAAATATGAGACCCGAATCAAACTCATATCCCAAAATGGGCGCATGGAACGAGATCCGGCCTCGGTTTTTGCCAGCCGTGATCACCATGTTTCTCCTCCTTCAGGTTCTTTTCTTAGCGAACATGTGCTACCTTTATGCAACGCAGTTCCGAAGTTCCACCCGTTACCACAACTTCAATTTGCTCTATGTCGACTATGATGGTGGTATCATCGGCAAATCAGTTTTAGATGCCTACCAGCAATTACGAGGAGATGGGTTCCCAACCTTGATGCCGGAATCTTCTAACGAATATCCTCAACCAGAGGACATTCGAGAAGCCGTATGCCGCGGTGAGTACTGGGGGGCTATTTACTCCACCGAGAGTGGATCGAATGGTCTAGAATCGGCCCTGGCAGACGGGTCCAGCCCGCCGACTTCGCTCACATATATCTGGAACGGGGTGAGATACCCGGTTTGGTCGCAAGCCGCGGTCTACTCCAACATCTTGAAACTGATTGAAACCACACGGTCAACATACTACGCCAACAATGGATCTTCAGTGGCCGCGTCCGCCAATCTCTCTAATGCAGCCACCCTCGAAGCCTTCCTCGACCCGATCCATGCCGAAGAAATCAACATCAAGGGCACGGAACAAGGCACAAGAGTCTTCTACAACACAGTATCCATGGTCATGCCAATACTCCAACAGTTCTTTTTTATGTTGGCACTGAACGGGGTATCAACCCATTTCGACGCATTCACCAAATTGTCCTGGAAAGCCAACGGCCTGGTTCGCATCATAGCCTCCATCCTCTACACCCTCACGGGCTCACTGTTAATGGCAGGCTATATCTGGGCCTTCAGAGAGTCCTGGGGGGACAGCGAGGAAGTCGGTTTATGCTGACTTGGGTCATTATGTGGCTTTTGATGCACATAAACTTCCTGTTTTTCGACATCACGACTGCTTTCATCCCGATTCAGTTCATGCCGTTTATCGTTCTGACGTGGGTCATTCTCAATGTCGCCAGCACTATCAGCCCATTCGAGCTGAATCCCGGGTTCTTTCGTTGGGGCTACGCTCTTCCCTCCCATGAGGCCTACCAGGTCCTGATCCAGATCTGGTCTGGTGGGTGCAATAACCGGCTCTATCGTGCGCTTCCCATTATGTTCTCGTGGTGGACTGTTGGTGTTCCTATTGCAGTGTATGCGATGCAGCATCGTTGCAAAACTGCTGTGGCTTCCCAAGAAACCTTGGATCGTGCAGGCCTGGAAAACCAATCCAAAAAACATGCGACAACGAACGAGACAGTGACGCCAGTTGGTAGCCCACGTCGCGAACTTGAGCAAAATGCGGACTCAGTTGAGGCTATTCCTCCTCATCGTATTGCCTAAGCAGGGAGCTACCAAGGTGGAAGTGGCTAGTGGTTGTGATGAGAGTTTGGGGCAAACTGGAAATTGACGGAAGAGAGAAGGGATGAAAGATGCCTTGCTTAGCAATGGTTTGACCACCTTTGGAGGCCACCTGAGGTGCATGATCCATAGATGTATTTTAAGTACACAAATTGAGAGAAACTCTCCCATCCCAAATTACACTTACGGTGAGTGCCCAAGGCACGAAAATGTTGGAAGCTCGCGTTATCTTCTTTTGCCTTGTAGATGAATAGACTTTACCTACATAGCTAAGAAGATTCTGTGGCCTATCCAACTCAAAAAGATGCCTAGTATTTAGGACTGCAATTCAATCAAGTTTATGATCGTGTCAAGTACGCCCAAGAGAACATTATGTGGGAAATAATACAGCCTATTTTACCACTAGACCATAACAAAAACCATGATTCCTATTTAGGGCCTAGGGAGGCCATATCCCATTTCAACACATCATACAATTCAAGTGTTAGTGTGAAAAAAAAAGGAAAGAGGTGGCGTAAAAAAGAAACAATGCAGCCACGGAAAACTCTCGTGACCTTTTAGACTCGCTAGTCTGGTTGGGAATCAAGACAGCGGATGAGAATTACACTTAAAACAGGATTATCCCTCCAAAGAATGAATATTGTCATAGGAGTGTAGCCGGCCCCGAGTGGATGCCAAGCTTTGTGGCGGCCACCGATTGCATCACTACTTCTCCAGACCCCAGGTCATCGCGTGGTTAACTAGTTCCCCCACAAATATTATTCGTTCCCAGAAAAGAAAAATCACGAGGCCCAAAAGGCCGAAACTTCCTCGCCACCCAGAACTTCCTCGCCACCCAGAAATCGTGGGCATGGCGTCTAGAGTTGATATATCCTGACCAACAGCAACAATAAACCACGCGGGCACCCCGTAGCCGAACCAGCGAATCTGACGAATCCGTGTAAAATTCCCTGAACTGTCTCTTTACTTGCTGGAGTTGAGCGCAGGTTGTGAAGGGCGATGCTCGGGCGCTTGGATCAACGTGTCATCGGTGTGATGCTTCCTGCCTGAATCGGTATGAGTTCCCAGAAACTCGGCTTCCGTCACTGCCCCATATTGCCGGGCCTTGGCTTTCTTGGTCCGGCAATGGCTGTATAAGAAGGGTTGATCCGGCACAGCCATGGATTTCAAAAGATTAGTTGCCAAGTAGCAAATATCACAGGCAAATAGTACTCGCTGGCGCTATGTTCGATAAGATCCTCAAAAAGCGTTCGCAGGACCTCTCCCCTCAGTCCCCTATTTCCTCAAATGGAGAGGAGAAAGGTCCCGGTGATGTCGTCGACACGCCTATTCCGCTCCTAACTTGGCGCTCATTCATTATGGGCATTCTCGTTTCTATGGGCGGTTTCCTTTTCGGTTACGACACTGGTCAGATCTCCGGCTTTCTGGAGATGCCAGACTTCCTTCAGCGTTTCGGTGAACCTCAATCGGATGGGACTTATCATTTCACCAATGTCCGTTCGGGTCTCATTGTTGCCTTGGTAAGCAGTTTGTTCTTTACCATTTCTTACTTGTATGCTAACACAACACCCAGCTGTCCATAGGTACTCTGATAGGGGCTTTAGTCGCAGCACCGATCGCCGACCGCTTTGGACGAAAGTGGTGTATCAGTTGGTGGGCCCTGATGGTTTGTGTTGGAATTACGATCCAGATATCATCGCCTGTTGGCAAGTGGTACCAGATCGCCATGGGTCGTTGGGTTGCCGGGCTCGGAGTTGGTGCCGTTTCTCTATTGGTACCTATGTATCAAGCTGAATCAGGACCGAGGCACATTCGAGGATCGCTGATTAGGTATGTTGGACAGCTAGCCCTAGGGTCATTCCAAAGTGCAACTATCGCCTACTAACCTTTCCCAGTACATATCAGCTATTCATCACGCTGGGAATCTTAGTTGCCAACTGTATCAATTTTGGAACCGAAGCTCGCCCCGACACCGGTTCATGGCGTATCCCTATGGGTATCACATATCTTTGGGCCGCAATCCTTGGTGGTGGTATGATGTTCTTCCCTGAAAGTCCACGTTACGACTACCGCCATGGCAAAGTGGAGAAAGCTATGGACACTCTTTCCAAAGTCTATGGTATCCCTCGTAACCACCGCGCTCTCCACCTCGAGTTCGAAGAAATCAGAGAGAAATACGAGGAAGAGAAGCGCAACGGGAAGGTTACCTGGAAACAGATGTTCCGTGCCCCGACGATGTCGAGACGGATCGCAATTGGCGTCGCCCTGCAAGCTCTTCAGCAGCTGACAGGTGCCAATTACTTCTTCTATTATGTGAGTTTTGAGATCTTGGTATAACGCAGAGAGAAGAGAATCGACTAACACCTACCAGGGAACAACGATCTTCAAGGGCGCTGGAATCCACAACAGTTATGTCACGCAGATGATTCTAGGCGGTGTCAACTTTGGAACAACATTCCTTGGCCTCTATCTGGTCGAGCACTGGGGCCGACGCCGTTCTCTCATAACCGGTGCGCTATGGATGTTTGTCTGCTTCATGATCTTTGCCTCGGTGGGCCATTTCTCCCTCGATCAACAATTCCCAGAGAGAACAAAAACTGCTGGCATTGTTATGGTTGTCTTTGCCTGCTTTTTCATTCTTGGCTTTGCCAGTACCTGGGGACCCATGGTATGGACGATCATCGCCGAGTTGTATCCTTCGCAATACCGTGCGAAATCCATGTCTCTGGCGACAGCATCGAATTGGTTTTGGAACTTCCTCCTTGCCTTCTTCACCCCCTTCATTACCGGCGACATTGACTTCCGCTTCGGGTATGTCTTCGCCGGATGTCTTTCCTTGCAGCGGGCCTGGTTTACTTCGGCGTTCTGGAGGGACAGGGTCGTACTCTGGAGGAGATTGATACTATGTACATGATGAAAGTGAAGCCGTGGAACAGCTCGAAGTTCGTGTTCCCTGCTGATCCAGCCGTTATCCGGGGCTCGTTTGATAAAGGAGAGGAAGCTCCTACAGCATCTCATGTTGCAGACCCTACCATTGAGCTCCGAGAAGATGGATCGTCGTCGGTGCCTGAGACACGTGCGTAAGTATGAAGATGGTTGTGGATTTCTTTCGCGCGCAAAAAAAATAGTGTGGTTGTGCTTGTACCAACATTGTTATTTGTTTTTCTTTCAGAACACCATTGTTTATTCAATCAGCCTGTAATTCGAAGAGTATAGCTTGCACCAATTTATATTTTGAAATTTGTCCTTTGATATTGCTATTGGCCTGTGTGATACTCTCTAGAGGACTGGGTCAATTTCATATGTCGGCGACTTCCTCACAAGAATTCCATCCAAGTATCGCGTCAATCCCTCCACATCTCCTAGTTCACCTACCCATCCGATATATTGATCCGGGCGAACGACCACCAGCGCCCCAAGAACCCGGTCAACTCCCCACTTCTCATATGCTGTTCCATCACAATATCGATCAAATATACAAGCATCATCACACCAAATCTTGTCATATGCCCATCCTTTCACCGGATCGAACGGACATAGAACCTCTGGGAAGTCAAATAATTCTACCTCTTTCCACGGTGAAGCATGGATGGTGAGTGTATCAATAGGACTCTTGAATCGACCAGGAATCTCTAAGTAGCGGCTCAGGGGTGAATTGTTTGATCCAGAGTGTCCAGCCAAAACCCGAGTCAAGGTCTCAATGCGTTGCTTCTGCATTGGGTTTCGTATATCCCCAGCTAAAACTAGAAGGCAGAAGCGTCCATCGCTTTCCAAGGATCTTGTTGTCCATTGTGTACCGCCATCAGTCTGATTGCGGAGCTTCACCGGCCGGACTCTTTCCCCAGGAATCATAAGCCGTGCAAAAGCAAATTCAGCATTCTCTTCAGCCTTCCGGACAAGACTGCTCGAAGGGTAAAAGACCTTCCACCCATCAGCAAAGTCCTCAAACTTCCCCGCAATAAGGGCCATATCTGAAGCTTTCGTATCCGCCACTCCAGACTTCCGATCAGTAAACATAGGCGACCAATGACGATCAAAGTCAAGTAGCATTTCCGCAAGCGGGTGTCTCTCCGAAGCATAAGTCTCAAGAACCTCAGGCTTGAGAGCACCTGCCACAACAAGAGCAATCTTCCAGCCAACATTGAACCCATCCTGCATACTCATATTCATCCCAAGACCCATCTTAGGTGAGTGCGTGTGCACTGCGTCACCGGCAAGGAAAATCCGGTTGTCCTTTGTGGACTGTGTGGCGATCCGCTGCCCGACTTGGTAGACGGTCCACCAGCTACATTCTTTGAAGTCGAAGGTGAAAGGAGCGAAGATGGCTTGCACACGCGCCTTGATTAGCTCCGGCGTGATTTTTGAGCGGTCGAATCGGTCGGTGGTGCCCGCCTCGCAGGTTTGCACGGGGACGTAGAAGCGGACTAAGCCGCGCTCGCGTGGAATTACGAGGATTGTGCCTGCGGCATTGTTCACTACGCTTACGCGGCGGATGTCCGCTGTCGGCGATTTAATTTAGTGGTGTTATTGGGAGAGCAGCGTACACAGTGGGTAGTACTTACGGAAGTCGCTGAGGGGTATCACGTCTATCACGCCCCTGTATATGCAACTATATTAGCTGCTGTAGCGCGGGTGGATGATGAGTACGACTAACCATATATGGTCCGTGTTAGACCCTTCAACGGGGATGTTTAGCTGTTTCCGCGTCCAGCTGTGGGCACCATCACATCCGATCAGGTACCTGGCTTTAATAGTCTCAACCTGCGTCTTCTGCGGTTTTTTACGCGGGGCTAGATCGGCCCAGTCATCACGAAGCAAGTTACTGCGGCTCACCTCGTTGCCAGCAGCTTCGGACTCAGCTTCTGTTTCCTGGCCGCACGGCGCACTCGAATCATCTTCGCCAAGGACTCGGACCTTGACAGTGATAGGATACGAGTCGGGATCATTACTCAATGCCTCGTCATATTCCAAAGAATCGGCGATCACGCTCCGTTCCACGTCAAGATCTGAGTGCTCCCGAATACTATCGAGAATGAATCGCTCAATGCGTCCCTGGTTCAAACGTGTATTGTGGAAGGGCGACTCGTCGACCCTAAAGATGTTAATCTGAGCCTGTCGAATAAGCTTTCCCTGCGGACCGGGGACCTATTTGCTCGTGGCGTCGTCAGGCAAGCCCTAATCTCGGCGGAAAACAAGGTGATACACACCCAAATGTTCGCCTCGGTGGAGATAGATCCCTCTTGTATAACACGGTGTTGGAAACCCATGCTATCGAACAACTCCAGCGTGCGTGCACGAAGGCCGTCTGCATGGCCTAGGAAGACTTTCGTGTCACGGTTGTCGATAATGCGTGCGTTGACTCCACAGCGAGCCATCCAGTACGCTGCCATCAGGCCGGATGGCCCAGCACCGATGATGAGTCTGTGAGATATTGTTAGACTATGTTGGGTAAAGGTAGTTGGGACTTACACATCAGTTTGGGAGTGAGTAGATTTGTCTTCTTTGTCCATGGCGTGCCACCGGATATCTCGATATATTCGAGCAGATTCTGAATGATGACCCGTGGATAGAAATACGAACGATGATCTCTTAGACACAGATACCCTTTATATGGAATAATGTGGGTATGCTGCGCTACAGGATCACAAAACGAGGGGCCCAGCCCCATGTAAGCTGACTCAAGTCACAGACAATCCGGGGGTTGTAGGAACCCAAAATCGTTCCTAATTCAAGGGTGTTCCGTGTTGATTTGTGCAATGATTTCTCTTATAAGCCGGACATACGATGATTTTTATTCACGAATCCAGGTCAATATGCTTTGATATGCAGGTCATATCAGTCAGATGCCCTAGTTTTCTTTATGTTGTGTCATGGAGTTCCCCCAGCTGATTTGGCCAATTTTCAATGTACGCATGTAGCGCAAGCTGACCTGACTATCATGTTGCTCAACCTGGGCTGGGATGATTGAATTTGTGGCGGGGGATTTTGCCCGAAGATTCCTCTCTCACAGTCGTCGGAGTTCAGGTTCCGGGGGTGGCGATTGCCTTGGAAGGCCGTGAATTCTTTGAATACTTATTCATGATATCGATGAAGGAACCAATATGGATTATTTGATGCAAGTATCGTCTCCAGAATTTGATACTGGGCTGGGATATTCTCATCTTTGTAATCCTGGGTGACAAAATGACTTCCTGGGGAAACACAACAAGGGTCTGGGTTGTATGTGTACCCGGATGGGAGATTGGACGAAGACATGCTCATAGCAGGCAAGCGTAGCTCGACGTCCATGTTATACAGACATCTCGTATTTCAACCGAAACCACGTTGCCTATAGATGTATCACATCGATGTATAGTTCAAATATGCTTTGCACGTGACTCCATAGTTTATCCTGCGCTAATCTCCTTCCGGCACACCGGGATGTTGACGGCGAATTCCCCCAACACGTTCCAGCGACGACATACAGTTTCCCTGGGTCGTCTTGGAAATTCTTTGGAATTGCCGTTCCACTTATATTCACAGATTTTCATTGTCATTGGTGTTTCATTCTTTCTTCGGATTGGCCTGATTAGGGAATCCGATGCACGGCCACGATTACAAGCGCTGAGTTGTCGAGGAGCTGCAAAGAAGGCTTCAAGGCACTAATTGGCACTAATTCCATCAAAGTGGTTTTTTTCTGTTGAACAGCTGATCATCGGCACGGTTATTGAGGAGCCATAGATGGGATTTCGGCTAATTCCACTCCGTGGAAAGGTCGGTTGAGAGTCGGAGCAGGGTCCTCCGGGCGGCTCCCGGTGTATACTCGAAGAACGTGTGGATGTCAATCCGGAAGAGTGTCGGAAAATACGGGCCATTTAGGTCACAACGGAAGAAACGGCTATTGATGCATTCGAATGTTTCGAGAAATACAGGTACAGGAGTGGTAGATTTGACAATAATGTGCCACTGATACACAACGTTGTGGCTTCATACACATGTCCAGGGACAGGTACATAGGTATCCATGGATAGTTGCAGGCCCTGGGGTGGCTCCTTGATGACTCAGCCCATGATGCAATAACTAATAAGATACCCTATACAAGTTTAGAGAGGGCAACTGGATTGATTTAGCCTGTCAATTGGTATAGAGATAGTAGCGTAAATAGATTTCTTCAATACTATCTATCAAATTTCTCTGTTAAATGTGACCTGAACTCCGTAAGCTAAGTCGTTGAGCTGCAAGCCACCAAGTCCGCCCCCCACCCGACATCATACCCCCACCAACAAATAAGTTCCCCTCCCTCTTCTCTTCTTCTCTCATCCATCTCTCCCAAATCATTCCCTTCACTCAAACATGTACGTACTCAGCTGAATTCCTGTGGTTTTCTTTTCTAACGGTATCAGAATCCGCCATCATGGGTTACACTGATCTGGACCAGTTGGCTGTTAACACCATCCGTGTTCTCGCGGTACGTTGAGCTCCGGGCAATCGCCCCTTCGTTTCATGTCTTCAATTGGAGCAATCTCGGGGTCTTCGGCCTCATATGAAGCTTCAATGCATACAGTCTTGGAAATCTGACTGACATTTCTTTATCAGGTTGATGCCACCTCCAAGGCCAACTCCGGTCACCCCGGTGCCCCTATGGGCATGGCCCCCGTGGCCCACGTTCTGTGGAACCTGATGAACTTCAACCCCAAGAACCCTGAATGGGCTAACCGTGATCGTTTCGTTCTCTCGTATGTGCTTTCCCCTGTCATCTGAATCCAGGCTGGTTCTTTCCATCCGAAAATCAATGACCATGCTTTTGGAACACCGGCTAATCTCAAATTGGATAGGAACGGCCACGGCTGCATGCTGCAGTATGCTCTGCTCCACCTGTTCGGATTCGAGCTCTCTATTGATGACCTGAAGAACTTCCGTGTAAGTACCCCCGAGCCATATACAGCAGCCTTTTACTCATTTTAGTAGCAACTCGACAGCATCACCCCCGGTCACCCCGAGGCTCACGACACCCCCGGTATTGAGGTCACCACTGGTCCTCTTGGCCAGGGTTTCGCCAACGCTGTTGGTCTCGCCATGGCCCAGGCCCACTCCGGTGGTGTCTACAACAAGCCCGGCTTCGAGCTTTTCAACAACTACACCTACATGTTCTTCGGTGATGGTTGTGCTATGGAGGGTATTGCCAGCGAGGCTGCCTCGATGGCTGGTCACCTTAAGCTTGGCAACCTGATTGCCATCTACGATGACAACCACATCTCCATTGGTAAGGTTGGCTCCAGTACCTCAAGCTAGATATGAAAGGCTAACAGCTTATCTTCACAGATGGTGACACCAAGTGTGCCTTCACTGAAGATGTCACTAAGCGCTTCGAGGCCTACGGCTGGCACACCGAGTGGGTCAAGGATGGTGACAACGACCTCGCGGGTATCGAGGCTGCCATCCGCAAGTGTCAGCAGGTTACTGACAAGCCCTCCATGATCAAGCTGACCACCACCATTGGCTTCGGCTCCAAGCTTGCCGGTACCGGCGGTGTCCACGGCAACCCTCTTAAGGCCGACGATGCCCAGAGCGTTAAGAAGCTTTTCGGCTTCAACCCCGAGGAGAGCTTCGCTGTTCCCCAGCAGGTTTACGATATGTACCACAAGCACGCCGCTCAGGGTGCTGCCAAGGAGCAGGAGTGGAACCAGCTCTTCCAGAAGTACCAGTCCGAGCACAAGGCCGAGGGTGCTGACCTCGCTCGCCGTCTCTCCGGCAAGCTGCCCGAGGGCTGGGAGAAGAAGCTCCCCGTCTACAAGCCTACTGATCCTGCCATTGCTTCCCGTAAGCTTTCCGAGGCCTGCCTCGAGGCTATCCACGACGTCCTTCCCGAGCTGGTCTCTGGTTCCGCTGATCTGACTGGCTCCAACAACACCCGCTGGAAGAACGCCGTTGACTTCCAGCCCCCTGACCTCGGAATCGGCGAGTGGGCCGGTCGCTATATTCGCTACGGTGTGCGTGAGCACGCCATGGCTGCCGTCATGAACGGTCTGGCTGCCTACGGCACCATCATCCCCGCCGGTGGTACTTTCCTGAACTTCGTCTCATACGCCGCCGGTGCCCTCCGCCTGTCGGCTTTGTCCCGCGTCCGTGTCATCCACGTCGCTACCCACGACTCCATCGGTCTGGGTGAGGACGGCCCCACTCACCAGCCTATTGAGACTCTGGCTCACTTCCGTGCCATGCCCAACTGCATGGTCTGGCGTCCCGCTGACGGTAACGAGACCAGCGCTGCCTACTACTCCGCCATCACCGCCAAGCACACTCCTACCGTCATGGCTCTGACCCGCCAGAACCTGCCCCAGCTTGAGCTTTCTACCCTTGAGAGCGCCCTGAAGGGTGGTTACGTCGCTGTCGACACCCCTAACGCTGCCGTCACCATCGTCTCCACTGGTTCCGAGGTCAGCATTGCCATTGAGGCTGCCACATACCTCCAGGAGAAGCACGGTGTTGCTGCGCGTGTTGTGTCCATTCCTTGCTTCGAGGTCTTCGATGCTCAGACCAAGGAGTACCGCCTCCAGGTCCTGCCCGACGGCATCCCCGTGCTGTCCGTCGAGGCCTGCTGCACCATGGGTTGGGAGCGCTACTCGCACGAGCAGTTCGGTCTCAACCGCTTCGGTGCTTCCGGTCCCTACAAGGAAGTGTACGCCGTAAGTTATCTTCGCTCATTGTCTCATGACCATTTACTAATTATCTGCAGAAATTCGAGTTCACCCCCGAGGGAATCAGCAAGCGTGCTATTGCCACCATCGACTTCTACAAGGGCGTCCCCGTGCGCTCGCCTATTAACCGTGCTTTCCAGCAGATCCTGTAAGGGACGGAACGAATATGACGTAACAAAATGTTTTGGTTTTTTAATAGGGGAGCTATGGCCCTCTAGATATACAAGAATGCGAATAGAGCACTCTACTGTTCACTTCTCAACCCAGCACCCCTAGAAGAGTAATTATATCCGTACATTATACCTATCAAATTTGATCACAACTCCCCCCATTTCTTCTTCTGCATCTCTACAACATCCCTCAACATCTCCTCTTTCTTCTTCCTCGTCTCAGGAGTATAAGGCCCATAAGCATCTTCAGTCTGCTTAACAACCAAGTCCCTCCAAGCCTGCTCACCCTCAATATCAATCTGCCCCAACTCCCCCCACACATCCTGAATCGTCGGCGCAAGCTTCTGCAAAAACGCCCCAATCCCACCCTCCCCTCCACCTGCATGATAACTCTCAAACACACCACTCCCAGCCCACCGCGGCCCCAAACTAGCCGTAACAAGAGAATCCAAATCCCTCGCCGAGACAACCCCCTCCCCAACAAGATAGCACGCCTCCCTCAGCAGCGCAAAAGCAAGTCTATTCCCCACAAACCCCGGAACCTCCTTATGCAGCGTTATAGGCCGGTAATGTTGCGCCGACTGATCCTCACCCGAAGCTGCAGGACCAGGTATATCACCAAAATACACCTTCACAAACTCAACCCTCTCAACCTTTGTCTCAGGCCCAGGCACGATCTCAACAAGCGGCATCAGATGCGGCGGGTTGAACGGATGCGCGACGAGCAAGCGCTCCGCAACACGGTCCGCGGCCTCGCACGTGGATGCCTGCGCCGACGCGGGGATTCCAGATGAGCTACTCCACAGGTGGGTGTCTGGTCCAGCGAGACCGGCGACTTCTTTCCAGAGGGCCTGTTTTGAGGCTGTGACTTCCGGGCTCTGTTCTTGGATGATTGTTGCGTTTTGGATGGCTTCGGCAACGGTGGTGGCTAGTTTTAGGCGGGATGTGCGGATTAGGTCGTCGATTAGGGTTGTTGATGGGGGGGAATCGAGGAGGGAGGGTAAAGTGCTCCGGATCTGGGATTCGTAGTCGGGGCGTGGGTCGTAGACTGTTATGCTGGTGTCGGGGCGCCGGAGGTGCATTGCTAGCATTGAGAGGCCGATTGTGCCGAGGCCTAGGAGGGCGATTCGGTGGGGGTATTCTGTAGCCATGGCCTTTGGTTTTCGGGGGATATGGGTTTTAGAAGGGCGTTAGGAAAGGGAGAGGGAGAGCAACAGTTGTATGTAGATAGTTTCGGGGATGTTCGCCGATGAGTGGGGAATGGAGGGGCCATGCGGGGGGCCTGTGGACCTCGGGAGGGCATTGTAGGTATGTAGGCCTTTTTATGTATGACTGCACTATACAATACCAAAGGTTATACATGGAAAAGTCCTTGTGTCCATTTTAGGCCATTTTCACCCCCTATATTCTAGCTACAACACCAGTAAAGGGGGAGACTTCTAAAGAGAAGATCTGAGAAACCAAGACTACCAAAAGAGACCTCACAAGGCCACATAAGCGGCTAACTATTTTTGTAGCTACCTACATTGACATATCAGTTTATCTGTGAAGTCATATCCGAGCTAATGACTTATGTATCTTAATATTGGTAACTTGCGTACATAGTAGAGTGGACAACCAATACCTATGTTGTAGAAGCAATGTCTAAAAGTTACCTAGAATAGGGATCCTGTCTAGTCTATATCAAAAGCTTCCAATATATGGTGTCTGTTTAGCAGATGATGTTGAGAAAATGACTTGCCTCAAATAGGTTCCTTCGTGCTCAGCCTCACCAGCCACCAACATGGATATGTGATTGGCGCCACGACACACGGCGCTAGCTATGCACTGCCTAAGCGTTTGAAAAAGACAACCTCCAAGATCTCACTCTCATCACTTTCTCATTTTCACTTCATCAAGCCATGTCCGATCCTCTCTCTGTAGCCAGTTCTGCTGTGGGTATTATATCTCTCGGCCTGCAGGTCTGCGGCGAGATTGTTTCGTTTTGCCAGGCATGGCGGGGTTTCAACGAAGATATCCAAAACATCGCTGAAAAGGCCGATGGGCTTCGTATGCCACTGAGAACCTTGAGGCAACTGATCGAAGACTTCCGTACAATCGACCCCACTATTGCCAGTGACCTTGAAAATAAGGCAATGAGCATTGAACGAGCGATAAAACGGCTCAAGACAGCGACAGATCGATACGCATCTACCACATCCGACACAGACTCTTTCAGATTTCAGCTGAAAAAGGCTGCATATCCCTTTAAGAAGCAAGGGTTGCGTGACATGGCAGGTGATCTGGATAGCGTCCAGGCTGTGCTCCAGACGGCGTTACAGATGTAGGTTTGGCTGCTTTGTGACTGCATAAGCTTGCAGCAATCTCTTAGAAGTAATATACCGGTGCTAACTAATATCAGCTATACGGTGCAAAGCACTCGAGCTATACTGGGGAAAGTGACTCAAGAGATGCAGGAGATGGTATTCCCTCATATACCCATACTCTCTCTGGGCCATACTGATTGAGCTATCGAGTCCAGAACTTGAAATTGCGAGATCTACCAAAACTACCGCCAAGTTTACTACAGTCATGGTGTGCTCAACAAGAACAACTGCCTGCATTGAGGTCATCTTTGCAAATCGCAACACAAGGTGACCATATAATAAAGAACACCTCCATCGAACAGAATCGTGATGAAACTTGCTCAGATTCATGCAGAACGAAGACAACTCATAGAAAATCAATTGCCTGTCAGAATCACAATCCAGCGAACAATGGATGTACATCTTGTCCACGCCCACCTCGCAAGGAAACAGAAGTCATCAGGCTATCGTACTCCTATTGCAGTCGCATATTAAGTTTTGCGATTCGAGCCTCGTTCTTGATTAATAAGGGAGCTGGAGGATATTCAATTGCTCCGTGGGTGCATCTACAGCCTTTATTGGACATGAAAGATAGTGTGGGATACTCTATTATCGACAATTTGTGGTTCGATGGTTATTTTCAATGTGAGAAACTGGACGATTTTGAGTTACTTGTGGGTCACACATTACAACAGTTGCAATGTGCATTCGATCTACAAGAAGCAACGCCATTTGATTTGATTTGGCATTACGGCGAAGAAGCCTCACTTTTTGATGTAGGTGCAACTCCATTCCGATGCCACCCATTTCTCTCACACAAATAGATTTTTTTCAATTATTTTCCTATTTGGATACCGAGGGGTCGACTCGAGCAATCTTCCAGACTGCTCAACTTTTTACTGGATTCCGGTTCCAAGCCAAACATTAACAGAAGTATATCCGATATTCGGGATGGTTTCGAGATGTTTCGAGAAGGCTACTCTTTAGGCTGGTGCCTACTCGACATAGGATATTCCTTCACTATCCGCGCTCCTAATTCTCCAGCCGACAGGCAGGGTATGCGGCACTTGCTTTCCCGAAGCGATGAGCGTATGTGAACTTTTCCCAGATCCCATTCAACAAGACTAATTTACTTCAAGCAATACAAATCACGGATATCGTAAGGATCATACTTCAAGAGTCTGAGGATGGATTGAGGGATGCCCTCAACTCGGGAAAAGCTTCCCCAAACGACATGATTGACGACACTTCCTCAATGGTTGATTATGCATTCGGATGGCCAAAAGGGATTCAAATCTTACTTGAAGCAGGCGCAACACCAAGTGCCGACAATGGGAGACTTCCTTATGTTATAGATAACGCCAACGAGGATACCTATCATTCAGTTAAGCTTCTTCTTGAGGCTGGATGGTTGTTCAGCTGGGCTGATATCTATGTCTCCCAAACGACCAAAGGCAGCAGGAAAATAAAATCACTTCTCATCAATGAACTGGTCGCACGACGCAAAACACTTTGGAATTTGGCCCAATCTTGCTTACCTTCTGGTCAACTTCCGAAATTGATCTCAGACGACGAGAAGACAGGCACAACTACGATATTCGATATCCACACCGCAGGGATACATGATTGTCTAGTAAAGCAAGGGATATCCATTAATCCAATCTTGTCGCGTAATTGTTCCAAGCATGTGCATTGCGTATCTGTTTATCATTACCCATTTTTCACTGTCGAGACGTTGGATGAACTCTACCAAGTCGGCTTCAGGGGTGTTACCCAGCTAGACTGGGAAGGCTTTATGCCTCTTATGATCGCAATGCATAATGATTTCTGGTCGAGCCGAACCGATAGCAGAAGGCGCAGAAAGGGCATGGAGCGAATATCTTGGCTGATTTCAAAAGGTGCAGATCCATATCAAAAAGTACCCGGAACTAGTGCAACTGCAGCGCATCATCTTGGGTTGGAGATCGTCGACCATTTCTTGGACAATTTCCACCGGTTTATTGTAATCGGATTAGACAAACGGAAGCAATATGAAGTCTGGAAACAGATGGTCTCAGATCTTGCAAAGGACGTTTTTCTCCTTCCTTCGATTTGGGATGGATGTGGTTGCGCCTGCTCTCCCAGCGGGTGTACTACGATGTCGGTATTGCTACGACATATCGTTCGTTCCTTTTCCATCCATGAATTCGAAGAGCCCAGTTTTTGGTTCCGAGAGTTGATACAATTCCTTCTTTGGTGGACTAAGGGAGACACAGAAACTGGCTGGGGGGTCATCAGATTTTTGACCTTTGATGCATTGGGTCTGAAACATTCATGTTGTATCAAAAACCACACAAACTATGAATATCCTCATTTCAAACTTGAGAGCAGAGAAGAAGAAGAGGTTGCAGAGATTCTCGACGAACAGAAGCCAAGACTAATGGAACTCGAAAAACTTCTCGATGAACTCAAAATCAAGTTTGACGAGCTTGGCCACCCCGTGATGGAATTTTTGGAAGGATACTGGCACACTCGCATGATCGAGGTTCTCTCCCAACGCGATCCCTACGACCAGGAACATATCATTGAATCAAGACGAATTGGTGTCACGCTAGAACCGGATGAATGTGTTGTCCCTGACAGGGTATCTCTGCTTATTGGCTCAAAGATCATGTATGAAATTAGTACATAGAGTCAGATATTGCGCGTATCTGCCTTATACATTTCTAGATCTCATATTAGAGTTAGTACTGTGTAGAACTATGACTATTTGAGGAGGTTTCAATATTCTTTACGGTCACTCGACGTCCATTTTGGAGTTAAGTGCAGGTTGGAGAATCCCGGATCGTACCCCTCACTCCCATGTAAACATCTCTGTGGAGCAAGGATGGCATCTATGGCGATGGGTCCCATAAAACTCACATATACGCTTAGGGTAGCAATAGAACCAAAGAACACAGAGCAGTGTACAATAACATTGCGGTTGGGCCGCACCGTATGCTCCAATCAAGTATCATTGCCGTTCTATTCTCCGATTATCATCTAACTATCAAAGATAATAATACAATTATCGAAGATAAGTTAATTAGTCTCTAAAAAAATTCAATTTCGGATTGCAGGGAACTCACTTTTGCATGTACCATGCTTGGAAATGCCACCATTCTATTGGAAAAATGGCCGCATAAAGTCTTTCCGCAATACCCGCCTTCCCGTGGAAAATCTCACACATCCCACACCCTTGCGAGGTCCAATCAATGTCTCTTTGATTAATATGACTCGAAGACTTGGTAGATTGCCCGTGTGTCGGAAGTTTTGCATTATCAATTAAGATCTTATCACTGGAAGCTAGAGCAAGTAAGGGGCAGTGAGCCAAGAGTTAGGTAGCTTGCGAAAGCTTCCCGCAATAGCCACCCCCGCAACAGCCGGCGATCCAAACTCTCCTCTCCCGGCACTGCAGAACATACCTACAGGAGTACGACGTCCTTTCCTGGCGAGCGGATCGATTTTCCACAACTTGAAGGTCATTTAGTTGACCTCGTTTCTGGTACTATCATCTGTACGTTGTCGGGTCAATAACCAAAAATGTCAACATCCCAACCCATGTGCTCACCTGTGAGAGCCTCAGCTCGAGTGCTCGTGATTCGTTCGATCTAGGGTTATGGGGGTTTGACGACACACTAACTACATAGTCCTTACTTTCCTTGCTTGAACCAACCATTGACTACGAAATAAAACACAAAAACACAAGCGGAGTCAATTTTTTGTCTTGCGCATACCGAACTTTATTGCGGCCTGGGTAGAGGTCAATTCGATTGAGCACTCGTCGTAAGATGTTTCGTCCGCTCTACAAGTGGGCTGTGGATATTCTCTCGCGGAATCAGACCCTTTCTGCCTTCTTCAGCCGTTCGCCTATATCTACCTCTCATACTTTTTAGGGCGAGGAAGCTAGTGCCTGAACGTTCATAAACGTTCACCTTCCTTGCAATCACATCCGTCTGAATAATTGAGTTTCCATCCTACGGTTGAAGGTGAAGATGAAATACATAGAATGAACAAGCTTTAGACTGTATTCACTACCAGATCGAGTGGAGAGTTAAGTTGAAAAATCGAGTTGTTGTGGAGGTTTCGGAACTTCCAATTTCTCATTCGGAGTGAAGATCAACTTAGTTCCTCATACTGTTGTGATCTCGATAGTTTCGTACGAAGTTAAAAGCCTCTTTAACAGTTGATAAAAACATTCCAACTAAAATTGTTCACCAATGCTCCGGGCCAATGGAGACGTCATTCACATCAACCCCGTCGACAAACCAACGCCCTTCGCCATTCCCGTCTGGGCCGAGAAGCAGATCGTTACCGCTCATCATGCGCTTGCACATCTTCCCAGTTTCCCGATCAAAGGTCCAATCCTCCAATCCATAGCAACGCTTCCAGCGCATCCCATCATCTACGTCTTGGTACTCGTACCAGAATTGCACAGCAATGCGATCGTCGCGGAAAGCAAAGAGTTCCTTCCGCAGACGATAGTTGTGTTCTCGCTTCCACTTGGCTGTCAGAAACTCAACAATGGCATCAGTGCCCGAAAAGAAAAAGGTACGGTTACGCCAGATGCAAGTTGGAGTGTATGCCTGCGCAATTCGTGGGGGATCCCTTTTGGCGACGGTTAGGAGGTTGTGTAACAGCAAGAAGATGGCTTCTGCTCCATAGGACAGAAAGTAAAAAAGGGAAAGTCGATCATGAGCGACAGTTGTAGGAGGCATATCTGCATGTGCACAAGGCCGCGCACGGACAGACAATGGAGATCAGAAGTATACAAGGGATGAAGCCCCCCGGGATCATCCTTCCGACCAGATGGTCTGCCTATTCGAGACCCGAGTGAAAGATGAAATCACGAACTTACTGAGTGTTCCACATGTCCTGAGCTGCTTTGACTTTCTTCTCAGCAGTCTCCTTGGTGAAAGGTGGTTTGATATCGGCCATTGTTGCCTTGTAGACGTGGCGAGGATGCAGATGGGTATTTTTAAAGGGAAAATGTGTTGGACGATCGAAGAAAGAAGAATCTCGAGCTTCCAATAAAGTGTCCGTTGATGGAAATAAATGAGTCATACACTCCAATCACAACGAACAATTCACTACCAAGCAACTTATATTTGAGGGGCTGTTTTTCCCGAAGGTTCCGTCGGGATTTGCCTCTATCAAAATCCAAACGCCAAGAACATTACGACTGACATCGGAAATTGATAGGAACTACACTACTTTGCGCATGGTAGCACCTGATTATGCAGTAGGTCCCGAGGACGCACATCAGCCCCATCGGGCCAAATGGACAAGTTGGGGACCAATTTACACTTCAGGATACGGCTATTGCGGGTATGGCGGGATATGCATGCGGACCAAAAAATACGCATGGTCTTGCGAGCCATGGAACAGCAGCATATAAAGTCCTCCCTCACCTCGTCATATATGACTTCAGCTGACCGTTTAAATCCATCCCTTCTCGTTAAACGATCCATATCTTTGTCTCACACTTTCGCAAAGGAGATTCGATAATCTCAAGTCCCTGACGATGGATTGGTCGTCTGCTAGATTGGTTCTCCATTACTTCGACATCGGAAGTCTGGGCCGCGGAGAAGTTGTACGGTAAGGTCTATAAGCCATGCGATGCGAATGCTTATTGACAAGGATCTGCGAGACGGAAGGCTATTTCTGACAGATGCTGGTATCCCCTTCCAAGATATACGCTACCCCTATGATGAAAGCTGGGCTGCAACTGCTTCAAAACTTCGGGAAGACGGCATTTCTCAGACAGGCAAGTTGCCAGTACTCGAATATAACGACAAAAAGTTGAGTCAGGTTTGTTTTGTCCGGTTGAGGGCTGAGACCAGTGATTTACATTTTCTAGCATATACCGATATTGCGTTATCTCTCGAGAGAAATAGGTGACTATGATGGACAAACAAGTCTTGAAAAGTACCTAGTCGACGCTATATCGGATATATACATCGACTGGCGAGTGAGTTCCAACCGCTTTATGCCACGGTATAGGGGCACGCTGAACAAAACATTAGACTCAATGGGTTGCGAATATGAGAAAACCCACGGACGAGTACATGAATGATTATGTGCCCAATTATTACCAAGCACTATCTCAATACTATTCTGACCGCGAGGGCCCGTTTCTTCTCGGCAACAGAATAACCTACGCTGATTTTGCAGTGTTCCAATCTATTGATAACGATGAGAAAATTGGAACCCTTCCGGTTTGTGAAAACACTCCTTCAGAACGACATGCATTCAATACTGATTTCCAGGGATTCAGGAGAATCTACCACCATCGATAAAGAAATTCAGACAGGCGTTTGAAAGCCGCCCTCGGGTGGAAAAGTATCTGGCAAATCGTCGCAATGCCAAAGTCTGAGGGAGGGAATTGAACCTTTTAGCCATTTCTACGGTTTAGCTACAATCTCTAGCCAAGTGTTAAAAGTAGTCCATTTATCAAGATTGCCAGATTTCACTGTGGTGATCCCTGAGGCACTCAGCTGCAGGGGGGCCTTTATTCTGTCTTTTTCTCGCTTCCTAGGTTCACGATTCACTGAATTGATGATGGCCCATTGAGCACCTTGCGGAATACTTTCTCTTCTTAAGCACGTATATATCTGAACGAGGACTTGGATACGTAAGCTACTCTGCGTTTTTAGGTATTTTTACTTCGGCACCACCCAACCACTGGTACTTTTTGCCACTAATAGACATGGTAAATTATCAATGGACAGCCCTACCCCGGCTGGAAAGAAGGGTTATGGTGATCCCAGTAGCAATGGAATGTACGGATCTGGCTGGATTGGAGCGAGATAGTTCGTGTCTATCAATCTTATTTCCAATATCATGGGGCTCTTCATGATCCCTTATAGTTCTCAATTTTTATTTCTTTTCCACAGCACCTTGCCCAGAAAATACATGTGGCAAATACGCCTAATTTATTGTGATCATTTATTTAGATGATAGACAAATACATTTCCATAAAAGATTTACGAGGAAGACACGGCTGTTTATTATCAAGTTTACGCAGACCGGGCAAATCCGATAGCAAACATCCAAGCCAAGCGATTTGCTTTCGTCTCGGCCAAAGTTCCTGCGGTGGTGAGGTGTTCACTATCCTGGTTGTCCAACACTCTCTTCCAGGACCTCATTCGACATAACATTATCCTCACTTTTAACTGTGATAACGCTGGACAAGAGGGAACCCAGCGCCGCGCGCGATATTCATGGATTATCTCAGTATAGACTGAGATGCAAGGCTTTTCCATCTTCGGAATTGGTCGATGGTAGCAAGAAGCCCCCTATCAGCTCGGGATTCGTCCTATGTCATGTCACCTTCCCCCTGACACCGGGTACCATCAATAAGCGTGGGACGAATAGGCGAATTCTCAAGCCGCTGGAGCGGCCTGAGAACGGTCAAATTACACAGGGAGATAGAGAAACGGCTATAGATAATGAAAATAGATAATGAAAAGCAGAATTATATTGTTGAACATTGGCTGTGAGATCGTTTGGAGTGAAGATTGGCGGAATAATACCAAAATTGCTCATCAGGGTTGGAACTGTCGCAAGTGTTAGAGGCAACAACACCCGAATTGGTGGTGGGGTGACCTCTGGTCAGCCTGTGGAACGAGCGCCCCCACACTATTGTCCGCACTTGCCGCAGCACCCGCAATTCCGCCAGCTACGGAACGAGGATGGTACGGGCATAATATCCTCAATGTCCTGGCTTAAATCCTATCGTGTCCCCGGGAAGAAGACTTTCCATTGCTTGGAGCCAGTATCAGGATCTAGATATTTCCAGGCGTTAGAGAACCGCACATCACTTTCCACTATGGCGACAACAGCGCTACAAGGATGGCATCCAGGCGAGCTGGCCGTCCAACGCAAGTTTGGATTTGCGGATGCCGTCAATGATCACTGGCTCCGTATAAGCAACTTTCTGCCTGAGCAGCACCGCAATTTCCACACGTCCAAAATCCCATTTCTTCCAATTACGACTATTGATGAGGACGGCCGTCCTTGGGCATCGGTTGTTGCTGGACTTACCGGTGAGACCGGGTTCGTGAAATGTCCGGATCCACAAACTCTTACCATCAGCATTGGAATTTGGGAAGGAGATCCACTTCTGAATACTGTGAAAGCATGGATCAACCCGAAGCACCGACTGGTTGCGGCACCAGAGAGATTCCTGATTGCTGGCTTGGGTATCGACTTCGCAACACGCAGGCGCAACAAATTTGCGGGACTTATACGAAGTGTGAGTTCTACTACAGAGTCAGAGTATCACTTTAACTTGCAAGTCACGGAGGCCTTGGGGTAAGTTTAAAATGGACAAGGCCATCTGGTTTTTTCCCGCAAATGTCCACTGCTAAGTCACTGATAGAAATTGCCCAAAGTACATCAATATCCGAAAGCTTATTCCTTACCCACATACCCGACCTGTGGTTGCGCATAGGCATCAACACCTGGAACCCCATCAACGCCTACCAAAAGAGGTAGTTGAGTTCATCCTCAATTCTGACACAGTATTTGTGGGCTCTATTTACAAATCAGAGACTTTAACAGCGACGAAATTCCCTTCACACGCGGGTATGAATGTCAGAAGCGGCTTACCAGGGTTCGTGCGCGTCAGCCCATCTGATGGCCGAACCGTGATACTTCCAGACTATTCAGGAAATAGATTTCTTTCCAGCCTAGGAAACATCGAGAGTAGTAGACTGGCTGGCTTAACCATGGTTTCTTTCACAACCGGCGATATCCTCTATATGACTGGTGCAGCTGAGAACATTGTGGGGCCATCTGCAGTAAAGATCATGGCCAGGCATACGACCATCATGTCACTGCGGGTTTCGGCGTTTGTTTTCGTTCGAGATGCTCTTCCTGTTCGACAACAACCCGGCACCTCTATTGAGCGCAGTCCGTATAGTCCAAAGGTCAAATACCTCGTGGAAGAGAGGGAGAATCAGTCCAGTGTTGCTGGGCAATGTCAAGCACTGCTTCAAAAAGCAGTCCAGCTTTCCCCCGATCTTGCCGTGTTCAGGTTCAAAGTAATTACTAAATCTGGTGTTAATGACCTGAACATCCGCCCTGGACAGGCTATCGTGCTGGACTTTATGGACTGGATTAATCGGCCCCAATATCAGCATATGGCAGATTCTGCTCCGGGATCCCTCAACGACGATCGTGTGCGTACGTGGACTGTGTCTAGTACCCATGAAAAACAGAATGTATCATGGTTTGAGTTGACAATGCGCGAGATGAAAGGGGGCGCCGTAACAGGTGCTCTGTTTGATATACTGAGGAAACACTCATCGAATGAATTGGGACGGCTTGTGTTGTTTGATGTTCCTGTTTGTGCAGACATCATCGGCACCACAGGCGATTTTTCCTTGAGTCATGACAAGGTCAATGTGCTATGGGTAGCGGGGGGATTGGGATAACACCATTCCTAGCCATGCTTAGTGCACTAGCGGATCGCGGCTCGACAGCCGAGGGTGACGTGATGCTAGTTCTGGCAACGAAAGAAGCAAAAGTCATGTTGGGATTGATGCGAGAATCCCTTAAAAACATATCATTGGCGGTCAATGTCAAAGTTGATATATTCACGGATGATGACCAGGTTGACTTGAAGGAGTTTAATAAGCAGCCCCGGATAATTTCTGTGCACAGGGGTCGCCTTTCACCGGGACACTGGGTAGGTATCCCTAAGAATATAGAGGCCTTCATCTGTGGTCCAAACGATTTTGGCGACTCGGTTACTAAGGGGTTGCTAGCTGCTGGTCTACCACTAGACCAAATTCATAGGGAAGGATTTTATTGATGGACGGAATGGTTTGATAATGCCATGTCATGTGGAGTACATTCTCTTCCAGTTGATTTCGGATCGCATTTGCTGTCCATGAGAAATACTTGTCATGCCGTTCAAAACCATGAAACCCCACGTACTTCTAGAGATTTCTGAGGGATTTGACCTAGAGTGTGAAAAGAGTAAATGCAAACAACTGTTTAGTTCAAATCCCGGTTGAGCAGATTGTTCATTTCGTCGCATCTACGACTCCACTCTTGTCCGCCGTAATCCAATTGCCTGTTTATTACTATTTATTCCCATGCAGGTCTCTTACTGCTATCGAATCAAAGCCAGGATGATATGTAGATGAATTTTAGACGGGATTGCCCTGGAGCTAACAACGGGTCCACGGGTGGCTCCCGAGGTCCGCTCTAGGCAATTACCTAATCAGGTTATGGTTCCAAGGTTAAATCAGCCTCCGAAGCTTATCCGTGGTCAACAATATCTCCGTCCGAGTCGCTATGTATCCTTATATTGCAGTCCTTTTCCAGTTTCCCTTTCCCTAATGATGACTGAAGAGGATTTTGACTCTCGGGCATACGTTATTTCGCGGTTATACCCACACTCACATGCCACATCCACTTTCCCGATGAAGACGAGGTTTCGGGACGCCGCCTAGTTCTTTAGAACCTGCAGCCTACTCACACGTCATCCTTCGCAAATACAGGATAAACCAGTAGTATTTCTAGGGCTAACGAATTCATCGCAGTCATTCGCGACGACAGGAAAGAAGCCGGAGTATCTTTGTTGCTCCACGGATCATGGCGGATCAAATCTTGTTAACAATAAAAAGGCCATACAATGACATGACGTCGTGATGAATCTCGGCGGAACATGCATTACATTAAGCACCGAGCTTAGTAGCCTCTATGAACCCGCCAATTATATTCAATGTTGAAGAACCCCATCATCTCAAGTATTGCAGCCCTGCAAGTATAAAAGCAAATTCCATTCCTCGATTTCTATCATATTCATCTCCTGTTTATTTGTACCAATTCTGTCCTTTTTTTTCAATATTCTGATATTTACTTCATCAATTATGTCATCTCAATCTCAACAGGGCAGCAAATTGGATATTAGCTCGATTACCCACCCTTTAGCCTCATTTACGTACGAAAATGAGGTGTACCAGGCCGGTCTTAAAGGCCAGAGGCCGTCGATAACCTTCGACTGTCTCGAGTGGGAAACCCTAGTCAAAGATCGGCTCTCAGCAGATTCCTACGGATATGTCTGGGGATCCGCCGGAACTCGCGAAACAGACGACAATAACAAGAAAGCCTTCAAAAGATGGGGGATCGTGTCGTCACGATTGGTCAAGAGCGGCTTCCCAGACCTCAAAACGACGCTTTTTGGCGAGACGTTCGATTATCCGATCGCCATGGCACCGGTGGGTGTGCAGCGGATTTTCCACCCGGACGGGGAGACGGCGTCAGCGAAGGCTGCCGAGCAGGAACATGTCACCTATATTCTCAGCACCGCATCCGCGACGAGCATCGAGGATGTCGCCAAGGCTAATGGGAATGGGTCTCGTTGGTATCAACTATATTGGCCTCTGAATGAGAATAATGATATCACAGTGAGCCTGTTGTCAAGAGCGAAGGCAGCGGGTTACAAGGTTTTGGTTGTCACCTTGGATACGTACATTCTTGGATGGCGTCCCAGCGATCTGAACAATGCATTCAACCCTTTCATCCGTGCAGACGATATCGGTGTAGCACTGGGATTTTCTGATCCTGTATACCGCCACCAGTTTCAAGAAAAGCATGGGAAACCCATTGAGGAGGACGTCCAGACTGCGGCCACAGAGTGGGCGCATACCGTATTCCCCGGTGTGAGTCACGGCTGGGAAGATCTCAAATTCCTCCAGGAACATTGGGACGGTCCAATTGTTTTGAAAGGAATCCAGACGGTGGCGGATGCGAAGAGAGCTGTGGATTATGGGATTCAGGGAATTGTTGTCTCTAACCATGGCGGACGACAACAGGATGGATGTATTGCGTCTTTGGATGTTTTGCCGGAGATTGTAGATGCTGTGGGAGATGATTTAGAGATTATCTTTGACTCGGGTGTTCGCTGCGGTGCTGATATCGTCAAGGCGTTAGCACTTGGTGCAAAAATGGTCCTTATTGGTCTTCCATACATCTATGGGTTGGCCCTTCAAGGTGAGCACGGAGTAAGCCATGTGCTGAAGAGCCTCCTAGGAGATTTCAATCTGAATCTCCACCTGTCGGGAATCACCTCAGTGTCTCCTGAGCATCTTAACCGATCGGTATTGCGTCGGACAGAAACTGAAAATTCGACGACTAGGCGATATGTTGAAAACTGCTTTTATACAATTCGAATATATTAAATCCCTCTTCGAACACGATAAATTCGCTCTTCGTATACTTTATATTTAAGTACTATAGATCTATTCAATTAATACATAATTCCTCTTTTCAAGTTGTGAAAATGGTGGAGACCGCGCAAGTGTTGTCACCCAATTCTATAAAGCAATCTGTGGAGGGGAAGAGGTCACTGCGATCATGTTGCAACTGGACAACGTGAGTGTACCGGAGTTCGACTGTGGACACGGCTAAGGAGGGGACATCGGCGCCGATGGTAATATCCGTGCCCCCAGTGCCGCGCATCGAGAAACCAGGCTCCCGATATAGGACCGTCAGGCGGGGAATGATCGGTAGAGCGAGGTAGCTCACCTCGGTGGTGAGGTCACCACGGAGTCTAAGCCCAGCCAGGCCAAATGGAAAGAGTAGGTGGTAGGGGAGGTTGATGATGGGTACCTCTGTGATTTGCGACAAATGCTCGTACTTGTCGAGGATAGAGTCGGTCAGAGTAGGTAGAACCGGGTCGGCGGAGGTGGGATCAGGCTAAGCCGGAGCGAGACCGTCGTTCCACAGCAGAGCGAGGTATCCACAAAAGTCAAGGGGGCATCTAGATCATCACCAGCGATGGAACACGGGTTTTGGCAGTGGTAGCTCTTTGACGTCCACAGCCATTACGTTGGCGTGAGTGTGTTATAATAGATGGGTGGATCCGGAGAAGACTCGGTGATTATGAGCAGCAACAATATGCTCGCACCACTATTCAAATATTAGAAGAGATATGATTCAATGATGGAATTGGACTTACTTCCGAATCATTGTTTATCTTCAGAAAGATGAAGTACTTCCCGTCAGCTGCAACGCCATAGACTGTTGAATATGTCTTCTCGAGATATTTCAAATTGCAATGTATGCATCTTTTGACCAAGTTAGATTATATTCCAGACTTTAAAGCAATGATAGTCGAAGCCACTTACCCATATACCCGAGTGCCTGGGGTACTCTAGTTGTCACGGTTGCACCTGATTTGGCTTCAACCATCACGACACTGACAGCAACGTCTTCCTCCGTTCCATACCATAATCTGTAGTCTGGCCGACCACGTAGGTCTTACCTTGCTCCCTTGTGTGCAACCGGGCAATACCTCCATGGGCTTCGGCATTAGGGTAGTTGGATTCTTTCAAATATTCAGTCCCCCGTTGTAATTAGCATTTGTGGGGTATCCAAACATCATGTTCATCTGGTATACCTCATCAATCATTGCCACGAACATATGTCGTGCGAGAATGGCAGCAACGGGCACGTGCTGGAAGCTAGCATGATGCGAAGCAATAGAGTACGATCGTGGATGGTCACACGGACGCCAGAATTCGACGTCTCGAGGAAGTTCCGACGCAACTTATCGGCTCGAATGTTGGGGTTTGTTGCGATCTTATCGCGAATTTCGACGAATTTCGCAATGAGTTCCTTTCTGCAGAAGTGAGGTGCTCAGCTGTTTCGGGAATATGTGTGCCCGACTCGTTTCCCGACTCGTTTGAGTCGTTGACAGGAACTTGGAGATCTGGATCGTGGGGTGGAAGTTCGAGAAATCGGTTTGTCTCTTTCCATCCAGTCGGGGTATTATATGTGGGTTTCCTTCCTGCCCAGGTGCATTGCACCTTCCTGTCCTGGCACAGTTCGTCGGGCTCCACTTGTTGTCCAGAGGGGCAGTTGGTTGCCCAGGTGAGAATGTTGTGTCAGGAAGGCACGAACTTGGATGCCACTAGATTAAATGATGAAAACTTGGAAGGTTCCTTCCAACTTTGGCTAGATTAGGTAGTTGGCATCAGAGGCCTCATGAATAAGGCCGCAAATAGGCATTGAGGTTCTTAAGGACTCTGACGTTGGTGGGCTGTCTAAGGTGAGCTTACACGTCTAATCTGTAGCCTGAAGTCCTGCTAATGTTATCAATCTAGATTTTCTTCTTTGAAGCATAGGATCTATAGATCTATCATAGACCCATTCATCTATCCCAATGCCCCAAAATTCAAAAAGTATACCAAGACTCAATGAGTATATCCTTCAACCAAATGCCCTCGACATTCAAGTTTCAATCACTGCAAAACAGCGTCTCGGAAGCCCTATGACCCGTAGTAATACAAGCCCAAGAGTGATCATTGCTATCAACAATAACCCCAGCACCAACATCATATTGAGCACAGGTCGTCGTGCCAGCAAACTGCGTCAGCCAATCAACAATATCGCGGCCTATATTGATGTCTTCACCCCTGTTAGGCGACGCCCGACAAGACATAGCAGCACTCGGCTCAGGAAGGGCGGACAGGTCGACCGACGATGTTGTCTTGTAATCATCCCGACGCAGCTCATCAAGAATACCACGCACAGCACTGCCAGGATGATCACAGACATGGATATGAATCTGTTCCTCGGAGCGGGTGGAGACACTGTTTATCGCAAGTGTTCCCGTACCCCTGATACCCCTGTTGTTGAGTGTATCCTGACCAAGCCGAAATCCGCCGTCCACGTCAGCAGCGGAACTCAATTGCAGAATGCCCGGTATCAAATTCGTCGTAGTGATCAAGTCTCCACCGCCAAGGACTACCCACGAAGGGGACTGGTTGGGTTGAGGCGGGCCAACGCCAATTGAAGGGCTGGCGATACAAGTCGTCTGGGTTCCGGCTTGGAAGTCCTGAATGCACCGACACAGACTGGAGAACCAGATGTAGCAGCCGTTGCATTCGAAATTGGCATCGACACAGCCCGAGTAACATTGAGAGAGCTCTGCTCGAGGTATCACCGGTGACGGCGGGGGTGGGGGGTTGCAGTTGATTGGACATTGTCCCGACGGTGTAACGCAGACCAGGTTGCTGGGTGGTTGTGGGAAAGTCGATGGGCATGTACAGCCTCTCACGTCCATTTTGGCAATGTCATCTGACGTACACAGGTTTGGCCCACCCTGTACGATGCTGACGAGGTCGTCACCCGTGTTATCTGTGACATTGAGAGTTTCCTGTCCGAAGATCGGGGTCACCAGGAAGAGAGTCACGATGAATGGAACGCAATGCTCAGAGATCTTCATTGTGATGGGTCGGATGTCAATTGGGAGCAAGTGAAATGCAAAACAATCTACTTCTCAAGTACAATGGCGACTATTGCTGAATATTTGTAGGAAAAATAAGCAGAAGCCATGATATGATGTAAACCTGCCGTATAGAGGGGTGCCAGCCCTATCGACCTCACCTTTAATGCAATCGGCTCTCATTTCCGCAGAGCTTCCAAGGTTATCGATCTCGACGTCCAATGAAAATGCATCTCACAGGAGGTATATTGGATCATCGCCGCATTTCATTACAGTCGTATTATTTGTTGAACACCGGGATCCCGCGGAGCCGAACATCGAAGACTTGGGTCCAATAACCGATGTCTTGTGCCTTGTTGCAAGAAGATACGGAGAAAGAAACATCGCGAGATATTTGTTAAACAAGTCATTAGTTGGTATAGGAGACTTAATGAATACGGCCGAAATCCTAGGGCTAATTTCAGGTTCCGTAGAATCAGATCTTACTTCCACAGTGACATCTATAAGTAAACACCCGTGGACCTAGGCAGCATAAAGCGCGACTACACGCAAGGCACAAGTGATAGAGGGGCACAATCTACGGAATAGAATGTACGAAAATCCATGATTTCATTTCAATATCGTCATGAGGATATAAAGACCATAAAAGTTTTTTCAAAGATCACGACATTTAGTTGCCGAGCTTCTGGCGGGCGAAGTTGGGCAGAACAAAGCTGGCGCGGTGAATGTCCTGGTTGTAGTAGCGGCAGAGCTTCTGCTCCTCCTCGGCGGTCCAGGTGCGGAGGGGCTCACGGACGTTGCGGGTGGCGTCCTTGGAGCAGACCATGAAGCCAATCTGGCCGGAGGGGTAGGTGGGGATGGTGGTGTAGGCGTACTCGGCGACGGGGAAGACCTCCTTGCAGGACTTCTTAAGTTCGGCAATCATGTCAAGGTGGAGCCATTGGTTCTCGGCTGTTAGATATAAAGCACAGCTCCGCAAAACCGAGCCCGTAAAGCGGGTTGGTTGCGGGGTGGTGCGAGAAATAATTAGCGTGTGATCTAATTTTTGGAGTGATATAAAATGAGGGGGAAGAAGGGGATGAGCAATCAAGGTGTGAGTGTCCTAAAAAGGGGATTGGGCAAGAGAAAAAAGAAAGTGACGAACAACCTTGGGTAGTGATGACACCTCCCTCGCGAAGGGCAGACTTCAGCAGCTCGAAGTAAGGCTTCTGGAAGAGGCTCTCAGCGGGACCCTCGGGGTCGGAGCTGTCAGTGATGATAACATCGAACTCGTTCTGGCGGTTCTTGAGGAACTCGAAGCCGTCACCAACGTGGGTGTGGGCATTGGGGTGCTGGAAGCCAATGGCCATGCCGGGCAGGTACTTCTTGGAAACACGGATGACGGCCTCGTCGATGTCGCACAGAGTAGCCTCCTTGACAGAGGCGTGCTTGACGACCTCACGGAGGACACCGCCGTCACCGCCACCAATAACGAGGACCTTCTCGGGGTTGGGGTGGGAGTTCATGGCGAGGTGGGTGATCATCTCCTGGTAGGAGAACTCATCGCGCTCGGTGCATTGGATAACGTTGTCCAGGACGAGAACGGTACCGTAGTCGCTGCTCTCGAAGACGAGGACATCCTGGTACTTGGACTTCTCGTGGTGAATGATCTGGTTGACCTTGAGGCTCATGGCCTGACCAGGCCACATGCCGGACTTCTCAGAGAACCAGCCATCTGTAGATGGACATCAGCATGTTATAACAAAATTGACCGGAAGGCGGGGTAATGGAGGGGGGGGAGTGTAGACATACCCTGGATGGTGGGGTGGGTGAGCTCGCTCATTTTGATAGGGAAAGAAGAGAAACGACGGGGGAAAGTAGAGGATGAGTAGAAAACAGAAGAGAGTCTGAAGAGACGAAGCATTCGAAGAAAAAGGGTTCGGCGGAAGTTTGGCTGTTTTGGGCGAATTTTTTGTTTCTTCTCGGCTCAAGTGGGGAACCGCTGTGCTGCCACCAACACCACCAAACACCCTTAGAAACAGGACTAGACCAATTCTAATATTGATAATAGGGTATTGGGTACCTCTAGTGGCCCTTAATTGATTGCAGTTTGACCCGGTAGACATGCCCCATGCCCACAATTGGGCATTGACACCTCGGGGACCAATAGAGAGCCCTAGAAAGACGCTTACTCAAGCTTGACTTTGAATATAAGAAAATAGAGACCTCTCAAGCGCAAAACGATGGCAGATAAAAGGAAAATAAAACGGTCGATTGCTTTCTAGTTACTGTACAAGCATACAGCTCCCCCAAACTGGAGAGTCTTGGGTGTATCATGCTCTGTTATATCAATCCAACCTCACTCCACGAAACATAATTGAAATAATTTACTCTTCATTACCACCCTCGAGAAGACGGCCGGGCTTGGAGTTCAGGAACTCATTGCTAACACATCAAATTAGCGCAACGATCGAAGCGGCTCCTATGGGTTTTCTTACCGCTCAATGGCCCAGTTCATCATGGCGTATGCGGCAACGAAGGGGGGAACAACGTAGAGAACCTGGTGACGGAAACGACGGAAGACGTTGAAGATGGCAGCGTGGCCGGCACCGGCGAAGGGACGCTGACGGTTAGGGGACAGCGAGTAGGTGGCGATGCGCTGGGGGGTCGGGCAACCTATAAGATGGATATTAGCGATCCGTTCGAATTGCGTCCTCCTGCTTTGTTCCTTCGGATCTTTCTCCATTCCTTATCGCGATCTTTCGTATCGCGTAAGGGGTCGGTCTGCTGCGCATGCATCGGGTGTCCGTATGAAAGGTTCAAGGGTTATGGTCAAACGTACCGAACTCGCCCCAGTTGCCGATGAAGCTATAGGAAGTAAAAATCGTCAGTTAACCGAAGGAAAGACACAGAAGTCACTGAGTATATTAAAGCCGACTCAATTGGCATCTTTGGGGAAATTGCACTGTGTAGCCGGGCGGGTAACGCATCCGGGAGGCCGGTACTCAACCCACGACACCAGGAGCAGACGCGAGACGACTTACTGTCCGTTCTTAGGATCCACAGAGCCACCCATTGTGAATGATTTCGGGTAAAAAGAGAGGAGTGGGGTGGAAAAGGTATGGAGGTAGCGAAATGAGTGAGGAAAAGACGAAGGTCGGGCGAAGTTGGAGGTTTGGAAAGATGGGCACTAAACCTAATTGGGAACACTCAGAGTGAGCGACGGGAAAAGCAGACATCATCTCCATCATCCGTCCTCATCACCTCGCCCTTCACCTCCAACCATGGCTCAAGTCCTCCAAAATGTTTATCGGCTGGCCTTCCCCGTGGCTATTGGGGGTATGCTAGTTCAAAATTCCCTTTACGATGTCAAGGGCGGCACACGAGCTGTCATCTTCGATCGAGTGTCTGGTGTGCAAGAGAAGGTTGTCAACGAAGGAACACATTTCTTGATCCCGTGGTTGCAGCGCGCAATTGTCTACGATGTCCGCACGAAGCCTCGTAACATCTCGACCACGACAGGAAGTAAGGATTTGCAGATGGTCAGCTTGACGCTGCGTGTGTTGCACCGCCCGGAGGTGCCGAAGCTGCCGCAGATCTACCAGGTGTGTATCTCATATGATCCCTAAGCTATCCACCCAAGTAAAAGACTGACCCAGAGTTATCCAGTCATATGGTACCGATTACGATGAGCGTGTCCTCCCTTCCATCGGAAACGAAGTCCTCAAGGCCATCGTGGCCCAGTTCGACGCCGCCGAGCTGATCACACAACGTGAGGCTGTCTCCAACCGTATCCGTACCGACTTGATGAAGCGTGCTGGACAATTCAACATCGCCCTCGAGGACGTCTCCATTACACACATGACCTTCGGAAAGGAGTTCACACGGGCCGTCGAGCAGAAGCAGATCGCCCAGCAGGATGCCGAGCGGGCCCGTTTCATCGTTGAGCGTGCCGAGCAGGAGCGCCAGGCCAACGTCATTCGCGCTGAGGGTGAAGCTCTGAGTGCTGAAATTATCAGCAAGGCCGTCGCCAAGGCTGGCAGCGGACTGATTGAGATCCGTCGTATCGAGGCCAGCAAGGAGATCGCCGCGACTCTGTCCTCGAACCCCAACGTCACTTACCTGCCTGGTGGAGAGGGAAAGGATGGAAGCAAGAGCACTAGCCTCTTGCTGGGTCTGCGGAGCTAGGGGGGTTATAAGACTGTCTCGGGGATTTATGGGCCCCGTTTTCACAACTCATTGAATGTACCAATTAATCGCAATTTTTGCCGCGACTTGGGGCAAGTCTGGCCTCGTGGCGTGAATTTGGAGTGGTCTGAACTAAACCACCTTCTTATCTGTAGCAATACCATACCTCACTCCACACCACACTTCTCTTTTATTTTGGAAGACTCAATCGTATTGCTCATTAAATGGTTTTTATATATCGTGATATAGAACACATCAGATCTACAAACGCCGATACACATGCATCTGGAAGCGCATATCTTCCAATCCTGCTCCTTCGCCAACTTCATACCGCAGACGCACTGCGTCCCGTCTCCACCACCTCGAGTCCTGAGTGTATACACACTCCCACTTGCCCTTCGCCACAGACAGCAGGGTGTGGTCAAGCAAGAACTTCATCGGATAGTTCCTCTCTTGTGGTTCACCGTCCGGTCCTTTACTACCTAACTTCAAGGTCGAATAGCTGCCAGGACTATCAACAACCAGAAGCACCGCACCGGCAGGAAGGATTTCGGTCATTTTGAGCATGAAACCGGTAGTTTTCGGCATGGAGGTAGAGAAGAGCTCATTCAAAGTGAACATGATAGGAACAAGGACAGAAGTGAAAGGAGAGGACAAGGAAGGGCCGAGGAGAATTTCTTTCAGGCCCTCCTCGGGAAGAGTCAAAACATCTTCGCGGCGGAAAGCCACCGAGAATGTTTCACTAGCCACTTTCTCCGAGAGCAACGGCGGACGGAATTTTGTTGTCTGTGAAAATGGCACATCGGCCGACGTGATGGTTCGTGAAAGCCTGTCAACAACATCCGCCCAGTTTCCGATATCAACAGCCATGACAGAGAGACTGGGTGCGCTGACACCTTCCTCTTCGACTTCAGTCTTCTTCTTGTCTTGGGGTTCGGTGTCTTCAAGAGACACGCCAGCAACACGTTCCTCTAGCGACTCGGCCTGGGGGCCCATGTCTCTCCACGCAGCTGCGAGAGCAGCGATCTCTGCACCGGCTCCGCCACCAATTGACACAACACGGGTGCAGGGGTTCTTGCTTCTAGCACGGCCTCGAGTGTTCTCCTCTTCCTCTTTCATCCAGGCCAAAACTCCCTTCAACAGGCCCGCATATCCAAGTGACCGGGACGCACTCCAGCGCAAGGCATAGGCGCGCAGCAGATCCTCGCCTGCCTCGGTGAAGGCGGAGTCGAAATCGCGTTGATATAGAAGCCCCTTGATTGTCTGGATGAGAGATTTAACGTCTAGTGGTTCATCTTTATTTTCATCTGATTGTGATTCAGTGGGGTTGGCGTCCTGGCCTGCAGATTCCAATTCTGCGACTGGGTTGCCGAGGAGGGCTGTTTTGAATACGTCCAAAAGGAGTTGCTGGAGGGTGAGAGGGATTGTGCTGACAAGGTTAAGTCCAGTGGACTCTTCTTCCTCGAGTTGTTCGGCTTCGACTTTGGCTTTTTCGACTTCGGCTTTGCGATTGGCGTGCTGTTTGTTTGCTGGTGGCGCTTGCTTTGGTTTTTGCGCTCTCGCTTTCGGACCTGGGGACCTCCTGCGGTTTCCCTGACGTGGGGCGTGAGGCATTATATATATTTAAGAATAAACTCGCTTCGTCTAGTCTTTTGTAAGGAATGTGGCTGTCTTTAATCGAACGTGGGGTGGAATTTTGAACTTTTTTCCCTTATCGTTATCGACGACTCCACTATCAAGGTCTATAAACCCTCCCGAGGTCAGTTGATTCTTGAACTTCTTCGAGAATTCTATGCATAAACTTAAAGAAATGTGATTAAAGTATGTCCGACTTTGTTATGCCATAGGATCTCATTTCCATCAAGATATGTTAAGTGAGGCATATATAATGATCACTATGGAGACCGTTGCAGTCCGGAATCAGAACCCCAACCGCATAGAAGTCCTAAATACAATCAACGCAACACAATATCTTGATGATAGCCTTCAATATCCTGACTGCACTACTCTCGATCAATCTGCTACATTGATTATGTAGCGTCTCTATCATACACGACATCGGCCCTATATCTATCGATGCCGCCTCCAGGGTTGATCAAGAATCCGCATTTTCTCCAGGCAAAAGCCACACCCTGGCAGTTTAAGAACTACAAACGCGATAAATATATCAGGGTTGAAAATCATTTGCTTCATAAGAGGGTCAACGGAGAGAATTATCGCCTTGCCAACATCCCAGCTTGGTCTGGCTTAGAGCAGCAGACCAAATCAGACGACCAAGGGGTCTAGGGTATCCCCCCCTTCCCCCTCCCTCTTGACTCTTAGCCATCCATACAAATCTAAGTAGTTATCAAGACCTTGCTAGCTGGCTTTCATAATCAGGGACGTCGAAAGGCAGTAAGTAAAAAGCTATATACATCTATGTTGATTAATATACATGTGATGCGCTAATTTTTAAGGGCTTTATTACCATTTGATCTCAGTTTTGCCTGGAAAGCTAATGCATTAGGCAACAAACGGAAGAAACAGCTACAAAGATGCATGGGGTGCTACGATATAGCTTTCTCGTTCTTGTGACCATTGTACTATCCCAAACATTTGAAACAACCACACTTCCGCCTAGAGCGCTGCCTACGCCCTCCATCCATGAGATTCTGCACTCTGATCCAAAGCCACATGGAGACATGTGGAAAGAATGACTTGACCAACACGAAAACAACGCACCAAAGCCATCATGTGATATCGCGTTGAGCCGCTCGCGTCGAGTCAAGAGCCGAGAGCGCGCGATCCACGTAATAATGAGTCACAGCCTAGTGCTGTCAGCCAAGGAGTCATATCCGTCGCCCGAGCGTACTATCACTGAGGTTGGCGCCTCATAGGCCGCCGTGGTGAACAGCGGGCTCCGTTGGGAGCCCGCTAACAGCGCTCTTGTCTCCTAACTCCGACCTTCTAGATATGGACGCCGCCAGCGGGGCCACATGGGTAGCGAGACGGCCGTGCTCATGAAGGCCTCGCCAGAGCCTTGCGGGAACTATGAGGTGATGGGACCCGAGTTGAAATTGGTGTGGCTGAAATGGCTGCCTGAGAACGATCGCTATCGTGTGGAAGCCTGGGTGCCTCAGGACTAAATACTTGTCCATGGATATCATTGGCCGGCTTATACTTCGAATGTCAACGTGCATATCGGATTCGATGCTACGAACAACCATCGTATTTGGGTGTCAACAAATGACCTCTTGGGGCTGTTGTAGGTTACAAAGTAGGGCTAGGATGATTGAAAATTTTGACAGTATCAAGAAGATATTATTCGTACAATTTGGTATTAACCAGGAACAAATCGAACTAAAAGTGGAGTTGAGTGGTAACCGAGTAACACAAAGGATACATCGAACCAAATCCCCGGGTATATGAGGCGAGACAACGCAGTAAACCGCCTCTGGAGACAACACCGCCTGGCCCATATGAAACCATCAAGCTAAAACGCCGTAAAGACTGGGAAGGTCAATCCTCGATCCTCGAATCCTCGCATAACGCAAAGAAAGCAATTTGTGCTGAGAGAAAAGCCATGGAGACCGAACCCAAATGCTACACAAAACCAGAGTGAAAGCACAGTCGCAAAAAAAAATCAGTCGCAAAAAATCACAAAACAAGAGAAATCAAAGTCGCAATATTTTGAAGCACAATGGCTGCTTCGGCAAACGCCCACAAGATGCATAGGTCAAATCGGTAGACGTTTCAATCTTAATGGAGCAACCGTTAAACGGGAGGAGCAGCAGTAGGCTGGGGAGCGGGCTGCGAAAGATCCTGGAGCTCGGGAACGGGAGGAGACTGCTGAGGAATAACCTGCTGAATACTGGCGACGATTCGCTCCAGCTCTTCGAGGCGGCGATCCTTCTCTTGAACTTCGCGGCGGAGTCTCTTAACTTCGTTGTGCAAATCGGTTCCGTGCTCATCGGTATCAGGCAGGTCTCGGAGATCTCCGATGGGAGGAGAATCGTGGCGGCGCTTCATTCCAGTGATAGGGAGAGATGGGGCACGGACACCCTCGACACCTTCAAGGTCGGTGGGGCGGTCCCAAGGCATCTCGACCATGGCGGGGGCTTCGTCACTGTGCATGTGGCGGCGGCGAAGATGTTCTCGCAGATTTTCTTGGCGCGTGAAACCATTACCAGTGCTGCGGTTGCAATCAGTGTATGGGCACATCAGGGCCTTCTTGGTGTCGGTGTTTTTCTTGTGAACTTCGCGCTGGTGACGAAGGAGACCACCAGAGTAGGTGAAACCTTGGATCTTGTCACAGTTCGGTTCATAACACTTGTAGGGACGATCGTGTTTATCCATGTGTTTGCTAGGGTTTTATTAGTATTAGGCGCGTTAAAGACATAACAATAGGGCATAATACTTACTTCCATTCGCATGGACGGCGGAAAGTAGGAGGCGCAGATTGGCACTCCATATGATCGCAAAAAATTTGACCTTCAGAGTTCTTAGGAGGATCGCGGGCGCGTCGAACAGAAAGACGCGGGCGCGCCCCATCAAGGTTGTAGCTCATGGGCTGCTGGGGATCGTTCATTCTGGCAATTTGGGGCGAGGATTCAGATGCAGAGGCAAGGATAGATGCAGCGAGAGCGCCGTTGGGACCTTCACTTCGTGGGCTAGGATAGTCAGACCCGTCGCCCATATCGCGAAGTTGATACCCCACACTACTGAGGGGATGGTGATAGAATGTAGTAGATACCGGAAAGACGCGTCGTCAATGAGCAACAACGGTAAAATTAGAAGCACTGAGTAGTTGAGCGGAGGAAAACAACAAGAATAGAGTTGTTTATGAAAAAATTCAAATAAATTGGCGGTGAAAGCCTGGTAGATGTCGATGGGTATGTATTCGGGAGAAGATGAGGAGTTGCCAAAATTTTCAGGTAGCAAGGCATCCGCAGCCTATTTATACCGCTTGCGTCAGGTGCAGATGCGCCACCCTTGTGGCGCAGTAATCCTTATTCTTTCTTCCAGGTGTCCCTGCAGAATAATCTTCTTTTGTTTTCTAGTGGAGTTTCCCAACATTTAGATTGTCATATGAATTCTTAACTGGCTGGAGCTTATATACATGCAGGTTACAATGTACACAGAACTGTTTATTAATGCCCGGTGGTCCGGGATATGGAGATGAGGGGGCCAAGGAAGCACAAGTGACTCATACCCTAGAGAGACACCGTGGGTATGACTGTATACTAGTATCTACGGACCTCCAATCCTGTTGTCCCATACCGGCGGATCCGATTTAGGTATCAAAGCAAGATTGCCTGTCAGGCAGCCGTCCGCTCCCGGAATATTTGGGGTCGCCACAGCCAGTCCTGACAAATCCAGTGGCGGTGAGTGCACGTGACAATGATCGGCCTGATCTTAAATGCATGCTTATTTAAGCATTAGATCGGGCAGCACCTGGGCAGTGCTTTCCTGCAATGTATGTTCGCCCTGCCCGATGTTAGGCTACAACAAACTTGCTATGGTTGACAAGCTTTAGGAATCAATGATCTTCATGTCCACGCAATCAATTGATTCTATTAAAAGGAATACGATAAGATTTCATCTAGAAAGAGGCTTTTCCAACCTCAACCAGGCTATGCACTTGCTTAAAACGAGGATATCGAACGTTCTACGGGATTCTGAAGTATGTAGCACAGAGACAACGTGGTTTACATGGATATGCTTGAAGATCAATTATATTGAGAATTCTGAAGCCTACGAATTAGCCTATGAATCAAAAGGTCCTTTTGCACATTTTAAGCCATTTTCACCGCTTATATTCTGGCTACAACGCCAACAAGGGGTGAAAAGACAGAAGATCTGAGAAGATCTAAAATGATTTTCAAAAAGACTTTCAAAAAGACTACCAAAAAAAGGCCTCACAAGGCTGCATAAGCGGCCAAATGTTCTTGTATATAAGAAAGGAAATTTGCCACCCAGTGAATACTAGTAGGGCCTTTTATGCCATCTTTTCAGAGAACAATGAATGGCAAGACTACAGTTATTTTGTAACACTATGCTATAGAACATCATTGGAGTCACCAAATAATATTTCGTCTGTGTTCCATACAAACATGCAGAACTCCCAGGGGGATGAATTATAGAGCCTGATTAACACTGCCTCTATCATAATAGAACAGCCTTTGATCTTAGCCAAGTCCCAATGCATGTTCATCTATTTCGAGTAACTTGCTGCCCAGTTTGAATTTATCTTATTCGACAAGTAATGGAATATACTAGGCCCCAGATCTATACACCCGAGAGGACGATGCCCAAACCAGTAAAGCAGAGCCACCATTCGACGTGGACCAAAAGGCACAGATATAATTGATCGCATGATACCCACATTCACGTCAAATGTTAGGAATGAATTCATCGTGTTGTCAAGGTGAAATGTTCCTAGTGCTCCCGTAGCCCCACCGGGTAGTCCGAAGATATATCCGAAGGTGCTCAGCACTTGACATTTGGAATATTATACTCTTCTCGCCTCGCCAATTATTTCTTCATATATCCAGAGATACTGTGGAATTATCAAGCAATATTATTATTTGACATATTCTTCGATATGTGGTTTGGCGCGTAAAATTGTATCTGGCACTATTTCATTGCGGCATTTGTGCTACAGGCCCAGGGACCATGCTCCACCATCCCTACCAACATGACATCCTGAGCGCCCCTTGACCCTGTCTCTTTGAGATTTTATATTCGAAGTTGCGTATCTTACCATTCGTGTGAATTGTCATAAGATCCCAAGCAGTTGGAATATGAATCAAATGCGCCACCCATTTTTACTTCAACGAAGCCGAGGCATCTGCTGGGTTCCAAGACGCGCCTTCAGTGGCACCACTCGCGTACAAGCCTGCCATACGGAGAAAAAGCAGTGCCCAAAGAGCATCGAGCGCAAAAACCAATTATCTCAAGCCCCGAAATGTGCCAATAAGTCGCCACCCCAACCCCTTCCGACGCTTAGTCTTCCATTCTGGACCTGCAGATCCACCTGGAAACGAGCAGGAATCAATACTCTCCGCTGTTTGGTGGGATGTACAGCCGGTGATTTCTCTGCATTATGGCTTCTACAGACCTACTACCCTGGGATTGGTATGAGCAGCATAATGGCCTTGTCGAGTGGGTTGCCTCCTTGAACAAACCAAACCGTATCGGGTCTTGTGTGCTAAGAACAATCATGTAGTGGTATCCGGTATCACAACTTCAGTTATCCTCGAGACAATCCTGCTCCGCCAGGGGGCTGACCAGCTCTCCTGGCCGATGGCTGCTCGTACCGCTATGGGAATGAGCATGGTTTCGATGTTGGCCATGGAACTAGCTGAAAATGCAGTTGACTATCATCTGACCGGTGGGATAGTTGCTTTTGGAGATCCGAAGTTCTGGTTGGCGGCAGTGGTATCGATCGGTGCTGGGTACTTGGCGCCGTTGCCGTATAACTATCTGCGTCTTCGAAAATATGGGAAATCGTGTCACTGATTTCCAATGTACCTAGTATGCTCACCTTTATGGAATATAGACATTGTTTTAATCAATGGGTGAATTCCACTATCGACTCTTTCCTACAAAAAATATGAGTAGCAGACAAGTACTGAACCTTAGCAACAATAGATGCAGATTATACGTAGAATAATTGGGGTGAAGTGCTTGGGGTGCTTCCAGGGCCAGCAATGGCGTAAGAGAGGCGGTGGGTGCCGACTAAGGTCACTGGTTCTTTTCTTTCTGTTAACTACCTACCTAAATAGGTATGTACCATGGCTAATCGAGATAATACACCCGAGTTATTACGACAGTAAGGCTGGTAGGGGAAGCTTAAGCGGAGCAATGACTTTAGCCCTTACTCGGAACATAAGCCGGCGAAGATTCCAACCTTGGAAGGTTGGCTTAGTTGTTGGTTTTTGTCATATTGTGCCTACGACATGGAAAAAAAGTGTGGGATCATAACTGGCATTGTTTTTTTAAGCTAATACCTGACTACCTAAGAGATAAAGATAGCAAGTATGATACATAGCCAAGGGGTAGGGGTAAATTCACAGAGTTGCCCAGTAATTGTTACCGGGGCTATCTGAACTGGGCATCGGCAATCGACGGGTGAGTTTTCAGTATTCCTTCAACCGGAAAATACTGGAGGGTCAATGTCTGTCGCCTCATCCCCGAAAGTCACGCCTTGTAAGAATGTCACGGTGACAATGGTGAGGGATCAGACCCAGGGAGCAATCCTTCGACGGACAGAACGGTGCTTTGGTAGCAGGTTAAAAGGACCCGGGGATAAGCATCCGAAAAGTCTTGGCTTTGCCGATCCAAAGTCCTGGTCGGCATAAAAGAAACGGGCGGGCAGACTCTGTTGGAAAGAACCCTGATAGTATGCACGGACATTGCTTCGCCGAGTGGTAAGACGGGCGAACCTGTTGGAGGTTGCCCTGGGAAATGTTGGACACAAAAGTCGCTCAGTCATAGTTGCCACCAACTTGGCTAGCGAAAGCAGTAGAGACGCTACGGGCATCATCGTCGTCGTGAGGGTTCTGGCCCGGCGCGCCGCGAGTCACGCGAATGCTAGCGGAGCTGCCCCCAAAGATGCTGCCGTTGTCCGGAACTCCAGCCCTGTAAGGCTCGCGTCCGCCAGACTCGACGTAGCGCTTCAATCGGTCAGATTGGCTGAGACTGGCCTGCTTGCTCATATCATTAATGCTCAGACCAGTGAGACTGACACCGCCCTGATCAACGCTCCGTCCGTCAGTGACGCTGCACGTGACATCAGACTCAGTGGCAGCGACTGACTCGCCAGCCACACTGGGGGCTCCCTTGGGTCGGCCACCGTTTGCGCGACGACCGCCAGGAATCGCAGGCCAGGACTCGCCGAAATTCTGGAACATAGGGGGGTAGCCAGATGGAAGACCAACACCACCAAGTGCCGAACCGTGAACAGAAGATACGTCGTCGGGGATATAGCCCACCACAGACCCGGAGTCATGATACTCATTGCGGTGACCGCCGTTGCGGCCATTCACTGCATTGTTTGGAGCATTATTTGTCTGACTGAAAGACATCTGGAAGCGCTGCGGACCTCTGTATGCTTGCTTGGGCCGGCTGAATTGAATCAAGGACTCCTGAAGGTTGGACAGGGGCCCCTCCACGAGACAGTGGCGTTCCTTGAAGTGCTGCAGAAGGCAGTTCCACAATGGGTGCTTAGACAAGACCTTGGGGTTTCCGAGGATGACGAGACCAAATCGAGCACGAGTAAGGGCCACGTTGAGACGACGAGGATCGCTCAGGAAACCAATACCTTGGTGATCATTGGAACGAACACAAGAAAGGATAATGTAATCCTTCTCTCTGCCCTGGAATGCATCGACCGACGCAACCTCAATCTCTTTGTAATGTTCCTTCTTGAAGGTGCCATTTGCCTGCATGGAGCTGACAATGTAGCTTCGCTGTCCCTCGTATGGAGTGATGATACCGATGTCCCTAGGCTGAACACCTGCTTTGAAGAAGCGTGTGACAATCTTCTCGACGTTGGTAGATTCAGTACGGTTAAGATACGAGGTGCCTGATGCGGAGATTTCTTCATTGCCCAGGTTTGACCAAAACATCATGGGATCATCAATGATGGGCCAAGGGAAGTCAACGTCACGGCGGACACGATCAGCAATGGTGATACCGTTCTGTAGCGAGCCTTCGTAGAACATGTTGGATGGGAATTCCGAAAGGCACGGGTGCATACGGTACTGGACATTCAAGCGAATAGGAGAGCAGCCCAAGATGACGAGACGCTCGAACAGAGACTGGTTCAGACCAGCCTTGGCGGCCTTCTTGTTCATGATCACGGGGCCAAGTTGCTGGTGATCACCAACCAACACAACTTGTTTGCAGCCCAAAACCAGGGGGATCATACACTCGGGCTCAGCAGATTGGGTCGATTCGTCAATCAGGACAGTGCGGAACTTACCCTTTGAAAGACGAGGATCACCTGCACCAACACAAGTACAGCAGATCACATCCGCGTTAGTCAAAATTTCACGCTCAGCAGAGCGAGTAAGTTGCTTCAGGCGCTTTTCGTCTTGGCTGGACAATTCCCCAAGTTCGGCCTTGAGCTGGTTGAGTTTCACTAGCTCAATGTTGCTATCGTTCATACGAACCTGCTCGTGCAGCGAAAGGAAACCAACGGCAGATTCCACATCCTCGCGAGATTTAGCAGTAACTCGCACGGTCTTGAGACCCGTCCGGTGGATACGTTCGCAGAGCTGGTCAACGGCAACGTTGGATGGAGCGCAGACAAGAACCTGGCCTCCATTGATTTTGGCAAGGTGATAGATAATGGTGGCGGAGGTAACGGTCTTACCAGTTCCGGGAGGACCTTGGATCAAACTGAGAGGTCGCTGGAGGACACTCTTAACGGCGTTGATTTGACTGCCGTTCAGATCTGGCAGACCTGGAACACTAAATTTCTTCGGAATCTGGGTCTTCATAGGGGCTGCAGCAACCTCGTGGCCAAGAAGGCGATGGAAGATGTAGCCTGAGACACTCTGCTCATCCACGGCAAATGTCTTCATAGCACATTGCATGCGGTCGAAGGAAGTCGATTTCCAAACATAGTCGGCCATGAAGTTGTGCGTGCATTCGGTGGGAACTGACTTGTGGTCGCCCTTGGCGCGTAGTTCGATAGTGACCTCATCAGATTGATTGTTCGGGATCTTGATGACATAGCCTACACCCTCCCACTTGGGACGCAATTCACCATTGTACTTGATGCGCATCTCGTCACCCACAGCCAATTTGACATCTCCCAGCTCAAGCTTGGGCAGCACAAAGCTTGCGAGGTGCTTGTTGTTGAGACCAAGATCCCAGCGGACAATGAGCCCATCTTGGGATTGAGATTCCTTCAACTTGCGGTCGTAATCAGCCTCGATCTTAACAAGTGGCCCGAAAATATTTTGGTATTGGAAAGCATCGTCGTAGCGAAGTAGGACTGGCGCAGGCTCATCATCTACTGCTGTGGCCTTCTCTAGGTCTTCCAGGGTCGCCTGAGAGTTATCTTTCCACATTTCCTCCAGTTTCGCAATCAATTGAGGACTGAGGTGACGGGCTCGGAGTTGTTCATGGTCAGTGGGTGCTCCCACGAGCCAGGGAAGGAAAGAACGATCCTCAATAAGAGGCTGCCATCGTGAAGTGTCCCAATTCATGTCCTTGGAGGATGGCATAGAGGCACATGGCTGCCGACAAAGCAAAACAACAACGGTATCAGATTTCGCGGGGATGAAGCCAAGCAAAAATACATTTTTGGTGCCACAGTTGTAGCATTCCAAAATAGTATCACCCAAAGAAGAGCCCGGGTGGAGCTGGACTTCCTTATGACGAGCTCGGACAAGGTGATTGACGATATGGGAAGAAGAGGTATTGCCACGTGCACTGCAGAACCACTTATTGCACGAAAGACATTTGACGACGCTGCTCGGGTTGTGAATACCGCAGTATCTAAAATATAATCAGTAAATGGACATCCACAAAGAATATATAAAAACTGACGCGCATGCATGAGCAGGGAGCTCTATTTCCTCCTCTCCATTTCCTTGGGACTTCTGATTCCCGTTTGTGGGTGCACCGACTGTGCTTTCCATGTCGTCATCTTCAAAGGTATCAGAGCCTTCATCTTCGTCATCATGTCGGCGTGGACGTGCGCGGCCGAGTGCAATCTCGTCAGTTTCAACTCCCGCTGAGGGGTCTTCCGGTTGGTAGCTCATTATGGGTACCGATTTGGAAGGCTGATAGGGATGACTGGAGCTGATAAAGATTCAAAGCAGAGAGCGAAGCAAAAAGCAGTTGAAATCAGAGATGAACTTCACGGTCGTAAACGATTTAAAGAGCGTAGAGGACAATCCGGTCGTCCTATAAGAGTGTTCAAGGTTTAAAATCTCCAGGGTGTGCCTGAGGGGCAAACGAGCGGAGATCTATATTAAGATGTGGGATTAGCGGTAGGTTCTTGACAAGAACAAACGAGCACATACAACCAGTCCAGCTCTCTGTGTCAGAGGACTGACAAAAGAGAGTCGATGAGTTTGTCTCGAAGGATGAGCAAAAAGCGTTCTCCGCAACTGCCCAGATTCTTTATCGGTGCGATCCCACTACGGCTACGCAGGCGAACCATAAACGCAGCCCCGGAGTTAAGAGAAAAAAAAAGTTGCCCGCTCATTCTTTGCTTAAGCCACTTTTACTTCAATCTTCAAAATGCTGGTAAGTGAAGGATAAATTTGACATATTTGGTATTTTACTTACAATCAGCAGCGCCGCCAAACTCGCGAGCGTCGCGATTATCTCTATCGGAGAGCTTTGCTACTCCGTGATGCCTCAATTGCCGAAAAAAGATCGCAACTCAAGGCTTCATTGGCTTCTGGAAAGCCTCTAGATCCTACAATCGCAAATGATAAAACGCTTCGGGAAGATTTCAAATATGATGAATCAAAGGACAAGGAAGACGCTGAGATGGATATCGACGATGAATACGTTTTAACCTCCGGCATTATCGACCCCCGTCCTCTGGTTACCACCTCTCGCTCACCCTCCGCTCGCCTCGGCGCATTTGCGAAAGAAATTCGCCTTCTTCTTCCTACCTCTATTCGCCTCAACCGTGGAACTCTCGTTCTCGGAGATCTCGTCTCCAGCGCAACCTCCGCCGCTCTGACTGACATGATTCTCCTCCACGAGCACCGTGGTACCCCAACCGCACTCACTATTTCACACCTTCCCCATGGCCCGACCGCCAGCTTCTCTCTTCACAATGTCGTTCTTCGTCAGGATATTCCGAATGCCGCTCGTGGCACCGTGTCGGAAAGCTACCCGCACTTGGTTTTCGAGGGATTCAAGACGAAGCTGGGTGCCCGCGTTGTTCAGATTCTGAAGCACCTTTTCCCCCCACGCGAGACCGGAAAGGTCGGCAACCGTGTTGTGAGCTTTGTGAACAAGGACGACAACATCGAAGTGCGGCACCATGTTTTCGTCAAGACTGGGTACCGGGATGTGGAGCTGGCTGAAGTTGGACCTCGCATGACGATGCGACTTTTCGAGATCCGCGGAGGTACATTGGAGAAGGGCTCGAGCGGCGACATCGAATGGGCCCTTACCCAATACACAAGAACCAGCAAAAAGAAGGAATACCTGTGATTCTTTACAAACTCGCATCACTACATTGGCTGTGGCGTGGATGTTTAAGGCAGAACCTCATCTCGTCACATTGTTAGTCGACTGGCGTATCTGGCGTTAGAGGGCAATTAGAATGGGTTCTTTTGTCATGTTCAAGTTAGTTTATGATTTAAATGGCAGTGGACAATGTCTAATCAAAATATTAAAGACATGTACGGCAGATTTTTGGGACCATCATGACCCAATTTTCTGGCAGGGAATTGGTTGCCACTCTATACTTATCATGTTATAGTGTATAAAAACACACAATCCGATATCCAAAACCTTCCAATGATCTATGTTAATTAAAGGAGATTTTCCCGGTCTTTCTAAGCAGATGAAATAAATGATACAATGCCTCCAGTGGTCTATGTTCTCAGCAGCTTCCCCTCGGCGGCTGTTTGATATCATTTCTCATGTTCTTTCCATCGACGAAGAACTAAAGCAGGGCAAAAAGCTGGTAGTCTATAGAAACATTCATTCTGCATATGGATGCTCTCGTACCCGGATAAATCCCACCTTCTTTTAGAAACGTGAAGTAAACTGCTCAAGATGAGCGAAACTACATGTATGATCATATATAAATTTTTTTAGCCCTTGAGGCCTGTGGTCCTGGGTGAACTGATGACAGATATTCTCAAGATATCGTTGGTACAACCTAAGTGGATGTAATATGTGACCGGTAGATCGACCAGAAGCAAATTTCCCATATCCCCAGAAGGATTAATTCCAACCATTTTCCGTTAAGGAAGAAGACAGTCGCTGGGGTCCAAATTCGCGATTCTCATCCTCTCATCATGTTTGATAAGGCCCTCCGCGCCCACATGCTGGAGTTGATCAATTTGGGTTTACGCACTCTCTGAGCTGTTAGCTGCCGGGTATATAATGGATTTACACTGTAGGGCGAAGGGCCTCAACTATTCAAGGTCATAGAAGTCGACTGATAGTTTATAAAAGTGGGGGGATGCGGGTCACGCTGCATGTGATTAGCCCTAGAAAGCCATGATCATCCTGGCCCCACCAGAGGCTCCATTACTATAACAACCTGAGAAGGTTAGGCTGGCAGAGAGTCTATAATCCACACTACAATCTATGATACTATATGATTTGACCTGTTTCTGAAGGGGATATATCAGAGTCGCAGCTGTAGATATGTGGAATGAAGAATCGGAGAGAAAGTACGAGATATCTACACAGTATAACAAATCAGAAGGAATGGCCCAGTTGATGTCGAGGTTGACACAGGGAGGGCCCAGTATACTAGTATAGTATGCTGGAATGCTCGTTTATTTCCTCGCACTATATTTTTCTTATCATGGAAAGTGTTTTCTAAAAGCAGAGAATAAAGCGCATACATATCCTTTGTATGTGCTATCCTAAAATCTTCGAACTTGCATTCGGCATAAAATCTGTGTTGAACGTGACCCATCCATGTCCACCGGGGAATCCACTCATGAGTGCAGGTGTTAACCACCTGGAGGGATTCCCGCCATCCTTTGGTAACTACCTATCCATTTCCTCCTCCTCGTCATCAGCATCATCAGCTTCAGATCCGTCTTCACCTCCATCTTTACCCCCATTTTTACCTCCATCCTCACCCCCATCTTCGCCGCCATCTTTACCGCCATCTTCGACTTGGTGATTTGCCACCTTGTCCTCGATACCATCGTCGATACCATCCTTCTTGATACCATCGCATGCGCTGTGGTCAGTCGATCCTGGACAACCTGTGATCTGGGGCTCTCTGAGGAATGCACCGAGGATAGTCGTCTTCTCTTCCAGATAGAACCATCCCTCCTGAACAGGCAAGCTGTTTCCGTCCGGGTCGTTCTTTGGAGGTGGCATCTTTCCGTTTGCCCTTTCCTCCCATTCCTTGCCAGTCCGTTCCTTGAAGAACTGCTTGAATTTGTCCAAAGCAAGCTCGAGCTTGCACCTTGGTCCCGCCAGAAGTTCGACATTGGATGTGCCAACGCGGCTGAATTTGGCATAGGTCGAGTAGGTGTGTGGTTTGGCGATGGATTCGAAAAGCTAGGCAATATCAGTATCTTTTCATTGAAAATATTCACAGAGTATCTCAATATCACTCACAGTCAATTGGTATTTTTCTCTGCTAGTGACTGGTGGCTTCGATGGGCGGAATAGGGTGACGCTGTAAACCACGTTGGTCTTTCTGTCCTGGTACACCTGACGCACGGCTGTGATGGGTAAATATTAGCCCTGGATAATGACATCTGATATGAGGATCATGCTTACGCTTTCTTTTGCCCTTTAGGCCGAGGAAAGGATCAGCTGTAGAGAACATGTCAGTACCGTCTGCATGGTAGTAATGTCACAGAGGCCTGGAAAACCAATACCTATCCGACGTTTTGAGATCTTGGCTCTGGTCTCCTTGACCACCTTTGCGGACTTCGGCGTGACCTTGTTCTTCTGGACTTCCTTCTTCTCGGGCTTCATCAGATTCTTCAGAAGATATGGTCCCTCGGGCTTTGGCCGGCGAGTGTTTGACTGCAGCGAGTCTTCAAGCCAATCGTATGAGACGATCTTAACGGTGCTGATCTTCTTGGCAGTTTCCACTGTATGTTGATTAGCTTCAAGGTCTTTGAAAGATTCAAGGGTAATATACCTGGAACTGCATTGCTTTTGAACGCCTCCTTTGTGGCAATGAGATGTGTAACTCGCGGGCTCACGTCTCTCGAGAACTGCCCTCCATTTGCCCGAATCCACTGTGGGATCTTTTCGCCGAGGCCGTCTGGGAACTTGCCTACTATAGAGGCATGAACCCTTTGAAATGGCTTCCCCATTTTGGGTTCGCACTGCTGTTTGCTGTCGGAGATTGGTTAGATGAGTCTGGTGTTGCGTTTCGTTTCCACTGGCAGCGGAAATGCCCCAAAAATGGCTTCAGAGATGAAATTTGTTATGCTGCCAGGAGGGAAGACTGAAATACTGCGAGGACTAGTTTGGTGGACGAGAAGTTTCGATTGGACTTTGCTGGCTGCAGCAATATTTCAGAAATGAAGTGTGTATATTGCTGGAAGGCAAGTATTTGTGAGATAATGAATGAGAGACCTAGTTCGATGATGTCGAGGCTCGTTTGACATCCGCTGTCGACTGAGATCTCCTTTAGAAAGGTACAGAAGAACCTCGGAGATGAGATACGTCTATTGCCAGGCGACAACGCTTCGAGGCAATACTGCGATATACTGCTCAGAGCTGTCAACTTGGTCTGCTTTTGCAATGTTGATGTGGAATGCACCGAGCATGATGGTTTTTTGGTTTTTTTGGGGGGAGGGGTGGAAAGTCATAAGAAAGCAGGAAATAGGACTTCGAAAGCAATCTAATATTGAGATCTACTTTAAGAGAGGATCAAGAAACCATCCCCGTTGTATATCAAGTAAAGCCTTGATCAAACAAGTGAAAGTAAGGTGAATATAGAAGAAAAGAAATCCCGAAATGATTTTGATTGCTTTAAATGCATAGGTATTGTCCATGATTATCGAATATGCAACCCCGAAATAGAATGTAAAAAGAAGTCATCCTGAGTAGCGTAAATGCATGTTCCTAACCTGTTCATTGCCGAATGCTTTTGGCAGACTTGACAAAGGCTCGGATTTTCTCCAAATCTTGAGCGCCGTTTGTCTCTACACCTGAGCTGACATCCAATGCGACCACTTTCTGGCCCGACTGGCCCAACTTTTTCACCGTGTCGACCACGTTGTCCGGGTTTAACCCTCCAGCCAGGATTACCCTCAATCCCTCGTCACTATCGAGAACCTTTTTGACACCGCTCTCCTCCAGAAGCTCGCCAGAGCCTCCGGCACCGGAGTCCAGCAATGGAAGAGTGTGGTATGCTCTACGAGCAATGCCAATGTCACCAGGGGCGAATTTGCGAATGACAGGAACTGGGATCAAACTAGACCACTCCAAAGGCTCAGATCCATGCAGTTGCACAACATCGAGACCCAGTTTTTGTTGTTGAGAAATGACATATGATAGCGGCTGGTTCATGAACACGCCCACGAGCAAAGCACGAGAAGGGTGACGCAAGATATTAGTAGAGTGATCGAACCATTCCAATGATGTAGCGTTTGATGACTGCTGCGATGTACCGGCAGGACGAGGGGTCGACTTGACCACCCGGGAAATGCCGAGGGCCACATCATCTGGGACAAGTCGTGAGCGGCCCTGAACCATGATGATGCCAATCAAATCTGCGCCAGCTTGAATAGCAGCCAGAGCTCCTTCTTCGGTCCGAGTTCCACAGATCTTCACCAGTGGAGGACTTGGTGATGCACCAGCAGAGTTTCCATTAGAACCGCCGAGAAGCTGTGCCACAAAGGCAGAGGTATCAGGTGCCCTCATAAGAGCCTCTCCAACAAGAATGGCCTTAACACCTTCTTTCTTATAAGCTTCCACATCCTGGGGTCCCAAGATTCCACTAAGGGCACACACAATTGTGCTCTCAGGAACTTGATCCATTAGGCGACTGGTAGTTCCAAGATCAACCTCGAAGCTGGTCAGGTCTCGGTTGTTGACACCGATGACTTCAGAACCCAGGTCAACTGCAATCTTCATTTCTTCGGGGGTATTGACTTCGACCAGAGGCTCCATGCCGAGACTGCGCGAGTAATGGTACAGCCTAGTCAACAGCTCAATGTCCAGCATCTTCACAATCAGTAGAACTGTATCAGCTCCAGCCAAACGTGCCTCCAGGATCTGATACTCGTCAAAGACGAACTCCTTTCGGAGGACAGCTGGTCGGTTGGTAAGTCCCTCCAGGCTCTGACGAACAGCCCGCAGGTCATCTATGGTGCCCTTGAACCACTCCGGCTCTGTGAGGACAGAAATGACGCTAGCGCCAGCTTTGGCGTACTCACGTGCTTGAGCAGGAGCACACACATCGGCCGAGATGATGCCCTTCGAGGGTGATGCACGCTTGATCTCCGCCATGAGTGAGAGAGGATAGTCTGACTGTCTCAGGCGCTCAGGGAATGACAGTTGAGGAGGCGCAATGTTCAGATCATATGCGGCTTGAAGTGCCTCTGGCCGCAGAGCCGGAATTTTCTTCTGCTCGTCAACAGCATTTTTGCGATGGGCGTAGATCTTGTCCAAAATGGATAGCTTCTTGCCTACCGGTGTGGCGGCTGCTGCTCCCTGCTTGTTATTCCAGGTCCCAGCGGTGAGCTCCAAGAAGTTTCTGAACATCTTGCGCCCGTATTGCGTCAAAATACTCTCGGGGTGGAACTGAACACCCTCCACTGCGAACTCCTTGTGTCTAACACCCATAATGATGTTCTTGCCGCTACCGTCCTGAAGCTCGACCCGCGAAGTCACTTCCAAGCAATCTGGAATAGTCGAGTGTGTTCCGGCAAGCGAATGGTACCGAGTGACATCGAGCGAGGCTGGCAATCCCTGGTAGACACCCTTCGAGTCATGCTTCAACTCCGATGTCTTTCCGTGCAGAATTTCGCCGGTCACGTCCACCTTACCACCAAACGAGGTGATCATACATTGCTGACCCATGCACACACCAAAGATCGGAATCTTTCCGCTGAAGTATTGGATTGCGGCATTACTGATTCCTGCATCGGTCTCGGGGTGGCCCGGGCCAGGACTGATAACCAGCTGAGTGGGCTTCTTTGCAACCAAGTCCTCAACAGTGACTTCGTCGTTGCGGTAGACTGTGACGGTAGCACCTTCAAGGACGAGGTATTGGTAGACATTCCAGGTAAATGAGTCGTAGTTGTCGATCAAAATCACGTTGGATGCGCTAGCCAATTTGTCCGCTTTGGTGGCATGGTGGGGGGAGTGGTCAACAAGGTCCGCCATGACCACGGATTGTCGTAGGAGATCGGGGAGGTTGATAGAATATGATAATCGTTCTGCAAGCTTCGAAATCTCACACACCTTAAACCGAATTAAATGTTTGTGAATTACCCAGTTGGACGGAAGTGAGTCAAAAAGAATGTCCGCTTTACAACTTGCCACTTACCGCCCGGCAATAAGATCAGATAGGGCACCTGATTGTTGACCCAGTCGCGGTGAATAATATTCTTTTGAAGCTCCCTCTCAATTCAAGAGCTCCCCACGCTCGCCATCCACCTTTTTCTTTGCTCTCCCGTCACCTCCCTGGTGTCGCCTCGTTCTGCTCTTTCTTTTTATCCTATGATGATCTAATTGCCCAACATGGCTCCCGTCCCGGAGGCCTATTTCCCGTCCCTGGACAAGTGCTTCTCCGGGGACGTTCAACTCTTGTATGCCCACTCTAATCACTTGTCGTCATGAAAGCCAATATGCTAATATAATGCAGGTCCTGGAAAAGAGCTTTTCTCTACGCCATTGATCCCGAAAGTCATGCTGACGATGGAGGCAATATCGACGTCTTCTTTTCACACTCCGAATCCATTCGCCTACTCTCCGACGGCCTAAAACCGTTCCCCTCCCCTTCCGCAAAATCCAAATCCGAATTCGAATCCAAAACCGCTGCAATCCATGTCGAGACCAATGGCCAAAGCTCTTTCGACCTGAAGGAGATCAAGGCGGACGCGCTATGGTTAAGCAAGGAAGCCGGAATTGACGAGATCGCTGCTCTTCGCATCGCTGTATTGGAATGGCAGAACCGCCCAGCAACGCGCCTCACAATCGGGTTTTCCAGCGAGGAAGCGACCAGTCTACAGAGCGCGGCTGGGACCGAGAATCTTCGAGGCTCTCTAGCCGGTCCCAACTTCGCCAACCTATTGAATCAAACAGCCAGAAACGACGGTGTTCAGTCATTCGAAAAAGAGGAGAAGAGACATTTGCGACTCCGCGAGGTGTATCTCTCCGAGGCAACCCATGTAGTGAAGACACTCCGCAAGCTGCTTGCTCTGTCCCTACACGATGGTATTCCAGCCGACTCGACTGCCCCCGCCAGTTACGATCGCAAACTTGCGTTGCGCAAACTAGGGACCACAATCTTCCAAGACAAGTCGACTGGTGATGGATTGGACCGATTTCTTCACGAATGCATCAGCTCGATACGCAGTCGGTTAACGAGTTTGGAAGGAGACGGTGGCTGGCTCAGTGCCGCAGAAAGCAGCGAGGAATTGGAGAACATCTGGAGAACAAGTCTCGTGGAGGAGATTGTTCATATTGTGCAAATCATGTTCCACCAGCTTCAAGCCTCAGTGGAATTTCAAAGTGCAGAACTCCTATTATCCTGGCTCCAGCTAATGGCTGATTATAGCTTCTTGGAGCCAATTCAAGCGGTAAGTAGCCAGTCGCCTATTTCGAGCTCTCAGGACGTTAACGTTTTCTTATAGCCTTGTCAGCAACCTGTGGAAGTGTTGTTGCCCCTTCAAGCTTTCGTGTCACTTACCACATTGGCGTTTTTAAAACCCTCTCACGCCATCTCTGCCATTCAAAATAAGGCACACATGCAATCCTCGCCCCAGCCTTACTTCTGGTGCAAGGAGAAAATCTCTCAAATCAACGAGATCTTTCTTAATGCATGCGGTGATTTGAACACCGTGAATCCGGCAGCCTTTTCATGGGGTCTGATCTTGTATACCATCCAAGAGCTGGCAGAAAACAAGAGAACCGAACGAGAGCACGATCTGAGCCGTGATTCGGCTGTCTCCTACAACGAGCAGACACAGAATGCAGCGCTATCTCGAGCATCTGAACAGTCGGATTACGAAAAGTTGCTTGACTGCGCCAGAACTCCGCAAAGCACGGCTGAAGATGCTATCCCCATTCTTACATCTGATGCCCTCAAAGAATCCGCATTTAACACCGTTGTCGCCCTGGCTAGTAAGACCGGGTCAATGTCAGCCGTCGATGATGGCCTGACAACCCGATGGGTTCGGTTGTCACTTCTCGACCTTATACGAGTTGCCATTATGTTTTTGGATTACTCCCCGGAAATCGTGGGGTCAGTCCTGGCTATCTTAAGTGATGATGACAACGAACTGTCAAGAGACTCAAATTCTCTAGGGCCTGCCAGCGATCCTAAGTCTCTATTCGCCAATGATCAGCATTTGATGGAGGGCATCTTTCGTGTTGCACGGTCCCGTTTCCCTTATGAAACGGCACCATTTTTACAGCTCTGTCGTGCTCTCGTCAGTGGGCATTCTTTGAATGAAGAAGGCTTGCCGGCTATTCTTGAGGAGGTGGAGAACATGGAATCCTTTACACAAATTGTCTCACCCACTTTCCAGGGCTATGTCACAATTCGAGAGGACGAGAATGCCGATTTTGTCTCCCTGCTCCAACCCCTCCCAATGTTTGAAACATCATCTCAGAACCGTCTCTTCGAGAGGGAACCAAGCAGTGCTATAATTGTCAGCGGTTCTTCCGAAATTCCACGGCTGACCGTTGGTCAAGTCATTTCCGATTCAAAACCCGCGGTCATCATGTGGGAGCATCGATACTCCTGCTTAAGCTTTCTAGGAAGCTGGCTTGAAGAATGGAGCGAGACCGGCGGGCACTCGCCTGGGTGGACTGACGACACTGCCACGGAAATCATTGCTCTCTTGACAGACTTGATTGCCAACTCTAAAGCACAAAGTTCTGGCGATGCAAGCGGCAAGAGGATCCTAGAGATGGCTAGTGATGGGTTGTCTAAACAAGGCGACATCATTTCTGTGATCTTCGATATCTTTGAGCGCAATTTGCAGACCATCGGCACCCGAGGAGACTTGGGCAAGTCTTTGGACGCAACCATGGCATGCCTGCGCTTTATCAAGGCGCTTCTAAAGATCCTACCCAGTCGAGTATGGCCTTTCCTTGGTCGCAGCAGTCTCATTGGGTCTGATGGCAAGGGTGGCATCATGACAGCAATCGTTTCAGCAGTGGAAATTCCTTCCGGCGAGTACCCGTTCCTCCTAGGCTGTGTTGACCTCGTGGACGCTGTCATCGACGATGCGGCATCTCGAGCAGTATTGCGAAAGAGCCCGGGCAGCGTGACAAGCAAATCAGTCATTGCGTCTGATTGGAGTGCCGGTATCCCATCTCACGTCATGAGAACTATTATGTTGAACTTCACTCGCACAATGCTGGAGATTTTCAATAGCAGTGGAAATTGGAGGTTCAATCTACCAGAACAGCGGTTCAAGATCAACGCGATGCTTGCCAATTCGTTCGAACGTGTTCTATACTATGCCTTCGGAATCAACGACAGCCCGAAACTAGAAACCAAAGTTACCGGCGTCTTCTCTACATCTGCAGCGTACATTTTGGATATGCTGCGCCCTCGGTCTACCGCTGACCTGCCCTTTAATCCAATTCTTCGGTTGATCGCTGAGGGTCTCCAGACTCCCCCAACACTCCACCTCAGATACCTTACCCTCTTCGAAGACCAGGTCAAATCTACACTGCGGCTCTGTATCAAACTTGTGCAGGCAGCCCAACTAGCAGAACAACCTGGCTCGCTTCTGGAAGAACAATTGTTCAAGGCCAGCCCAGTTCTAGTCAAACTATATGCGCTGCATGACGCATACAGGTTGCCGGTTGTGTCACTTCTCGAGATTTTGATCTCCAGTGCTGCTTCAAATCCAGATAACGAACCCCCCTCCCTTGTTGGCCACCTTGGGGCAGAGTCGTCCTGTCTGTTCCTTGACGTATTGTCACAACTCGACAGGCCGATGTGTGATAGGCCTCTACTTCTTGCAGTATGGCAGCTGCTATCGACATTTGTTAGCAAGCGCCAACAGTGGCTTGCGGTTTTCATTCTCACAGGATCATCCCCTCGCCAGACTCTGAAGAAGGAACCCACTTCTGGTGGTCTCAGCATGAGGAGCGTGCCTTTCCTAAAAATGGCACTTGAGAAATTGTCCCACATTGATCAACAAGAGCCGCAAGTAGCCTTAGCGTTGCTCGAGTTCGTCTCCCGTGCCCAAGAAAATTGGCCATGGGCCACTTCCCATCTGAGCAAGCATCCTCAGTTCTTCGCCAGCATAATTAACCACGTCTCAAAGTTGAAAATTTCTTCTCTGCCAGTGATGGACCAAATCCATGCCACGCGGATTGCAGCCGTTGTCGCGGACCTGTGCGCGGTCTACCTGCACTCTGCAAAGGAGGTGGGTGACCGAAGCTTCATAAAGACCTTGATTCCATTGGTGTCGTGGTATGCCAAGGATGCAGTTGAGGTTTCGGCTTACAATTCCTCATTGCATGCCAACTTGAAAAAGAACTTTGAGATGCGGTACTCAGGCTGCAAGATCGTTGACTTCAAAAGAACACCGCTTGAGGTTCGTAATCTAGGACGGGATTACTATTATGACTTGAGTATGGGAGACAAGCTGCTGTCCTACGACTTTGCCTGGGCTGGCAGCAAGAACCGTGGCTTTGCCGAGGAGTTTGAGCGCGCCAACATCAATCTGTCTCTTGTCGAGGCGCAGGTGGTAAGTTTTCTTCCGTTGATCGCAAATGAGTTTATTTTCTAACCTAAAGTAGAGCCTTCTCCATAGCTGGAAGTTCTTTGCTATCGAGCACTGTGCCGATTTCATGCCCGATACCGAAGTCCGAAAGACAATGGCACTGGTCGCACAGAATTGTTTGAAGGCCAATATTAGCAGCGGCCCTCCTGAGGCCATCTTCGAGCGAATCCAACAAGCGCGCGTTGATTTCGCCCAGGCACTTCTCCAACGGCTTGTCGAGGTACACGCTAGAGGCGCCGAAGTCTTCCAGCTGCTCGAGATTACCTGGAAGGCACTGCGATCCCGGCATCTGACCTACGAAGACGCCTTGATCAATGACGATACCGATTACTTCCGGTCCCTCCTGAACGTATTGTTCCTTTCCCTTCAGTTCCACCTGGATGGCCCCTCTCGGAGTGCTCCCGAAGCTATTAACAAGAGGGCCGAAGTTTCTTCGGATCTAACTGTCATCGTGGAAGTCGTGAAAACAATAGTGGCCCAGGGCTTCAAATCCCTCACCACTTATCTCCATGACCAGCCGGAGAAATGCGCACCGAAAGATTTCGCCATTATCATTGCTATTCTGCAGACATGCTTGCAAGTGAAGAACGCCGATCGTCTCTATGAGCATATCGTGTACCACATTGAGGAACACGACACCGCTCGGCATGCGACGACGCTCTTCTCCTGGGCCGACCAATTAGCCGTGGCAGGCGACCCTGTGTACGCAGAGCTCAGCATCTCGATCCTGGTCAAGATGTCAACCCTGCCCATGCTTGCAGAGCACCTTGCTGTTGAGGCTGTATTGATGAAACTGTCCACCTGCCGTCTTACAAACATTCTCTGCCAAAAGAAAGCATTCGGACCCTTTGACCCTGTTTCCCGACTGTACACCATCTGGACTGGTGGATTCCTTCCTCTGTGTCTGAACATGCTCTACAGTGTCATGCGGACCGCGCCCGAGGTGGCAGCGTTCCTCAACCAATTCGAATCGCGTCTGACTCGCGCGACAGAGGCATTCTCCAGCCACACTGCTGTTTCCTCTGTTCCGACATCCAAGTGGATCAGCCTGAGCATGGTTTCGGAGGCCTACTCGCTCGCGCTGATCTCGTTCATCCTGGACCGGTTCCGTGAGGCGGGTGCCAGTGCTGGAGTTGACGCACAGGCCATCCAAGATCTCAAGTGGGATAGGGCGCAGGTTAAGGAAGATATTGAGGAGCTGCTCGGTCGCCGCGCTGCTCTGCGTGCGCGTATTGTCGCGACCAATGAGAAGGAGGTGGAGTGGTCCCGGCAAAAGCCTGTCGACTCGGCTTCTGGGGCAGAGAACCGACTGGAGGAGAAGCTTGTTAGTGAGATGAAGGCAGCAGTTACCTGTTTGGGTGGGGAGGATTCATGAATATGCTCTTTCTAGCCTTTTTGCTATTTGTCTTTTCTTTTTTTCATGTATTCTGGGTTGGCCGGGGTGTAGTAGATGAATTATTTCATTCATGGAGCTCAAGTTTCAAAACAATTGCCTTATTTCCAATCTTTTATTCTTTTGAGTCCTTATTTTTGGGGTATGGCATGGCTTATCACACCCAATATCCAGCCATGGAGAACGCCTATTTACGGCGCAGTCAAAGACATTAGCCATTCGTTAATAGCCTTTATGTAGTTTCATATTTCAGCACACTGGTTCCACGGAACTCCTACTCCGTCCAGTGAGAAGACCGAGGCTCGGGCTAGCAAGTTCCCCGCAAAACATACATATGGAGATTAACCGACGATGCGGGGAGATGAACTACGAATTATGCAGGAATCGGGGGGATTGTGCAGATTTGGACAATCTACTCCTTATTTATATGAGGCTTTGGCCATCGTGTCCCGTCAAGTCTTTTTTTCCTCCCCATATATCGATACTATTGGATCATCACCTGTTATATCTCCAACATGACGTATAAATCGCGCTGGACAATCAACATCCCAGACATCCATTTAGCCTCTCTTCTCCTCAAGTCCCCCACAGCACCTCTCTCCAAAACACACAAGTGCTATCTCGAAGCAGCGCGCCCAGAAACCCACTACCTCACCAGCCATGATCTCCGCCTCTGGAGCCAGCGGCTCGCCGCCGGCCTACGCAAATCCGGACTTCAGCCAGGAGACCGCGTCCTCCTCTTCTCAGGCAACGACCTCTTCTTCCCCGTAGTTTTCCTGGGCGTGATAATGGCGGGAGGAATCTTCACCGGCGCGAATCCAACCTACGTAGCCCGCGAACTAGCCTACCAACTCCAGGACAGCGGCGCCACATACCTAATCTGCGCGAGCAGCAGTCTAGAAACCGGCCTAGAAGCCGCGAAGCAAGCCAATCTACCGCATGACCGCATCTTCGCCTACGACAACTCCATCTACGACGGCGTCACAAACCCGCAAAAGGGCTGCGCATACTGGAGCAACCTCCTCGCCTCGCCAGAAGAAGGCCGCGCCTTCATCTGGGACGAGCTAAACACACCAACTCTTTCGTCGCGCACACTAGCACTCAACTACTCCAGCGGCACAACGGGCCGGCCCAAAGGCGTCGAGATCTCGCACAAGAACTACGTCGCCAATATGCTCCAGTACTGTCACACGGCAAGCCTGAACCCGGACTACAAGGCGCGTCTTGAGCGCGCCCGATGGCTGTGCTTCCTACCTATGTACCACGCGATGGCGCAGAATATATTCATTGCGGCGGCGCTGTACCGTGCCACGCCGGTGTATATCATGTCCAAGTTTGACTTTGTCAAGATGTTGGAGTATACGGAGAAATTCCGGATTACGGATTTTATTCTCGTGCCGCCGGTTGTTGTTGCGTTGGCGAAGCATCCTGCTGTGAAGCAGTATGATTTGAGTAGTGTGGAGTTGGTTGGGAGTGGTGCTGCACCGTTGGGGAGGGAGGTTTGTGAGGAGGTTGAGAAGTTGTGGCCTCCCGGGAAGATTAATATTAAACAGGGCTGGGGGATGACTGAGTGAGTTTGTTCTTCTTAATGTTTTGCTTTTTTTTTTTGGCTTTTTCTATTGGGCCAATGAGCCATTTTGATTCTTGGGAACTAAACTCATCTGCTTCTTATAGGGCGACTTGCTCAGTCACGGGATGGAATCCTACTGAAATCAGTACTTCTGCATCTGTCGGTGAGCTCAATGCCAATTGTGAGGCGAAGATCATGTCACTTGATGGATCAGAGGTGAAAGAACGAAACTCTCGTGGTGAGTTGTGGGTTCGCGCTCCTAATGTCATGAAAGGCTACTGGCGCAACGAGAAGGCCACTAAAGAGACCAAAACTGAGGATGGCTGGCTCAAGACGGGGGATATTGCGTTTGTGGATGATCATGGCAAATTCCATGTTGTGGACCGAATGAAGGTACGATTTTTATTTCGTAAAAAGAAGAAGAAGAAATAAACTAACGTGAAGTGCAGGAATTAATCAAAGTCAAAGGCAACCAGGTGGCCCCTGCGGAATTGGAGGCTCTTCTACTTGAACATCCAGCGATATCAGATGTCGCAGTGATCGGAGTTGTCATGTAAGTTTAAATTTTTCATGGATCATGGATCATGGATCATGGATCATTTATGGATCTATGATTTTTTCTTTCTCTTTTTTCACTTCTTCTAACCCCGATTAGCAATAACGATGAGCGTCCTCGCGCATATGTGGTGCTCAGACCGGGCCAATCCGCCACCGCCAACGAGATCGCGCATTTCTTGGACAACAAGGTCTCCGCGTTCAAGCGGATTACCGGCGGAGTTGTATTCCTCGATGCGATACCGAAGAATCCATCGGGCAAGATTCTTCGCATGAAATTGCGCGAGCAGTCCAAGGAGGAGCTGAAGAGTGTCACCGCTAAACTTTAGACTTAGTTTATATTACATTTTTAGATATTTTAGGGCTTCTCTTTTTTTTCCAGGAATGAATCCAGTGAACATAGGTATAATATATGCCATATTGCTTCTTATTCTTTGTGTTGTTTCCCTGATTTGCAGGTTTAAGCAGCCGAGCCAGTTAGGGCGATCCTTGATCCACCTATAAGATTGATCTGGACAGTGCACACTCTTGGCAAAAGATTAAGACCCAGGTGGAGGGGAAGGGAGATTAATAACTGTTCGCATAGGTTCGTGTAAATCCACTATAATAGCCGAGTAGGGAATCCTGCAGTATGATTCGATGTATGAAACGGCTTAGCGCGGGGGACCCATGCAGGCGCCAGCTGAAAGGCAGAGGCGATCGATCTTGATGAGACATACTGTGTTGTACTCCGTACTCCGTACAACATACTTTGTACGCTCCGTACGTACATTTGTCATGATCGACAGCACATGGGTATTTTCTCCGCATGGCCTTACTGGCTCATATCGTGATATTCGGGGTTTGGGGGCTAACTCCAAGTATGACGAGAGTGAGATATATATTGAACAAAGAAATATGTGGCGTGTAGAAGGTAAGCTGAGTGGAGACAGGGCTGGCTGGCCTTAAATATCCACATTTTTTGGGTATACTTGTCAGTAAGTACGGAGATGAGGCAAAGACATCCTTTTCTTTCCGTGTATTTTGTTTATTTTTGGCTTTTCGATCTATCAAGCAATTCTGATTTGCCACTTGAGAAGTCCCGGTAGTCTGGCTCGGTTTTTTTTTTTTTCCTCGTAGAATGTACGGCAGAAGCCCTATCCTGCAGATATATCCCGGTCATACTCACTCCAGTGTTGATCACCTGTGATCACCCCCCACCCGTAGCCTAATTTGGATCTATTACTCCGTAATATTTGATCTCTAACTCTTATATATGACCTAAAAAGCCCACCCCTGCACTTCATCCCACTAGTTCCTTCCACTCGCCTCCCCGCCAAGTCCGCTTATAGTCTCGACTCAGTACTTGTATCTTTGACTCGCTAAAATCCTTCAAGTCCTGGCCTAGATTTACTTCCCCACACGCGCAGTCTTAAGTTGAACTGTTTCCCCCATTCTACAGGGGGTGACAGTTTCAACATATTCTTCACGAGTGGTGGACGCTATCCAACCACCCAAACCCCAGTCATGAACACTGTCGAACAAGGATCCAACTATCTGTCTCGTGAGCTCCTGCAGTCGACTGCAGGGTTCTTTCTGCCGGTGACCAGCCTGATCGGCTTTTCTCTTCTCGGTATCATCTTCCTCCACCGATATATCAAATATCGTCATCTGAAACAAGCACACACCATCCCAACATCTGAATTCAAACAAGAACAAAGAGAGCAAGACGTCTGGCTCCAGTCTATCACCATGGAAAAAGGAGACATCATCTCAACGGACTCGCGTCCTCCATCTGCATGCGATATCCTACAACCTCTGTCGCATACAAGCCTCCTCCCAAGCAGTGGAGATCTCGCTGCACAGGCCAGGGAGCAGCAAAGTGTGAAATCGGCGTCTGCACCAAGTAGTCCTGCATCTTCGAAGGCTTCTTCGCCTGATGCGGGCGAGGAGGTGCAAAAACGCAGTGAATCGACCCAGCAAATGTGTGAGGAGGATGTCGAGGGACTGCGGACTTGGAAGCGTGTTGTTGTTGAGTATAGATAGTTGGCCGCCTGTTTTACAGGTTTATTCACTCCGTGCGTTTACCGGAATTGGGGGTCTTCTTTTTTATTATATCTGAACCTGGAGTTCCGTGTTACTGTCATGTTTCTTTATTTTGTTATGCCTTTTGTTATGCCTTTCTTTCTTATTCCCTCCCTTGTGTGTCTTCACTTTTCACGAATAATGTCTTTCCTTAGAAAAGCGTGGGATTGGATTGTCTTTTTATCGCTTTGGGCGGCAGATACGTTTATTTTACTTACCAAGTACATGTTCAGCAATACATAACTACTATGCATGAATATGACAAGTATTGTGGTTACGATATATATTGGAAGGTCGAAACCCGGCAATTATCTGCCTTTGTAGCTTGATGAACATCCTCAGAATTCTTGACTATTGATATTAAAATTAAATTGTACATAATCAACAGGTTGTAAATCACAATAAACGCCATGACTCTATTGCAAACAAGACCGTTTTGTGGAGGCGGGTCAACCTGCAAGCTCGACAACCTTCTGCAGAAAACCCTAGGTAGTAGGGTCTGATGATTAAGCTCTTATCCTGTTGGAGAGACCTGCATGGCCCTGCTGACCACCCATAGAATATACACCAGCAGAATCCTGATGCAGCCTGGGTCTTGGCCTTGGTGGGACTGACGCGAACGTCGATGATACGCTCGATGAAGGACCACAAGAAAGCTCAAATGAACTATTCAGTGCGGTCCGATCTGGTCTCGGTATCAGGTGAAACAGTGCATTATTGAAGTGTGATGCTTGGTGAAATAAGTCTTCGATTCTGTTTGCCTGGCGCATGCCGTCTTGTTCGATGCGATCGGTGGCGGACCTGGAATGTATTAGCGACAAGAGATCCAGATAGGGATTACATTGCAGGACCTACCATATGAGGGTATTCAAGAGAAGATTGATCGCATCAAGATGCGACTCGAGCTTCCGTCGGTATTGGCTCAACGACTCACCTCTGAGATCCCACATGATTCGCCGCCATTGTATTTTGAATTGAGTGGTCCATTGCTGGGAGTGTGGGAGATTGACTCTGTGTCCATCATGCAATACCAACGAAGGCGTGGTCACTGTTGCTCGGTACTTGTCTGTGGCGCTTTCAAGATGTCTTAGGGTTTGGAGGCACGAGCGAACCATAAACCCTAATTGTTGCGAAAGGTCGGTAGCATCATTGTCCTGAGTATTGGAATTTCTGGACAAGATGACTATAGAAGCTCTTTGCAGCTGACTCAGAGAGCAATTCAAGGCGAGCAAGACATTTTCAAGTTCTCGTAGATCGCGTGGTGCATTTTTTCGACCTGTGGTTGCGGCAGTAAATAGCCGATAGGCAATTTGGCTGCAGAGTACAATGTCTCCAATTGAGAAACCAAACGACATTATAGCCGTCGAATGATGTGGGAAAGGAAGCAAATTAATGGAAAAATAAGTCGAGTTGGAAACAGTAATATGAATCGGAAGGGTAGTATAGTATAGTTAATCCAGGTATCATATAGGGAGCTCTGGGCTTATCGTGATATACGCATATGGCTAACTGGAACTAAGAGTATATATCTATCCATGCTGAATGGGTGAATGGGGCTGTGTGCTTTCCCAGCCGGTGAAAAGACCTAGAGTCTACCTAGGTATGAGGCGGTGTTTGCCATGTGCCGATCAAGCGATGGATATCTGCGCAGCTACCCAATCAAGACGGTTCTCCACCTTTTGACAAGGAGACAAAAACAAATAGAGATGCCGAATCTGCCGAACTAGTTGACGGTTCTTCGTTGCATGTTGGTACACGATCCGGTTAAGAGACCCTCCGCTTCATCTGTGCTGGCGTTGAGGGAGCCACGAGCCTTTGCGAATCTTATGAGCGCATAATTTAACCGTGTTAGAGGCTGGCTTGTTCAGATAGAGTACGAAGTACATGGATGTAGTTAAATTCCACTCGATCCACTTGTTCCCCATCCGCGGACCTGTAATGCTGAGTCATCTCGAAAGCGCCCCCAGGGCTCTACATGGATGCCACATCTTTAACCTTTAAACAGCTCACTTTTCTAATCCTAACTCACAGCCATGGCCGTAACCGCATTCCCCTCTGAGAGTTCTCCAGACCTCGCCCTTCTCAATGTTGCCCGCCTATTCACCAGACTCGAGCACAATCTCCTCTCCCCAGGGACAGACCGGCGCTCATTCCAACAATCAGAATACCAACGTATGCGCGTGAACAAGGTAAGCATTTACTCAACCCTTCCGATGCCTTCATTTCAAGGGAGGAAATATATCAGAACCTCGAATCTGACCAATGCCACAGAACGTCGAATACGCCCGCTCACTCCTCACCCAACTCGAGCGCTCCCTCCCACAAATAAAGCCCCTCGACCGCAAGCACGAAGCACAAGCCGAGATCGCGCGCGACAAACAGCTCTTGAAGCGTATACAGACTATCCTAGACGAAGAAGACGCCAAAGCCGAAGCGACGCAAGATGAAGACGACGAGACCGAAGACGTCGATGACGAATGGAAGGAGCTGTTCTCCAAGCCCGTTGCCGAGAAAGCTATCTCGCCGGTATCTCCACCAAAAGACCAGCGGGCACCGACACAGCCCTCAGATTCACAACGAGGAGTAAAGGGAACGAGCGAAGCGCAGCAAACCACGATTACATCCGCAACAGCAACTACAACAACCCCATCACCCACCCCCTCATCAACAAGCCCACCAGCACCCCCAACCCTCCGCAACCGCCACACAAACCACCCCGCACCGCCGTCATCTACCGAAAAAGCAGCTGCGACGGGAAGCAATACGAACAAGCTCTCTGGAACAGAAGCCGAGCTGAGCACCCACAGACTGGAACAGGAAGATCTAACGAGCTCCCTTCTAACGCTCGCTTCGCAATTGAAGTCCTCCTCGCAGAGCTTCCAGTCGACGCTGGAGGGCGAGAAGTCTGCTTTGGACCGCGCGGTGTCGGGCATCGATCGCACGAGTACCACGATGGAGGCGGCGGGAAAGAGGATGGGGATGTTGCGCAAGATGACGGAGGGGAAGGGGCTGTGGGGGCGGATGATGCTGTATGCCTGGATTTTCGGGCTGTGGGTTGTTGCTATTCTGATTGTTTATATTGGGCCGAAGTTGAGGTTTTGAGAGGCTGTCATAATTTGGCGCTCTCCTTCATACTTTTTCTGTCTACGATAGTTTGATCCTATCCTTATGCGTCGATACCCTTGTTTCGCTCTGCATAGATTATCTGTCTATACCTCTATACAAAATCACAACACTATTGTCGATATCTACAACTTGGGAGCATACAAAACGATACACAGAGGGTATAGAAACAGTATGGAATTAAGAGTCAGATCCTTGAAGAGTCAATCCTTGAACTCTGAAATAACCCAACGACCGACCTGGCATGACACATGAGAAGGAAACATTCAAATCCGGGGATCCTGCCATTTCCCCGTGCCCAATGCCCGGATGGACGCTCTTGGCTTCCAACGGACGCGAGACCACGGAAAATGATGGGGGGGGAGACGATATGGTTACATACATAAACAAGAAAATGGGGGAGAGAGATGATAGGATATCCAGCATTCAAATCAGAAGGGTCACAAAAAAAAGATTGAAAGGAAATATGAAAGAGAAAAAAAGAAGGGAGGGAAACACTCCTTGTTTTCTGTAGTGGATATCAGGATTGACAAGAGAAAACACAAAAACCGGCTAGAGATCGTGTCAATGGCAGGGGAAATTAGAACATGAGCAAATGGAGAATAAGAAAAGGAAACGCAAAATAGAATCAACGCCGGGGTCTTGAAACGAGGCTTTTTGACCGGATCCGATCAGCCCCGGATAATAAAAACATGCGATCTAGGTTCGACACACTTCGTCACCAAACGGTAGGTTCATTAGATCAAACCGCAGAGACGGAGGTTCTCTTGGATGATAATATCTGTGAAACGTTAGACAAGTGTTGCGCATTAAGGTTTGGATGGCTGAGCTTACCGTTCACTGCTGCCATGACGAATCGGATCTGGGTAGTGTCGGTAGCGCAGGTAAAGTGCGTGTAGATCTGCTTTTGCTCGGCCTGGTTCAGGGAAACGAAACGGTTGAGGATGTAGTCGCAAGCCGCAGCGTAGTCGGCACCGCCCTCATAATCGGGGAAGTAGTTCTTCATCGGGCTAACGGGGAGCTTCTCCTTGAAACGATCGATCTTGTTGAGGAAGAGAATGATCGAGGTCTTGACGAACCACCGGGAGTTGCAGATCGAGTCGAACAGGGTCAGGGCTTCTTGCATACGGTTGACGGTCTCGTCTTCGAAGAGCAGCTGATCGTACTCGGAGATGGCGACGAGGAACAGAATGGTGGTGACGTTCTCGAAGCAGTGAATCCACTTCTTGCGCTCGGATCGTTGACCACCAACGTCGAACATGCGGTAAGTGAGGTCACCAATAATGAATGTGGTCTCGGTGATACCGGTGGTCTTGACACGCGAACGGAGGACATCCTGGTCGGTGGGGAGGTAGTCGGGCTGGGCAATGCGCTCAATGGAATCGAAGTAGCTAAGAGGAAACGAGTTAGTCATGTTGCAATGCGACAGACAAGTGGTCACTACTCACTATTTGGCAGAGTCGTTCAGCTGGTATTCGCGCGAGCGCTTGAAGCACTCCTGAACACCAGTGTCACGCCAAAGTTGGCCAATGGCGTTTCCAACCTCGGGGGGAATGCTGTCACCCTCGATCTGAGCAGGCTGCATGAAGATGGTCTGCACGTGGTACTCGTGGCGCGCATCCTCCAGGGGAAGCTCGAGCGACTCCATGGCCTCGAGAATGACCCGCATGGACTGGACGGTGTTGCTGTAGATGATTTCCTTGAATGATTCACGTTCGTCGCGGGAGTATCCACCCTCGTGGATAAGCTTCATCTGCTTCAGAATCGTGGATTTGCCCGACTCTCCCGCTCCTGTGTCCCAAGTCAGCCATCTGCCCGTATTCCCATTAGGGGTCAATAAATCATACCAAGGAGCAGCATCTTGATCTCGTTTCTTTGCATCATCTTGTCGCGCTTGAGCTGGTTCTCAATCTCCTCATTTCGCGCCTTCCCCTCCTTATCCTCGGTGCTCATTCCGCAACCCATCTTGACGGTATGAAGTCGCAATTAACGGAGTGAAAGTGGATGAGAAAAGGTTCCTCGTGGAAATTCGGTAGTCTGTTACAGGGGCTGTCCGAGTCGGATCAACTGTCAGCAGGCTGGAATAATTTCATCCGAGGAAATATCGCATTGATGGGCTCGAGGGGGGCGTTGCATAGGTGGTACAAGCACCGCTGAGCAGAGGCAGACGGCGTTTCAGAATTGGTGTAAGCATGCCGACGCAAGGAGTCGGCACCGAGTTTACCAGAGCAAATAGCCAATTGACAAGATCAAAGGGGAAAAAAAAAGGGTACCCACCTGAACGTGCTTTTGCGAGATGCAAAAACGAAGGACAAACCGGCAAAAGGGTATAAATGAAAGAAACGAAAAGAAAGGAAGAATCAGAAGAATTCGAATAGAATCCAATCTGGAAAAGAAGATGAGAGAGAAGAGGGAGATACAACGGGTTCAAAGGTAAGGGGCAAGACTGAGGGGGAAATTGGGAAAGTTTCAGCAGAGAAAGGGGATACACTGGTAATACCACGGCGATTCAGCAGACAATGGCCGGTGATTAGGGGTATTGCCTGGGTACGGAGTGCTGTGTTTTGATTACACAAAAATACACAATACAGAGAAATACCACCACCCGGCAGCTGGAGTCAGCTGATTGGGCGGTGTGGGGACTTGACCAGGGGCCGATTCAGCCCCTTTTGCTTTTGCTATTGTATTGGCCGGTTTGGGGTATTCTATTGGCATTGGATCGGTATAGATTCTATTTTCAGAGGGTATCTATATCCAAATGCATCTATGGAACATTCTGTTTCAGACAGTCAGCCCTTCATAAGTATACTATAGAATAGAGTACTGTACCTCCCCATGTACAGTACTTTGTATGTATAAAGATGCTTGTGGACTTCTGGAGGCGTGCAGATCTTGTGGGGAGCAAAACTAGCATATCAAACCGCAAAGCGAATCACATGTGAAGATAGAATGCTGGAAATAACAGCAACGTTAAGAGGTAATTGAGTCTGGGGAGGGAACCCCTGACAAGAGCAACTTATGTATGGAGTACAGCCTCTAGTATATCATACAGGTGACTCCCCACACAGACGTTCCAGAAAGTCTGACATCTGACCTCACCTCAGCAGGATCTCGTCTCAGATAATTTCAGTCTGAGGGAAACAAAGAAAATAAAGCAAAAGGGTAGTGCTCCTACCCAATCAGACTAGTCTACGCCTCATCTCATGCATCCATGTCCAGTTCTTTGAGACTTCCTTGAAACTTCTTTGAGGTACAATAGTACGGACAACCCGACAGGTTTCTGACACAGTTTGCACATCCGTGGACCGTTTTATGTCCAGTGGAGCCCATAGTCCACTTGAGCGAGTATGTGAGAATAGCGAGATACTGACTGTCACACCTTCAACGTTAGTCCTCAGTCCCTCTAATGGTGGGTTTAACAAGACTAGGTCAGGATGATTGAAAAGGAGGTCAGTGAGCACAGGGCAATCCCAGAATCGGGTAAAAAAGGGAAAGTTAGGGGATTTCCTCGTTCCAATCGCGTCCCAAGGTTGTCTCCTGAAGTTCTGCACTAGATGACCCACTGGCTAGTGTTCCTAGCCGTTTTTTGCCAGGAATTTGTGTGAGGAGTTGATACTGGACTCCACTTATTACCTCGTGGCAATGGGGACTATTGAAGTCCGCGGCTCGGTAGTTTGGCGTCTAAACTCGAGCCCTGAACTCTGAATTTGGTAGTCGAGAACCTTGGAAGTTTCCTTGGGTCCGAGGTCATAGGTGATTACTAACAAAACTGGATACACTCGGTATTTCCACTACAAGTATAAATTACCTGCAGCTCTCTGGAGCCAGGGTGCGATAAATACAGGGCTGCGTAGATCATTTCTAAGCATTTATCCACACCCATCTAGCCTACCATAATCAAGGATATATAGCTAATATACTAATGCGACATAATACATTCATACACATCTGCCTATTTGATTTTTATATTCCAAACCACAATGTGAATCCCAATGGAGCGGAAATCTCGGTTCCATCGATCGGGCAATTAAACCTTGGGAAGACCCAAGGAACCCGATCGATCTGATTTTTCGGGTATTCCCCACCTAAGAAAGGTACCCTTCTCTTTCCCCCGGGGCGTTTCTTATCATCACAATCATGTCGCACGAAATGTCCCACATGGGCCCTCGGGGTATGTAATGCGTCGATCGATCCATGCCATTGCAATCACTAATAACAAATCAGCCTTCAACCACGAAAATAGCAGCGACGCCGAGGCGGAGTACGATCGGCTCCGTGACCTCGCGCGCCAGGAAGCCAACAAGCGCGGACAATGTTTCGGCCGGGTATGCGACCACCCAATTCCAACCGCTCGATTACAATCGCAATCTCAATCGCAATCGCAGTTCTAGTCATTTCATCGCCGCTAACACTCTCTTCCACCAGTCGAAGGATGCCTACTCGAGCGGCGATGGCGCCGCCGCCAAGCAACTCTCCGAGGAGGGGAAGGCCCACGGCCGCAAGATGGAGGAGTACAACCGTCAAGCGTCTGAGTTCATCTTCCGCGAGAACAACGCCAGCGGGCGCGTCGAGGCCGACACCATCGATCTACACGGACAGTTCGTCGAGGAGGCTGAGGAGATCCTGGAAGAACGGATCAGGTATGCCAAGTCGCATGGGCAGAACCATCTTCATGTGTAAGTGGCAGAACAAACCCCAGGGAGACTCTTGTGCGCTGGACTCAACGCGACTAATACCTCTTTGCGCTATAGCATCGTCGGCAAGGGAAACCACTCAGCCAACCATATCCAGAAAATCAAACCGCGCGTCGAGCAGGTGTGCCGTGAGTTGGGACTTCAGTACGCCACCGAGGATAATGCTGGTCGCATCTACGTGAACCTGACTGGTGGTGATGCTGTTATGCCTCCATCGACTGGTCACCAGGGCTCGGGTGGGTACCCTGGCCACCAACAGGGTCACCAGCAGGGTCACCAGCAGGGCCAACAGCAGGGCCAACAGCAAGGACAGCAGCATGGACAAGGACAGCAAAAGCCGGACGAGCTCGAGGAGTTGGCCAAGAAGATGTTGCCAAAGGTTCTGCGCAAGCTCGAGAAGGCTTGCTGTGTGGTTATGTGAGCTTTTACTTTTGGTGTTTGGGACATATACATAGATGCATAGCTGTGTTTGTGGACAGATGTCTGTTGTTTGGTGTTGGTGACATTTTGCGCTTTTGATTTCTCGTTTCCATCATCTACCATCTACATAAGACCTTAAGTCTGGGTTCAGCCTCGACACGACTCATGATGGCAGGGATGTGGTTATACCCTTACATGGATATATGGACATGGACATTACTATTTACTTTCTGGCTGTTGAGTACAGCTGTTTTATCAATTTGCACTCCCAAGACCATATAAACATAAATCATATCATCGTGAACGCTCGTAGCTACATAGCCAACTTCATGAAAACAAGATAACTGGAACTGGGTATATCCAACAAAGACAGACTTTGACACAAAATCATACCAAATGAACAAAGAAACAACTAGCGCACATTGGGATCCGACAGCGTCGACTCCACAATCTTTTCCACAATAGCACGCACCATCTGCCCGTCACCAGCTCCATTGGTCTTCGGCGTAGCATCAATCGCCTCAATCAACGCCAACGCCTGATCTCGCAAATCCCTGACAACCCGACTGGTGTGCGCAAAGCTGCCTGTATTCTTCATATACTGCACCGCATAGCGCTTAACCTCGTCATCCTTGGTATTCTGCTTAAGGATATTAATCAGCTGTTGATTGGACGGGTTCGAGCGAATGCTATGAATGATCGGGAATGAGAATTTGCCCTCGGTGAGATCCTCGCAGAATCCCTTATTTTCCGTGTACACCGTATTCGAGAGGTTGAGATAATCGTCGCAGATTTGGAAAATCAATCCCATGACATTGACCAAGGCAACACAGTCCTTGCCTGTTGTACTCTCCGCCTGCATAAGTTTCACCGCGAGGCGGAAGAGCCCGCCTGTTTTGTTGCCGACCATTTCCAGGTACTCGTCTTCCGTCGGGCAGGTCAGCGTGTCGCGCCAAAAGAGATCCATTCCTTGACCCCGGTGCAGGTTCAGCATCTCCTTTACGTAGATGTCGATTGCGGTTGGGTTGTTGAGCTTTTGAACTTCTTGCAGCGCGAGGAAGTACACATAGTTTGCGGAGTTGATGGTCTGCGCCGTTCCGAAGATGTTGTGTGCGACGGGGATACCGCGGCGGAGGACGGAGTTGTCTTCGACGTCATCGATTCTGGCGCCCACGCGGTCAGCATCAGGATATGGATTGGGAGGGAGGACGCAGGTGATCTGGGGGTTCAAACTTACAACAGCGATGATGTATGCAGCATCGTTATGACATTTGTGATGATCGTCAGACTTGCCGGCGGGACCTGCAGCCAGGCGTTGAAGGCGTGGATCAGTTGTCGCCGAATGTCTTTTCCTGGGTGCTCGTGCACGTAGTCGTACGGACCCATCAGGATCTTGTCATTTTTCGATGACCATGTTCCATCCTTGTACTTGGTGCCGTCCACGCTGGACTTGTTGCGACGATGTCCAGTTTTTGTCGGCTCTTCATCTGTCACCGACAGCTTGTGTCGGTGGGAGAGGCCCCCGTTACCATTTGTTGCATTTGCCGAGCTTGTCCGAGGAGGAACCGGACTCGGTGGTTGGAAGGGTGGTGAGTTCATGATTGTGGGATGGGGAGATGGAGGGGTTTGGCGGGCGGCAGAAAGACGGAGGGGAGCTAGGGACCTCCGGGGCTAGTATAAGTGCGGAGCTATGCGACATGTGCAGATGACATCAACAGCACTTTTTCACATACGTAGGTTCGTATAAGGAGTATGTACAGTGACATTATAATATATAGTAAAATGTATTATGCAAGATGTATACATACTTCGTAGGAGCCTTGGATATGATGGATGCCTGGATCTCCCGAGGTCGGGATGCCGAGGCCCATGACTAATCGGGCTGAGCCACCTGGGCACATGACATGACAGGGATTAGTAACTATAGGATTGACAAATGAGATATGTCAATTTGTTTGGCAATAACGGAAATGTGATGATTTGATAGGTCATAAGTAGGGACCAACAAATGAATTGTTCAATAATTCTATGTAAGATATAATGTTCACTATAGCAACGGAGTACATCATATTATGTAGGGCAAAAGAGGTCAACATACGGTGTAGACTATGTGTTTAAGGCTCTACCTCACTGAGTACTAAAATTAACATTAAAGTCGAACCTGATTGACGCCAGGGGTCGATCTAAGGTCGAGCTAAGCGTTCCCCGATGTGATGAGTTCCTTGGTTATTGGCCAGTTGCCTGGGGCAACCGCCCTTTATTTACTACGAAACCTTGGAAGGGCTCAACTGACCTCATCCACCCAACCCGAACAACACACGGACAACACGGACCTTCTCCACTTTCTTTTTGACCTTTGCTTTAAGAATGTTCACTTGCTTTTCTTTTTTTGGTAGTTGAATAGCTCACTTTTTCAAACTCCGCATCTGATTTATCAATGGAGGCTCTTTTAGCCCATTCGTTCGATTACCTCTCCTCATATGAGCCTAGCAAGATCCGCAAAGGATTACGCCAGGTCGAGGGACTACTAGCACAAATATGTCTATCGAAACCTAAGCCCGTCTTGGACCGGAGATCACGCTCCCCCGATACCCAGCCCGTGCCAAAGACCTTGTCAGAGTTGCGAGATGATCCGGCCTTTCGAGAATTTTCCAAATTGCAGGAAAGCTTTCAATGGAACAGTATGTCTTTGAAATTTCTATCGCAACTAGAGTCTGGCTAACAATATTCTTCAGTCGCCATGCGCCTAGTATCCTGTCTGGAACACCTTCTAGGCCGAGGAAGCAACGGCACAAACGACATGCTGATCGTCTGCACACTGGATCTAATCCAAGGCGCCCTCCTCCTCCATCGCGGCTCGCGCACCCTCTTCGCCCGTGAAATTTACATGAACCTCCTCCTCGACCTCCTCGACCCGATCAACTGTCCAGCCGTGCAATCAGCAACCCTTCTCACACTCGTCACAGCCCTATTGGACTGCCCATCAAACACCCGCACATTCGAGGACCTAGATGGCCTCCTCACCGTCACATCACTCTTCAAGCAACGCGCCACCTCCCGCGAAGTCAAGCTCAAGCTCGTCGAGTTCCTCTACTTCTATTTGATGCCTGAGGCCATGACCCCAGCACCGATGTCTCCCCCGCCAGGTCTGCAGCGCAGTCCCAGCAAACTCTCCTCTGCTCCCTTCTCGCGCAGTGCGCACTCCACCGCGGCAAATGCTGCGAGTAAAACGAACCGCGATACACGCACGACGGACGAGAAGCAGGCTCTTCTGGGGAGGTATCTTAATAATGTGGAGGACCTCGTAGAGGACCTGAAGGAGACGGCTCCGTTCGGAGCGACGGTTTACTGAATGACTTGACTGGCCATGATTGACTCACTCACTGCTTGACGACCAAATATGCGCGATGTCCGCTGCGATTATTTGGTTATTTTTTTTTTTACCTCTTGTCTCTATCCTTTTTCTACCTTCCCTTCTCCTTACCTCTTTTCCTCTTCTTCACGAGCGTTTGACTTATGTTCCGTCCGGTACGGCAATTGTACGATTCCCCTGGACTGTTGTCTCGCCCTCCTTTGGCCTGTCTTTTGTGCTCTCTTTATCTTTTACTCCAATACTGGAACTTTGTCGACTTCTCTAGTGTGCCCTCTCCCCGGGCTTTGTTTCCTTATCGCTTTCCTTATGTCTCTTTAATGGTGACATGAATGTGTACGACTCTTCTCTGTGACTAAACTAAACTGTCATATAATCCTGATGACCATCAACATTTCTTCGTAACGCTACTGCTCAATGTAGGCTTAGATTTGATAGACTCGGTTTTAGGGCTCTCAAGCTTCTCGGTTATCCACGGTATCGCTCCATCTAGACCTAGATTATATTTATACAAATGAGTCACCGTTTATGTATGACTCAATGTAGCACGGATCGTATACCCCAAGTTCGACGTTCAGAGTGGAGAAAACTCAAGCATTAGCGTGGCCCACGAGTTCTATATATCCCCGCAAACCCACCGAAATTTAGACTCGTTCCACGGTACAATCACCTTCCAGAATGGCGCAGACAATCGAGGAACTGCTGGCCACGAAGCCTTCCGGAAATTCACAGCAAACGCAATATGTCGACACGGTAGAAGCATACGATAAATGGGCAGAGGTGTGTATCTATATCTCATTTCCTATTTCCCATCCATCACCTATATTCCTATTTATTATAATCTATACTCCCAGCGCAGAATGTACCTAACTTATGGCGTTCATATAACAGTTCAAACTGTATACACCATTTACTACATATACCCAAAACTAACACGAACCAGGTCTACGACACAGACGGCAACTTCCTCCAACGCCTCGACACAATCGAGATGCGCTCTCTACTACCCCAGTTCATTGACCGGGTAAGCAAACGCTTCGAACCAGGCCCACCAGACACAGAGTCAGAGACCGAGACAACCCGTCCCAGCCTAGTAGATTTAGGCTGCGGCACCGGCCGCAACACAATCCAACTCCTCTCCGCACTAAGCACAGCCAACAAAGCCACCTCCTTCTCCGTAATCGGACTGGATGCCTCGCGGGGGATGTTAGATGTAGCGCGGACGGCGACACGCGAGTATGCAGCGAAAAGCGAAAGGCAGACGCACGTTGAGCTGGGTATCCTTGATCTCCTCCAACCCGAGCTATCAAAGACGCAGCTTCCGTCTTCGTTGTATGCACCGGGTGCTGTGGGTGTGATATCTACGCTGGTGCTGGAACATATTCCGCTTGAGCGTTTTTTTGTGGCTGCGGCGGGGATTATGAGGTCCGGTGCGTATTTGCTTGTGACGAATATGCATGCTGAGATGGGGATGCGGAGTCAGGCAGGGTTTACGGATGAGCGGGGAGTTAAGGTTCGGCCTACTAGTTATTGTCATGCTGTTCCTAATGTTTTGGATGCGGCTAGGGAGGCTGGGTTTGAGGTTAAGGAGGTTGTTGGTGCGGGTGCGGATGGGGTGGTTGTTAGGGGGGTTGACGAGCAGTTGGGGGATGTTTTGGGGACGAGGGCGAAGAAGTGGGTTGGGGTTAGGGTTTGGTTTGGGGCTTGTTTTGTGAAGAGGGGTTGAGGGTTGAGATGGAGAGGTCAATCAGGAGATATATTATTTTATCTAAACAATGAGTCCGTATCCAACGCCATGGGTTGTTGTTATACATTTAGAAAAATTTCAGTAGTCTGTCGCGGTGTTGTACAAGGTTGGGATGCTCTTTGAGCAGTTGTCCCAGCCGGTTCCGTTTCCAGCCTAGGGTATCGTCCAGGATGAGTTGCGTGTAGGCGAAGACGCTGGCATCGAAGAGGCCTGGGTTTGGCCGGCCGAAGAAGTGCTCGTCCTCGCCGAGCAAGGTGGATAGCGCCTCGAATGCGCCACCCGCATCGCCTTCCAGGGCAGCGGCGTCGATGTAGCGGGATGTCTTGAGGAGCTCATCACGGGCGGCCTGTTGGAGCTGGTAGCTTAGAGCGGCGCGTACGACCGAGTTCGAGGTTGTGGGATTCACATAGAGTCGGCGTGCGACGGCGTCGAAGTTCTCACTGTCAAGGTAAAGCATGTATAACTAGACACTTCGGTCAGCTCCTTCGAGTCTAGGGGTTATTTCTGATGGAACCATTAACATACCCAAGCGCTGCGTATACGGTTGTCCAAAAGGGAGGCATAAACCTCGAACCGCAAGTTCAATTGTTGTTCTTCCTCGCAGTGAACTTGTTCAATGGCCCACTTTTGGATCTTGTGTGAAGGGATCGGATTCGAGGTGTCTGCAGGCAGCGAGGGTCGGAGGAAAGGCAGGGAGCCATTTGGCGATGCATGGTTGTTGGACGAGGTGATCTCAAAGTCAATCCCGACGAATTTCAAGTATGCCTAGAGCGAGGTCGATCAGTATGGTTCCGACAGGGACGGCTACGCGCGTCGTTGCATGCGAGTATAGATGGCACGAACCTGCCATTTGAGACATTGAGGATTGAATGAGGGTCGGCCATGTCGTGCACCAGATGCGTCGGCGAACACGTACAGCTGGTTGACATTGTCGTGCGGTCGAAGGCGTTGAGGGATCTCGTTGGCGGGATAGGTAGTCAAGGGGAACTTGTCGAAGAGGCGCTTGAGGGGAGCGGGGATTGTAAAGAAAGGACTGGCACTGGACTCTTCTGGAGGGCTATCGGGGCTTTTGGGTGGCATAGTGGTGGTTTGCAGCTTTCCAGAGTCGCCAAAGTCCAAAAGTGTCCCGAGTGCCGTCATCGAAACAATTCCGACGCGCCAAGCCCGAACAGGAAGGTATTGCCTTACCTAATATTGGCCAGGTACTGTCCTCCCCGCACCTCTTTTCCCGCCGTTTTCCTGTCTTTACTTGGGAATAACCTGAACTTTGCGATCTATGGACGATTCGGATCATATGGATTCGATATCTTAGTGTTTATTCTATATCTAGTGGTGTTGGTATTGATCATATCAGTCCCGATCTCTTCCGCTTCAACGTTGAAGAAATCACAACCTCCACTTCGCTCCGTCTCGACTCCACCTTTCACTCTGATCTGCTCTCGCGAACGACAATTTGACAATACCGGCATACATATGGCTTAGTTTGTCGCTAAATACGAGGCGTCTGACGGTCCTAGCGGAAACGGGCGATTGCATGCGCGGGGTATCGACTAGTCGTTGGGGTTTTGCGACACACGGTTGCGATATTACGAATCAAATCTTGCGTCCCACCTTGACTTCGACGGAATCATACAAAGCTCTTCGCTAAAATGCCTCTCGATGAAGAAGGTGCCAAGTGGTCTTGGTAGGAATATATCGTATATTATCAATGAAACCGGGCTAAACAGTTACACCAGTGAACCATGCATTCGAGGTCACCGATCGTCAAAATGCCAGCACTTTGACAGACTCATGATGAAGGTCCCTAAAGCCGGGCGTCCTCTTGCAAAATGTCCCCACCCGAAAGGAACTTGCAGTTGCCAGAAGACATATGCCGTGATGGTCCGCATTCCGAAAGGTAGAGATATCCTTGTCACCAAACTACCACACTTGTGTTTGCGTTGTACTGACTTTTCCCAGGCTCATCATGCTTATGTCGTCCACTCTATAAAGTTCCCATGGATGCCAATGAACCAACTCAGTCTCCCCCATCCTCCATGGTTTCCACATCATCACCAGCTCCGGGCAAGGTCCAAAAGTCTGGAAGAAGACAAAGTACTATGCAAGCAGCACCTGAAAACATAGCTCGGGCATTAGAAAATATGCCAGACAAGGTAAAGCTCGAGGATGGAACGTCGAACTTGCCTTCGGACTTCTCTTCACAGCTCGGGTTAGATGGTTCACGCATCTCTCCCCCTGCGTCTACACAAAACCAAAAGACTCCATCGTCAACAGAAACTACCAGGCAAGGCTCACAGTCTCCTCAAGTATCAAGCTGCTGCTCTCAAAACCAAAAGCCGAAGGCACCCACTCCGACCCCAGCTCCTGCTGCGGTTGCTTCTCCGGCTCAGAATGGTGGATCTTGCTGCGGAGTGTCTCGCCCTCCAACGACAAATCAAGCTGTGTACCCAGAGGCCGACCAGCAGCAATTCCAACAACCTATTGCTTGGGATGATCAGAGTTACATGCAATTCCCCATGCCCCAAATGTCCTCATGGCAGAATTCCTCGATTCCCACGCATGGAGACTACATGCATTCCGCCATGCATCAACCACATCCCCAACACCCAAGCCTCCATAATGGGTACATGGGAATGATGCTCCCTCACTCTCAGCCCCAAATGCCCCAAATAGGGGTGTCACTCGGTGTGACTTCGCCGCCGTCCATGGCATACTCCAACCCGATGAATGGTCTTGGAATCACGCAGCCCTCTATGGGTCCGTACATGCCCAGCAACCTTGAGCCTTCCTACAATGCCCCACCAGGTGGCGACTCTTGTAACGACTGTAGCTGTGGAGAAGATTGCCAGTGTCTTGGCTGCGCTGCTCACCCATTCAATACCACAACACGGAAACATGTCCAAGAGATGGGTGCCATGATCAGCTCCAATGGCGATGACAAGAATCCGGAAGTCATCAACCCTTACCAAGCCTCACCCTACCAGGGAGGCACACCTTCGACCCCATTCCCTTACCTCATGCAAAGCACTCCTTCAATGGACCATGGCTTCCAGCCGATTCCATTTGATAGCTACTCGGATCCAAATTCCACCCTACCCAGCGGTTACTCCTCTCCTCTGTCGGCAAATCACCACCTGAACCAGCAGTTGATGCATCCTTCGGAGTATTACACCCTGGAATACCCAGTCGGGCTACCAAGCGCCTGTTCTGACATGACGGGTAGCTGCCAATGCGGTAGTGACTGCAGCTGTGTCGGCTGTCTCACACACAGCGGCCACAACGGTCTTTCTTTGGACGTCCCAATCCCCGACCATCCCATTGCCAACACAGCGGATAAGCCAACCCAAGCTTCGCGCCATGTTCCCCATACAAATTCCGCTACGTCTCAAACTTCGCGGATCCCAGTACTAGACAATGTGTCTGTCCCCTGCCTGAGTCCCCGCACACTGGAGACTTCCATGATCTAGATGATCCACGGCTTGATGATTTCTTACCATTTTCTTTCTCCCCTCAATTTTTTCCCCGCGCCGTTTTTGATTTTGCATGATTTATGATCTCCTATGATACCCTATCTAGAATCTCTGCTCTAGACGGCCACAGTAATAGATTGCCTGTTTGAATGCAATTGTTCCCACTATCCTGGTTATCGTTCTTGTTATTGCCTTTTGTAGTGTCTTGTGCATCCTTGCTTTCAACGCTCGTAATCCACCTAGAACCAGAGAGGGAGGGCGGCGTGTATTGGCGTAGAAGCCAGAGACACCCGGGTGCCCCGGGACCACTTTTGCTTACCCTAAAAACCCTAACAAACTGGGACATCATTTTGTTTGTATGTTCCAATCTTCATACGTTGAAATTAATATGATGATCATCAATGCATTGGGGGATATCATAATTCTTAAGCAAAAGATAGTATACAGATAAAAGACAGTTTCCCACAGAACCCCAATCAACCCTTATTCCACTTTCCGAACTTCACATAGTCATCATAGAGCGACTTGAACACCGCACGACCAGAGACATCCAGCGCAGCGTTAAGCGCACGCATAGACTCACGCGACATGACATCCAGAGCCGCATACAGACCAGGCAAGATAGCAGCCTTGACATCCGGGGACAGCGACCCACGCAGCGAGCACTGCGCATACTCCATAACAACATACTGCAAGTACTGGCCAGCAATACGCTTCGCCTTCTTCGTCTGATCAGTCAGTGCCTCGCGGGATGCACCAGGCTGGGGACGTAAGACCGCCGAGACGGTAGGGTCGCACAGCGAGGTGAGCAGACGGGTGTAGTAGGTAGCGTGCGAGGCGTCGAGCGGGGCGAGCCAGAAGGGCTGCGAGAGGGTGGGCTGGAAGCGGGAGCGGCCGCGTTTGCGGGACCGCGCGAAGAGACAGCCCAACAGGCGCTGCATGGCGTTTACCACTAGGTGGAAGCGGCCGCCGACCTTGAGGCGTTGCAGGCTGAGTACGACGCCCATTAGTCGGCACAGGCGGGTGTAGATGGTTGGTGCGTAGGCGGGGGAGATCTGGGGGCCGATTTTGGAGGAGGCGCTCGCGATCGCGCTGAGGATGCTGTCGATGTTGCATTGGGTGAGGCTGCGGGTGTGGCTGCGGAGGAGGAGGTCCAGGCATTCGGAGGCGAAGCAGAATTGGTCGATGCTTGTGCTTTGGATGATGGCTTCGGCGAGGGACGTGCAGAGGAGGGAGATCTCGCGTGCTGTGGCGCTCTCTTTGTCTTCGACGGGAGGGAGCGAGGAAACAGCGAGATAGAGTACGAGCAGTCTGTAGCTGGCGTTTTCGCCAATCAAGCCAAGTCCGCGGACTTCGCAGATCGTTTGGGTGATTTTTTCCTCGGTCATGGAGCGGAAGCGTTCGGTGGTGGTCCGGATGAAGAGCTGCTGGTCCTCGGCATAGAGAGATTCAAGGGCAAGAGTCTCGGCGCATTGGAGGACTGGCTGAGCGATGTTCTCCTCGGGTCCCTTGCTGGCAAGAAGACGTCGTCGGATTAATCGAGACGGTTCCGAATCAACGGACATTTCCATGTAATTGTCAATCTTGGAAAGGAACTTCTCCACTTCGACGTTGTTGGTGGCTAGATCTTCGAAATCCTCTAGAGCATCGATGGTCTTAATAAGGGTAATTGTCTCCTCCATCTTCTGCTTCCTGCACTGGTCTTTGACATGTTTCATGTCAGCCAACACGAAGTCGAACACCTTCTGGCGACAAGCGGCAAGTTCCTTCTCCGAAAAGGCTGTCTGCAGCTGCTTGCGGTGAACCCAGAGCTCTGACAAGGTCAACCTCAGAAGGTAACAGGCCATGGAATCACGATCCACCTGCTTCATTTTAGCGGTTTGCTTCGATGCCCGGGCGAAGAGTTTCTTGAACATCTTGTTCCGGTCATCCTCAGACGAAACCAGGAGCTTGGCCGATATCGCGCGGTGCAGGCTTCGGAATGCTTTCATAATCTGGAGGTCGAGGTCGGTACCCTCCAATGGTACGGCTCGAGCAGCAGTCCAGATGGGCTCCCAGTCACTGGTCAGTGTGGCGTCACATTTAGGCATGGCAGCCAATTTAGCCATCATCGTAATAATTCCGATCGTGACATCGGCGGAACTGTCCTGTTCAAGCAGAACATTTTGCAACTTGTTCAAAATGATAGTTCTCAGCCCCCGAGTGATTAACGGGGCCGGAACCCTCTGCAAGCTCTCGACAAGCAGTTTGCGATTGGCGGAGTCTTGCTCGATGCTCTCGTTGAGGAGAAGGCAAAGATCGGAGACAATGAAGGGAGCGTTAAGCATATATTCATGGCAGACCACGCTCGCCCACGCTTGGAGGAACTTCGCTTCTTCTGCAACAATTTCCAAGGGCAATGACGAAGAATTGTATTGAGTAGCTGCCAGGGACAGAATATGACGAAACAGACGGGATCGATCGTCAGAAGAGATAAGAGCCCAGACTTCCGGAACTCTGACAAGGGCCAGGAAGTAAGCTAAGCCAAGAGTTGTTTGGGAATCCACAGTATCTGTGCGGCCATTCCAGGGTGCCTTCATCGACTTTTTGGCATCCTTGGTTGAGATGGAAGTGATGAGGTCTGTGACATCCTTGGTGGCTTTATCAAATGAGCCTCGCTGCTCATCACTAGTGTGTGCCTTGGTTGCAGCAATCAAAAACCGGTAAGCCTCCCACGATTCCAGAGGAGCGAGTTGAGATTTGGTCAGGTCCTTGTGGTTGCGGCGAACAGTCTTGGCGGCGACTTCTACCAATGGCATGAGTGCACTTGCCATGGTATTATCGGCTGACTGTAGGGTGTTCTCTAGGAAATTCCGAACCAACCGCCACAGACGCCATCGCCAGTGCAGAGCCTGCTTCGACGACAGAGTAGAAGTTAGGGTTTCCAGGAGAGATGTCAAGGTCTTTTCCGATTCTGGGAATGTCGAGACTCGGCCACGGAAGCTTGCCTCGACAATAACAAATTTGGCATAAGACTGAGGAGTTTCAGCAACCTTGCCATTTTCAGCTCGCGTCTCGCTAGCAGCGGTACGCATCTGGGCAGCAATGTGCGTCTCAGTGAGGGAAGTTCGCATCAGCTCCGAGTAAGCGTCCGCTAACTCATCATCTTCCCACACTGAGAACAGACCCAAACTGCTGTTATCTTGGCGAGCCTCCTCCACAATAACAAGTTGGTTGTGCCACAGTTCCATGAAGCTAGGCAGGTCTCTTGCGGCAGCGAAACCTCGCAGCAACGGCAGCACAACCTTGCTCTTGATTATTTCGTAGTCCCTCCGTTTGCGAGAACCACTTTCGCGCCACTGTAATAGAACCTTGTCGAGCAATGCATCAAGAAGTTTACGCGAATCGCGCAAGCCGGAGTTTGGCAGGAAAATATCAACACCAAGACTGATAAACAGAGCGGTCACATTCCACTGAACCTTCTCAAGGCCTTGTTCGAAAATACCGGTGTAATTGGCATGCGCTAGAATGGTGTGAAGAGAAAGACCGACCTTTCGGTCGAGGGCTACCAGGAGGAGGTGCTCCAATACCGAGATAAACTTGGAAGAAAATGTAGCGAAGTCTTCCTCCTTTGCAGTAGAGAACGCTAGCTCTGCAACAGCGACGAACAAAGTCTCCAACCACGGGGCTTCATGTGTCTGCCTCCGGAACACATCTCTAGGAACAGCACGCACGGCGTTGTCAAAAAGCTCAGGAAGAAGCTCCACTGATCGCCAGGGATGCATACAAGCCTCATTGCTTGCTTTGTTTTCTTTGGCCACAGCAAACTCGCGAATGATCGGTCTGAAAGTATCAGTCACTGGTTTGACCGAGCTCCAGTCGGGCTCATCCTGAGAATAATCGATGCCAGAGCCTCCACGCTCAAAGAATGCTGCACGAGCGGGAAGTAAGACATGAAGGGCAATAATGCGTTCAATCGCATGCAGAAGATTGGCTCGCTCGTCGGTGTCAAGTTTGGCGGACCGGAGACAGATCTGGAGCCTAAGCGCGTGGGCGAAACAATGTCTCGCGAAAAATTCATTGCTGGACTTGTTGTCCATATCATCTTCACGGTAAGACCTCGATTCCCACAATTCCACCGCCGCGGGACACACATACAGCAAGTGCTGAAGATCGGTTGTTTTCCCCTCATGCGAGAACTGCTTGGCAGCCACGGCGGCTACCCGGAATGCTCGACCCAGCAGCATGGCGACGGCCTCGGGCTCACCCCTCAGCGCAAGCTTCAAATGAGAGTTTGCCACCCCATCAGTGCCTAGTGTGCGGTGCGCGAGTGTCACAAATCCGTGTAGACAATCCAAGGCGCGGATGAAGGCGAGGAAGCATGCTGCGGGGTTCTGACGCTGCTCGTCCACGTCCACATCCATGGCGTCTGCATCATTCTCAGTTGTCATTCTCTTGCGTTTTTTCCCTTGGTTTCCTCGGCGATCATCGTGTGTCGAGGATCCAGACAGTGTATGACTGGACTCGGAGTCAGAACTGAGGGTTGTAAGCCCGTTCCCCAGACCAGAAAAGATATCGGCCTCCAGATCTTCGAGGGTATCACATAGAATCGATAAGAATTTCTGATCTTTAAGAATAGCAGCAAGGTTCTTCGGCGAAATCAGGTCGATGAGCTGTCGTAATAAAAGGAACGAAGCCGCGTCCACTCTGTAGTTCTTCCCACTTCTCAGTTTCTTCAAAAGCCATCGCAGAACCCATTCCTCCTTCGGGGTAGCGTTTGTTTGAATCCGAACATCTCGGTGAACTTCCGGGTGGCTTTCACATAGTGTCAAATCCACACCGATAATCTGTGCCGCTTCGTGAATCTGGGTTGTTGGGCTGGCGGTGCCCTTCTCAAGGCGGAGGAGCGCCTCTTGCGATGAGCGCGGACGCTGTAGAATCGCAACACATTAGATCCCGGGAAAAAGACATGCAGTATTCCAAGATAGCATTTGACTTACCTCCGCAATCAACGGCATCTCAAAAAAAGCAAATTATTCGAGGGAGTGGGTGGTTATTTGTCGAGGGGAAAAAAAAAGAGAGACCAAGAAGAAAAACCGCGGATTGCTCCGACCGCCTTTGGCCGAATCGACTCGGTCCGCTGAACCTCCCAAACTCCTTGCACTCCACACGCCTTCACCTCTATAAATTCCACATAATTGCACCTGGTTCGTGTTTTGCCCTCGGAAATAGCTCCGGTTGAATTGATGCTTACTTCTGCATAGATTTATCGCAATGGCTGAATCCAGTGAATCCGGGCCGATCGCGCGGGCCACCAAGCCCGTCAGCGAGGCTTTGCTTAACGAGAAGGTATGAGCTAGCTGGGATCCTCAAATGAGAGAGATCGCAATATAGAATCATATCATTGATATATATGACGATTGTCTCGGCCTGGAAGCAAACATGGGAGAACCCGTTGGCTAACCTTCAACGTCATATCATTAGTGGGACCGCGCCATCTCCTCTGTGCTCATCAAGTCCTCCCTCGGTCTGTCTTTCGGTGTTGTCTTCTCGGTGCTCCTCTTCAAGCGGAGAGCTTGGCCCGCGTGGGTTGGTCTCGGCTTTGGTGCCGGACGTGCCTGGGAAGAAGCTGATGGTACGTTCATATCTATATTTCATTTGGTTCGGCCTTTGGAGGCACTTTTGGTGAAGTTGGAGCTCCGGGTCACTATGAGATAAGCTCGCTTGAGCTTGGGCAGAGGCTACTTGCTGTAATTTTTTTCAGCATCGAGCTTCGCAGGCCCCTCCACAGTGGCCCGACTATCCGCTTTTCCCCGAGCCTGCCTATCTCCAAGATCCAACAATGACTGAGCTAACTTGTACTTAGCCTCCTTCCGCCGTGGTGATTCCCCTATCAGAGATGCGCTGCGCCGCTAAAGAATGGCTTCCAAGTGTGTACGATACATTGTACAGAAGGCAAGAGGCCATCAATGAATGGTTGTCTTCGGCCTAGAGAAGAATTGGTATACCGGTTCACCAAACACCCATCAACACCGAACGAGGTGTTTCCTTGAGTTTTCTTCCCCGACTTTTAAATTAAGAAACATGATTTGAGTTTAAGAGATGTCCTGGCACTTGACTTCCAACACACCTGCCTTCAGTAATTTCATATTTTGGTTCTATATGAGAACGAAGACACAATTCGATGCAATAACATTCTTGTAAACGGCGGACTTGTCAATTGCCTTTTTAAGTTAATATATGATTGTTGGTGGGTTCACAGGATGCTACATCGATTTGAAATAAAGCTAGGCTCTGTCCTTCTTTCTTTCCGCTACCACTTCCTCCAAGCCAGCTGTCACCTCGACGTAGACAGCTCTCGGCACTGGCAGACATATATGACCCGGTATAGGCCAGACGGGTATGGGCCAGAGCGGATGAGGAAGATCAATATCTGCACCGGCATCGATGAGCAATTGGACGATCGTCGAATGACCCATCTCCATCGCCAATTGTACAACTCTTCCACAGGAGAAGTTGGCAGGTATCCTCGAGTCTCTGCTTTTATACGCACCGAAAGGGGGGCGCGTGGGGCGGCCGCCTAGATCGTGATATGCAACATTGGTATCAGCGCCATGTTCAATCAGCAATGCCACTAGAGCTGCGTTGCCTAATCTAGTAGCCCGGACGAGGGGAGGCGTGATATCTTCCGATTCCAACTCTCTATCCATCTGAGAGTCGTGATCACGAAAGATCGGCTCAGGTGGACGAGGCCGATCCGATTCCTCAAAATCACAGCTGACGCCGTGCGCAAGAAGGATGTTAGCGATTGTGGTGTCTTGTTGCTCCACCGCGAGAGCAAGGGCTCTAGTACAGGAGATTCGGTTTGTTCTCAGCACAAGAACCTCAACCATGTTCTGGTGTTTGTTTTTCACTGCCTTAAACAGGGCTGGTCCATGTTCCTGGAAGATAGTGTAGTTCGCGTCAGCGCCGTTATCCAGGAATATATTGACCAGATCGAGTCTTTCGTGCTCAACGGCCCATTCCAATGGTGTAAGCTCTATTTCATCCCGAGTATTCAGTATAATGTCTAGATCGCAGGGCGTTTGGTCGTAATTGAGAATGCGGACATTCAGATCCATGCCGTAACTGAGGATGTGAGAGAAGACATGCTTGCTGTGTCCGGCTTCCAATGCAGCTGCGAGTGCTTCCTTTTTCTGTTTCTCACTAGGAGGTCCAATCACCGGTGGACAAATTGAGCTCGGGGAGGCAATTTCAGGCTTAGTCGAGTCCGTTTTGTCAGTGAAAAGATTCTTGATAAAATGTAATTCTTGGGCTGTCAGTTCCTGTGACTCCAATACATCATCATCCCCAGGATTGAGTGAGACCTTCTTGCTCGCGGCGTTGCTTTTGTCATTGACCCGCCCAACTGATAGCCACCATGTAGGCATATCAGCTTGTAGGTGTTCGTATACCACTCCATCGCGTACTTTTCGCTCTCTGACGGCTCTGAAGGACTGGTATGTATAAGGATCACGCCAGAAGACCACTGAGGCGTCATGGGGCTTGAAGGGAGTTGCAGACTTCCGCTGGAGGCATTCATGCCACTTTACATCGTGGAAGAACGCGTGGGCTTTCACTTCGGTGGCTCCATTTGTACCTAATCGTTGGGTGGGAATTTTCGCAAGGAGCTTGGTTAAGATGTCTTTCGCGGTTGATGGTAGGCTCTCAGGGAGCTCTAGGTCTTGGCCAATGATTCTGTGGCGCCGCTCGCCGTCGTCCTTATGGCAGAAAGGGGGTATGCCCGTCAACATCTCATAGAGAATGAGGCCCAGAGCCCACCAATCTACTACCCGGGAAGCCCTATGGTCGTTGAGTACTTCGGGGGCTGGATACTCAGCCGTACCAGGCAAAATGAGATCAACATCTCCCATATTCTCCGATATCAACGCAAAAAGACCAGGCTTGCAAAGACTGATATGTCCAGATGAATCCAGAAGAATATTTTCTGGCTTCAGGGAACTGAGAATGATGTGCTTGTCATGCAGGTATTCCAGTATGCAAACTAGCTCCGCAGCGTAAAATTTGGCTTTGTTGGTATCAAACCGCCGCGCCTTTTGCAAATGATCAAAGAGGTACCCGCCACTACCCAACGGCGAAAGGAGTTTTAACAGTCTCTCGGATTTGAAAGCGAAATTGAGCGGTGCGATGAACGGGTGTTGAATGGTAGAGCAAAGGCCAAGGCTGGGTGCGAGCTTAATATCAGATCTAGAGATATCAGCGTCGTAGGCGTAATTATCAATGGCCGTCATGCCGTAGTTTTGACCCGTGTCCTTTTCAACATTGACAAGATCACGATCACCGCGGACCCTCCACTCATCCCACGTCTCCAAAGGCGAGTCCTCCTTCTGCGTGTAGGATATCTTGATTGTCACTTTCCCCGTGCCATTTTGGACATCCAAGTCTTGCCAATTCGAAGTTTCTAGGAACGGGTTCAATTTGATCAGACCAAGGGGCACGGGTGTGTTTTCCTGTCTTCCCGACGCATCAGGCTTCATGTCCTCGATGAACATTGAAATTGTCAATTCGGATGACGGAGATGCGGAGACGTGAAACTTGAACGGCCGGTACACTGATGCCCATGCGACCACGCCCTCAGTGGTGATGGCCATCGCCTCTGTTGACAGCTGGAACCCTTCATATTCGGCGATGGCGTATGCCCGCCATCGCTCGTCCACTTCCGGACCAGTCACATTTACACCGTGTAGGTCTAGGTCGTCTGGTAGACTCAGGCGATAGGCCAGATCGAGCGTAACAGTCAATATTCCAGGCCCAGACGGGCTGGGTGGTTGTAATGGGATGGTGGTCTCGGATTGGGTCTGGTCACCCGTACCATCATTTTCACTTTTGTTGAGGATTTCGGACATTGTTTTATTCTATTCATGAAGAGGGGGAGTGGACAACGCAGAGTAACAAACAGGGGTTAATAAATAGGAGCCTTGGCACGCGATGTGACCTCACCACGTAGAGCTAGCGAAAATTAGGGCTTTCGAAACCCGAGAAGAAAATTATACATGTAAATCTTGTGGAAAACTCATTGCTTGAAGATTCAGGCCCTCTCGATCAGTGAGCCCGGATTGTACAAATTGTTTCGTAAGGAAAAAGAAGAAAAAAGCTATAGCAGAATACTATCCAAAACCACTTTACTGACTGACCCCTTGATCGCTAAGAGGTTGTCATCGTGGTGGTACTGACAGTTCCCCATCTCATCGGCACATATGTATGAACTGATGTCCTAGACTGCGTATTAAGAGTCTCATAGAAACCCTGGAACTCTTGCAGCTGATCGTCCGTCCATGACGGGAAGACAGGAAGGGACGGAATCTTCCCGGTGCCTCGCGAATCTAGTATTGTCCAATCGCCCTCTTCATTATTTTCTGCCTCAATGTCCAAGTCACCACCGACGGATCGCCTTTTCTGGCCAGTACCTGATGGGCCGCACGAAATCTTTGGTCCACCGGCCGAGACGATTGCGCGCTCCACGCAGCCAGCTTTCATGAAGAAAGGCAAGTTGAAATACACAGACGCATAGCTATCTGAGGTCCCCTTGTGCCAATCCCAGCCCGTCATGACTCCGCACCCACCTTCCTCGTGCTTGAGTGAGGCGCCGTTGTCTGATATCCAACCGTCGATATTGTATACTTCAAATGTCCAATAGGCGACGCTGTCCCAGAACTGGCAATCCGCCATTGGCGTGGGAGTGGATTTTGCTGTTGTTGTTGTTGTCTTCTTAGTAGTTGTTGTTGACGTGGTGGTGCTGGTAGTGGTGGTAATTAGGCCCCACTCGGAGCTGAGGCGAGACATGACTTCAGAATCGAGGGATGACAGTGCTGCCGCATCGAGGAACGTTCTCGGGAAGTTGTCGTCTCCCTCTCCCATGGAGCCAAACACAATTGTATATTCCGCACCCTCATTATCAGGGTCCTCGTCATCATCATTATCGTTGTCATTACCTCCTCTGCTACTACCAGAAGAGCCAAATACCCCTGGGGGACAGAAGGGGCAGTCAGGATTGCAGAAAGGAGAACCTAGATGTGAATCTCGTTAGCTGCTGGGTGATATACACGTAAAGAGTAACAATGGCAAAGAAAGGTATCGACTCACAATCAACGCCGCATCCATTACAGCCCGCTGTGGCCGTAGGGGCAGGTGGCGTTCCAGATGTATAGGAGGGTGTCTTGGAAAATACAGGGTCCGTTGACCCTGGTTTGGGAGACGTCGTGGGGTGCGGATTTGGTGTGACAGTGATAGGCTTCGGGAGCAAGGTTGTCCCGCCGCTGATGGAGGTAGTTCCACCCAAGGTTCTCGTTTCCACCGGAGGGGAGTAGGTTGAGGAGCCCCAGGTAATGGGGTCCGAGGAAATCGTTGTAGTCGCGGTGGCCCCAATTATAGTGGTGGTGCCGCTAATCACACTGAAGAGGACGAGTTGACTTATTAATAGGAACTTGATCCCAAGGGCACCCCGAGGGCATTGCAGTGCATGTACTTACGGGGTAATGATAATGGTGAACGGTGGTGGCCGAACTGAGCTTGTCAAGATGATAGGAATGGGGCCACCTGTTGAGGTGGAGCTTGAACCTGAGCCGGAGGCGGAGTTGGTAGGAATGGAAACACCCCATACATTAATGGCCGTAGTAGTCACTGAGATGCGCCTCATTGATGAGCTGTACACCCAATGATGGAAAAGAGGGTTAAGGATAGAGGGAGTACTCACAAGGAGGGATTTCAATCACTGTCAGCCACGATTGAACCACGTACGCCGGATATGTCGAGGTTAAGCCATTGGAAAGGGTGCTTGTGCGAGTTGTAAGACTGGAGTACGTAACGCTAGTTGTCCACGGAGGGAAAGTGATGGTTGTGGGAGTTGATAGAGGCATGGGGGGCCAAATGAGTGATGCACCCGGAGGAGCAGTCACCACAGGTGTCGCTGCGTTCCAGATATCAGGATTGACATAGATGGTTTCGGTGGATGAACTGCTGTTTGAACTGCTTCCACTTCCGCCGCCATTTTCGGACTGTAGATCCACTGCCCAGTCTGCAATGCCAAGGAAATTAAGCCCTGGGTAGAGTGCTTTGCGGGTTGCCTTGTTCTCTTCGTCCATGTAAGCAACCCACTGTGTATCGTTAAAGACGAGAATGTTGGAATATGAGGCTTTGTCGAAGAGCTTCTGGGCCGTGGGATTTCGGCTAATGATCTCACGGATCTCATAGTCGGAGATGTAGCCAGAGGTATTGGTGCAGCGGCCCGGGTACGCACCTGAATCAGGGCCTGTGTAGGTGCATTGCTCGGTCGTACAGCCCGGGGTGGTCATTTGGAATGAGCGACCATAGCTGCTGACGCCGACGACGATCATGTTGGAAGGCACACCAGCCTTCGTGATCATGGAAAGTGAATTGATCGTCTCGGTAAGGTTGACGTGAGAACGTAGACAGTTGCCGTGTCCCTGGTCATAGGAGGGACATCCTGGGGTTGCGTACTTGTTCACATAGTCCCACTGACCATGCAAATCGTAGGTCATGTACACCAAGTAGTCGACAACGAGGCTGAGAGCCTGGATAGGAAAGTACTGGAGGTACCAGAACGATGCGGGTGCGGTGACCGAGACAGTCTTGCTAGATGGCATCTCCTGTTTGAGCTCCTTCAACAGCAGGAAAAACCCGGTGGTCTCAGCCTCAGTGCCCGCTGGAATGCCAGGGATATCTGGCTCGGCAGGGTACTCCCAGTCCCAGTCAACGCCGTCAAGGTTGTAGTCATCTAGGAACTTGATGATGTTCGTGACAAGCGTTTTGCGATTCGCTGAGGTGGACACTGCATCGCGGAAGATCTTGTATGTGCTGAGCTCAGTGGAAAACGCCCACCCACCAACAGAAACAATCTTCTTAATGCCGACCATACCCTTGAAGAGTGGCAACTGATCAGCAACTTCATCGGTATTGATAGAGAAGTCTTCGTTTAGTGTAATGAAGGAGTAATGAATGTGTGTATAGACCGATGTGTCAATGGTGTTGACAGACATGCGTAGACAGGTGCGTTTCCAGTTGAAGGCTTCGAAATAAGCAATGTTGTAGGTTTCCCCGGGAGCGCTGGACGTTACAATGTTCGTCCCACAGTTGGAGATGCACCCGTTCTTGCCCGGGGCAGCCGTTCCTGGAGCTCCTGTGGACGAGTTTGAAGGAGTGCAGAAGTCTCCTGTCGTTCCACATTGGCCCCAGACATTGCAGCATGCGTTTAATGGGCACTCGTTCAAGGTGTTCAAGTCCGTCCCTGGGGGTGCCTTTGCCGTATCATTGACCTGCGGTCCACAAACAGCATTTGCAATGGTGGCCGGCATAGGCGGGTAGCCAGTGCTGAGACAGATGTTGTAATCAGCAAAAAGTTTCTCACAGCCATTCCAGCCCCAGGTCTCTTTGTTGAAAGACTCGATTTTGGCATTGGTGAGGTCGTTAGCCGCCGCAAGCGATGCGCAGGAGTCGCCTGTCTGCACGAGATACGAGTAACAATAGCCATCTGCGCTGGGCTTTGGTGTAAAGTCTGGCAGAGTACCGGCGTTACAGCAAACATGTTTACCTGGGGTCAAGCCCGAGCATAGACTTGGGTCGGAATTGTATTTTGTGAACTGTGCCGCTGTGATACCGCACTCGGTCGCCAGTGAGGAACACGAGTCTCCGGAGAATACTTGAATAGTGCGGCACTCAGTAGCACGACTTAAAGTGGCCTTGGTCGAGTTGCCTGTGATTGTGATCTTACTTACAGAAGCAGCAAGATAGGTCACTGTTTCCCAGTCAGAGGCAGCAATTCCCCTCTCTGTCGAAACACAGGTGCCGTTCTTGGAGGCCTGCAATCCACGCTGGACAGCACCCAATTTGCCCTTGGTATTGATCAGAACACTCAATGAGTATCTAGCCGAGGAATTGCTGCACAATTCAACTGACAAACTCTCCGCAACGCTGCCGTCGCGTTTGACTTGTGCGCTGAGCTTCTCGAGAACAGTACCGAGCACACCCTGCCCAGCAAGTCCCGAACCAGCGTAAACGCCCACAACCACATCACCAGAATAGAAATACTTAATGTTCTCGTTGCAGCCGGCATCAGACAGTATTGCAAATGCCTGTAGTTGCTCCAGAGCAAAGGCGACATCAGCGACATGCTGTGGAGAAGAAACACCCGAAGATGTTAGCTGCAAGGAAGATGTCCTTTGGGTCTGCTCCGCTCCTTTGAGGGCGCAGGTGGCAGAAGAATTATTACTTGGCACAGAGCTTGAGAAGTTTGCGTAGTCCGCGGTACACGCAGAAATGGCAACATGCGACTTCTGGGTGTCGATAGGGTTGGCCAACGCAAAGTCCAGGAGCATGGGCCGATTACACGCCCTATCAAGACGGCTGAGGCTGCCATATACGAACCAGGAGCTGGTGTTGATACCCCCACTGCTACACCCCCCAGGGCAGACATCTCTACCCTGATGATGTAGTCGCTTGGTGTAGCTCCCGGCAAGGATAGCCTCTTGTGCACTTGCAAGATCTGTTGGTCTGCCAGTAGCAGTTCCAGACACCGTATTGACAGAAAGGGACGCTAGGAGGGCGTTGGCCGCCTCGTTGGCATTTGCCAGAGTAGCCGAGGATGCCCAGACGACTGCTAGTGGAATGGCAGTTGCCAGCGACGGTAGTCTCATCTTGATATGGCAAAGAAATGGCTTCTAAGAGAGAGAAGGCGCAGCTGCCAAAACGGTTGGAGACAGAGACTGAGAAGGGGACCTCTGCCACGAGCCTCGAAATAAATGATTATAAAGGAGCGTTGAGCGTGATGTACCTGAGCAAAACGAGCGGGCTTTGATATACTCCTCAACCCCTATTAACTGATCCGGATCCAAGTCCAGCAATACCGGCTCTTTCGGAGGTACTACAAGGTGCATAGTGGGAAAATTACTTTATACCGCATTGAGCAGTATATTTCGGTCTTGTGAGCTGCAGTTGAGTCTGGCCCGAAAAAGCCCTGTATGTCCAACATTTGTGGATCAGTGCTGCACCAGAAATGACCAGTTGCTGCGGTATACGAGTAAGGTAGTATTGAGGCGTGCAATTAAGTGGACTACAAAGTTTGATTAATACAACCAGCAGTCTGTCATGTGCATTTCACCCAAAATATTGATGGAAATCATAGCCAACTCATCTTGGACTAGCTAAAATGTATAGGCGTTTAGTGCTTGCTACCGCCTGTCACTACAATCTGTAGAAATCTCGAGTGCCCATTTCAGTCTTCAAGGAGATTGGTTCATTCTTGAGAGTGTATTTCTATCTTCCAGATTGCACTGATTGACAACCTTGAGTATAAACCTTCTGCCAAGAAGCCGGCTCTCGGCTAGTGTCTTATTCTCTATATCACTCAAGTTAGTAGTCTTAAACTAAGAAAAGCCGGCACAATGCCCTAATCTGGAGGATGGCCTGATTGATCCTGCCTTGAACGCGGTATTTATTTAGATTATCCGAATATTTTAAAATAAGGAGCGTGGGGGCTAGGCCCAAGAACCGCCAAAAAGGTGGGATTCAACGTTGTCACCCGAAGCCACTAGTATAGATAGACTAATATGCCAAACAAGAAACAGAACAGATATTCTCCCCCTCTAGGCCATGATTAGAGACTACGGCTCTTAGTGTGGCCTAGTGGTAATATAGGCTGTATTTTTCCTACCTAATAGACTAGCACCTGGCGAGGTTGCATTGAATTGTCCGTCCAGGGGCTTAGGATTTTGCTCAATGGATTTTTTTCAATTTTCTTATTCAGTGGAAATAAACGCAGACGGGCACTACAATTCTCATTATTTGGAAATTCGACTAAATTGTAGAAACAAGCAAACAACATTCCTAGCTCTGAGAACGGTACATTTCCAGTGACCCCGTGGCTGTCATTCAACCAACGTATATAATAGTTCCATCACTAAGCCTGGGACTTGGATTATGCTACCTATTTCGGATCTACAAAAGGATTAGAAGCCTTCCTTGGAAAGCCTTCGAGGTACACGCATTGCTCTCTGCTTAGAGGTGCGGCGAAAAACAAATATGCCGCTGTTGCGAAAAAGGCATATGTCTCTGGGTTGTGGGAGTTGGCGACTCTTGTACCTTCATTTTCTTTATCGGCCGCATTTTGTATGATCGTATCCAAAGTATCTAAAGACAACCGAAGCGGTTAGTAATAAATTCAAATAGAGAAATGTCAAATACGTACAACCCTCATCCGCTGTGTTGGCGGGGTCGGTCAAATGGTAGATTTCGTGGTATAGCGTAGCGCTAACAGGCATCAATTTGTCCAATGCTTTACTCGCGTCCTTCACTCCAGCTTCGGGGTAGTTATCGGTCTCAACAGCCTTTGTGAGGGACGAGTAGGAGTGGAACCCCTTGTCGGGAGAAAAGGCCGGTGGACAAAAAAGGATGTGACCGTTGGTTTTACCAACTGCAAATTTTGCACCGTCCGCCCAAATTGGTGCAACGTGCACTGGTGCAAGGGCAGTTTTGGCGTAACGTAGCCCTCCACTTTTGGGCTTATCCGCACACAGTGAGGTTTCACCCTTAAAGTCAATATCGTAGCCGTTGAATGCGCTCATCCAGAAGGCATTGGCCTTTGGATTTCTGGAGTCACGCGGAGAAGCCTTTCCAAGGTTCAAGTACTCGGTCGGTTCCTTGGTGTCGGGGTCTCTCGCAGTGACGACGTCTTTCCCTTTATGATCCTTGACGACGGATTCGGCCCAGGGTTGATGTATGCCTGCCTCAGCGCCACAGAAGAGACGGGGCTTTTCTCCTGATACCTCGTAGTCAGTCAAGCCACCGCCAGCAAGGAATTTGGAGACGCGTGATATGTGGTCTGTTTTAATTAGCGTCAGTCATCCGAGAGAACACCGTGAGAAGTGCAGGGGGCACATTGGTGAAAGTAGGTACATACCTCCAATGGCTTTCCATAGGATCGCGTTCTTCACGTCCTTCACGTCCACGTCTTTGGTATTATGATCAACCTTGACTCCAAACCAGGTGGACCACATCAACATCAAAGGAAAATTTCCTTTTCGGGTTGCGTACGCTTCAGTTATCGCTTTATGGAGAAGAATGACCTCTGCCAACCACTCATCGAAGGTCGACTCTTTGGTAACGCAACCTCCCGGGCCGTCATAGAGGAGAAATAGATCTGTGATTTTCTTCGGGGTAGTGGCAGTGCCATCATCTCCCCCAACTCGAACCCTACGAGCGAGGGTATTGGTGGAGTTAACTTCCTTGTCACCGTGAGAAGTAACAAGCCCTAGTGGGCAGGCGTTGACGAGGACAACAAGGCAGAGTAATGGCAACAGCCCCGCGAAATACCACCGCATTCTGGAATGAGGTACACAATGAGGCTCTCACAAAGACGGCAGAGAAGTTCGAAAAATGTATTGAAAGGGACCTTGGATAAGTATCAACCTGGAAGCCTTGATGAAGTTAATCCGCGTGTCTTGCAAATTCTATAAAACAAAAGAGAAATATTAGTTGATAGCTTAGACTCTTTCCATATATTTTCCCCTCTAGGCTCAGGGGTCAATCATCTATCAATGTATTGTGCCCAAGTTCGCCATCCTATCCATGAATGAATGTAACCCGTTGTCAACCAAATCAGTATCCACTACTGTTCTATCCGTGTAAAAAGTAAACACAGAATACAAAAGCTGTACCTACCATACGGCTGTGAGGCTCCACTGAGGGTCAATCCGTATCTGCGCTTTGAAGTGGAGCAGATTCCCATTTAGAGCAAATCCCGTTGGGCTAAGCTCAATGCCTTCTACCAAGCATCCTGATCAACGCTGGTAAAATGACTTGGCAAAAACGACACCAAATATGCCGCAGAGCCAAGAAATAATGAGCTTAAGCAATGCTACATGGCGTTGTCTAGAGGTAAAATTGGCCAACTGTGGGGACTTACCGGTCCGGGCCGTAGGGCCAAGAAATATACACTAGTGGGCTTTAGCAATGCTACACGGCGTTGTCTAGAGGTGGAATTGGCCCAATGTGGAGATTTACCGGTGCGGACCGCAGAGCCAAGAAATAATGAGCTTAAGCAATGCTACACGGCGTTGTCTAGAGGTGAAATTGGCCAAATGTGGAGATTTACTGGTGCGACTAATGCAGGGGTTGTCTCAGAGTGGTTCACGCCAACCAGCTAGGGTATACCCGTGGACTAATATATTCTAAGTTGGCTAGGTGATTAAGATGAGGCTTTAATTGTTAGCGGATTAGAAATTTCGCTATATCCTTACAATGCCAGTAAATTAGTGTTCACATTGGCCCTAGAGGTATACTAGTCCGACCCCAGTTACCCTCAGTCACGAATATAGTAGAGCCTGGACCACATCCCCCAATAAATTATACTGCAAAGGAACGCTGTTCCTCTGAGAGCGGGGATTTTGGGCACATGAGAAGACTAAATTTTGCGAAGCTTCGGAAATACCGTCCCGATACAGCAGGACCCCGCTGTCAGCTGCAAGACGATAACTCCGAGGTGTCTATTAGAAAACAAAATTCGATTGAATCTTTTTAGCAATGTATTGACGGAGGAAGTCGGGGCCGATGATGTTGAGCTAGAGATTACAAACTTGAAAGCAGAGGCTGTTAGGGTTATCCTGATTGCCCGCACACTCCTATGTAGCTTTCAGTCACTCTCTTCGTGCTTCGATACTTGTCTACTACTACAACAGACCATTCTCCAAAATTATGAGGCCCCTCCAACTTTGTGCCTTTGCGCTGGGTCTTTGCTCGGTAGACGCCTATCTGGTAGCCCCTCCAGGAACACCCGCACCAGGGGCTGCGTCGGGCTGTAGCGATTGGGTGCAGGCCTCCTACGGCCTGACATGCAATATAATTCACCGCTTCTATGGAATGACTGATGTCGAATTTGAGAAATGGGTGAGTGAGTCCAGCTTCTATGAAAGGATACTACCCACATGTACTGACTCGGATAGAACCCTAGTGTCAGTCAGCTAGGTGATGGCTGTAACTTGATCTCGGGTCTCTACTATTGCGTTCAGGTCAACTATGTCTCACAAACTCCAACATGGACGGCACCTGCGACTACTACGACCTCGGCCGGGAACGGCATCACCACACCAACTCCTACACAGGCTGACATGGTGAAGAACTGCAACAAGTTCTACATGGTTGTCAGTGGTGACTCCTGCTATAATATTGCAACTGCCCAGGGAATATCTCTTGATAACTTTTACGCCTGGAACCCTGCAGTTGGAAGCTCCTGCACGGGCCTCTGGCCTGACTATTATATCTGTGTTGGTGTGCTATCAGGTACCACTACATCTGCCCCCACTACTACGACCACAACCACGACCACGACCACGATCTCCGTGACCACAACCACGGTTGGAAATGGGGTTGCCACTCCTACGCCAGTTCAGACCGGCATGGCGACCAATTGCAAGAAGTTCCATCTTGTTGTTAGTGGAGATGGTTGTTACGATATTGCTGCGGCTGCCGGGGTCGCTCTGAATGACTTCTATTCCTGGAATCCCGCTGTGGGAAATACTTGTGCTGGCCTTTGGCCTAATTACTACGTCTGCGTAGGCATCATCGCTATTTCAGCTACCACTTCAACTACGACTAAGACAACGACTACGAGCTCCGGCAACGGTGTTGCCACTCCCACGCCAGTTCAGACCGGCATGGTGACCAATTGCATGAGGTTCCATCTTGTTATTAGTGGAGATGGTTGTTACAATATTGCTGCGGCTGCCGGGGTCGCACTGAATGATTTCTATGCCTGGAATCCCGCTGTGGGAAACACTTGTGCTGGCCTTTGGCCTAATTACTACGTCTGTGTGGGCATTATCGCTATTTCAGCTACCACTTCAACTACGACTAAGACAACTACTACGAGCTCCGGCAACGGTGTTGCCACTCCCACGCCAGTTCAGACCGGCATGGTGACAAATTGCAAGAGGTTCCATCTTGTTATTAGTGGAGATGGTTGTTACAATATTGCTGCGGCTGCCGGGGTCGCACTGAATGACTTCTATGCCTGGAATCCCGCTGTTGGAAACAAGTGTGCTGGTCTATGGCCTAATTACTATGTCTGTATTGGTATTTAGGAAGTATGGGAACACCACGGCCTACCAATGACGAATGTGTCAGACCGAGGAACACATCTCACGTCTTGCCTTTGGCAGCGAACACGCATCTGTTTACTTCACATCCTGGATGATTGTCCATTTCGTCGATTGTACCACTCCACTCTCCCCCGCCATTCTTTAATTGCCTGTTTCCTGTGTATTACTATTTATTTCGTCCCAAATCTAAAAGCCAGTTCTGTCAACCAGTTTCTGTGACACCCTAAGCTAATACGTTCAACTTACTACCAGACATCGTTACTAGATAAGGTAGAGGTTAGAATTATCCATGGTTTACCAACAATTCGCGTCACCGAACAAAAATTTATCTCTTTGGTAGCTATTGGGATAATACACCGTGGCGCAACCTTCAATTTGTCAAACGAGATAAGATGACGGGGTTGTTCAATTGTGAAGTAGATTCAAGAAACTCGAGTTTTGTCACTGGGAATTTGAAGGGAGTGACATTTTCGAGCAAAATAGAAAGGAAAAACGTAGTCCTGGCCTGTACTCTTAGTACGGTGGGAACAGAAGGCGATGATCCCAGAGCCAGTTGCTTCCCGAGATGGTAGCCTTACGTACACCATCACCAAAATTAGATCAAAAGTCATTTCCCATTCTACATACTTTTAACCCCTAGTAAGGACCGCTTTTGCAAACTGGGCATCGAATAAGCAATGTATGAGATCTGAGATCGCCTGCCATAAACGCGGACGACCACCTGATGTGATTGCTTTTATTGCTCAGCTGCCCGTTGGTTGTTACCCCATGTTCCCCGATCAAAAGTGTCAAGTTCGGGATGTCATTGACTGTGTGGGTTGGACGGCTATTTTTGACGATATAGTTCACTTTTGGGATTGGATATGGTCTTGGATGTCTTCGCTACCACGTCTGATCAGTCGGCCTCCTGTCGGAGATGTTGAAACGGTACTCCACACTCCTTTGCCCTGTCTACCAGAATTTTGTCTGACGGTTTAACAATAGGGAGGCAGCCAACTTAACTCAGTCGGGTGTTCAGATGATATCGAACCCAACGTGGGCTATTCCAGCTCGAGGGATGCCAAGGCCAACTTATCTCAGGAGGCATCACTGGAATTATGGAACTCCTTGACGATGGGACTGCACTCAAGGCACCATATCCAGGATGTGAGATCGAAAACAATATCATAGATATCGCCAAAGAAGCCAGCATCTATCTTCGTATTGGACCGCATAAGAGGCTTGTTCGGATGCTAGGTCATTTCAGGGAAGGTCTCATGATTGAATATATGAAAAACGGTGATCTCAAAACATATCTTCAGGCTCACGACTCGATATCGACGAGCCTCAAATTGAAGTGGGCATACCAAGTCGCAGAGGCTGTCGACCTTGCATAGGAACGGGATTATCCATTGCGATATCAAACCACGAAACTTTCTGTTAGACACGACTCTCGATATCAAGATTATTGACTTCTCTGGCTCTTCAATAGATGGTTCAAAGCCAGCCTCAAGTGAAGGAACCCGGTTTTTCCTTCCACGGCATTGGAGAGATCAACCGACATTGGCCACTGATATTTTATCATAGGCCCAATTACACAGTGAAAGCAGTTCCAGACACAAATGTGACTATTACCTCTTACCACAATATCTACGTCTACACCCGATCGATTCTCTGGGCCGCCTACGGCACTGCATTTGGCGTCACTACATTGTGCGTTGCTGCTGGCATCTTGTTATATTTCTCAAACGATGGGTCCTATAGCAGTAAATTTTCGACGATATTTAGGGGCACTCAGGGCGCCATAATATCCACGGATCTCAGCATAAGAGACTACAGTGGCCTTGACCCACTTCCGGACCACATCGCAGATGCGAAAATGACAACCGGCTATAACCCAGACTATGACCCGGACTATCCTGCCAAGGCATTATCCACAGCCCCTCAGGGTCATCCTCATCGAGAATCAGCGGCTTCTAGTCAACTGCTTGCGACCATATCGGATGAAGTCGTTCATAATAATAGCAACAAGGGAAATACCATGATATAAGTCCCAGGAACGGTGTTCTGGGAAAACTCCCAATCCAGGCTAGTGTCTTGCCGTTGGGGCTGGAGAATCAGTCGAAGTGTAGGTGGTCACACCGGTTTTGGAACGTACTGGACACTATTTCCTCGAATGTCTAGTTCTCTTTCAATCTCACGGTCTATAATTTCTGTATTTAGTCAACTATAGGATAGAGGGTCGATTTCTAGTAATTTTTCAAAGAGAAGAGAGACTTGGAAATTGTGTCGCAGAGAAAGAGGGTGTAGAAGGGAAGAACGTGACTTAGAAAGTATCAACTGCCCGCGGACGTTTATATCGTCCGCCTTTAGCACCTTCCAAGGTTTAGAGAGTAGTACCCAAGCAGTCAATTGTCATCTCGTCGTAAATATATCCCAGAAAGGGAATTAATTATATACATTCAAGCCCGCTCGATAGTACAAGCACCAGCAAAAGCCAATATCAAAAGAAAACGCCGCTTATGAATAAAGACCCAAGCCCGCTCAAAGCTTCCTGTCCAAAGTACTTGGACCCTTCCAATCGTCCGACCCAAGCGCATCATCAAACGATCTCCGATCAGCATACCCATGACCTTCCAAGTCATTGGGGTCCTTTCCATATGAAACGGAGAAATCCTCAACATCGATATCAACCTCATTCCAGGTGGCACTTGTCTCAGGAACGGGAAAGAACCACGTCAGGGCGAAGTACACGCCACCGGAAACAAGGACACCGGTGAAATAGTTGATGTTGTAGACGTATTCCGCGCCGATAGGAACCTTGCACCCCACGGCACCGGCGAAGCCAACGATGTTGATCATGATCCCGCAGATGTAGGCGGTATATGCGCGCCAGGAGAAACCGCAGGTGTAGTAGTAGCAGTCTGTTTTACTGGCGCTGTAGAGAGATTTGATGTTCAGGTAGCCCTTGCGGACGAAGTAGTAGTCGCAGATCATGACGCCGGCGATCGCGGAGAGGAACAGGGAGTAGGCTGAGAGGTATGTTGTGAAGTTGTTTGAGGTTGATAGAAGGTTCCACTGTGGATTTTGTTAGTTTTGGTCATGGTTATATTAGGGGATCAACAAATGGGACTACGTACTGGACACATAGCTAGACCGACGGCGGCGCAGATGTAACTACCGCGTCGGATGGTCATGTATCGCGGTAGCAGTGCAGTCAAGTCAGTGCCTGCTGAGATTGAGTTGGCGGAAATGTTTGTTCCGAGCTGAGCTAGGGCAAATCCGGTGGCGATGATGAAGATACCGAAGCGCTGGCCGGAACTGGCTCCATCGAGGAATTTTCCGAGGAGATCGAGGGGGTTCCATGTGTAGCCATCGTTGAAGATCACCGATGAGGAGGAAGACACGATGATTCCAATGAATGAGGTGACGCCAAAGCCGACGGGAATAGTCAATAGCTGGGACCAGAATGCATCCTTTGGTGTTTTCGCAAATCGTGAGAAATCAGGGTTGTTCATGATAAGCGCCGCGAAGTTTCCGATGCAAGACATGATTCCTTTCACCATCGCCCATGAAAGATCGCTTCCGTGGACGGTGTTGGACTGGTGGATAATCGGGCCGAGACCGTGGGCACGGGAGATGGCCCAGGCAAAGAAAGCGATGGCAGCGATGGGAGAGTAGATCGCCTTAGCGGTGAACAGGTGACGGACTTTGTGAACAGGGAACCACAAGGCTGGAAGCGAGAGCAACCAGAATAAGAAGAAGCTGACGAAGTTCTTGGTATCGATGCCAGCACTGGCAGAGAGACTATTGTGAAGGTTGCGGTAGCTCGGCCAAATGGCCTCGATCATCAAAGTCACACACTGGCCTAGTAATGTATAAGTATGTATGCTTTCACCGGATCGGAAAGATACGTACCTCCGATATAACTCTGCACACCATACCAAATAATGGCCATCACCACGCGGTTGAGGACGGGCCATAAAGAGCCCCATATTCCGAACGAAGCTCGAGCTGTGACGGGGAAGGAAATATGATAGACAGCGCCAATTCGTCCGGTCAGGCACACGAAACCTGCAGCCACGAAGTATCCAACCCAGACACAGATCCAGGACTGCCACCAGGAAAGACCGTCGACGATCATTGAGGAGGAAATCATCCATGTGTTCTATATCTCGTGTCAGACGCCATTGGGCTTGTACCGGGCATCATTTTGGAGATACTGACGATGTTCAACGAGTCCGCAATCCAGAAAGCAATAAAGTTGATCCATTTCCATTGGCGTCGTTCCGGGTCCACTGTAGCGCGGTTTCCATTGATCAGTCTTTGTATTCTTTGTGGACCACGATGAGGGAGATAAATAGGGGGGAGGATCTGAGATCCTATAAGCCTAGATAGTCTCACCTGGCCGTAAATCATTGTTCGTCAACATCATCTGGGCATTAGTGAGTCCCGGCTCATTCTCTACGGCCGCCTTGTCGAGTACCCATTTGAGCTTGGACATATTGGCGAGTGGATGTGTAGACTTGTAGTTACTAATAGTCGCCAGTAGAGTAATCGAAGGTCCAAATAAAGCGTGAATGAAAAGCTATTGCGGGGGATGAACAAAAAAAGAATCTTGAACCTTGAAGGGAGACAAACACTGGGGATAACAGCATCATTATAACCTTGCCCGCGTGGAATGATTCTGGGGCATATCCTCCAGGATCCGAGTCCTCGTTTCCCCGAGATAAGAAAGCAGTTGGCTGTGGGCCTCCATTCTTGGAATAATCCATGATGGTCTGAGCCAGTGTAGGCCTATCATTTCCACTTGCGGGCAGTGACCGAATGAGTTTCAAGTAAGAATTCCCGTTATCTCCAAGAATTGGCCTGAGAATCAACAACCTTGCAACGTTGGCTCCACCGGCCCCACATAATAAATGTTTGTATGGATTGTGATTGGTTGGCCGTAATCTATGCTTCGATATGGAGAAAAGCTGGAGATAGAAAAGGCCAATCTTGGCGCTGACTCGATGAGATCGAGTAATAAAATAGGTCACGTGTATTATGCCTCAGGCCAACAATCACTATAAGCGTCCCACCTGCGAGGTCCCTTATAACATTATAAGGTCTGTTTCCAGACTATTGACCGCTCCTATAGAGCGGCAATGACTAAGATTAACATCGAACTGCAGTGGGCATTTAAATGCCGTGTTATGCTGGCTGCAACCCTATATAGAGCTATAAATACTGGCAGACCTGTGTACATACGATGCTGTGCCACCCTATATACGAGTGGATTGAGAACAATTTGTTAGAAAGAAGGGCAGTGGGTCTCTCTATACATAGCTTAGTAGCATTTCACAACAGTGCGAACCAAAAAATATATCAATGGATGTACTAGATATGCTTACTTGGACTACTATATATAAACAAGCACCAAGAAAGTCGGAGTGATGTATTTATTAGAAAAGTACTATTTCAAGAAAAGACATGTGAGGTAAAAGCAAAGGTGAATAGTACATTCCACGCGAATACTATGTTGACATAAACAGAAGTGGTATGCGAGTGTGCAAGAGTGTATAATTGGATTGACAGATCAACTGTGAGAGCCTCCTGAAAAAGAAAAATCCCAATTCCTATGCTATGATGATAAAACAATATGATGAAAGAGAAGAGCTGCTCCAGTGAACCAGCCACGTATATGTTCTCCAATGTGATTGACTCCCTCAAATGCAATGATGATGAATGGCAGAACCGGGTTCCCGAAAGATCCTATGCGGACAAGTAGCGCAACAAAAGAGATAAGATGAAAAGAATAGACATACATGAGACCAAACAAACAGAAAAAAAACAAGAGAGAAAGCATGGGACAAAACAAGAACACAAACAAACACATATCCCAGTCGAATACATAGCCGGATGGTCAGGTTCCGGGTTTGTCGCAGACAAATGACAGGACAAGGGAGATGAACAAGATCATACCCAGGGTAAATGGCAAAAATAAAACTTGAAGCAACTTGGGGGGTATCGCTGTGACGGGTATGGATGGCAATGGCATAATAAGCAAAACGTCCGACAATGTAGGCAGGCACATATGAGAGCAAAGAGTGGGATATGATGCAGTAGAAAGACAAACGCCGGAACCTTGGTTGATGCTGACATTGAGAGGAACAAGATTCCAAATTGGGAGAGAGAGATGAGAGAAAAGGCTAGCGCAAGGCTGCAGTAGGCGTGATAGGGTAGAGATAGGCGAGATAAGATGTGATGTGACTATCATTGCAAGAATGATGAGTTCGACGTTGTTGACACAATGGGTGTCAGGTTAGGAGAGCCATCCTTGTCCTCAGGACTTGGAGAATCACTGCGATCCTGTGCTTGATCCCTTTCGCGCTCGGCCGATGATGAGCGCTTGAAGACAGTCTGGCCGATGTGACGCAGAATACCCATGCGTTCGGCGCGGAGTTCTTCGAGGTCCAGACGCTGAACGGAGATGGGATCTTGCTTTGAGATCTTGCAGAAAAGCGTCGAGAATAAGTACTGGTCGCCGCTGGCATCGTAGAGAGGCAAGTAGCGGTAACCTTGCGACAGACTGGTGAGCTTGGCGGTGAAAGTGGCCAGCTGCACGCTGTTGTTATTGCCCGCACTGCGGCCATCCATTGAGCTCCAGACAGTCCATCGCACAAAGACAAGATCGGGATATTTAGTTTCTAGCGACAACTTGAACTTGTCATTGAAAACGGGGCTGTAGCCATTGCTTTGCTCGATCTTGGTGCGGCGACGGTGCGGATATCCGATGCCGGACATACCGTTGCGCGCAGAGGCATCCATACCACCTTCGCCGAGGACGAAGCTCTGGCCACGATCATCGGCACTGAACATCTCGATCTCGACGTAAGGGTTGATGCTATCTTCCTGTCCGATAGTGCGTGGACGGGGGAGTTGTTGTGCGGAGACGACGTCAACCGAGAATCGGACCAGTTTGCGCTCCATCTTGCGCTTCTGATTTCCATCAACACCCGGCAAGCGAAGACTCTCGGGCTTGAGGATGTAGCCGGTACGATCAGTTCCAGCGGCGAACATAGCCTGGTTCATTTGCATGCCGATGTCGTAAGTTTGCCAGTTGAGCGCTGCCATTTGCACACCACGGCGCCAGAACTTGTTTGGATCAAAGTTGGATGAACGGAGTCGGAATCCAGAAGGATACACCCGCGTGAGGTACTTGCGGTTGTGTGATTCCAGTGCAACCTTGTTGTCGTGACTCTGACAGATGCTCTCAAAAGACCGTTCGGCAAACGAGTATATGTGATTGTACCGTCTGCTCTCTGGAGATGAGAAGCTGTGCCACTTGTATCCACGGGTGTAGACACCCAAGTCAGAAAGAGGCTTGGTGATCTTGCTTTTCTGGCGTCGCTTTTTCTTTTTGTCAGTGTGAACAGACACTAGCGCTCCGTCACTGTCTTCGGTTGCACTGCTCATGCTTGTAGCAGTAAGCGAGCGCCTATCCTGCGAGATCAAAGGGCCGATGCTGTCGCCTGGACCTATTGTAGGAGGACTCGAGAGTGGGGGAAGAGGCAGGGTGTTCGTCTCATGGAGCGTCGGTCGCACAAACGGCGTACTAGCACTGCGTTTGCGGCCATGGGTGCCGACGGAGCCGACGGAGCCGACAGTATTTTGGCGGGGATCAAACTGGGTCTCGTCACAAGTCTTTACTTTGACTAGAATACGACCCTTGAGCTCTTCGGGCGAGGGAAGGATGTGGCAGTTAGTCATCAAGGGCTCAAGGACAAGCCGTTCCTTGAATGCCTCCTTCATGATCTTGACCATTGCCAGTTGCTGTTCCGGATTGCAGTGCACCTCAAGAGAAAGAATGAGAGGGAAGTCGCATGTGATAAAAGCATATCGGTTGATGACGGTGATGCAATCCGCAAAAAGGACACTAGTGGTTAGAGTCCGCCCGTGAGACACGATGGGGCGTCCATCTGCGCCATCCCAGCAGTCGATCTCGACGCAACGACATCCCTGCTGAAGCGCGCTAACGTAAGCCTCGGTGCTTGATGCACCAGCCACCTGGCGGCCCAGGAGATAGGTGTTGTGAGAGCTCGAGATGAAGTATTCGTTCAACGGCCGGTCGAATCTTGACTGGGGAGCACGTGAAGCGTAGACACCATTGCTGGACGAAGACAAGAACGCGGCGAATGCATCCAGGTTCATCCGTGACACAGGTGGAGGAAGCTCCGATCCTTCTGCAGAAGGAGTGCGAGATTTAGAGGCCCGCCGAACGTATTTGTCGAATAGTGCAGCCCAGTAGACCCGGTCGGATTCGGTATCTTCATTTTGCACATCACGAAGGAAGGTGAAAAACTCCTCTTGAGTCATGCCTTCCTTCGATTTGGCGGTGTGAAGCTTGAAGATATCTTTGACGTCCTTTCGTTCCTTCAAACGAAGAAGGAAGTCCTTGAATTCGGAGAAGTTCAACTTGCCGTTACAGGCAGCGTCAGCTTTAGTGAACTGTGCCCGAAGCATGTTCTTGGAACAGTTGATATGCAAGCTGCGGCAGACCTTCTCCACGGCAGCGAGGTCGAGACTTTGCTCCTCTACTGGGGGAGGACCCTGTGGGAAGAGTCTCGTCATCTCGCGCTGCCAGTGTGCCTGCAGAACCGCTTCGCTTTGACTTGAACCTGCCAGGCCAGACATGAGATCGATTCTGTACTGAGAGATATGCTCAAGGGTGGTAATCCACAGGTCAAGAATACGGTCGCTAGGAGCGATGAGGTGCAAGGTTTTAACCGCTCGGCCCTTAGAGCGATCAGAATCCGCAATGACAATGGTGAACCATCGGCGCTCCAAATCTTCGGGAATCTGATGTTCTTCTCGGTAGTTGCGAGCGTCGGCACCGACGCGAATTTCTTTAATATCATCGATATAGAAGCGTTTGGCCGGGTTGGAGACGTCCCAGAAAACCTTGGCGGCATCTAGGTCTAGGAAGAAGCGAACTTGCTTCCTGCGTTTCTTAGTTACCTTGGTTAGGACTGTGCCTCGCTGGACAGCAGAGTCTACCTTGGGCGCGACGGCAACAGTGGGCAGGGGACCAGCTTCGCGAGTCATATTCATGCGACTCTCGCTGCGTAGACTGGATGCCTCCGAGCCAGCCCATACTCCCAGGTTGTCCAAGGCTTCGCCGGCTTCATCCTCGTTGCTCGAATCAAGGGCGCTATCTCGAACAGGTTGGGGGCCAGTTTTGCTATCACTGCGCCGGCGCATGATGATGGGACCAGTGCTTCGGTCCCGTTTCTCGTTTTGGGTCGTAGACTGCCTCCTACGAGTGAGCTTGTTGGCAGCGCCTCTTGAGATTCGTCTCATTAGGCCCGGCGCCTTGGTGGACACAGTAGGGTCATTCAAGCTGGAAGGATTTGCGTTTCCGGGAATGGTCATGATGGACTCGCCGAGTTCGAGGGGGCCTGGCGTAGGCAGGGAATAACCATTCATTCGGCCACAGAATCCCTCGTTGGCAGGTTGTAAGGGGGTGCCAGCAGGGGTGAAAGAATAGGGTGTGCCGGGAGCAGGAAAGAATGAAGTGGGAGTAGAGGTCGGAGAAGAGGTGAAAGATGGTGCGGAAGAAGAAGGGGGAGGGCCGGATGGTAAAGATGTGACAACATGATGTAGAGAAGTCGGTTGAGGGAGAGATGTCGCAAGTTTTAAGTTGGATTGGGTGTCGGCATCCAGGGTGGGTGAGGTAGTCGTAGAATAGGCCATGTCGCCTATCTATCAAAACGACAGCTCAGCTGTCGATAGGGGAAATCTAAGCCTGTCGTATACCGTGCCAACCTCCGAGTCACCTGGACTCAGAAATGGACGAATGGGTAAACAGCGTATGGGACCGGCCTGCTGTCAAGGTTCGTAAGGCTGCCGCCTGTCGGGAGTGTTATGCGATCCGAGCAAAAAGAGAAAGTAGAATATTCTGACACGGTAAGAAAATGATTGTTCAGCCACGTCCTCAGCAGAAGTTCACAGTTCCTAAACTCTGCTGCATCTTGGGCTGAATTGGGTGTAATGCGGAGAGCCCTGCCGGAGAGCAGCTCACGGGAGAAAATCGCAACAAAAGAAGATTTGAGCGATTAAAAAAAAGTCCCTGATAACAATTGCAAAGGGCACTGGCCCTGTGCAACGGCCAATCTCCCACGAGGAATATTCTCAGCCGATGCTAACCACTGGGGATAGACGTCACAAACTAAATCAACCAGGGAATGATCTCCAGCGCCAAAGAAGCGGAACGCGGGTTTTTGTCTTGCTTCTTTCGGAGCCCGGCTGATTTTCTGTATGTTCTCCCAATGAAACCAATGCTACCCCTCTCTTATGCGTGTCGATCTGCCGGTGCGTGGGGGAAGCTGCTGCTCTGCACTGGAAGCGGGGGGTGTCGTGGTATGGACCAATTGATCGTGAAATCACCGAGTGAATCGGGGAAGGCGGCGCGGAATCGGTTCGAAATTGAAGGGCGTGCGCCAAAGCGAGTCAAAGGCCTAATGTAATGGGTATGCAGGTATCGTTACCAGAATTCAGGAAAGAGCCCCAAGAACCGGCTTTGGGTGCTTGCGGAAGTAGACAGCGGCAGGAATAAAAAAGACCTAAGAGCCTAGGGTTGTCCTAGTCCGACAAGGGTGTTCGCGCGATTGGGTGCGATTGGAGACTAGCGATGCGGCAGGCGAAGGGAGTACCCGTGCTAAAGTGCAGGGAGTTTTTTTCCCGGCGCAACGAAGCTAGGATAGGAGAATGCGATCAAAATCGGGAATTGCGACAGAGTTGCCAACGCAGTGGATGCAGGCGGTCGAAAGGGGAAAGCGAGCAATAGGAGACTGGGCCGAGTTGGGGAGCTCGCTGATGTTGGATTGTTTAGTGCCGTTTTTGAGGATCACTGCGAGCTGATCCAGTTGCTGCACGGTTACGTGGTGGCCACTAAGTCCGTATGCGAGTTGGGTAAAACTGCGGAAGTTGTGGAAGATCATGCGACGAGAGGGAGAAGACCTGCGTTGTCCTTATCGTCGAATGAGTATAGAGTTTTCTCTGGTTTCAAGGAGAGAGGGGAGGTAATTGAAGAAGAGTTGGGTTGAAGGGGGAAAAAAGGGAAAATAATTAAATCAATGAATCCCAGTTCCGCGAATTGAAGCTGCAGTGGGTATTGGGTACTTACAATAGACGTAGCATGCGGTATGGGAAATGGTGTACTGTATACCTGTATTGTTCGGTAATGAAGGTCAAAATACTGGTATCCGGTAACAAATCGAAGTATGTCGTAATTTTGATCTCTTTTTTTTTTTTCTTTCTTTGCTTTTTCTGTTCAAGACAAGTTAATAAGTACTCAAAGACACAACTAATTCAAGCTGCAACTGCAGATATTCCAGCTGTGATGTGGATGTGAGAGAGAATGTAGGTATGTATTGTCTGGTTAGGGCAATCTTTTTGAGACTCACCCAGTGTATATATAAGCCACAATCGGTGGGAATGAGGCTGAGATCTGAAGGGAAAAGAATAAAAAGCGACAAAGAATGCTCTAGCATGAAAAGAGAAAAAAAAAGGGAGGGCTTTTGAAATGATTAAATACTACCAGGTGCAATTGCTCATTTACTTCAGGCATGCCCCAACAGTTAGGTACTACTTCAATACCCAAGTGCCTATCAAAATACAGAGCTGCCTACCACGAGATGACGATGCGGAATGATTGCCAGACGGAAACCCGTTGCTCGGTATCATTGGACGATCCTTGGAATTCCTGGGGAATGTTATCGGCCAAACGGGGTCGATCTGTGTTTCAAGTGTGTTGGACGGGAGAGCCTTAAAAGGGACGGGAGTTAACAATTTCCTTATAATCTACCTATGACAGACTCTCCTGGATACTTCGTGTGAAAAGGGGGATCTTCCCCTTTCTCTTAATTCAGAACTCATCTTTAGTAATAATAAATGTCCCGAGAAATTATGGATTATGGTGGATACAAGAATAGCAGTCTATTTCATTCAGACTTCTATAGTCCGAGACACCGCCGGGCTCCAGTTCCCCCCACATCGCAGCCTACTTAGTCGACTAGTCTAGTATTATAATCTCGAGATTATTACCTGTTAGACTGTACTCCGTAACTGTCATTCTTTACCTGTATTACTTCCGTGGAAATTCCCGCCTAGCACCGACAGGGCGGTCCGGGGAAGATGTGCGGAGGCTTCGGATTCCTGCGTTTTGATTGCAAGATTCGATTAGACTTTCCTGTTCTCCCTGTGATACACGGTCTTATCTAGTGTTGTGATCACTTGTGTTTGTGTTCATTGTTGACTGGTCGGACAACTATCTGTGCCCAAGCCTTGAGACAAAAAAGAGCGAGTCGATCACGACGCACATCATCATTTCCTCCTATTCGACACCTTGGTGGGGAGGAAATGGTAGGAGGGTACAGTGTACACCGCAAAATTTACTATAGGGTCTGTGTTATAGTACACCGTCATCTATAGCGCCGAAACGTTGAAATTGAATGTCATCCCTGAACCGGTGAGGTTTGATGTGGCAGTGAAAAACGTTTCGGTGGGTGCAGATGGAGTGGATTCTCAAAAGGAAAAGCAGATCGTCGGGAAGTTTGAGAGCTGCTCTGTTTTGTCACGAACACCCCGAAAAAATAAAATATTCCAATACTTCCAACGTTACTAGGAATATTCTGTTTATATTATCCCGCCCTACGAGGCCCGCACCTCCCGCAGCTTAGTATCCGGATGATTTCATCCTTCATTCTCAGCCTTTTTTTTTGTCTTTTTCTTTTTTAGCTTAGTCTCAGCTCTCAGCTCGGCTCGTACCTGTCAAGGCACAAAGTGATACAGACTGTACGATGCAGAGTCTGACCAGCCCCAATGCACAGGAACATCTGCGGGGTTGACCAGCAAACCCCGCAGCCGTTGAAACTTGATGAGCTGGCGATGCCGTGCTTCACCATTTCCTTGATTATTTTGATTCACAACTCTGCCGCTACAGCCGGAGAAAAGAAAATTGGAGTCCCTCGGCACCCCTCACGAAGATTATGCTCTCCTGATCGTGCGCTCCTGCACGTCACTCGGGTGGGCTGTTGAATGAACTTAGCGTTATCCAAGGGCGATATTTAGCCTGGTCCTAACAGCCGCATCAACCTAGCAGCTCCTCCAGGGCTGACAAGGATCTTGTTCAGACCTCAGGTGGTATTCCCCTCACGGCGATTAGATACTCGGATGCCTAAGAGCCCCGCTTACGTTCGCAACCTATTCGGAGCGGTCCTCTCCTTGCGATTTTTATGCGCCGCAATACCGGGGAACGCGATGGGAAGGGAGGACTATCCAAAAACGGCAATAGACGTCACTTTTTGCTTTTTTATTTCAATCGTGTTAAATTTCCTTTGTTTTTCCGATGTCTGCTGCAAATATCGTGCTAGAATGAAATGACTCATATGCCCTCGTAGACACGCAACTTCCAACTCTACATTTTTCAGCCGGATCCAGTGCTGACCGTGTCTCCTATCCATCATCTGTGCGCTATCAACGTGATATCGTGCAGGGCGGTTGTGGCGGGTTAGAAAAGAATACCCTCGGTTCCCTAGGGTGATATCACAAACAGCAAAGTAGATTAAAACTTCCAGGGAAATCAAAACTAGCTCTATTATTATTGGATTTTACAAAGTAAAGCGCCACGTTACCAAAGACATCATTGAGAGTTCTGATTTACCCACATTATAATTATACAACATTGTTGTAGAGATGCGGTTTCTCGTCACTAGCCCCAATATACCCCACTCAGTAACGAGGTAAAGAAAAAGAGCGGTGGCTGAAGCAAGGATCTGCACGTTCGTAACAGCCACCCTTCTCCGATAACAGGGACATGATAATATCTTGTCGGTCATAACATCCTGACCGCTAATCACTGTCCCTCAGGTGATCCATAATTCAAGCCATCAACCAGTGAGCGATCTCCACTAGGATCCGACTAGGGGGGTTGCAGACGGGATGAAGAGGGGTTGTTATTTATCAAACCCCATTTGCCCACATTGTACTCCGTACTGTATGTATATTGTGAAGAACCTGTGCTATCATGCCACGCTTCCACGGATATGGCTTGCCAGCTCTGACGTGCGACATGCGGCTTGTAGTCTAGTATTGGGACGGGCGGTAATCGAGTGGATTACAAACAATATTTTCTCGTGATCAGCTCTTAGAAGTTATTGGGCGCTTGCTTTGGCCATCACAATAATCCTGGCGGGGACAGGACTGTCTCATTTACGAGCACCCAATCATACTGTCTTCTAGTTCGTACCTCACGGCTCCTAGGGCAAAGACTAGGGTCAAAGGATGGACGGTAGAACTTGGGTACATAACTAGTTATAACTATGGGGAAAACACATGTCTTACTACTTTTCCTTCCAAGGTTCTTAGGGTCTTCCATTGGCTTTGGTGGGGATTTGAGATCCACTTGACAGGGTCGTTCTTTCTGTATGTCAATGTACGGAGTACGGAGTACAAGCTAGTGTATTATATATGACATCGCTCAGGGGGACGTTCTTCTTTTAAATACTTCCAATGTTTCCTTCTGGAAGGTCAAAATTACTAGTAACGGTAATATAGAACTCACGTCATTATTAATTGATTCTTGACAGAGATACTTCTTATATCAGATACTCTGCAAGATTTGAATGGCGCCGTCCTGCCTAGAGAGGTATGTGAGTCCCTCAGCCGCAGAGCTAACCCTGCACTCCATTTTGAAGTGCATGTAAACAATACCAGTCAGTCAATCTCGCATCCGCTCCTTACTACGATCAACAGCCCTAAATAACGACCCCCCACTTTTTGACGGCGGGCTCCCCCTATGGGACGAAACCTTCGGCGAAAAAAACTCTCCTTGATGCTCTTTGTTCCCTTTGTGATTCTGTGGGGTGCCATGATTGATTGCGCTTGAATACTCCCCGGGGTCATTTCTATAAGATTGATTGGGTTATAGAAAAAGGAAAAAAAAATATTTCTTTCATGCCAACGTTAGTCTTCTACATTAGAGAATTCATTAATTAACTGGATGACGCCTGTTCTATTCCAACTTCCAAGGTCGTTTTTATGGGAATACTACTAGTCATCATTGTGGTGACATCATGAAGACGCAACGCGACCTTGGGAGAAGAGATGAACGAAATTATTTTCGTTACGGTATTACCAGTTTTTATACGCGTACTGTATTACTGTCCGGTACATCGAATGTTTCCTTTGGACCTTCCAAGGTTGGAAACTTGGAAACTCCAATAAGACAGCCATTATAGTGCGAGCTAGTCGGGATCTGAGAAAGTCAGCCATTGAGGGTGTCAGTTTCAGGGACATACTCGTTCATAATTGCGGAGCAATGAGGCCAAAAAAATGAACTTGAGTATCCTAAAACTGAGTTATGGGTCTGATCTTCAGGAGAGAACGGAAGGGGCTTACCACCTCCATTCCAGGGCAATTTAGTATTCTCCCTTTACTAGTTACTTATGTACTATACAACATACTAATATAATTGTCCCCACGTCACATTTCAGATGTTTAGGTTAGAGAATGCAATCTCGTATGCTATTGTGTAGCACTTATTCGAAACAGAGTTACCTAGTACGAAGATTTCAAGAACAATCTTACATACGAATTATACAGACCCAGGGGGATGGAACCGTTGCGCCTCACTGGAGTCAGGGTTATTGCTCCATCACCTTAAGTCTCGGTTTCTTTGAGATACAGTGCACTTTCCTCCCTGGTCATACCGCACACGTGATGGTTGTGATTGTGACTAGCTAGAAATGGCCGTTCTCTCCAGGTACCTACTAGACATACGAACACCTTAAGAGATACAACCATTGTGACAATGTACTCGGCCGAATGTACATCTTCTTTGCGATGAGGTATCCCTTGACCAAACTAGACAAAGGAAGCACCCCGCTTTGACGCATGCACGTCGGCACCCGTCTACCTTCGAAGGATGACAGTGCATGTCGAAATGATACTATCCACTACCACCCAAAGAAAGAAAGCCATCGCAGAGACTGACACGTCTCAGACATCCCCACTCTCGTCTCAGCCCACAGCCACTTTCAGCTCAGCCTCGTCCCGTTCCTTCGAGGCGTCTTCGATGCTTCCAGGGTTGATATGCAAATCAAACCAGATTGTGTTGTAGAATCCACCCGCACTAAGATCGAAATGGAAAAACATAAACACGCAAAGAAGGTCATCTCACCATCCTCGGGCCTCTCCATTTGATACGACACACCCCGGGCTACCTCCGTTGGCTCGGCATCAGCGCCTCCAATCACCAGCCCGGCTGTGACTTAATGCTGGATTTTGTCTACCCCCCATACCACATTTCGATTCCGACTGCAGCAAGGCAGATGTGTGTCTCGTTTCTTTTTTTTGCCTTTTCTCTTTCATTTCTGCAGGTGCATGTGACTCAACTTGGAATGAATCTTCCCATCATATCCGAGGAGATTGGTGCAACAGTATCATAGGGCGCCTGTCGCTCGCACGTCACTGATCGTGCAACCATAATCATGCATTGCGACTCGTCTCGGTCCTGTTCAGAATGATACCCTTGTTGTAGAGGAAACTATCCCGGAACCGGCATGGCGCCATCATTTGTCTTACGGTTGATAAGTTCAACTTCCCTACGTCGTACCTTTAAGCCGGTTTCTTTTTTTGTGGCCGGGTAGGATTCCGGAATCAACCCCATAGCCACCTCTGTATGGGGCATGGCTTGCCAGGATTTCATGCACGGTGCCCGGAGTTTCGAATGCTCGTTTCATAGGCGGCGCGCAGTCATACGATTAGGGAGATCTGATACGTGGCCTTGATCCGGATAACGGAGGTACACCTGTGTTTCCTAGAGCTTGCAATACTTTACACGATGTACTGTATACCTAAAGCAGGGCGGGAGAGCGGGAGAGCGGGAAAGGAAACATCGAGAGATTGCAACGAACCCACAAGTACTCCGTACATATCTGGGACATGTCGCAGGATCCACCAGCCTTTGATTACCCATTGTGCTGGATATCGTGGCTGAATATCTCTCGAGGACAGATATTGCGGGCCCATATCTCGGGATAACACCCGGTTCCAAGCGGCTCCGGCTCTCAGAAAAGGAAAACCCCACCATACTGACCTGATCTCAGCCTCGCGATTGGTGCAAGTCGCGTATGGCTCAGATAGGAAGTTGACGCCATTCTAATGCAGTGGATATCAGCCCCAGTGGGGCCAGGGCCAGGAAAATGCCCCCGGAAACGCCGTCGCAAGCCAACGTGCCCGTTTCCAAAGCTAGCTTAGCTGCTGTTGGCTCTCCTCCATCCACGCTACTACACTAAACGAGATCCAACATCCTTCGGTAAAGTTTACGCTCGAATATACGCCAAACCAATTTATCCGAAGCACTCATTTCCTCTACCAGTTCTACGACACATCCCCACACATCCACCCAGCAAATCCACATCGCACCATATACCAAACGTCCGGGACGCAAAACACTCGCCAGACATCTAGCGGGTTCCATATGTCGCAGATCTGGGGCTAAAAATAACGCCTTTCCATATCTCGGAACCTGAAATCTTGAAAACGACCCCACATCCAGCTCCCGTGAGACAACGTGGCTTCCAGAATTTTTATCGAAGGATGTTCAGCCCACTTCGGCAATTCAGTAAAGGAGCAGGGTCAAGCCCCGCCATCTTAGGGTCCAATTAACGCGACTTCAAACACGAGTTTTTTTATTACTTTTCGCGTGTTTGAGGTCTAGTATTTGCATCATACGACGGGTCGCTCGGGAGCCGTTGCCAGCGAATCTTGGTGCGCGAGTCTTGGCGGTTTGACCTTGAACCTCTAAAATTGTCCGCGACGACTGTGGCTGGTGGATAGGCGTATCGAAACCTGTTGCAGTTGTGGATCCCTTTTACGGGCTATGTTGCTGTCGCAACGAGTGGTATTACTGTAATATGGGATTCATACAGGATTTTATAATGCATACATGGCTATACTAGATGGTATTTGCCGGTTTCTTGTGGATTTCGAAGGATGTCGTCTATTCTTAGGAGCGGCTCGGAGTATCCCTGTCGAAGGAATGCATTGCTTGCATTCGGCCTCTTTTTGAGTTTGTGGCATAAGCAAGGCGAAGTGCCGAAGTAATTACAACATAGTACATCGCCAAGCTGTTTGCTTCAAAGTTATCATGCGTTAACATCCTTTTGTGGTGCTTACTCCGAGCAACGTATATTAAGTTTCACACTCCATACAAGGCAATAAGCAGTCAGAGAGGCTGTCGCAGTCATGTTTATTTTCAAATCTTGGGTGCATTGGTGGAACTACTTGCTCACAAGGTGGAATACTGAGTCCTTTCTTCTCTCAAGAGCGCTTCGGGCTGTATCGGTTCTGTCGTTTTGCATGCACTTTCAGAGTAATACTACTTCCATCCGAGGTAGCCTGCTGGAGTCGTTGCCGTCGATGAAAGGCTGAGTGTGGACGAAGATGTGGTTATATTTCGAGGCAATGGCGATAAGATCAAGTGTGCCTTTATTGGTGGCTTTTTTCAAGATCACGCCCGTGGATAATTGCCTTCATTTTGTTGGGCACAAGGCTGTGGTGAGGAACGTGATGGAGATCGGCGCTGACAGTAAGCATTTCCGAACTACTCCAAGTCTGAATTGACCTCGCGGCCTCCACAGCCAGGTCCTTCATCCACGATTGCTTATCACTGTTATTCGCAATAGCCCCATTGTTGAGTGCATCAACTGACTGAAATAACAAGGGCAATTGCGCCTACAGGAGCCCCCATCGGTGCATCGGAGAACTTCCCAACACATGACTGACTTCCAATTTTGGTCATAATCAATGTCAATGACATGCTTGCGGAAGAAACTGGCTGGGACAGTGTACACATTGGAGTGGGTGGTAGAATCTGCGCACTCGATATGGTATCCTGGAAGGTCGAGTAGCCGTACTAGCTTGCAGGACGTGCCCTTGTCGACGTCTCCGAGTAGGATGGCCAGATGATGGTGGTCGCTGCCCGTATCGCTTCCTGCCGCGACATGGAGTTTCCGATTAGCATCAAATCCAAACCAGATAGGATGGAAGCAAAGCCCGTCTACACGGCGCAGAAAACCGTAGTCCCCCGCCCCACTCCATGGTTAACGTACCCGTCTTTCCCCTCAAGCAGAAGGACAACTGGCATGGGGAAACCAACAGTTGTATCATGAAAGCTCAAGTTGAGCTTGCCAACCTTGACTTTGTATCGCGCTAGAAAGTCTGCCTGTTCTTTCAGCATTTTCCGGTTGTTGACATTATTTGGCGCTGTCTTGATTGCATTGCTTAACGTCGATCGCCATGCTGACGACCAGACACCAAGCAAGAATCTTCTTTTCCTGTAGTGCCTTGGAATGCCTTGTCGTCATCTCCTTTGTACGGCCAGGCGATCAAATGTGAATCCTTTACATCCTCGATGTCGCGTTTTCCAAATTTCGTGGATAAGATGGTAAGTGGTCCTCTCTTTACCGCGGGTCTTTTGACCGGAGCTTTGATTGAACCATTTTGATGGCCTCGCTAATGGTGCATGAACTTCAAAAATCCACATCAGAGATTGCACCTGCTGTTCCCCGACCGATTCATTGATAATTTCGGATATAGGAGACGTTGGGTAGTCCTCCACCGCGCCTCGCCTGGATCTTAATCCCCAAATTCGTGCCCACAATACCATGTGTTTTCTCCCAGTTCCGTAGCTCTTCATTAGGTCCTTTGCGTGGTGAAATTTCTTTGGATGATGTGGGGTGAGGTGGTGATCGACGAGGGAAGAAAAACTAGATCTCGCGAGTGGGAACTGAATCGTCAAGTCAATCCAGGCAAGTGCTATTACCTATCCTGAACTTGGAGCGGAAGGGAGGTTGGTTGCTGAAGCGAACTGATGTCTTCGGGTAAAATCAAAGAGAAGGAAAATGGGAGACGCAAGTTGAAGAGAGCTGGGATAATACGTGGTGTGAAGTAACTTGACTTTAGAATATGGAATATGACTAGAAGAAAATCTGAAGGAAGTGATAGATATATATCGAATGCAGCGAAGAAGCTTTTAAAAGACGAAGGGGACGAAAATGACGGATTGAACTGAGCTTTAGAGAGAGAGAGAGGGAGAGAGAAAAAGAAAGAAGATCAATCCTGGTGAGGAGCAAAGGTCCTATCCGCCTTGGGCAGGAAAGCTGCCTTAACAACAACTCGATCATCTCAGCAATGCGACTGAGATATTGTCTTTATGGGTCTGTACTCATTTTCAAATCCATTCACTTACGTATACACCACACGATGTCAAAATATTACACATGAGATTATGTAGGGTACTGGACCAGCGCAGTCTCATGAACAGGATTCACATCTTGAACCCAAGAACCTTGTGGAATATTCGCAATTCTTTACAAAATCCAAGAAGATTCTGTTGCCTTATAATAGTAACCTTGGAGGTAACTGAGGAGACCTTTAATAGGATATAGAGATAGTAAAGAGCATCCAGAAGGATATCTGAAAAGACATTCAAAAAGACATCCAAAAGAGTTTTTAATATAATGCCTCTAATATCATCCTAGGCCAACCAGATCAGATCATAACATCTAACACTCGTTGTTCAGTGTGCCGCAATATCTTGCCGCACACGTGAGCAGTTACCTGCTCCTAAGTCTCAACTACGCATCTACAGAACTTCCGGAACCCTTCTTTCATCCTCCTCCCAAGAGAAAACCATCACTTATTTCACACCGAGCGGTTTGTGCATAACTTTTTGATACATGTTGTATTCAACTCTGATGACCTTCAAGAGGTTATCGCGGTGGTACCTTCCCACCATGAACCCATGAACCTCTCAGCGATGGATCCTCAACACGATGGCACCAACAACTCAACCTTCTCAAATGAATCTCAAATGAAACCAAGATTATTGGGCTTGTTACCCCTGCCACACCACTGCCACTGGCTTTACCAATCCTACGAGGTACGAGGGGTTTGAAAGTACATCCATTACCAAAGACAATGTCCACCTGGAATACACCAACCGTGATGTCATCGAGCTCTCGGGCGTCAGTGCGAGGGGTTTCGAATACTTCCAGGTGAATTATCAAGTGTCTTGATAATCCCGCCGACCTTATCACCTCATCTGATGATCCCATCAACACCACCCCTGTACTTTCTCTGGATGTACACTCGAGCCTTTGAATAAAGGCGAGAAATTTGACGCTACCGATGAAGACAAAAAAGAACCACGTTGTGCTGAGACTGAATTTCGAGCATACCAGCACGCATGATACCGCATATGCACCACTTCAAACCAAAGGACTATTAAGAAACAGTTATATTCACGGCAACATCCCTCAATCTTCAAAATAATCAATTACGCTGATTCCCATGAAAGAGCCTTGAAAGTCGCCGAGATACCAATCCGATCACAAAAGACCTCCGAAATCAATTAAGTTCGTATACGACATTGTGGCCGAGCAGCTGGTGGTCAAAATGCCCAAGGATGACCATGAGACTATCATCGAATTCTTCAGAAGAATGATCGAAAACAACTGATTGAGATATGTGTGATTGAGAAAACCATTCCACTCGCTTCCCTCTCGCTTCCCTAGGGGGCTGGAAAATGAGCCATATGTCTGTTGGGCCCCATATTGACATGGAGGGTGACAGTTTTCCTAAAAATTAGAACTTCCGGATCTACTGTGCGTCTAGCCACAGAAGCAAGACGAGATCAAAACCCAGGGAACGCCTGCCAAAGCATGCGTCACTACCAACCTTAAACAAACAAACGATATTGTCATTGAGGCTTGGGAGCCGGGGTGCTCCCACACGGCAAGGAATATTGCTCTTCCTCACCTCTTCGAGTCTGATCACACGCCTACACCTCTCTCTATCTGTGGCAGTGGTCTCAAGGGTGTTTCGGCCTTCTTCGAGGAAGAAGCCCCGCCTAAGAAGGTACCGACACCACACTCTCTATACCCTTTGTCGTGCCTCGGTTTCCATGCCTATGATAACTGACGGATGATCTAGTCTTATTGTATCATGTGTCGCACTGTAGGACACAGTGCAGTCAACTGTGAATCGTTCACTCATATCGGCGTGGCGATCCGCCACGCTACCGCCCTCGATAAAGTAAGATCATGCCTTGATGTCCTTTGAAGGCATTTTATTGATTTGGAGTGTCTCTGCTGCAGCGCACCAAGCGCAAGTCCCGGCGTGGCACCAAGGGGGCCAAGAAGAAGGGTATGTTCTGTTTTTGTTGAATTCAACCACCCTCGAGGCTAGCTGAATCAAATTAGTGCGAGAAACGCACCGAGTTACGTTGTATATAAGTACGAAAACCCCTTCAACATAATTATTTATCATTCAATTTAGGAAGTTTGAGAAGAACCTTGGAAGATACATATGTACATGTTCTTTCGTCAACATCCATGGATCCATGGGGTCTGTGGTTGACTCTCGGCACGGCCCGCGAAGCTCCATCCTTGAAGTCCCCACCTGGGTAGTTGTAACCAAGCCCCAAATTGCACGAGATTCAGCTGAAGCTGGATAGAATGCTAGAGTAGCAGGAAGAGATAGTGGAAATGGGGGGTGGTATGAATATATACTACTGGGGGTTTTGTATGCAGGCAGTGACGAGTGAAGTTTAATTTCGTGTTCGAATTTGGATTCTATGGGAAATTTTAAATATGTACTATGGGATGCACCAACCTTTGGCACGGTTATATGTCTATTAAAGCCGGAATGGGTGTCTTTCCAAGTATTCCTCGAAAGTGGAGAGCTTGCCCCGGGCGGCTGCAGCAGCTTCTGCAACCAACGCCTCCGAGCCAGGGCCGAAATATCCATAATCCTCCATGAAGCTGAATCCCTCCGCGAAAACATCCTGGAAGAAGGGCAAGCCTGCCTTGAATTCCTCGGTGGAGATCTGTTTATAGACGATGGTCTTGCCGGAACTCTTGGACAGGAGGGCGGTGATTTCCTCCACGCTGTACAGTTTCGTAGCGGCATGGAGTCTCTTACCCTGGAACTTCTCAGGCTCCGCGAGGATAGCGCCCACAAACTTCCCAGTGTCACCAACAGCATCGAGTAATGGGAATTGGGCCTGTGGAGAAGTGTGACGGGCTAACACATAGGTACCATCGGGAGCCTGAGTGGGGGCCAAAAAGGGGTGTGCCTGGAAGTTCTCCATGAATGAGCCGAGCGAGACGAACGCACTCTTGATAGGAAGAGTGCGAATGTATTCCTCGGCCGCGGCCTTGGCATCGAAGGGGATGACCGCGCTGTATTTGCCCTTGGAAATATCGCGAATTGCTGGTAAAGTGCTCCAGATAAGATAATCCACACCTTGCTGAACAGCGACATCGGCGATTCGCTTAGCGTTACCGAGCTCGACTTCGAACGCGTCGGGGCTAAGGTCAGGTGTGGTCATAGCGAAGACCGTATGCACGCCGGTCAAGGCTATTGCTAGCGAGGCGGGGTCGCTCACGTCACCATCAACAACCTCGACATTCCCTTTCGCTTTCAATTGCTGCGCCTTCTCGGAGTTGACATCGCGGGTGATGGCCCGGATATTGTACTGTTGGGAGAGCTCTGGGTCGTTCAGCACATGGTTCAGGACAGAGCTGCCTTGTTGACCAGTGGCGCCGAAAATTGCAAGAATCTCGGACATTGTGGGGGTTTGAAGGGATTCCAAAGTTGGATAAGAAGAGGAACTGGCAGAGTGGGTTCGAAATAATTCTAGGACGGGAGTATTTAAGGAATTTCTTGAGTTAACAACGGAAAGGAAAGGATCGAAGGGACAGGGTGCTTTGAAATCGTCGTAATCGCTAAACTACATGCTAGACAGGTGGTGCGCCACGAAGATTAGAAATTCAGTGCAATTCATCTACTCCGTAAGCAAAGATCTCAAACCCTGGCTATCAAGAGCGAGCCGCGGTTGTAAATCCTCGGCGTATTCGGGGCGATGCTATTGGCTCCCGAGGTCCAGTTTATCGACTTGTCACGTCAGCATTCTATGCGATTCCTACCTCGAATGTGGGGGCCATCTAGTTAGTACACCAGTGAGGCTACCTACTTGACCAAGCCATGGATGACTCAAAGCCAGTTGACCAGAGATTCACTAAAGCGCTACCAAAGATTGAGGTATGTATGTTTGATGCCTCGTTCTACTGTTGGGGTTTTCTGACTGGATCACACTCCAGCTGCACGCTCATCTCAGCGGGAGCGTCAGTCGCCAATGCCTGCATGAAATCTGGAAACGCAAAAAAGAGCAGAATCACGATCTCGATGTAGAGGATCCGCTGGTGCTAATGCCTCCGGGCAAGGTCGATTATACACTGGAAACGTAGGTGCCTATGTTTGCACCAAACGATACTGCAAAATTATTGCTCTCCAATCTAACGAAGGGTTAGGTTTTTCTCAACATTTTCCAAGTTGACCTACCAGCTCTGCAACGACCTAGAAAGCTTGGTATATGCCACCAACTCAGTACTCGAGGACTTTCTTGAAGATGGAGTAGTGTACCTCGAGCTACGGACCATACCTAGAGCATCTCCCGGCATCACTCGAGAACAATACATCAACTCAGTTCTGGATACAATCGAGAAATTCCAAAGCAAAACGAAACGTATGTCTGTGTTTTTAATTCTAGCCATCGATCGCGGCAGCATGACAGCAGCAGACGCGGACGAAATTGTTAATCTTGCGATCGAAAACAAGCCGCGCGGGGTTGTGGGGGTAGATCTCTGCGGCAACCCAACTAAAGGCGATGTCAGCATCTACAAAGAACCCTTTTCGAAAGCCAAAGCCAATGGTCTAGGAATCACCCTTCACTTTGCTGAGACTGAAGCCTCGGCTTCTGCGAGCGAGCTGTCCACCCTTCTTTCTTTCCAGCCTGACCGACTGGGCCATGTTATCCATGTGCCTGACGAGATCAAGAAGGATATTGGGCGGCGCAAGCTCGGCCTTGAACTATGCATTTCTTGCAATGTCCATGCTAAGATGATTAATGGGGGGTTCTTGGATCACCATTTCGGTTATTGGCGACACGAGGACTGCCCAATCGCGCTGTGTGTGAGTTATTTCAACTAAGATGAAGTTTTTCTGTTTTTCCCTCTGACCTATAATTTCTATAGACCGATGATGTGGGATTTTTCTGTAGTCCCGTCTCGAACGAGTACTTGTTAGCCGCACAGCATTTCGGTTTGAGTCGTACTGACCTCTTGGACATGTGCATTAAGTCTGCAGATGCAATTTTTGCTAGTGAATACTACAAAGGGAGAATCCAAGGTATGCTCGAAGTATTCGCTACTCGGTTTGACTCCGCATGAGTGGTTGGAGCTGTATCGGCTTCTTGAACTTCGCTTTTTGTTATTACCCGGAGGAGACATCTATGAATACTATGCTTGCTTTGTTCGTATAATCAAATTGAGCGACATCTTGACGTCATAAATAGCCCAAAGAGCTTCCCGTATGTTGACCAGTTGATGCTATACCCGATTAGGTACCCGATCTCAGCCTCAAATACTACATCTTCCATCCCGAACCTCAATCGGTTGCCCGCCTCTGTTTTTTTCCCCTGGGATCATCCCATTTCCTGGATTTTTCCTAGGATATACCTCATCTGTGAGTCAATATTGGAAAAATCCATATCATATGGATGGATCGATGGAATTTGCCGTTGCTATTTAAACCCCCCTCCGACCCACAGCATCTCAACTCCACATCTCAAACTCTCAACCTCAAATTATCTCCTCAATTTCTCATTTGAAAATTCAGTTTATCTCACCTTTGCAACTCTAAAGGTGTAACCTCCTCTCACATCACTTAATTTTCAAACATCACCATGGCAAACGGAGCTCTCCCACAGACTCTCAAGTCTATCACTGCCACGAAAATCAGTGAACTCTCCAAGCAACGCGCCCTATTTGATCAGCGCAAAACCGAAATCCTTGCAGTTGCCAACGCAGCCCCAGATCTGCGCACCCATGCTCAGGCTTTGCTGGATGGAATATCACGCCTGAAAGGATACCCCAAGGATTCGCTCGACAAAGATGACCTGGATCTAGATGCCGATTCCTCGGACGAGGAATCTGAAGACACACTCACTTCACGAGGAGTCGGTCGCTTGCAGCCAGCAGATCATACAAACATTCGTCGCTTTCTTCTACAAAGTCGTCACGACCCTTCCATCTCCCAGCCAGCTCTACAGGATCGTATCACTCAACTTGAAAAGGAGTTGCGGTATCTTGAGATAAAGCATGAGCACGGTGCTTTCTATAGCAAATTGGTTACAGAGTGGTTGTCGGAGTTAGATGGAAGCATTAATCCCACTGTGGATGAACCCAAATCCACTGACTCCGACTCGGACTTCGAAAATGTCGGGCGGGCAGAAATGCATGAGCAACGGGCGACTTGGGAGTCCTTGGTGTTTACTGCTGCGACCAATGTCAACGAAGACGCAATCCGATCCTACCTCAATGATCTCTTCACCCAGACCAAGCTTTCTCAACAGGCACTCAAGGATCTCCGAGCAAGTATTCAATCGTTTGGAACAGAACTATCCTCAAAGGGTGAGTGGCTCGATGTGGACGAACTCAAGTGGGTCTCTAGCGCACTGCTCAAGACCGATCTCCTCAGCGATGAAAAGACAGCCATTCTGAAAGAGTTCATGCGGAACAAAGAGGTTGCCCAGGAGGTGGCAGATGTGCTCAATATGCGCATTGCCTCACTTGAGAGCTGGACCTGGACCGGGGACGCAGATGGTATCCCCGTCGAAATGCGCCGTCAGCTCAATGGTAAATACCGGGTTTTCATGGATGAAGACCTTCTCGATGCCCTTCTTCTACAGTACATCGGGACAAAGTGGGCTGTGAAGCTGCGGAAGGTATTTGAAAAGTTCCTACGTTCCAACGCCTGGAAGACCCTGCAGGAGGATATCCCTGAAGATCACAAGGAAATGCGCAAGTACTTCCTTGGCCGAGACGCCAACTCGGACTCCGGCAAGCTCAACGAGATTCGAAGGAAGACATACAGCGACGAATATTTCATGAGTCAACTGCCCACTTCAACCGCTGAAGGTGCACGGGAATACGATTACTCTGGGTCCAAACAAAAAAACGCCCTGGATACCAAGCACTCCCTTCTACATCTTCTGATCACAGAATCTATCATCCATAAGCATCAGCGCGGGGACTTTACTGCAGTCCGGTCGGACTTTGAGTGGTTCGGCCCTTCAATGCCCCATGCCACAATGCTCACCGTGCTGAAGTTCTTTGGGGTCTCTGACCTGTGGATCAAGTTTTTCGTAGTGTTCCTGGAGGCTCCGCTCAAGTTTTCCCACGATGGAGCTGAGGGATCTATTCACATCCGCAAACGTGGCCTTCCAATGAGCCATACACTGGGTGATTGCTTCGGAGAAGCCGTTTTATTCTGTATGGACTATGCAGTGAATCAAGCTACCGACGGCGCCTTTCTGTACCGCCTCCATGATGACTTCTGGTTCTGGGGAGCAGAGAATACTTGCGTCAAGGCATGGCAGGCAATGGAGCAGTTTAGTCAGGTAATGGGTCTGAAATTCAACACGGAGAAGACCGGAACTGTGAAGATGGGCCTGGGTGTCACTCCAACAGAGTCGGTTCTTCCCATCGGTGATATCCGCTGGGGCTTCCTGGTTCTAGATGCGCAGCAAGAGAGATTTATTATCGACCAGGCCCAGGTCGACCAACACATCGAAGAGCTTTCACGACAGCTTTCTTCCTGCAAAAGTCTGTTTGCTTGGGTACAGGCATGGAACAGCTACTTCGGCCGCTTCTTTACCAACAATTTTGCAAAACCAGCCATTTGCTTCGGTCGGGACCATATCGACATGGCCATTTCCACCCTGAGCCGCATCGAGAGCACACTCTTCAACAAAACCTCAGGTGACAAAACCCCATCGGATCAAATCAACGGTGTCACTGCCTATCTACGCACTGTGATCGCAGATCGGTTCGATATCCGTGATCTGCCCGATGGATTCTTCTATTATCCCATTGAACTCGGCGGTATGGGGCTTCTCAATCCCTTCATTAGACTGCTCGCCATGCGTGAAAACATAAAACAGACTCCCCGGAAGTTACTGCACAAGGCCTCGCTGACGGATGAGAAAGAATACGAGGCGGCCAAAGAAAAGTTCAAGAAAGACGGCGCTGATGTTAGCAGCCAATTTTGGAGCAAATGGGGCGGCAAATCGAAGCCATTCATGTCCCTAGAAGAGTACACTAGGTATCCGGAAACATTCAGTCCCTCTCTTGTGGACGTGTACAGCCAACTTACCGATGTGCCGAGCGAGAGGAGCGTCGCTCTGACTTGGGGCTTTGAAAGGGAGCAATATTCCCTTGATAAAACCTCTGCAGGCTCTATCTCTGCTTTCTGGGGCGGAATGTCGCCCTACTGGCAATGGGTGGCGGAGTTGTATTACGAAGAGATGGTTCGTACCTACGGTACCCTGGCTGCTGTGAATCGCGAGTTTATGCCCCTGGGTGTTGTGAAGACCCTGCAGGAGGGTAGATTCAGATGGCAGGGCTGATCGAGGGATCGTGGATTTGAATTGCCTGATGGTTGATGGCTTCATGGCTTATGACTTTTGGATGAAGAAAAGCGAATGCATTTAAAAACGATATTGACAGGACAAATAAAACGAATTTACTTACTATTCTAAATATGACATATGTAACCCTAGAATAGCTCGAATAAGGCCTTCATCCAAATCTCCTTCAATATCCAGGTTAACCAAGGATCAACCGTATATTGTACCACACATTTTCCGAACGTTAAATTTCCCTTCTTCTCGTCCATCGAAAAGCAGTTCTGGAATCAAAGGAAGATGATGCTAATATCCTGATTACTAGGCATGACTTTGGGGGGCGGATCAACGCCTTGCATTTTCAGCCAGCAGTGGTTGTTCATATAATCAAGAGCGTGGCACTGAGTTTCCTGAACACAGCTGTCGAAGCATGCTTGATAAGAAGACACGTCAAACTCTCTCAGAGTGGTGGTAGCGACATCTAACCAAAATAGTTAATATGAAAGCATGCCATTGCCTGGGGATTTCAAGACATACGAAGGCCGCAGAACTGCTTATATGTCCTGCCATTGCACTGAAAGATCTTCTCATGGGCAGAGGGACCTAAGGAGTACTGTTAAAATCCCTGATCTGTGGAATACCCAAGAACGCCTTTCAAAATTGTCTTACATTGTGGATTACACTCAAGAGGAGTTTCAGGTTCTGGTTCTGGCTCTGGCTCTTCGAAGCAACAACAGCCACGACCGAGCCCGCTTCTAGATCCTGAGCCCTGGCCAAAGCGAGCACCTGCGACCCCAGACCCCTGTCCTATCAATCCCTGAGCCTGTGTCGAGGGGATTTCGGCTAGGAGACCACCGCACACAAGAAGTAGATTGAAAAGTTTGATCATCGTGGGCATGGGGAAGAATACAGGCAATGGAAGAGAGGGAATTACTTTGATTTCCCTCTCTTATATGAAAGCCTGAGCCCAGATGATTGGAAGAAATGCGGGGGAGATCAGCTACAAGGTAATACGGACATGGCCATGCCCGTGAGCTATCGAAACTATTGACTCGATGCATATGCCGTGTGACCAGACGTGCAGGATGCATGTATGACAGCCTTGAATAAGTATATCCTATCGCCTAGAGAGTACCAATATTGCTGTTGATAGACTGCAGGCCACTGTCAGCAAGCAATAATCAAGCGAGGCATTGTCAGCCGAGTGAGAATGAAAGTTAAATCCGCTTGTATTGGGTATCTAGGAGGCGTTTGAGACCATGTATTGTATTGTTTCTCAAATTACCAGCATTATGTGGGCGAAGTATCTTAGGCGTCTAGTTGATGTTGGGATTTGGGCTCGATTTGTGAGAAAGCTCATGTATAGTGGAAAACAAGATGGCAAATACTTTAAGAGATGTTCATTTTTCTGTTGCAAATGAATTGACTAGGGTACGAAAATAGCGAGCAAGTACAGTCTGTTGATAAATATATCGGAATAACATGAAAAATGATATAACGACCGAAAGGGCAGGAGTGAACACCCAGCAAAGGTCGGCTTAAAAACCAATAGTAAGAGCCAATTGGAATAAGACTGAAGACTGAGATCTTGACCAAAAATCACTTCCAGAGAGGCACGAAGGCAGCAACACAATCGGTGTGGCCCGAGATTGTAGCGCCAGCAGGCTTCAGAATACATCCGCCATTCTTCCTCCAATGCGCTCCAACGTAGGCATTAGCTTCCAACAAATAAAGCTGCATGCATTCCTCATGAGTTTTGGCTTCGGGTTTGGCGACAGATTGTGCGTCTACGCCTGTATAACATTGGTTACATTTGACCCGGAATGGGTGGTTGGCAACGTTAACAATCTGGTTGTCAACGCATTGATTCGGGTCGGCCTTTGGCTTCTGTGAGCCACACTTTTGCTTACCGCAGCCCTCGCACGCTCCAGAACAACCGACAGAGTGAGCAGCGGCAAATCGAGGAGCTGCGAGAGTTGGAGGGCTGTCGTTGTTGCTCAAATAGCACACTTGCTTGTTTTGGTCAAAGTCAACACTGCTGCACGAAGGAGAAGCTGCGCAGTGATCCATGCAATCTTCAAGAGTCGAAACTGCCTCAACGTTGAGATACGGTGTGCCGTGACGCATTCCACAGCTCATGTAGAAGGTCTAAAATCCATTGTCAGCTGGGAGCATTATCTAAATAGCTTCAGGAGTGCTATCTCACCTCACCAAACGGGCTCACGTAGATCTGGCCATTAGCCTCGGGACAGGTGGTAGCGCAACGGCGAGTTGTCATTGTGGGCTGCTTAGTGACCGGAGGTGAAGTCGGGAAGGCATGGAGCTGGCTTCCGTGGGAGGTTTGAGAAAAAGAACCGAAGTCGAGGAGGTTGCAATAGAGGGTGGAAGGCTCGAACGAGACACTGCAAGACGTTAGCAAAACAGTGTACATAGTTGACGGGTGCGCCATAGGTCGACTCACGTTTCGCAGTTTGCAACGTCAGAGCATTTCTTTAGGCATTCTTCCATACTCGAGACCTGCGGTGTACCGACAGACAACGCGTTCGTGGAGCTTTGCGTACAGCACTGCAGGTAGTACCAGCTGCCATCAACTGTCTCATAGATACTTCCATCACCTGTATTGCATTAGAAGCCAAGAGCTATACCGATGGGAATAAAACGTCACTTACTCGCAGGACAGGAGATGCTAGTGGTGACTGGTGGGGATTGATTGTATGCCTTTCGTGGGTTGGGACAGGTCCAGGATCCAGGGCGGGTACCACCACTGCCGGGCTGAATGCCCCCGCTACCGCCAGGACTGATACCACCGCTGCCAGGTTGGATTCCACCACCACTGCCAGGATGGATACCACCACTGCCAGGCTGGATACCGCCGCTACCAGGCTGGATGCCACCACTGCCAGGTTTAATGCCACCGCTGCCAGGTTGAATGCCACCGCTACCAGGCTGGATACCGCCGCTGCCAGGCTGGATGCCACCACTGCCAGGTTGGATTCCACCACCGCTACCAGGCTGGATGCCACCGCTGCCAGGTTGAATGCCACCGCTGCCAGGCTGGATGCCACCACTGCCAGGTTGGATTCCACCACCGCTACCAGGCTGGATGCCACCGCTGCCAGGCTGGATTCCACCACCACTGCCAGGCTGGATGCCACCACTCCCAGGCTGGATGCCACCGCTGCCAGGTTGAATGCCACCACTGCCAGGCTGAATGCCGCCGCTACCAGGCCTGGGGCCGGGCTTAATCTGGGCATTCGCAAGCCCAAGGAGGCCAGCCCCGATTAAATACAAAGTGATATCAGGCTTCATTTTCATGGAATTGATGAAAAGTCAGTAAATTCCGAAGGCGATAGGGATGTGAGTGGGCAGGAGGTAAGAGGTAGGGGAATATTTATAGAATGTGCAGATTGTGGAGGGGACAAAAAACATATGCCAACTCTACATGGCCCTCTTGAATGGAAAGATATTCTGTATTGCCGAGTACAACGAAGCTAACTCATGAATTCAATAGCTGCTAGTGTCGGAGTAACACGCCCCCGCCTTCATGCACGATAGGAATGGCTTTCTTGTGCAGGGTCGCAACCTTTCATGCACAATCAGCGATGGTATCACACACTCAGCTTAGCCACCATTTTTTTATGGGGATCAAGACGAAGACAAAGTTTAAGGGCAAGCCTCTTGTGGAAATCAGTGCAGATATCGAGGCTATGTAACGCTACAAGATGCATGAGCGTGATATATCTCACATGAAAGTTTATTTTCTCAAAATAATCAGTCTGGCCGTGAGGGCATTTGCATGACCCACTATTCAGCTGAATGTAGAACCATATATGACAGGAGTGGAAATAGTAGGAGATAAAAAAAAACATAAGGGAAGACTTGGGGAGTATCGCAGTACCTAACCCCAGATCTTAAAGTATAAAGAGACCATTCGGCCTTGTCTATCGATCATTACCCACCCAAGCCCTATATTCTATATTTTGTCTGACGTGACTCAAGCTATCGAAGGTATCCTCTCCTCTCCTCTCACTGCTACTACTTCTCATATACTAATGAATCTAGGTTCTCACGTCTACACCTTCAAAATGCAAATCACCAATCTGAAGCTTGTTCTCCTCGCATCGCTTTTCGGCCATTCGGACGCCTTATTTTTCAAGTGGACCAGAATTTCCAATAATCAGTGCGCTATGTTGCCTTTTACCTTTGGATTCCCTGATCCCGGATGCCCTGGTGGTGCGGCGCTGCCGGCGCCCGCTCCCCCAGCACCAGACCCCAAGGCAATCGCCGCGGCTTACTGCACCAGCATCGCGGCTGGTGCCATTGCGGTATTCCGAGCCGACGGCAGCCACTATGGCTGCTTCAATGACCCATGCCGGGAGACCTTCCCTGGCAGCAACGAAATCAATGGTGTGTGTAAATAATCAACTAGAAGACTACCTTCAAGGGCTTCAAGGGGTTATCCAGATTAGGGGAAGAGTGGCTGGAAGAAATGAGCTAGTGTATTCGGGGAGAAGGACATTACGCAGGACTATCAATTTTGGAACAGATTTTACGTGGTTATTGGATTTATGTTGCCTTTTTGCTTTTATAATCTGTTTTTGAATCAATACATAAGTTTTACTTGTTCTAAGAATCATTTATTCTTCGGTATAAACACTAATTTTATTCCCACGGAGAATTGTAACCACGTTGCTCACAACGCATTCATTGCCTAGGTAACCTTTCCAAGTTTGCCACTCATTAGTTCCTCATGCATGCCTCCAGCGCTCGTTGTGTCATGACAGGGTTTTCCCGAGGATTTTCCTTTTGGCGTATCATTTTGATGGTGATGTGCTGGCGGTGCATGCATAATGTAGAGTTTATCGCACTTGGGTCTTACCTGCATACCATCTCCCCGCGATCTTCAGCTCGCCCCGGCCCGACCCCGCGGGGAGTTCGGTCCCCTGCATTTGCTGACCTGTCAGATGTCTTTGAATAATTTAACGCTCGTCTAAAATTGCCCCAAGGTATAAACGCAAAAATTTGCCAAACCTACATTATGTAACAGTAGCTGTATGCCCAAGTGCCCAGGTGTACTCATGTAACCTTGGTGTGCTCTCTTTGCTTTTCTCATGCGTACCAGGATGGATAAGTCTCATTGATTTGAACTAATCCATACTAGACTGTATGTGGCAAAATAGAAGGCGTCTGTAATGGAAAAGTCATGAACTTTGGGTATTCCCCAGTGCCCCCACAAAATTCCTTCACTTTCTCTCAATACCTGTAACCTTTCCTTCAATCCCATATTCATTTTCTAATTTAACCATGGCCGTCAATTCAATCGAAAGGTTTCATGTTACGATCCCCCTCTCGATACAGTTTGAGTCCAATGCACAGGGCGTCCATGTCGTCGGCGTATCCATGCCAGATGAACGCGTGTCTATCATGGGGATGGACGACGATCATCCTTCATCTTCGCAGACTTTCGAGCCCGATGACAAAGTATGGCCGGATGGATTGCAGGACCTAGGTCTCATCGCCGCGAACGAGTCTCTTGCATGTCCGGATTTCTCTCACGTAGAGTACTTCACACTACATGAAAATCCTCTTATCATCTATATCCCCGACTTTGTTTCTCCAGATGAGATTGTGCACTTGTTGGAAACTACGTATGATCCCCTCCCTACCCGGAGCTGAACAATCGAGATTGTTAACGCTAGTCTCACAGGAAAGAAAGCTTCGCTCCATCTGTGGTCTACCGACAGGGAGTGAGCAGCAACGACGAAAATTTCCGAAAATCAGAGAATGCATGGCCTCCACGGGACGAAGTCTTGCAATGTATCGAACAGAGGGCAGTCCGCTATCAGAACCTAGAGTCAAAGCTGCTCATGGAACAGTTGTCTCTGCAACGTTACCATGAGAATGGCTTCTTTTCTTATCACCATGACCAGTTCGACTCGCCGCCCAATCGCCTCAACCGCTATTCGACTTACAATGTCTTCTTGCAAGGGGACTGTACTGGTGGTGGCACCCACTTCCCTTTGATTCCTCGACCAACAGAGACTGCCTGGTGCAACTACATCGACTGTGAGTCGACCGAACCCGGAGTTATTTTCAAGCCAATTGCCGGCAGTGCCGTCTACTGGGTCAACATTCGAGAAGATGGTCTCGGATATCGGGAAACACTTCATGCGGGTATGCCCGTAACCTCGGGCACTAAAATTGGTATGAACATTTGGAGCTGGAAGGATACGAGAGAGGACGTTATCCAAGAGGGAATTTTGCATGTACAATAATTGAGCACCAGCGAGCCTTGCTATGTGAAGTGATAACCAGGATTTTCCTTCGAGGGTATCAACTTTTACACCTTTACTTCGGCTCCATTTGATCATAATTCAGATATTTGATTGGCTTTAGAATATTTAAACATTACAAGGCTCGCTTTCGTATGTCGAACATGTTTTGAATTGGAAGGTTTAGCTAGGTGCATTGCACATTGCTTTTCCCTACGTGTGTTCATCCAAGAATATACATGATTCTGTGCAAGACAACCCGGGGCTTGGACCCTTGACCAAGAGGGATTACAGGCCTTCGCATGATCCTCTCCTCAGGTAGCATTTACTTTTGCTTTCTAGTGATTCCGAGGGGACAGTGATTACGCAGAATAACCATTGGGGAGGGTGTGCATGCATTCAGTCTCTGGAATACGAGCCAGAAAGCCATGATCCACATGGGCGCTTCAAATTGAAAATATTATTTCGTTTTTCGCTGCTTGAAAATCTTGGTCACAGAGCGTCAATGCGTGTCAGGGGCTGAAGTGTGATTCTCCAATGCTCGGCATTTTGACAAGTGTCCTGATATCTGCCAATTTCGGGGTCACCTCTAGAACTGACATGTCGGTTTCAGTGAACATGCATAATCCAAGAGAGTGGCTTTTCAAGAGGCCATTGAGTATTTTATTACGTATCAGAAACCTGTTGATAGCTGCGCTTTTGAAAGAACGCTAATGCGGTTACCTCTCTGATCTTCTTTCAGCTGAGGGGCAGACGAGGTGGACCTGAGAGGCGTTGGGTATTGAGAATCAAAGTGAATAATCGACAGGTGACACTGATTTGGGTAGCCGACGAGTCTAAGTCTCGAAGCTGATGAGTATAAACATACCCATTAAACAATAACTTTCTGGGTTTGAGTAACCTTTAGGCAATATGGGGTTTCTAAAGTTGTCCGCACACGCGGTCCTCTTTCTCAATCTGTACCTTGCTCAGTTTATTGATGCGAGAGCCTGTGATGGCACACAGGGAATAACGCTGAAAAGCAACCAGGTGGTCATCAAGGGTGCCCCCCAATGTCCTGAAAGTGAATGACGCTGCTTCGTGAATTTCAATGACTAGCTAATCTGACATCTTTCAGACGACGGCGATATTATCGAGACCAGTGATGGTGGCTACTACAACTTCCAGTGTTGTATGCATCAGTCTACGGGATCGAACTTCCTCAAAAATGTTCAGACGACGGGGTATGATGATTGCATCAACCAATGCACCTTGACAGATAATTGCCAAGCGTAAGTGCTTCACACCCAAGAGATATATGTATTTTTATCTAACAATTGTCTCTGAGCAGGTTCCGCTATGTCTTTGATGACTTCAACGTCGAAAAGGCTGGGGATTGCAAACTGTTTGGAAGTGGCACTTTCTCAGACTCAAAGTGCGGAAACACACTACACGACTGGGCCTACCTGACCGATCCTCCGGTGGTCGAGGTCGAGGAGAATGTGCGAGTAGCATGCTCAACTGAGTGCCCAGATGCAGATGGTCAAATCTACACTGCCAAAAACAAACAGGTGAAGCTTTTTCCGATCCTCCATGGTACAGTGTTGGGTAACCACTAACAATATTTCAGGTGTTCCACTTGGATTGCCAGAAGCGCCATGGGACGGCTTGGTTCCACAAGCTGGATGCTAACTCCCTGAAAGAATGCACGGAGTCCTGCGCCTCGTTCATCGGATGCCAGAGTGTCGATTACCACAAGCGCACCAAGAAGTGCTACCTCGGCAAGCGTACCTCAAAGCCCACTCTCGACGCCCCCGGATGGGCAACCGCTTATTCTCTTGGTTGCTCGGGAGGGTGCACTCAGGACTCCTGTGGTAATACATGTGATTCAACTCCTCCTCCGGCCAATATTACCCCTACACCGGAACAGGATCAAGAACCAATTATCCCAGCCAACCCTTCCCCACCTCCTCCCCCTAGGGAGGTAAAGTGCAGCGATGACAACAACTCAGAGGTTGAGATAGATGGCACAAAGTACCAGATTCGTTGTGACAAGCAATACCGTGACAACAGCCGGCACGCTGCATCTGGTATATCCTACACTGAATGCCTGAAGCTGTGCAGCGCAGACTCGACCTGCAACTCGGTTGATTACTGGGATCCTAGTGGTGGACAATCCTGCTATCTTTTTAGCGGCACTGGAGAACCACCTTACTCAACTAATTTGAACTGGGCCGCCTTCAAGGTTTGATGGGTTGAGAAACTATCGAAGATTGTAGCAGGAGCTGTCATTTATTCATGAATCATTTGGTACTGCTCGGGTTACACATGGGGGACATATTCGCTTAAATTATCCCAGTAATTTTGGCCATAACACACTCGTTTCGCTATCAAGGATGACGATCCTTAAACCCCCAAATTCATTGCGCGCGATGTAGAACTAGCCCCCGTAAAATCCTTTAGATTCCTGAAAAAAGGTGAGTTTAACTACCTCCTAAAAGCCGGGCAGCTCAAATGGGAAATTCCTACCCGCTAGGGAGAATCCTGTACGCATAGCTACATATACTACTAGTTACATTATGAGGCTATATTGTTGCGCTATGAGGGGTCTCAACGTCTCTACCCTGGATAAGCTGGTTGCTATGGAGCGGATGGAAAACCACAGGAGGTTCTGTCTGTGTTAGACATGTGCCAGCAAGAACAAAGAATCATTTTTAGATATAGGCAATATAATGCACTACTTCTTTGAGCCATTTGTGAATATGTTTGTACAATTTCGAGCTCTGTGTAGCAACAATGGCCTATGGAAGTCGTAAAAACGTGACCCTGCATCTAAATAAACAACCCACCAATGATCGGTGATGGACTATATATGATACCGCTCATTCACTACCTATATGAAGCTACCTAGACGCAGCTCTATACCTTCATTTCCGCTGAACTTCTACCCTCCACTCCCTGCGCTGATATATCGTCTTCAACGCCCGCAGTCCTCCACCATCACTATGATGTATACCAGCGTGTCTATATTTGGGAAAGTGCCTTTTTCATGGATACATTTGTGGTATCTATTATAAGGTTTCCCATAGTCTGGGCGGAGCCTGCTTTCAATATGTACTTGACTGATTGCGATGCTCGCAACGCTCTTTCCATCATCGCCGGAAGACCTTTCGGCCTGGCAACCATGGATGTAGCCCTAATTTATCTCTGTTGGGGAAAGTACCGTTCAACTATGATCTACTTCTATAGAACTCGACGTCGGCTCTCAAGAAGGCTTAGTAGCTTTCGAATAACGGTCTATATATACAGCCCTTGAATTCATTTGTCCTATTCTTTTTTTCTTACTTCTTCATCTATTTCCTCTGACTATTACATCATACTACCATCAGGTATACATCCAATCCAGCTCAAGTATACCTCAACTAGTCCTCACTATAGAGTATATTGAATACTCGATCCACCCCAGGAGATTGAAACACACCAAAACCTTCTCCATTCCCTTCGAGGCCCTTTTACACAAATCACCGAAGGCTATATACAACATAGCACGATGACATCTGTGCAAGCCTACTACGAACAGACCGAGGTCTCCAACTGGCTCGATGCCATCTCTGGGGACAACGGAAGCATCGACCCAAGGTAAGCATCTATGTATCTATCTATATCTATGTCTCTACCAATATATATTAACATAGTCTACAGGACACTCGAAGTCCATCAGGTGGTCACCACCCACCGCAACACCCACCACAACACCCACCGCCATGACCAAACATCTCGGTCCGAACAACAGCCATCTCCCCAGTCATCCCGCCCTTCCTCCCCCGACCTACGAAGTCTAGGTCCACTAAAGCTGGAGCACGAGCCTCCAATCAGGAGAGTCCTCACCAAGGCATCTCTTCGTCAACTATACGATCGAATCAACCAATACGACCGACGGCGGACATTCACCGAGTTCCGCAACGAAGAAGACGACTCAGTCTCGCTGGCCACGACCGCGACTGACTCGGAGTACGAAAATTGTTTTCTCCCATTCTGTGGAGCCTTACCATCACCGTCCGAGGAATATTCTGCAGCCAGCTCTGCTTCCTCATCACCTTCGCCCTCTCCGCCTACCAACCACGAGCCCCAGTGGTTGCCTCTTTTGGTTGCGCGAGTTGTATCGAGTAAGACCCGTAAAGCATATCGGGCCTTGAAGAAGAAGTTGTCTCAGTGATTCTGAGAAAGGGGACTTGGCACATGATCGAAGACAGATTGTGTGCCCCATGCGTATTATTGTCTGTTGTCGCTGGCACCAAACCATGCTGTGCCAGTGAACAAACCGGGGGTACTCTTTTCAGCTGGGGGATTTATCCCAAAGGGTTTCAACCCAGTTGGTTTTAAGGTTTTAACGAGGCCCCAACTTGTGACCAGTCTCGGGACACTACATCTATCTCCCCGAGAGGAAAGGTGCCTAAGCCTATCAAGCGATCAAGGCGTCTATCTAAATCGCCAGAACAAGAACTGAGACGAGCCCGGACCCGCGCTTTCCGCTTGGACTATTATGATCTGCATTACAAGCTACACTTGGCGAATGGATCCACTGCTCATAACATGGAGGAAGCGGAGAGACATGTTATCACGGACAAAGCCTATCGTCGCGAAGAGACCTAAGAGGGATTCGGAGTGGCACGTTCTACGCCGACCCCTCTGGATCAGAAATAGGAGGAGGCGGTCCAGATGGCAACTCGGATGTCTACGCGATGGCTCCAAATTCATCAAGAATACATCAACGAAGGCTCTGGCGCGTACAATATCTACCAGGTGAAGGCCATTGAGAGGAAGCTTATGAACCGTCCTGATGCCGGGAAAAATGACGCTTCAGAATCGGACTCTGACATGGACGGCTGACTTCGCGGAGACGACCTCGGCTTGCGTCTCTAAGATACTGAAGGAGAGCTGGTTCTGTCTTCTAAGAAAAAAAAAAAAGAAAAAGCCCTGCATCGCTATAAGGATGGAAGCTTGATATCGTCGGGGTGGACGTTAACTCTAAGGGGGATCTCTGAGGGCATAGGTCAGGGGATAGGGAATGTTTTCTACCGGAGGGCGCTGGGAGACCGCCTCCATCGGGCGTGGTTATTGCCCGCTCATTGTACTTGTAGAACTTAGGAATATTATCAACTCTTGTTACATCCTTTCCATCGGTTAGATCAGTACTTTCATCTAACTCCAGTGGAGAGATCGTCCTCCCGTAGTTCTCGGAGAACCTCGGCCACCTAGAAGCCAATCCAGCCAGTCTGCAGGAGGTTTCGCCCACAGGAGGTGTGGGACAGATTCCGGTCTGTCATATATCACCAAATTGTTGGTTTTGTTTCGTGGGAATTTTGATATCTGTCCTATGTTGATACCCTGTACGCTTTAGTTGTTGTCAGAAAATGAATACACGCTCACGTTTCTCAATCTCAATAATAAAAACATAGAAATAACCGTAGATTTATAGCATGAGTGTTGTTGAAGTGTGATGGAATGTATAGATCGAAGGCGGTCGGCCCACCTGCCCCGTGTTATCTCGGTAGAGTTGCCTCTCCACGATAAAGCCACCGTGAACAACTGCGGCCACAGGGCATCATCAACAACACCCATTCCCCTCAAATCAATTCCTCCACAACAGCCAACATGGATCCCTTTTCTGCAGAGGGTGGTAAGCCTTCCAGCCCTCTCCATAGCTCCGATCATTGCTAATCCAGCTTCCCCGCAGAGCTCCTCAACATCCACAGCGCCTTCCACTCCGGCCAATACCAGAATGTGATCGACTTCGAGACCGCCGCGCTCTCTCCCGAGAACCAACTCCCCGCTCAAGTCCTCAGACTGCGCGCCCAGATTGCCCTTGGCCAATTCGACGAAAGCCTCGTCCAGCCCTTAATCGAAGAGGACAGCCCCGACCTGTCGGCCGTCAGGGCCCTGGCCCTGCAGTCCGCCGGCAACACAGACGCTGCCCTGCAGGTCGCACAAGGGCTCGCAGAGAACTACCCCGAAAACAACACCGTCCAAGTTCTTGCTGCTACCGTGCTCCAGGCTCAGGACCTCAGCGAGGAGGCGCTGGCACTGCTGTCCAAGCACCAGGGTAACCTCGAGGCGTGAGTTGCCCCGTCGCAAGTAGACTGCGATATAACGGAGAATATTCATCTGACAATCTGTCTGTATTTTAGCGTCTCCCTCATCGTCCAGATCCACCTTCAACAGAACCGGACCGATCTCGCCCTTAAGGAAGTTCAGGCTGCCAAGCGCTGGGCTCAGGATTCGCTGCTGGTCAACGTTGCCGAGTCATGGGTTGGCTTGAGAGTTGTATGTTGCCGAGAAACCTATAATCTTCAAGTTACTGGTGTATGAGTGCTGACTTTCTGTTTCTGCTTTACAGGGCGGCGAGAAGTACCAGTCTGCTTTCTACGTCTACGAAGAGCTCGCCTCCGCACCCGGTACCTCCGCACCGCTATCTATCGTCGGTCAGGCCATCGCTGAGATCCACCTGGGTCGTCTCCCCGAGGCTGAGGCCGCCCTCACCGCCGCCCTGGAGAAATACCCTACCGACGTGGAGTTGATTGCCAATAGCATCGTTTTGAATGTGTTGGCTGGCAAGCAGACCGAGGACCTGGAGTCGTATGTCATCCCGTCGCGGCTCCGTGGAAACGAGATATTGAACTCGATGCTGACTTTTATCTCTCGTTTAGCCGGTTACAGCAGGTCCAGCCCGCGCACTCCCTTCTCGCTGATATCCAGGAGAAGAGCGAGTTCTTCGACACCGCGGCGGCTAAGTTCTCGGCTAAGGTCTCATCGTAGAATAATCTATTTCCTGTTCCATATATTTGTTGTTTTGTTTAATCCGAGTCAGGGGAGCCTATCCTGCTTGTTTATGAAAAGACATGACCTCTCAATCTTGCAAATGGTGCCATATTTGGATTTCCTATCTGTAACTTCCAGGTATAAGATATAGGAACAAGAAGACCTGTTTCTATCCAAACCACCTTTCTGCTCCAATACCTTGTAGCAGCAAATAAATCACAGCCGAGCAGCCAGCCACTGTCGCAACTCCGAACCAGTCTGAGTCTCCTCCTTAACCATAGTATAAAACGGCGCATCATGCGACTCATCAGACCCAACGACAAAAGTAATCTCCCCAAACACCGACTTAATCTTCTTCACAAACTCCTCAATAGGCGAAAGCAAGATCTCATCCCCACCAGCAAGAACCAAAATCCTCTCCGTCTTAGCGCCATCCCACCACTCCGCCGGCGCATTCAACGGCTCATTCCAATTATCCGCCGGGATACCTGCGCGGTAAGCACCAGACCATCTCGTCAGAATCCCCGGCGTAATAATATCCTTCCATAAATTCTCCTTCATGGACGGCCACTCCGTACTAAAGTTAATCCAGGGCGCATACATAAAGACGCCCGCCAACGGCGCCGACAGCGCCAGCGGCTCGATCTCCGCGTGCGGGTGAGACAGGTGCAACAGCGTCGCTGCGGCTAGGTTCCCGCCCGCGGAGTCCCCGCCGATAATCACGTTGGCTGGTGAGCGGCCCGTTTCGTTGATGATGTAGCGCAGCGCCTCGACGGCCTGGCGGAGCTGGGTTGGGTACGTCGCGTGTGGGGTTAGAGTGTACCGTGGGAAGAAGACGGCTAGGTCGTGGCCGGTTTCGTTCAAGGCTTTCAGCATCTCAAGCCAGAATTCGAAGTACGCCGGGATGGCGGGCATGGCGAAGCCGCCGCCTGTTTTTAGGGTTAGTATTTTTGCTTGTTATTCATGGATATATTCAATGTTGGGGTTAGGCCTTTTGTTCTGTGGGTGGGAATTTCTCCGCATGTTACACGGTGGAGATTGGGGACGCACCGTGGTAGTATACGATTACGTTCTTGGCGTTCTTGTTTCCGATCCAGTGGCCCTCTGTGTTGTGGGGGAGTGCGACGGTCTCCGGTTTTAGACCGCGCTTTTTCATGCCGTCTGCGTAGGCGGCTGAAGTTGGGGCAGTGAGGTACCTTTGCGACAATACAAGGTCAATGTCTTGTCCATTCTCTTTCTTGCTTTCTTGAGAATTATATGCAGAAGAATTGGAGAGAGAGAACAACATACTGTGTCTGCCGATCCGATCTACGCTCAACGACTTTGCGAATGACAGCGGACAGAACATAGTGATCGTAGCGCTTAGGGCTTGCTTTACCCCGGAAAACACCAGTAATGGCAGCATACACCAAACTGGCGTACGTTGACAGGTGCAGGAATGGGATATCTGCCTTTTCCCAGAACCCGAGCTGGGGGACATCTTGGTTGGACGACATGATTGTGGTTTGAGTGATTGAAGCTCTTAGAGCAGGGGAAGGTGAGCTGAGCTGAGCGTCGGCTTTATAGCGCCTCCCCCGCTCCCGCTCCTTCAATTCCCTCGGCTGTGGAGCATGCAGGACCTGGAGCCGTCGGGCCCTGATTGGCTTTGCTCCGATCTGCATCGTTATGTAAGGTATCGTTTTAGGGTTCAGCGTGTCGATGGCATTTTCATGGGGTTTTGTCTGCTAACTTGCTGTATTATGGGATTCAGGATTCGGAGTTCAAGTTACCTGTGTATATAAAAAACAAACAAGGGAGTTGTTTAAATATTTAGCAAACCACAAGCACAGACATGGGGAACCATATCAAGAGGCACGTTGGACAGATGTCGAAGATACTATAAGGACATATTTTTAAGATGAACAAATCTGATATACCCACATTTGCCAATGATTTTAGTATATTTAAAAAGGTCAGCAGAAACAATGACGGTGCGGCTGTGCGGCATGTGGGCTAGCGCCGCGGTAGATGCAAGTGCGTTGAAGTCGGCTCGTCACTATCTAGTCCACGGGTAGAATCAGACGCTAATAAACGTAGAGCAGATAGAAGAAAGGGACCTGATTTAGGGAGAAAAGATATGAGACCTCTTCTGGTCGGGTTTGAACTGGATTCCACGCAATGAAGAGATAATCGGCGAAGAAGGCTTGCAATTCCACTTTATTCTGGAGTAGTCATATCAAATAGTTCCAGAGTAAGGATTTTAACATCTTGAATCTGACGAAGGTGCCGTCGGAAGACGCAATGGCGAAGATAATCACGACAAATCGACAAAGCATGGATAAAAAGGATGGCATAGTCGGTATAAGTTGATGAAAGAGAGAAAGCCTAGGCGCGAGTGGGTAGTCTGATGAGAGCAGA